TTTTTTGTAAAAGCTTGTTTTTGGCACGGAGGCGCGGCTTGTTGTCCATTGAGCCTCCTGAATATCGAGTTTTTCGACAAGTGCTATGCTTTTTTTTTGAAAATGGGAGCTTGATTTTTAGATTCGCTGCTCTAGTTTTATTCAAAAATAAAGGATTTTTATTTTTTTTATTTTTATTATAAAAAATAGAAAAATATTTAATGAAATCAAGGAAGAGAACCATGCTCAGGGATGATTATCGTCGGGCATTCTGAAGTCCGAATCGAGTGCCAAAGCCAGATAAATTTCGTAAGCCTTCATGGCCGTTCTCATCAATAACTTTTTCTTGGCCGCAAAGAACCCTAATAACCCGCGTTTTTCACTAAACGATTCAATAAACATTCGTGACTTTTGTGACATATTCAGTGTCATAAGGAAGTGCATTTCCCTCTTAATTCAAAAATGTTTGTTTTTTTTCTGGCAACAAATTTACCCGAAAGAGATTTTTTGAAAACCTCGAGTAACAAAAAAAAAACAATATCCTTCTCATCAGCTTAAAATGCGAGTTACTACGCATCCGAAAGTGCTGAGCAGAAGAAAGATAAAAAAATGGCTGAAAGGTTTTGTCAAAAAATTGAAGAGAGAGACGACCAGAGGCGACCTAGATAGACTGATTTTGTCTGTGGAGAGAATGGAGTTTGAGAACAAAGACTCTGCCGGCTGGGACGAAGTTATATTTGAAAATGAAGGGGGAAAAATAAACTCTGTTGATGACTGGGGAGGAAAAATTTCTGAAAAATGGAGCGTCACATCATTGCAAAAGAAGATACTCGATTTCAATAATGATTTTGAAAGAAGAAAAATTAAGAGATCCGAGTTGAAAGAAGAAAATGGAAGGTGGTTCGTTGATTCTAATCTTTGCGCGCAAATGATTTCAACTGGAGGAGAAGCTATCGTTTTGAAAGATCAATTCGGGGATCTTGAAGTTGCTGTTCGTGTTCAAGTTTTTGATACAGCTCTTTTAACGAAGAAGGAAAAAGTGCTTTGCTTTGATATTCATTTGTCACAAGGTATTTTTTTCTCATTTTGAACGATTTTTGATGAATTTAGATTACGATGTTGCAGAAAACGCCGATAATGATAGATCGAATTCGATTCCTGTGCACAAAAACGTCATCAAAAATTATGCAAATATCGAGATCTTCTCCGCCGCCGACAAGAGAAAGGAAGACTGTTTGGGCTGGATAACAATCATGGAAATTTGTGATACGACTTTGAGATGTAAGCTCAAGGCTGAAAGCCTTAATTTGGACGAAAGAAAGAAAATTGCCATCGGAATCAAAAAGGGATACGAGTATTTGTCTACCGTTGAGATTTTGCACTACGGCCTGAAGCCCGAAAATCTTCTTTTGAAGAATGCAGTGCCCAAATGGATTGACTTTGGACTTGTTCGGGAGAAAACTGGAAGAATGAGCTACGCAGAAATGGGATACACGAGGAGAGGAAGCAAATACAAAAAGTATAAATTTCTTTGTAAGTTTTGCTTTGAGTGAAATTGAATTAAAATCTTTCTAGATGCAGGCTCTGCTGCATTCGCTACTAACTATCAGCTTTGTCCGACATATTTTCATCACCATGATTGCTCTAGCATCTATATTTTTATCTTCAGCGATTGGGGAACTGCTTGGAGTCTCCATTTCAACCCAATTAAACCGGCTCCAAGAAATCTTATTCAAAATGATCTTAGAGTATGTGAATATCAAAAAAATTAAGATAAAAAATTCAGGTTTTGAACAACGGATGGATTGAGAACAAGGACGATCCGAGTATCAATGAAATAAAAAGTCTTCAGAAAATTATCTCTCTGAGAAACATTTCATCTTTTTTCTGCCTTGATGATCCAAATTTGACAAAGTCTTCCGCAATGGCTTAGTTGAAGCAGGAAATGACCAAGCAGATGAACACTGATTTCATAAATTTGACAAAGAATGTTTTAATTCAAAAAGACACAAATCTCTGCGTTGCAATCTCAATCACGTCTCTTCTTCGATGGGCGATGAAAAATAATTTATGCCTGTCTTTTGGAAACGACAAATGTACTTTTGAAAAAATATTCATATTGCTGACAATGATGATTTACCCGCGAAGTCTGGCCGGTCTCAATCTCAATCCGAATAGACAAGAAAAGGAGTTTCAACACAACGAAATTGAAATTCTTCTGAAACGAATGAAATTCGAGACATTTTTGAATAAAAGTGGATGGAAAATCATTCAATCTTTTGGCTATGTTCACGGCAATTTCAACTACAGACAAAACGGACAATTCCGGAACGGGCAATTCCGGAGATTTGAGGGAAATCGGTAAAATTTTTGTAAACGCACAATTCCGGAAATTTCAGACAAAAAATTCAACTGAGAGGTCTATTTTGTATATAGGACCACCTTTTCGCGAAATATTACGAATAATTTTCAGAAAAAAAATGAGAGAAGGGTCAAAAAAGCCATGAGTAGCACTAAAAAAGCCCATTTTCTGGTTGACACCCTTAAAAAGGCACTTTGGAAGCAAAAAATTTTCAATTAGAATTCGGACAATTCCGGAGATTTGGCGCTTTTCCCCGAAAAAAAAACTTCCGGAATTGTCCGTTTTGTCTGTACGAGCAAATTCTCCTGCACAACGATTTTGTTTTCACTCGACCATTGACAGTAACTGGGGCCTATCTGAAGCCAAATGGCGACGTTATTTTCCACCAAATGGTTCTCGACCGCGTCGAAAACGACCAATACGTTCTCCAAAATACTCTTCTTTCTCATTCTCCCCTCAAATTCGAGTTTTTCTGAAGAACCGTTACTATGCGAGTTTTGAGTTGATGAACGATTGTTTAAAATCCAGTGGCGACTTCAATTACTACGGAACTAACAGAGAATTCCTACAACTGGCGAATGAGAAATGTAAAAACATGATCTCTGGCGAGTGGTATCTTCTTCCTCAAGCTTTCTCAATAACCCTTACGCGCGAGAACTCATTGCTTGTATGAGGTTTACAAAATAAGAATCATTGTCAAAATCTGCCTATTTTATATTTTTCCAACAATTACTTACTTTTTCTTCTTATAAATAATAATATAAATGATTTATTATGCTTTAAAAATTTACATTTTGTCGATTTGTAATAAAAACGATGAGAATGAAAATTCCAGCCACAGCTGCGACGGCGCCGATGATAGCTGCGGAAATAGCAGCGCTAACAGTGATTTCGTATTTCATTGCGACGGAGGTGTTTTGGCCATCGACGATGGCCCATCGTAGACCTGAATTTTTGGTAATTGCCTTTTCTAGAGCCCATGTATCAAGAATCACAAAAAGAAATAAAAATTTAAGAGCTCGGGAAATATTAAATGCGCCCGAGTCCGACCTTCGTAAAATTAGTCATAAAAATCAACAAAGTCGAAAAATACCGTGAGTGTTATTTCCGCATCCAAATTATAAAAGAAAAATAAGAAATTGAATTAGATCTTAACATTTTTGCTCAATAGAGTTTTCGAATTTCGGATATCTGTAACCGCTGTCTCGCCGGTTTATTTTTTAACCCTCTTCTATCTGCCAGTTAATTCAGATTTTGTCTGATCAAGTTTCCCCGCATTTTTAGTCACGGAAATCCCGATTCTCGTCGACCTCCCCCCCCTTTGTTTGAAGATCGCATATTTTCAGTAAAAGTCAACAGATAAGTTTTTTTCACGAGTCATTTTTTATCATATTTTGGTCGAGATGGCAGATAAAAAAGCAGTTATAAGTCCAGAGAAACGAGAGATACCAGCAATTTATTTAGATGGAAATTACAGATTCACATCCTTTCACAATCATGAGAAGGTGAAAGAACCAACATTCATTCACAAGTGCAGAATTTGCTCGTAAGTTCGGCGTGATGAAAAAAATTGTTTGGTTTTTTAGTGTTATTTCGGAAAAGTTCTTCATTCATGATTGTGGCGACTATTCAATCGAAAACAATGCATTTTGCGTGGATTGTTCGTCACAAATTACCCGAAAAAGAAGATGTCATTGTCGAGTTTACTTTTTCTCTGATCATTACACTCGCAAACATCGGAACCGCATCCGCTTCAAATGCTTCTTCATGGAATGTAACTCTTCTTTGTCTTTTTACGAATTTCTCGATCATTATCAACAACGCGGATCTTCCGCTAATCACTTTCAACCTCGGTTTATGCAGAGCACTCAAGGAGCAAGTGCGCCAATTTTTCCTCGGATAACTATTTCTTCTCGTGTAGGACATAATAATCGTGTCAGTCTTCCCGAGGATATTGAGAGGGATCTCAACCTCCGAGAAAACGAAGTGCAATCATTAAGGGGGTAGTGCCTGATTTGATGAAAATCAAGATTATGAAATATTAAAAAATTGTCAAACCACGAAAACCAGGCACTACCCCTTTAAGAAATCAGTTCGAAAAAATTTACTCGGAAGAAAAAACCGTTACCCAACAACTTGATACGGTTAAAAAAAAGATCATTGAGAATTCTTCGATGATTGAGAGTCTTCTACAGGAGAATGACGGACTTACACGAGAAAAAGAAAGCCTTGAGAAAAAACTTGAAATGATAACAGAAAGAAAGGAGGAAGCTCGATATAAGCAAACTGATTTATCAGATCAAGGTTCAACCAAATGTTTTAGATAAAATTCATTATTTTCAAAGGGGCCGACGAGAATTGCTGCAAGATCTGTTTCTCGACATTCGACAGAAATCTCCATCACCAATCCTGCATAACCAGATGCTTTCATACCTTTTGCTTTCAATGTCTCAACTCTCTCAATCCGAAGAACTGTCCTAGCTGCAGACAGCCGTTTCAAATGTCCGAAATTCAAAAACTCTATTGAGCGAAAATGTTAACATCTAATTAAATTTCTCATTTTTCAAATAAATCATCTGCAGCTCCTGCCATCTCTTCATTCGCAAACAAACAAACCCTTGTTTTTAAATTTAAAGTTGAAATTCAGAAACAGATTGAATCACAAACAGTAAAATTGATCAACTTGAAATAAAATCGGTCGATAAAATATTTCAGTGTGTTCATTGACGATTTTCGAGCTTTCAATCTTGTCACCATCCCAAACGAGCTTTCGAACGATGCCTTTACTAAAGAAGAAATCAATAAAGTTAGTCAAAGAAGAAAAAATTACGGTTCCTGATCGCCGTTTACAAGAAAGATTGAGTTTCCTATTTTGATTGAAGAAGAATGATTTTGCTAAAACAGATCGCGACAAATGAAAAAAATTAAAAATAAATTACCTTTTCCTCAGTTTGTCCGACGACTGTCCATTTTAAGGATCGAAAAAGGAAAATGTCATGATTAATTCCATATCTCCAACCCCCCAAAACGAGCAGCCCATTTTCTACTCCAACACAGGTGTGAAATCCCAATTTTCTACAAATTCATTATATTTGAAATAAGATCAATTTTACTTAGGAATATCCGGAAGTTTCTCCCAGTTTACGGAGTTGAAACTCTCAACCGTTCCATGAGCTGATTTATCATCGCTCGAAGTCCAACCACCTACCGCAACTGGCCGGTTCCCATCAATCGCTAAGCACGAGTGCTTATGAACAACCAGTGATTCAGGGCGAGTTGTTACTATTGATCCATCAAATTCCTCACATTTTTTGAAGGTATCGTCTTCAAAGCAGATTAAAACTATTGCTTAATTATTAAAAGTAATTTTTGATCATTAACCAGATTGTCTATCGGCCATTGTAACTGCACTCGATCGATGATTAACAGAAATTCCGAGCTTTGTGGTCATTTCAATGATTTTGAAGTTCTCGAGCATTGAAATCTGAAAATTTATAACTATATTCTAACTTCTGTAAAAAGCGTACCCTGTTTATGTATCCTGAATAACCACCAAAAATATATATTTTACCGCGAATAGATGCCGCAATAGAATTATAAAGATAGTGGCGATCATGAGTTGAGTCTGGTTTCTGTATTTGCAAATCTTTTTTTGTTCCATCATCATCAAGAAGATATTTGACTGCGCCTTTGGTTCCAGCAAGAACAAACAGTGCATTTTTCATCATTTTGACGCAGTCAGGTTTTGTTTCTTCAAGCTTCAGTTTTGTAGTCGTTAGTTCTAGTGTTTCTATAATTGAAGACTTCTCGTAAGTACAATTTTGATTTTCATCCAAAAGATCTCCAACAACCCTCTTAAGCGCTTCCGTCTTGTCTTTTTCCTGGCCGATTTCATTAATTCGTATTGAAATTTCAGATTCAAAGTTTTGTTGCTTTTCGACAATGTTTGCTTCGAGACGGAAAATTTCCTCACTTTTTTCGTCTTTCTCTGCGGCGCATTTTTGATTTTCCTCAAGACTTCTCTCAATCAAATTAGTAAGGTTTTGATTTCTGTTTCTTTCTTCATCGAGCTCCGCAATTTTTTCATCGAGTTTGTCTTTATTATCTGTCAATTTTTCTTCGAACGAAAACTGCGTAAGAGTCGCATTAGTCAGGGTAATTTCTAGCTAATTTTCAAGCTGAGCATTTTTTGACTGAAGATCGTGAACTTGTCTTGACAGGATTTTCACCCGCGAGATCAGTGAAGAAACTTCCTTCCTGAAACTTGAGTTTCTGCTTTCTTGTCTAGATCTTTTCAGTTGAAGATTTTCTGATTCTAGCTCTTCTCCGCGGCTAGGTTATCATTATTTAACAAGTAAAAGGTCTATCATACAGTTGACAAATTTCTTTATCGACTTGAGCTCGTTCAGATATTTTGTAAAGATTAATTATTTCCGACATCAATTTTTCCCTTTGAAATATTAAGTTTCGGACCTCTTGTTTCTGTTTGCCCATCAATTGTCTTTTTCAAAGTTCAAATAACAAATCAAAGGGTTAAGGGGGTAGAAACAGCTTTCTCGATTATGGACAGCAGCTGCATAAAAGTAAACATAAGATTTATTTATGTTCACGGAATTTCCTGATAAATGTTCCTAGAAAAAGGGTTCAGCTTCACAAAAATGTGAAAGAAATTTGTTTAACTATCAGGGGACTCGAGATATACGTGTTTAAAAATTTGGGAAAATCGAGAATTTCAGAGAGATGAGCTGCTTCTGAGCCCGCTTACTCAAAAATTTGATGACGAAAAAAAATTTCGAGAGAGATGTTCCTAGATCTAAGATGCATCTTTCGTAACCTGAAGAGAAAATTTGAAAATGTAAGATTCTCTTGTCTGTAGCGCCGGTCAAAAATCGTTTTTTTCAGAAAAAAGCTGTTTCTACCCCCTTAACGCAAAATTTGAAATAATTATAAAAATATTTCGGTATAATAAAAAATTTCAATTTCTGAACTTTAACGACATTGAGCTAAATCAACTGATGGTTGAAAATTTCGCGCTTGAGTTTTATTATTATCATCGCAGAGACAATCGTTAAGCTGATGTTCTATCCGCTGCTTGCAGATTTGAATGCACTCAGAATCAAAGCATCTACTGTTACAAAGCAAAAAACCAGCTTGAGCTGTTTCTTTGCATCTTGCCGAAGATTCGGGAGTGCATGACTTTCCAGCAGTTGTGTACCAAAGAAAAAAGAGAAATCTTATCATATTTTCTCTCTTACATTCGAGTTGCCTTTGGGTGCTGTAAATCGGATGCCTGGACATTTCCCATGCACACGAGTTAGGCGAGGATACCACACCGCTCTACTAGCCTAGATATGGGGGCGCAACTGAGCGCGAATAGTGAAACCTTATCATTTTCAGATCCTTCACCAGTGGAAGTTAAAGTCTCTTTTAAATTTGTAACTAAACTAAATAATATTAATATATTATTTTAAAATCATTAAATAACTTAGAACTTTTATATAGATGCCTGCTCCGCGGGCAAAGTGGTAGGGAAACTCCTTCATTGAGCGGATCACACTTCTTTTTACGCACCGTCTTTTACTCCGGATAATTTTTATCGGAAAATTATAAATTCTAGTGCCCCCATTTCGGGGGAGAAATTCAATTTGGCGGGGCGACTCGCGAGCGCTACCTTTTTAGGTGTGGTAGCGCGGGATGGTAGCCTGGCTGAAATCGTGTGCATGGGAAATGTCCAATCTCCCCTGTAAATCCTCTTGAGTCACCATTTGAATCTTAACTTTGGTTCTCAAGAATCATTTTCGAGATGATGAATGACTGTTTGAATTCCTGGGGCGAATACAACTATTATGAGACTTATGGAGAGTTTCTTCTACTGGCGAATAAAAAATGCAAAAACCTTATCTCAGGCGATTGGTATCTTCTTCCTCAAGCTTTTTCGTTTACGCTTACCCGTGAAAATTCATTGCCAGAATAAAAATTTCAGAATAAAAAATTCAGGATAATTAAGCTATACAAATTTGCATTTATTGATGAACATTATTCGTCGATTTTTGATAAATACAGTGCTTGAGATAATTTTCATGTTCGTTTGAGGTAATTGAAAGAAAATGTTCAAACAAGGCAAGGTTTGTTTGTTGGCGAATGTAGAGTTGGCAGGAGCGGTAGGCGAGTTCGGTTCTGCTTTCCGGAACTGTTGTTTCCGGAAGACGTTGTATGCGAGCTGTAGTCGGATGTCCGCTCCCAGACGTATAATGAAGACACCTGAAAAACAAGGGATTAATCAATTCGTTCAATAGAGAATATTGTAATTTCGTATTCCAAAATGAGACTGTTCTAGATGGTTACCTGGTTGATTTTGTCGGAAACATCGACTTCAAAAGGCTTCGAGGACGAATTTGATGGAAGCCAGCAAGCATCAGAGTGGCCAAGGGTTAGACAGTCTTGATTACAGTAATGACCAAGCATCGCCAGCTGAAAAGAGGGTTACTAGAATTCAAAGCAAAAATGAGGATTATAAACCCAAAATCTGAGTCAAAAATAGTTCAATTTTCAATTCATCTATTTTTCTATCTTATTTTGTCAGTTTTCTTCCTTGATTTCAAAACTCACATGATTTCTTGATTGCGTTTCGCTCCCAGATTCGCCTCTCCCCGAGTCCGAATCCGCCCTTCTGGAATTACTCTTCTGGTTCATCTGCAAAGCTCCCCTGGCCGTACAAATCGTTCCCTCGCTGCCACTCCTCTCCGATTTCATCTTCATGTCAATGATCAAATCCGTGCGCGAAATATTCTGCGAGTTCGCGGAATTATCCCCGAAATTCGACGAATTCATTTTGTCGTTGTGCGCAGCGCGGAGCCGCCGCTGGAGGAAAATGAAGACAACGATGAGAATGAAAATTCCAGCAACAGCTGCGACGGCGCCGATGATAGCCGCGGAAATAGCCGCGCTGACGGTGATTTCGTATTCCATTGCGACGGAGGTGTTTTGGCCATCGTAGACCTATAATATTTGATGATTTTTTTCTAGATTTTTTTTATCAAAAATCATAAAAGAAAAAAAATTCTGAAGCGCAGGAAATATCAAACTAATAAAGAGTTGAGATCCACTTGACAATATCTGTAACCATAGTTAGAATGGAACTAAGAATAAATTGTATTTATGTCAGTCAATTTCTTTGATAAAAAAAAAATGAAAAAGACCCTATTTGATGGCCTCAAATACCGTGAGTGTAATTTCCGCATCCAAATCGCGCGAATAATTCGACTCGAAAATCAAGTCGTGGCCACGAAGCGCGAATAATTCTGCATCTCTTCCTCCAAGTTGAATGACTGGTTCTGTTCCATCTGCGTCAGAGATCTAAAATTGCCTATTACAAAACCTGTTTTAAAAATTGAAATAGAGTCTGGAAAAATATATAAAATATGTTTCAAAAAAAAAAAGAGAACGGCGACCATTAAAAATGTCCCAAAATCCTCCTTGTTCGGCGATGTCGATTTTCTCAGAGTGTTTTTGTTTCTCACATTGGCATTTGCCTCAACTAGATTCCTCGGTGGCTCTTTTCATTCGGAGAAGAGTCCCTTAGCAGAATTCGAAAATAGTGGCGGGCGGATAATAACGTAAAGCATTCCCACGAGAAAATGGCTTATGCGCCGCTCCCGCCATTAACAATCGGACTATACTTTTCCACAACAATCGCATCTTTAAACTTGACCAAAGTTTACGAAGAAAAAGTACTCCCAACAAAACGTGTCGATAAAAAACGATTTTTGAATCTTAATTTCGGATCCAGGAGCAATTATGGAATCACCCTAATTTTCTATTCAAATTTGCCTTCGAAAAATATCCTGCTTTTTAGTTTTTTGGCAAAATAAAATAAGGGTGTCACCATCTTATTTAACGCTTCGTCTGACGGATCGAATAAGGGTATCACTATCTTAAGTTTGTCTATCAAAAGAAGGGTCAGTTGAAGGAAGAATCAAGTTTTGATCGATTTTTTTCGAAGAAATAAGATAGTGACACCCTTATTTTAGTTTGTCATCATTTTGGAATGAACTGTAAGAAAAGCTTTCATATTGTCTTGATCCCCTAAAAAACAGAATAACAAGTCGAAAACGTGATAATTTTAAAATATCTAAGCCGCCGATTACATTTTCGCCCATAAATATGCTCGGCTATATCCTGTTACATAGTCTTTTCCTGAATATTCACCAGCAGCAGTGATGTATGTTTTCAACCGCCCAAGTGAGTTTTAACACATTTTCTCCCGAAAAAGAGCGGCGATAAGCAAGAACTTTGAAAGCTGCTTATTGAAGTTTATTCAGGAATTAAAATGGAGCGTGTTCATTTAGAGACTAATAAGCGCTCTAAAAGAACTTGTGCAAGGAATAACAATTCCAGCCGCAAGCTCGACCGCTCTTTGTGTCTCACTCGCTCATTTTAATACACCTGTGGGGAGAAAATACAACTCATTTTCAAGCAAACAAAAAATTCTTAAGGAGAACTATTTTGCTCTAAGCTCGCCTCTAATTATTTCATGCTGGGTTCTTATTCAGTAATGTAAATTTCAGCCAAATTTGGATTTCATGAGAGCTGCATTTTTTCAGTATTCTGAAACATTTGAAGAATCTTTCAAAACTATTTATGACTAAGAAGAGTTAACTTTTTATGGTGCTGAAAAACTCTTTTTATTGGCATTGCCACCATTGGTCAGAAAAAATTGCGCATTTAAACATTTACAAATCATTTTAACCATTATAAGATATTATAAATTCTCATTTCGAAAATGTATTTTATGGTTATTTAAAATAAAACCTGAGGTTATTTGAGAACTAGAAACTTTTTGATAGAATACCTAACCTCAAAAGTTCCTATCCCTAACCCTAACCCCTAACCCTAACCCTAACCCTAACCCTAACCCTAGATTCTAGGGCCTAGAATACCTAACCTGAAAAGTCCCTAACCCTAACCCTAACTCTAACCTCAAAAGTCGAAATAACATCTCCAAACTGAACATCACTCGCCAGCGCAATGTATTTCGGAATCACGGCCACAGGTCGATTGTCGTTGACATTCTGCACTTGAATCTTCACCAGTCCTTTGGTCGATTTGCCGCCTCCATCCGTGACAAGAACCGTCATCTAAAAGATCTCATGAAAACTGAAAATTTCGAAACGAAAAATTGGGAAACGCCTTGAGATGAGCAGCGAATCCGATCAAGCGAGCGTGGAGTTTATTTCGAAAAAGAGAGTTTTGGACACGATCAGAGAAGTCTTAAGGGAGGGGCAGGCGATAAATGGGAAATTGGAAAAGACAGTGTTGGGTTTACTAAAAACTTTGGCTTCATTGGTAAATGAATCATTATGTTTTCAAAATTGAAGAATTGGGTCAATATTTAACCCAAATGCCTGTCAAATAATTTGAATCTATAAGGGACTTGAATTCTTAAAATTGTTGAAGTGTCATTTTTACTGCTGTTTTTGCTGCAATAATTCGATTTCATTATTATTTTTTATTTCGCTTTCTCAAAAGATTTCTCAGGACGTCTTTATAGAAACCATAAAAAAATCTGAGTTTTTGCCACATGCCGATTTTTTCATTAGATAAATGCTGAAAATAAATTCCTAGCTTCGCTTGAATTTCCATATTTCGCGCGAAGCGGTTTCGCCTTAATTTTGTCCTTAACTAAGCTTGATAAAAAACTACATCATCGAAAAACCTCGTTCCTCAGAAAGAGAACTCCAGGTTAAACTCAAGTGGAGAGGGAGTGAGGTAAATCGTTGCTCAAAGACGGGTCCCGCTCGAGCCCCACTCTTGAAGATATCGCCAAATCAAAATACGAAAGTGAAATGTCTCCTCTTCACGGAAACGGACGCATAGCTACTCCTTCTATTAATTAGACCCTCCACTTTTTCCAAAAAGACTGACAGCTTTCGCCAAATTCTAGTGTCCCAGATTTATAAAGAAGATTCTACATGCAAAAAAGCGCCTGAGTTCGACAACCTTAGTCAGGTTCTGAAAACATTTTACGAAAAGCCGCGTAGCGCTTTTAATGAAGCCGCGAAGCGGCTTTGCAAGTATTTTGAAATAGATCTAAATCATAATTTTGGAAGCCGCTTCGCGGCTTCTTTATAGAAAAAGCCGCTACGCGGCTTCTCAGAACCTGACTCAGGTTTTCATAACAGTTTGCCGATCACAGGCGGTTTTCTTGCATGTAGCATTTTTTCTTTATAAATTTGTTCCTAGAAAGGTCGATTTTCTCGGGGCTCGTTTCTGCCCCCGCAAAAGCGCAATTAGAGGCTGTCGAGCAATTTGTGTTGTGTGAGTGTTGAGATATTTCAAATTTTCCGGAGGTGTTGTTTTGCGCACGTTTTCTAGCGCAACAGTTACGAAAGAAAGAATGCCCAGACCCGTGCGTGAAATCAGACTAGCCCCTTCATTTTCCTCTAAATTCACAGCTCACCCGCCAACTTGCCAATTTGGGGACTAAATAGATTTTACGCAGCGCGAAAATTTAAGGAGCACTTCTCAATGAGTGAATCAGACTTGACTCTAACTCCGGATAGAAAAAGAGTCAGTAACTGCTCAATTAAAATCACAAAGAAAAATACTATTCTTCAATCGAGAAGCCGCTTGCGGCTTTGAGTGAAAAACGACCATAGACGCCCGAAGCCCGGCTTTTCGCAGAAAGCCGCAATCTTCGTAAAAGGAAAGAAAAATTCTTTGTACGAAAAAGAAGGATTTCGAAAAGACGCGCTTCTTTCGACTTCGAATCTTTTTGACTCGAAGGCGCAAGCAGCTTCTCGATTTTCTTCATACAAAGAATTTTTTCTTCTCTTTATGAAGATTGCGGCTTTTCTGAAAAAGCCGCGCTACGCGCGTTTTTGATCATTTTTCGCTCAAAGCCGCAAGCGGCTTCTCGATTTATGAAGCCCGTTTTTAGTGACGAGTGAAAGCAGAACTACGTCATTTTTCTCTTACACCCCAAAACTCGAAAATCTCCATGCTCCCAAATGATGTCGATCACGTTCCGCGGTCTTCATCCTTTTTAAAACTGCGCAACTTACATTGTATTCCTTTTTCGTTTCATAGTCCAGCTCATCTTTCACAAATATTTCTCCACTTTCCGCGTCGATTCCAAATTGTTTTTCTTCAACATCAAGTTGGTAGCTGAGTTTTCCAAAGAGAAAAGGGTCGTCTTTGTCGGTTGCGAGGATTTTTCCAACGACAGTGCCGATTTTTGCGTCTTCTGGGATCGAGAATCGGACTGAATCTGATCGAAGAAGCGGGGAGTTGTCGTTTTTGTCAGAAATTTTGATCGTTTTCTTTTCAGAAGAGCACCTTAAAGACTTTTTATTAAAGATGAAAAACAAGTAATTTAAGGGTGTAGACAGCGCTTTTGAAATTTCCGGAGTTCAATCTTTCTGACACCCTTATTCTCGATCATTTTTTGAAAATAAGGGTGTCACTAAGTTAACTTGATGATTGTTTAAAAATGAGATAAGACAGGGATACCCTTATTTTTGCCTCTTTTCTTTGAATTTTTAAAAATTGCATTTTTCGTTGACTCATTTAGGGCCCCTTATCTCATTACAAAAAAAGTGTCTCCAAATCCGCCCTTGCGCAATAAGCACCCCCAATTTGCGGTCAATTTCTAAATGAATTAGTTTTCTTCGCTTTCCGCCCGTTCGGAAACAATTTCGAAGAGGCCGAACATCAGAAACTCGTAACACGTTACGCTGACGATAAAACCACAATTTCCAATTGTTATCGTCTCTCGAAACCGCTTTGTTTTGCGAAAAATCGTAAGACAAAAATTTTCGTCAATTTTCAAAATTTTAAAATTTCAGCATTTTCTTGAGCACTTAAAAATTGTAAAAAAAAAAAGGAAAAATGACGAGAATTGTGTACTTTTTGGAATCTATGAAATATTGCCGAGTTCGCTACGTAATATCTTCGGCGGACTCTTACGACTTAGGAGTCTAAACACGCGACTCAGGAGCGAACTAACGACGCTAGAAATTTCCCAGCAAGCTCACGAAATTCCGAAGTTTTTTAGTTCATCCCTTTCGAAGGGCTGAATTACGTGGCATTTTTTAAATTTTACTGAAATTTAACTATCAATTATTTTCTAATTTAAAAATTTAGATGTTGACACCCTTATTATAATTAAAAAAATAAGATTTTTAAAAATACTATTTAATAAAATTATCAAAGAGATACCCTTATTTTTGACTCATAAAAACAAAATTTATCAAAAAATATCAAAAATAAGGGTATCACCATCATAATTTTTAAAAAATATTTAAATAAAAAAATGGTTTCAAGAGATGATCATCTCGTCTAGTTGACTCAAAATATCAATTTTTGGCATGTTCGCACGTTCGGGCGAAGTTTTGATTTCTGGTCCTTTGGAAGTGCGGCTGCCAGCGAGCCGATCACTTCTAACAGGCGACTGTCTTCAAATGAAACTATCGCAACACTTTATCCAAAACAATTGTTCTAAACGCGCGCCTGGGCTTTTCTTCTCGCAAAAAATTTTGACGGGCCGTATTTCAAATAGATTTTCTTCCAACATTTCTTATCGAACTAATAAAGTTCTGGCGTAATCTGCAAAGGATGGAGATGCGAAATAAGGGCGTCTCCTTCTTCAACGATCGGGGGGTTAAATTAACACTTGATCGGAGCGATTGTGCGCGAGGCGATTAGACCGCCCCATCATCCAGAATTTCGCCCTTTTCCAAAATGCCTATTACCAGAAATTCCGAAGTCAGTTTGCGACACAAGTGCACGTTGTCCCCTTAATCAGCGGCCCTATCGTAAATTTCAAATTTACAAACAGGAATTACTTCTCTTTGAGTAATTCCTGTTTGTTTCTATTTAAACAGCAAACTTTTTCGATTCAAGATAGTGACACCCTTATTTTCTCCGTCGAAAAAATGCATGAAAACTTAAAATTAAACGTGTCATGATGTTATTCCGGTTAAAAAAGGCAATCGAATTAATATGAGTGACTCCCTTATTTGATCGAAGGCAAAATCTGAAATAAGGGTGTCGCTTCACAATTTTTATGAAGAAAAATTGAAACAGGGCCTCTAAAGTGAGGAACTCGAAGAAAATGATGAGTGGTAAGTTTTACAGTATTTGCGAAAATCGGCAAAAAGGGGCACTTCCCGATTTCGATTTTTGGCCGCTAAGGCGCCCAGATCCCCGACTGATCCAAATTAACTTGCCGGATTAGGACATTCTCCGCTTTCGCCAATTTGAACTCTACTCCCGTATCTTCCCTTCCCGTGAGGAGTACTGTACCTTTGAGGCTTTCCACCGTCGCAAGCAGTAATCTCGACATTGTAGCGATCCTGAATTTCGCGGTCGAAAGTCATCTTCGATTCCAATATAAACTCGTTGTCGCTTTCGCGCCGAATGTGAAAATAATTGCTTTTCGAGCGGTTCAACACATGTCTAATTTTGGAAATAAAAAGTCTGAGAGCCAAAAATAAATTATTTCGGAAATAAATTTAAAGCTAAAATTATAATTGCTGAAGCGTTTATTTCGCTTTCGCTTCTGAGTTTGAACCGGTCCTAGGTTTCAGATCAATGTCGATCGCAGAGTTGATTTCGCCGTCCAGGTCAGATACAGTAACGAAGGCGACGAAAGAGCCAGGTTTTTGTTTTCAGCCAACAGGATTGATCCTTGAAATTTATTTTAAAAATTAAAGAAAACAGTCGATTTTCGCCAAAAGAGTTTTGACTCGAAACTTTTGAGTCAAAACTTTTGACCGAATCTTGGCTCCAAAACCTGTGTTGAAAACCTGAGTCAGGATTTGAAAGACCTTTGGCATGATTCTTTTCAATTGTCTTTTAAATCCTGACACAGGTTTTCAACACAGGTTTCAGAGCTCAGCAAATAGCTATGAGAAGTTTTTATCGTATCATCTTTTTAATCCCTATAATTTCAATAAGCTCCTCTTTTTCAACAAAAGACAAAATGAGCTGAAACAAGCTCTAACAAGAGAGAAGCAGCATCTTTCTCAAGGCAATTACGGCGGTGTCGAAAATCCGCCAAACGACCCACCAAACGAGCATTTGTTTTGAAACGAGCTCATCGGCTTCCATTATGAGTTGCTTCTATACGTGAGATACGAAGCTTTCAAAACTGTAATTTCAGATTTTGTAGATTTTTTCGGACTTATCAAGTTTTTCTGGAGTAAATCAGACTTTCGACCGGATAAATTTGAGAGCTTAAAAGTGCTACGGAAAAAATTTCGAAAAGATTGAAAATTGAGCGTCCAAATTTGTTCCTAAAAATCGCAAAACACTTTAAATATTTATGCTTGCTTCGCAGCGGGATACTCGACGCTTATCAAGTGTCGCGCAGCTCGTAAGTGGCGTTAATTCAAGCTTCTAATCTCTGGCTCTTTTCATTATTTTTCGTGTTCACTGCTACTAGTCGTACACACAGGCTCTTATCCTTTAACCTCTTTTGACAGGATAAAAACGTGACGAAAAGTCAAAAATCTACTTTTTTCGAGGACTATTTGAATCTGTCAAAAAACGAGAAGCCACTTGCGGCTAGGATCGGCAAGCTGTGTAGAGAGCCTGAGTCAGGTTTTTAAAAGCTTAAATGAAAAGCCGCGTAGCGGCTTTTTTAATACACGAAGGCGCAAAGCGGCTTCGCCAATAATTTGAAACATGCAAGAGCCTTGTCACAGGACTGATTGTGTTGCGAAGCCGCTTCGCGGCTTTGTTTTTGAAAAAGCCGCTACGCGGCTTTTAATCTTAGCCCCCTAGAACTTGCCTAAGGTTTTCAACACAGGTTGCCGAGCGAGTAGAAAAAGCCGCAAAAGCCGCGACTCTCAACTCTTTCGAGCCAAAAGCTGCGAGAAGCGTCTACTTGATAAAATAAGGGTATCACTACGTTATCTTTCTTCAAAGCAAAAATTCCCCTTATTCTTGTTATTTTCAATATTGCCACTGTATCTTCCTCCGCAGGGGCATTTCTAGTGCCTCATTATTCGGAAATTACACGACCACGAAAATAAATGCCGACCACGATCGAAATGCGCCAAAAGAACATTTCAGTCGAGATCGCGAGGTCGAAATTATATTCCTCTCGTGGTCGTCTTTTTCGCGAAATAGAAATTCCTCAATCGCCATTTTTCAAATTTTTTGGGAAGAAAATTACACTCATTAAGAGGAGGGTTTACGTAATGGGTTACTACAGCTTGTTTGTTTGCAAGAATGCTAGAATAATTAAAAAGACGCGTTAGGTACAACTGGCTCTAGAAAACGCCCAGTTCATACAGGAAAATAAAGCGGCAGTTTATTTGGCAAACTTGAATATTTTCCGTAGAGCGTCAGATTCGCATGAAAATAATTCGCTGGAGAATTAAGCGTTGCTTGATTTAATCAAGTTGACAGAAAAATACTCAATTTACGGATTCCCAAAGTTGTTGACGGAACAAAGTAAAAACCCTATTTTGGCAAAAACATTGCGGAAATGGGATAATAATGAGAGTTTGAAAAAACTTAGACATCGGGGCTTATTTATTGAATTTGAAACAGTTTTATTTCAAAGAGCGGGTAAATAGGTAAATATTTTAGTTTCTGCTGGTTTAAATTGTTAATTTGGCGAGAAAAAACGATTATTATGAGCTCGAACTTTGAAAAATTCCGCTTTCTTGAAGAATCTTTTCCTCTTTCGGTTTAAAACAGCTGTTCGATTTAAAATTTTTATGATGTCGGAAATGATTAAGAAAAAGGGTTTTTGATGCGTAATTAGTTGATTATCGGCAGCTGGATACCGGTATAAAACAGCTTCTGGAAAAAATTTTATCACCATTTTAAAAATGAATCGACAATGAAGAACAAATGATGATAAATTGCTCTTTTGAGCGGTTTACTATAATTTTTCTTTATAGTTTTTATTAGACAAGAAATCATCGAATATATCATCGAATATCGAAATCACGATACTTTACTGCTACTTTTCTTAATAATTTTCCATTTTCGATGAATAAAATAATCTTCGTCACTTATTTCAAAATTTTGTACATTTATTCAATTCTAGTTGAAAGTCAATCGAGTTTTTTCCACCTCAAAAAGTTGCCCTTCTCCTGAAAGTTTTAGGCTGAAACTAGCACAAAGTATCTGAATCAATGATAAAACGGTACTTATTCCGAGTCAACAAGCAGCCAACTACTGAACCTCTCCAGTTGAAGCGCGAAAAAGAGAGGTTTGGTACTTGGGTGATTATTGGATTGGTGGAGAGTTATAGAGTGAATTGTTGTGCCACTTCAAGTGCCCAGTACAGCACACACACTCGAGGGTGCTCAAAGACGTATTCATCAAATAGCACAATTAGCAGCCCCTTATGAAACAAAAACCAAAATAGCACGAACTTATTCTGGAAGAAAAAGAAAACTAATGAACCTGGCGCCTCCCGGGTGGAGCCAGTTTTATTCAAAAGTAATGAAAAAATATGAAAAAAAAGACTTGTCTTTCATACATAGGCTCAGAAACCTGTGTTGAAAACCTGAGTCAGGGTCCTGAAAAGAGCTCAAATTAATAGCCGCAGCGCGGCTTTAGTTTTAAATGAAGCCGCAAAGCGGCTTCGCCAAAATAGAAAAGACTTTTTCAGGACCCTGACTCAGGCTTTTTACTCAGGTTTTGCACCTTTTTTCTGTTTCTTTTTTGCGAAAATTTCGGCAAATTTAGGGAAGAAAAAAACGTGTGGCCACTTGAGTATAAAATTACTAAAGTCTAATGGGGGGCGCGATAAGGCGTTTTTAAATCTCCCGCTGAGTAGCAGATGAATTTTCTTATCGGTTACGAAAGTACTCACCGTCTTCCGCGAGTCCGTTGATTGGCATCACTGACACTTGTGGCGCGTGGTCGTTCAGGTCCAGAATTGAGACCTCGACGGTCGCGTAGCCGGATCGGGAGGGGTTGCCCAAGTCGCGGGCTTCGACCCGAATTCGAACGCTAGAATTTTTAGTTATTCTTTTTTTTATTTTTTTCCGGAAATCCCTGAAATTAAAAACATGTGTTTATGGTCCTTACTAAACGATCTTTTCCTGTTTTTCCAGCAACAAATTACCCCCTTTGATTCACTTGATATTTCTATATTATGCCCGGAATACTTAAGAAAAGCGCCCCGAATTTATATTCAAACAATCGAAACAACGCATTCGTTCGATTTGTTAATTGAGGAAGTTGGCTTACGCCCCGCCAGAAGCAACAAATTGGCCACTTATGGGATCATCCCTGGCGTTTTTCGCTGGTCACGATGAAATTTACCGCGATTTTTTCTTTTCTTGACCGTTTCCACTCGGAAAAGACAGGTTAATTTGAGGATTGAATCGATTTCTGTCATTCGAAATTTGAAAATGAAATGTAAAAAATACAAGCCGCCCCGTGTAGTACAACTTCCGGTTCTGACTCTTTGCTGAAAGCCGAAATTATGGAAATGATTGGGCGAGAACGCTCAGCTATTAACTAACATGGGAAAAAACGAAGCTCTAAAATGATGCGGAATTTCCTGAAGAGCCGATTTTCTTTTTGCCCGTCAACGTGACTTTTTATCGAAGAGTTTTGATAATGACTTTGATAAATGAATGAGAGAGTTGTCAGAAAAAGCTCAAGAAAATGGTTTTTCTTTGGCTTTTGTCTTAAGGAAACACATGTTCTTCTCTTTGTTGATTTTCTATGGCACTTTTCGCAAGGAAAAAATTTGAACTTGGTTAATAATTTAACCATTTCTTGAACCTCAAGGTCCCACAAGCGGCTTTTCTATATTCAATCATGTGCGGCTTCTATATCTCCAAGAATAAATGACTAGTGTGGTAGTGTGGCCAAAATTGAGCGATTTGGAAGGATTGAAGAGTTGATTTTTGGAAGAGCTTTTGTTAGCTCTAGAATTCCGGGGTTTGGTTTTGAAATAGAAGCTAAAGCGGGTCGCTCACCCTCGTCCGTTTCCAGTTCACTTTCAAACTTGTGGTCGCGCCGACAAGTGGAGCGGATGAAATTTCGGGATTAAGTACCGACTGGGAAACTTTTCCCTCGCCTTAGTTTTTAGAGCTTGATTGATCTTTGGCCAATTTACGGTTTCGAGAATATTTCCCCCTTTTCCGGAAATGTACACAAGCGACTAGGCACATCCCTTCTGCGCCATTTGAATGTCAGGCGAAATGGTAAATCGGCTCAAGATTCAGCTCATTTACCATGAAATTGGAAGCAATTTCGATTTTTTGCTTATTTTGTTACATTTATGTTTAGACCAGAGTTAGAAATGTAGTAGGGTAGTAACGTAGTAATGTAGTAAATTACTACATTTTACTACATCAAGTGGTAGTAATGGTAGTATGTAGTAGCATTCTCAGAAGTATGTAGTAATGTAGTAATACTACATTACTACATGCAGTTCTAGAGATAAATTTATTTTGGGAAACTAGCCATTTTTCGCTTTATTCTTTCCAAAAGAGTTGTCTAATTTTTTTCTTACGTTATCTATGTCTCTTTTCTTTATTAAAAAATGTAATGGTAGTATGTAGTAGCCGTTTTTGGAAACCGAGGTAGTAATGTAGTAATGTAGTAGAGGTATTATTGAGCGCTGTATTCTGGTGGTAGTAATGGTAGTATGTAGTAGCAAAATGTTACTACATTTCCAACCTGGTTTAGACTTCTCGAAAATTTAGGCTTGGAAACCTGAGTTGGAAACCTGAGTCAGGGCTCTGATAGAGTCTTGAACCTGCGTAGCGGCTATTTTCTAGAGAAACCGAAAAGAAATGCATAAAAACAGATTCTGGCTTTTATCAAAGCTTCAGGACCCTGAGTCAGGTTTTCTACACAGGATTCTCAGCCCAGTGTAGAAAAAGGGGCTTCTATGTCTTTTACCTTTTGGTCGTTTCCCGATCAATTGCTCCAGTCGTCGAAATCACCCCAGTTTTCGGCTCCATTTGAAACTTCCCGACTGCCGTTTTCGGATCAACACTTTCAATCTCGTATCGAATTTCTCCATTCAGCCCGTTGTCCAAATCATCCGCACTGACTTTGTAGACGAATGTTCCTGCGGGCGCGTTTTCAACGACGCTGGCGGAGAAAACGTCTTGGTCGAATTTGGGCGAATTGTCGTTGCTGTCTTGGATGTTGATAACGAGTTTCGTTGAGCCTTCTCGTCCCCCGCCGTCGGTGGCGATAACGGATCCCTCCCAGCGCGGGGCTAGTTCGCGATCGAGCTTTTTTAGGACCTAGGAAATTGATGAGGTGAGGGTTGGGGTCAAAAAGCTGTCCAAGAATCAAGAAAAAAACGCAAAATAAAGAAGTTAGAAAGTAACTCATATCTTATTATTCGCCATTCTTTTCTATTATCTTTGAAGGGAACCCGCGGTAAAAAGTGCTCAATGTTCAATTTTTAAGTTTAATCGTCGCAATTCAAAAATTCATCTTGAACAAGCGCTCCAACACCTGCATCTGAATTTTTAAAAGCGCGCTGACTGTTTTTGTGGCTCTTTTTGCGAACTTGATATTTCTCTGCATTTTTGTCTGCTAGACAAGTATTTTCGGATGCCGAAATCTTACCTTCAAGAAAGGCCTTCCATTTTGGACTTGAATATCGAATGTTCCGGGCGGGACGATACTGTAGCTGACTGCCGCAAATTCTCCGATATCAGCGTCCTTGGCGATCAAGTCGGAAACTTCGAATTCTTCTCCGATTCCGAGGGCTTCTGGAATTTCTAGAGAGACGAGATTCGAGCGGAAAACGGGCGAGTTGTCGTTGACATCAGTGATTTCGATCGAAAGGATGATTTTTCGTAGACTTCTTGCGGCATTACTGCGATCTTAAATACCAAAGTAAAACCTTATTATCTGGAATCATTGAAAATTTCAATTAAGAAGAGCTTTTACTTTTGAAAAAGTAACTTCTGAGGAACGAGAAGTTGTTGATAATCAGAGTAAATATGTATTCTCAAAATCCAGCAAGAGACGGAAAAAGTCCGAATTCTAAAAATTGATACATAGTTATGGTTTTCAATTTCTTTCGATTTTTAATTCTTTAACTTGGCGCTCGATAAATATCGCTGTTTTTCTTTCCCACTAGTTTTTGATTCAAATCATCAACAAAGTCAAAATCCCCTATTGAAAAATTGAGAAAGACCTACAAATTGAAGGCAACAATTTTCCAAATTTTCCTTGCCCACAGTGCTCCTTACGATAAGCCTGGATCATCGCATCGTTATCTCGCCCTGAGCCACTTCCCTGGCCAAGTAATGGCTATAAAATTATATCGTAACGAGCCTGTTATCACGCGAAAAACTTTCCGATCCTGGATCCGTTAGAATGTCGACTTTCCAAAAATCGTGTAAAAAGCTTCTTCAACTTACGTTTATCGAAAAAAGAAAAAAGAAAGTCATCAATACAACATCATCAAAAATTCAATAAAACAAAGTCATATCATCAATAAAAATCACCAATAAACAGAATCCAGTTCAATCAAAGACGCATCTAAATATTGGTGATGCAACAAGTCAGATGCGTCTAACGAGTTAGGCGTAAGCGATAATTTATTTAGATAACTCGTGTCCACCCTGGACTGCCAAATCTGACGGCGCGGTGAATTTGCGGGCTGGGCCAGCTCTTGTCCTTTTAATATAAATCACTGTTTTCTGCTTCTGGGTTGACCAGCACTCAATAACCTAATTCAACCGGCTTTTAAAGGTCGAAGTTAACCCTAACGGCAAGTGTTTAGGGTTAGGCTCTAGGGCAAAAGATGTGGCTGGGCGTTTCTGATTGGATAAGTAGTGTTTGTCCATTAGGGATTGGGTGATGGAAACAAATATCGGCCTCTTATTGGCTGAGAGAACCATTACCCCAGATTTTTGGACACAGTTAGGGCCCCCTTCCTACCACCCACCCTAGGACCTAAACAATAGTCAGGATAGGGTGAGCTTAAGGACCCCGTCAGCTTTTTCGAAAAATCAAAGCTCGGAATTTTAAAATTTTGACCCCGGAAATGGATTTTACGAGTCGAAAAATGATTATGAGGCTTCATTTTTTGGGGGTCTATCTCGTCTCCTTCACCCTCAAAATCGCGTTTGAAAATTGGACTTTTCGCCAAAAATTGACGAATTTGCCTGAATTTTGGCGATAATATTGTTTTTTCTTGGTCAAAAAGTCCTCTTATAAAGATTTTGAAGCAAGTTTAACCAGAGGACGCATTAAGAACCAAAAATATGGTGTTTTTAAAAATTTCCATTTTTCAAAGGAAAGAGCTGACGGGGGGTCCTTAACCCTTCAAAAACCATCTTTTGAGTGCTTTGAGTGGTTAAGTTTGTCCATATGATTATGGCTCCCTATTAAATTGAGTAAATAGTTAGACTAATTTCTAGCTTCTAACTTGTTCTAGAGCGTGAGCTCCGATAACAGCTCATATTTTTATTCTGCGTTTTGAGTCGACCGCGGCCAATTTCATCCAAATTGTTTTCCCACTTGCGGCGGCGATCATTGTATTTTTCTACTCGGGAAACTTGAGAAGAACCACCCCTAATCTAATAAACCGCGTATCAGTAGATACAGCATGCGCGCTACGGCTCTAGTTGATGGAGTGAGCAAGAGTTGTTTAGGCGCCTTATCGCGGTGAGTATTATTTTATGCTCGCGAGCTGTCAAAGACAGCGGCGGATCAACGCACACCAGCACAGGTGGATGATATTTTTCCTGGAGCTTCGATAACTTTATGAAATAAGGGCTACTGGAAAGAAAACCTGAATGGAGCATTCATTCACTAGCGATAATGAAAATCGTTCTCAGAATTGAATCAGGGTCCTTTTGCCTGAAAATGAGGTTTCATGAAAAACTGAGTAGATAACCTGACTCAGGGCAAATTACAACTTAAATCTCCTTTTTTAATTAAGGGAAGCCGCTCCGCGGCTTCGTTTCTTAAAAAGCCGCGTAGCGGCTTTTCGCTTAAGATCTTTTAGACCCTGACTAAGGTTCTCAACATAGGATTTTTCGTGAAAGCTCATTTTTGTGCGAAAAAAATGAGACAGGAAATGACCTCTTATCGCCATCGAAAAAATGTAGCAAATTGGCTGAGCCACTTATGCGTTACTTTATAAATATATTTCTCTCTCCTTTTAAAAAATATTCGTGCCAAGGAAATACGCTGCGGAAATTCTAACTGAGCATGTTCCGGAATTCCGTCCGGCCCTCGTGTTACCGCAGCCCAGAAAATGCCCCGTCGCCCGTGTTCTAACATAAATTGACTTTTGCTTACGTTATTCTGAATTTCGTTAACTGGCTGACTCTTCCGCAACGAAACATAATTACGTTTTGTTTTCGAGGTGGAGGATCGATCATGTTCTTTAAATAATTAAGGCGTTCGGAAAAATCAACCGGAAATTGAGTTTTTGACCATTTTGAGGATGGTCAAAAACCGTTTATTTTCTGAAGTAAGCCTAAAATTTCAATCATTTGAAAATTCAGAACAAAAAAGGCGCCGCGCTCAAAGCTTTTTCTAAACAGAAAAAGGCATATTCAGCTGTCAGGCTCGATTCCATCACGGATGCAATTGGCACCGCCCGTCAAAAATCGAATTTGGGCACGATTGGGCACTTTGTACCGAGCGCGCTGATTTCTGACTTCTTGGATAATGCCACGCTCGAATAAATGACGTGATTTTTTCGCGCCGTTGAATTGGCTTTTCATTTTTTTTTATTTGGATTTTGACTCGATAAAGGTCAATTAAAAAAATCCTTCCCGTGCATTTTCGGAGAGTCAGAAGCTTCTTATCAGCATCTTTTTTATCTTATTTAATCTGTCGAAAATCCATAAGAGCCCCGATTTAATCTGGGCAGGAAAGACTCTGAAACAAACAAAACCATTCTCAACAGACAGGAGCAGCTCCTGTCCTTGAGAGCAAAAAAGATCGATAAGAGTGTTCCCTTCAAGAGTCCAATTTCCGCCTTTCGAGCCTCCGCATATTGCCATAGCAAAGATAAATCGACTCGCAGCTTCCGTCGCACTTCCGAAAATCTTTTCATTTTTCATTAAATGAATTTCTAGCACTCCAAAATGTCGTTTCAATAAACAATACTCAAAAGAAGAATACAAAGATCCGCAAATCTTTTTGAAAAAAAAATGTTTGATGAAGTGGGGATAACAATTAATTTCTTGTTTGAATGGAGGATAAGAATTAAGGGGACGAAGATCAATAATGTATCAATGCGACTTTGAGTCAGTAGGGCGCTTTTGATATGAATAAATTTAAAGTAGTTTCATTTATTAAAATAACAAAGCGAATCTGGCAAAAGATCAACCAAGATTATCTTTTTCAATGTAAAAATCTTCTGTCTCCTTAAAATAAGGGGTCCCCATTTCAACGAAAATCTTAATTTTAAAAGATTTTAAATTCCTCGAAAATTGCCGATTTAACGGATTTTCTAGCCAAAAGCCTTTTCCTAGCAATATTTCAGACGATCCGTTAAGATGGTGCCAACCTTAAAGGATATTTAACTCGTTAATTAAAAATCTATTGAAGTTATTATTTTGTTAAGATGGAGAATCCCTTAGTTGATAGAGAAGCATGAAGAGGCAATTTTTGGTCAATTTCGCTCGAAAAGGTTAATAAATTTGGATTATTGAAATGAGAATTTTTGTCTCTTGGAAAACTCCATTTTTCATTCATTTTAATTTTCCAAATCAAATTCCCTGTTTTTAAACAAACGAAGTGAACAAGAATAAAAATGCTTGTCAACCGGAAATTCTAAATCGATCCGGAGCAAGGTGAAAAAGCAAAGTATTGCCGATTATAAAAATACAAAATAGTTTTCGTTGTATCACTTTGTTTTGGGACAATAGCCCCTTTTTGTAAAAAATAAAGCCTGGGGATTATTGGGAGATCACAAAGAGAGAGACGCGGGGAAAGAAACGTATTTATAGCGAAAAGTAATTATAAATTGTTAATTGGGGTGAAAATATTGTTATTCAATTCTAATTTGGGAAAATTGCTTTGTTATGAAATCTATCAAGACTAACCTTTTTTGCAAAAAAACGGTCTATTTTTCCCCATTTTGGCGAAAAAAATACCAAAAAATCAGTGAAAAAATGTTTTTCTATTAAGAAAATGACCTTTTTCGTGTCACTCTCTTATTTAACCCATTTTAGCTGAAGAAAAAAAATCTTAAAAGTCTATTTTTTCAACGAAATGGTCGTTTTGTGCCACTTTCTTATCTTAACCTATTTTCGTCGACCCTTAGAAAATCATTCTTTATCAACCCTTTTTTTTTCTCAAAATAAGAGAAATCCTCAAATCCTCAAAGACAACAAACATATCGCCCCTTGAGCCGCTGGACAGTATCACTCGCCCAGAAACCCAAATATCCCCTTTTGTGTGCCCAGATATCGCTTGGCTCTAAAAGCGCCGGCGGCAAAGTCCCCAGACGCGCCGCAATAGTAAGACAGTAAGAAGCGCTAATCGCCTTTTGACCTTGTGCGACAGAAAAAAGGGACGAAAATAGCGGCCATTGATTTCCATTATCCCTGTTTATATTGGCGCTCTTCCTGTAAAAAGAAGAAATTCCAGTAGAAAAGAAGAAAAGAATTTCTAAAATTGGGAAGCTTACAGTTGTGTCGAAAATGCATTCTTTCTTTCTTCCACAAAGTGACTCGCGGTCGAGGGATTTCTTCAGCAGGACTTGCCCTGAGGCGAGAACTTCTACCAAGTCGGAATTCTTCTGCAATTGGAAAATCCTGAAGACAAAAAATATTAATTCAAGTTTTGACGAATAAAAGTTGAAAAAATACGAGAATTTTGACCAAAATTTTGGTCAAGTTTTAGGCCAAAATTTTAAGAAATGACCGGGTGGCGGGCGCCCAGGTTCACAATCGGTTGGTTCACAATTTTGTGAACCCGGTTCACAATTTTGTGAACCTGGTTCACAATTTCGGTCAAAAAAGTGACTCAAACTGACTAAAGGCGCGGCTGTAGAGAAAGTTTATAACGTCAAAAATGAGTTTCTCTTTGAAATCAGGCGCGGAGCGCATACAGACCCCTGATTTTATACTTTTAAAAATTTTGCGAACCGGGTTCACACAGATTGTGAACCGGGTTCACAAAATTGTGAACCGGGTTCACAATTGTGAACCTGGGCGCCCTACACCCAAATGACCCGAAAAAGAAACCATAAATCTGAAATTTCTTATGTTGCTCTTATATTTATTGATACGACATTTTCGATGGTAAATAAAAAGCTTCAGTATGAAAAGTAAACTCAACTATGTACAGTCGTTAACTCGCTCAAAACCACTAAAAAATGCTCAAGGGAAAAAGTGTTGCTAGAAATTATTCAAACAAATGTCGACTTCCTCCACGTGTGAACCTCTCTTCTCAAAAACGGGTTGAAGCCGTGTTTCATCCCTTCTTTTCAAGAACAGTTCATATTCAAAACTCACTAGAACAAGTAAATGGGCGTAAGACGCTTTTTAGAACCTTTATTCTGTCAAATTCTATTAAAATGCATTTCTGCGAAAGTAGACAAGCGGGCTTATCGCTTTCTTGAATGTAATGGAAAACGAGGCCGGGCTTGAAATTTGAATTTATCAACAGCTCCAGCCTCGTGTTTCTGGCGCTGGGTGTTGTTTGGAAAAAACAGCTACCCGGAAAAATGATAAAATACAACTCAGCTGGGACGGGGCGCTTTTTAGACACTTTTTTCTAAACAAAAATCTCGGAAAAAAAATTCCAAAAGAGAAATTAACCCATCGACGCACAGATGACCAAATTTTTGTCTTTTCGCGAAAAAAATGCTAAAATTTTATTGACAATAAGAAGCTTGAAAATTTTAATTTTTTTTTTCGCGAAAAGATCAAAATTTTGTCCTCTGTGCGTCGATGGGTTAATTCCTCTTTTGCTTGAAAGACAAAGAAGACGCTGATTATCAATATTTTTTTGTAAAAAAATTATTTTTTTTTAAGTAAGCTCTAGAATTAGATACCTTTTTATGTCAGTCCTATCAAATGTGAGTGAGTTGAGGTTGAAAAGCTGCTCTCCAGATCTGAGTCCTTCCGGAACCGAAATTTTCTTCGTCTTCGAGGCGGCCAGAATGCTCCACGCCAAAACTGATAACCATAATACCTACAACAAAAGTAAAGAATCGGTTTTAAATTCATGTCATTATTTTGAAAAATAAAACGAAATTGTAAAAATGTATAGACAACTCGGCTTTGTAAAACGTTAATAAATTAATTCGTAAATTTTTAAGAAAATGCATATGATATTTGACTCAAATAAAATAATCTTTAATATTTATTGTTATTTAAATAAGAACAAAGCAAAGCAAAAAAGCATGTTGAAAAGAAAAGAAACAAATTAGGGATGATTTATATTTGCTGGAAGGTCAAATTAACAGAAGGTGAGCCCAGAGGGGTCGTCCGTCATTTTGAGAACTACAGTGAGAAATCTAATCCTTCGTCAAAATTCTTAATTTTGATTGATAATGCCGAGAAAAATCTGAATTTCAGGAAATTCTGAAAAAATCACCGAAAAAACCCTCAAAATTTTGAAATTTTCGGCTAAAATTTTCCCTAAATTTTCGTTTTCAAAAGAAATGCTAGGATAAAAGATGAGATTAAATTAATTTTTTGTAAAAAAGAACCTGGTTGAATATTTTTGTTATCATTAAGACGCTTCTTCGTTTTTTTCTTCTTATAAAATCTCTTTTTTTTACAAAAATTCTTCTTCGATAATCTCTATAAATAAAAAAAACCAACTACAGGAAGTACAACTGTAGTCACAAAGTACAAGTTCTTTCTTTGATTATATAAAATTATTATTCGTCCGGTGGAAGATCCGACGCGACGGGCTCGGCGCGCGCGCATTTTCAGCGCGGCTCTCCAGCGCCTCCGAAGCGTACTTTTTCTCAAAATTTTTTTCAAGAAGCGCCATCTTGTGGAGCGCCAAGCGCATTCTGACAAGGTGGGTACATACTATTAATGGCAATTACGCATGCTAATTGAATTAAATACCGTGGTTTTCCATCTTAAGAGCGCCCAACTTAAGAGCGTTTTTGCCAATATTTTCCATATTCTGTCATCTGAAAAAATCCCAACTTTAGAGCGTTTTTTGAAATTTTTAATTAATAATTAGAATATCGTTTATTTCAACCTGTAAAATCATTGAAAAAAATTGTTTTCTACGCTTTTTTTCAGGTGAAATCATAGCCTCTGATTCAAAGATCGTAATTTTTTTTATCATAAATAGGTAAAAATGACCTCAGATGCATTTTTAGAGTTTTGGAAAAAATTCATTTTATGCATTTTTATTCATCATTTTTTTCCCACTGTCATCCTAGTTTGATCGTAAATTTTCCAACTTAAGAGCGTTTTGGTCTACCCTTGTCATCTGAAAAACGCTCTAAAGATGGAAAACGACGGTACATAATTTTCAAAAGAAAAGATAAGAAAATTTAAGAAAACCAAAAATCCTGTCAAAAAACCTGTGTAAAAAACCTGATTAGAAAACCTGAGTCAGGGTCGAAAACGATAAAAAATTAAGTGTTATTTCTCAAAAGCCGCTCCGCGGCTTCGTTTTGGAAAAAGCCGCAATGCGGCTTTTTATTCAAGCTTTTTAGGAACCTGACTCAGGTTATAAACACAGTTTTTCAACTCAGAAAAGGACCAAATTTAACTTGAAAAAGTTTTTAGCGTCTTAAATGTTCGGCTCAAGTGAGCGCGTTCTGAAAAAGCGAAGAAAGCGATCATTTAGCCCTTTGGCTTTTGATGTTCATAAGAGGACAGGGGCTCTTAGTCCTCGCTGATCCGGAGCCCCGTGTGTCGACCATGGGAACTGATCATCGCTAGAGTAGACACGTGAAAGTGCTCCCCAGGCTCTCCAGGAGTACTCGTTTAGCCGCGCTTTTTCGTTTTCTTTGATCATTTTTTGAAAATAATCTTATTCTCGAATATTTGATTCCAGAATAACCCGAATTCTTTTTCAAAGAATATCTGTTCATTACTTGTCAGATTGAGCTTTATTTAGTTTCTCATGAGTTGGATCAAAAGCGGGAGAGTAAGTAAGTTGAGCGGCGTACCTGAGTGGTGGTGTTTAGACAATGTCAAAAGCGCGAAATTAAATCACATTCGAATCACCTCCCACCGCAAAGGGATGGAAACTAAGTGTTCAAAATCGAAAATGGAGATTAAATCAGGAGAAATGTTTCTTTTCAGGCGGAATCTTCAAATCATTCGACTATAAAATTTCACGCTAGGAAAAAACGTGACATACAAAATAAATCATATCATAGAGACACCCTTATTTTCAAGCCAAAAGAAAATGAAATAAGGGTGTCGAGAGCTTATTCGATAACAGGGCTCGACAATCTGTGTACAAAACCTGAGTAGGTTACAAATAGAAGGCTTTCTAGCCCACTTACCAAATAAGATCGTGACACCCTTATTTTATTCTTCTTTTGACTACAAAATAAAGGTGATACTATGATATGATTATTTCTAGAAATGACAAATTTTGAGCGGCTGAGTTCGGTTTTAACAGTGTATTTCCGACTCCTGACTCAGGTTTTTAACAGAGCTTTCCGAGCCAAAATTATTGCAGCGAAATGAGCTTGAAGATTTTGCTAAGCGATACCTCCTCCCCTTGAAACCATAAATATGCAAAAAATACTATCAGTCGACCTCGATATGCATCATTTGGTTACTGTTTCTTTCGCTGCCTAACGACATGTTATCTTATGGAACTTATTGAATATTCATTTTTTCAAGACGCGTGCATAAAATCATGATTTCCAGAATCAAAAAAGGCTAAGTAAAGTTTTTTATTGAAAACATTCTGTTTTACCGCCTTTTTCCGCGCCGGGTACAATTTGATGATGTCCTCTAAAGTGGAGCCTGCTGCATTGACGGGCTTTCATGTAATTTGGACAGTTACCTGGATCAAATAGTCGATCGTGTCAGTGTCATGCGACCCCGATATCGTGACCGAGCGGTGCTCTCTTATGCAAATTAACAGTTAAGGGTGTATTACAGCATCGCTCATGTTTTTTGACTTTTATTGATGCACAATTCTCAACCCTTTTTTCATCATGATTTTCTTCAAAAATTTAAGGGAGTCACTATGATAAAAAAATTTAAAAGAAGTCGTTTTTGTCGGCCGCATTCCTTTTATTATGTATTAAAGAGCATTGGATTTATTTATAAAATTAATGATGATTTAAAAACTAAGAGGCTCCAACTTGATTGTTGTTATCATTTGCAATTAGAAATTCGATGCGACTCCTCCACCCGACTAAGTGGATTTACACCTAACTGATCCATCAAATTTACCGCATTCACCGATCCTAAAAATCTCCAGTTCTCAAATTCAGAATTCAATGGTCCCCAAAAGCAAAAACATACAAAAAACAGGAAATGAACCGGAAGTTATTGAGCTCCAGTTCGCCAGTTTTGCCCAATTTGCTGGATCTCGATCTTCCTTATTTTTCTTCGTAATGATTTATTATGTCTACTTTTTAAAGAGGCGACGCCCTTAATTTCAAAGTTTACAAGTTTTGGCGAAATTTGCTAATTGGGGAAGAAAATTTGATTCGAAAGCCAGTTAGAAAAAGTTCGAAAAAATTGCTTCTAGCGGCGGATTTTCGAGAAAAGCTGGGTTCAGGGGTCTAAATTCGCAGTGCGAATTCGCTTTTTTGCGAAGCGATGCGAAGCGAAACGAATTCGCTTTCGCTTCGCTTCGCACTGGAGAGCAGAATTCGCTTCGCTTTCGCTTCGCAAAAATTCCAAAATTTTCGCTTTAATTTTCGCACAGCAAGCGGCTTTGTTATTCGGAAGATTCTTTATCAAAGATTTGTAGAGGGGCATCATTGATGCCGCTTTAAATTCAAGTTTTCTCCGTTTTGTCAATACGAGTCTAATGGTGGGTCTAACTCTTGATAAATCCAAGGAGTGACCGGTTAGCAAGCTAATTACCGGAAATCTCGTTGTCACCAGCCGTTTTTATTGTAAGTATGCTAGACTAATTTTTGAATGATAAGAATGATCTTTATGAACAGGGCTTATCTAGAATCGAAGATGACCGCCATATCTTATCTGAGGTAAGTTATCTCCTATCGAGTAGGGGTGACCATTCGGGCAAGAAATCGTCGGTTGGCCGCCCGAATACCCGGCCGAAATCAAGGGCCAAGAGTTGCGCCGTCCGAATTCCCGTCCGAGCCGAGGTGCCCGAACTGCCCAGTCGGGCAAGTGGACGAAGTGCCCGAAATGCCAGAAAATGCCCGGCCGGGCAGGCAACCAAAGTGCCTCAAACGCCCAGTTGGGCATTAATTTTCGATTTTCAAGTCAACAGAATTGGACTGGTGATGGGATTTTCGATAGATAAGGGCTAGAAAAATAAGTTTCGAGGGGCTTTTGATTCAGTTAGAGGAGCAAAAGAGCAAAAACAGTTATAAAGAATGCGAAATTTAGGAATTTTCCTCGGCGCGAGCTTGACCAACTACCCAGAAGCGCCGAATTGCCCGAAAGTGCCCAACTTGCCCAAATGCCCGAAATGCCCGCTTTTGCCCCGCCAAATTAAAGGGGCTGAGCCGAACGAATGCCTGACCGAACACATTTTGCCCGAAAATTGACCGTTTTGCCCGACTGCCCGATGCCCAATTTGGGCAGCCCAAATGGTCACCCCTGCTGTAGTGTTTATTACTACCTTGGAATTATCAACAGTTAGACCCACCATTCGGCTTATATTGACGAGCTGAAAAGTACAGTAACAGATTTTTTGTAATTATCTGCCCAAAAATAGTTTTCGAAATCATCATCGCTTTTGAGTTGCTGATTGCTAAAGATTCTTGCCAGAAAATGCGTATCAATTCAAGCGAAAAAATTTTCGCCTTTTTTTCGCAATTTTCAATGATATTTCGCTTCGCACTTGGGCGAAGAATTCGCTTCGCTTTCGCTTCGCAAAAAATTTGAAAAAAACGTTCGCTTTCGCTTCGCTTTCGCACTAGGATTTCGGCTGAAATTTAGACCCCTGCTGGGTTCATTATCTACGTAACTAGAAAAATATTGTGTTTATACGAGCATAAGTAACCACCGGCAGCGCCAGCAAGAAGCAGGTGAATCAGGGTTCTTAGAAAAGCAAGAGAAAATTTGGCGAAATATTTTTTACAGTTCAAGAGCTCGAGGAATTCGGCTTTCCGGAAAGACAGGTCGAGGCGCAAATTGAGCGCGAAAGACGGTCAAATTGGCTATTTGGTCAGCCATTTGTAAAATGACATTGCGAGGCTGCCAGATGGCACAGTACTTGGAGCACGAGCGATTGAAAATAAATACTGGAATTCAAATCGACGGCGACAAATTGATAAATATTTGAGGAAAATGGAAAGGAATGAAAATCAAGTTGGTTGAGTTGGTCAGTCAAAACGCGGCGGAAACAGGGTGGATTGTGTACTGACAGACGCGGAAGTGGCCCTTGGGTTGCTGTCCATCCCCTACTGTTTTTTTGTCCGCGGCCACGTACGGACGAGGTAGAGTGCTACAGCAACAACTTTCAAACAACCACTGAGTGTTTTCGACAAACAAAAAATAATCCAACTTGGTAGCAGGGCTTTGGACCGATCATTATTCGTCGTTCATTATATTCTCTTATAGGCTATAAGCAGAGTTGCAAATTTTGTGAGCTAGCTGAGCTGAGCTATCTGAGCTTGCTGAGCTACAGGTCAGCTCAGCTCAGCTCAGTAATTTTGAGGTGAGGGTCAGCTCAGCTCAGCTCAATTTGACCTCAGCTCAGCAAGCTCAGCTCAATGGCTACACGACGTTTTGACTAAACCGACGTTCTCGCTAACCGACGTTTTCGCTAAACCGACGTTCTCACTAAAAGTCAAAACGTCGGTTTAGTCAAAACGTCGGTTTAGTCAAAACGTCGGTTTTCTCTAAAAATGCGGGGGGGAATCAGAGCGAATGAGAATAGGCACTTCCTGGATTAAAAATTCTGTCTAAAGCCTGCCGTCGTCCTCAAACCGAAATTTCCTTAAATTGTTAACTTGGAAAAACAAAATATATATTTTTTAATTTATTATTTTAAAATTATTATTTGAATAACAAAATCAATAATTTTGGAAAATATTAACTCTGCATAATTTACTGATCTTTTTACATTTTATCGGTGTTGAAATCATTTTTAAAAGATTTATTTTAGTTATATTAGTTAATTTAATGAAGATATTCATTATTCTTATACTTTTACTCTTCACAAAGATCTTTCGAAAGATAATGAAAACGTCGGTTCGACGAGAACGTCGGTTTCCAAACTGAGTCTTAACCAAATTCAAGGCGCCCACGCATTTTTAAGGAAAACCGACGTTTTGACTAGACCGACGTTTTGACTAAACCGACGTTTTGACTTTTGGTGAGAACGTCGGTTTAGCGAAAACGTCGGTTAGCGAGAACGGCCCAGCTCAATGGTTCTTCGAAAAGAGCCAGCTCAGCTAGCTCAGCTCAGCTCAGTCTATTGAGCGGACAAAGATCGAACCACTTTTGATTGGTTTATTTTCAAAAACTTCGACGTTTTTTCTATTCATTCTTTCCTGTTGGTCAATTTTATAGCTCATACTTTAGCACTCTGTTTTTTTCAAGGATAGTTATATTTTTGAAATCTTGATTACGCATTTGAGTCGTATTTCTTGCAGAGCTGGAAGTGGATCGAAAGAAAGCCAAGGCAGACAGTCGCAAGAGCGATGTTTAGCATTATCACTAAAAATTATTTAATAACCAATATGAAGTTTGATTCGATTACTGATTGCTTCCCCAATGGTAAAAGAAGCGGGAATAGAATCATCGCTTGTTGGTTTGTTCACTTCTCCGGATTCAGGGGCATTTTTCTGCTGATTTTTAGCGGGGAAGAATCGATGAATGAGTTGTACCAAGAATATAATTGAGAAACCGACGGCTAGAATATAAAATTCAAATTGATCAATTAAAACCTAGACAATATAACCAAGAGTGGTGAATGAAAGGGTACTCGTAACATTGGCCAGGGCACATTGATTGGGTAAGGGTGATTATCACTGTAGTAATCGTAGAAAAACAAAAGAATGTTCAAAACAGAGTTGCAAATTTGCTGAGCTGAGCGACCGCTCAGCTCACTCAGCCAGCTCAGCTCAGTGATTTTGGAAAATGATCTGATCTGCTCAGCTCAGCTAACCTCAGACAATTTTCACTCAGCTCAGCTCAGCTCAGCTCAATTTTTTGAATATGATCTGTTCTGCTCAGCTCAGACAACTATCACTTAGCTCAGCTCAATGATTTGAATACAATTTTACTACCAGAAAACAGTAAAAAACAACTCAGCTCAGCTCAATCAGCTCAGCTCAGCTCTAATTAGGGTCCGCTCAGCTCAGCTCAACTCTCTTAAACAAAAGGTCTGCTCAGCTCAGCTCCGCTTTATGACCTCTGAAAAAGGCCAGCTCAGCTCAGCTCAGTTTCCTTCGGAATAGGCCAGCTCAGCTCAGCTCAGAGAAATTTTTACTTAGGTCAGCTCAGCTCTGCTCGGAAAAAATAACAAAGTGGTTCAAATAACTTGCAAAAGGCTCACTTCCTAAGCTAGAAGACCTGCTGAAAGAAGACAACAATTTTGTAGTTGCCAGAGCCAAAGAGCACCTGGACTTCAAACATGTTATGAACAGAACTTGAAAAGAAGCTCACCTGTGGGTTGACTCTCTTGGAATGAGGTCGTCAACTCCACAGGCAAGATGCACAGCTTGATAAACAAGGGCGCCAAACGCGAGACTTCAACCGAATTCGATCTTCGCTTGATTTCGTCGCTGAACTCTCGTGAAGGGTCGAATATGCGGGTCGCGTGGCCCCCAAGCTTCTAGTGATGTCGAGCGTTTCGCTTCTTCTTCTTCGGTTCGACGACTTCTTCCTCCATGATATCGAGCAGTTCGCTGTCCGGCGTTTCAAACTCATCAGACTCCGAGGAGACAACTTCCTTCACGATCTGGCGTGACCGCTTGTTCGCCTTCGTTGTAGTCGTTACTCGCAGGGAAGATGTCTTCTTCGCCGACTTCGAAACCGCGTTCCGACGAACTCTCTTCTTCGGTTTTCGCGAAGTTGTACCTGATGATGTTCCTGGTTCGTTAATGAACTCCAGTTCAGGCAGAGGAAGAAGATCGTCGTCGCTCTCGTTCTTTATTTCAACTCCGAGCTCTACTACTTCCTGCAACGATGTTTCGAGCGTTGCATTCAACAGCTGCTGGTCCTGTTCATGAACTTCATCCCCAGGGTATCCGTGGGGAAACCAAATGGCGTCTCCACTCGCCATCACTTCGCCCTGAACTTGAGCTAGCCTGACGTAGACGTCCATCCGGCCCGACAAGCAGTTCCAGATGCCCAACGGGATCGCCTTCTGAAGTCTGCGACCCTTGGCACCGTATTCATCGCCGGATTGGATGGTAACAGCTTCCGAGAACTTGGCTTCCATCTCGAAATGACGACGGTGCGCCAGTTCCCCCATCAACGACGGTGACGATAGCTCATCCAAGTCCTTCTCCAATTTTTGAAGAATCTTGATCGCCCGGCGTGTGGATGGTCCAAGTTCCTGCTGTCGTTTCTCGTCAAACTCGTGCGGTTTGAAAGCAGTCCGCAAAACTGCTCTGCTATCTTCGGTGTTCAACATCTCTTGAACTTAGTTCGGCTCTGACTGGCGGATTTTCCACTCATCGACCGTTTTTAAATGGCGATGTTTTCCAGCTTCAAATCTACCTCGAGCGCCATGTTTTCCAGCTGAACTTGTTTTCCAGTCATCGAGTTCATCCGATTTCTCGGGCTCGAGCCATTTTCAAAACACGCTCGGCCAATCAGCTCGCTACAAATGGAGGACCGTTTCTCCCATTTCGCTGCACTTGCTTGACCTACAGATCTTTCATCTTCATCCTTCTGCCAGAGAAATTTTCCAGAGAAAACGTCTCCTATGAAGATTTCATCAAGTTCAACCTTCTTCGTTCTGCAACTTTGAGATGTGTACCAGTTCTTGCACTTTCTTCTTTTTATATTTAAATTTTTTTATTTTTCGAGAAAGAGTTCTTTCCTTCAAAAACTTCTTTCTTCAGCATAGATCATCGAAGTCCGTTGTTGTGATGCCTGTCGTTCGATATGTCTCGACCGGCACTTCTGACGACTCCAGGAGCGACTCTTCGTCTTCCCCGCCGTCTTCAACTCCAACTTCCCTCGTTCTCCGCGACCACTTCTATCCTGAAATGTCGGGGATTTATCGTCGAGATCCAGGCGTTGGCGGTGATTCGCCTTCCTTCTCCACGATTACCGGTTTCACCGGCATTTCCAGTTCCACTGGCTTCTCTCGCTTCGTTCCGGATGAGCCCGTGCCCATCTTCTCGCTCGCAGTTCTCCCTGTGGCGCAGCCCAGCCTCCCTGACTACTCAAAGCGGGTGCCCTGTATCGCCAGTCGCCCGAATGCTGACCTCGGGTACGAGCAAGATGAGCTAAGTCGACTACTCTTCGCACCTGGTAACCCAGCGTCTGGAACCGAGGATTGGATTACTCCCCCTCAAATTCTTGTTGGTTTCCTCAACGCTCGTCACATGGACTCGTCTCATGATGCCGACTTCTCTCATCCTCGCGACGTGGAGCAGCTTCATCCATCTACCGGAGAGTTGTGGGCTGTGAAACGAAGACGTCTCGGAGCTCCACCACCTACTCCTCGAGTTCTTGCTGTAGATTCAGGTCGTCCCGCGAACTCCTGGAGTATCCATCCTTCGTTCAGCGCACGATCAACTGCCCGTGATGAAGCTGATCAAGAAGCTACTTGGCGCGTTGAGTCTGGAACTGTCGATGCTGCCCTTGCCGTTGCAACTCATCGTTCCGTCGGCACCGGGACTTCTTTGGGCTTTCCGGATCTGCTCGCCCGCGATGTTGATTCCCTTCGCAGAGGTACATCGCTTCTGGCTCCGATTGAAACCCCTGTAAAATCGCGAAGTAAGTTCATCAATGTTGAAATCAACTAGTAACTTCGGTCATTTAGATTTGGCGTCTGCTAGTGAAGTTTCTCGTTTTTGCGAGACTTATCGTCATGACCGTGTTTATCGTCAGCTCGGGTTGGAGCGGTATCTTCCGGTTCTCGGCCACAATCAGCCTATCGACGATACCTGCCACGCGCTGTTTCGCCCAACCCCTGACTCTCGGTTCACCGTACCACTTCTGCCGAAGTCATCATCGCTTGGTCTTCCCGGTCCCGACTACTATCCTTGCGAGTGGCCTGATCGCTTCTGCTCTGACCCTGACTACGCTGGATACGACATCGAGGAAGACATTCAAGCTGCTCGCGACGCGTTTGCTGCTGCCGGAGGCCAGATGCATGTGCTGGAGCATACTCGAGTTCGTCACAACGTGGAGTTGTTTGATCACTCTCGCGTCTACCGAACTGTAGTCGTAGTTCCTCCAGGTACGATGTGAACCGTTCAACTAGTATTCAACAAGTTCTAGATAATGATGTCCGAACGCAGGGCAATCTTCTTCCTGATCCGCTCGAAGTTGGCTTGTTCGATCAGCTGACCAAAGGTGGCTACGCTGATGCTTCTGTTCTTGATCGTATCGACTTCGGCAAGTCGCTCTGTACTCTAGGATCTCCAACCGTTCTTGATACTGCTACCGGAACTGGTTTCTTGGTGAGTCATCGTTTTCGCGCAGATTTTTGACTTCTTCTTTTCAGTCCGAGTTGTTGGATGATCCACGTTACTGGGATCCAGAGCGCGGTGTGACCCGTCTTGCCGATTTGTTGTCGCCGATTTTACGATCACGGGACTGGTTCGACCCTTCTTCTCCTCTTTGGCGCCCCGATATCCAGCAGATTCATCATCGGAACGACTGCTTGCACTGGGGTTATCCGCTCACTGAGGGTCTCGGTGAGAATCCCTTCGGATACGAAGGTTTCACGTTAGTGCTTATTAACTTCTGCACTTTTTAATAATTTTATTTTTCAGGTTGGCTGACACGATCTTCGCTGCTTGTCGTCTTGAGCATCTTTATCCGAAGGAGACTGATCGTCGGGTCATCTGCTTGATTCTTGGCTTGGATGTGAACTCGATTCGTCCACTGTTCCTCATCTCGCCATTTGAGATGTATCAGCTTCAGCTCGCCAACATGATCCGCCCTTACACGCTGGTCAATCGAGATGACGGTGACGTACCACGTGATCCTGAGTGTCCTCTTGGACGAGAACGACTCCGGCTTCTCGATGTTGGTCATTGGTCGACCCAGGCGGCTGATGTCGACGCACATGGCTTAGGAGTCCTCGAAGTTGCCTTGATTGGACTCTCCGTTCTTGCAGCTGAGTTCTCCCTGACGCCAATCTGCTCTCTCGATGGTGAACCGGCCTTCTATTTTGATCATAGGGCGCGGTTTCATGATGGATTGATCCTCAGCGGTGGCAACGGTGGTCTCAAGCGAGGTGCTTCATTTCTCGCAGCTCTACTTTGTGGCTGTCGCCCGTCCACCGATGCTGATCCGTCAACGATTCGTGATGGTGCTTCCGGTTCTGGAACAAGCAAGGAAGTGTCGGCTCCGAAGTGCTACTACGATGCAACTACTGGACGCCGATTCCCGCCCGTTCCGTCGTTGACTGGACTTCGTCCTGGCGAGTCCGTTGTGGCCCCGTACCAGTCCAAGTTCGTGCGATCCACCGCTTTCTCCGACGAAGCCGAACCTATTCGTCATGTTGGCATGACTGGCTACTCCTTGAAACGACTTGACGGTGGTGAGTCTTCCAGTCGAATTCTTCTTGAGTTCCTCGACTCACTTATGTTCGTGAGTTTGAAGGTGAGTCGACCCTCTCTGTACTTCATTTCGTGACTTGTGATCTATTTAGCAACCGGAGCCGCTGTGTACGCCACTGTGAAGCATTTGCAGCAGAAGGGATCGTACTCGATGGGTGAAAGAACTTCCAACCGCTTCCCATATCGTAAGTCGATGAAGACTAGTGGGATGAAACCCATTGAATCTTGAATTCAGAGCTTCTTCCTGCTAGTTTCCAGGAGTGGTACGCGGCTGGAGCTCATTGTAAGTACTATGGAGGTACAACTCGCGACGTTGTCGACACGATTCTCGGTATGTTATCCGATGCCGAACGTCTGACTCTCCACGGTGGTGAATGTCTCTTCCCCTTGTTTCGAGGTCGAGAGGTAAATGTTTCTGGTAAGTGTAGTTTGTTGGTGATTTGATGTTTTACATGATTTGTACTTGATCCGTTGGTTTTTCATCTTGTTTTAGTTCACTTCGGACGCCGTGCTACGTTCGCCAGGAGCTCGACTCGCGGCTTGTGTCACCGCTACGCTTCGGGGCTTGCCAAGTATCAACTCGACGAACGTGGTGATCCTGTCGGTCTCAATGAAGAGGAGCGTGAAGCTCTGCTACGACGTATTGATGCTGATAAAGCCTCAGCTCTTGTCCCTCTGGCGAATCCAGCCGGAGAAACTGGAGGAACTGTTGAATCCTCGACTGCTGAAGATGATTCGAACTTGGCCGATTGAGCATTATGCTCAGTACTCCGACCTCATCCAACGTAAGTTTTATTGTACGTCGTAGCAAGTTGACAACGGAGTTTGTAGTGATGGTGTCCTCAACTGGTTTTCACCCAACTTACGACTGTTCCATCTCTACAGAAACTACCACGGCGGCGGCGAAGAAGCAAGATGAAGAAAAAAATTTGAAGAGAACTGTTCCTACTCTGTAGTTCCATGTACCAACGCTTGATCGAGTTCCAAACTGCAGGCGTAATAAATTTACCCGTCGTGGCCACTTACATGTAATCTTCACTTCTGTAGCGATCTGGTTCTCTTCTTGTCCTTGAGCTTGTGCGGATCTTTAGTTTATCAAGATCCGACTCATTTAACGCAGAAGAAGATGCTACAGAGTGGAACGAGCAATCCTCGCTCGACTCGTTGTTTTGTACAGTTTCGTCTGTCTCGTTTAGATCTGTTTCTGGTGAAGCTGTCCACACTCCCGTGTCTCCTGTTGTTAGTAACCGGCTCACGATGTTGTTCGAACACCAAAGCCCGAATGAGGATTTCAGCGTCTTCGACGGAGTTGATTGCTTCGGTGAAACTTCAATTTCTGGTGCTGGCGTCGGTGGTAATGTCGATTTCGGCCCGAGGGAGATTGCTGAGTCATCGAGAAGGTCGATTCGATGAGCTCTTGGTCCCAGATGGTTCTCGTCGGCTTCTTCCCATACTGACACGTCTTCAGGTTGCATCAGCCACAATCTAGCCATCGGATTCGACAGTAAGTTATCGCTGACTTTGCGGACCGTGTCTGACACGATTGTGTCAATGATGTCGAAGGATATTTCTCGGGGTTTGACGTCGTTCTTGGCGTTGAACTTTCTAGCGAGGCACGTGCGACTCTTCCAGTTTATCTCGACTACTTTCCATAATCTGTCGTAGTCTTGCTTGTCCCATCTCGTGCTTAGCCTGATGATATCACCTATTTTTAGAACTTGTTCGTCTTTCTCCGCCAGCTTCTTGTCGTCAACGATCTTCAAGGGCTTGTTTTTCAACTTCTTCGCCGCGTTCCTTGAATCAGCTGAAGTTCTTCGCCCTTCTCTCTTTCTCGATCTGAGAGACGAGGTCGTCTACGCTCATCCTGATGTTATCCTGCGTGCCGATCTTTCTACCCGTGAATAGTTCGACCGGGGCAAGCTTGCCGTGCCCCAGCGTGTGGTTGTACGAAGCGATGGCGTTCTGTACAGCTTGTGGAAGTTCCAATGATCTGTCGTTCAGCTGAGCGTTCAACAACTTGCTCAAGACTGCTATTCTTCCGTCTTGTTCTGGAATGATGTTTTTGCTCATGTGCGTACTCTCGTACAGCTCGACTTCCATGTTCAGCTTCGCCAGTCTCGACTTCGTTTCTGCGCTTCGATGAGCTGCATGTTTGTCACATCTAATGATGATTCTCGTGGACTTGCTCTGTAGTGGCGCTAGAAGTTGCTTCACTAGGGTCATGAAATCGACGAAGTTTCCTGTGTTCACGCTGCTTCTGTCGGCCAGTGCTACGCCGAAGCGTGTGATACCCTCGGTTGCGAAATACAACTTGAAGGGCTGGTTGTTCCTGTCCGTCCTGTTGATTTCGTCCACCAGTATCAGCTCTCCGATCCTTTTAGGCACTGGAACTGCCTTCAGAGGCTGTGCAACCAGATTGTCTGGTTTCTTCATCAGGCTGCACTTGTAACAAGATGTTGTGAACCTCAGCGCGTGCGTCTTTATGTTGGATATCTCGAAGATCTTCCTTGTTTTATCGGCTAGCTGTGTTGGAGATTGGCAAGTCGTGGCGTTGTGAACCATTCTACACATCTTTACAGCGTGAGGCTCTGGTATTATCACCAAGTCGTATTCTTCCGTTCCGATCCACTTTTTCATCCGCAGATGGTTGTTGACGATCCTGGCTTTTCTGCATAACGTCGCCAGTTTCATCTTTTTCGGAGGAGGATTGAGCTTCTTCTCGATGTGTCTCAACGCTTGCTTCAGGACTGGATCCGTTTCTTGGATTTTCCTGATTGCTCCGCCGTCCTTCAAGAATTCCTCCAGCGATCTCGGCTTCCGCTTCGACGTTACGTAGCAGACTTTCTCGAAGGCTTCCTTCTCGTAGTCAACTTCATCTACCCAAGAATCTGTCATGTTCCATGCTACATCTTTCATGCTTTCGTCGAATTGGTGAACTTGGATTCTTCTGACCGCTTGGTAGTTCTTCAACTTGCTGACCTGTGTGTCGATTTCTTCTAGCTGCTTTTCCGACACGAATGGTACTTCGTTAGAGCTGGGTGTTCTTGCGATTTTGCAGATCTGGCAATCGTCGTTGCAGTCTTGCATGTGACTCTTGCTTCTCGATATGAAGTCGCACCCAGATATTTCGATGGACTTTCCTGGAAGGTGAACAACTGTTACTTGAAGTCCGATGATGCTGCGAAACAGGTTGTTTATGGTCACGATGTCGGATGGACATCTATTCTCGGCCCACCTCTTCGCGATACAGTATAATGGTCTCGAGTCCGTGTACACTACTGTAGGCCATTTCGACTCGATGATATACCTTCTCCAGTAGGTTAACGCGCCTATCATCCCTGCCGTTTCAAGCATGCAGCTGCTCGCCTTGAACTTTCGTTCTGCGTCTGGGCGTTTTCTCGAGTAGAACTCGCAGACTACGTTCTTGCCGTTCTCGTCCTTCTGGAACAGTATCGCGCCGCATCCGTCTGCTGATGAGTCTACCACGATGTACGCCTTTTTCTTCGCGTCGAATGGAGTTAGTTCCATCAACTTGTCCATTGATTTCTTGGCTAGTTCAAGTGCTTCTTCACTTTCTTCCGTCCAGTTGATCTTGACTTTGCCGTCGCCGTCAAGCAGCTTTCTTAGTGGCACCAGGTACTCCGTTGGTCTGTTCTGGAACTTCGACAGTGGAACAAGTAGGCCCAAGAAACTTCTCAACTCGCTGACGGTGGTGATCTTCTCTCTCGAATACTGGCGGATTTTGTCTGCTTGATGAGGGCTTGGGTAGATCTTGCCGTCTTTTATCACGCTTCCCAAGAAATTCATGCGTTCAGGACAAACGAAGATCTTGCTTCCTTTCAGCGTGAGCCCGTAGTATTTGCATATGTCGAGAAATCTTGAGATCACCTTCACGAACTCATCTTCCGTTTCTGCAACTAGATGAATATCGTCTGCATACCTCAAGCACCATTTCTCGATCGGGCTGAAAATCCTCAAGAATGCTTCGCGCATGAATCCCATCGAGGCGATCCATCCTTGCGTGCATCTTGTATACACCATTACGCCTTGGCGCGGGTGATATACGCCGAACCATTTCCACAGGTCTTGGTTCATCGGTAGTTGGAAAAACGCGTTGCTGACGTCGCACTTCATCGAATACTTGAACTTTGACGCCTTCGCCGCTTTCTGAAGAATGTCATGGAGATCGTCCGTTACCATCGGCGGTGTTTTGCTCCATTTGTTGACCGTGTTGTGCGCTTGTGTGACGATTCTGGCGCTCTGTGCCAGTGGAATTGCGTTCCCATCATCGTCTTTCTTGGACACAACCATCAGCGGTATGATGTTACGTGGTCTTATGCCGTATTCGTCGGGGAACACCAGTATCTTGTCCCTGTACAGCTCGTCGAGATGGTCACAGATCACGTCCTTTTTCTCTTCGGACTGCTTTTCGTGCTTTCTTCTTGGACCGATGTTCTCCTCCTTGATTTCAACGTTCATTTCAGCGTTTATGTTGAAGTTTTTGTTGAGGCATCCGATCCTTTTCTTGAACACGACTGCGTACTCATCGCTCTTGAAGACTGACCACAATCTCTTCGCTGAAGCTTCGCCTACATCTCCCATTGTTATATCATCAACCGTGGTAGAATTCTCGGCTTTTTGGCGCATCTTTTCGATCTTCGCCTTGTAGATCTTCCTCGAATCTGGTTCGAATTTGGTCTTGTCCAATTCATCTGCTTCTCCAATCTTCCACACCTCCTCGGTACCGTAGAAGACTTTGCCAGCATCGTTAAACGTGACCGACTTCTCCACAAGATTGACGATGGTTTTCCCCTTCAGATGTGGGAGGCCCATCAGCAGACCTTGTAGATTTTCGATGACTACAGCTCCTTCGATCCAAACTCGTTTGTTGTTTATCACGATCGCGAAGCTGGCCACCTTGTTTCTGTTGAAATTGTCGAATACGCCGAGTCTTTTCCCGGCGGCGCATCTTATGTTCCTGCTCTCCCATCTGAACAGGTGCTTTATCTTCTTTAGTGGTTCCAGCCCGATACATGTACATTCAGCGCCAGTATCGAGCTGTACGTGCAGAGGAACGAGGCCTTCGTCATTACCAGATTCTGCTTGAGTCCAGAACATTGGGATGTCCTTCTTGTCTGTCGCAGTAATCTGGTTGACGCTTTCTAGTCAACTCAACTGCCACATTCCAGCTCCTCCGTTTTCTGATGCCGAATCGCTGGAGCGCTGTTCATGGACTTGTCCGACTTGTTCCTCTTTCTTGTGCATCGTTCTTATCATCTTCAACGCCTTCTTTCTATAAGGGCAGTCGTAGGGCTTGTGATCGTACACGTTCCATTTTCTGATGGCTACTTTGCAGTGCCAACATGGAGTGCTTTCTTTCTTGGAGCCGGCTGAGTCCTTGTTGTCCTCATTGCCGTCCTTTGGCTGCTTCTTCGCGCGATCGCTGTCATCTCGACCGTTGGAATATCGACCTCCGCGACCACCGCCGCGACCTCTGCCGCCGCCTCCGCCTCTTTTCGACCCTTTTGACTTATCACCGATCTTCGCTACCAATTCCTCGTTTTGATCGTGATCACCACTTTCTTCAGTTATCTTCTTGACCGTTGCGATTCGCTTCGGGCATCTCCTGATTTCCGCGGCTGCGATTTCTTGGTAGATCTTGGCGTTCTTGAAGAATTCAACTGGAGTCGACGTCTTCCCCGTTTTTTTGTGGAATTCGTCTTCAATTTTCTCGATTGTTCTAGCGTCCACCGTGATCAGCGCACAGCACGTTGCAATCCTTGACAAGATCTGGGTCTCAGCTTCTTTCTCGCTCAACGTTTTCTTTGAGCCGATGGCGTTGTTTCCTGATATCTTGTCCGTCCCCTCTGACTTACAGAGGTTCTTTTTGAACTCCGTGAAGAACGCTCTAGTCATCGTGGTGAAGTTCAACCTGCTGCTGTTGATAGCCATCATATTGCGGAGGGACTCCATAGTTGTGACCATGTTCCTTCCTGTATTCAAGCATGCTGCGCTGTCGTTGTGAACGACGGTGTTGGTGAAGTGTTCAAGTGAGTAGAATTGACCTCCTTCCGCTACAGCATCCCGGAGTACTCTTATCTCACCTTCACTCCCGTTTAGTAGAGCCAACATGGCTTCCCGCGCTAGGCGAGCCGCCTCTCGAAACTTGTCTGCGGTGCTCTTCTTGGCGTTCTTGATCTTTTCGAAGAAGTGCGATGATTTCTTGGCTGCTTCTTTCTTCGCTTCTTCGGATGATATTCCTGGATCCCTGACTTCTAGCCAGTTCCTGGTTTCCAGTACGTACGCTCCATTCGTCACGAATTTTAAGTAGCCGCTGTCATCGTCCTCTACGTCGTCTAAGTCCTGCAGGACTTTCTCGCTGACCATTTTCTCGAGTTCCGTCATCGAAACTGGGATCCCGTAGCTTGGTAGAACTGCACCGCTCGTGTCATCCGTCGACCATAACCACCGGCTGTTGGTAATCATGTCTCCCGGAACTTCCGCGGTTCCTGCACTTCTCATTACTGCGATGATCTTGTCCTTCAGACGGTTCCTATTTGCTAGATCGCGAGGTTCAATCATGCCACTTCCCGCGGCGATTATCGAGCTTAGGTTCTTGCTTGTCATGTTCTTCGGGGTAGTTCAACTTTACTCGTGAGTTCAGACCTTTATCAGTCACCACAAAGTGGTTCAAATAACTTGCAAAAGGCTCACTTCCTAAGCTAGAAGACCTGCTGAAAGAAGACAACAATTTTGTAGTTGCCAGAGCCAAAGAGCACCTGGACTTCAAACATGTTATGAACAGAACTTGAAAAAGAAGCTCACCTGTGGGTTGACTCTCTTGGAATGAGGTCGTCAACTCCACAGGCAAGATGCACAGCTTGATAAACAAGGGCGCCAAACGCGAGACTTCAACCGAATTCGATCTTCGCTTGATTTCGTCGCTGAACTCTCGTGAAGGGTCGAATATGCGGGTCGCGTAATAAAAATTTGCAACTCTGGTTCAAAAGGCTCGCAATGAAGTCGAGGAAACAAATGAACCAAACCAATGAGTATTCGTAGAAGACATTTTTGCGTTTGACTTTTTTTGCAAAGCACAAAAAGATGCAAAGCATCAATGTGTTGTAGGAAATCCAAAGGGAACCGGTTACAAAAGAACCCATAAGATCGCGGTTTCCACTGCAGAAATCATCAGGCCAGATGTGATCTTCATGATATCTAAGAGATTTCTCTTTCATTTCGATTTCAGGCGCAATAGAGACGACGAATAGAGACGAGAGAGAGTTTATAATAACTTGCCATTTAATATTTACAAAAGAATGATTTACAAAACCGATTTTACAACTGGATGACTTTCAATTTGATATTCAACACTGTCTTACATTTTCAATCGTAGGAATTCTTATGAAGCTTCATAAGTTAGTAGATTAAAACTTAGGCAAAGGATAAAAATTACAATAAGAAAGTGTATTCAACAGACAAATTTATTGAGAAAATGTCAAAGAATAAAGTCAAAAAATAAGTAAAGAATGATGTCACAATTTTCGTCTCAGTGTTCGCAATGAATGTCTCCACCGTCAATTTTCATCCCGATGTAGACACCATGTTTGCACACTGTCTGCGCTTTTCCGTCCATTTTCATGTGAGTGCCGTCGTCCTCCTCCTTGATTTCAGTTATCAAAAATCCAGATTACGATTGAATTTACCTTGAGCTGGCACTGCTTGTTTTCTGGATAGTAAGTGACACAGTCGCAATGTGACTGAAGGGCGCACTGTCCGATACAGTCATCGATGGTCGGAGCGTGAATGTGACATTTTCGAGTCTCGATTTTGCTCGATTTCTGGCTCGGAAGCGCTAGAATTTCAATTTTCAAGGCGTATCGAAAAACATAAAAACCATAACACAAGAAACTTTGAACTGCTGTAATTTACCTTGGGATAAAGCAGCAAGTAAAGAAAATCTCAAAATTTTCATGGATCAAGTGAACTCTTCGTTGATATCTTCGGTCGCAAAAATTTTATACTTTCGAAAGTTGTTTTCGAATGCAAAAATGACCTCTTCTTAAATAGTAGGGCGATTCATTACTGAGTAAATTTTACGAAACGACCCACTTCCCGTGAGCAATCGACAAATTTATTGATGAGTTTACTCGTCTAGGAAATCGGCCAGAAGCAACTTGAGCTTTTTCTTGTACTGTAATGAATACAGTATCTTTTCTCTTCATTTTAACTCTAAGAAGGCATGAAAAACCGAAAGACTCGACATTTGTTTTGCAATTTTCTGAGTCTTAAGGGTACGGGTATCGATTTTGAAAAGGGGTTTATATTGCCCGTAAGACATTTATTTTGTCTTTCATTGAATTCTAGGCAAAATTTGAGGCATTTTTGTAATAGATTCTAAGCTGCGATCATTCGTCGTTTTCAAGATATGAGCGCTAGAAATTTGATCGAAAAAAAAATTTTTGGCTTCAATTTTTATCAATGAGGCCTCTTTATAAAGCTTAGAGCACGAGAAACATTATGGTGGTCTTGGATTTACTTGAAACATGATACTTTGGATTCTAGAGCCAAAAACGTGAATCTAACTTTCAAAAAATGCATAAATCGCCGAAATCAATTTTTCAAAAAATTATTTTCGATATAAAAGTTATTTCACTCGTTATAAGCTACTGACAAAATTAAGATAAAGGTCCGATCTTTCATACAAAAATATAAAATATGCATGTTTACAGGCTACTTTACTCGGAATACGCTCAGTTTTCGGGCGAATTTCGACCGAGATCAAAATTTTGAGGCGAAATTTTCTTAAAAAAATCTTAGAGGAAGATAATTTCCTTCTGACAAAATTAAGATCTAGGATAGTTCTTTATCTGAAAATGATTAGAAACCATCCACCATTTACAGGTTGTCAGGAATACGGCCTCAAACGTAGCCTGATCGATACCCGTAGCCTTAATGACCTTAATTCTTTGAATAATCATTTCACATCGATTCTTACAGTAACGAGACGGTCAAATATTGCGAAATACAGTCAGATTCTTCTGAAACGACCTTTCCGAAAGCGAAAATTAATGACTCGGCTTTTGAAATCTTCTTGTTTTTCCTTTTCTGGAAAGACAAAGTTTTAACTCGTGGAAAAATTCATCAGCTTCTGTCATTGAAAGCTGTCATAACTCGCAAAACGGCTCGTATTTTATCTTAAATTTTTCCATGGAAAGCAATTTCGGCCTCGGAGGAGGTGGGGAGCTACGTTCGTCGAATCGTGAAATTTGAACTTTGAAGCTATAAATTCACCTAAATCGTGATCTCTCACCGTAAAAATCGCTCTTATAGATAAGTGGCCTTTAGAAAAGAATGTTCAGCGATAAACTAAATTTCCTGGATGCTGAGTTTAGTCTGGAATGGTCACAAGTTCAACGATCGAGTTCAAAAAACTCATCGTTGCGCAATTTTCTTGCTGAAAGCGAGTAAGAATTTTCAGTGCAAAGATAGCTTTTTTGTGAATAATATGAATTTTTTATTGAAAAATCGAATAAAAGAAAAATAAAAAAGAAAACTTTCAGAAGGTTACTTTCTGCGTAAGAATACTTCAAGTAGACCAGGGTTGTCCTTTTGCGGATGGAACTTGAAGTCGTTTTCAGTAAGGTATCTCTCAACAGATTTGCGTAGTTTCGCTAGAATAATAAATAAACAAGATTGAGATGATTGAACGAGAAATCACCTTTATTGCCTTTCGAATGTCTCCCTGGTCAGTTATTATGAAAATCTGACTGTAATGCCCTTGAGCGGTGACTTCTGCGATGAACTGCTCGAGTTTCTTGATGGCTTCATCTCGGTGCAAATTGTGGAAGTCAACATAATTATCTGATGAAGTTCCAGCAAAGCGCTCGTTATTCTTCCTGAAGAAATATTCTGCCTCTTTTTTTCGCGCTTCTTTTTTTCGCGCCTCTTTTTTTCGCGCCTCTTGCCAGAAATCTTCTTCAGAGTCCGGAGATTCGCTTGTAGATTCCGTCTCTTTCGTCCAGGCAGGAGTGCTTGCTTGTTTTTCATTAAATAAAAGCGGTTGTAGAATTTGTTGAGCGGTTTGTCTGTAGTCGTTCTTGTTCTCACGGAGATATTTTGGCAGATGTGCTGCCTCTGCGGGAGTTGGCGGTGGTCACGAAGGATGGTGTATCCTTGGTGTCTGTCCAATGCTTCGACTCGAAGTGACAATGAAATATTTGAATCTTCCACGTTTTTAATCAATAAAAAAGTTAAATGAAGATCCTTTCATTTTTCTTGGAGATCTCCAAACGGAAAAGAGCCAAGAGAGAAGAACTCAGAAATTGTACAATCGAATCGATAATTGAAAATTCGGTGAAAGTTTCATTAGGAATGATTAGCTCTTTGGCTATCGAAGAAAATTCATATCACATCTCGAAACGAATATTTTCCGCGAATGCCCTGCTCGATGCCCTGATGAGGCTGATTTACAGTGTAGATTACAGTTCCCTATACCACCAGGTAACGATTGATCTCTATGCATGTGCGCGCAGCCGTTTCTTTTTCAATCTTGGCCTATATATGCCCTACTCACCTTCCGGAGCCTCTCTTCTAGTTGCTCTTTCGGCATATTCGGGAAACGTTTCTGTAGCTTGATAAGACTCAACTTTGTCGAGTAGTTCCGCATCTCTGCTTCTTGAAACGCCAAGGCTAGCTCCTGGTCTCTCAATTCTTGTGTTGTCATCGTTGTCCCTGTATCCGCATCTCCAGAAGAGGAGGGACGAGACCCTATTATTTCTGAAAATTCAACCGTCAAAATCTACGCAAAAGAATGAGTGAGCTAGAAAAATACTCACTTTTATTCGAGGACCCCGCGTTGATTTTAGACGCCATAATTTTTAGTTTTTGAATTTCCGCTGATAATTTGATATTGTGGTTAATTTCTTCTTTGACCCGTTTCTGCATTTTTACCGCATTTGTCGCTTTATACAGTAAAAAAATTATTTTGAAATAAACGCCAAAAAGGTCAATTATTTTTTACATTCCTTGATTCATTAGAATCGAATTCGTTTCTTCATTGTTTTCCGCCGTTTTCATCTTTGAACTTGTAGTAACCCTATCTTTCCTCCCCGATAACAGTCGTGTCGACCCATGGTTTGCTCGCGGTTGTTCGTGACTGTAATCATCTAATTTTACCCGCACCAAATTTAAAAAGAATACCACTAACCATTTTGAATTATTCCGTTGTCGCATAATTCGTCCGGCTTCAAAAAACTTGTACATCAAATTTAAAATTGACGAACTTATTTTTATGTCAGCAAAATGGGCATTCTAGAATTTCATTCAACCTTATTATCACCTTACTTAAACGTCGATAACACGAGTCTGTCTTTCAACTTTTATTTTTTATTTACAAAATATTTTGTCGACTAACAGTCAAAATTAATTGGCTTGACGGCTCCATCAGAGCAGCATTGGAATTTGTTCAGCCCGATCCACTTGCTAAAAACTTAAAAAAGAGCCCTTGAAATTCATCCTTACAAAGCTTTATCTCCCCCTCCGCAGCATTGATGCTCGACTGGAATCCCTCCTTTCTTTGGGCAATTGGCTGGCTGTCGATTGTCAAAAGGCGGGCTTCCCCAGAAGAAATGGTAGCTTTCGTCGAAGACGTCTTTTGCAAGGAAAAGGTCTTTGACGAATTGAAGGTCGCATTCGAACAGGTCTCGCTCGCAGGAACCGACGTGGTTCATTGATTCGAAGGAAGATGTCGCTCTCGAGTATTTCCAAGTATACTGGACTCTTTCTCCTAAAAAAAATGTGCTGAAAATTTTTAGAGGGAAAAATTCTGGAAGCTCTTAAACATAAAATGTATGAGTCGCACAAAAATTCTTCAAAAATATATTTTTATTATTTTTTTTTACCAAATTATGGTTTGTCTTACCGATGCAAAGATCGCCATGCTCTTGTCTCACACACTTGTTGCACTGCTTGTAGGCTCGGCATTTCGTATCAATCTGATCCTTAGGCGCTCCTATCCCCATTTCGGACATTGGTCGATCTCCAAGCAAAAAGCAGTGGCAGCCATAAGCCCAGTACTTTCGCTCGTCGAATTCTTCCGCGCCATTTTCTTTCCAGAGCTTTTTCGCAATCGCTAGAAAGAGGGTTTAGATTCGGGTTGAGGGAGGGAGGTTACCTTTTAGATCTTGATATCGTCGTTCGTCATCGGTGACGATTTGATTGGCGAACTTGGCAGAGCTACTGCTAAATCGAGGAGAAATTCCAAGATCTTCGGCTTCCTCAACAGAGCAATCAACTTCTTTCCCGTTTCGGTAGCAGATGTCATCTTCTTGAGCGAAAGCGCTAGAATCAAGATTAAATTCAGTCCTGGAAATTTTTACTTACGAAATAGCGAGGTAATTAAAAAGCTTCATCCTCTAATTGACAGAAATTTTTTCTCTTTTTGAGATTTTTTTTACTTCTTATCGAAGTTTTTGATAAGAATCATTTCTTGAACCTGGCTTTTTATAACAGAAAATGGCAGCAGAGGGACAAGGAGATCAGGGAACGGCTAAGATAATAAGGCTATTTCAATTTTGGATCGACCGGTTTTTCTTTGCAAGAACTGCGTCATCAAATTGAATTTGAAGGGGGAAATTTGAATAAGTTTAGTTTTTTCCTGTCTTTAAATTTTTTTCTTTTACTTTTTCAAATTAACGATGCACATGAAATCATGGAAGAGAACTCATTTCACATGTAACATGAATCTTTTTTATTTCATTAAAAAGAGATGTATCAAAAGAAGAAGCTTGTCAATTGATTCATCATTTCCGAAAGTTGTTCGTGGTCGTTATTCCCCATTCCAAGAGGGGCCTTTCCACCTTCGTCCAATTTCATCAAGTCTGCGGGCCCCCAATTTTCGAAGGCGTCTTGTTGTCGCTGCTTTTCCTTCTCTGAAATCAAAAAGGTTATTGTCTAAGAAGATTAGACAGAGAGTTATCTTCGATGATCAATTAAAAAAAACAGATGTAGCAAGTAAAAAACATGAGCGTTTTAAAAACACGTGTACCGGCCTCCTGGTGAGAACTCATATTTTTGAGTAATTATGAAAATACTTGTGCTATTTGAAAAAAAGGGGAGATGGAATGATAAAACTTGCTGTAAAAATAGAAATGACATCTATCGTTCAAAAGAAACTTCTCCGTCATTGATTGTTCGAGGCAAGAAATCTTTAAAAAAATTACTTATAAAGGCGTAAAAATCTTAGTTCCAAAAAATTTGGCCGAAAGAGGGGAAATCTCAGGAACTGACAAAAAAACTCGACAAATTTTGCGTGGAAATTTTAAGCAAAACAGAAGCCTGGACTCAGCTACCCGGCCCATCAGAAGCCTAGTAGCCACCAACGCGAAATTTGTCGAGATTTTTTGTCGATTCGTGACACCAAACCCAAAAAGGGTCTTACCGGAAAAATCTTCATGAAAGTCCATTTTTCCCTTTATGGAGGCTCTCTCGCTTTCATTTTCTTACCCATTTCTGCGTGCTGAAGTTGCCAAGACATGCTTTTGACGAGTCCAAAAACTGCGCAGGCGTATAGAATCCGCATTTCACTGTATCGACTTCCGACTTGGAATTACTTCCTCTCGAATTCTGAACAAGGGCTTTCCTCAATTTTTCCTCCCAAAAAATGAAATTTCGAAAAAATGATTGAAGCCCCTCCTTTTTCGACTGCTAAGAAGATTGAGCTCGGACGATAAGAGGGCTCTGCTTTTATATCCTGAGAAAGATGGGCGATTTACCGGATTATTTCTTTCAGAAAATAAGGAAGATGGACAGGTGAAATGTGCCGAGGAAAAAGAGTCTTACTGTCAAAAGTATCTGTAGTTGACGTGCTAAGTGGCCGTCACTGAGGATGAATGGAAAAAGAAATTGTTCTGTTAAACATACAGTCTTTCAAATTGCGCTCGGCAACCTGTGAAGAAAACCTAAGTCAGGGTCTGAAAGACCTGAAAATGAAAAGCCGCGCACTTCTTTCAGACCCTGACTCAGGTTTTCTGCTCAAGTTGTGGAGCCCAGCCTACAAATCTGTAAGTTGCATAACTGCCTTTACATCTGTCCAGTCTCCCAAAAGCACAAAAAGTAAGCAACCTAACCGAGATGCTAGACAAAAAGAAAAGGAATAGAATTTCCAGTCTTGCGGATTTCCGCAGTATAATCTTCAGAAGAAAAAATGCCGCGAACGCGAATTACCGGGAAAACGATCCAGCCGCTATCGCTATTCTAAACACGTTTTTTGGAAACCTAACAGCTTCTTTATCGCCTCGACTTTGGTTCTAGCAAGATATTTTTTCTTCCAGAATTTTTGAAAAAGGGCTTTGAAGAGGGCGTGAAAGGTAACAAAAACAAGTTTAGCCGTGACTTTGGTCGCAGCGGATGTTATTTCAGCCGCGTGTTTTGTACTGTCACGCGATTGTGTTTTATTTTGAGCGATTACAGTAATGCTCAAGGCCACTTGAAGATGTCGACGGGGCTGCAGCGGCCACGAATGAGCAGATATCTTATTTTTCACAGAGATTTTGAAGGAAGCCCAAAATCAAAAGCGACCTCGAAAATGATTCCAGGTAAAAATTGGCTGGCTGTTGTGTTCATAAATGACCGAGAAGCCGCGTTTTGTCGGCTCTGTGGCATCAAAAAAATAGAAATGGCGAGGTGCGGATCGCTCATGTGGCGCTCGCGAGCTCAAATCTCCTCGCAGCGGAGAGCGTCGCAAGCCTGCTGATTTTTCTGAAGCTTGAGCTTTTTTCTCGGAGAATTTTCTGCTTACAAAGGAGTTTTTGATTGTTTTTTTAATAAGAGAGGAATAAAATAGAGAGTAAAAAGAAATTTCAAAGAAGAAGGAATCACTTGAATCCGGATCAAAAAGTAAGTCATCTATAACTAGAGTTTTACTTGAAAATTTAAATTTTCCAATCTAAAATGCTCTAAGAAACGTTTATTTCATTAGCATAAGGTTGAATTAATCTAAGGATTTAACTGTCAGTTTATCTATAAAAGGAATTTCTTCAAATTAACAGTTATTGAAGTAAGAACAGCATATAAAAGGATGCTCTACTCGTCTTTGTAGTTGCTCCTATATTTAAAATCAAAACTTCGAATAGATACGAGATCAAATATGCCCAATAAACAAAATTGTGGTGCTTTTATGGTTTTTATCCAAATAAGCGGGAATGGAGGCGGCCCAAAGTCGAAGATCCTCGTCGCGGGGAAAAATATTTATCTCCGGCAAATCTCCGCCCGAGTCCGTTTTTCCTTTGTTAGGGGCTTAGTATCGTCCTCTTCCGATAATTCCAAAAATCAAAAGCTTTTAGAAATCATCCCTTTTCTCTTATCACTTCTTTTCTTCGCCAAAGAAAACAGCTTGTTTTCGACGAAAATCCTCAAAAACTTAAACAGACAAATCTTTCTTTAATTTCTTCATTTTTGCCGCTGCACCGAACCAAAATAAAAAGAAAAGTTGTGTGAGTTGGAGGCAAACAAAAGCGAATTTACAAATTGGCGGTCTTTTTCGCGGCGGGTGACCAAACGTGCGGAGCAAAAAGCATGACCGCAGACAACTCGCCACACAATGTTGCCCGACTGACCAAAGCTCAGAATGTCTCTCTGCAATTTTGCGTAATCGAGTGAACCTTTTTCAGGCGTTTTCTTGACCAATTTAGTTGACAGGGATTTTTGAAAAATTTCATGGTTTCAAATAAAATTCTTCAATGTTCAATTTTCATCCATTTCAACCTCGTTCAAATGTTTTTTTCTGATTGGTCAATCAAGATAAAAATTGATCGACCAATCAGAGGTGCTTTTTATGATTTTCAAAATCGATTATTCTGATTGGTTCAGGCTCAAGCGAAAACCCTCCTTTGAGCCAATCAGAATTCTCGAATTAAAAATACACCTTCGACTTCTGATTGGTCGATCAATAAGCATCCTGATGAACCAATCAGAAGCAGAAATACAGTTGTTCAAGATTCAGAAGAAGGGAAAACCCAAAACTCGCTCGATAAAATGTTTCCATAACGATAAACGGGAGCCTTATCCGGAAGAAAATGTGTGGTAAAGACTTTTGCATAATCCGCGCAGATCGCAATTTTATCTACAACACCACGTTTTTCTCAAGTCCTTTTTTTCCTGCTCAGTTAAAATGAGTTTAGTTCTTTCTCTTTTTCCTTTTTTTCTGGTAATTTTCAACGCCAAAATTTCCGATAAGCTCAATTTTAAGAGCAAAAAACTCAAGATTCAAGTTTTATCTAAATTCCTTTTCCTTGAAATCAAGAATTTTTTTTAAGTTCAAAACAGCCAAAAAAGTTGACCGGAAAACAAGTGCCACTCGTCATTTTTTGGCATTTCCTGGTTTGTACTTTTGGTTTTGTTCTACACGCGTTGCTCAATAGAAACAGAAAGGGATTAGAAGCACAAAGACGCGGAAAGCTCCTGTTTCTGTCTTTTTCAGTTAAAAAAATGCCAAAAAATCGGTCTCTATTTCTGTATTTCTTCTTTTTTGACTGCACAAAACGCGAGAAGCCGCGTGCAGCTTCGAGTAAACAGCAATTTAGCCGCGTTTTGCGCGTCTTTTTCGCTCTAGACTCGAAGCCGCAAGCGACTTCTCGCGTATTTACGAGTCAAAAGAGGAGAAATACAGAAAAAGAGACCGATTTTTGGCATTTTTTGACACCTTGTTGGCGCCAAAATTCTTCCATTTTTCGCGAAGGTGAACATGCGGCCTTTTCTTTACACACCGGGCGGTTTGAAAATAGATCGATTATGACATTACTACGGAATGATCAATTTTCCACGCTCTGGTTCGGCCGACTTTTTTTCTACTGAAGGATGGTTTTTCTGTTGCGAGAAGAAAATTCATATGAAATATTGATTGAAGAACTTTTTTCAGAAAGCATTTTCAAAAACCATAAAATTATTTTAAAAAATATTCTTTTATTTTTTTTTTCTTAAATAAAATATTGGAAATACCATTCTAATGAAAAAAATTAACAAGCAAAGAGAACAAAAAAAATTCTAGAGCCACGAGAAGCTGGCGTTAAATCTGACCGTGGAAAACTTGAATTGTGGCTAGCTCCCGCCCAAAAGTCGATAAGATGACGAGTTCTTTCTTCAAAAAGTCCCACAAGTTCAACTCTTTTCCCAAAGGACTTACAAGCACTTGTACAATTGTAGCACCTTGATTTTATAAATAATTGTCGAAATACAATTCGGAAAAGCAACTACAGCGAATTGGCGGTGTAAAAATAGAAAAGGCAAAACAAGGACTTTGTATTAAATTCACACCAAGCCTCTTTGTCGTCAAATTAGCTATGGCTGAAAATGGAAAAGAAAAAACATGTTTATTTTTAACGATTTTGGGAAAGCCCGCGATAGTAATTTTTCAAGAAAGATTAAATAAGTTTGCACTAGAAGTCAATTTGCTTCAAGAAAAGAAAAAAAACAAATATTCAAAACAAAGCCTTTTAATTATCAGGTCGTTGAAAAACATGAGCTGAAAAATGAGGGGACTAAGGAGCAGCCGGAAATGATTATTCCAAATATCAACTAAGCGAAAAGACTAAGAGTTATTCCTGATTATGCGCTCAACGTGAGAAACAAATTATTCTCAATTAAACAAATCTGATTAAAAACGCTTATTTCAATTCCTGAACGTCTATTTTCGCGGGTCAAGGGGCATAAACATCAATAAGCTGATTTTCAACAAGAATTGAGAACAAAATAGTCTTTACTGTAAATTCTAATTCAGAATAAAAAGGTCAATTTTGGTTTTTGTAAAAAAAAGGCGAGAAAGTCAGATTTTATTCGATTTTTAACCCGTAAATTGGCCAAATCAGCTGTTTAAAATCATATTTAACAAAAATTATCAGTTACAAATAGCTAGGTATTCTATATAAGTAATATTCGGTAAGATGATTTTTATACAGTTGATTTTCTCAATTCAAACCAAATAAAATCGACTAAAATCACCAAAAAATTTGACTTTTTCCAGTTTTTTTTTCTCACAAAAAAATCGAAAATTGATGTGTTTATTCTGATAATATAATATTAGGGAATATTTAATTCGACATAATACTTAAATAAAATCTTAGAAAATCGAAAATAAGGGTGTGTCGTTCCTCTTTTTGAGAGATCACGTGGGAATTAAATCATTTCTGTCCAAAACGTGGCTTTTCGGTTTGATTCGGAATTCTAGCCTCGTCTTCTGGTCGTTTTCGGGAATGATAGTCTGCCCGCATCGTGGCGAGTTCGACCGCGCTGGAAAAATGATATTTTTCGGTGAACCTTGAATCGACAGTCGTTTATCGCGATTTTTAATTTTAACGAGAACGGTTGATTTTTGATTTATTTTCTAGTAAATTTGAATTTCAGATTTCAGCGAAGAAAAATCTCCAAAAAGCGGCGAGGAAATGAGCCGGCTTCGATCTGGTGGAACGACAATCCTCACGGCGAGCACGTAAGTCATCCCAAATAGACATCACCAGATAAGACTAACAATCCGTCAACCTTTTCCCAGAGCGTAAAAATATACTCGAGGGAGATCTCAGATCATTTTTTGATTAAAGGTTCATCCTCCAATGTTTGGAAAATCTTTCCTCCAGAAAACTTAACAGCAAAACCATTGTGTTTTTTTGGGTAAGGGTTTGGATAAAAGTCTAGAGTGTGATTGGGTGTGCCCAAAATGGGGTGGCTTCAGGAACCGACAGAAATTTCGACAAATTTTGCGTGGGCGGCTACTCGGCTTCTGATTGGCTGGTTTTCCGAATCCAGCCTTCTGATTGGCTGAAAATTTCCACGCAAAACTTGTCGAAATTTTTTGCTTTTCCTGACACCTCCCCCAATCCCACCCCAGTCTCGTATTTGAACCAAAACCCTAACTCTAACCCTTACCTTGGTTGGGGTTATGCTGGGTTTAGAAAAAGGGTCCGATATAATCACAAAGCATTTGGGATTCTGTTGAGAAAATTTCGTCGGAAATTAAGCTCGAATTGAACCTGTCCGAAAAGCCCTCGAAAAATGCTCGCGAAATCCGAACATCCGTCCAATTTCAAGCTCTCCTCATCAAATTAACGTCTTATCGCCGCTCACACGTTACATTGACCTTCGACCAGATTTGTTGATCCGCTTTTCAGCCGGAGCAACTGCTAGTCCGCTCTGAAACTTGATCGTGCGGATTTAAGCCGCAACTGGCGAGGGGAGATTTGCAGACTTTGCTAAAAAATGAGCTCTAGTCTTTTCTCTTTTGACCGCAAATAATTGTCTATATTATAAGTCAGATTTTAGGTCTCGTCTTGGAAAAACCGAATGTTAAAAGAATCGTATTTCGAAGAAAACGACCTTATTTGAACTTGTTGCTCGAATTTGATAATAATAAGAAACCTCCCTCTTTTCAACCTTGAGTTATCGTCACTGGTTGTAAATATTTGCAAAGCTTTTTGGTAGCCGTCTCATCCCACGTGAATCTATCTAAACAGCCCTTTTTCTCCCGCTTTACATTGGAAGGTTAAGAACCCTTACTCGGAGCACAGCCACTTTCCCGAGTCGTTTTTTGCAGCTGCAGCTGGAGCAGCGACATGATCTCACGGTTAAGTACATCCATATGCTCACTCCACGGGAGCAAGATTGGACACAGAATCTGACACGGCTTACTGCTCAGTGCTCACGAGCTGGATTACTTTTCCGAGGATAATGATCTTTGACGTCATTAAAAAGAAAAGATGGCTCGCCACGAATTAATTTCGAGCCGGGTCAAATTTTGGTGAAGAAAAAGAGCTCCGTGAAATTTTGATCCATCAAGAAAGGAGAAGGAAAGAAAATTTCTCAAAAAGTAAACCTAAAAATAGAAATTTGTGAGTAGTTGTCGTACAAAAACCACGTTGCAAAGAAGTATTGTAATTGTTTCGGGCACTTGTAAAGTACTCAAATTCAATTATTGGCAATCATTCGACCTCAGTTTTTATAATCTTCAAATAATACTTTCTTTATTTTCTTTCGACAATTAAATTTTTATATTCATTTTTTTAATTAATAATCTTTTTGGAAAATTTCATAAAAGTTTTGACACAAATTGACCAATTTTTTTCCTCGATTTGACGAAAAATTCTAAATTGACACGCAAAATTTTGATGAAAACAGGATTATTCGAGTTTAGAATTTCGTAAAATCGCGAATTTCGGATATCGCCCATCCTTAATTTGCTAATTAGAGTAATAGAAATACGCATTAGTACCCCCACGGGTGCAATTAGAAGCCGTTCGTTTAAAAAAGTGTCGACTTCTTGAGCCGATCGCAGTCAGACCGGCTTAAAAGTAGAGTCGATGTAAACAGAGCTAGTATCGAAAAACCCAAACGAGCGCGCGCTGCTTCGTCGGTGACATTGCAGCTGCAGCGGATTAAAACCGGCCCGAACATCAGCCATATCAATGTCCTTAAATCATCAATACGCAGAATTATAACGTAGCCAAAGCCGCGATCGAGAGGGCCACGAAATTCTCAAGCAAGGGGTCCCACTTGAACGGGAAAGAAACTAAAATGGAAAGCCGAGCTGCGGCTTTTCCAGTAAAAAAAAGCCGCGCAGCGGCTTAGCCGATATAAAAAGAGGAGACAAAAAGGATTGTGTTTTAAAGCCGCTTTGCGGCTTCGTTCTCAAAATAGCCGCTACGCGGCTTTTCATTTTTGCTTTTCAGAACCTGACTCAGGTTTTCTTCACAGGTTGTCGAGTCCGAAATCGCTCCTTTGGCTCAAAAAATGACTTCGAAATTGAATCCTCAAAAATCTCGCTCGATTTTGATAAGCTCGCCTTTCAAAAGAGAAAGAGGCTATTCTGAATAGGCTATTCAATCAGCGCTGCAAAATAATTATCGCCGTTTTCTAAACCGGATCATCCGTCTTTTCTCGGCTGTTGAGGGTCTCTTCGCCGACAAAACACGAATTCAAAACGAAAATAAACGAATTTAGAAATTAAACGTTTTGTCCTGTTTTGTCAAACGTGAGGGAAAAGAACTTAATTAAATTAAAGGATAGAAAGACAAAGTATCTGAATAACGGAATAAAAAAAAAGGATCAAAGGGAGGAGCGCTGTTTTTAAAAATAATAGACACAATATAACATTTTACGATGAAATAAGGACATCGTATTATAGTCTATAATTTATAGATGTTTGGAAAATAAGGAAAATTTGAGTCGTTGTTTATCCTTATTCAAAAAAATAGGGATAGCGTCAAGAACCGACTGTCAAAAATTTCGACAAATTTCACGTGGGCGGCTATTCTGCTGCTGATAGGCCGAGTCCTGACTTCTGATTGGTTGTAAATTTCAGCGCCAAATTTGTCAATTTTTTTCTTCAAAAGAGGACGAATCAAAAGTCAGCTTTCGGCTTATCCGCCAATCCGCTCTCAATACTTTAACAGAAGGGCGTCCTTAAGAATTTTTTTTTTAATTGATGAAAAATGATGAAGAAAATCCTGATTTTTTGATCAAGTAACCGGTTAAAATAAAATCTTACCGCTTTTTCTATTGTTTTCTCAGCCTGAACGGTTGTCAAACTTTTCTGATCTCCGTTTGTTATTTTATTTTACGCACAACAAAAACACTTGTTGCACTCAATTTCGCCGCAGTTGGGGAATTTAACTCACGTTATTTTTATATACCTCCGCAGAAAAAATAACATATTTTATAATAATGGATAGACACGTGTCATGAGCTCCAAGAACAAGCAAAATAGATGGCGGAACATAAAACAATCTAATTCTGACAAACCAGCCCCTTTTTTGTTGAAGAATTTTTCTTTAGAAGTTTCTAACAGTTTCTGTTTCTAGTGTACAATATGGTCGCCCGCCGCAGAAACGCCCGGTCTACCGATCCGAATTCGTCATCCGGCTAAGGAAGGTCCAAAAATCCGCTCTAGAATTTTGCATAGCGGAAGATCGCCACGAATTTTTCTTCCAAAAAGTTCCTAGAGCAAAATTTACAGCAAGAAAAGTTTCTTTCATCGAGTTTTAAGGGTATCGATATCGATTTAAATGGTTTAACCTTACTGTTAGGCCTAGGGTTAGGGTTAGGATTAGGATTTTCATGTATCAAATCGCTGATAACACTCTTAATCCTAAATTCATTTATTCGACTAAAAACACCAAATCTTAATATTGTTACTAGAAAAAGACTGGTAGACAGTAAAAAGGTGTCTTTCTAAAAAGTCGATCGTATTCCTTGATCGAATTATTCTCCAGAATCATACAGCTGCTATTTTGGTATTTTGACAAAAGCGCAATTCAAACCTTTTCACAACTCAGCAAATTACAATTCAGAACCAAATAATACATTCTTTCGTAATTAGGCCATAAACGTTTTTTTAACCTTTCTTTTCTCTTCGCATTCTTTTATCTTTCATGATCGTTAAGATTCGGATAACTTATCCGGGATAAGCCATTTTTGAATATTCAAAGAAAACAGATTTAACAGTTCAAAATAGAGAGAAAATGGTAGAGGAAAATCCAAAAGGAAGCGGATTTTCATATTTAAAACATTAGAAAATAGGCTCAAAAACCTGTGAAAATAGCTAGCTCAGGGACTTGAAGCCCTTACTCAGGTTTTTCGACAGGTTTTTGAGGGGAGGTATCTTGACCCGACAAAAACTTCGATATTTTTGCGTGGAAATTTTCAACCAATCAGAAGCCTTGATTTGGCTTACCAGCCAATCAGCAGCCAAGAAACCGCCAACGCAAAATTTGTCGAGTTTTTTGTGGATTCGTCAGGGGTCTGGATTCGCTTTGCGAAATCGCCATATAGCGAAGCGAAGCGAGGCGAAGCGAATTCGCTTCGCTTCGCTTTCGCTTTTGAAAATTTCAATTCGCTTCGTGACACCACCCCGTTTTGACCTCATATTGTTCGGAAAAATTCATGATTCAGCAAAAATTTTAACTTGATTTTAACAAAAAAGCCCGTAAAAAGTAACTGCCCTTCTAAATAAAATCTCATATTTTTCGACCTCGTTGACAAGATCCAACCTGGATAAAAGAGCACTTACACAATGATGGACGAGCCGATCGATTGGCGAAATCCGGTCATTCCGCAAGTTCCAGTCAGAGCGCCTTCCCCCTCTAAACAGAGACGACTTGTTCTTACCAGCTCAGAAGCTCCCAAAAGTTCAATCGCCAGGTAAACTTATTTTTCGAGCTCTTTTGCAAAATAATTTGTAAAAGTCGAATTTTTATCTTCAAAAAGCCGCACCGAATTTTTCGGCTAAAATTCAATATATTCTGCGAAGCCGCGGCGCGGCTTTTCAAATAATTGAATATTGAAAATTGAAAAGTATCATTTTCGAAGATTTTGACTCAAAAAGTTTCTCTAAAGCCAATTTCGCTCAAATTGAAAACCCCAGCTGAGAATTTCGACTGAGAGTATTAGGTATGCAAGTAAAATTAGCTGAAGCCCCTCTGCTCGAAAACTTGAAAACTTGAATACTCGAGCACTTTAGAGATGATCTAAATTCGAAGTCCTCACGTGTTCATTTTTCGCAATTGCATTTTCGCTCACGTTATTGTAAATTGTTCACCTTCAATTAACCCGAAATTGGTACTGTAAAGAATTTTCCAAAAAGCCGCAATTACAAGCTCTTTTTTCCTGCGCTAAATTCCTTTTTGTTCAAAGTTTTTCTCATCGTTTCTTTTTATTAAGACTTAATCAAAATAAAAGCCGCAGAGCGGCTTTAATAGATTTAGTGGCTTTTCCGAAATTAATATCAATAATTGAGATGATATTTTGGCGAAGCCGCTCTGCGGCTTTATCATGGAAAGCCGCAGAATCGTTTTGTCGGCGCGGCTTTTTTAAAATTTCATAAAGCCCCTGCTTCGCGGCTTTTTATCAAAGAAAAAAAAATTGCTGACTTTTCATTTTTTCTCAATTTTCGCCGCGGTTTCGGCTAATACTTGAACAAATCCAGTAATTGCGCTCGTGATTCAGTTCGCCAGTCATCAGCAACCCATCAAGCAATCTGCAGCCGCGACTCGCTCAGCCGCAAACTGCATCGCCGACACCACTGCTAAAAACAGCTTCAAAACCTAAATCCCCAAAAGCTTCAAAGGTAATTAATGCTTTACTGCTGCAAAAAATATTAATTTAAAAAAGCATTTAAATGATTTATGACATGTTCACACGTAAGAATTCGAAATTATAATTGAAATTAACACAAATAAAATTAAAAATAAAAAGTACAAATTTAAATAAAAAAATATCGTAAGAATTCGAAATTATAATTGAAATTAACACAAATAAAATTAAAAATAAAAAGTATAAATTTAAATAAAAAATTTTTAAAACTATTTTTTAATTATAAAATTTATAAAAAATCTTTTTATTATTTAAAAAAATTTATTTTTTTTTTACTTTTTTATTTTGGAAAAATTCAAATTCGGACTTTTTGTAATATTTTTTTGTTTATTTTCAATAATAATCTTTAATTCATTCCTCTTCTATATTTTCTTGTGCGCTGGCTTTCCAGAAAATTGGATCTTTATTAACCTAAGTCACGCATGTTTGGGACCTTTCATAAACTTTATCATTCATTTCCATAAACTGACGACCCATCGAATCAAGCTAGAAACATCGCGGAAGCACTTTCGAAATAAATTGTCTGTAACACGCAAAACTTACAGATTATTTATAGTAGAAGAAGCGCACGTAATCTTTTTTACCAAAAATGATAATCTTTTTTCGAGAAAATGAAGCTGGAATTTCCATTTTCGCCGGAAAGTGGCGGTAAGAGGTCCTTATCGACCGACCCGGATTATTTTCGGGAGAGGAGAGATTATCAGAAGCCCGTTAGCCCATTACATAAGCTCTAGAAACTCCGAAAAGCAACGTGGTTTTTACGATGAATTTTAAGAGATGCGCAGTCATCTTTAACGATTTCGTCGACGTCAGGGAAGTGGACGATTACGACAGAAAGGTTGACAAATCATGGACGAGACTGACTCAATATCAAAAGGTAAAATAATCGAGAGAAAAATAATTTTATTCTCAAATTTTTATCAATAAAGCGTCAATATGAATAAAAATTGAAGCTTTTTCGGAAATCCGAATAATTGACCGGAAAAGTTTATTCTTCTTCTACTTAAAATTCTTCCAGTACGGGGGTCCTCCACGTACAAAGAAAATGAAATTTCGGGCTTTCTTTTTCGGGGCAATCATCAAAAATCATCGGTATCACTAAAAATTCTGAAGGAGAAAAGTCAATAAAAATAAATAAAATTTTTCCATAATAAGAGAAGACATAGACAGCGCGACTAGTCAAATTCGCGGTTCAATCATCAGGTCGCGACATTCCGTATTTTCCCCGCTTTCCAAAATCGCTGCTCCACGAACTAGTCTGCCTCTAAAGCGACCACGTTGTGGATTGGAGCTTGGCAGGTTTTGCATCAGACGGGGCGAGGACCTAATCCGATAACTGTCGCTATCCTCCGCCAAAAACGCCTTCCGCTGTTTCGTCTTTTTCTGCTGACCTTTTAACTTTCGATTTGGGAATGGAATTATGCTCCCTCAAATTTGATCAGACCCGAGAAAGGTCAATAAAGACGGATTTCTTGGAGAATGACCAGACAGCAAAAAGACTATGAAAAAGGCCTAGGGTTATGACGAGGCTCAAAACCTGTGTAAAAACCTGAGTCAGGATCCAGAAAAACTTATATAATAAGCCGCCTTGCGGCTTTTTTTATAACAAAGCCGCGGGGCAGCTTCTCCAAAATTGCAATCTCAGGACCCTGACTCAGGTTTTTACACAGGTAGCCCATGCCTTAGAAAATGCATTTTCAGGGAAAATAACCCGAAAATGACCGTGAGAAAATTCGAAAATTCACTAAATTCGATCGAGGGCACGTTTTTAATCGAAAAAATCTGACATTGTTGATTTCAGTTACGAATTCGCTGCGAATTGAACGATTTCAAAACGACGGAAATGAACGTTCACCGCGAGAGCCGACAATTTACAAGGATGCATCGAATATAGAAAAATACGAAGAATTTGATTTTTATTTTTTTCTCCATTAAAAATTCGATGAAAAAGAGATGAACAGGGAAGAATAAGAAAAAAAACTTAAAAACTGACTGTGAAGATGAGTCTTTTCAGACTGTATATAATTCAGATAAAATTCGACATTACTGTTTACCGGATTCTTCAAAGGATGAAGAAGGGTGTGTGTAGAACCTGTGTAGAAAACCTGAGTCAGGGTCTGCAAAATCTTGATTTAAGGAGGGGGGGTCCTTAATCTTCAATTGTTTTTTTTCCAAAGCCGCTAAGATCTTCTTGGAAGCATCAATGTTCTTCTACCTTTTTCAGAACATAAAAAATTCAAAGCTGAGACCACGTGACGGTTTTTCAAAATTGCTCACACTGCACTATTGGGAGTCAATTTGGGATTGTAAATATTTTAGAGATCGGTTGAAAAAGAGTGCCACTTCGTTTCTTCTGAATCCAAAGCAAATAAATTTCCGATGAGAGTTTTGAACTTTTTCATTGTCGTCGGCCAGGTTCAAGCTAGCTTTTTTTCTCATGATGAAAGTGGACATGCGACATTTATTCATGTTTTCAAGGTAAAAAAGCTATTTTTTATGAACCAAAAATTTGTGGTGGTGGCTAAAAATCGCGACAAAAATCGATTTTTATGAAAAAAATTTTTCTGAAATCTGATTGGTCAACCGGCCAAATGCGTCTATCTGATTGGCTTTGATTAAAATTTAAGGATCTTGTAAAAGCAAAAGAACAGCGAGGCGAAAAAATCAGCTACCCAATGCTGAAAAAAGCGCTCAGCGAGATTCCTGCCATCATCAAAAGATCAACAGTTGACGATGATTTGATTCCCTTCTGATGTCAGAATTTAAAACTGTCTCAGGTTCCTTTTAGAAAAAATACTAAACCGTTAGAAGAATTAGCGCCGAGTTCATTGAAGGGGAAGATTAGAGATCGGCGTCTAAGACGTCAGGGATTATGACGTTTTTGTATACAGAGGCTTCGCATTTCTGTCAATAGGATTATCGGTTCAACAACTACTGTCTTTGCTTCTCATAAAATTAGCTCATTCTAAAGCAAAAATGCATTTGATTAAAAATTACGCTCGATTTTTTCAGCCAAATTTTATACTACCCTTGTTCATCATTGTCTCTGTGAAGGTGTGCCTTTGTTCATCCTCTTACTTCCTGCAGGTGGCCCTTTGTTCATCCGTGTACAGATTTCCTTTCATTTTAAATAATATGAGGCTTTACTGAAGAAATTTGTAATGCTACGTGGCCCAAGGGATGAACAAAGGGGCACTTGCGAGAAGTCTGATAATGAACAAGGGGACCCCCTTTTTTGACGAAAAGAGTAATCCAAAAATCTTCATCGCTCTTGAAACAAACAAGCCTCTCCCCTTCTTGGTCTTTCGAAATTAACATATCTGCTGTTTTGTCCACAGGTCTTTTTGAATAAACGTATCTTTTCTCAACTTATCGCCAGCTTAAAAAACAAACAAGCCTTACGTCGTATTTTCAAGGGCTCCGGGTTCAGTCGGGAATTTATTGATTTCAATCATTTTAATTTGACAAAGGGGAAGTTAAGAGGAACAGATGAACACTTATTATTTTTTGTTCTTGATGTCTTGGTGTTGTTAGTCTGAAGGGGTTTGTTGGTAAAGATGCTGAAGGTAGAAAGGAAAATTCGACGAATGGAAGCCTGGAGCTCGTTTTTCGTGCAGCTTGTCCCTGAAAATCCGGATTATGAGTCATATTCAAAACTAGAAATAAAAAACACATAGTCGGGAAAAAGGCTCTTTCTCTTCTTGTTCTCATCAATGATAACTTATCATTCGAGCCTTTGATTCAAGCCATCCAAAATCTCTAGAATCTGGGCCAGTGGTTAGGATTAGGGATTGGGAACTCTAAACGGGGGGGGGGGTCCGGGGGGAGCGAAACCCCCTGGTTTAGGCCTAAGGTGAAGGCCTAGCCCCCTGGGTTAGGTTTAGGGTTAGGGGCAGCTTAAATGATAACCCCCTACTACCCTTCTTGTTAATATTATAAAACTAAAATAATGGGATCGGTTAAAAATTTTCCTTCAAAATTTAATGAAGTACGAACCAGACAAACCCATCGTTAGATCGTTTCATGTACAAGCTGTATCGAGGCGGGTTGTAATTCAAATTGGCCGCGACAAGCGACAAAAAGCAAGCGAAGTAAAGCCGGAACATTTTTTTTTCTATTCTGGCAAAGTGAAGAAGTTCCTACTTAGCGAGTTTTATAAACTTACATTGCAGATGGAAGAACTGACAAAGCTGACAGTAATGGTTTTTGAGTAATGGACACATGGTTCTGTCACTTTGGCATTTTTTCAGCACTGTATAATCGCGATTTGCCGTAAATTTGTGGAATAAGCGAAAGTTCATTTGTTTGTGTAAAAAGATCTAAGCAAAAATCATCATATTTTTTCAAAGAAAAGTGCTCATAAAACAATGTTTCGGCTCGAAAACTCATGTTTCTAGCACCAAACAATGATCTATCTATTTGAACCTATGACTTTTTATTTTGATGCTTATTATGAATCCCGCTTGAATGGTAATAAGTAACGCTCTAAAGCGTGAAGCAGAAGCGCCCATTACAGCATCTCGCCAAGGAATGTGATGTTGGTCGGCGCCGCGGCCGCAGCTGACGATCAATGATGTAGCCACGACGCTATAATTGCTCCGATGTGTCAATTTTAACCTTCTTTTTACAGAATTCGTAATTTTGGTGCGATTTTTATTTACGATCATGTTTTTTGCGAATTTTTAGGAAAAAAATTTCCTAAAGAACGTAATTTTTAAAAAATTCAAAATAAAAGTCGGAAATATCGTCAGATTTTCATGAAAATCGATTTAGAAAAACGCCGGAATGACGATTTTCCACAGAAGCTACGTATTTTTTGATATTGTCTGGAACCATTTCAACGCCCCGAAATCGTTACTCTTCGTCGGTGCTGAAATTAAAGAGTCAAATTTCTCCATAATTCGCCACTTTTTCAAGTGGCCAAAAAAAGTAGATGAAGATAGACGAGATTTAGAGAAATCAAAAAGCCATCAAAAATCCCTCTTTTTAAACAGGACATTTGAAACAACAAAAATTAAATTAAAAATTAATTTATTAAGAATAAAATAAAAATTTTATATCATTTTCAGAAATTTTCATTTTTCTTTAATTTTTTGAAATTTTCTCTTCCTTGATTTCTCAAAATTTTGACCCGTTTTTTTGAGCCCTAGTTTTTGATTTACAACTAAAAAAGTGGATAAAAGAAGCTTTATAAAAGAAAAGGAGGTTCCCGTTTTTGTCTCTATAAATTGACCAATTCTACTATTTGGTCTTCTGTGTTTGTTCAAACGAAAAGGAGAAAAGAAATAGATCCAATATAAACACTGAGCAATATTGTGAGAATAAAGCAAAAATTTCGTTATCGCGAAAGCCAAAGTTGCTCATGTAAAAAGGACTAAGAGCGAAAAAACGAAGAAGAAGGCGAAAAAAAAGACGAGCATAATTGGTGAGTTATTATGACAAATCTTGAAATAATGGTCTTAAGCATCTGACTTTTTTATCTTCAGATTTGAGGGCAAGGAAGAATTTTCAAAGAGAGAGAAATGGATATTCCGAGGATCGAAATATCGCCACCTCATGCGAAAAATGAATATGAAGGAAATTGTTAAAACAAGTTTCAAATGAAACTTATCATTAATAAGTTATCAAAAAGGCAGTACCAACACGCTTTATCTGTTCCTTTTTTGAGAAAAACAAATTGTCAAATGGAATTAAATACGGAAGAATCTTAAACAAAGAAGTCTATTGATTTTTGAAATTTTGAAAACAAAACAAAAAGAATCTGGAATGGATTTCGCGAATCAACACAACAAGCTTCCTGCTCACAGCTCTCCTCACGTAGAATTCAATGCTCCGTCGATTCCTCATCGCTCCATGCAAAATGCTGCCTACAACTCGGCTTACGATTACGACTACAGACATCGCTACAATACTGAAACGCTTCTGCCAGGGTTCTGAAAAATATCTGATATCTTTACTTCAAAATGTCCTTATGAAACAAAAATGAACCCCTTGGAAAGTCCGCTCAAGCTCCTCACCATGGTTATTTTTCCTCTCCTGACGCATCTCCTATGGGCTCAAGAAATTCCAGGTATCAATAATTCTGCCCTTTTCCTATCTTCTTTCCAATATTCGATTAATTCCTAGGATACCTAGCCTCAAAGTCGAGAGTTCAATTTTCGTGGCATTTTTAATTTTACGAGGGGCACTTCAAATTTTACAATTTTGATTTTTATGCGGAATACGAATTTTTCGTTACAGAAATTGTAGCTTTATATCTAGGGTGGGCAAAATGGGAGTTTTAAGTTTCCTCGCATCTGATTGGCTGATAGAAAATAATCTGGGTTTTTACTGGCTAACAGGGACCCCAGCTCACACCCTCCCTCCAACCCTACTTAGAGATTTCCGCCCACCTTAGCTTGACAAATTCTTTTCAGCTTCTCGGACTTGGAGAACTTGGCAGCGTACGAGCAGCACATGTTTATGGTCTCGCCGAATTTGCAGATGACGTGAGTATTTTGACATTCCAAAGCAACCTCTTTTTCCGTGAGAAACGTGTCAGCTTCCTTCTTGGCCGCGTGTCAAAAACTAAGTGTAATTATTTCAGACATGGCCACAGCGATAGCGAAATGGTCGGTCACGATTTTGATGCGAAACGAAGAAAAGTCCCGAACCGGGCGAGATCGGGGAGCTGTATCGATGCATTTCAGTATAATAAGCAAGTGGAAATGCAGGCGCCATGGATAAGAGAATATCCGTCAGAGGTGAGAAGGGGGACCATAGCAATAGAAACAAAATGTAAAATGCGGTTTATTTTTTCTAATGAGATTTGATTTTCTCGAAAATAACAGACTTGATTTTGCACAAACTTGACTTTGAAATTAAGAATCAAAATTTTAGATAGATGGAATGCGAGTTGAAATCACAAAACAACCAGTTAACCACCGAGCTCAATACATTGGCGAAGGATCTCGTGGGCCAGTCAGATCCACCAAAGGAAAAGCTCTACATTTCGATCTCCCTGAAATTAAGGAGAAAACTCGAAGAGCTTTCAAAAAGGCCACCCTCAACTGCGAGTCTCTGGAGTGATCGGAAACATCGTCATACGAGTCTATCTCTGTATCGAGGATGATCCAGTGCGATATCATCCTTTTTACAGAGTTTGCAAAGTGCTGAACAAATTGAACAACGGAAGTCAGGGAGTTCAAGCGGAAAGAACTCTCGATAATGCCGTCATCATCGGTAAAAGAGATCGGGTTTATTATTCTAGCGGTTTTTCTAGAGCAATCTCACGTCTGCACATCGAAAAATGAGCTGATCGACATCAACAGCGTTGGAATCCTCAAGCTCAAAAACTCGACTGTCGAAGCAGCTTTTGGAGCAACTTTTTTCACACCGAGGTTTTTTCAGTTTCATCAGCTTAGAAAAGAATTTGCCAATAAAAATTCTTTGAATACTTTTATTGATCTTTTTCGTCACCGAAATTATCAATGAATCAAAAATCAAGGAGAAAAATATTTGCCGAAAATATTTTCGAAGTAGTCGAGTTCTTTGGCCCTTTTCTGATTAAAGGGTCATCCTGTTCAATTGACTAAAACTTAAGAAGCACAAAAGTGCGAATCGCCTTCATGGTCCAACTTCCTGACAGAAGCGTAAACAACATTATCCAAGTCCTGTCCGACCCCATTTGCTGCAGTAAGAACCAAGAGAGCTATTCCCTTCTATCAAGCGTTTTTAGATCAAATTTCGAGCGATCCAGTGGTAATGCGATCTTCAATTGACAAAGCTCCCGCCACGGGAAACGTAGAATTATGGCTCATTGGGAAGCATTTCAGACATTTGAAAGTGTTTTTTCAAGAGCTCGGCTCAGACGGAAAAGTTGTGTGGAAAGCAGAAGCGACCGTCAACAAATCATTTCTAGCAGCGGTAAATTATCTTCTCCGGTTTATTTTTTACTTAAAATTTGAAGAATCATTTGATCTGTAATGTCCCGGAATACTGCAACACGAACATCAAAGAGCCCGTCAAAGTCCAAGTCTACGTCCAAACTCAGTACAAAGAGCAATTCCGGACATCCTCCACAGTCGATTTTACATACACTCCCGTCAGACAAAATGAGAATATCTTCGCCAATCAAACTCGCATTAGCGACCCTTCTCCGGTAAGTTTCACCGTTTCTTCTTTTCCTTTCCAAATTCTAGATTCACCGAAACGAGCCGACAATGCGTCTGAAAGACATCGGAAAAACTGACAGTTTTGACCGAATGATCAACGCCCTGAAATTCTCTGTTGACCAGATGACCAATTCAGGTACTCTTCCTTGATTTCACACCCGATTTTTTTCTTAGAAAATAAATAAAACGAGTGAAAAGAGTGTGAAAAGAAAAAGCGAAGCTGGACAGAAATTATTGTAAGTCATTTACCTGCCAAGTAGAAAAACAATAAAGTTGCTTGATGTTCAATTATACTGTCAGGAAAGTAATACAGTGAAGACTTTATTACTGTAAGTTATCAATAAGTAGGTCGTCGGAATCAAGAAAAATGCATTCTTTTACGTCTTTTTCAGGCTTTTTTGCATAGAGAAGTCATTTTTTGATGACTCATAATTACCCCTCCCTCGATTAGGAAACAAAATCAATTAGGTTTAATTGCTCCTAAAGCCCGTTTCCTAACATAATACTTGGAGCCATGAAAAACGTTGAAGCCCCGCAGGACTTCCGGATTTTTCGCTTCTTCGGTCAAATATTTCACATCTTCGCCAATTGATCCAGGGGTCAGGTGGCCCAAGCCTCCGAGGGAGACAAAACAGAATATCTTGAAGGTAAAAGTCTTTAGGGGGGGATTAAAGGATCAGCTGAGAAAAATGACGTCAAAAGGTCGAGAAAGTTGAGAAATCTTGAGAAATAATTTTCTATCATTCTAAAAGCCGGCTTTTTTTATCCTTAAAACTTCTTATGTAATCATACAAAAGAAGATATCTGTTAGAATTTTCACCAATCTAAGGCTTTTGACTCAAAATTTTGATAAAAAAAGATAATTGTTCTCCAAAATCTTTGTCTTGAGTTTGGATACTAACACCCTTATTTAAAATAATAATAAAGAAATAATAATAATAAGTTATTTTATTATACAAATAACAAACTGAAGAACTTTCATTCATCTTTTCTTAGCTTGAATTTTCGAAGATCAACTTCAGAAAATTTCCATCAAATTCGTTAGACTTGTCAAAAAATGCCTTTTTTTTAATTTTGCAAAGAACTTGAATCCCCCGTTCCAGAAATTGAGTAAACCTCATCTCGCCAACTTAAAAACTTAAAAAAAAAATCTTCTTCCAATTTAAATGTTTCTCTTCGTCTAAATTCCTGATTCTGACTAAAACAATGAATGAGTGACGTTGAGAAGCAAATCTGGCTCGCCTTGTTCGTCCCGATTATCCTGTCGCTTTCCAGCGACTATCTGTCAGATTCAATGTTGAATCGAAACGATGAAAAGCCCAAATTCGCTGTTATTAATGAGCATCTTTCGAATAAGCAGACAAGAGGCTTTGCTCCTTGAGTATTCGGGATAAAGATGTTTCAGATGGGGTTAAGGATGTATATGCGGTCTGACATCAATGAGCAAGGAGAATTCAGTCAACAAATTAATTCGGGTCAGGTTTTATATCCGTTTTTGCTCGGTTTTAGGGTAAGAGTTAAGGTTAGCCCAGCCCAGCCTAGTCAAGCCGAGCCCAGCCCAGCCCAGCAAAGCCCAGCCCAGCCCAGCCCAGCCCAGCCCAGCCCAGCCCAGCCCAGCCCAGCCCAGCCCAGCCCAGCCCAGCCCAGCCCAGCCCAGCCCAGCCCAGCCCAGCCCAGCCCAGCCCAGCCCAGCCCAGCCCAGCCTAACTCTTAAAATCTTTTCTGGGTTAGGAGGGCAGTTCCCATTTAAGAATCTTTTTGTTTTTTTCTCCGAAGAAGCGTTTTAAATTCGAATTACAAGCCTCTCTACTGGCGGGTTCTAACATCTCGGAAGCACGTTTCTTCGATGTGGAAATTGCGGACAACGTAGAAACCTTTGCTGACAGCGCGCCGTGGAAATTTGGCTTGAGAAGTTTAAGCATCTTGCGTAAGAAAACGACGTCATTTAAGTCACTACTAATTGACTTGCAGGAACTTTCAAAGACATTCAACTCTTTTAATGCAAGAAAGTTCATTTGAATAACAATTTGTTTTTAGGAAATTACAAATCAAAGACACACATTAAATGTAGAGAATTATTTATTTTTCCTGTTATCCAAATACATGTAGAATATAATTAGGTTTCATTTCATACAATCAAATACTTTTTTCCTTGTTATCAATCAGATTTCAAGATTTCAAGATTTTTTTCTATAAGCTGCGAAATTACGGACGTAGACATTTTGGCATCAGTATTATATTTGCTTCATTTTTAAAATTTTTCTTTTATTTTGGCAATCTTTGAGTAAGAGCGAGTTTTTATACCATACGAGCACCAGCCGAGCTGTGTCATCAATTTTCAATGTTCCAGATCCGGTAAACTCAATCAATTTCAATCGATATTTTTACAGAAAGCTTCAAACCAAGAATAATGATTACGGACCTTTCACGTGAAACCAAGTTATTTATGATGATTAAAATTTGAAAATAACCGCAAGTCGTTTTTCCAACACATTTCCTTGCGTAAAGAGTACAGTTAAATGAATTAAAGATCGTGTTTATTTTTCATTTTTTATTGACAGGACAGTTTATTTTTTGGCATTTTTTCATCATGATTTCTTCTTTAAAGGTTGATCGCGTCTCAAGGAAAATGATGGCTGGAACAAGTTTGGACTAACTTTTAATGGTATCGTTTCATTTTAAAAATCACTCTTTCTTATTTAGCCGAGATTTGAGCAGACCAGAGTATTTATAAGAGAAGAGCTCCTACTGTTAGCTAAGAAAAGCCAGCTGTTTAAATCAATTTCTAACGCATTTCCAATCGATTAATCTTCGAATAATCAAATAATTTTTCGAAATATTTAACCTTCTTTAAAATCAAACGAAAATTGTCCGTCGGCTAGACATTGTCTCAAAAACCCTTGCTGGGAGAAAATCTGCTCGATGCGCAATGTTGCCGGAAATCTAGTGCTGGTTGAACTTGGTTGAATCCAACGCAACATGGATTTTCGCTGCGGTTACGAATAGAGGGACCGGAAGCTTTATTCGGCGAAGAGGACGCGCGATTTCACCCCGCGTTACGAGCAGGCCCTTGTCCAACCTAACACAAAGACGTTCTAACACGTGTTCACGAAATTTTTCTTCCGGGAAAATTTCTTCTCCAAGCATTTTTGGAGTTCATAGCTTTGTTGTCTTTTAGCATCTTTATCGCAGAATATTGGATAATGAAACAAACAATGAAGACAAAACCAATTTATTGAAGTTCATTTTTCGATAACCAATAAGATTGCTGTATTTGGCCTACCGTCCAATCAAAACCCTGATCCATAAAATCACATCCATGAATTGGTTTAAGGAACATAAAATTCGAATCTTGGTTCGAAATTAAACCGACCCATTTTGATGAAGATAAGGACAAAAAAGTGGCTCATTTGAAATCTGATAATGAAAAAACATCTGTCGATTGCAATAAAAGCACAGCGTAACTTCTGCAAACGCCTTTATTAATAGAAAATAGAGACACAATATCCATATTTTTTTCAAATGAATCACCTTCTGCTTGAATTCTTCTTTAAAACGATGCAGTTTTGATTTAATAAACTCTTGTAAGCAAAAAAATAAGAGTCCGTTTCCAAGGAAAAAGTATGATTATAATTGCTCATTAGTCAGAAAATGACGCTCAAAGATGAACTCTCTGGACTCTATCCAGCGTTAACCTGTTAGAATCGTCAAGGACAAGGCTAGATATTCTTTTCAAAATTGACAGGGCTCATTACAAAGCCCACTTTTGCTGCGAAACGAATGCGACATATTGTTCTAAATCATTGTCCAGCTAGTCAAAATTAATTAATCCAATGCTCGTTACCCATGTTAATCGACTTCGGCAACGGGTTAATCGCTTACGTGTAATGATCGTCTTCACGATGAAATTTTTAATAGAAGGATGATCTTTTTTGGCAAGCAAAATTTGAATTTCATCAAAAAAATCAAACTGGATTTCGAAATCATATAAAAATGGGTAGCCATTTTTCAAAATTCTCTTTTTCATGATTTATGAATCCGTTAAATTGAGTTCATCCTTGATTTCGTTGACCTAGCAGTTTTTCAAAGTACTTGCCCTGCCCCCAGCGACTTGGAGACAAAAATGAAAACTTAGAGCTAAAAGCAGATCGAGAGATTTTACGAGTTGATAGAAAGACTTGATGATGAAGAATCAAAATAGGAAAAACTTCACAAAGATCACTTTCTTATTTTCCTTCCTCAAAAACGTTTCCGCGAGGGGAAGAGGAATCGTACGAAGAAGGAATGGATCAGATGAAGGAGGCTTGCCTGGCTGGGTAAATTCTTTCTTTAACTTGATTAATTTCGATTGTAAAAGGTGATTTTCTTCGGCGGTCTTCTTTCCCTTGTGTTGTCGGCTTGGTTGATTGAAAAGTATTGCTGTAAGAAAACAAAAGAAAAGGAAAAAGGAGAGCCTGAGCTTTTAACAGTTGAATAAAAAATAGAAGACTCGAAATTGACTTCAAATTCTTGCGAGTTTTCATTGCGTCGATTAACAGAAAAGAAAGAAGATTGATCTAATTATACAAATTTCTTGCACAAGAAGAAAAAGACGAAAAAATCGCCGTAATTAGATATTCATAGCCTATCAGTGCTGATTTAACAAGATTGAATTAAGATTCTGCTTCTCTCGCTTTCAAGAACTTGCCTTGTCAAGTTGATTAGGGCCGCCGCGTAACGATTAGCGCGGCAGGTGGCGCTGTTGAAATCGGCGATATAATTTTAGGAACGCTAGAAAATCGGGGAATCTGAGTTCTAGAGTGGATTTTGAGTCTGCAGAGAGAGAAAAGGAGCAGAATCGACGAGAGCATGAAGATTCTTTCAATATTGGTAAACTTCATTTGATATTTAAATTTTGATTGGACCAAAAAGGCTCGAAACATGAATATGATGCCTCAAAATTTCATCTCATTAAAAAAATTTCAGGCATTATCGTTGATAGAAGATATTAATGCTGGACGAAAGAAAAAGCTCGAAAGAAGAAAAGCTCTTGCAAAAGAGAAGATAAAGTTAGGGGCTTCTTATTTCGGAAAAAATCAAGCTAAACCCTAACCTAAGCCTGTTTTTCACCCTAACCCTAAGTTGTTATCCATAAAAACCCCGGAAAAGATGCTGTTTTTGACAAAGAATCTATCGCGGCAGCTAATTTCAATTATTGCGGCAATTTTACGTCCACCTCTGGAGTTTTGGAGAGCGAGCATCCCTACAAGCCCGAGACAAGATGTAAGTGGTTCATCACAACTCCGCCGGGGACGAAAATAAAACTGACGCTCCTCAACCTCGACATCGAAGAAGAAAGATCAGACGATGGCCCAAAATGCTCAAATGTCGATATAACTCTTCCAAACTGCGATCCGCCGCTAGAGACTGAAAGTTGCGAGTGGGACTATCTCCAGATTTTCGCCAAAGAAAAGGAGGAGGCGAAAATCTGCGCTTTGGTCGACCGAAATCGTAAATTTTTCAGAGCAGATTCAAAGTTTTTAGAATATGACTACGAAGACGAAGGAGCTATTCCGTATGATTTTCTTTATGGAAAAGAGCTGGAAACGAACAATGTTGAGATTCGATTCGTGAGCGATGAGAAAGTAGAGTTTTATGGCTTTCGGCTCAAGTGGGAAATTTGGGAACACAGGGGTTGTGAAGGGATTAATGGATGTGATGAGAATGCGGACTGTAGGGATGTGAATGACCAAGGAGAGTATGAGTGTAGCTGTAAAGAGGGGTTCGAAGGAGATGGGTTCTTTTGTAGAAGTGTTGAAATCAAGGAAGAGGATCTGAATCAAGATCGTGGACCGGCAGATTATCAAGCGCGATTTGTTCTTGGCGGATTTGATGATGATTATTCAGGAATGAGATTTCACATCTGCAAATATTCTTATGTACAAGGAGAGAAATGTAATGTCAAAATTATAGTAAACATGATTAAATATTATCGATAGACTGCAAGTAAAAAAATTATAAATACAACAAATTCAAACAATACTTATGGTTTCTCGCTGAAATCTCATCAAAGCAAAATTCATCTCCGAAGACTATTCTGCTCGATATGTTCCTCCTCAAGTTGACATGGACTCATCTGATAGTCCTGATGATGCGGAAACTAACTATGATGATTACGACTATGCTCCAAAAGCTCGACCTCCAGTCAAAAACGATGATGTCGACTATTCAGCCCGAGAGTCAGAAGTCATGATGAGCGAGCTCAATTCTCTCCAAGAAGAACAGAGCAGTCCAGCTGGTCCCGGGGGACCAGGAGGCCCAGGTGGATTTTCAAGGCCGATGGTGGATATCAGCCCGAGCAATTTAAACCTCGTTACACAAGGGATGATGACAATAAGTCCCCCTAGTGTCGAAACTATGCCTAATTTGATAATTCCCAAAAATGAAACACAGGTAGAAAAGGGCTTCTTTCCAGGAATAAAGACCCTAAATGAAGACCCAGTCAATTATTACATCAATCTGCAAATCGCTTTTGAGCAAGCTACCGAGAGAATTCTCGGTGGCCGCGTTTCTCAGTGGAGAAATCGACCTTTTTTGGTCAAGAAAATGATCGTCAGGATCAAAAGCACGATCAAAAAGACCTTCTTTTACGTCAAAGGGCCTTGTGATGTGTCCTTAGAGGACCAAACTTCTGGCGAATTCTTCGCTCAAACGGAGCAGAAAGTTCAAACCGTGGAGAAACTCGGAGAGCTGAGGGGCCTTTTCGCGGAGTTTGCTGCTGAACGCTTCAGAAAAGTAAGAAAAGTCCTGTTCATTCTGTCAAGAATTTTGTTTTAGGCAAGATGCAGGGGAAGATCAAAGAAAATCCTCGGCCGAATAAACAGGCTCCTCAGCTGGGCCGGGAAAATGTCCTCGAGATAAGTTTCCACCTTTTTTTTCTGTAAATATGCTGTAAAAATCTACATTTTTCTGAATAAACTATCCTTCGTTAACATAATTTCTACAAGATATTTTCTGAGAGCGCTTTATTAGAGGATTTAATCAGGATTGTGAAGTAATTTTCTTCAAGATTCCAGAGCAATTAGTTGTGAAAAGAGCCAGAAAAGCGTAAAGAAACTCCTTTGATTCTTTTCATTTTTCTCTTTTAGTAGCCAGTAGCCGGGTAAGTCTCCTCACCAGTGTACGCCCATTCCACTCGAGTAGTTGGGTACCACCATTCGGGTTCTTTGACGCAATTGTCCGAGTCGCAACATTGCCGGCAAACGGAATGAGTGTAGCCCGCCTCAGGTCGGCACTGCGTGTAGTGGGGGTTAGGGTTGCGGAAGTTATTGTTCATGTTGTTTTTGCAAGCGTCGGTCGATTTGCAGCCGGTGCGGATTTGCATGATCACTCCTTGGCGCTGGCGGATTTCGAGCTCGCAGGATTTTTCGTTGGCTTGGCACATCTAGAAAATAACTATTAAAATCTATCAGAGGTCATGGTAAATCAGAAATTCGAAAATATTTTTCATTTAGAAAATATTTTTAAAAATTCATTTTGACAAATATTTTCGTTGAGTTATGGTTTCTTGAAAAAAAATTGAAAAACTTACAACTTCTCGTCCAGAAGTTCCGCAAAGCTCAAAGCTATCAGCATCGCAAGTCCAGCACTTGAGTGGCGTGGCATAAACTGGGCTTCCGTAAGCTCCGTAGTTGCCGCTCGCACTTGGGTTTTTCAAGTTTTGCTGGCTCGTTTGCTGAAATTGCTGCTGCTGCTGTTGATGGTGGTTTTGTTGTTGGTGAGCTTGGCTGTTGAAGTTCATGTTGTTGTTTTGAGCTGGGGCCGGGTTGCTGTTGGACATCGAGGCCAGCTGGGCAATGGCTTCGTGGTGGGCGCCATTGGCAAGAGCGAGGATAGTGGTGAAAAGCTTCATTTTTCTGAGAAAAAAATTGGAAAAGGGGATACTCGATTATTTCAAGTTTCTGATTCGGAAAGAAAGAAGAGAGACTTTATAGGTAAGATGTGGAAAGTTGACATTTTCGGAAGTAGCGCGGTCAATTAATCGCGAATTCGGGACCTTCAAAATTACATGATCGGTAAGCAGAAAAGGTGAAATTGAGAATTTCTCGACAGTCGCACCAATCATCGGCTTCTTCAGTGAATCTTTTTTCTGCTGTAATCAAACTCATTCAAATATGACCTGAAGAGTTTCGTCATAAATAGTTGCATCGTTTATTATACGATGACTTTTGCGAACCTGCGGCCAGATTATATTTAACCCGACGCTGGGAAAGATAAGACCTTTCGTCAGTCTAAAGAGAAATCTCAGAGATGGCGAATCTTTCACCAAATGTCGCGGGCTTAGGTACAGTACTTTCCGGGACTTGAATTGATTCTCATTAGCGAATGTGCCGAATATCTCCTGTACAACAAGTCCAACTTATACTTCAATCAAGAACGCATTTAACTTGGCATTTGGTCCGACAAATACTGGAAAAGGAAAGGCTAATTAAAATTCATCCTTGTAATAAACGAGGAAGCACAAGCATCATAACTAACCCAACATAATATCATGCGAGTTCTTGATGATTATGGGTGCAATCCATGCGTGATAATCATGATTATTTTTCCTTTATAATGATCTCTATTGAAAGACTCTTTGAAGATCAAAGTTTGATTGATCAATGATAGACTTTTTCTCCAGTCTGGGAGAATTTAGTAGTCTTTTCAAAAAGACCTTTTTGATGTTTTTAATTAGCCAGCATTTTGAAAATTTCGGCGTCAATCCCGACTGCACCGACTTTGGTCCGATCCGTCAAAAGTACCCGCAAGGTGTTGCCGCTTCCTCTGGCGGGAGCGGTTTTTACTGGCAACTGACTGACTCTGGCAACGATTTTCGAGAGTCGTTGACATTCAAGTATCAAGTAAAGTTCGAAGATGGTTTCGAGTTTGTCAAGGGCGGCAAGTTACCCGGCATCTACGGCGGCTCATCCGGCTGTGGAGGTGGAGCAAATGCAGCAGAACTCGGCTGTTTTTCGACTCGATTGATGTGGCGAGCAAATGGGGCTGGGGAAGTTTATCTTTACGCTCCTTACGATCAAGCTGATGGTTTTTGCGACCGGCCGAATTATCACTGTAACTTTGACTATGGAAATTCTATCGATAGAGGGTCCTTTTCTTTTACGCCTGGGCAGTGGTATCAGATCGAAGAAAGAGTAAAGGAAGGAGCTTAAATTAACACTGAAGAATCTTCACCGAAGATTGAAGATTTTAGGAAATTATAGAAGTTAAAAAGATTAAATTTTAAATCAGTAAGATAATTGCTTTAAAAAGCTCAGATAAAAGCTAAACACAGCCGGCTCTCTTGATGGTACTCTTATGCTATTTGTGGATAACATTCTCAGGATAAACCTCAACGACGTCAATTACCGAGTCGATCCTCTTTTGAAAATACATGGGGGCCAGTACTCGACTTTTTTCGGCGGTTCTTCTGCAGAATGGGCTCCGGTAAAGGACGAATATGCCCAGTTCCGAAACTTCGAATTTGCCGAGTTTTCTGATTCGCTTGATCCAATCGTTGTCGATCCAACACGATGCGATAGAGAAGCGAATTCATGTCATAAAGCGGCAGAATGCGTTATTGAAAATGGAAGCAACATTTGCCGCTGTGTTGATGGCTGGACGGGCGATGGGACGATTTGTGTTGAAAATCCAACTTGTGAGAATATGCCTTGCCATGAGTTTGGACACTGCTCGATGAGAGATAATGTTCCGATTTGCTTTTGTAACGACGGATTTGCAGGAGATGGGTTTGCATGCGGAAATGGGGAGACAAGGAAAGGGTTTATGTTTGTTGATGGTTAGTTTGATTGATCATTTCGATGATAAAGATTTTAAAATCGCCTAATTTTTTATAAAACATGGAAAAAAAATTCACCAGTATGCAAAGAATAAAAATAAATCTATTTAAAAATCAGAAGGTTTCTTATGGTTTCAACAATTTTTTCTTCAGAAATTTCCTGCGACGTTGAACCAACCTACACCGCAATCCGCGAAGCTTTCAATCTCCCCGGCAATCCTGGCAGCACCGGCCGTGACAACCTAGGCAAGCTCGAAACTTGCCCCGATGGCGAAACCACTCCAATCCGTCAACTTTACCCCCAAGGGGTTGCTGGCGGAGCGGGCGGAAGTTATTTCTACTGGGAGCTGCCCGCTGCTGGCGAGGACTACAGAGAGTCGCTTTCTTTTAAATACGATGTGATGTTCGAAGATGGATTTGAGTTCGTCAAGGGTGGAAAGCTCCCAGGCCTCTTTGGTGGGAAAACTGGATGTTCGGGAGGAGCAGATGCTGCGGTGAAAGGCTGTTTTTCCACAAGACTGATGTGGAGAACCGGAGGCGAGGGAGAACTCTATCTCTACGCTCCCTACAATCAGGCCGATGGTTTCTGCGACCGAGAAGGCTACCACTGTAATTTTGATTACGGCCATTCCGTCCAGCGAGGAGCTTGGACCTTTGTCCCGGGAACTTGGTACAAAATCGAGCAGCGAGTTCATTTGAATACTGCCGGCAATCTTGATGGGAAGATTAAGATTCTTGTGGATGATCAGCTTGTCCTCAGCCTCGATGATGTTAATTACAGAGAAGGAACAGGGATCAAGAAGTATTTTTTAATAAGTAACCCGATTTTAGACACTTCGCTTAGATAAGCATGCGTAACAAAGTTCTAAAAGTACCTCTCCATATAATCTCGATTCTTACATCAGTCGACACTATTAAAATCAACGGCGCTCATTACAGCACCTTTTTCGGAGGATCTAGTAGCTCGTGGGCTCCTGTGAAGGATGAATACGCGCAGTTTCGAAATTTCGAGTTCAGCGAATATCTCGACTCGGATCGCGCCGCAGTTTCAGCCTCAAAGCATTGCGACAGGAAAGGATTTGAATTTTAATACTCAATAAGAAGGTTCCCAAGCTCAGAAGATTCTTCCTCAAATAATTCTTAAATAGGTTTTTAAATGGTTGCCAAGAAAATGAGGTGTGCTTGGAAATGGCTTCAGGAGACACTTGTGTTTGCCACACGGATTGTATCAACGATCGTAAGTAGCTGCGATATGCGTAAATACATATCATCATATGTATATCATGCTATTTATAGAAGCGTTCCAAGATGTATATTTGTCTTATATAACACATTATAACATATAATTATCCAGAACAAATTATTCAAAATAAATTGATCGGATCACTGAATCCTTGAATCCTTTATCAATCAATGGATGTCAAACGAGCTCAGTTTGATTGAGTTTGTTACAATATCCTTACATCCAATTGATGGTATAATGATTGTAATACAATCATTGTATCATTAAGAAAAGGAAAGAAATAGTCTTTCTTCATGTTCTGCTCGTTTTTTTTCACTTCAATGAACATTGGCTAATTGGCTAATCAATCAAATGATAAAACAATATTTCGTTTTCTTTCTGGCGAAAACAATTTAGCCGGTTCTTTTTTGGCCTCACAAGCAACTTATTCTTGACTCAGATGAAGAAAGAGAGTATGAGTTAATTCACGTGATATCCGAACTGGTATAGAGCAAGAAGTACTACTACCTAAGGTGTTCCAATTATCTTACAATTAATTCAAGGAGGGAGATGATCAAGAGCCGTGATACGATGTAAGTAGATCTTTAATTTATTCTACAAGCGTTATTAATAGAGTCTTGATTATAATTCGAGTATTCTCGAAAGACGCCAATCAAGAAGAAATATAAATGCTTAACTTACTGTTTTTCATTGGAAAGGATTTTTATTTTCTCAAGAAGAGAATAAATTTTCAATTATGCCGATATTTTATCGCACATATCAGCGAATGCATTCCAAGCTACCGCGAGACAAAAGTTTTACCCTACCCGGGACTCGAACCCGGAACCTCTGGATTAGAAGTCCAGCGCGCTATCCATTGCGCCAGCAAGGCATGTCCCTCGCCGCTAATTCGGGGGATTTGATTCTTGCTACTTTCAGCTTACCAGGTGTGGAATCCGCCTTACCGACTCTTTTCTGGCTATTCAGATAAAATTATGAATTAGAATGTTTATTTTTCGAAAAAATGTACTCATGACTTGAAATAAAGGATCATTAACGATATTATTTATAGAATTTTAACGAAGAATCATATTTCCAATTTGAACAAATTAATTTTCTTTATCAAATAATTCGTGAAATCAATAAAGTATTTTTTAATAATTCTCTCAAAAAGTTGTTTTTATACAAGCAAAGCAAAAACTCGCGATGAAAGAAGAATGTGGAAACGACCGGTAGAAAAAAAGGTTGAAAGGGCCGCGGGCGGTTTTCTTGACAGGCCTAGGTCATATTCCACGAGAATTTTGTACATCAACACTACAATCAAAATTTTGATTGATTGACTTTTTTGATAAAATGAAACTTTAGTAAAGCGAATTAAATTGGAAGTAATAAGAAATACATAATTTTTGAAAAATGATGTAAGTTTTAAAAAGAGAAAAAATCGAAGAAAATATTTCGAAAAGAAAATTACATTTATTTTTCAGTCGGATGCAGAGAATATTTCGCCTCTTCGCGACGCCCTTAGTCGTGACCTTTTTCGTCATTTATTATAAAGAAGCTACATATGATCGAAACACCAAGGACTTCAGCTTTGATCCAATTCCTGACTCCGTAACAGTCGATACTCATGGAATCGCGGAGAACTTTGGGATCAATCCGGGCCCAGAAAAGAAGGAAAAGAAGAAAGATGATGGTTTTGCGAGAGTTCAGGGAAGGAGTTAAACATTTCTAGTAGTAGGAGCCTTACTCATCGAATGAATTTTCTTTTGACGCAAAAATAACGGTCTGATAACTTAAATTGCTCGACTATGGCGTGACGTAAAAGTCTGGACTTATGACGAGAGCCCCTTTTTTTAAGAAATAGTTACTAAGCAAAAGACGTAGTAAAGAAAGATGTTCCAACTCCGGGAAAAGGGGCAATTGGTTGAGCACGGGATGATGGATATGTCGGATGTAAATGTCAACGTGAAGGAAAAAATGGTACTGGAAGATAAACCTTTCAAAGTTGGCCTTTCCGAGAATGTGGATTACGCTGACGGTGTCTCATTTCCCACAGTGGAGGAGCTGGATTTAACTGTCGAGCAGAAACAAAACCTGAGCAGTTTCCTCCATTCGCCGATGAACAGAAGAAGGCAGAAAAAACATGGGCAGGAAATTCCAAAAAGACGGTGGCCAGATCTGATCATTACTGGTGCGAAGAAATGTGGAACGACGGCGTTGAAGATTTTTATGAACTATCATCCGACTTTTCAGGAACGTATTTACAAATTTTCTAGTGGAGGTATTATAAGTAATCGACGATACTGTATCGTTGATACTGTTTCTCGTTGATACTGTTTCGTTGATACTACTCTAAATTCGGTAAACCGAGAAACTAAAAATCTGTGACTTTTAATTTTGAAATAGGTCTTATGGTTTCCTATGAAGTAATTTAATCTTTGACACTAACGAATTTTCAAAATACGAAAAAAGGACAAACCCGGCGAGCGTCATTTCTTCAATCGAGCCCCTAATTGGAAAAAAGGCTACTCTTGGTATTTGAGTGAGATGCCGCTTACTTACGATGATGAGGTACTGACTTTAATTGATGTTGTATCTATCATTTTATCTTTGTTAATTTTAAGAAAAATTGGCAGATAGACAATGTTGTTTTTGAGAGATATTATATCATATATACATTTGATATTATTCGATATTGAAAAAATTTCTCCTTTGTCAAGCTTTGATCAATCAACCCGGCTCAAAAATATTCTTTAGGTTTGCTACGAGAAAACTCCGGACTACTTCGATCGACCATTTGTTCCAGAAAGAATGAAAGAACTACCGAACTCCGACAAAGTCAAGTTTATTCATGTCCTTTGCGATCCGGTCAGGAGAAGCTTTTCGCACTTTTTGCATATGTTCACTGTTCAAGGTACAGTTTTATGAATGGATGCAGAAGTTTGATCTTGTTTTTAGAGCATGGAGAATGGGCGACAGGAGGATTCGAATTTTTGTCCAAAAATTTCGGAGACATGCCGAAAGAACAAGCCTTTGGGGAAACGATTGAAATGGCCTTCAAAAATCTCCTCAACGGGAAAGAACTAATGACACTATCAGATGACGAGATCAGATCTGCTGTCCGAGAATATTTCACCAAGTAAGTATACAAGTAGCTCATCATTGTTCCATACCAAAGTTATCAGACTCATAGTATGAACTCATACCATTGGTGATAAGGCTTATCGCGCCGGAGGGCATGTCCCACATGGTCTAGGGGTAAGGATTTCGGATTTTCACTCCGACGGCCCGGGTTCGATTCCCGGTGTGGGAGGACTTTTTCGATTTTGAGAGGAGAAAAATTAAGAATAAGAGGGAAAAATTGATCAAAATGATATTTTATTGGGTTTCCTCAATTGATTTCAAAAACACTTTATCTCAGAATCGAAAAAGTGCTCCCACACCGGGAATCGAACCCGGGCCGTCGGAGTGAAAATCCGAAATCCTAACCCCTAGACCATGTGGGACATGCCCCTACGGCGCGATAAGCCTTATCACCACTACTCATTTCTCAATTTTCAGATGGGACTTGAAGCCTGGCGATCCGAATCGCGTCTTTCCACTCCGAATCCCTGACGCAATCCTTACTGGAAGTTTGTACTCGGTTCATATTTCCACTTATCTCCATTATTTTACTCAAGGTAATAAATATTTTCGTGACGAAGGGGAGGGGCAATTTCAAATTCAGATCGAATGCTATATCTTGACGCGACGGAGCTGATCGAAAATCCTGGAAAAAGTCTCCGACGAGTAGCTCAATTTATGAACGTACCGGCAACTATCGACGAGAACAACTTTTACTTTGACGAGCAAAAAGGTCAGTGGCAGGTCTTCTCGACAGCTAACATCAATCATTTGTTAGGTTATTACTGCATGACGCCGCCAGTTGAGTCAGGACGTGCTTCATTCTGTCTCGGTTCTGAAAAAGGTCGCTCAAAGGACAAGGTGCTTCCCGACGAGTTGAAGAACCGAATACGGCGCTTTTACAAGCCGTTTTTAGAAGATCTAACGAACAAGTATTCCGGCGATAATTATGATCACTGGGACTGGTAGAATCCTATCTTACTTATTTAAAGAAAATACTATTATTAAACTGCCATTACCAATTTTATTATTTAATTCTAGATTTCTGTCACGGATATCGACAATACTGTATTGTGATATTGTTCATAAAGCATTTAGAAATAAACCTATATATACACAAAAATAAGATACCGACTATTTCAGACTCAAAACCCGAAAAGCGCCGCCACTAAGGCTTTCCGGGGCTTTGATTGGCTGACCAGGCTTATTCTTTTTTATTCTAGAAAATTCAAAGCATGATGGATAAAAACTTAAGAAGGCGGAAATTTTTGTTGATGAGGCAAATTTGGATGAATTTTTTCACCCCTTCTGGATTTCTTCTGACGGTTTTTCGAAGCTCTTCGTTGATCGATTCTGATGAGTCATCCACAATCGCCAGCAAGGATTCTAGCTCCTCGAGCTCGGGTATGGCATCTTCTTGCTCTTCCACCTGATTTGTCACGAAATCGATCAGGTGCTCAAGGTAAAATCGGAACGCAACTGCACTGAGAGGGTTGTTTTTATGACCGACGAGATCCATGAGGACGTTTTTTCCAGTCTGTACTCGTCCTAATCGGAGTTGGTTCTGTGCCAAAAGCAGCGTCGATGATGGGCTTAAAAATATTCAGAAGGGAAATTTATTTCTTCACCAAAGCAATTAAAGTGCACATTAAGGTACTTGCCAGGAATGATTGGACAATTATCTTTACATAGTAGATATACTATCTATCTTAGATAGACTATCTATCTATGTTTAATTCGCTCTATCTAGGCAAGCTTACCTTAGCCCTCGCTCTTTTATTTCATTGCACAAATCACTACTTTTCTGAAACAGTTCTTGATCGTTGACTGTACTTCCCAGTAGATACAGCATCGACGCCAGCTCCAACTTATTGAACTCAGTCGCGTTTTCTCCCTTCAAAAATGCTTGAAAATCGTCCCTCGCCGATTTGAACTTTTCCACAGCCTCCCTCAAAACAACAGTAATAAAAGATAAGTCATCCTTGTTTTCAAGTGTAAAAGGGTAGCCGTCACTTACTTGGCGTTATTTCTGCCCTTTTCGCTAACTCCCAGGATTTTGGATAGTCGACCACGTAGCAAGACTCCAACGGATGAATCAGGACTGTGCGACAGAGCAAGTTGAACTGAGCCTTTTTCAAAGTTCATTTTACAAGAATACTTCGCGTCTAGTTTTCTATGTGGAAAACATACAATGTAAATGAGGTTTTAGCCAAATTGGAATTATTATTGAAAACTTTTGCCATCGCCACCGGAAAATTATCGCAATGAAGTAGAAACAAAGATGTCAAAAGATAAAGTTCCGGATTTTCTTCGCAAATCTCCAGCATCTTTGAAACAATGTTCAAATTCTCCCCAGCACTATTGAACTGGTAGTCATCGATGGAAACAAAGCGTAAAAAATAAGAGTAGAGTTGTTGAACCGGCGTCTCGTCGACAGAAGAGTTATGTTCGAGAAGATTGACAAGATAGGACTTTTTCAAGGGTGGCTTAGCTCGACAACAGGTTTTGAACTGGAGAGTAGACTTATTGCCCCGTCCTGAATATCAAAGGGCAGCTTTTTCTGATGAAAACGCAGCAGAATCCGACTCAGAGAGATCCTTTGAACTTCATCAAGTTGTTCCAACTGAATGTTGGCAAAGAGCTTCTTGGCTTGTTCAACATCAAATGATTCTCGTTCCTCTTGATCGTAGTAATCGAAGCAGAAGAGAGCGAGTCGGTCGATTTGGAGGCCATTCCAAGCGGAAGGATTTTCTTTGAGGATTTCTTTGACTCGTTGAATTTGATGCTCAGCAGCTGATTCTTTTCGGCGCTTTGTCAGGGTTGTTATAATGGTAGTAATTCATAGAAGGGGTTTAGGGTTAAGTTGACAGAGTAAGACAAAGGGGCCCCAAGAATGGATGGCTCCTTGGGGGTCAGACCCTTAGGTAGTAGTAGGGGCCTATCATTCGAGCTGCCCCTAACCCTTAAGTTAAGGGCCTCAACCTAACCCAGGGAGCTACGCGGCGTAGCCTACGCCCCCGGGACCCCCCACCTAGGGCCTCAAACAGGGGCTTCGCCCCCCGGACCCCCCGTTAAGAGTTCCAAGACCCTAACCCTCACCAATAGCCCAGGTTATTGGATGGCTCGAATGATAACCCCTCTTTACGCTTTTGGCTAGGGTTTAGAATCTTGATTTCAGATAAGGGGAAGGTGCTTGATATAAATGCTAAAGAAATGTTCTTTCTCAATATACAAAATGATGTTCATCGCTGATAATTATCAGATTAAAACAAGATATAGACCATATCATATAGTTGAAACATGTTTCGGAGAGGTACGCTTTGCGAAGAAAAAGTGTAACCTTGATGTAATAAAACCCGATTACTGAGCATAGATGTACGAAAGACTCAGCAAGGCGGTACAATTTTCAGAGGATTTTTGAAGAATCTTCTCGAGTATTTTAAGCGAACTTAATTAAGAAATTTAGATAGGGCTTTATAATTAAAATGATTCACCTCGATATATAGCCAAGTTGATAAGAAACATAAGCAAGAATATTCTGAGTTGTTGAGCTTGTTATTCCGACTTCTGAATCGATGAGAATTGACGTCTTTGATCGGATCTTTTACAAATAAAAAAAACAAGGCAATTTATATACAATGCAGCGGATGAATTGATCAATCAAAAATTCTCCTTTTCAAATTGACAAATTTTCAAGATGCGTTCCTGGAGATCATTGTGAATCGCGTGGAGAATTCCTTCATGATGCTCGATGCATTTTGGGTGACGATTATTGAGATTCAAGAGCTGAGAAAAAAGTGACTTCATTTCTCTGAAATTCTGTTTTTTCCAATTTTCAATCCCTCTTCCTTTCAATTTTCGCCGGAGGTCAAGTTCTATGAAGGTTTTCTCCTATAACATTATTTGACGTTATTTTTGGTCTTATGTTGATGAAATTCCCGAACCCTATCGAAGGTTGATCTTTTTATAGCTGATCCTCCTTTAATAAGAAAATATAATAGAAATTGTTCATAAGACGCAATGGCCCATTCCGAATGGGTAGTAGGGGGTTATCATTCAAGCTGCCCCTAACCCTAAACCTAGACCAGGGATTCGCCCTCAGACCCCCTTAAGAGTTCCCAGTCTCTAACCCTACCCAATAGCCCAGATTCTAGAAATATTGGACGGCTCGAATCATAGGCTCGAATAATAGCCTTTCTCAACGACGCAATGACTTTGAGTGAGTAAGATTTTGAGTGACAAGTTGTCAAAGTTACTTACTTTCTTTCCCAGTAACATTTGATTATCAGGAAGTCTGCCTTTCAAAAAGAGCTCATCTTGTATAACAAGGTAATGGTTGTTTGAAGGCATCTTCCACGTGCCAAAAGTCCCAGCTTCAAAATCCAAGAACTGTCAAATTCAGAGAACGTTACACATCTTTCTCTCTACCCCCTTCTTTTCTGCCGGCTCCGTCCATCAAAAAACGCCAAGAGATGGCGCTACGCTGATAAGTTCACGCTGAACCTTGCTATAAAAAGGACGTTTCTAGGTAGAAAAACTTATTCTTTTCAAGACCCTCGAAAACATCTTCTTTCAACAATGAATTTTTCCATTCTTCTGTCAATTTTAACCACATTAGTCGCTGGAAACCACCACCGCGATTTCGCTTCACACCGGAGTTTGCCAAAACAGCTGAGCCAAGTTGCCAGAGCTCGAACTCAACGATCCTTGCTTAACAAATATGCATACCAGCAACCAATTCAGCGCAGGCTTCCCCGAAACTTCAGAATGCTCATGAACAGACTGTGATAAAGGCGTCTGGACAACCAGGATTCCACAGCAAGAAAACACGATTAGAAGAATCGATTGCCTGAGATCGTTCAAATATTTTACTGCAATATTATGAAATGTCTATTTTGTTTGCTTTTTCCGTTCGCCCCTTTTAAACTGCTTTTTCACTTATAATAATAAAATGCAAAAAACAAAATATCGTCCATAAAAGGGGTAGTCATCAGAGCCTTAGATGAGATGTCTAGAATTTTGGCGATAAGAGTTAGGGACTTAAAGCTCTTAGCGAAGAGCATGGGTTACTTCGCCCCGATGGGGCAGGGGTAGCACCTGGTTTTGAGTAAGAGACTTATCCTTCTTAGGAATAGGAGCCCTCCTATCATTTTTTCCGCAATATTTTTCTTGAAGCTTTACGTGAGTCCATACGTATATGTTTTATGCTTTTTATGTGTATAACAATTCGCACTTATTTTACACCCAGATGAGCACGCTATAATATAATCGAACGTCCCCTAGTATCTTCGAATATAATTTTACGCTTCACAAGAAATTCTATGTATAAACATGTTTTTAATTGGTGGCTATCATTCATATTTTTTTACACATTTTTCTATCGCCCAATTTTATGCATGATAAAATTTCATCATCACAATATAAAGCTCGATTCATATTCATGTTTATTTTATTTATTTCGACTTGAAAACAGATCGCAGTACATTTAAAACGCTCATTCAAAGAAAGGTCAAAGGATTGAGCTGCCATTTCCCGACTCAAGTGGAGATTAGATGAGATGCGTCAGTATTCGAGTTCACAAATCCTTCGAAAGATGTTCTGTGTGACAGTTTCCGCCGGCTAGAAATAGCTTTTTCAATCGTAAAAGAAGAATAAACGAACCCATATTGAACTTGGATCTGCGCTCTTTCCGCGTATTTTCGATGAATATTCAGCGCAGAAACTGAAAAGTTGTTTTATTAATTAATTAAATAATTGACCCGCTTACCTCCAATAAGACCGACTGCAATTAGAGCTCCGAAAATGCCGATTGTAATGTTAATTGCTCTTTGCCGATCTTTCAAAGCAAGATAATTGTCGATTTCTTTGTAGAAACATTCATCTTTTGGCCTTAAATAAACATAATTGGACACTTATCCAATCAATTGTTGCTGAATCGATGTATTTTAAGACACTAACGGGTCGGCGCAGGTCGGAATCGGCGCTTGAAACCAAGCCATTTGTCCACACCAGCAATTCGGATCGGTTCTGAAACATTCGCAGTAGTCGTTCCAGTGTTTCGAATCCTCAGGGCAATGAGCTCCGATATCCTGACTATGCTCCAGCGCTGCAGAGGAATCGAGATCGTTGTCATACAGCCATGCTCCGGAGCTTGATTGTCGATAAATCACTCGAGTGTAGTTTCCATCTGTGTCGTTGAAGAACCAAACGTCTTTTTCGGCTAGTTTTGTCAAGGTGACGTTTTTCTGAAAATTTGACGTCTGAGTCAGCACTGACGAAATTTGTAAAATTACTAGAGTTTTGTCGGGATTCTCAGGATTATACGTGACATTAATTTTATGACAGCAGCCAGCGTGTACGCACGATATACTCATGCGGGAAGCGCTCAGGGCTCCATCTTCGTCGAAAAGAGCGGCTGGCCGCCAGTTAGGAGCTGAATCAGTCGAAGAATCCTTTTCGTTTCCAAGATAGAACCACTTGTTAACATCGCCGGGACATTCACTTGTTCCCTCTTCAAGTTAGTTTAGTTGGAAGAATATTTTTTTAAGAAGTTCTTTACCTCCATAAATCATCGCATTTGTATCATTCAAGACATCCGAAACATGCCAATTTTGCATCTTGCTACAAATCAACTTGTTTATTTTCTTGACGGAAAAGATTTCTTACTCTGAGAAGAAGAGGTAGAATTTTTGTCGTTGCAGTTGTTGGAGTCTTTTTCGTAAATCATTCGATCATTCAGTTTAAGCGCTTTTCGCAGGGTGTATTTATCATGTTGGTGGACTACTTCGCTCGTTACTAAAATTATTTTAATTTAATTCTGAAATGAAGAAAACATGGAAAAAGAACTTTAAGCTTAAGGGGGTCCCAAACGATTTTTCCGAAATGAGCCATTTTCAAACGGCGCTCACGGCGTCACGGACTTAGATTTTTCAAAAATTATTTTTCGTTTAACTAGATCATTCTTAGATCTAGTGAAGCGTGTCTCAAATTTTTTAATCCAATCACATTCGGCGCTAGAGCGCTGAGAAGGTAACCATCTCGCGCAAAATCGCGTTTTTGGGTACTTTTTGAACGAGATTTACTCCAAAAATTTAGGAAACAATTTATTTCTTTCCTATGGTTTCTAAAAGGTCTAACGCTAATCTAGTGAAGCGTATCTCAGTTTTCAAATTCCAAAAATGATAATGTAACGAAGACGATCAAAATAATGTACGATTTTGAAATTTCAACCATGCGAATTGCCTTCCGGGCATTACCCAAACCCATATTTTCGGGCATAAATAGAAAGTTGAGCTCATAGCCTTTCTAAAAATGTGCCATATTCGTACTTTAGACAACTGTAAATAAGGGTTGATTTTTTAATTTCCATGCAAATACATCAAAATTGGCCACTTCAAGGTCAATTTTGGACACTTTTCTAAAACAATCGAAAAAAGCTAGAGACCTTTTTTGAAGCTTTTTGCATGAGGAATTCAAATCTGAAGAGTAAAATCTAGAATTCGAAAAATCTAAAAATCGTGGGGACCCCTTAATAAGCGTTTTGATATCTAATTAAAAGCCGCGAAGCGGCTTCGCCAAAATTACTATTTTAGTTTATTTTTTGGGTTTACGCGAAGCCGCTTCGCGGCTCTGTTTATAGAAAAGCCGCTACGCGGCTTTTATTGATACTCTTTCAAAAGTTGACTCAGGTTTCAGGGGAAGCCTGAGTCAGGACAATTCATCAAAGAGCAAACCTGAATAACTGCCGACTGCTTCTGGAAACTTCATTCCGATCCCGTCCTTAGCCGTAACCTTGATTTCCATTTTCTTGCAACAATCGCCCATATTGTAAACAAAACTGGTGCCAGTGTGGTCGCTTCGAAAATGCGTCTTGGCGCATTGAGGGGGTGACGTTTTAATCCATTTTGCGCCACCGCAACGGGATGTGGAAAGATTGTGGAGGGTCGGATCGCAGATACTGAACCAGGAGACGATTTGGTTGGGGCACAAAGCGTCGCTGATTGGTGTGTGCTGGAGTCGCTCTTCTGGATCCAAACTTGGGCCCATGGTCCATCTTGGGCTGAAGCTGATTTTTCTGTCGACGTAGATGTAGTAGGAAAGGCCTTCTTCCTTGCATGCGACGTATTCGTAGACGGTCGAGTTCACTTTGGTGAATTTTGCCACTCGATTGCTGTAGTCGCCATTGCAAGTTTGAAAAGTGTAGCGATGGTAGAGCTCCTCGCAGCAAGAACTTGTGAGGCTTTGGCGAGAAGTCGGCGCGGCAATTTCAAAATGCTCCTCTCTTCCGCACGAGCAAGTCGATTGCTTGTAGCAGGGACATCTGTAGAGCCACTTGTTGTAGTAATTCGGGCATTTTGAGGGCTTGTCGGCGTGGGCTCGGGTGAGATTTATATCCATAGGCGGGCTGGTGTCTGGAGAGTTTTCGGGGCGGATTTCCAGGTAGTGCTCGTAATAAGTCCAGTTGAACTTGCCGAGCTCTTCCACTGCCTGCCCAACGAGGGAGAGAGTATAATTGACTGTAAAACGGGCTCAAAAGAAGAAAAAAATTGAAAAAAATTTTTTATAATTTTTACTCATTCTTTTCTCAAATTTCAAATGATATTTCTGAGCCGTGACTGTAACTGTACCCACGCCATGATCCGTTAGCGTTTGTTGTCCCTTATTTTCATAGTAAGTATTGTTTATCTGTCTGAAAGCATTCAAAACAGTCTGATCCTGTCTTCCAACTTTGAAATAGACGACTTCTGGACATGAACTCTCTACTATTGTTGAAAAAATAGAAAATAAGACAAAGTTCTTCATATTTCAAAAAAATGATTCTGAAAAAAAATGTCCGGGAAAAGAAAATTCTTCGCAAAGAAACTGTATTTATTTTTGGCCGGAAAAATAACGGATTGTAAGAATTTCGCTCCTGTTTTGATAACTTCGTTTGCTGCAGGAAATCGGTTGCTTGTTTCCAATGACTTTAAAATAAAAAAAACAGATGGTAAATTCAACGGATAGAGACTTCCCAGGTAAGTTTCAGGTACCTCAGGGTTAGGGTTAGGGCTAGGCCCACAGGGTACGAGATGACTCCCTACCATCAATAGTGAAAATGATCATCAGCTTCTGGGGTTTCTAAAACTATATTATGTCTACCCTTCTAAGCTAGGAAAAAGCTCAGTTATGAGTGATTTTCCCTAGTTATGCCAGGGTTGTGACTAACCCACTTTCCTGATTTCCTATCCCAGGTGTGGGAAAAGGGCTGTAATTGATTGCTTCATAAAAAGCAATAATTGAAGGAAAACTAATTCAATAAACTAAAGTTATCCTGAGTTCGTGAAAATTTTCAAACGGTTTCGATCAAAAAGTATTATCAACCAAAACGGCTCTATTACGGAGATAACAGGATATCGCCTCGTCTAAATTTAGCTGCCAGAGAAGTCTGAAAGAGGCGGTACTTGAAAGGAGAAAATTTAAATTTTGGCGTGAAAAAGGTTAAATTTGACATTTCTTCAATTTTAAGCGCGGCCTTTTTGCGAATTTGACAAACCAAGGGATCACAAACAGAGATTGATTACAAGCAGGAAAGGATTAGGGCGACCGTTGGTTTCGTAGACGATTTTTTGCGGTAAGTCACAAATTCCACAATACGAAGATTTATTGCAAAGAAAAACAGAACATTCGAGTTTTCAACATTGAGAGAAAAACCAAGTTCAATTAAAAGAAGCTGATATGAAAAGGTAACTTCAATTTTTTGGCATTTTCGGGATTTTTATGTTAGATTTTTTGAATATTTTTGGAAAAAAAATGATAAAAATCGTCCAAAAATTACCAAAAAAATTTTTTAAAATCGCGGTTTTTCCCGATTATTTATTTTATTTGTCGAAAAATCGCGTATTTTCATCCAAAATTTCGCGTTCAAGGCGCATTGATTACGGAGATTAACAAATTAGAGTGACCCTGTCAGTTAGGTTCCTCAAAATTACACGCGTCGGTTTCGTAATCCATCAGAAACGGACTCGTTTTGGTTTCAACAAAAGGGAGAATGCAGAAAGAACCAGTTGAGGTTGCTCTTTTTCTTATCTTCGAATTTTCGGATTTTCAAATTTCCTGATTAAACCCGCAAGAAGGCTCAAATACCAATGTAAGAGCAAAAAGAAAGCTTATAAAGCCCACAGTCTGTAGGCCACAGAGCTGATAAGGCGACTGATAAGGCTGATTCTAGAGAAACAAAGATAAAGAAATCTCAAACAACGTTTACTTACCCTCTGTGCTGTGGCTAAGAGAAGGATTATGTCAAAAAAAACATTGTTTTTTGAATAATTTTGGCTTTTTTGCGAGACTTTTTTTTTTTCGAGCATTGTTTCAATTTTTGGAATTTAAGGACTCATCTCTTATGAAAAATATTTTTCAAAAAGCCCTCAATCTTTCCCGCAAAGTCTATTTTTCTTCCTCTTTTTCTTCAACCTTACATTGTACTTTAGGACAATGAAGAGCTTTCAGAACACTGGCTTTGCGGCACTTTTGATTTTTTGCATCTCGTTTTTGTTTCTTGGAAGCTTGTTTATTCCGAAGAACGAAAAGGATGAGAATTTTCAGGTGATGATAGAAGAGATTTGGGAAGATCAAAATGAGATTCTCTCGATTTTGACGGAAGAGAATTTTTATCAGAAGCAAAAAGAGAGACAGGCGAAAATCATAAGAGAAGAAAATCAAGAAGAAAATGAACAGGCTTATTGCGAGCTGAATATCCAGCCCTCAATTGAGAAGAAAATCGAGCCAAAGTACAACCTTAGCCCGGAAAGATTCCTGACCGCATTTGTCTCTCGAGGCCCAAACAACCAGATTTACTCGCTGAGAGAAACCATCTTCATTGCCCTCGCTTTGAATAGGACGCTGATTTTGCCGCCCTTTTTCAAACACGACCGTGGCGATCCGACTTCGAACGGATCAAACACGGCTGTGGTCGATTTTGACCAAAGGGTTGACATTGAAAAACTAAGAGAGCTGATTCCAGGAACGGATTTTTAAAATTAAAATTAAAATTAAAATTAAAATTAAAATTAAAATTAAAATTAAAATTAAAATTAAAATTAAAATTAAAATTAAAATTAAAATTAAAATTAAAATTAAAATTAAAATTAAAATTAAAATTAAAATTAAAATTAAAATTAAAATTAAAATTAAAATTAAAATTAAAATTAAAATTAAAATTAAAATTGATCCTTTCGATAGTCATTCTCACAAAAGATGCATCGAGCGTCTGCCCAAATGGGTTAGGAAAAATCTTCCGGGCTCAAAAAATCTGTCTTTTCGACGAAAACCCTCCTCGACTCTCTGCCACCCAGGAGGAAATGAATCTTCCAGTGAATTTCGAAACTGAAAACATCTGCCATCACAAAACTCAGCAGGATAAAATCGTCCCCAATCGGGAGGACATCGACGCGGCTTTTGGAGAAGGTTTTGGGAAAGAGAAAAATCTTGCGATAAAACGGGTTTTGAGGATGAACAACAAGGACTTGATTCGCGGACTCTTTCAGAAAGAGAAGGACACAGTTTGTGCGGCGACGGGATTTCCCTACGAAAGTGTGCAAATCATGAATTTGATCAAACATGACGATGAGGCTGGAAATCTTGCTAGGGAAATTATACAGTAAGGCTTACTGAGTAAGCTATACATGTATAAGTTTGATAAAGACAATTCAAATAACTGATTTCATTACTATATCATATGAGTTCGTAATTTATTTGCAGAAGAAATTTGGCTTAACGTTTTCGGAAAAAATTTCCATCATCAGAATCGCTTCCTTTTTGCTGGAACCAGAAAAACAAAATTATAAAATAAAAAATAATGAACAGTTAAAAGCATTTATAAGCCGTTTATTGTTCGTTTTTCTTCATTATTGTTTCACTTTAGAAATAATAATTTTTGATAAAAACCCGCTCTCTGCATCAATTTTATTCTGCTATCGCAGCTGCAGACTTTCTGGAGTCAATCGACACCCATCAGATGTTTTCGATAAACTAATCTACTGTAAATTATCTACTGATTATCTCAATACTTTTTCCATACTTACTTGAACAAATTAAGTTATAATTTTCTGGGATTTCAAACATATTTCAGATACACTGAGCGACCAAAACACATTCAAAATCTCGTCCAAAAATTTATCGAAAAATTCGCCGGGGAAAAAGAAGACCCTCATTTCATGGCGATCCACTGGAGATACGACGAAAAGGACTGGAAAGATGAGCAGTGCAGGCGGAAACCGGACTTCAAAATTTGCAAGGACTTTGAGATAATGCGAGATCCGGAGAAACTGTCCGATGAAATAGAGAGCTACTTGTCCAGCCTTGAAGAGAAATTCGACTTCATCTACATCGCCGCTCCTCCATCAGAGCTCGCGCTCATCGAGGGCGTCGGCAAATCCTTCGCTCGGAAAGGACTCATTCCGATCGTTTCTCAAGTCGAAATGGACCAGCTGATGCGAGAAGAATTTGAAGCTTCTTGTGGCGAAAAGTTCAAAAGCCTGCGATACGAAATACTATCAATGCTAGACAGTGAAATTTGTACAGTTGCGCCGGTCTTTTATTATTCTATCATGTCGAGTTATTCGATGAATATTCAGCAAGAAAGATTCGTTAGGTTCAAAAATGGCGCGACGAGATTCGTAAGTTGCGATTTCCAGAATAAAATTCTACTCCCGTGTAACAATTTTAGGGTAGGGTGGGTTGCGTCATTTCAGCGCTGCGCTCCCGGTACAATACCTACCACACTGCCCGCAGCGAGCGTAAAATCCAATAGAGATGGCGCTTTTTGAGAAAGGCGCTTGCTGCGGGCAGTGTGGTAGGTATTGTACCGGGAGCGCAGCGCTGAAATGACGCAACCCACCCTACCCTAAAATTGTTACAAGGGAGTAGCTCCTCTTTTCAGAACGGCGACTTATTTGGTGATTCAAGATATGCTCAAATCCACTAGCCTTCAGAAAAAAACTTACCTTTTGATGAAAAATCCAATTGGAAAAAAAAAACTCATCATTTCTTCAAAACTTAGAATATCTTTTATTATTTTCTACTGCTTACCCTCATGATCTTTATATAAATGAAAAAAGAACACGCCCATTTTGTTGACTCAAATCTTGCAAATCAACTTTTCTTATTCAAATACAGAGAAAAAATGAATGAAACAGGTTTTTTACCAGATGATATCTGGGAGAAAACGTTTATCTTGAGAGGATTACTTTATCTCGTCACGCCCAGGTACTGCTTTTTAATGAGAAAGGAAATTAAAAAAAGTATTATCTGAATGTCTGATTATTAGTTTTTTTGTCGAGACAAAGCCGATTCATCGAAAATTCTAATTGATTTTTTCAAGTTGAGTGAATATCAGAAAATCATGCTAATTGTAGTGAAACGAGTCCGAAAACGCTTGATGATGTTCCTGATGTTGTGGCGATGGTCATTCCTTACTTTTTCTTCTTCATTGTTCTTGAAGGAATTATTTGTCAATTCAGGCATTGGTTTTTTCTCGGCTAAGATGGGATAGTTGTTCCTGATTTTTCCTTTTTAGCCCTTTTTTCTGGAAAAAAACCTGGATAAAGATGGACCAAGGGTCGATTTCGATTCAACGACAGTCTGGCTTCCATGTCGCATGCAACCTGCTTGCGCGTTTTTGAGCTTATTGGAGAAGTCGCAATCGAGTACCACATGTACATCCTTGCTTACGAAAAGTTCCACTTCTTCGAATTCGACCCAGAAAGCAAGACGACTTGGATTCTGGCGCTGCTTGGCGCGGATCTTTCTTATTACTGGGCGCATCGGGCGATGCATGAAGTCAATTTGATGTGGAGTGCGCATCAAGTTCATCACAGGAAAAATGCTCAAAAAGAACTGGCCAGTACGGGGATCGAACCCGCGACATTCGCGTTATTAGCACGACGCTCTAACCAACTGAGCTAACCGGCCTCTGCCCTCGGGCGCGTGAACTAGAGTTGTGAAAATTGAAAACTAAGCCGGCAAGAATATTCTTCTATGAAAGAAAATGAGCGTCAAGAAGTGTTTTGGCTCATTATATTCGACCGGCAAACATCTTGTTTCTCACAAATAAGTCTTGCTCAAATTTGATGAAATCATGTCATGAGAACATTGCCGTATATAATGAGCTACTTATGAGTATTTAACAAAGCGGCGAAGATTATAATCTTTCGATGGGAATGCGCCAAAGTATATTTCAACGATACACAAGCTGGCCGTTTTACATTCCGATGAGGGTTCCCAAGTCGATAAGAACCGGCCTCTTTCAAAAATAACGCGTAATTTAATTGGTTACTTCCCCGGTTTGTAATCGCGTTATCTTTCATCATAGGATCTTCATAAAATTGTCAATCAAGAAAGATACTTGTCGATCAAACCTTTGTGTACTTTCCCCTGTGAACCCAAATTTCGCTTGCTCTTTTCGGAATTCCGCCGCAATCGTTCATCATGCACCACGGAATGGGCCTCCTCTATCAATTCTGGATTCACACAGAACTCGTTGATGGACTTGGAGACTTTTGAACTATTTTCTCAACGTCCCAAAACACCATCAAGTCCATCATGGGAGAAATCCATATTGCATTGACAAAAACTACGGCGCTTGCTTGATCATTTGGGACAGAATGTTTGGCACTTTTGCGGATAGAGATGCTGACCGAGGTTTGTCTCTAGAAAGAAATTTCTTCAAACGCAAAATTTAGATTACAAGGATGAAAAAATCGCCTACGGACTCATTCCACCAGTCAATTCTTTTGAATATTTCACGGTTCAATTTCATTCACTCAAAAAGGTAAGACTTCTTTCTGAAAAAAAACTTGATTTTTCTAGCTAATCATTCGATTCTTCAAAACCCCCGAAGTCATCAACAAGCTAAAAGTGCTCTTCTACGGGCCAGGGTGGAACCCGAAGGACAACATTCGCCTTGGGGATCCCGCCAAGCTCCCGAAGATTCACAAAGGAGATGAGAAAAAATTTCACGACCCGGAAGTTTCTTCATTTTTGGGTCTTTACGGACTCCTTCAAATGGCACTGACGGGTAAGTTGAATGGTAAAACTATTGATAAAGAAATTTTAGCACTGGTTCTTGACCATTTTCTGAATTTGAAAACGAATGAATATTCATTTGCGTTGAATATGACGACGATAATTTGGATATTTTGGTCTATGTGCTCTGTTGGAATCATGATGGAAGGAGTCACGACTTTCATGGAAATCATGAGGGTCGCCCTTACTTCTTGGTATTTCTATGACTCTGAGACCTTTCCAGAGCGAAAACAGTAAGTTTTTCTCTTCAAAAATATCCCCAAAGCTTTTTTTAAGACTTCCAATCGACCTTTTCATCCCGTTTCTTCTGAGCTCCGTCGCTGCTGTTTTTCTCAAACTTCAAAAATCCACTTCAAATTCCGCTGTTCAGAAAATAAAGCCCTCATAAATTCTTGATTGCTTTTGACTCAATCACTTAGTTGAATTTCCACTTTTCTTGTATCCAGCTAAAAATGGTTACTTAGCAACGACTGCTGAGCCAAATTGTCCTCAAACAACAGTCAGAAATGACTTCCAGAAGATAGAATTGTGATTTCTGAAAAATAAAATTTGAGAGATAAGAAAGAAAAAGAGGAAGAAAAAGCTGACCAAATGGCTGAACAAACTTTGCCAACAGGAAAAACTTTTACTTTATCAACAACATTAGGTATTTATTTATTGAAGTATCTTAAAAATTTCACGAAGATCCTGGACTTTTTGCATCATTTTATTGCTAAAGAAAATTTATGCTTTCCAATTCACATGACAACTCCTTATAACGCCCCTTATCACCCTTAAATCTCAAAATCTAATCAACCAGGTCATCTAAAATCGACCCATTTACATCAGAAAAATATCTTTCTTGAACTTTTTCAAAGGAACGAACTATAAAATACCTCTAAAATGCAAATTACGCATTTATCCAAAACAATAAACGATAATTGGCATATCTGGAGCTCCAATTTATTCTATCTGTATGAACTTTTCCACATCATGGATTTTTAGATCAGAACCCCTTTTATGGTCCTATTTTGCCGTCAACAAAGCCACTTCAGAAAGACTCATTGCCATTTACGAAGGATATTGTTTATGATCCCGTCATAGGTAAGTTCATTATTTATATAACAATTCTACTCATTGTTTTCAAGGTTAAAAACCTCATCTTTAACTTCAGGTCGTCAAATCTTTGTCCAGCAAACTCCATGGGGACCGATTGCTACTGTACCCACTGTATTGCCCGCCCAGGTCGTCAACGTTACAGGTCCCGGTTGACACAACTGTACTTATGAGCAGTTACTGTATTGAATCGAAAATTTGATAAAGCTGAGTTCTGAACTCAAGGCAAACATAAACTTGTCAACCGGGCGCAAAAGGTAAATATCAGGCATTTGCTAGTTAAACAGGAAAACAATGATAAGATGCGTACAACGCCACTGTAAAAAAGCTGATCAATCACGTACCCACTTCCTCGGCGATTCTGCGAGATACCAAAGTTCTTGCGAGGAGACAGAAAGATGGACTCTATTATCCTGCTACGGTGGCTGATTATCAAGAAGGAAAAGGGCTCAAAATGAACAAAGTGATAAGCAGAAACGCGCCCTAGGGCAGTACGGCGAGTTGGTTAGGTTGATAAAGCGTTAGGATTTGTACCCAGACGCTGAGGGATCGAGTCCCGAATTACCCATTTTTTTGGTTTGGTTCGTTCTATTTTATGCGGGGTAGATAAGACAATTGATAAGAAGCAATATAAAGAATGCTCCATGCATCTCGAAACAAATATATTCTAGTAAAATGATTTCTTTATCAATTGAACCAGAATGATTTGTATCCTCCAGTGTTTTAAAATTTATTGATAAAATGAAACAGTGATTGCTTTAATCTACGAATTGCACAAATCCGAAACCGTTGGTTATGATTTTCTGAAAACTGATAATAAATGTTAAACTGTTAAAAACTGAAATCTGAGATTTCAAATCTCACCCTCCAAAATAATGGCCAGTACGGGGATCGAACCCGCGACATTCGCGTTATTAGCACGACGCTCTAACCAACTGAGCTAACCGGCCTCTGCCCCGGGCGTGCGCCCTAGAATTCATCAATTGAGCCTTCCTAAGGCAACATTTTCATCGTCGAGTTCGACAAAAGTACGTTCCCTCGCTCAGGATGCAAGAAACAGCTTCTTTTGACATGATCGCCATGGGCGATGCAATGCGCCATTCAGTCGGAGAAGGTGATTTCTGCTTGGCTCCGATTGAAGAGGGTCCTTCTGCGTACGTCGTTGGGAAGATTCAGTACGCAGATGAAATTGATGAGAACAAATTCCGAGTGCAATTCTTCGATAACAGGATTCGGGATGTTCCGATGGAAGATGTTTGCTGGATTCCTGATGTGTTGTATGACAGAGTTGTTGCAGAACTACGGTCTCCTAATGTGAGCCTGTCGAATTGTCCCTTATCATGCTTATTGTTTTCTAGGCTCGGGTTCAAACAATCGCCCAAGGAATGAACACCGGCGTCGAGTCGCACGCCGTCTACCACCCACTCGACATTTTCCTCAACGGAACTCCAAAATACACCCTTCCTGGATCTGGAGTTGTTCTTTCACCGAATGTTATCAGTAGAGTTTGGAACCCGATGTCGTATCAGGGTGTCAGATACATTCCGACGTATCCGGTTCCTTGGCTTCCGAACTTTTGGCCCCAAGACGTGACTATGTGGCCACAGTGTCTTCTGCCTTTTAGGAGGACTTTTGCCGCGGTGAATACGAATGAGAGGTAATTTTCGAATTTTTTTGATACTCATTTTTTGATCGTTACTGAATCGCAAAAGATGATTTTTCATCTTTTCTTCCTAGTAGTTAAAATTACTGTGATTCATTCGGACATCGAGTTTTAAAAATCCGGATTTTAAAGGGTAAATTTTAATTCTGGTTTTTAGACTTCCTGGCCTAAACATGTCCGTAAACGAACTAGATCAAAAAGTCAATTCAACTCTTGAAGGGAGCAAAACTGTAATGGAAAAAACTTCGGGCAGCTATCTCGACCGGATCAACTCTTTCCTAGAGGAAACAGAAAATGATGTCCTCAAAGATATTTTGGCGGACAAAAACGAGGGCGAATACGAAGTCGACGTGGATTTCAGCGCGCTCCCAAGCAAAGAAACATGCGATGTCGGCGAAAATACCGTATGTTTTCCCAAATAAACTGGTTCTCAGATTCCCTTTAGATCGTCTCGCTGAGGAACAGAATGTGCAAGAAACGCTGGAGAGCAAGAAAGCAGCCTGAGGAAAGAAAACCTTGGGTCAAATACTTCAGAACTCCGGATGAGGTACTTTCTTGCTCGAATTTTCGGCTATCAATGATTTCTTTTGAAGGAAATTCCGAGAAGCGTTTTCAACGACGGAACGTACAAAGAAAAAGAACGACCATATGGCTACTCTGATGATGATTACACACTTTGGCGACTTCGACAAAAAGTACAACACTCATAACTTCTTTTTCCTTTATGAAAAATTAAGCAAATAAGCACCCTGGAAAACTTGCATAAACAAAAAGCCGATTTCATTGCGAAAGAAACTGCTATGGTCCAGAGTGGCGAACAGACCTTGCTGAATAAGATTGAAAAATCGAGACAAAGAGTAAGAAAAACTTGACGATTCCTATTACTTTAATACCATACTTTCAGGTCGACAAGGCAAAAGGCACTTATGTCGCCTAAAAATCGTTTCCCAGAAAATAAACCGTTGCTTGAATTACAGTTCTGTAAATAAATTGCTCAAAAATTCAAAGTTGTTTAAAATTTATGCCTCTATATTTTCTTTATTTCTATTATGTTCTTCAGCACATTGCAGAAAATAATCATATTTTTGGAATAAATAGATTCCCACTCTTGATCCTCCATGGTTGATCATTCGACAGTGGATGAACCGCCATAGTTTCAGGCCATCACTGCAGAGCTTGTCGATCGCGTATTTCATAGAGTTCTTGTCGCAGGAGAGGAAGACGCCCCATTTTCTTGTGACGCGGGAGAGTTCTTTCAGGCTTTTGAAGTACAGTTCTCTAAAAAAATATGAAGCTCAATGGAGGATGGCTTTTATATGCCTGTGGGTATCTGTTTATTATATCAACCGTGACAAATAGTGAATTACAAAAACTTCAAGTTCATGTTGATTCATTTAAAAATAGGTTAATTCTGAATCCACTTTTTCGAGGTCTTGCTTCATTTTAAAATGGGGATGAAATAAACTCCGGCAGCATTAAAAAGGCGATGGAAATCACTGATGCAAAAAAGCTCGAACCAAAAATGTTCCGCCTGAATTCTCACCTCATATTCGTGCCAAGCATGACTTCCTTAATCCTCTTTCCAAAGGGCAAATCCGTCACAACCGAATCGATCGAATTATCCCTGAAAGGCAGATCTGTCGCGTCCATCATTCCAAAATTCAAATTCAACCGCTTCAAATTCAGCTTTTCTATCAGCTTGTCCAAATGGTCCTTGTTCAGCTCACATTTTCGCACTGCCGGGGCGAATAAATCGGTTCCGATGAAGAATGCTCGGTCTTGGCAGCTGACAGCTCCTTCGATTGAAAGAGAACCAGATCCGGCCATCGGATCGAGGACGATGTCGCCAAGGGAGATTTGCGCTTCTCTCAGCATTCCATGGCAAATTGTCGGCTGAATTTTGAATAAAGAAATCAATGAAGAAAACCACTAACCCGGAGTGTCGTGATTCCAAAATGAACGACATTCCTTCTGTGCAAACTTTCGTTCGTCAGCAACAAGTAGACCTGGATACTTTTACCCATCATAAACAGCATCAAGTGGCAGTTGAATTCGGTCAAGTTGAATTGCCACTTTGCCTTGTCGAAAACATGCCCACCAAAAATATTCGCACAGAGGCAACTCGTGATGCATTGTTTCTTCCCAACACGGTTTGCAGAGCATCGAAATCTTTAGACAAAGAATGAACGAAAAGGAAATCTTTCTCCGTCCTTACCTGATATCTTCATTCTTTAAATTATTCATGCCGACCTCTCTTTCCAGCGAAAAAGTGGCAGAAGCAAAGTCCGGACTCGACTTTTCAACCATGAAATCGCCATTTTCATCGACTTCCTTGAAAATCGCCTTTTTCGCTGAAGATTTTGACGATTTCTTGTGCTTAGAGCTTCGTTGTCGAACGTAAGGCTGGTTCTGCATCCAGATTTTTTCCACATAACTCCAGTTTATCTTTTTCGCAAGCTCTCCCAAAGCAACTCGCATTTTTTCTATAAAAAAACGTTTCCGTAAGAAAAATTCCTTTCATAATATATTTTCCTGGGCTTGTCAACCTGTGCAGATACTTGAGTCAGGGTCCTGAATAAACTTTTATAAAAAGCCGCAAAAAGGCTCTCCAAAAAAAAAGAAGCCGCGAAGCGACTTGCTGAGAAATAACGAGGCTTATTCAGGCTCATTCAGGTTCCTTACTCACTTTTCATCTATCTTCTTTCTTCTCAATCTTTGGCTTGCGCTTCGAAGGTTTTCTTTCGTCTAAAAACGCTATTTTTTGTTTTAAAAATTTTGCTTACCTTTCTTAATCGTCTCTTCTAAGTCTTTATTAAATTCTAGCAACGTCTTCATTCTTCCAGTTCGTTTCAGATATTTCTTGACCCATTTCAACTTACACTTGACTCTGCCCATTCTATATAAAACACAATCTTATCACGATGAAAAAATGATAAAACACGTAACGACCCTTTCGAAAGTCATCCGACTAAGAGATCCGACGACATACTAGTCAAATTTTTGATGCTGAAAAAGTTTGACCTGCACTAAGAAAATGACAAAAAAACATTAAACAAACTTTTGTATTTGTGTGGCAAATAATTTTTATTTGATGAATTGAGTAAGACAACAGTCAAAAGTGAATTTACAGTTTGATTTCAGGTTTTCTTAAAATCCCTTGAACTTATTCGGTGAACTTCTTTTCTATCATTTTCATGTGCCATCATGAGGAATTCTATTGAAATCGAGACGCTCAAAGGTCGATTCTTCAGCGTCTGCGGCCTCCGACGGAAAACATTTGGTCGGCGTTTGGAGGAGCCTAGAATGAAATCGTAAGTCGAGAAAGTGGGTGCTTCTTAGGAAGAAATGCTTCTGGGAAAGCTATTTGCCGGCTTATTTCAAAGCTAAGAATATAAATTGCGACAACTCAAAGCAATTGCGACATTTCAAATGCGTTACCGTTTACATAAATGCGTGTTTATTCTGAAAATATGAAGATAATAAACTTATAAAAAAGCGAATCAATTATCATGGACAAAATTAACGCATCCCTTTGAAAAGGCATTGCCATAAATTCAAAAGCCGGTTCTATAAAAAAACCATTCATCCTGTCAAATTGACCGACTTGTCAATCATCGAGTCTATTTTTACCTTCGGATGTTGGTACTTCTTTGCTCTTTCGTGGTTCCTATTTTCTGAAGGAATTTTATTCAGCCCGATCGCCTCTGCCGTGTCTTCCTCGATCGCCAAGTTCTCCGCGAGCGAAAGAGTCAAGTTCTTCATCTCTTCTTGTTTCTTTGTCCTTTCTCGTTCTGCTGCTTCAAGTCCTTGAGCAAGTCGTGAGTCTTGGTCGACATGGAGAGCTTTGACGTCGGTTTTGTTGCCCTTTCTTGTGACCAAGGCGAAGACGACTTTTCCGTCTTCTTTTGTGTCAGGGTCGATGGCCTTTTTCGCATTCATTGGGACATTCAGATCGGTGGCTTTTGCGGAACCCATTCCCTCGTCTGCTTTCATCATGTTTTCGAATTCCTTCACGAAATCGTCGTCTTCTTGGCATTCCTCGTATTTGTTCCCCTAGAATGAAAAGTAAAGCTTTCTTTCATTCCAATAAATCGTACCTTAGGGACTGTTATTTCATTTTCCGCTTCGGTCTGCGTGTCTGTATCGGTCACAGACTCGGAGAGCTGCTCGTCTTGTGAGTCTTCATCTCCTTCTGCTATCATTCCTAAGCCAGCATTTCCTTGATCATCATTCTTAAAAACTATGTCAGACATCTTGATTTACGTCGACTCACTAACCTGGTATCCCATTTGCTCTAGTTTCTCCATCGCTTCGGTTTCAATCTTCTCAATAGCCGCGCCTACCTCATCGAGTGTCTGAGGAATTTTTAGCTTGGGTCTCAGCGACTCGACGCAATCTTGAATGATGTGGTCCATTCCCAGGGGGAACGCTTGGTTGTGGATCGCGTACAGCTCTTTCTTGATAAGCCAGTAGCGGAGCAAGTACTTTTTTGATGATCAAAAAACTGAAAACAGCAACCAAATGCGGGTCTTTTTTCTGATCATTTCCTGAAGATAAATGTCCAATTTCTTCTTTGCCGAGCCTTTGTCAAAGAAACAACCACATGTTTCCAGCATTACTGTAGCTAGCCGAAGTCTGATGAGATTTTCTGGAGGGTCAAGTGGCGATACCATCGTCAGTGGATCGGGTGCTACGCCAAGGGTAATGAAGGAGTAAAGGGTTGTGAAGATGACATTTGAATCAACCATTTTGTAGTTGTACAGCTCGCCCAAGTATTTCACCTAAAACTCTTTAATAGAGCGATTCTTTTGGCAGAACTTTTTGTTAACCTGAATCAACCTTCTTTGGTTAAATCTTGGATCGGGAAACTCCATCGTAGCCTTGATATCTTCAAGTATATTGTCAACGACTTCGATCGCTTCCTCCTCGTGATAGCTCGACAATCCAGCGAGAACACTCGCAGCACAGTGAACGACTGAGAATTTAATATTGTATCCTTTCGATAAGACGCCAACGATAAATTCACGCATCTCAGGGTCTTTCCAGTTCATTTTTCGGAACTGCTTCAGAACGAAATCAACGTTTCTTTTGGACAAATGATCGTACAGTAGTCGGCAGCAGTATTCCTCGATTGCTGGTCGTTTTACGACTTCTCTCGTGCCTTCTACAGGCGGATTGCAGCAGTAGATCGCGTTGTCTAACTGCGCAAGAAGCCGCTGATCCAAGTTCTTCGAATTTTTCTTCCTTTTCAACTGCTCAAGAAGCAGTTTCGTCTTCTGATGTGAATCTGGTGATCGGAAAAGATATCTGCCAGCTGATTCTAGCAAGCCGCAGATCATTTCTATCGCGACAATTGAGAAATCAATGACGAGAATTTTCAGACAAGTAGTGGCTTCTGAACGAGAAATGAGACCGAACTTGGTAGCTTCGCCGATGTAGCGGGCGTTTTTGATTTTAACATCGAAGTGAACCTGGTCTTTCTTTCGAAGATGGTATCGGAAGTCCTGAGAATGTTCAGGAATTAGTTAACTAGAGCTATCCAGTCGGATCCGATCTTCGTTTCGGGCGACTTTGTTGAACCTAGGTCGGACAACCGCTGCTCAGATAGAAATAATTCTTTTGAACTAAGAACTTTCTAAAAACGCAACTAATAAATTCCAGCATGCTGGATGCATGAGAATCCGCTTTGATAAGCTTATCATGACGAATTTAAAACGCAAATAAGATTCTCATGATAGCAAGAACAATTATCTCTTGTCTGTGAGAAGTCGAAAACAACCAGTCTTTTTCTATATAAACCGAAATTCTTTCTTATTTCGACCATTTTCGAAGAGATACAAAAGTAAAAAGATTAGAGATCGAAAAAAGATTGGTGTCCTTGGAATTGAGAAAAAGAATTAATTCGAATTCAGGACTCACTCTTTTTCTGATCTTTTCTATCACAACCGACGTTTTAATGGAACATTTCCTTGAGCAGATAAGAGGCCAAATCATCCGGTACTTTTGGCGCACATTCGCCCAGCGATGCGGCAAGTCGGGTGAAGAAAGGGAGCAGATCGACTCTTCGGCGATCTACTTTCCAGATTTCTCGTGGAAGGCGCTTTCGATTAGCGGGGGTGTTGAGGTTTAGGAGGAATTCTTGAGCCGCCGAATCGACCAGTTCTCGGTTGTAGATTGTCATCAGGGATTTCATGTAAGCGTCGAATTCTTCTTTTGCTTTTTGGGCTATTTTTACCAGGATCATTCTGGGCAATTTTTGGTCGAACCAAAATAGAATTTTCAAGAGAATTTCGATGGTAATTTATTTTTATTTGCGTTCAATTTGGACGATATTTTTCGAAAAATTCTAAGGTAGCTTTTGGGTCGATTCAAAAATTGATTTGAGACCCGAAAAAAGGGCATAAAAAGCCCGACCTGAAAGTTCCTTCGGATCAATTTCTTCCTTATCATCCTCCAAATGATCGTCATCTCCAAAATCATCATCGCCGTACAGTTCCGACAGGCCTGCTGCAATTTCCTCTTGAATGTCCTGATCTGCCTTTCGCTTTCCTTTATCCTTGACGCCCGTTTTCTTCGGAATATGTTTCCCTCCTCTTTCTTTCTCGGAGTCTTTCCAGGCGTTCATTGGGACGAGGCTTTTCAGGTCCGGCAAAGAAGTGTAGAAAAGTCGTTGATCTTCATCTTCCCAGCAGTCGTCCATTTCGCAGTTTTCAATTCCCCGCTCTGGGTGATAAATATCGATGCTCATTTCTTTGTCCTCCGGGGAGTCTTCCGGCATATGAACAATCTCCAAGTCTAAGAGCTCTCCAAACGACTTGGCAAAGTCCGTCAGTTCTCTGACTTTTGATTGCTGATCGAGAAGGGCGGAGCGACGTTCTTCGTGAATTTCACCGCGCTGCTGGTAAATATGACGGTTCGTTTTCTCCATTTTCTTGAGCTTGTCAAATTGCGATTTGAGGCAGACATTGAGCTTCTCGAAGTAGTCAGTGAAGAGGGCGATGAAATGGTTCATCTTCTTTGGTTCGAAAACGGAAAGGACTGAAAATGAGAATAAAAGGGGGATTTCGACAGTTGCATTTGCAGAAAAAGAGCCGCGCTTTGCATAAAAGTATCAGAAAGAAAGAAAAGGGCTTACCTGGAAGATCTTGGTTTTGCTTTTTGCAAAGTTCCCTGATATTTGGCGGCACAATTCCGGCCACATCTTCTCCAATCGACTTCAACAGCGAAAGCACAACATTGATATGTTCAAACTTCTCCTTGTCCGACTCAATCAGCGCTTTGATCTCATGATGGAGGATTCCCAACCCTTGTTTGTCCATAAAAACGCCGAGGACAGTCAACTCGCAAATAATCTTTAAATCGTTTTTGTGCTTTGCTGGTTCGTCGGCGATTTTGGACAGAGTAAACTTTTTCTTGAACGAAGAAAACAGCGCTTCCATAAAATCCTCGTATCGTTGGTGAATTTTCTGGCAAAGGCTGACGACAGCATCGATATCGGCTGTTTTGAACTTCGCATCTGCAATCGCCGCCGCTGCTTCGGCGATGTATCGCCCGAAATTCAATCCAGCGAATTCCTTCTCAAGCGCTTCTTTTTGATTTTCTTTGATCGCCCCCAATTTCTTCACGAAAGCCGAGTTCTTTTTCACCGTCGAATCAAGCTTGCCTTTTGGCTTGTTTTTGTCGAAATTGGGATCAGCATTTTCTTCACGAGCAGCTTTTCTGGCATTCAGCCGGTCGGAAATATCAGTGAGAAGATTTTCTAGCAGCTTTTCTTCGTCAATTTTGTCTTTTGGCGCCTCTTCGCTGTCTTGGACCTCGGGAGAAGGATCATTTTCGGTCATCAATCTCAAATTTACCTTTATTGATCTACTAAGAATCTACTAGCCGCTAGCGGCTTCGTGAACAAAAGAAAGAAGCCGCGGGAAATCAAAATTCTGATTGAAAGGATTACTTTTGCGAAGCGGCAAGCTGCAGAAAATCTTGATTTGCATCCCTTTTTTTGAAGAAAGAAAAAAAATGAGTTTCAAAGAAAGGTGATTTATTAATTTAAAAAAAATCTGGTTTTATCTTTGATGTGTTCGAATGTGTGAGAAGATAAAGGCAGTATAAAAGGTGATGCGAGTGAGGAAAATGTGCAAGTTTGAAATTATTGTTTGGTCTCTTCTGGATTTCTAGCCAGCCATATGGTGAGCTTGTGTTTGTAAAGAAGCTTCTTATACTCAAGCTCCTTGGGATCCTCGTTGTTGTTGAGGATCTCTTTGAATTCCTCGACGACGCCAGTTATGGAGGTCTGAAACGATTTGATGACTAAAAGAAATGGAGAAATAAGGACTTACAATGTTGGAAAAGTCGTGGAAACGATCCCAATCTTGGTTCTTCAGCTCTTCTTTTGGAATTGAAAGAATCCACTTCCACTTTTGCTCCGCGCTCATCACCCTTATTTTTTGTTGGAATAGTGATTCAAATCGAAATGATATTGAAACTTACGTGAAATCAAGGGGAATTTCATCGTGAGAATCGAGGCTTGTATTGTTGACGGTCTTGTGCGGGTCTTCATTCGAAATTGTGCTTTCATTCTGAGCCGGATGAAAGGCAGCTTTGATATTGGTCTTCGACAGTGTCGATTGAGCTACTGGAAGATTTCCCGGCGGCTTTTCTGTCGATTCAGTTGGACCGATGATTCCCTAAAAATCAGCATGAGTATTTTTTAACGAAAGACAAAAGACCTCGTCTTGCAAGTTTTGAATATCTAGTTTCGAAATCTTGACCCTCAAGTTGTTCTCCAAACACTGTTTCTTCAAGTCCTTCTCCTTCTTTTTCTTCTTCGCCAGTTCGATCGAATCAACTGATTGCTCGAGCAAGCTCATGATTTTTTCCGCTCGACCGTTTCCAATTGATCGTCGTGATTTTGCACCTTGGGGAGACAGCTTCGAGGTGTTTTCAACGGATCCTGTTGTTTTGTTGAAAGCTCGGCTGCTTCCGGTGAATTTGATGACTGGAGAAGAGGCGACTTCTTCAGAGTCGGGATCGAAGGGATCATTGCTTGATTTCGGTCCAGTCTCGCCTTTGAAGAGATCTTTTGCCAGACTTCGTCGAGAAGATCGATTCTTTCGCAGCGGCGTTTCGCCTAGGTCTCGAATCGGAGAGTCTTTCTTCTTGCTCTTTGGACTGTCTCTTTTCGCCGGAGAAAGATGAGACGCTCGTTCGAAGGTCAGTCGGTGGCCCTTCTTGCTTCGTGGCGTTTTTTCGTCGACGGGAGTTTTCTTCAGTTTCTTTGGCGTTTTGGGACTGCCGAGGTTTTGGGGAGAAGTTTTTTCTGGAATCTCCTCTGGCTTCTGAAAAAAATTTAGATAGACAAATGATATTTGATGGACGCAAAAACCATTTCTATTAATTTACCTTGTTCGCATCTTTAAGAATATTTCGCGTGAGCTTTGAGCTCTTCAGACTTAGCCCATGTTTCCCAAGAACAGCATTAGTTTTCTTGTATCTCTCCACGATCGTGTTATCCCCGTCTTCCATTTTCGCCTCTTTTTCACTCTTCTATGAAAATGAGAACTCTTTGAGAAATTCAGCGCGCTGGGCGATTTTCGCTTGGGAAAGCGCTCCGCTTCTCTTGGAGGAGCGCGCGTCGTGGAAGAAAATTCGCGCTGCTGGAAGAATTCGATTTTTATTTTTGAACGTTTCGGGCTAGAATTATTTTTGAATGATTAGTTTGATCATAACAAATTTATTTATCTTAAAAAATATGTGAATAAAAATTTGAAAAAAAATATTTTGAAGAAAAAAGTTTTCAAATAAGAAAAAAAATTCTGTCGTAGACTGTTCTTACTGTAACTAAACAACAGTAAACGAAGATATTGGGTAGTTCCTTAGTTTTTCGTTGCTTGACGAAAAGATCAACGAATGCAGATTTAAATTGACGAGCTTATCCGAGGTGCCATTTCGGAGACCTTTGCCAATTGAAAATGCCCGCGCCGATCCATTTCAAAATGTACCGGTGCATCAAACCAGCATTCCACACGCAAGAGAAATGTATATCAACAGAGATTGCAGAAAACTATTTCGTGGATTATTCAATTATTTGATTGTTTTATTGGCGATTTTGAAAGCCGTTGAAATCGTCAAAACCCTTGATTACCTCGACAACAAGAAAATATCTTTCCATCAATCAAGACAAAAACAGAACAATTCAAACAAAACAAAACAGCAAAAACACCATTCCGACCCCGTAGAAAACAAGCAAAATGATCATTTTCTTCTTCAAGTATCAAATCATTCCTGCCCAAAAGCTGCTCCCAACGATGAAATTTTCAGTAATCCCCCAAATGGGCGAGTTTTAGTTGCAGTTTTTCCTTATGGCCCGAACAATCAAATTAGGGGCTTTCGAGAGACCATTTTTCTTGCGAAAATGCTCAACAGGTAATTCTCTTTTTTTAGTAACTTTTCAATCTCAATGTTCAAATTCAAGATCGATAGTTGCTCCACCATTTTTCAAGCACGATCGGACTGACAAATCTGTCTCTTCAAGTTCCAATTTGATCGATCCATGGGTACTGGTTCAAAATTTTAATTCGACATTCAGTTTCATTAACAAAAGCCAACATTTTTGAATCAGTAAGAGGATCGACTTGACCTTTCGCAAATTTCTTCCATTGTCCCTTTGGTTGACCCGAGGAAACTGAAGAATTTCTGCGGGGAAAGCTTTGATGTCATTTTGCAAACCAAAAGGAGAAATAATCCTATGAGCAGAATCGAAGATGTTTACAATTACTCTTCAATGAATTTTCACTCCTTCAAACAAACGAAACGTCAACCATCATTAAACTCAACAACTCTTCCAGCTTCTGGTAAAACAAAAAGTGCTGCTTAGATTCCATTTTTCAGGTGCGATAAAGCTGGGGACAAATGTAACTCGCGTCCGAGAGCTCTGGACTTCTGATGAAAAATGCGCGTTTATGCTCTTCCCATATCACGTGATCAATTTTAAAGGGATCGTGAACAACAGCAAAAAGTATGCATTCGTCGATCTCCAGCGAGAAATCGTCCGCGCAACCCGCCGACCGAAGTACATTCAAGAAGTCGTGGAGAAATTCTTCGACAGTGAAATCAAGGAGGAATACGGAGCGCTGCACTGGCGGTATGATCCGAAAGATTGGTTTCTTCATTGCGACAGAGAGAAGAATGAAGGGCCGATTTGCTCTGGAGTAAGAAATGCGAGGAATAATCCAGAAAGATTTGGTGAAATGTTGCTGGAGGATTTGCAAACAAAGAGTATTAAAGTTTTGTACATTGCGGCGCCGGTAGATGACCATGAATTGATATCAAAAATCATACTAAAATAGGTGGTGGTCTAAACTTTGAAGTTCTTACGTGCGATAAGAACTTCGTGTGGCCTAAACTTTGATCGTTCCCATGTGCGATTCTTTGAGAAAGTGGCATAAACTTTGATTCTTCATATGTGTGAAAGTGGTCTAAACTTTGAATTTCCCCTGAGGCGCTCTGACTAGTTTTATGTGTGTCATCACCTTGAATGAAAAACGTAAACCTTATTGGTCTGCATAAAGCGTAGTGGCCTTAGCGGGCGGTGCTCTAGTCACCGATGGCAGAACCGCCTCCGGGGAAATTCAAAGTTTAGGCCACTTTCTCAAAGAATCACACATGGGAACGATCAAAGTTCAGGCCACACGAAGTTCTTATCGCACATAAGAACTTCAAAGTTTAGACCACCACCTATTTTACCAATCAAGGTAAGCTTATCTGGAAGCAACACCTTACTGTTAATTTAAGAAGCACATAAAAGTCTTCACAGGAAAAGACCTAGAAAAATTCATCAAGCAGAACTACTCCTCTTGTCCGAAAATCATGAAAAACTTCCACGATGCTTTCTCACTTCTTGAGCAAGAAATGTGCTTCAAAAGCCGAAGATTCTATCCGTCAACTGGAAGCAGCTGGAGTCTTAATGTCGTGATGGAAAGAATAGTTTTCGATAAAAGGGAAAACGAAGATAATTATAATCTAATGAAAAATATATAAGCTTTAAAATATATGCTATAATATATAGCATTTAATAAATACAAGCATTTTATTAAAGCAAATATATACAGTCAGATTATTCAAACGGGTCTTAAAGCGATTGCTTATAAATTTATTATGCAGAAACAGGCTGGTATTCCTTCTTTTCTTTCTTCTTGTTGTTGTGATGCACCTTGCAACAGCCACCGATTATCAAAATAAGGAAGACCAACATAATTAGCGCGGAATTCAAGAATCTGTGAATTGAAGCACCTTCTTCGCCGAAAATAGTAGAATTCATAAATTCAGGATTGAGTGCGTGCGCAATTTTAAATTGTATTCTTGTTTACAGTGATCCATCAGGTTGCAGATTCGAGGAGGAAGAGCACCTTTGCTGCATCCCTTTATATTTATTAGAGATTTTTGTCTTCCAAATCTTGTTACCTGAAGAATTTCGCTGCAGGCACTCTTAGACAATTGCATTCTCTTTTTGTTTCTCTTTTTGAATGAATGGAAAAGCTGAGCTTGATTTATTGCAGATTCTGAGTTGATAATCAGCAGGGCTGTTATTCGATGTCCTTGTCTTAGGTCGAGGCGTGAAGCCGTTCGTGGACTCTAATCCACAAACTATACAATTGCGGTCGCCAAGAACTTTGAGTTTGATTAAGTACTTTAATGGCCAGCGACTTTTCGGCGAATAAATACGGTCATAAAATTTTTAATTGCTAGAAATCGCAGAGAAATACCTTGCCAGAGAAATATAAAATTTTGTCATGATCTGGACGATCTTTTCTTTTTCGCTTACATTTTTTTTCAAAAATTATGTATTTGGCAGTAAATAATAAGAATTACACTTGTACAGATAGAAGATATTTACTCGTCATTTTGTCTATTGCATCAGAGCCCCTGATTGTTTCAGGATTTTCAGGTTCTTATTTCGTGTAAAGTTGATTCACAACTTTTTCGTAGTGGGCATTTAGTACCTATGAAATCAATGAAATCTGAAGTTAGGAGAGAAAGTACCGTTCGTTTGAGCTTCAGGGCGTCAGTAATCAATCCCGATTCCGGCGTCCAGGGCTCTTTTTCGAGGTAAATCTTTGAGGGAATTTCTTGTTTTGTCAGTTTTCCGATTTTGGCGATTTTCAGGAAGTCTTCATACACAGCTTTGTTGATTTCATTATTTTTCAGTAGAGCTTCAAACTCGCCAGGAATGTTTAGTTCGGCAGCGATTTTGAGGATTTCGGTTTTGTTCACTACTGCTACAGCAACGCAAGTGAGCTGAAATGAAGCTTGTTCTAATGCTATCTTTCAATTTTTAACCTGATCTTGATTGGCAAACACGCAGAGATTTTCACAAACTGAGCTGGTTTTCAAAATAGCTTCGATCTTTCCGAGCGCCAAGTATTCTCCATGTCTCAACTTCACCAAGTCTTTCTTTCGATCTTAAAAAATTTCGATCTAAATCCGACACCTTCTTTTTCTCACCGATAATGGAGAGATTTCCGTTGTTGTCCATCTGTCCAATATCTCCAGTTTTGAACCATCGGACTCCGTTTTCATCTATCGAAAATTCTTCCTTCGTCTTCTCGGGCATCTGGTAGTATCCATGTCTAGAAAAATAAAGACTCTGTGTTTGATAGTTCTTCTTACGCGACATTGTTTCCTCCAACAAGAATTTCGCCTCTTGGGAAGGGCTTGTCATTGACCGAGTAGTTGCCTTCTTTCCAATCAACCAGTTTGATCATTGAGCTTAATTTCTCTATTAGCCAAAGAAAATGAATTAGTTTACCTGTCGAGAATATGACCCACATTGCCGCATCGATTATCGAACATATCTTGGAGGCTTCCACCAGCGGATGTTTCTGTCAGACTTTTCAAGGGTCATTTCTTGCAAAGCTTTCTTGAATATTTTTTGTCTAGAAGACCCTTGCCCATATCCAGCTGTAACGTCAGTACACAAACAAATATTGATGAATCGCTGGGTCTTGACATCGAGAGGAGCACCGCCGGAAATGAAGACTCGGAGCCGACCGCCAAGAAGATTTTTCGTTTTCGAGAAGATGAGTCGGTCCCAAAATGGGGTCGGCATATTGTTTTTCTTGTGTCTGAAAATCATTAAAAACGATGAGACTTGGCGGTTGTAGGTACCTGAGCTTATATTTGTAGGCAAAATTGAACAAGGTTCTTCTGAAGGGATTCATTTCGGAAACATTCGCCATCACCGCTAAGACAAAAATTGAGTGACTGAGCTATTCGATTTTTTACCTTTTCGAATTCGCTCGGAAATTTCAGGGACAGCTGGCATGATGGTCGGTCTCAATTCAGATGCATCACCCTTCGAACCTGCCTTGATTCTGGAAGATCGGTCAGAAATTGTTAAAGTGGAGCCAAAGCCAACAGGGATACCGGCAAGGAGAACGGCGTTTTCAGCGGAAAGCTCAAGAATATGAGCAAGTGGCAGGTATGCAAGCCAAATATCTGAATATTTTCAGGAGCCTTTTTCGTCGATTTTCTTACCTTCTGAAGTCATGGGATTGTCGAAAGAAGTGATTCTAGTGAACATGGCACTGGCCGATCCGAGCACGTTTCCTTGCGAAAGCATGACACCTTTCGGTTTTCCGGTCGTTCCAGAAGTGTACATAATAACGGCTTTCATGAGTCATTATTGATATCAAAGCTGTGAATCAATATCAAAGCGGTACGCTAAAAAGCTCTTATTTATGCAATTCTCGGACTCTTTCCTATTGTATCAGGAGTAATAGGCTCATTCGGATTCTCTGTGATTTTTGATTTTGCTCCGATTGCACAGACTTCATCAAAAGCTCGGGGATTGATGGAACTTGGTAGGGATTCGGTTTTGACTTTCTGATGTCGGAATTCATGAGGAGCGTAGACGACGGTTTTCAGTGTTGGGATGTTTTTTGCGATATTCTGAAATTTTTTACTGAGAAACCATAACTTTGCAAAAATTATGTGAAATTTATTTTTTGATGAATACTAGATATTGATATAAATATAATAAACTTACTAAATTCGTTTGCATAGTAATTGTGAATATCAATATCGAAGCCGATCAATTGGTTTGACGATACAAATCTATCACTTACAATAAGTTTCGACTCAAGTAAACTAGCCGAAGTGATGACAACTTCAACTTCCGCCTCATTCAAAGCCTGCGAAACAGCAACTTCTCCAAGAGTCGAATAAACGGTCACAATCTACAAATCCAGTTTTATTGCCTCGCCATAGTTCGACAGTAAGACAAACAGGGTCAAAGGTGTTCGAGTTACTCAATAGAAGAGATTGTACCTTGATATTATGTCTGAAGCATGCGTGCGCGGTCATCATCCATTCTGCTCGTGTCTCCATGTACAAACAGACTCGCTGGTTTTGGGTCAATCGCGGTCATTTTTTTCAAAAGAAAATTTTGATCGAAAAGCCCATTCCTTGATTCCAAGCTCAGAAAAGCCCCTGGCAAGCTTGTCGACCGTTTCAAACATCTCTCCATACGTCAACCACTGATACTTGCCAAAAACAGCCTTTTTGAACACTTTTCCATTCGGCTGCTTTTCATCAGTTTCCGAAAGAAGTTCTCGCGTGCCCAAAGCTCGCTGGTCTTTGAAGAGTTTGCAGGCTCGCTCAAAGGCAGCATCCATAGTTTGAGTATTTCCATAGCAGCTTTTCATCAATTGCCCGCCATTTTGGGTTGAAATGTACGGACCGGCAGGTGAGCCGGTGGTGGAGACGGATTTTGGACCGCTCTGGGATCTGGAATATTGCGATCCAAGCTGAAATTTAAATCATAAAAGATGATCAAAAATGGAGAAACTTAAAAGTGCCGGTTAGTTCCGCTTAATGCCGCCTAGTGCCGCCATTATCTTAAGACTTAATGGCAGTAGGCGGCGCGAGCCGGCAGTAGGCGGCACTTTTAAATCATTCCCGCTAAAAACCCTACCATCGACAATTTCCACGGAATGTAAGTAATGACATCAATCACAAAACTCAGCACAATCAGCAATCCATTCAGCGCGTACGCCCATGCTGGCTCTCTTTGTTCTGCCATCAGCAGATTCTTCGCTTTCTCTTTTCGTCAGGAATTTGATTCTTCAAGATCTCTGCAGTTTTCGTCTGGTTTTGTTGATGTTAGGACTGGATCGATGCGCCGGGATTATGTAATTGGACTTATTGGACTTGTGGAGCGACTGTGTGATTTGGTGACATAGAAAGTTACTTTCTGAACAAATAATAACTGTAATTATGTAACATTATGATATTTTAATTAATGATCACGCAGAGGAAGCACCGGTTCAAATTGCAAGGGATTTTTATGTTCTCATTTTGTACAGATAAAATTATTTCTTCTTTATGATTTCCAAGCTCATTTCTCTTTCTTATTCCAACCGGAAAAAATCGCAATTCAAAGTCGAAAAGACATAAAAAAATCGAGTCCAACCGGGGTCAAAAATCAGCAACTGGCTTGTTTACTCTTTGCTCCTTTCGAAAGAATCCTCATTCGATTTCAAAAAAAATCGAACGAAATTTTCGGCAAGTAGACTCTGTCAATACTACCCGCCGTGGTATTTACACAATGAGGTGTGTTTCTTCGTAAAAAATCATATCGGAAGGAGAGCTAGGAAGAACGAGCTTAGTTTCTCTTTTTTCGAGGACACGTGTCTTGAAAACGGTGGTGAAAGATGGGATCAATATCGAGTTTGAAGAATTGCGCGGGATGAACTTATTTTCATTGGCGCAGGCGGTTTCAAGCTCGTACGATAATTTTAATAAGAAATGTTGAATCAGCAACTTTGTCATCCTTGATCGAAAAATTAATTCTTAACCAAAACAAGGCGAATATATTTAATGTTACATTTACCTTGATATTAAATTCGATTATTTATGATCACGAATTTTTATTTTAAAAATCTGAAGGCCTCTTCCAAGGGCAAGGATAAGCTTATCACTTTAGCTCAGAGTGTGATTTAGACATAGGTGTGAGCAGACTTCAAGCAGACACAATCATAGAGAAAATTTTGCTTAGATTTTGTTTGAACAAGAGAATGTCTCAAAAACGAGAATTCATAACTCAACCAAGAAGAGCAGGCTACAAAATTCCCGATTTGAAAGGAAATGGAAAAATCAAGTAACAACAAGAATAAGTTCTTTCGCTAATTTGATGATTGTTATCCATACTCAGGGCTTATTTCTAAGATTTATAATGTGAATTATATAATTTATCTTTATGACATATAATATGCAAAAATATAAATGGCTGGAGCGCTTATCGTAAGCCTTGGGACTGATAACATCCCAGATGCAATTGCGTCATCGAGAATTCAATTGTCTGGGAGCTTTAGGTCACCATCGAAATCAATCTGAAAAAGAAGAAGAAGCTAGTCATGACCGAAAAAAGTAAGGATAATAGTACTTCAAATCCAAAATAAAAATTCCGTGAAGTACTGATTCAAAAAAAATGGAGAAAAAACCGCTTGAAGAACTTTTCTTCCCTGATATTACTCCCTTGAAAAGAAGCATAATTTCAAATGCGAGAAAAGCTACTTCTTCAGTCATAAGAAAATGCGATGATTTTGCCATTTCCGGAAGAAGAAATTTCACTCCGAAAAACATTCTGGTTCTTGCTTTTCTGGCGATGCTTCCTCTTTCGATCCCACATTTGCGAAACCTGAAAATGAAGATTGGCAGAATAGCTTCTTCACCTCCCGCCCTCTCAATTCCCGACTTTCCCGACTTTCCGAAAATCTCCTTTCCAGAGCTTCCAGCGGTCAACTTTCACTCTAAAACGAGCCGCCACGAAGTCAAGAAGTGCGGAGAATCAGAAGACATCATAAACCTGCGTAAAGAACTAATAGAGCTTCGAGAAGAGCTTGATGATCTCCGAAAAAATCCTCTCAACGCGGAAAAAGTCAAGGAGGAACTTCAAGAAATTGTTTATTCAACTCTTGAAGACAAGGTTTGCCCCGACAAAAGTTTTTTTTTCAACTCGTATTTTTAAGACGGGCATGGCTGATTACGCGCTAGAATCAGCAGGTGCAGAAGTTCTCGAAAAATGGACGACTCCGGGAATCCCGACTGGAAACGCTTTGATGAAGATTTGGAACATGCCGATTTTCTACCAGACAATGTCTCCTAGACTTGCTCTTCAACCGAATGTGCATCCGGGGAATTGCTTCGCGTTTGCGGGAGATACAGGCTTTCTGACGGTCAAGCTCGCTCGGCCGATTTACCCAACCAATTTTACCATCGAGCACATTCCAAAGGTACTTTCTTCGTGAAATTTTTACGCCTTACTATTTCAGGCACTGTCATTTGGCGACATAAGCTCTGCTCCGAGAAACCTGACTCTGGAAGTATTCAACCCTATTTCCGGAAAAGGCAGCATCGTCGGCACCTCAACATTCAACATCGACGGTTTTCCCGTTCAGACCTTCAGGACTTCCATTACTGATGCTCTTTCTAAACCAACTCAGGTCAAAGGTCTTTCCTTTTGAAAAGCATTGTCAACCTGGACACAAAGGAAGACCTTATTTAAGTTCATACGACTAAGAATCAATTCAAACTGGGGAAATCCCAATTTTACTTGTCTCTACCGACTCCGTGTTCATGGATCTCAACATGATTTTTAACCTATTTTAGTTAAATTTAACCCATTCAAATCAGATAACAAATATTCAGCTTTCTTATGCATATTTTCATGATACGAAAAGCGAGATTTGCCAATCTTTCTGAATGAAAAAAAAATAAAAATTGATATTTCGGCGTCTTGAAGAAATACTTTCTTCAAGAAAATATCATTCTGATATTGTCAAATTTTCCTCCTGACATCTGAAGATGTCAAAAACGTCACCTTCATATTGAACTAATCTTCTAATAATCTTTCTTTTTATTTTACTAACTCCACTAACAACATTTCTCAAAGTGTTTCAAAGCTGCCGAAAATGTCAAATGAATGAAGTCAATAAAATTCCTATCGTTAAAAATCGGCGTCAATTTGGCTATTTTTATCTTAGCGTTGAACAATTGCGCGCTATCTCTTGAGCTCTTCGATTAGTTTTATCTTTTCAAATCTGGAGGACTTCTGTCATAACAAAATTTAAACTCCGCCGCTATCGCCTTTAAACCGAGAAAAAGAGAAGGCTTCGCAAAGGAACTTTGCCCGCGGCACCTATCGCTTAGCTGGTACGACCTCTCAGCAGAAGCCACATTCTAGGGCCGATATTATGAAAAAGCAAGGATGGAGAGAATTTATTTGAAAGGGCTTTTCGTTTGCTTCGTTCAATTTGTTTTGTTTGGGGCTTTGTACTGGCATTTTACAGAAAGAATAGAAGAGTCTTTCAGCTTCGAGTATTATTCAAAGGTAAGAATCAATGCTGTTATAATTGCCTTGAAAATTTTTTTCTAGAGATCAAACAAAGAAGAGAGTAAAACTGAGAAATTTCTTGAGAAAGAAGATGAATTATGGATAGGAAAGGCTCAAAAATCCCATTTCTAGTTCTTGTACTTTTTAAAAGCCGGTTCATAATTATTTTTATGATCGATTTTATTGCGTTTCGGAAGAAATTAGGATCTATCAAATAAAATAATTGGAAAATAGCCTTTTGAAAGAACCTACACCATACAACAGCAAAAAATGGGGAAAAACTCAATCCCACGAAAATTTCAATTACAACGAAGCATATTTCTCCAACTCCGCTCCGCCAAATTTCATCGGAGCTGGCGCGAAAAAATGTGGCACCGGCGCCTTTAAATTCTTTATGGGTCACCATCAGCATTTCAAACAAGCGAGAGGGGGAGAAGCACACTTCATTTATGACGATTCGAAATGGGCTCTCGGCTGGCCCTACTACCAAAAATATTTCAAGGGCTACGGCCCAAACGATGGAAATGTAATTTTCGAAGGAACGCCGAGATACATGGTCGAAAACCTGGTCCCAGAAAGGGTAAAAGCGATGAATCCTTTGATGAAAATCGTGTTTGTCTTCTGCGATCCAATCAAGCGCCTCAAATCTGACTTCATGCACGTTCCTTTGACAAAAGAGCCGCACAATCGAATCATTGGTGCGTATTCAAAAGTCGGGGACATCATCGACTCTGCTCTTCCAGACATCAAATCGAAGCTCAAACTCCACGGGGAAGACTACATCACTGACATTTATCGCCACGACATCGCACACAGCCTTTTCACCAATAGCATCTACGTTCATCACCTCAAACATTGGCTAGAATACTTCCCGAAAAACCAAATCCTGATTCTCGAAGGCGAAGAAATCCTAAAATCGCCGCAAAAAATGGCTAAAAAGACGCAAAAATTTCTCAATCTCGAGGAAGAAATCAAGGACGAGCACTTTTTCATCAACAAAACTTCTGGTTACTACTGTATCAAAAACCCAGCCACTCTCGAGCCCCACTGTATGTCTACAAAAGCAAAAGGGCGGTCATCGAAGGTTGATCCAGAAGTTCTAGAGCTATCAGAAGAGCAAGAAAAGGAGCTGAATGAGTTTTTTCTGCCTTTTAATCTGCAACTCTGTGAGATTATTGGACCCAGTTTGAGCTTTTTAAAGCACATTTGCTAGAATTTCTTCAATTGAAAATAGAAAAAATGGATGAAATTAATAAATAATAAATAAATATCGTATATTTTCGAGAAAAAACGGAATATACAGTCAGGCTGACTGAGTCAGCTTCGGAAATATTCTTCAATATCAAAAACGTCGAATCCTGCTTCTAATAGAACTTCATGAACATCTCGTATCGTCTTATCCCCGATTTCGATCATTTCTTTCGTGTAGTATTCAAATGACGGCGGGACTTTTTCTCGCTTGAAAGAAACTGCTGCTTTTTGAAGCTAAAAGTTTCATAAAAAGATAATCGATTTTGCGAAAACTTACTTCGCTGAGACATTTAATTCTCATCTCTCTGTCGTCAGGAGTCCAGCCTATTCCGTCATCTAAGAAATTCAGAACTTTTTCCATCTCATAAGTGGCGTTTTCCTTGAGTCGCTCAAAGCTGTAAACGTGCAGAGGAAGATTTCTAGAGCGGGCGATTTCAGTCACATTTCGCGCCAAGTTGCCCCAGCCTTGAAGCCATCTTGGCGCATTCTAGATCCATTTTTAGTCAGACACATTGATTATTTCTTACCTCGAACCAAGGCTTGGATTTGAAGATATCTTCTTCGACGACACTTGTATGCCCATGCCCTCTTCTTCTTTTGAATTCCGCGATTATCGCGTCATATGGATTTCTGACGACAAAAATAAGCGCTTTAGCTCTGTCCATCACTTCTTCATTTGACGGAAAATGAGATTTGACAATCATCGTCATTCCACTGAGAGGATTCGTCCCTTCGCCCTTGAATCCTCCTCTTGCGAGGGAACCATCGGAGTAGATGCTTCCTGTGTAGATTCCTGTCGCGTCTTCGAGTAAAATACGCGTCCAGGTATTGCCGCTTCCGGGGTAGGACAAAAGTGGGACGATTTCGAATTCTCCTTTCTTCCCCAGTCGTACTTTTCTCTCACTGCATTCTTGCTCTAGAATTTCTTTCTCGATCCCCGTCTCCTGTGGCTGATATTTCCCCTCTTCCAGCTGATTTATCATAAGTTCTTCTTCATAATCACGAAAAGTAGCAAGAGCCAAGAGTAAAATAGGAACAACGATAAGGATTTTTATTTTCGATGTAATTTCTGTCATTTTACAAGCATTTCTTTGAATCGAAAAAAAAGGATTATGGCAAGGGATTCAATCTATTCAAGAGAAGCTAAACAGCCCGCGGCAAGAGTAGAACATGCGAAATGTCAATTTTGAAAATGAAACAATTTCAAACCAGGCAAAACAAGTTTAATTTATGTTAGATGCAGTAGGTCGAGTACAGTGAATTAAACATCATTCGATAGCTCTTTCTTATTCTCCAATCGTTCAACGCAACATTGAATATTCTGCATTTTACTCTCAGGTCAATATTGCCAATTTCTGTTCTCATTCTTATTCCTCTTGCCTCAAGAAAGAAGCAGCTGAAGAGTAAAAAGATGCAAAAAAGATTCATGTGCGGTTTTTGTTTCAGAAAAAATGCTCTCTTCTTATTAGAGTGGGACCCTCTGGGCCAGAGGCTCTGGCGTCAATCCCAGTCTGGGTTTTTGACGTCAATATATTAGGCTTATACCTTGAGTAACTTTTGAATGAGATGATCCTGTCAATGCACAAGTGTGTATCTGCTACTAGCTGTGCATCATACTTAAATTATTATCGCTTTAAAAGAACCACTACGAAAATGAATAATTATAATATATTTAATAGTTGATCGTTCAACAGAAAGAAAAAACTGATAGGCAAAACTCTCTATGGTAAGTGTGAAAGAAGCAGACATAAGAATCGCAGGGCAGTCAGCGGTATTAGAATTAAATTAAAAATAACAAATAATTAGAGTAATTTTCATTCTCAGTTTCATCTCAGCCACTTATTGTTGTGTTGGCCCAATCAGGATAGACGCCAAGGTTGTAAGTTGGATAAGCTATAAAATGGAATTTTCGGGAATCAAGGAAGAGAACGCTTACCTATGATAGGTAGGAAAATCGCCGAGATTGTGACACAAATGATGTTCATCAAGAATCCGGCCCGGACCATGTCAAACGATCGCAAGGCACCGTAACTGAAGGCGATTGCATTTGGCGGCGTCGCGATAGGCAAAAGGAAGGCGAAGGAACATGCCATGGTGGCTGGAATGCAGAGCACGAGGGGATTGAGGTGGATCGCTTGCGCCAGACTCATCAAAATCGGAAGAAAAACCGAGGCGGTTGATGTATTTGAAGTAAAACCGGTGACGAAGGAGATCAACAGTGCGATGGAAAAGGGAAGGATCGAAAACGGCCATTCAGAAACTAACTCTTTTATTCCTTCCCCGAGAATCTGTGACAATCCTGAGCGCTGGCAAGCATCAGCAAGGGCAAAGCCGGCTCCAAGGAGGATGATGACGTCCCAAGCAAGAGTTCGTTGAACTTCTTTCCATTTTAAAATTGGCTCTGCAGCTTTTGGCATTCCTTCTTCATCTTTTTCACAGGGCTTTCCGAGGAGCCAGCGGAAGAAATTCGGCTGTGAAGGGAAGATAAAAAGACTGAAAAACCAGTAGATAGAAGGAGAAAGTAGGGAAGGCATACCTGAAACAGGTCAAAAGAGCTGGAGTAGAGTCCCTTACGTATCCACCATCAAAACCCGCTTCCCATCCAGGCATAAACTTGGGACTTCTCGTAAACCAAAGCACAGCCAGAGCGACAAAATGAATCAATACAACGATTTCGGTGTACTTCATCTTTCCAAGATTCTCATATCGATCGTGAATGTCCTTTACGACTTGTTCATCCTGCGATGTCACTTCGCGCCGTTTGATGTCATTCCACACTTTTTTGATTCCAACGAAGAGGGTCAAAAGCCAAATCCAGCAGAAAATATTGCAAATGATCGAAACGGGAAGAGCGTAGACCATCCAAGTGAGAAAATTGATTTCTTCTCCAGCGGAAGGGTGGTTGAAGACGGTGGAGATTTGGGTTTGGAGGATGAGATTGACGGGTGTGCCGATGAGTGTGCCGATTCCGCCGATGTTGGCGGAGTAGGCGACTGCGAGAAGCATGGCTTTCATGAGCTAGAATTTGAATTTTAGATTCTGTCTTTTTGCGATTGATAAAATGAGGTAAAAAATTGAATTGGTGATTTTTGGTAACCGTCATTGAAAACGAAAAAAAAACTCTAATTTTTCCCGAACGCATTTGGTTTATGGTTTCTTACCAGATCTGGAGATTCCTTCGATTTTCTTTTCTTCTGTTTTCTCGTTCGTGAGACTCGTTTTTCCACCAAAAGATTCTGGTTCGAAGTATCCAACGTCATGGCAGACTCGTTTTGAATCTAAATAACAGTTACTTACAGTCAAAAAATGAAAAATTCACTGCAAAGCGAAGCAAAAATGTACAGTTGCCACCGTAAGTCACCAATGAAATCACCAGCCACTGTAATTGACTGTAAACTTACGATTTGGTCGACTCTACTTGACGGCCTCTTGTCTTCGTTTTTGATTACCTGGTAAGAGTCAGTTAGGGGTGTCTGGGCGTCACTGAAGCCATCCACGTCCTAAAACGCAGCTTGTTAGTTGAGTTAATAGCTTCACAAACTAATTACGAAAAAAATCTCTCTAGTTGATTTGATTAAGAGAAACGCACGAAAAGAACATCTCACACGTCAGTTTTCATTTCAACGCACATTTCCGTTTTCGAATCCAGCCACCGGGTCGACAACGATTCGGGGCACTTGGGTTCCAGATTGACGATTATTCTAAAAGGAAGAAATACAGCTCATAAACAGGCATCAATCAAACCTTTTGTCGCTCTTGCGATTGCTGAACAGATGTCATCGAAGTCATGGGAGAAGCTAATGCTGATGGATTCCGCGAGTATCGCATTTTCTTTTGAATCATGGATCAGCTACTAGTTTAAATTTAAGCTTCAAACCTGGATAAAACCGCCAAATTTAGAAAGATGGATCGACAAGGTCGACTTTTGTGGCCCAGTTTCGTAGGCAGCGGGGTCGAGAGTTACATTAAAGCCTATTCAAGCTCTAGAATTAAGAGATGAACTCCCATCGTAAAAACCATTTTCGGAGTCCCGTGAGAAAAGACTCTTTTCTAGAACAATCCTTGATCCGCCTCAATCTCCGAGCTTTCTTCTTTCACTTCCGAGGAATCTTCTTTGTCCCCAACGATTGTTTTGACTGTAGCGACGGCGATGGGCAACATCATTGCGGTTGTGGCGGTGTTTGAAATCCACATGCTCAAGAAAGCCGTGACAAACATGATTGATCCCATAATTGTGTGAAGTTTTGCGCCAGCGACTTTCAATAAGGTTGAAAAAAAGTCGCTCGAATACGGAAAACTTACAGAGCCCGTTTATCAGTAAAGGAAAAAGCGTGTGTCGTATGTCACACGTGACTTAGCTTAGCAGTTGATTACCCAGTCTTAGATAACGAGCGCTTAAATCACCCTTTCCCTTTCATTACACGCAGGGCGATTCGCAAGTGCAAATTGCACTTTTCAATTGCAATCGCGACGATCAAGCCTCCAAAGAACAGAAAGTTCGTGTCTAAAAATGGCTAAGACGCGCTGGAGGGTTAATTTTCTCACCCTTGAAATAATGGACCGCAACTTCTTTTGCTGGCAAAAGTCCGAAGAGAGGAAATAGAAACATAGGCATCAAGGAAGTTACGGCCAAAGGAGTGACTTCGAATGTCCAGTAGATTGACATGAGAATCAGGCAGAAGAGACATTTGTATGGCTAGGGCAAAAGTTTAAACAGTGGCCTGGGAAAAAGGTCAATAAAGCTCTTTTTTAATTGCGCGTGTTTCTATTTGCGGTCAAATGATGTTTCCCCCTGGGAATGGTCAACTGATGCGAAAGTGAGTGAATACGCAAAAACAAGCGTCAATTAAGCCTCATAAGAAGAATCACGTGCTTCGAATTGAATCGAATTATTGGGAGAATCTGGAGTGTTCCTCTTCCCTTCCAATTATTCTTCAATGCTTGTTTGAACACAAACTTGAGATTCGAAAAATGGGTCTAGGCGAGGGTACTCTAAAGGAAAAACGGCAACGCCCAGGTCCTAGGAAGGGGGAGCACAGGGCCTCGGGCCCAGGGTAAACGCATAGAAACGGGTTGTTGGAAACCACAAAGCATGTTTTCTGGACCTGTCTGGGCTTTTAGAGCTTGATTTTTGAAAAGGGGGCCTGAATATCGAATGCCTGGACACGAGACAGAATTTTGGGAAAAATGCGTTGATGGGTTAAGAAATTAACTCTTCCAATTTTACCTTCTGAATCGCCTCTGTATACGGGAACCCATTTTCAGACAGCTGATAAGAGCCATTTTCGAATTTGATCGCTTTCGATAGACAACTAAGACCGTGCTGAAGCCCTGAGAACTATTTTTATCGAATTGATGATGTCAATCATCTTCATTTTCTCAAATTAATAAAGAACGAAGCTGAGCACTTTCCTTTTGCAGTCAGTCTTGCATTCTTCGGTTACGAGTTTATCCTCGATGTTCAGAAGGGGAAAGATGAGTAAAGGCGTCAAGATTAAAATAATCTTCAAAAAGGTTTAGACATATTTTTCATCTTATGAGAATCGAAAAATTTGGCATACTTTCAAAATAGATTTAATTCCTGGGAAAGAAAACGTATTTTCCAAAGAACGGAAGTACTCATTTTTTTCATTGCAACAATAAAATTGACGCTTGGAAGGGAAATTTTTCCTGAATGAAACTACTGTAACATTTCTTGTTCTATGGATTGTAGGAGGATTTCTCTAGCAGACATCGTGAGTTCAATGGCTGCTCAAGAAACTCATGAATTATTATCAAACCTGAGCGACTTTTGAATCCTTTTTTTTAATATTTCAATCAAGAACGCTATAAAAGTTATTAGCCCGGCTGATTTTCGACCCCCCTGCTGCCACGATTACATAACGCTCTTATGTCTAAACCTTCGCTGAGCCTGATAATTAACGCATATCTTCTTCAGCTTCCATAGTGCGCTTGCCATTCAGCAGCTTCTTTCTTCTCTCCTTTCAAACTAACGCCTCTAACTTCCGTCTTTTCTCGTAAATGTGTTTTTTCTAGAAAAAAAAAATCTCAAAAACTTCTTTGTTGGAAGATTATTAAAATTGAATCTTCTTTGTTAAAAATCGAAAAAAAGAGAGGAGAAAGCTTGACTCGCGGGCGCTAGCGCGGCGATTGGCCAGATCAGCTCCTTAGGCGATGAATACCTTCCCGATTTGAGCATTCATTCTTTTGCTCTCAGAAAATTCCTGCGTCGTTTTGCGTCTTTCGGAACATGTGAGGAAGATGCGATTCATGCTGTGTAAACATAAATGATGCAGTTCTCAGAAGAATATTGAAGCTTTAGTTTCGATCACGTGAGGTGTTGGCAAATGAATAGGAGTCGAGGAATGTTTTGTTGGAGAAATTCATTCAATGTCACTGTCGATTTTTTAACAAAAGAGGGAAGCTAAACATTTGATCTTTGAGCGAAAATTTTTTGAACAAACTCGTGACCTATTTATATCTCCTCAATCATCCTAGAAGCGCCTTGAATAAATCCTGTTACGGATTAACGATAATAAAAAAAAACACGATGCAAGAATTAAACTTTATTCGAGCCGGTTATTAATGATTTTTGAAATGTGTATTTTCAAGCTAGTAAAGTTTTTCAGAGGCAAAAGTCCGCTGGTACTGCCATAAGCACAGGGATGGCATTACTATTATAAGAGCCCTTACTGCTCCAACCAATTATTCCAGTGCCGTCAACTTTATCGCCATCAAGATCAATGCGGTGAATAGGAAAAGTCGGCATTGAGTAATCACCTGTGAAAAGAAACACGGATTCGTTTATGAGAATCGCTGATGCTCCTCTGGTTGCCTGAAAATATTTTAGCTAAAAATCAGTTTTAAGTTCTAGCTACGTATTGAAGGCTTCCAATTATACTCCACTGGTCATCTTTCAAAAGCCATATCTCACTCAGTGTTTTGACCGACCATCCTCCAATAGATAGCAGTGATCCGCTCGGCAATCCTATCAATGAACTCCATCTTATCGGACTAAATGAACATATTTTTATAGATTGGACGAAAGAGGGTTTACATAGGAATATCGGTCAAAGATAGCCAGCCAAATTTCGAGTTGTATGTTTCTACTTTCCCAAATCCACTGGCTTCACTTCCACTCACTGTTGTTGGCTGGCCTCGATACAGTCCAAGCCCACCATAAGCATGATTATATTGAGTTTGATGGGTAAGTACAGATCCTTTTGTGTCAAAAATCTCGCATTTCCTGGAATCATTTTCAGGAAAACAAATGAGCGCTCTCCGTCCATCATCGATTGCCAATGCTGCCGATTGATATGTCATTGGATTGTTAAGACGTGTCGGAAGCTCTATGAATACGCAGCGATAAAGTACCGCAATCTACAAAGCCGATTTTTATATGATCTGCTTGAACAAAAAGCTTACTTTATAATTGTCTGACTCTCCACCAAAAATGAATAGTTGATCTTGAATAAGGGCAAAAGAAGAAAATCTGGTATAATCTTCGGATGGAGCAGTTATTGAGGTACTTCTTGTTGTTGATCCATCTTTGTTAATAATAAAAGAATCGGTGGTCATATAAGGAAGAGATAATATATGGACATCATCCTAAATTTGTAATGATAGAAACTAGGTAGCTCATGGTATGAAAGTACCGATGGGTTCACGATAGTTGTCGTTGTTAAAGTAGAAGTCGTTGTTATAGTTGTGGTCGTTGTTGTTGTTGTTGTTGTTGTTGATGTTGTTGTTGTAGTTGTAGTTGTCGTAGTTGTTGTTGTAGTTGTGGTCGTTGTTGTTGTTGCTGTTGTTGTTGTAGTTGTGGTCGCTGTTGTAGTTGTTGATTTGGGACACCAACCACAAGATGCTCTGCAATAAATATGCATCATCTGGGGGTCTTTGAAACACTCGGCACTTAAAGCCCTACTTGCGCAGGTCTTTAATTTATCAGCACAAGAAGTTATTATTGTCGTTGTTGATTCTGTTGATGAAGTTGTCGTTGTTGATGTCGTTGTTGTTGTAGTTGTTGTGGTTGATATTGAGTTTTCGCAATCGGATCCGAAATAACCGTCCTCACAAGAGCAAAGATAGGAGTCATCTATGATCGAGCAAACACCCCCATTCAAGCAAGGATTACTAGAGCATTGGGTTCTCTCGCAAGTTGGGGTAAAAGCATAATGGCCCGACCTTCATCCGCAAGAGGGCGCGCGGAAAAGAGGTGGAAGAACGGAAAAGAGGTTGAAGAGCGCCTTGAGTATGGCGCCGGAGGAGAGTGCGCAGGGGAGCGCAGATGGAGAACCTCCATGAATTACTCAGCGGGTGGGCAAGTAAGGAAGGGAGCGCGAAGCCGCCTAATCCTAGCGTGAAGTGTGTCAATCTCTGTTCAAACACCGCTATCATTTCTGACTCCGTAGTACCCGCTGTAGGAGCAAAATTTCGTTAGACTGATTTTTCGCGCACATTTTTATGAAATTATAAATAAACTAGAAAAACTTTTCAAAGGTAAAATTTTGCGCTGAATCTAAATATAACGTCGAAAACCCTAAATTTTGATCCAGGACTTGGAGCGTAGCTTTCTCGTTTTGCTCCTGCCCGATGGTGAAAATGGTAGGTTTATGTTTGGATCCCGCATCTTCAGGCTAGGCTCGTCATCCTGTATATCCAGCTTGTTTTCCGTTGGGTTTTCGCGCGGTTTACTGTTTACTGGAAACAGTACTGTACACAGTTTGAATTTCAGACAGTTTTCAGTACAGTAGTAAAAAAACAGGAAACAGTAGGGCTGCACAGTATTTCTGACAGTACAGAATGACGAGCCTAGTCCTCAAGAATACGATCAATTTTGTATTTTAATTCCGTAAAATCTATGTTCTTTGCGCGAAAAGCTTTCTTCTGATATATATATGTCTCATAGAAAGAAGGCCATCACTCCTACTCGCCTCTAGAATTAATACTAACATGGGTAGAACAAAAGTATCCCGTCCGCCCCTGCTGCGCTCACTCCCAGGTGGAAGGCTCGATTATCGTATTTAGGGCTTATCGCCAACTCATCAGTTCTCCCTGGACTCGCAAAGTTCGGAGGATTCTGAGTCCTCCGCGCACCTGGCGCCCTCATGCGGGAGTAGGTCGGGCCATTCTGCTCGACATCCCGCAAGTTGGCCCGGAAAATCCCTCAGCACAATCACAAGTATACGTTGATCCCGAGATCGAGCAGATTCCGTCGTTCTGACAAGGATCGGAAGTGCAAGGGGTGTTTTCACATAGTGTCCCAGAAAAGCCATCATAACAGGAGCATTCGAATCCTTCCCCATCATATTGATCAGCATCGATGGCATCAACATAACACACTCCATTTCCGCATGGATTTCCAAAACACGGCTGACTCTCACAATTGATTCCGATAAAACTTGGGAGGCAGCGGCACGAATAACTACCACCATCGATCGAGCAAATTCCGCCATTGAAACAAGGGTTAACTGTGCAAGGCGTTATTCCGCATGTTTGCCCCATAAAACCTTCCTGACAAACACAGGTGAAGCCGTCGATTTCAGCAAAACAGTTTCCGCCATTTAGACAGGGATTTTCTCTACATGGATCTACGCTTGTTGACCTTGATTCCTTGATCGACACCAAAACAGCCGGTACTATGACAGCGACTGCACCAATTAGGGCGACGAGAATTTGAACAATAGTTGAAGTTTGCATAAAAGGGCTACTTCGGGTTGACGACCTCTCTTTTTCGTCACGGTTTTTAACATTTTTTGACTTTTCTGAATCTTCACTCATTTAAAAAATAAAAGAATTGAGCTTGCCGTCTTGACAGGGTACAGAAGGAAATGACTCAGAGTATCGTGGGGTATTAATTCATTAAAAATAATATAAAAGTATGAATTTTGCCACTCGAGATGTTTTTATAGTTTTGTGCATGATCTCACTGTTTTTTTTGGGAAAATTTTGGATTAGACTTAACCTTACGACAAACCGGAATTTCACCCGCCGACGACAAATGTGCCATATATGTACTTGGACTTTATCGCCATCTTTCGACCAATAGAATGCCCGAAGCCAAACCTTAACCCAAACCAAAACACAAATCGAAACCCAAACTCGAAGATGAACCTAGCCTCGATCTCAGACTAGTTACCAAAAACGAATGAAATAGAAGAAACTGAAGTGATAGAAGAGAGAAAAATGGGCGTTTAGAATTTTTTGTGCCAAATATGGCACATTTGTCGTCGTAACGTTAACAGATTTTGCGATTAATAAAAGATGAGGACGAGAAAATGAAGCAAGAAGACTATTATAGACTTTGGAAAAAACGACATTTCATGATATAAATTATTTCTTATAAATTATTTCCTTATTTCTGATTAGTTTTTTTGACATCGCGTATTACAGTAGATAAACTTAGTCAACTGCAGATTTATTGTGTATAATTTCAGATGCATTGTATGTTGGTTTTTTTTTTGAGATTGAATGATACAATTTTTATTTAAAAATATGTTTTATAATTCGATATTCCACTTCCAGACATAAATGTGCGAAGTTCGTAGTCTACGAATTTGGAGAAAATTTTGAAAACATCCAGGAAAGATAGTCTTTCTTTTCCCATCAATTCATCCTTGTCAAATTTGCCTTGAAATGCTTCTGACAATTCTTCGTGAAATCCCTCTTAATATTTCATGTATGGATTGGTAGCGTCTCTTCAATGATGACTTACGTTCAGAGATAAGCTTCTTTATATCTTCTTTCGACACCGTTTCGTTTTCATCTCCGTGCTTTTCGAAAATTTCTAGAAGTGCCTTGATAAAGACGGTAAGCGCTGGGAAATCTCCTTCTTTTGATGCCATGTTTGCGAAGAAATCGGCTTATCTCGACTCGATAAATTAATTTATAAAATCGAGAGGCAGAGATCAATTAAATAGAAAAATTGCTTCCGGTTTAATCCAAGTACTAGACCGAGGACGTGATGCCAAAAATTTACTGAGAGTACAGTCTTTCCAGTCTATTTTAAAATTCAAAACAACTTCACCTTACTTCAAGCTTCAATAATTGCATATTATTGTAAATTAGCGGAGTTGGACGAATCGAACACTTGATTGTTATTTTATTGAAAAAGCCTAGTTTGAAGTTGAAAGTTAAAACAGGTTTTCACGGTTTCTCAGGCATACATTTTACATGGCTTCGGAAATACCATAACTCAGCTAGCCAGTTTGTGTATTCTTTCGGCGATCCATATTTGCCTCCCGTTCGGCCAAATCTATATTCGTTCCATTCTTCTTTCGGGGTGCAGTTATTCACATGAGTGATCATCGGTTTCTTGCACCAGGCGATTCGCAATTGACCTCTTGCGTCGAAAAAGTATTCTTTGTGGCCTTTGTTGTCGAATTCAGGGTCTAAGGGGTCAAAATATGAGACAAAGCGGAACTTGAATGTTTACCAAAGCGAATTTTTCCAGCTGTTACAGTTCGACCAAGAAAGAAATTATCCATGATGTCGACAATTCTACATTCATCCTCGAAGCCTTCCTAAGCTCAAAAACATACTCTCCAGAAAAAAATATTTGAAGTATAAAATCGAAAAGATTTTTCGTCAAAGTCTGTATTTTGAGCATTTCCTGGTAGTTCAAGATGCTGATAGATCCCCCTGTGAAAGCAAAAGCCGGTCGGGGAGGGTCTGATATTCATGAAATCACTCTTCGCCCAGGGACTCCGTTCATGTTTGTTGAGCGATCCGCCGATAAGATCATAGCCTGTTGTTTCTGCTACGTTAACCATGTAGCGCAAGTCGGTCTGATTCGTGAATTGAAAATCGTCATCGCACCAGAGGAAGAATTGAGTCCTTAAAAATGGCTCTATTTTTCAAAAATCATAAAAATAAATAAAAAAAAACAAACTTTGATTTTTCAATTGAAAAATTTTTGGATATTGAACAAGAACAATCATAAGTTCATGACCCATGAATCATGGGCCATGATCCATGGGAATTTATCTATAGCTTATTTTAACACTAGAATTTACCTCACCTGACTTAGCGCAAGAGCCCTCCCAGCAAACCAGCCTTCCTTCTCCGGCATTCTGTATTGCTTGATCTTTATAATCTCACTCTCCATCTTCCGAAAGTCCTCATCATTGTTGTCGTCCGCGATGATGACAGTTATATTCGGGTAAAAAAGTTCGACGCTTTTCAAAAATCTTCGAAGGCAAGGGTAGCGAAGATAGGTTTTGGTCAGGACAGTTACTCGATCTTCGACGGCATCAGAGGTTCGATGATTGAGAACGGGTAGTTTGCTCCAATGAATTGTAATGGGAAATTCGATGGTGAAGTTTAAATCGCCCTCTACGGTAAATTTGACGATGTCAACTAGTTTTCTTTGTTGATTTCAAAGATGCGATTCTCGAAAATTTTGATCAATAGCATAAAAACTCATGGAAACCAATTCCTAGCGTCGTATTTTGTCGGATGATACCATGCTCCAGCAAGACCAGCATTCATCTCTTCCACCGTCAAGTTTCTTACATCCAAATTTCTTGGCAATTTCGACAACTTGACTTCTCCAAATTTTGCCTCAAACTTTCCCGAGATTCGTATTTCTGGGTCATTTTGGGAGATTATTTTAATCTCCAATTTTGCCGACTCATTTGGTTCGACTTGATATCCACTGGAAACATATTCGACTGGAATTTTGGGTTTGCAAGTTGTTGGAGGAGGTTTGTTTAGTTCGTAGTAAAAGTCTCTTTGAAGGTTCATTCTATTTTCTGGTCAAAAATCGGTATTCTTAATGTAAAAATGGAACCTTAACTTTTCCAAAACTTAATATCTGTCTCATGCTTGCTCTTGAATTCGTCTCTTGTCATAGCTATTAAATCAAACTTTCCACCAAAATTGCAGTCGCAGCTTCTGTTATCATAAAGATTCTCGTAATCGCTCGGCAATTCCCGATCCCAAGCTGTCAAACTCCCGATTCCAACCGATTTATATTCAAGTTTTCGATATATTTCTTCATATTGGACGATTTCTCTTTTCGGCGAAGATTGAATTGTTTCTCCCAAAGTAGGGCTTCCAGCTGAAATTGCGGGAACAACATCATTTGGATATTCAATATCTCTTGAAACAGAAATTGTTCCGTAAAAATATCCAAGCGCAAGAGTTATCAACGGCAAAAATTCTCTGAAGGTCCAGCCCTGAATCGATCTTTTTATTATCGATATGTTTTCTTGCGCATTGTTGGGCATTTTCGAACGAAAGCCGGGTTTTTGTCCAGCGAAGAGTCTAATAGTGAAGTGCGGAAGGTCAATGAATGCATGAAATTTCTGGCGAGATTGCTGATTTGCCACTATGTTCTTGACCTTCAGATTATTACAATTTTCAATTAGGATCTGATCAAGTTCTGCACTCGACTTCTTTTTTTTTTAATTCGAAAATGAACTGTTAAATTTTTTTCAGCTTGAAAAAGGAATTTTATGTTCTGTTTGAATACAAAATACTCGAATTTGGAATCATAAACGAGTTAAATATTAAGATGACCTTGAAAACCGGCACATAGAGCAGCAGTGCATGTTCCATTTTCAATCACATGAAAAAAAAATGATTCTTCTCCAGTTGTTACTTTTTTCTCAAATTTACTCCAGAGCTCATGAAGTTCATCCTCGGCTTATTTTGGAAGAGAAAAGAAATGAAAATCATGCTTTCTTCAATATCTCTGGGTTCGAGAAACGTTGCGCGTGAGTCGTTATTTTTATTATTTTGATTCTTATCATTTTAAAAGCGATGCAGAGCTGCAATCAAAATGCGAGGGTCAATGCCGAGTAGAATTCAATCGGTGCCGTCTTCTTTGTGAGACCGAATATTGCCTGTCGATTTGCGACCGGGAGTATCAAAGTATGGTTCACCGAAATTATTTTTCAAAAAATTGTTAGTTTGCCTCGACAACTGTCCTTGTGGAAAAAATTGCCCGCAGGGATGTGCTGAATGTTTAAATCCAATTTGTCCTCCGGTATCTTTTCCTTGAAAAATCAATTTCATTCTTCTTTGAAGCAAACAACGACTGCACCAAAAATAATGTCAACAACAACATCGAAAGCGGAAACCACTGCAGGCTCGACCTGGAGATGGTCTTTCGTTGCTTGTTTTGTCAGATAGACAAAGCGAAAGACTTTCGTATATTTTGACACCAGAAGGATCCATCGTGGAAAATGTTGCGATCGATACTCCTTCAGAAAGATATCTTGAAAATGTTGGGTTCGGAACATTGAATGGAGAGCATTATATTTTTGGCAGATTGATGAATCTTAGAAAAGTTCATTCACAGAATTTCTGAATAATTATTGATAATTTTTTTCCAAAAAGGTAGCAAAATTAGAAGGCTGCACATTTGCCGAGCAATCTCAGCGGCTTTTATTCGACTTTGATCATAATTACGGGGCTTCGACGACAATCAAAAATGGCGAAAAGAGTGATTAATTGTTGAGATTTAATGTTTTCATTTTATTTTTATAGTATTACTTTGTTTTGGTGGGCCTTACGAGAAAACTTATCAATTTTTCGACGGAGACAATTCTAAAGAAACATTCACAACAACGAATATTCACCAGTAAAAATAATTTAAATTATTGACAAGTAAAAACTTCATCAGTCACGCATGTCTTGCGATTTACAAGAATTATCCTTTCGTAGTCGAAGGCCTTGGTGGCGCAACAGAAATTATGAAAGAAAATGGATGGGAAGCTTCAATTGCGCTCAGTATAAATAATCTTCGATCCAATGTTTGCTTTTCTGTCGATGATGGTGTTATTGCTCTTATGGGCTTTGATAATAATGGCAATGTTAACTCTGATGTTCACTTGCTGAAAGACGACCAATGGAAAATTGTTGGACAAACAATCACGGTTCGTGAGGCACAAAAAAACATTCCATAATAATTTCTAGTACCAAAACGCAGCGTCTGTTTTTAATGCAATTGATCGGTTTTATATCATCAGTGGGGCGACAGTGGGTTCCTCAAAGTTTCTAGGCGTGCAAAAATTCAACTGGAATGGAGATTCAGTGACAGACTCAGAAATCATCCATACTCATCAGGAAACCTTCTTCAGACCAGCTCTTTTTGTCGTCCAAACAAGTTCTTTCTGTGTACTATGACTAATTATTCGACTTTTACAATCTAATTAATATAAGTTTATTCTTTCTTATTTTGTTTGAGAAAAAAATAAGAAAAAGACAAATCATGACAAGTATATACTATTGCACCGATAGTTATCATCTTTTGCTAGATCCCGTGCTGCATTGTCTATGCGACTATCATTTGTTCGTATTTTTGAAATTAAAAGTAATGCTCATAAATAACGAATCCGAATAACAGCTTTCGTTATTTGTGAAAATCTTTTTTCGAGGAAATCCTTGAAATTTATTGCATTTGAAAAGAAAAGAAGAAAAAGTCATATCATGACAGATATCTAAACAGAAATTTACTGGAGGAAGACGTTTCCGGCGTTGAGCTGGAATCGAGCAATCTCGAGCATGGAGCAAGTGTTGAAGTCTCCATCAGTCTGGGCGTTGGCGTAAGCAGCCTGGAGAGCGGCGTAGGTTTGTCCGTCAACGGACCAGCCCCAGTTGCCGAAGGCTTGGATAGCCTGGTTCTTCCATTCGGTGAGCTCAGCACCGGCGAGTTGTCCGTCGCCGTTGTTGTCATAAGCATCGATGACGACTCGGGCATTGGTGGCGGCGAAAGCGCCAATGGCCAGCTTGTACTCGTCAAAGTCCAAAGCGCCATTGGAATCAGTGTCGACGACGTCCCAGTATTTAGAGGCGAAGTTGTAGACGAAGTTCTGGGAGCTCTGGCTCATTCCGACGTATTCGGCGATCTCAGCCGCGCAGACGGTGAGTTCCTGAGCGGAGACGATGCCGTCGTTGCCGCCGCAGTACTGGAAGGAGGGGGTGTAGGCAGCGTCGCCAACGGAGTTGACGGCATCGCGGAAGGCAGCAGGGTTGTTGCTCGCGAAGTCGTAGACGTTGAGGGCCTCGTTCCACCTGAAAAAGATCATCAATATCTTGAATTCGGAAAATCTCGAGTTCTAGAGCTTCAGAGAGCTTGAAACTTACCAGGTGTTGACAGCCCAGTTGAGAGGAGAAGCGGTAGCAGCAGCGACGAGTCCAAAAAGCTTCATTTTTTTCAAATTTTTATTTCGATTTTTTGGAAGATTAAAAGTTCTTCTGATTTTTTCTACCGTAGTCCCTCGATTAAATGCTGCGCTGAAGACACATAAGCAAACAAGCAACAAACAAGGGTCGGCCGTCCGATCAGACGAAATCAACAAGAACTCTGAGAAGAAGTAAATAAGAAAGAGCTGATTTTGATGAAATAGAACAACTTCACAGAAAATTATTCTCGGAGACACCGGGAGAAAAATAGAACCATCAAAAATATGCATCGTGTTGTTTTGACCTTTGAGAGTTTCTGATTTTGAAATCGCTGTTTTTTCCTGAATCGACGTTTTCGACTGTGATCTTAATTTATTTTCATGATTTAAGAATTGCAGAACTCATGGTTTGTTTTAAAAACAATCGGTTCGTAATTCCAAGAGTTATCCGGAAATAAATCGATCACTTCCGAAGCAATTATATTCGTTCCATTCCAAGATAGCTTCTCAATAAACCCGCCTTCTGATTTAAAATCGAAGACCCGAATCAGGGTCTTCGAAGCTAATCAGACCCTGATTCAGGTTTGCTACACAGGTTGCCGAGCCAAGGAAGTCCGATGGCGCCGCTGTAGTTGCTTCAAATGCCATGGTCTACCCCAATTTGTCGCCTCTAGTTATCGAAAGTCGCAAATTTCTCTTCTTGAAAGATGAAAAATCAGTGATTTTAAATCACGAAAAAGAAAATCCTGAGCATTTTAAATTTTGTCTTCTCCGACAAAAAAAGAATCACTCAAACGCTTTGGTACACAAGACCGAGAATCAGTTACTATTCGCAATTTGCGAATTTCGCAAATAACTTATTTGAAATAAGGGGTTTCATATGATAACTCGCATACAAGCAGAGAGCCTTGTTCAAAGTAGTGAAGTAGCTACTCATTTTCACTGTGATCAAACAATTAAAAAATGACGAAAAAACTCCTCGAATCAAATTCAATCGATCTTCATACAGTAGTATTTTGTATATTCCTTCGGCGGGTGAGCGGAAGCTCTTCGATCATAATTAAGGGCATCCGAAGAGAGGTAACAAGATATAAATCCCGGAAGTTCTCACCATCTTGCGCTCTCCCGCTGCGATTTTTCCGGACAGTTTACTTCGAATCCTGAAAAATAACAAAAAAGCAAAACCGCAAATTTGTAAAAATTGTTAGCTGGATTCACTCGTCACCTGAAAATGTCAAGTGTAGTGACACCTGCATCGCACGGGCGCGGTCTTTTTTGAAGAGCTTCCTTTTGCACTTGTCGTTTTTGACCGAGGATGATTTATTGCTCGAGCAAGGCGTCAATAAAACAACCTGTTGAGGCCATTTCTTATTCATTCGAAAAGGTTGAGCCAGGATTCTATATCAAAATAAATACAGAAGTGGATACACACTTGATCGATCCAACTGTTTTTTGAGACATTTATTGGCTTTGATTTATTATTAATAAATAGGCGTTTTTTTCTTGAAATAAATTTTTAATGAAAAAGATAGTAAAATTATCTTTTATCAAGTAAAAATTGCAGAAAAAAACCGTGGGAAAGCGACAATTTATCAGAATTGACGTCGTGATTCCCCCCTCAGATTGATAGTCACTGATAATCATCAGTATCAGTTTTTGAAGATGATCTTCGTCTTCGAGACCCTCCGAGCTGAGGATCGAAAATGTAACGAAACAGAAAGCGACGATTCTTTTGGCCTGGGCAGTTTGTTAGTGGAATCAAGGCTTGGAGCCCATCTGTTTGATTCTGTGTAAATACAGTTTCTTCTGAATTATTCACTGTAAAGATTTCTAGACAAATTCTCACTCGGAAAAAACCTGTCAAGAAATCTTTACGGCGAGAAGAACAGTATTCAACAGAGCCTACAGTTGAAATGGCCTGACCAACTTTTTGATTCGTTTATTAGCCACGTGATAAATGACCTAAAATGAACAAATTGAGGCTTTCAGTATATCAGAGTCAAGGAACCTTTTTACTAGAAATAGCCAAACAAGTTGTTATTCCCTAATTTTTGGTAGAAAGATTTTTTAAAATCTGAAAGCCTAAATTTATTCATTTTCGATCGTTTATCACGTGGCTAATAAATGAAATAAATATTCAGCAATTTTCAAAAAGAAAATAATTGCAACAGAAAAAACTGTCTCGTGACCGTGAAAATGGAAAAACACTGGCACACGAGTCTGAGAGAGGTCCGCTGAGTCAGCTCTGCTTGTTTTCGAGAATTCATTCAAAAGTCCGCGCTGGTTCTGCGCGGCGCCTCGCCCCGCCGGCCAATCAGCGGGGCGCATTTTGAAAGTGGCGCTCTCCCGCCAAATGCCTCCTTCACAATCCTCGCGTGTCAGAACGCTTCGCGCTCAAAGCACAAAAACACGACGCTTTTCTTTTTTTCAAATCAAACCACTTTTTCAAAAAGACGTAGTAAAATCAACTTTTCCAAAAAAATCTAGAAAAAAAACTTTTTTCGAGACGAAAGAAGAAATCTTCCTGAAGCAGAAAAAAAGAGAACGATGATGAAGGCAAAGAGATGCCTCTTTGGACCCAGCGACCCGGAATTGACACACCGACAGTACAATGAAAGCTTGAAACAACATCTACAGGTACGTAATCGGATTTACAGTGATTTTTGTGGATCTTTTGTTGATAATGTCAAATTTTGAGGGCAATAGGTTTGATGCTAGAAATTAGGATAAATATTTGCAATCAAGGTTTAAGAAGTCATCTTACTGTAAAAAGACAGTAAGAACATCTCATAAAAGCTTATTTCGCTATTTTGCAGTGTATTTTGTGACCAAAAACAGCCCCAAAACAAGCTTTTGTGTCAGTTTTTCTATTGTTTTCACTCTTCTTTCTCATATTTTTCCAAAACAGAAGAATATTACTGTATGAAACTGAGTAATTCGCTGACAAAATTACCTTACAGATACGCTGCTATTATAAAACTACAGCTAAAGTGCGGAAACTCAAGTATTTCAACCGCTTTTGATTAGTTTTTCAATTAATTACGAACGAAAAATCATTAAAAATGAAATTCTGTAGTAATAAAACTCCAGAACTTTGTCCAATTTTGACCGATCAAGGAGATGAAGGGCTCAAAATTGAGACAAAAGCATCTTCTTATCGATTCATTTATCGAGCGGGTTGGGATAATCCATCAATTAACCCAAAAAAGAAACGCGAAACAGACTGTTTATATCCACTTTGGGGCGCCAATCTTCTTCCAAGGAGATTGCAATTAAAAGCGGCCTTAGCGGGCTTTTCAAGGAGATTTTGTCAGTTTTAGACTTTCTCCAAAACTGAGAGCCACCTGTTTTTATGAGCTTCAAAGGATCATTACTAATTCCGTCATTTTTTTCTGAAATCGTGAACGAGGCCGTGAATCAGTCGTAAAATTCGCGCGGTTTTACGATTGATTCACGGGCTAAGCTCAAATATTCTGTATTCCTCTGATCGCTAAAAAAGGATCAAAGGAATACAGTATGAATGAGACAGTTCTGCCTACAGCTGGGCTCGGCAACCTGTGTAGAATCCTGAGTCAGGGTTCTGAAAGAGTGCTTATGAAAAGCCGCTTAGCTCAGTCAGGATAAGATTTTTGCTCTTTCTGCACTCTGACTCAGGGTTTCCACGCAGGTTCTCGAGCTCAGTGGAATGCCCCACTCCGGTATCTTTGTGACTGTAAGAGCCGAACTTTTCCCTCTTCGTCCCAAAGAATGAGAATTATTTGATTCGTAGTACGGCCAATTTCCCACTAGTTACAGTGACTCTGCCTCAAAACCAGCTACTACGAGCAAACGGCGCCATACTACTACTCAAACAGTTCCATTTACCCGGCATTGAGTTTTTGAGTGTCACCGTTTTGCGCGCAAATTTGCCCTTTTCTTACAATTTCTATTTGCTTTTCCAACTTTTCGAAAAGTTAGAAAAATGTTTTTTTTTGAAATCAAGCCAAATTGGCTTTGAAATTATTTCAATGCTTTTCCAATTTTTTTCCGGAGAACATGTTACGCAGCTAATCTAAATAAACAACGGAAAGATTTTGAATTCTTTTCTCGGATTAATAGCGCTATCACGTGTCTTTTTATCCCGATTTTTATTGTAAATAAGGTGGATTAAAGTTGATAAAGAGCTGTTTGTAGGAGCTTTTGAACGCTTAAACTGGTCTTATGATAAAAAAGTAGATATAGGGAAAATATGATGATGCGTAAAAGGTGTCATTATCCACGCTTGATAACATTTTTTTACGAAATGATAAAAGCTTGCCAGAATTTTATGGCTCAAGATCCAGAAATTCTTGGACCCCTGCCAGAACTCGGTCGGGAATTCAAGCAAGCCTGAACTTTTTAATCTCAATTTATGACATCAACAAAGCGCTGTCCCATCAAAAAACTCTTCAACAGTTCTTTCTATAAAATAATCGCTATTTTCAGAACGCCGAAAAAGACTGGAATTTCAACTTCGCAGATGAAAATCCGATCCTTTCCTCCGAAGCCCGCTACAAATGGGAAGTCGTTCGGTAAGTCCAAAATCAGCACAATGACGTAACGAATTCTCAATTCAAAAAGAAAACTGAAAAAAGACCGCTCCCGCTCTTTTGGGAGCTCATCCCTTTTCGCGCACAGTTTGAATTTGACGCGCTCAATTTGAATTCGCACAGTTGAACTCAAGGCATTTTGAAGTCTGAAAATATTTTGAAGCCACTCCTCTTTCTTATTATTGTTTTTCAGATCAAGCTCAGTGCCACCTGTCTACCGAAGCAAACGGTTATTTGATCCCAAGGCGCCAAAGCAAGCAGCTGAAGTTGAACAGAAAACACCAAAAACCTCCCGACGCTCGAGCAAATCTGCCACTCGCAGCGCGAAAAACTCGCAACTCGCCAAGAAGTCAACTCAAACCACAATGACAGGTAAACATAATAACAATTTCCCGATGAAAAAATATCGGTTTTTTGGATGTTGAAAAACAAAAAAGCAACTTTCTTCTATGTTTTCAAAGCTCGTTTATAAGATCCGATCTTTTTGTCAATTCTATCTCTTCAAAAGCGCTTCAACTAATCGTTGCTCTAGAAATGTTCACCGTGAAGCGTCAACGATCCAGCATGCCGAAGAAAGTCTCCATGGATCTTCCCGGCAGCACTTCCCCCGAACGCGTCTTTGGCGTGTTGACCCGATCCACCTCCCGTGTTCACACTAGGTAATAGTTTCTCCGACCCTTCTCTTGCTAATCAACTCCTTTCAGATCCACTGCGAAGCGTCACCTCCCATTTGGTCACTGAAAAAGACGATTGTCGGACTTTATTTGGCTACCTCGTTCAACAAGCTCAATAAGACCTCTCCTACTATCTAAAGCGTATTCGCCCGTTTTCTATTTTTATTTTCAATTCTAGCTTTTCCCGCCTTTTTTCTTGTTCGGCCGCCCTTTTGTTTTCTCAGTTTCCCAACTTTCTCCACTTTTTTTATTTTTTGTCGAGTCTCTCACATTCCATTTCACAAACTAAATCATCGTCGAAGCTTTTCCTTCTTTATCCCTTTTCGCTGTCTCTTGAATCGCCCGCTTCTTCAGGCTTCGAGAAGGGATGTAAAAGTGCATCTTAAAAACTTCAGATGAAAGCGATACAGAAAATGTTCATTATAAAATCACTTCAAAAAGGACCGAGAGGGAGCTTATCTACCTGTTCTTTCTTCTTTTTGAACTGTTTTTATAATGACAACTGTCTGTAACAATCTCTCAGTCAAATTTGAAGCTCATTTTCGACCTTCTCATTTCGCCAAGAGACCCATCAGAAGCTTATTTCACTAGAAATCGACCTGGACGATCGAGGGGTCGATTTTCTACCGAAATAAATCAGTCTTTTCTACGTCAACTCACAGCTTTTTTTCCGGGCGGCCTGACTTTTTTGCGCTCTAGAAAAGCGTTTTCAACGCTTCTTATCAATTTTTCCCACCAACTTTTGTAAAGGCTTGCTTTAAATTTTTCCCTCTCTTTCAAATTTTTTAAGGTTACTAATCCCGCCGTCTCTTTATTTTCAATTTTTGCCGGACTTATTATCGTATACTCCCTTTTCTCTCGAATTTAAAAACAAAACAATAGAAAAACCGTTCTCTGTTTCCAGCTACTGCAAGTTATCAAGTTCATCCCACTTCAAGACTTCAACCTCTGTTTCAGCAAGGTTCAGTTTTCAAACAAAGTATATATAATAAATCAAAAATCACACATATCAAGATATATTGTCAGGAATATACTTCACTGTTGCCTTAATTCTGTTTGTAACATTAATGAAGATGATTTGACGCATATGATATGCGGCATATTCTATACAGTCAGGTCTTGCAATTGCGAGAACTGCAATTGCGCGGTTTTTGGCGATAATCTCGAAATTTAATGCATTTTCGTAAAGTGCTTCTTTTGATAGTAAAATGCCAAATGAGAACAATAATTGAATATGCAAACAATTTTTTACTTTTCTAGAGACAAAAAAATAAAAATAACGTAAGATTTCAGCATACGTTTATATATTACGCAGAAAAGAGGCGAAAAGGTCAATAAGATTGTCCCATTTTCAAAAAAATTGACGGCTTGCAATTACGTGGTTTTAGGCGAAAATCCCGAAAAATAAAAACGCGCAATTGCAGGACCTGACTGTATATAAGCCGCATATAAAATGAATCAGACAATGCAGAATGAACTACTTGGTATAGAAAAAAGAGCAGGTCGAGCGAAATCATCAAGATGAGTATGAACTATCTCGGTGGCTGTAACGGTTTCTCCATTCCAGTTGATATTTTGAACTACTTTTCCCATTTCTCCACTGAAAACGTAAAATCGATCAACCAAATTAAGCGCAGAAGCAATATTCTGGTGCTGAACCGATGTCATTATCTAATTTATATGCGGTATCCTTACTGTCGAGACTTGTCCAACATTTCTCCACTGATCATCTTTTAGGAAGAAAACATTAAAGTTCCCCCCATCCCCGGTGTTCGTCCAGCCAGAGATAACAATCACTCCTTCATCAACATCAAAACAAACATGAGATTTGATATTCAGGCTCACAGAGTCTTGCCACCCATTTTCTTTTAAGATTTCGACAGAATCGGTACTGAGTCCGGCAACAACGAGAGGACACTCGCCATAATTTGCCAGACACGTATATCTTTAAGATAAAGAGCAATAAGATCGAGTTTCTATTGTTACCGATGGCTATAGTTTGTTGAGAAGGTTTCTTCTGCTTTCACGCCGTCGAAAAATTGACAAGATGTATGACCACTACTACCGAAGCAAAGCAGAACTGAACGTTTTGTGGATTTTATTTTCTGTTGAAATAAAAAAAATGATTTGGATGACCCTCTTAAATCGGGTTTTTGTAAGGTCATCTATCGGATTTTTGTAGGGTATTTTTGTCGGGTTTCTCTTTGGATCAACTCATCAGTTTCTTTATAGACAGCCCCCAAAGTTCTGTACCCGACGAAAACCCGACAAAAACCCGATCCGAAAATTCCGACTTCAAGAAGACCCGAGGAAAATCCGATCGGGGGCATTTGAAATCCCCGGATTTCGGGGGCATTTGTTGATCATAGTATGTTGGCTTATTAGTGTTCCTAGAAATTTAATACATCATGAAAACTTGTTCGGAGCAATCTTTGACCAATAAAAATATATAATTTTAGCATATTTTCGACTTTTTGTCATTTTTCATCGAAAACTTAAATTGTCAAGCGCGACTTTGAGGGTGTTAGAGTCGAGGTAGACCCCCAAAACTTTAAGCCTCAAAATCGTTTTTGACCTGTAGATTCTACTTTATACATAAACTTTATACATAAGTATATATTGATAAAGGTTGACAATTAAAAATAATAAAGATTGTTAATCAAAGATAAACCTTTGTTTATTTTGTCCATCGTGAGTGTCGCCCCTTCGTACAGATTAAAATCTTGAACCAATTGAATTTGTTGCTCGACAAAACTACAACCAACAAGTTTTGCAACCTTTAAATAATATTTGAAAAAAATTTATACGATACCGAGTCCTACTTTTCGTGGAGCGCCTGAACCTCCAAAAATATAATGTTCCCCATTCAAAGTTCCAAAACCAACGCGTTCAAGATATCCTTGCGCTGGAGTGTTGATGACAACATTTTCTACAATCGTTTCTTCTGCTGTAAAAATATAGGAAAGTCTGTTGCTTCCTTTGTCGGACAAGACGAGAACTGGAAGACTATTTCCAAGAGAGTTACCACACTATAGTATTAACTCTGTTAGAAAATTTTTTTCGCTAAAGAGTGAAAGTTTTCTTGCCAAAGCTTACTCAGCTCGGTAATTTTGCAATTCTGATCTCACCGAGTATGATGGACAAGGACATCCATTAGAGCAATTTGACATGCATGGACAATTTTCTTTCGCCACGAGAAATTCTTCAAAGCATTTTGAGTAGCAATCATTATCAGTTGGGCTGCACATAAGTTGACATTTCACCTATTTTGTCACTGAATTTTCCACTCGTAGCAAAAATGAACCTGATCATCGATAGCTTCCTTAATGCATTTCAATGTATCTGCATCTTCTTCTGGATTCCTGCAAACACAATAGGGACTTTCACATCCTTCGCATCCATCCAAACAGTTCAGATTGCAGGGACAATCTTCCGCACAATCTAACCGATCGCTTTCGATAATAAATTCTTAATAACCTACAGACAAAATTTTCCAAGCAAAGAGTCTCACAAACATGATCAGCACAGGCATTTCGACAATCCAAATAGCTCATTCTGCAAGTAGCCTCGCATTCCTCGCCAACATCCTGATCTGGGCATGTTCTCTGGTTGAAACCGATCGCTTGTTCTTTTTCTGTGTTTCAGATTTTTTCTCCTAAAAGCTTGAAAGGCTAAAAATTTCGAAACTTTCCAGGTATGAACCCCTCAGCGACGAGAAATAAAAGCGGAAGTATCATTCTCGGTCTGATCTAACCGAAATGAAAAGCTTTCAAGTTCTTGATTCTCTTGAAAACACGTGTTTTCTTCTCACAGTTTTTTTCGTAATGAAGCCGGTTCTCCTAAAATTTGATGACACTTGCACAATTCTCAGCAAAAAGGTAAAAGAATCTATTGAAATTAAAAATTTGTTGAATTCTATTTGAAGAAATGAATAAATAATCAGTGAGCAGGAACTTCGACAAGATTTTTCTTTATCTTCTCAATGTATTCTGGATATTTGGCATCTTGTTTGCAGCCGCGGTGAACGTCAAAACGCCAGAATCGCATTACGCTCTGGTACCATCTGTTGATCTTTGCCGCTCTCTTCGCTCTGATCAGTCGACAGATTCGGCAGTAATCGTATTCATCACGTGCTAGGGAGAATTTCAATGAAGAAAAAAAGCTCGAGAAAGCTTACAAAGAGTGAAATGAGATTCATGAAGAGGTTTGATTCTTTCTGGCCGAAGGGATCGCCAGTCATGGTATTCCATGTAAGCATTGTCGTTTTTGTCCAAATAATCGAGGTAGAAAACTGAATTTTTGTTATGAAAATCTGAGATTTTTGATGAAAAAGAAGATTTTGACAAAAATTGCGACAGAAAACTCAAGTTTTTTGACAATTTTTTCTCTGAAATCTGATTGGCCTATTGGCTGAATGCGGGTATCTGATTGGTTAAAAATTTGAACAAAATTTTAGGTCAAAAATGTCGCAATTTTTCTACTTTCGTGGTTTTAATGAGAAGCTAAGAGGTTCATTTCTCATTATGAGAAAACCTCTTTTTGGAAAAAATCATGTAAAAAACCGGCAGGTAAGTAGGATTACTCAACCGCAGGGAAAGGACTAATCCATTGAGCTACTCGCTTAGGGACCTAAGTCTGCGGCTTCCTCGAATTGCTCCGCGTGGATGAAAGAATTCGGGGGCGCGATTTGCTTCACATCATCGTAGTGCGGTCCAAACACGACTTTTCCCAGGTTGTTCGAAATTCGCTTTATTCAATCAAAAATCATGGTACCGCTTAATTAATCTGAACCTTTTTCCTGGAACAGCGAGAGCGCCGAGAGCATTTCGCCAGAATTTCTCAGAGATGTAGTCTGTACAATGGTAGGCATTTTCGAAGGAGAGGTAGAATTTCATGTGCTGAATTACTGTATCTTCGCTGTCAGAGTTGTATTTTAGGGACTTGGCCATGTTGCCGAAGGATCGTTTTGTTTGATTCTCGAAGCAGGCGCCTTCTCCATGAAGTTTCAGTCCTGCTTCTTTCAAAAAGGGTCGACAAGAAAAGGTCGAATAAATCAAAATCTGATTGGCTAACCGGCTGAATTCGGACATCTTATTGGTCAAAGATCCAACCAAAATTCTGCCCAAAAATTGACTTATCAATTGTCTTGTCGACCCTTTACTATCAGTTTCTGCCCGTAGGTCCATCTCAACCTTGCCCCGGGCGTGTGATCACAGTTTGAAATCAACCAACCAGTGTGAAAGTCTTTCAGCCCCTCTTTTTCATGGTTCTTTAGCTTCAATATTTTCTCCATCATCTGCTCATTGCTCAAAAGTTCCTTCCCACTAACTTCATCAAAATACATCCTCATCGTTTTCTGAATGCTTCCATAGCCCCTGACAATATCCGAATCCCGCTTGTACGAATATGTAATGTTGAAAGAAGAGTCGAATTCCTGAGTGAAAGATTGAAGATTTTGCTGCGAGTCGATATTTTTTATTCCACTTTCATAATTGACGAAAACCCAGTATTGCGAGCTGTTTCGGGTCTCTTTTTTCGATACTCAACTCTCAAGTGCTTTTCGCGCAATTTCGCTATTTCGGGAATTTTTTAAAGTTTTTAGTTTTGTATCGTTTCCTAAAGAAGGCGGCTTGAGTTGTTCATCTTGAGAGCGGCCTCTTTTTGCCGGGTCCTTTTTTCGTAAGCGCTCGTCTTCTGCCTTTTGAAAGGAGAGAAGTGGTCCGTTGTTGATTATTACCGCATCGGCTTATTATAATGTGATAAATGAAATAAGAGCAAATCTTACCAGTTTCGTACATATCCCTATCATTCGTAATAAAACACTCTCCACAAAGCTCACGCCCATAATTTTGAAACGGCTTGCTTGGAATCCTCGTCAGCTGGTTCGGGATCAGTCGATTTTCATACCAACCAAGAATCACTACTTTTTCTTCGCGATTTCCTTGAGGGCGCATTTTCGTTCCCCAAATTTTCCCCATCCACTTTTTTCGTTCGCTTGGGGAGAGACGTTGGATGAGTTTTTCGTGCATTTGTTCTCCGGTCATTGTTTTTTGTGAAAGATGAAGTTTATAGGGTTTTTCTTGTTTCTCATTTTTCTCTTGCCTAAGATCTTCCTCAGCATTTCGATCTTCTTCTCTGATTTCATCGATCTTTTCGAGCTCTTTTTCGTAAATTCTTTTTTCTTCGAAAACTTCTCTCTTTTTGTTGATAAGTTCTTTCCACGACGAAATATCTTTCTGTGCGAAAAATGAAACTGGAATCAGCAAGGATAATAAAAAGAAATATTTGAGTTTTGTAAACTCTCTTCTTATCATTTTTTTTCAAAAACGGTAATTTAGAAAAGCACTTCTTTTGAAGATTTGAAGATTCTTGTTTCTCTTTAGCGCTTTCGCTTTTGCGGGAGCGGCGCGCAAGGGTTCAAAATCGGCTGCAGTTAGAAAAAACATTGAGCAGCTTAAAAGTCACGCTTGTGAAACACGCTCTCCGCAAATGTCCGTGTTAATCAAAAAATCATAGTACTAGAATTGAATTTACGCGAGCTCGGGCGAAATGATCTGCAAAAATATACATTAAACTGGTATCCGCTTCTTTTTCATTCGAATAATATAAATCAAAATTTTAAGTACTATAGAATCTTTAATCTACCAGAAAATTTTTCTTGAAGATTATTTTCTAAATTTATTTATCATTCAAAAAAAAAAATATCGAGTTTTAAGATGTGATCGAAAATTTATGCTTGCTAAAAATATTTAGCTTGTTTTGGTTGAATATTATTCTGATTTCAAATAATATACGCATCTTGATGTGTCACAAGCATTCTCGATCTGTGATGGATTCAAGCTAGTAAGGAATTACTCAAGTTTGATTCCAGCGATTTTGATCATTACTCAAGATGGTATTTATTCTTCACATGTGTTACTGAAAAAGACTACTCATAACTCGACCCTATATAAACGCATTTTCAACAATAATTGTCAAGTTCAAAATGTTACTTTTAATCCTTTTATTTTCAATTTCTTCGGCTCTTTGGCCCCCAAAACAAACGCCTCGAATAATTCGAGCAACAAGCGTGTACTACAACAACCAAACTCAATGGAAAGACAAATACGCCAACTGGAATGATCCAGAAACAATTGCCCTTGAAGAAGTATTCAGAAACGAAATAGAGGCGAAGATCGGCGGCGAAGGAGTAACCATTGATATACTCTGGTTTCAATCGTCGAACTACGAATTCAATTCTGGAACCTCAACAGCTGCTGTTTTCTCAAGATTCGAAACGACTGATGAAAACTTTCATACCTACAGTTCTAGCTTCTCGGAGCTTCTCGAAGGTACTTCCTTACCAATTAACTTCCACTGATTTTTTAAGCCCATCCGAATAGCTTTGCGGAATGGAAGACGATGATAGAGCCCCTCCACAACAAGATGAATTTATTAATCGGAATCATTTTTCGCCACCCAACAGAGTGCGATCTCACCGACGATATGACTTCAATTCTTTGCAAAAATCTTTGGAAGAAGGATCAAAACTTGCCTGGAAACAAAGACGGATGCTCGGTGTGGAATACCGATTGGGACAAAACTTCAGATCAACAATATTATTTCAAAGCCGAGGTTCTTGATATGTTTCAGTAAGATACCTCATTTTGTCAATCACGTGATTTATCAAATTTTAGTTTGGATAGGTTTGGGTATATTGGACGATACCCACCTTCCTCGGAACCGGATGCTGACAACGAATTTCCGGTCAACTATTTTTCTTATTTTTGGCTAAAAGAACTGATGAAAAATAGTAACTTCACGTGCATAAAGGAGGGTAATTACCCGGATCTTGCTTATATCGATGGTGAGAACTTCAAAACCACAATTTTCTTATATCTTTTTAGTGCACTACTACGGAGATTCGGACGATCCATTGACTAATAATGAGATAAAGTACTGTTCTTTCGGGGCGGTAGGTTTTCTTCTTGCGATTAGTAGCGTGTTTCTCCGATTTTTGTGAGTTCTAGGATTTCGTAAATGACTCGTTCATATAATCTCCTCTTTTAGCCTCGCAAGAAGATATGCAATATTTTCATTCATCCTCGTCAACCTCATTATGGCAGCTTTTGTGGTGTATTCTTTCTTTCTTTGGTTCGACTTTGACAACGAGTTCAAAACATTTTACATGATGCCAACTTGTTTGTCAATTTCTGTCGCGTACATAATCTATTCGACTCTTGCTTGTTGCTGTTCCAGGTAAAAAAAATTGCAAAGGATTCTTTAAAATTTTGATTTAGGAAGAAATATTGGAGCGAAAAAGTAAAGCCGGAAGATGACGAAGATGAAGGGCAAAAAGAATCAGAAGGCATTGAAGCCCTTTGACGCCGCTTTACTGTCAATAACTTTTCTTCAAAATTTCTCTTATAAGACTTTATGTCATTTTGATCTGTTTGGAGAACAATAAATAATTAATCATTCGAAATGAGTAGTATCTCATTATTATTTCTTTGACAAATTCTGTGACTAGTTCATCTTCTGGAAGCATTATTTATTTTTCACGGATTGATCCCAAAACAACTTACTCATTAACGCCTGAAACTTGCATTCCATTTTTACTTCCCATAAATCGACCAAAATGATTTTCTTTTCCCTCCTTTTTTCCTTTTCTTCTGCTTTATGGCCCCCAGAGAGTTGGCAAGAACCACGTGTAATCAGAATAACTAGCTGGTACTTCAACAACTCAGTAGAATGGTCAGAGGACTATCGAAACTGGTCTCTTCCCCAAACGCTTGAGCTTGAAGAAGAGTTGACAGCTCAAATAGAGTGGAAAATTGGCGGACCAGGGATCGACATTGACATTCTTTGGTTCGACGAAGGGTTGACAGAGAATTCGATGGTTGGAACAGCTGCTTATTTCTCGCGATTCGAGCTAACCGAAGAAAATTTTCATAAATATGAGGAAGATTTGATGGCTCAAATGGAAGGTTCTTCCGATAAAACTACTTGCTTGTTAATTATTTTCTTTAGAAAATCCCGAAAGCTTCCCAGAGCACGAAGACTCCAATGAAATCGAAACAGAAATCGCAACTTTACTGAATCCAATGTGGTTTGAAGGCGAAATCTACTTTATTGGAAATATAAGTTGCGATATCATTGATCTTCAAATTGATGTGAACAAGATTTTATGTCAATATCTCTGGTAAAAAGCCCTTTTGATCAATTTTGACTCGTTTTTCAAGGTCCGAGAAAAATGAAGGTTGTTCAACATCAAATTTCGAACGAAGCGATGATTACCCAGAAAACCATTTTTTCTTTCAAGGCGAAGTCAAAGATCTTTTTCAGTATATGGTTTCGTAAAAAACTTTTTCACAAAAATTTCAGTCGCAAGCAATCGAGAATCGCGGTTCCTAATTTTGATGAATCATTTGTTGGTGGAGTTTACCCGTTCGACCTCGCTTCTTACTTTTGGAACCGACAAGAGTTCATGAATTTAACATTTAATTGCATTACGACTGAGAATTACCCGGTTCTTTACAAACTTGAAGGTCGATATTCGTTTCAATGACGATTAAAATCGCATTATTTCAGCCGATTATGATACAGTCACGATGTACGAGTATATATATTTCTTGATTGGAGCCGGAGTTTTTCTGATTGCCATTTCTTGGGCTTCTTTTGGCTGCTGGTTTATCATTTCGACAGTGTAACCGTAATCAGATCATTTTAGCTTCTCGCAAAGATGCGTTCGAATTTCCTCCTTGATTCCAATTCTCCTCATAGCCGCTTTGGCGACTCTGTCATTCCTTCTCTGGTTCAACTTCGACAACGAATTCCAAACCTTCTACATGTTTCCGACTAGCATCACACTCGCCGTCTTATTGCTTATTTATGCGCCTTGTGCTTGCTGCTGTCTCAGGTAAAAACATCTATACTCGTCAATTCATCAATATTTTATCAAGTGGAAAACGAAGAAAAATCGTCATAAAAACGGCAAAATCGGAAAAAGAAAAAGTCGGCCTGTCAAAACTCTAAAAGAAAATCGATTTTTCTTCTTGTTTCTGTGAATCATGTGACTTTGATTATGACCAGGAAATATATATTAGCGATTTATAAAAACGAAAGTTTATTTGCTTATTTTCTTCTTCCACTTTTTCATGGCTAAACCGACAGGGGCAAAAGACCGGACTTGTTTTTGAAGAACATCGGAAGATGATGAGTTTCTACTGAGTCTCTCGGTCACTCTAGAAGACTATTTCAATTGGAGAAAAAAATTGTATGTTACCTTTGTTTGAAACGGCATTGATCATCCGAAGCTATAGTTGCTGTGTGATTTGATCGTATTCTGAAATTTGCGCATTATGACCCAGATTTTGGCATAAAAGAAAGCTATCTCCAAGAAAAAAAACATTATTCTGACACGAGTCTTCGCTTCCAACTTGGCTTACTGTCAGAAAATGAGCACTTAGTTGACGCAAAATTGAAAGCTATTAGAGCGGTAGTCATGGCCGGGACAGAACTTAACTGAATGTCTACTCGGGAATAATAAAAATCTTACAGACAACCAGTCTTAGTCAATTATTAAAAAGCAACAAAAGTATGTCAAACCCTTAATAAAAGCTCTTCACAAGCACGAACCCTAACTCAAAATCGTTTTTTGACCCGTAGAATCCATTTCTGTGGTCAAAATTATAAAATTCCGAAATTCGATTTTTCGGAATAAGCTGACGGAGGGGAGTCTTTAAAGTCTTGCACTAGCCAAAAAATTTCAGACAAAAATGATTGTTAAAATCAAAGTATTGACACAAATACTGACCTGTAGGTCTGATAATTCCATTTCGGCTTGCAATCTTTACAAAAACAAAAGTCATGGCATTTCTTCCCTCCCATTTTATAGCTCCTTTGACTTCGCGTTTCTCATCTTGTCGATCCCTTCTCTTTTCTTTTTTATCTTCTTCGGCAAAAAATCAAATCAGTCTTGAGTCAGTTTTCTTATTTCGCCCGTCAAATTGGCTCCTGTCAATCTCGCGATGAAAAAATACGTCGATTCTATTCTTCGATTCTTGACGTCTCGGATTATATATCTTTTTCTTTTTTTAATATCGCTCTCGACGGGGATGAAAATTATCAATCCTTTATTCCGCGCTAGCTCCTGCGAGACAGGATAATATTGACAGGGCTAAAAGCGCCGCAGATTTCGAACCGCTGGCGATCGGCAGAGGATCAGAATAACAAAAAAGCAGGCCGAAGGATATATTCAGTTATGCATAGCGCGTTACAGTAGTCTGTCACGTGGTTTGTTTGAGCCCGGAGAACAATGCATTATGGATTGTAGTGCGGACCGCACTGTGCGGTTCATTTTTGAACAGAGAACCCAAATAATAAATGTAAGAAAAAACGAACTTTTTTAAATTGGTTCGATCTCAGATTGACTAAACCGGGCTGGAAAGATAACAACAAAAAATAAAGCGAACGCCCAGATGTTCTACTCAGGATATGTCTCCCGCCGAGCGAGTTGCTTTTCTAGCGCCCTCTTTTGGATACTTCCCGATGTAAAAGACGACGAAAATTTTTGAAATATCATTCTGAATCCTAAAATGAGACATATTTTTCTGGTTCATCATAATACCGCGTTTCAAGAGAAAAAATAAGTTACTTCGAAAATTTTACTTCTAAAATGATTCAACTGCATATTGTACAGCGAAGTCTGGATGCATGTTAGTGATACTGTTATGAGAAAATAAACAACAAACATTTTCAAAAAAATAGGCTTTTCGCTTTTTTGTGAACTAATAGTTTTATTTACAAATTTTCAATTTTCGACGCTTCTTCTTCCGATTCATCTTCTATTAGTGGCGGCGGAGGACTTTTCGGTCCATCCGTTCCATTTCTATCCTCCGGCATATCTTCCAAATCAATGGTCTCATGATTTCCAGAGTCGAGTAAGATCGACTCTTCATTCATATCTGGCAATTTTGAGATTCTCTTGTCCGCCTCGTAGATCGACAGATTTTTACGAATAACAACACTGTCTTTGTTCGGTAACTTCGGAGTTAGGGGGTCTTCTGGGTCTTGCTCGTCTTTCAAAAATGATGAAAAAGTGGATTTCCGGGAAGATATTTATTTTTTAAAATCAGACTCAAGGCATTGCAGCGCATGTTTGGCTCAGAAAAAAATAAGAAAAACCTAAGATTGTGATTTATTGGACTTGGAGGACTTGTTCGACTTGTTTGACTTTGCTGACTTGGCGGAGGCGGCGCTAGAAGAGCTCGACGAACTTGAAGAGCTGGAAGAACTGGAGGTGGAGGACTTTCGCGAAGATTTCTTGGAGGGTTCTTTTGGCTCATCGATTAAGGGTATGTCGTCGGTAATGATGACTTCATCGGGTTTCTGTCAGAGGTTCAAGCACATTGGCTCAGAGACAATAGCGGAAAGAAACTTGCTATGGACCTATTCCTTTGGCTCCTGAGATTTTGTCATGTCTAGCTCGCTCCTTGCCGGTTTTTCAGGCGCTGATGGTGGCGGAACTTCAGATTCCATTTTCACAGCGGCAAAGGCATCCAAAGTTTGCTCTTCCGAGTCAACAGGGTCATAGTCTGTACAAAGTTCATCGACAAGTCCAATAAAAAACAATCATGAAAAATCATTAACGAGTAACTACGGCCAAAAATTCTTCCATAGAAATGGTTTTCTATGGATTGCTCAAAAGCATGCTGAGCCGCTCGCTACTCTTGTTCATTTGAGAGCGCTGGCGAATTACGACTGATTTTGGGGAGGCTGATTTTGGGGAATGGACTATTGGGGTTAGTTTTGAGGTTTCATCATTTCCTGAGGAGGAGTTTTTAGAGCGGCAGCAAAGACACCAGAAGAGCGAAATTATTCCTGCGAGAAAACCAATCACGAGAGCGGATAGCTTTAAGAATTATTAACCCGGGCGTGCTTTTTTACCAATTATTTGTCAAAAAGAGTTGCTTACTAAAACTATCGTTGTCGCGTCCCACCCCTTGACCTCCTCGTACAACTCGTCATAAGACCCTATTTCGCGGAATTGCCAAAAAATTTTCATACTTTTATATTTTGATAACGTGTTTTCGCGTTGTCGCTCAGTAAAGGAGAGAGAGGGCAGTCAGTTTTTAGACAGTGTCTATAAGCGAGGATTGCGAGGAGTCGGTGACCTTTGGTCCTGATTGGTTGGGACTCGACCGGTTGAGCCAGACGAGCAGGGCGCCTCCGATGGCGGCAAAGAGGAAGAAAAGGAGATACCATGGGCCAGAGCTTCCTTCATCAAGAAGAGGTTCGGAAGTGGGCGATTCGGGCTTGGGGCACTTTTTGTAGTCACTCTCTTCGCAATCCGTGGGCACCATGTCGTACTCTTCAATCCGGGGCAACCAGACAAATTCGACTTAGATTTTTTAATTTACCGCGAAAAAGTTTTAAATTGGCAACTCCGTTCCTATGCATTTGTCGTTTTCGTAAGTGTTCTCCAGTGGAACTCCTCCGCCAACAAGGACGATTCGGCAGGTAGCTCGCCTAATTATTGATTTCATTTGTGAAAGGATAAAAGACTCTACTTGTAGAAAGTCTCCATGGGACAGTTGACAGTGTCAGTAACTTCGATGCTCTGGACATCTGAGCACTCATCATCAGCGACATTTTTATCGCCGAAGACATCAGACTGGCAAGTGACCTCTCGGCCAATCACGTGCATATCCAACTTGCTTGTCTTCTTTTTGAGGGAAAATCCGGAGCCAGTGGGTTCCACGGCCTTGATGAATTCGGGGCCAGATCGCTGAGTTCCCTGTGAAACAAGGCTAGAAAATTGTTAATAAAAAGAATGAAGGTGTCGCTAACCAGGATGCAGAGGCACCTCTGTAGTCTTCTGAAATCACAACTGGAAGTTTGAGACTGAAGGTTTCAGTTGGTTCAGCAGGGACGAGCTCTTCCGTACCATCGGCCTTGACAATTTTCCATTGAAGGAAAAGGGGAGGGAAAGTGGCCTTAGCAGCAGCGCAGGTAGCGATTTCTTCTTCGGCGCCGGCGCCGACAAAGCCGCATGTTGGTGACTAGAAAATATGAGAAGATTTTAACAGTTGTCTCTTACATTGTAAGTGGCGGTGATTTCAGGGAGCTCTTCCGGAGGATTGACGGCGAAGGTTTGTGGGTTGCTGTATCCGATGAGGGTTCCGCCTTCGAAGAACTTGCACCAAACTCCTGTTGATTTGTGCCACGACTCGACCTGAAAAAATATTGTCAGCTCTTGTTTACCGAGTCAATTTCAAAATTTACACCCCGAGTTCATTCAAGTCCGTGGTCAACTCAGTTATGTTTATTTACCTTGACTGTCTTGCTGATAGTATCACCATCAGTGAGATCATTGACAGGGGCTCGGAATGTATTGTGCTCGTCAGACTCGGTTCTGGCTTCGATGGAGACTTCCATTTCTGATCGATCACCGTCGGGAATCGGGCCGCAGGAGATTTCAACTTCCCAGCCTTCGAGGACGGCTTTGGTGTTGGAAATGACGTCGTCCTTGTTTTTCGGTCGCATGAGCCTAGAACGATGATAGTAGTTGCAGATAGAAAATAACTTACTTCGCGGTAGAGTAGTCAGTAGAAAAGGTGATATATTCGACGCTTCTATGAGCAGCAAACCAGTCATCGTTCGGCATATCAATCGCGATTCCTTAAAAAAAATCCAGTAAAAATTATGGCTTTAGCTGATAAGAAAACTCGAAGAAGCATAAATCTTCGTTGATGAAATCATAAACGACTCATCGTGCGCCAAACACACATCAAACATGGGGTGCGCGCGGTTTCGGACGGCGCAAATATAAAAATGTGAGGCTCTTGAGCGCGAAATTTAAACAGGTCGCTTTTCCGCACAAATTTGCTTACCAGTCCATGGGTATTGCCAACCTACAGATAACATAAAAAAGTCCCTTATCGTTGAAAAATAGTTTTTCGGAATTCCAAAATTGACGACATAAAAAGGCCTTTTTTCGCAAACTTACCGGGTCCCTGAAAGCCAATCTTCTCCAGTTCCTCATCAGTAGCTTGCCTGTACGCTAAGTCATCAGAAACCTTGATTCCGTTATCACCAAGGACGCCATTGGATGTTTGCTGAGCAGCAATCATCGTGTTGACATCCAAATATCCGGCCTGAAGCTCGCCAAGATAGAAATTCGCCCGGTGCGCAAAGTCATCGCCCTGAAAAAAAAAGATATGTTATTCCTTAACTTAGCAAATATTGAACAAGGAGGGGTTAAAACAATACTTGAATCTTTGAGGATTCAAGCTGGTGCCTCACCGCAATAATAAAACAAATAAGCGGTGTGAATGATGGTTATTCTTACGATAACTGTTGAAGGAAGTGAATCAGGGTCCTAATAAGCTCACCATCAAATAAATTACCAATAAACTTACGGAATAAGAAGTGACTGAAGCAGCGAAAGGATCGCTAAAGGTAACGACGTAGAAGTATCGGGAGTCCGACTCGTCGACATCGATGGAGACAGAAACGGAGGTGTCGGAAGGAAATTCGAAGTTGACCTTGTCGGAAAATTCAGAATCGAAGGGCTCGAATGCCTGCTCGGCCGGCCTGACATTTGCTTATTCCGCGTTCGAAATTTTAATGAGGCCCACTTTGCTTAGTAAGTTTTGACCGATAGACACAGTTCTAGCCGCAATAAAAATCATTAAAATGATGATGATGACCAGAAATCTGTTCAAAAAAGGGACTCATGCGTTGTAAAATTCAAGACAAACGCGCCTGAGGGCATGTCCCACATGGTCTAGGGGTTAGGATTTCGGATTTTCACTCCGACGGCCCGGGTTCGATTCCCGGTGTGGGAGGACCTTTTTTCTCAACGCGGTTCCTATGATATTGAAGGGAGAGTTAAAAGTGCCATCCTCGGACCAGACGAGGACGAGATTCTCTTGCTTCTTATCAAAAGAAGAAGTCGTGAATTGGATGGTTCCAGCGCCGCTGAAGCTTGAGGTCTTGGCGCCTGGGGTGTAGGTATCTGGGATTTTGTTGATGATTTGTCTTATAAAAGGGGTCAAAAATGAGAGAAAAATATTTGTATTGATTTTTTGATTTTCGCCCATTCCTAAAGTTTTCAGCTCTTTGCGCAATCGCCGCTGCAAAAAGCGCGAAAAGTTTCATCTTTTTTTCTCTAGTTTCCGGCTTCCTCTACTCTTTTTCTATTTACAGATTCGTCGAAAAAATGGCAAAAGGGGCACACTGGTACTGTAAAAAGAGCAGTAGTGCTTTGTGTGCAGCCGGCAGCGCAAATTTTACCTAGCCAGTGTCGTGCTCGAGCAAATTTGGTAACCGCCGGAATCGGGTAATATTTAACCTGGGCACGGAGAGAGCGAGAGTGGAATTGGCGGCGCGGGAACAATATTTGCCTTGCAAGCAAATGCAATCCACGCAAAGCTTTCTTCTTCTGCCGCTCATTTTTCGCCCGGCAAGATTTTTTTTATCCCTTCACAAATGACAACTCCAACTCAAACAAAAAACCCTTGAAAGGATTGAATATTGCACTTTATTAAATACTGTGTTATGAATATTTTCTATTACTATAAGTTCCAAGACAGCTTCAGATCAAAAGTATTTTCGAGATCTTCTGAGCTCTTCTTATAAAACTCCCGGAGCATTTTTTCTGTCTCCTCGGACATGGCAGTTTGACCAGCGGATAACTTTGTTCGCCCTTTACTATCGGGCATACAGTCTAATGATTCGGTGTGGTTGAAGATTCTAGTGCAGTAGTATCCATCTTCTCGTTTTTCAAAGAGGTCTTCAGTAAAATAGGGTTCAAGATTGAGCTTTTTCTCGAGGTCTTGGAAGACTTTCCAGGGCTCAGTTTTCAACTAAAATGAAGGGTTTTAATCAAATCTCTGCAAAAAATCACCTTTCCGCCATCAAGAACGATTCCATTCTTGCTATCAATCAACGCATCGTCTCCCAAAAAGAACCTCTTTGGCGGCCCGAAGTGACCAGTAACGAACATTTCATTCACTTCCGGAGTCTTTTCAAACACTGATCTGTCCTTCACTTTTGGCAAGTATTTGGCGACCATCTGGTCAAACGTCAGTTTTTGGAAAGGAAAAGCGCTAGAATCTGGTCCAAGGAATTTTCTGTTGATTGCATTTTCTTTCTCTGTCCAGACGGAGGTCACGTGCTTGAAATCAGAGAGAAGACGGTGGACTGGATCGCAGACGATGAAAATGTTCTTGACTTTGCTCTTCCAATCGGTGACGTAATCGGCTTCGATGAAATCAGGGTTTTCTTCGATGAAAGTGATAATTTTGTTGATTCCTGAATTTGCTGTTTTCGCCATGAAGAAGAAATCTTTGTTGGCAGCTCTGAGCTCTCTGATCTTTCGCGGGTTGTCGTAGTAAGGACCTTTGCTCTTCCACATGATCCACAGATGGCTGAGGTAGTTTTCCATATCTTTTTCTTGGTCACCTGTTGATCGGAAAGGGGCCTCCATGAATCCTGAAAAGAAAAATAAAACCGTTTTATGCCCTCCTTACTTACCTCTTATTATTTGAGGATGATGGCCAAAAAATCTTATGAGCGTTTTCGTCCCGCATTTTTTCGCGCCGCTGACAAAAATGGTCGGTAGCTGCTGCATAAGTTCGGTCAAGAGAGAATTCGAATTCAGGTCTTTTTCTTTGAGCATTTGATACTTTTCATTTCTTTTCTCCATGACTTCATTTATGACTTCTTGTTTTTCTGCTTTTCTTTCAACTTTTTCTGTTCTTTGATCGGGCACTTTTTCTTCTGTGGAAAAACTGTAGGTTTTATCAGTACCTTCTTCTTTTTGCTGCCATAATTTTTCGACAACATTGTTGATTATTTCTTGTCCTTCGGTCTTGTCTTCGTTGTCTTCTTCTGTAGCAAATTTACTATAAACTTCATCACTTTGAGCTTCTATCCTCGTGTACCAGCCATAAAACGCAAATAAGAATATAACAAAAAGGAAAAATAAAAGTCTTCTTAATAACTTCATCACTTTAATTTTCCTCTGTTCAGTTTTCATTTTCACTATTTTTTCGGCGCAATCAATTTCTCGTGACATCATTTTATCTTCAATTTATCTTCTTTATCGTCGCAATTATAAGACAAAAACCTTGTTCGCCGTTTTGTCCCGTTTAAAAAAGGGAAATCTATTTATGCAATAATAAAGGGTCGATTCTCGGGCTGCTGCATTAACGCCGAGATTTTGAATGTCTGGATGGCGAGTTTCTTTTCTTTAGAGAAAGAAGCAGCTCCGCGTTGATTTATGTTCTCTTTTTTTACAAGTTTTGTATTCGAAAATTTATGAGTGCCATAAACGTAAATATCGGTTCGCTGCCAGCTAACGTGGTGGATCAGAGATGTTTCTTTTTCGCTCCAAAAAGTGAACTTGTGGTTTAAAATATTTATTGTATGATAAAATGGAAGATTAAGGGCATCTCAACAATAGCATTTTTTAACGACGTTTTATAAAGGAAAATTTTTAATAAGAAATTTACTTTGAAGTATTTTTTTCTTTAAAAGGGTCGATTTTTATTGAATTTTCGGGGAACCCTCATTCTCCCAGAACCGTCATCTGCCCAGACCCTCATTCTCCCAGGACCTTCACCTGCCCAGCCTGGGAGAATGAAGGTTCTGGGCAGATGAAGGTCTGGGAGAATGAAGCTTTCAATTGCGTGGGCGAATTGCGCTGAGCGTTGAATGACTGAGACAGGCCGCGTAGATTTTCGAGTCGAAAATATTTTTCAAGGTCAGAAACAACCGTTTTTACTTCGGATTATGACTTCGTCAAAATTTCATAAAATGCTACAAATTTGAAGTTTTTGGCTGTAAATCTACGACAACAAATATGGGGAAAATTTATGGGCACTGGTCTTGGTTCTTATTCAAGTGTTGGTTCGTGTTTCGGTCAGTGTCCGATAATTTGAGCTCAAGCTAAACCTCAAGGAAACAAAGCTTGAGAACTCAAGTTTATAATTTGAATTTTGAGAACTCAAAAATCTCGAAACCCATATTTTTTTCGACAATCAAATTTTCTATACTAATAAATTGGACCCTTAGGAATCGATCGCCTGAGCAAGTCCAGCAGAATTCCTTCGGAAAACTGCGCCTCGCAGTCTTGAGTCTAGAAGACCTGCTCGACAATTCATAATTCTCGTGAATTCATATTGAAAAGAACATTAGAATTATCATTTTATTCAGCTTTATTTTTAATTGACATGATTAAAAATTTTTTTCAGAATATTTTTGCAGAAAAAAAATGAAAAATCTAAAAAATGAGCTTCATTCTCCCAGAACCTTCATCTGCCCAGAGCCTTCATTCTCCCAGGCTGGGCAGATGAAGGTCCTGGGAGAATGAGGGTCTGGGCAGATGACGGTTCTGGGAGAATGAGGGTTACCCTGAATTTTCTTTCAAAATTTTTTTGAAAATTTTTTGAACTAAAGTTCTGTTTTTTTTCTTTGAACTTCATTTATTTAGTTATTACAGTAATAATTAGAAGAGATAGTATCTTTGTACATTGTCTAAGCATATCGCAGTTGTTCGAGAAGTGAGGTAAAAGTTTTTGTCGTCATTTCGAGGTCTTGCTTTTTTATAAAATTATTTTCAGTAGTCTATCTTGATTTGTGTTTCGCGAAGAAGGATATACTCAGTTTCTTCGTGCTGCCGATGAATTCTAGCGAAAAATCTCTGCTGGAACGGGTTTTGATGGATTTGTTGATGTCGACTGTATATCGGCATTTCTAGAGGAATTTTAGATAATAGAAATTGAAGTTGTTTTACCGGTGATTCCAGTGTATAAGTCAGCAAAGAAGCAGCAGACTTTCTTCCGCCAAAAATTCTTCTCAAACTTGTTCGTTGGCCAATACTGAGCTTCGAAGCTTCGCATGATCCATATCTTTCGAAGAGCACCAAGAATATCTCGAATTCCTTTTCCGTTAGATTCTCAGTCGCCGAGGACTCAAATCTACAATTTTCATTGCCAAAAATTCGTCAGAAATTATCTTACATAATCGGCCGCTTTGAGATTTCGGGACATCTTTCTGTTCTGCTCGTTTCTCGCTTTTTTCTTGAACTAATTGTTTCTTTCATTTTTTCATGAATTTCAGTCGCTTAAATTTTCGTGATAAGGGATCAAGAATTTTGGAATACCTAGTGTGGAATAAGCTTTTTTGACATTTTCAGGAAGAGATCTGAAGTTTTTGAAGTTCTCGAATTTTTCACGATGCTGGGAAAGAAGGCATAAATCGACATTGAAATGCAGTTTGATAATAGCTTCTTGAATATCTAAATCCTTCTTTGAAGACATAGAAGAGAGTAAGGCATATTACCAGGGTTGTAAGTTATTTCAAACGGCGAAGTCTTATTTTCCACAACCAGCCCGACGATTGAGAAGTCACTTTTGAGCTCCAATTCTTTCGGATTGATGTCGAGCGGAACTCCAGTAGCTCTCAATCCTGTTTCGCGAAAAGCTGTTTGGACATCGATCAGAAAACCGAAGCGGCAGATCGACTCCTTACACAACAGTTTTGATTGACCAGTCAAAATTGGGTTTTCTTTTGTGGTACAGTCCGCACTGTAAGCCTAGAAATCATGATAGAGGTTGATGAAGTGTGTGTGTCCTGGGCTGGAGAGCCCAATTGGCTTACGCTTAGGAGTTGTCTCATCCAATTCCAAATTTGTCTCGACCATTTCGTCCGATGCTCGATTATTCCGCAATAACCATGCCTTGATTGAGAAGGAGAAATATAGCAATCTGTCGCGTTTGCTCGTGAAGGAGTTATCTAGAATTTCGCAAAATGAACAGTTTTGACGAAAGAGGCAAGAACTGACCATTTGAGCAAGTTGCTCTCTCAGCACTTGGAGATGAAAGGCGAGCTCTGGGAAAACGCTTATTTGCGAGCTTTGGATCGGAACTATAACTTTTCTTTGACTTTTTCGATTTGGCAAAATTGGGCCCACCTGGTATTGACGTGTCCAGATTTTCGTTGTAAACTCGATGGAGGACGATTTCCGCCGCGGACAACATCGCTTGCTTGAGAATTTCGGGATGGGTTAGGTTTCGAGTGACGCGGTCGAGGAGGTTTTTCACGCGTTTGTACTCTTTTCTTAAAAGATTTTTTAGTTTTTATTACATATTCGATTCAGAAAATGTTTTTGAAGCCCATTTCAAATTTTGCATCGAAAAATAATGGGGTTCAAAGATGGGATGTGCAGGAAATTGCACAATGTGCGTCAAGCGTGAAAAAGTTTATATAATATAATTTATATTATATTATATAAACGAATAGTTTATATAACGAAAGGAATTTGCCACACTAGGTTTCGTCATTTAATTTATTTGACAGAAAGTATAGTCAGTTCGTTAATTATGAATCAAAAGGCTGGTCAAAAGGGAAGTTCAGATTAACCTCAGAGAAAAAAATAGGTCTTTGCTTGAAAATGAGATTTTTGATTATCATCACCTTTTCCATAACAATTTCAAATGCTTTTGTGAAAAGGTAGAGACTTATTTTTGAATCTTTAAAAAGATTAAACTGTTAAGGTTCCCGAACTACGCGGATGCCGAAAACCTTCATCGATTTTTCTCTAAGACGAAATCGTAGCAATTGCTACAGAACCTTTCAGTAGAAGATCATCGATGATTATTTTGAAATAAAGCTTTTCAAAATCATTTCTTCAATAAATTTTCCACGAGCATAAAATCCAGAGAATTCTTGTTTTCATCGAAAATACCTTGATGCTTGTTGAATTCCATTTTGCGCATCGCTGCAGCTGTCATCGTTCAAATTCACAGGCAAAAAAGTTGCTGTATTCGAGACGAGCTTTTCTTCCAGCTCTTCTTCATTCTTTTCCTGGCAGGAACGATGGTAAGTGACCTGATTCAATGGATTCCGAAGGGTGAAATCGATGTCCTGGCAAGTTTTTGGTACGTTTCGGAACTCGCAATAAGGATCACTAGAATCGTTCTTGAGGGGTTTTAGAGGTCGGCTTACTTTTGGCAGCACTCTGACAAGTCACAGTTCTGAACCTTGACAGCAAGAATGCATTGATCTGTGGCGACATAAACGTATGGCATTCTCAGTGTTCCATGCTTGTCGTATCTGAAATGAATCTTCTTGATTGTCCAATCATCCGAAGCCCATTTTTCCACCGCGTTTTTCGCCATTTTTTCAATATTATAAGCTTCGACTAATTGCCAAGGATATTCAACCTTTTCAGATGATGGGTACTTCTCAAACTTTGCCGTTTTCAAAAGAACTCCGCTGTCAGTTCCTTAAAATTGAGGGTTTGAAATCTAATGAAAGTGTGATCTAACCGATGAAGATCAGAGGAAAGTCGCCAGTCTTTTCCGAATCGACCGTTATTGAGGTAAAACCGCCGTACTCTGAAGAATCTCGAGGGGACATGACAAGTTCTCCCTCTACTGGTTGACGAGAAAGGATCTGGAGATCATCTGTTGGGTCATTTTGTGAGCATTGAATGGCTTTAAATTTTCAAAAATAATTCAGACGATGACAATCCCAGTAATGATTTTTATTGCTATTTCAACTTATTTAAGCAAAGCAAAAATCAAACTTATCCAAAATCTTCCAGAATTATGGTTTTTGAAAATTTTCCTAAATCTTTCTTCTCAAATCTGCAAATTGCATTTTTCTGATATTTCTTCGCCCTCGATTGAAAAATTCCAAAGACATGTCGTTCCGTTTCTACTGCATCGACGAAAATCGGAAAGTCGAAGTCCTCTTCTTTGCAATTCAATTCTCCAAAATGGAATTGATTCAAAATTTCAAAACCCGAGTGTCGGCAAATTGACGCGATCTTCGGATGCGAATTCGCGCGAAAGAATGTTTCACGTGACTCGATGTCTTGGAGTCTCGGCACGTCGGAATACAGGAAGTGAATTTGCTCCGAATCGGCGGTTATCAATCGAAATCGCGCGTCGATGAAAATATCGCCCCTTGCTCCCTTCGTCGAAAATGCTTCTTTTCCAAAGGCAAAGACTGAAATCGCTGGGTTGGCAGAAGACACTTCTTTTTGAAGGCCGATGGCAGCTACGCGCATTGTTGAATCGATCCATTTCATGAGAGTTGACGACTTTTTCCGGAATAATAAAAAAATGGGATGATTGGAGTTGATCAATTAGGTTTTGTTGTTCTGAGTTTTCTAGGATTAAAATGATTGATTTCACCCGACAAAATGGGGCTAAACGAATACTTTGAAGTGAGTTTTTGGATTACCAATAAGATTGCTTTATTAGGCCTACCGGCAAATCAAAACCCACAAAACCCAAAATGGGGACCCCAAATTTTTTTGGTCATTTTGACCCCAAATTTTCAGGGCTCATTTTAGGTTATTCCGGCTCCTTGAAACTTGATGGGCAAGAATTGGCAGTGGCAAATTCAGTTTCTTTTGAAACCGCTTTTGATAGATCTTCATCGAAATTCTCCAAGTCGATATTCCAAGTCTCCAATTTCGGCTGCGCAAAGTTCGAATTGCAAATTTGAAAATTGAGACCTTCATTTTCCGAATTCTTTTTCTAAAAATAGCTGGTGATTTGGCAGATCTGGCAGCAGCGGATTAATAATCATAAATTTGCGAATATATTTTTAGAGCAGGCGCGAGCGAGAAGGCCATAAACATAATTATCAAAGTCAACAATCAAATCATAAAAATTATCTTCTTTCAACTTTGCGGCTTACCTGGGAAATGGACGTTATGTAGTTTGAGCAATGCTCGGTCTCGCCAAAGGCGCGTTCGCAGCTGATTTTCGCGCTCACGTGACTTTGGTTCTCGAGGCCGGAGGTGGTGCCATCGGGGAAATAGGCTTTCACGTGAGGGCGGAAGGGGATTTCGGCGATCGTGAAGTACTCCCTAAAAAACGGAGTTAGAAGAGGGATACCCTTAAATATTCGACAAGCGATCGTTCGAAATTGTCGATAAAACGACGAGCTATGACAAAAATAGACAATGTCTAGCAGACAAGCCCAGAAGGAGCTCTTGATACTGTAAATTAACCAAATGAGATCAGGTTTTCTAAGAATTAAAAAAAAATCTCCTTTGAAAAGAGATCCGCTAAGCCAATTTTAAACTTGAACAAAAGCCTCTTCTTTTGTGGCCCTTTTATAAATGGGATAATATTTCCTTTTGTGGAAGTATTTAGAAAAGTTACTTTTGGTACTCACTCATGGCCGGAAATCAGAAACTCTTTGTCCTTTCCGTCGACAAAGGCCCACGAGAAGAACCGCGATTGCGTTGCCCCGCGGCTTGTGCAGAACACGTCTTTTTCGACGATAATTCGACGGTCATCTTAAAATTCATTTGCTTTGGGCCCTCTTTCATTTGCAATCAAGGACGACATCAGGGCATATACCGCCGTCTACCCCCTTAAAACAAGACCTACCTATAGGTCGCAAATGAACTTCATTTTTCTTCGCATGACCATAAGTTTTCGATCTTCCAGCTTGACAGTTCTCCAATAGCGTTAAAACAAAAAGCCACAGAATTTTTCGCATACAGCCGGTTATCATCTCTTCCGATCTTTTCTTCAAAAATTTTTTTCAACAAAAAATATCAACAATAAAATCTCCTTCAATAAATCAATATAAAGCTAGAAATCATACCTCATAATAAATTTTTCTTCAGAAATTCAAAAGCGGAAAACTCAAATCAAATCACAGCGGGAAGTCTCTATCTTCTCAGCGGGATATCTTCTTATATACCTCTAATTGGTATCTCTAATTGTTCTTTTGACTTTTATCCTCGAATTCGATCAAATTCGCCTTCTGAAGAAATAAATGTGATTTGAGAAATCTCTCAAAAATATAATTGGCCTCATAAGGAGCAAAAAACAGCTTGAAATAGCTTAACAATGAGCCCTTTTTAACCTTTTTATCGACACTCTTTTTTGAAAATTTCTCTTTCTTGGTAAGGCCTTTGTATTTTAGATATATGTACGCGATATCGTGTGAATACAAAATTTGGCGCCACGAGCCCTTTTTTTCTTTTACAAACAAAAGGTGCCTTAATTTTTTTCTTGAAAAGCGAAAATTTTCAGTTTTCGAAAAATCGAAAGCAAAAATCTTATTTTTAAAAAGCCGTTTTTTGTGATTTCTCTGACCCGGATTTCGAACTTTCTTTTCCAGCAAAAAAGTCAGTCAAATAAATAAGTGGTCTTCACTTATTATGAAGACATCACTTGAGGCAAAATTCAGAATTAGCGTTTTTTTCTTGATCTCATCTCTCTTTCTCAGCTAGAATTTCTATATCACGTGACGGGTTCTTTCAGCGCCGCTCAGACTGGCTTTTCTTATCGCAAAATATTTGGAGTCTGACTTTTTGGAACGCCGCCAAATTTGAACATTTTGGTGAAATAGAGGAATTTTAATTGAACTTAAATTTAATTATACCGGCAAAAATCAAAAGAAAAAATAAAATTTGAAAAAAAAAATGAAAAAAAATTTTTTTTTCAAAAACCTTTTTTTTTGAATTATTTAATATTTTTCTTCGATTTTTTCTTCGAAATTTCTCTGCAGAAAAAAAATATTTTTGTTTTGTTGAGTATTTGAATATTTTTAATTGAAAGCGTGTTTCTGCTCAACGGGTACCCTGGCGTTTCTTGTCGTAAATTTTCACTTTCTTTTCACTCTCTTCTCCCTCAGACAAAATAAAACCGTCAAGTTCAAAACTTCTGCAAAATTCCCACGTTTTTCTCTCTTCCAAGAGACATCATAATTTATGATTGTATTTATTACGATGATCAAACTTACTTTTTTTACTAAAAAGATTTTTTGAAAAAAACAATTTGGTGACTTCGGTAAATCAAAAAATCAAACTAATGAGCTCACTTCAGCACATCAAGGTGCAAGCTTTTCACCTTGTATAAGAAAAAAGTCATGAGTCATCCCTTTTTCTTGGCCCACGGGATTTATTCACTCCCTCAAAGTTTAGCTCAGTTAAGCTTGAACTTTTTACAACTTCATTTAGCCCAATTTTCTTCAACATTTTTTTGAGAATTAATAAGAAAAGGATTTATTTTTTGACACCACGGTTAATTCATTGATTGAAAAAAAATAATGTTCAACAACAAGAAAAGCGTAAGTCATAAATCAGCGCTCAGAATATGCCATGAGCGACATTTTTAGCAGGCTTAGATCATGTCTTCTGTTTAACTGTTTCTTTTGGTAACAAAAACTTACATTTATTGCCCACCGTAGTAGTTCAAACTTCAAACTCATCAAGGTCTAAATTTTTGTAGACGAAGTACATTCACAAAGAAAAATAAGTCATGAAAGGGAGCCTGAGAAAAAACAAGAAAACAGCTGCGGATAATGGTACCTTAGCAAAAAGACCTTTGATGACTAAACGCTTGAATAAGCATGAGAAAACTTAAAATCTGACGAATGTAAGAAAAAATAAGGCAATTTTATTAATTCACGCAAAAATCCTTCTCAGTTTCATAAAGAACAGGATTATTTGATGTAAAGTTGTTATTTCCGATCACTTCAGTTTGTATAAGCTCGTCTTCTCCGATGAAAACTCTCTCTATCGGAGAAGTATAATTGACTTTTTCATAACCATTCACAAAATAAATATACTCATTTATCTTGATTGAAGAAACGTAAATATGATGCTGAATGATTCAAATTAATTTTTGAATTTACAAAAGATTAACCTCTTTGAGAAATCCAAGCAGCTTCCAAGTGTTTTCTTTCAGCAACCAAACGTCTTTTGATGCTTTTTGCTCCCGAGTCTCAAGTATTCTTTCTTTTCCACCTGCCATAAGCATATATCCGTTGTCTAATCCAATTAAAGAATGTTTTCCCATTATTCTTGAAATAAGTTAACGCGAGAAAAATTATCGGAAATACTTTGGGTGGTCTCTTAAATAAACCCATCCACTTTCAGTATAACTTTCAACTTTTCTCATCGCTCCTGTCTCCGTATCTCCATCAACAGTTGTTGGTCTGCCATTGTAGTAGCCAAGGCCTCCCATCAAATGACCGTGTTTCGGCAGATGTGGTTGTTTAATTGTATGATTTGTAGAATCAAAAATCTAGCATCCTCCTTTTCCAGTTCTACTGACTGTTGCATAAGCAAAACACACAAGTGCTGAAAACTATTAAAAACATTTTTATTATGCATTTTGATAACCTTTTGTTCCATTTTCAATTGAAACAGCTGCTGAAAACGGCCCAGCATATCCATTTTGAAATTTTGCTGCTAGCTCAACAAAACTGCACCCATCAAGTTTTGAAATCCTTTTATTGTCAACGTGCCCACCAAAAATATACAAAACACCATAAAGTAAAGCATACACGGATTTCCAGGCAAAATCATCTGATATTGAATACATAACAGGATTCGCAGTATAAGATCCGTCGCCAGAAATAATAAATGATTCCTCTAAGCTTCTTTGAATAATCAAAAAATGGTCATTTATCTATAATACTAAATTAATTATGATAAATAATGCAGATAACCGTTGGATGAGTCGGCGGAACTGTTATTGTGCTGGGAGTTGTCGTCACTTCATTCTATTTCGGAAAATAAAATCAAAGAAAAATAATTTAAACCTCTACGCAAGGACAATTATCAATTTTGCCCAGCAAGATATTATTGCATTCTTCAAAGCATTTTTTATCGGGAGAGCATTGTCGTAGACAATCAGTTTGTTATTCAATTGCAGCTTCTCGGCATGCAATGTAAGATTCGTTCTCAACTTCAGCATTTTCACATTCATCATTGCATAAAGGGTGCTCACAAAACTCACACCCGGTTGGACAATTTTCTCCACAAGGACAAGCAGAAGTACAATCTTTCTATTATTCAGTTGATTAAATGCTATGCTTACCGGCAAAATCTCTGAAGCACTCATTTCGACAAAGAGCAGAATCACACTCAGCAATACACTGCATTGCCTCTAAGCCGCACAAATCTGAACATTCTTCAAAGATATCAGCATCTCTAGAGAATTATAATAAGAATTTATGATTCAGAAGAAAGTGTGACTAACGCGCAAGTTTCTTCCTTGATTGCAAGCTTTTTTGTCGCTTGAAAATCCTTCAGTCTTTTTTGAACCTGTTCATCATTCGGAGGCTTCTCTTTGTGTGGACGAGTATTAATTGTCAAATTGTCTCCGAGAACTTTTTGAAAAAGAAGTACCGCTATCAGAATCATCATCAACTAGAAGTAAGTTGAGGTCGAAGAAGAGAAAGAGTTCAAGCCGGTAGGTAAAGGTTAGATAAAGTTTCTCCTTGCTCAAAACGTAATCTGTAACAATTTGAGGATACTTTTGATATTTGCACGAGCATAATTTCATTTCATCTTTCATTCGAAAATGATTCTCATCGAATTTTGTGCATAACTTGATATTTTGTCATCAATGCTTCAAAAAAGCACGGTTATCAATTTAATTTTATCATTATTGTTACGCTGAATAACAGCACCCTTTCACCAAAATTTTTACAAGACAGGGAATGAAAATTGAAATTTTGTGAATCGAGCCTAACAGGAAGTGATTTCAACTCAGGAAACTGGCGTAGTTCTATCTCAATATATAATGTATTTTGCAAGATGTTGACAGTGAAAGTCATAATATTAGTGAGGCTTTTTATTTATTTATTCAATTCGAGAGAATACTCTTTTAGATATTGATCATGATATTTTTACAAGCAAAAGTCGTTTTTGGGCTGATTCCTTCGCTCCTTTCAAGAGAAAAAATTTTAAAACTAAAGAAAAGAGATTATTTTACGCGAGTGCAAGCAGCCGAATTTATAAACTCATTTTTCATCACTGCCGGTAAGCAATCTTAGACTATCTCCAGCGAACACTTCTACCTAGTTATTGCTGTTTCATCTTTGTGGACTGTTCTTTATGACAAAAGGCTGATCGAGAATCCGATAAATGGAAGCTCACGCATTTCGACTTTCATCTTGTCTCTGGCGTTAAGGATTTGGTCAAAAATTATTGCCACTTGAAGATAATTATTTATTATTTTCTAATAAATAAATTTTTTTCGACCACAAAAAGCCTTTTCGCCTTCGAGGCGTTCATAACTGCCCTTTCTTTGGTAGGATATAATTTTCTCGATGATTATACTGCCAAAAATCTTGTCAAAAAAGACAAATCCTTCGAATATCTGATCGATGATACAATTCAACCAAATTATAAATTTCTCCCTTCGCTGAAAATTTGTCTTTGCAGGTATTTTTTGCTTGAAAATTTTTGAAATTCGTTATTTATGTAGAGAGTACGAAGAGAAACCGCAAGAAAAACTGACAATTTTCGGGCATCATCTGTTTGGATTGCTTGGGTATTTATTAGTCTTAACTGGGACATTCTTTCTTACGTTACAATTTACCGCCTAACGGCTGAGCTTTCAAGCCCGTTTCTGAATCTTATTTTTCTTTCGAGAATTGCATCGTTTTCAACCTTTGCTTATGATTAGGGGAAATCACTAATAATTTAGCTTTTTTTCTAGCTTAGAAGGGTGAGGTTTTAATACAGATTTAGAAAGCCCAGAAGCTGGGGATCATTTTGACTATTGATAGTGGGGGGTCAGCTCCTACCCTGAGGGCATTTAGGCACCTCCGAAGTCCCAAAATCCGGCCAAGTTCGGAAATTTGAATTTTTGAACGCCTAGACCGCCCTTTTAGAGCCAGCGACTATGCTAGAATTGTAGCCCAGGCTCTGACGGTCATTTTAAGATATAGAAAAGTACTGAGACCCGGGGGTTCCTGAGGAGCTAGAGGCTCTTGAAGGTGGGGAACACGACAAAAAATGAGTACTTTTTCACAAAAAGTACACCATTTGTCACACAAATGTCTCCCAAAGACTAATTATCTATGTTTCTTCATTAAAAAATATAAAAGAAATCATTTGGGGTCATCCGAGGTCAGATCGGGTCACTCATGACAGTTTTCTAAATTTTACAAAATTTCTGACCTAGTGACCTCAGATGACCCCAAATGATTTTTTAAACATTTTTCAATGAAGAAACATAGATAGAAAGTCTTTGGGTGGCATATGTGTGACAAATGGTGTACTTTTTGTGAAAAAGTACTCATTTTTTGTCGTGTTCCCCACCTTCAAGAGCCTCTAGCTCCTCAGGAACCCCCGGGTCTCAGTACTTTTCTATATCTTAAAATGACCGTCAGAGCCCGCGCTACAATTCTAGCATAGTCGCTGGCTCTAAAAGGGCGGTCTAGGCGTTCAAAAATTAAAATTTCCCAACTTGGCCGGATTTTGGGACTTCGGAGGTGCCTAAATGCCCTCAGGGTAGGAACTGACCCCCTACTATCAATAGTCAAAATGATCCCCAGCTTCTGGGCTTTCCAAAACTGTATTAAATGCCCATCCTACTAAGCCCAAAAAAAAGCTCAATTATTAGTGATTTCCCCTACTTATGATGTTATTAGAGCCAGGTGAGAAAGAAGCTGATCTTATTTTTAAAATTGTTAAGCTTTCTTGTTGTATTTATTCTCGGCAGAATTCTACCAATAGCTTATTTTTGGATGAATTTTCTTCCTATATCTTTTCAGGTTGACTTCGTTAATAGATCATATGATTTTGTATCGAACGTTTTCGTTTATTGGATAAACTTCATCAGGATACTAAACTTAAGATGAACGAAAAAGAAACAGAGGAAAAAGAATACTTTTATGTTGAGAGAGCAGTGTGAAATTGCTAACTGAGGAAAACAGAAAAACAAAATCAAAATATGGCTGTTTTTAGTCGAGCGCCAAGGTGGCCCAAAACAGTGCTCGACTAAAATTTAAAAGTTTTGAACTGTTTGAAATCAGATTGTTCATTTAGGGAGGGTCGATGCAGTAAAATAAGAAATTGTTCAACGCCACCTTTTTGGGCCACCTTGGCGCTCGACTAAAAACAGCCATATTTTGATTTTGTTTTTCTGTTTTCCTCAGTTAGCAATTTCACACTGCTCTCTCAACATAAAAGTATTCTTTTTCCTCTGTTTCTTTTTCGTTCATCTTAAGTTTAGTATCCTGATGAAGTTTATCCAATAAACGAAAACGTTCGATACAAAATCATATGATCTACTTTTCTTCCTGTTATTTTATATGATGAAGATGACGAGATCTGGCTTTTCTGGAAAATCGGGTCTTGTCTTGGCTGCTTGTTTCTGGATACTTTAAATATTATCTGGGCGAAAGGAATTATCAAAAAGGCTGTTAAAGCAATTAAAGAAAAACGACAGAAATTTGAATAAATCAACAAAAGTTAAATTTTGATTGCATAACTGGTATTCTACTGTACAATTTCCGCATAAAAATGGGCGTATCAATTTCAGTACCGCCTCAGAAACGCAAGCTTATCACTAATCCATCGGAAAATATTGACTCCATCTTGGCAAAACAAACAAGCAGCATTCTTTCGACTGAAAAATTTTATGATCCTGTCAGTTACAAATCTGACAGAATGAGGTTATTTCTGTTTTTAACCACAGTTATTTTTGGCAATGAAATTTGCAAGAAAGAGATTATAAAGGGAGAGCACTGCGAGCAGGATTTTCGGAGTCTTGGGAAGTTTACCACTGCTTTTCCGTGGAGTTATCAGGCTGATAGTTCCACGAGGTAATTTATTTAGGATAGAAAAATGGTCGAATTTTATTCTAGAGAGCCTAAAGCACATCGATTTCCCTGTACTGTCGATTCTCCATCAGCACAAGATGTCAAAATGCACATATTCAACCAGCAGCTAAATCAAGTCTCCAATCACGTAAACTTCTCAATCAACGAAGACATCGTCTATTTAATGCCTTCTGACCATTGGCACCGAAACTCTTCTACGGTCATTCTCGTCCATGGCTGGAATGCTCGGGTGATCGAAAAAGACGGACAGCTGAGCAATCAAGGAGAGTTATTTGTGAATGAAATGCTCAAGCAAAGTGGAGATGTAAACATTGTCCTGTTGGATTGGGTAAGTTCCGTCCTTGGAGAGCAGTCCGGAAGGACGGTTTTCTCAGATAGTAAACACATGAGTTTTTCAGAGCGCAAAGGCCAACGACCTCAAGTACTGGCTCCCTGCGACGAATACGCAAGTTGTTGGAGCGCTTCTTGGTAAGAAAGATGTTTTTGTTCAATTTTTATTATTTTCAGGCGAGTTTATAAAAACCTGATTGATGCTGAAATGAACACTGTTTCCGACTTTCATCTTGCTGGCCACTCTCTTGGTGCTCATATTTGCGGGTACGCGGCGAAATGGCTGAACACTAGAATTGCTGGAAAGCTCCCGAGAATTTCTGCTCTTGATCCAGCTGGTCCAATGTTTCAGTATCTTGATGACCCGGCACTTAATGTAAATTTGTTGAAGTTCTCAAATTTCATATTGAAAATTTTTCAAGGAAATTCGAGTCTGGAAGGAAGATGCGGAAATTGTCGAAGTCTTCCATTCAAATGCTGGAGATCTTGGGGTGGATGAAATTCTAGAGTTCGTCGAGCAGTGCGAAGATGAAGAAGAGGTGAGTTCATTCTAGAGAATCGGGTTGATTCTAGAGAACCAGTTGAAGGCACGATCTTGTCTGTTGGAAAAAGTCTACGAGTCGACACCCACAGGAATTGGAGCGATGGTAAGCTTGGGCACACACGATTACTGGCCAGATGGGGGCAAAGCAAACCATTCTTATTGTGAACAACTTGCGACTGGAAAGCCAGAGAATCTCATTCAGTATTATGTTGACGTCGTAGGAATGGGTTTTCTCTTTTTCTTTCCGAAATGATGAATTTGTCGTTTATGATTTAGCAAAAGAACCCATCAAGGATGCTCTCATTCGTTCGCTTGGATGCATTGGATCGCTTCAATCAACAACAAATGCTCGTTTGAAGCAACAACGAATCTTCAAAAATTCCTTAGTCGCGACTTCGAATTTGAAATAAACGTTGGTTTTTCCAGCGGTGTTCAGCCAAGAGCAGCTGATGCAGAATCCGTCAATTATTAGTAAGATTTTTGTCGAGAGTTCAGTTGATGATCGAGTTTTCTAGTTATGAAACACTTCCAGATTGGCCTTTTGGAGTTATTCCTCTTGACGATGACGATGAAGAAGACAGCAGTATAAAAGCTACAGTATCTGTTCTTGTTTTTATCTGCATTTCGCTTTTATACTAATTTTTTCATCTTTATTCTGGAATATAAATTTCAGACAAGCAATAAGCACCACAGGTTAATGGGAAGGGATAGGAGTCAAAGTATCGGCTTTTGTAAACTCTGCCCTTTCTTGTTGCCTGTCCGATGGAAGCATCAGCCCCGTAGCTGATCAAATAGGTTGTTCGAGTATTGTTTGGACAGTGCCGCTCTTGAAAAGTGCCCATGCAAACGGCGACGCAATCTTCAGGTTTACTGACTTCGTAACATGCATTTGCGCACAAATCACACTAGAACTGCTTACAGAATTGCATGTTTAAAGTAATTACATCAGTGTCGAAAATAGGGCCTACTCCAGCGTTAACTGTAGTTGCATCTTCAAGCGCACATGTGGCCATGAGATTGTACTGAGCATTGTATCCGCTGTTAATCATATCGAATCCGGTGGTTCTGTTTGCTTTATCAGAGGCCAAACAGCTGAAATACGGTGATCCAGTTTCAGCAAGTATTCCATCTTTTATTATCTTTTTCATTGGTTCAGATTGAGAGCTCTTAAAAAACAATAGAAAATATCATTCTATGACCAGTTCCTGCGCGCATCTATCCATCGACAAGTTGTTTCGTCCGCATTCTGCAAGCTTTATGTAGATGATCTCGTTGACTTGTTCATCGTTCGGGTAGGCTGAAGCTGTCTGAAGACAGAGAAATGCAAAAAGCTTCATGTTTCAATTTTTGAATGATCATGTGTCTTCTCTTTCAAAATTATTTTAGACAGCAGCTGCAAATTTTCTTCTTCTTTTTTAGTCGCATCTGTTAAGCTCTGAAAAAATTCTCACGAGAAGAGTTTTCTATAGTTTATAAAAAGCTCTCATTTATCGAAAATCCTCAAAGATAAATCCGTAGATATATCCTTTCTTCGCTCGAATTAAATTCGTTAGCATGATCTGTCGATATTTACTTCAATTGCTCGATTTGAGGAGAATATAAAAAAAAGGAAAAACGGGATGAGAAAGTAAAAAGGCGGCGCTGGGAGCTGGCGTATTATTTTCGCGTCTCTGAAGAAGAATTCGTTTCTTTCATTTTATTTCGGTCTGAAAAAGAGAAGTAACAGAAGGAGCACGCGCTGACGAAACCGCTCATGACGCCTTGCTAAATTGGCCTAGGAGAAGAAAAAATATTGAGAAATTTAATCAAAGAGAAGAAATTTTCAAAACAGGTTTGACGAACTTAAAAATAAAATAAAAAAGCTTTATCCGTCGCTTCAATTTTTAAAATAAGACAAATGTCAGAAATGTCAGTTTTGTCAACAAATTTTAAAGAAAAATCTGAGAAATTTCTCAAAATATTGGATTTGAGCAAGACTTTCATGAATTTTTTTAAATGAAAGATATTTGACAGATTTGTTGACAAAAGTGACATTTGTGACATTCGATCAATATTCCAAGCAAGAAGATATCGCCCGATAATTTATCGGCGATAAAGCTTTCTTCTTTTCGAGCAAGAAATATTTTTGGAGTCGAAAATCATCATTATTAGCTGCTTGGGGAAATGGAATCAACGAGTGACGAAGAAGAAGAATGCCTCATTCAAACGCCGATGAATTCCTTGCATTTTCAAAGGTGACCTCAATTTCTAATTAACGCGCTTCTTTACCCACTGATTAAAACTTGGCAATGTCCGATTATACTGTTTTCTAACAACAGTCAAAAAGAAGCGTTTTTCCTATAAGAGAAGCTGAAAAATGCGAAAATATTGAGAAAAATTGGAGAAATTAATCTGAAAAGAAATCCCGTCATTCGGGCCTTATTGACCCAAAAACATCTGCTCTTGAAATTCCGCTGATCTCGTCGGATCAAGAGTGTCTAGCAGAAGGTCTAAGAAAACTCGTGACATATCGAAGCGCCGGAAAAATGAAGATTTCTGCGTATTTACGAGAGCTATTTAGCTCGTGTTGCGCGACAAAACAGTACAAAAGAAGAAACTCGCTTCAGGGAATTTTTGAAATGATGGGGAAGAAAAACTCTGTCGCCAAAATCAGGTTTTTGATTTCAATTAATTTGATTTTCAATAATATTGAAAATAGCCCTTTGAGAGGAAGAATGTCTCGAAGGAGCTCAGAAGTTATTATCTCCGCCAAAAAGGAAACCGTCTATTATTTTAATGCGCATAGGTTAAACGGTAAATTCATACGGGAGAATCTAAAAGATGATCAATGATCATCCAATTCCAATTTGAAAAACGGTGATAAAAGGGATGGGGAATCGTCAAGGACAAAATGTTGACTCCAGGAATGGATAGAAAATGGAATCAAGAATCCAGATCTTTGACAAAGAAGAAGGATTTTTGTCCAAAGATTATCAATCAAACCCCGGATTAGGGCCCAAGATTGTCAATTTCTTACCAAAATAGATGCGATCTGATTGGCCAGACGCAAAAACGATCACGTGATAAGAAAAACGGCCTTCTTTGGCCTCTTTTTCAAAGTTTTATTGGCAGTTTTTGACACTTGTATCGGGTTTATATCAATGTCTAGTTGACACTCTTGAAGGGGCCCTAAGTGCGGTGGTTAGAATAGTCTTCCTTGATCTCACCTATCTTTCTATCCATTTCTACAGCTGCACTTGGACAGATGAATCAACACGCCGGCGCAAATTATTCACGAAGCCGTTTTTTGAACACGGTGAATTTGGTGACTGAGCGTAACAATTCAGGCATTACAGGTTTCATTACAGATATATTCATTTTACTGTCATTTTTTAATTATTAATTCATCGACGTGCGCGTCTCAAAATCATCTAGTCAGTTTACATGTCCGCCGTACTAAAATGTATAAAACCAAGGAGAAGATAGGCAGGTCATCACGGAGACGCAAGTCAAGGTCGTTGATTTGACCAAATTGGATGAGGCTGAAAGAAAGGGTGGAAAACAGCTAATGAGAATGCTGGCGATAGGAAAGTGCTCAAAACGAAAAACCATAATGTTGAAAAAAAATTTGATAATTTATATTCAAATGATTTGTTACCCATGATTTATTTTAAACAACTATAAAAACATCCGGAATGTTATCCGCGGTATTTTCATTTATCAAAGTCGAGATAGAGCATTTCCGCAGGCTGTGAAAATCACAACCTAAAATTAACCACTGAAGGCCTCAAAACCGACAACCAAAAGTCCAAAACCCTCCTCAATTCCTCCACAACCATCAACTGGGCGGACGTTGTCGGCCTCGAAATAAAATTCGCCGTCTACGAAAAATTCGAAAAGACGTACCTCTGCCTCTCGATCTTTGGAGCCGCGCTGGGGATTCTGACAGTGAATTGCTCGCTGGTTCAGTTTTTGGACTCGGCGAATTTTTTCAGCCGGCTGAACTCGTTCCAGATTGAGACGGAGGAAATGATCACGGCGGGAGAATTGCTGAATGAGACGAAATCCCTGCTTGATTATATTAAATTAACGACGCCTTTGAATCAACGCACTGCCGAAATTACTCTTAGGCAAATTGGGTCAGACTTATCTCGAAGAATTTTTGATATAAAATCGAATTGGGTAATAATATCATTGCTTTCTTTAACGATCTATTTTACTCAAGACAGCTTTAAATTTAAAATGACCCTCAAAAGCCAAATCTCAAAAACACTCGCTCCTGCTCTTCCAAAAATCGACCCCAGAACTCTTCTCGATCTTTTGGACCCTCTTTTCGATCTGACATTGCCAACACCCATTTTTCTGCAATTCCTCGCCCAGAACATCGAAGACCTTCCTCCCAACAAAACGCTTTACAAAAACATCCTCATCGCGGGAATCAAGAAAACTGGCGGGCTCGACGAAGGAACGGAATCAAACGAGTTTTTCCGCTGTTTTTTGAAGATGAAGGTCAAGAGCCCAGTTGGCTTGCCCGACATTGAAGAACTCTTTGAAGGTATTTTCAATAATAATCAACTAGTCGATAAACTAATTGATTAAATTCAGAGGTGCATGGTCCGGCATACAACTCGCCGCAGAAACGCTCGATATTCAACTTGACAGCGTTTCTAACCCGGCGAATCGACCTTTCATATGGACTTTACGACTCGGCGCTAATAAGCCAATATTTAGATATGCTTAGACTCGCGGCTAAATACAGGAATTGTTCAATAAAACGAGCATTTCGATTCATTATGGTTTGGAAATGCGACATGGCAAATGTCTAGTAGACATTTTCATAGACATATTGTCTCTCAGACACTATTAAAACTTTTCAAAATGTTCAAACTCAATTAACTGTAATTTTTTTCGGAAATAACAATCAAAATCGTTAAATATTAATAGATTGTCTTAATAGATTGCGAGACTGTCTACTAGACATCATGAAATGCTGTTAAATGAGGTGGTGTCTGGAACCGACAACTAAAGTTCGAAAATTTTCCGTAGGCGGCTTCTCGGCTGCTGATTGGCCGGTTCGCCGAATTTAGGCTTCTGATTGGCTGAAAATTTTCACTCATAATTTGTCGACATTTTTTTGTCGTTTCCGGACACCACCCTTTTTATAAATGAGGAAAAACTGTTTTTGCCCTCTATTGAACAGTAATTAAAGTGATTGGCGCGTGACAGTAGCAGGGGTAGTAGGAAAAACCGCTTTTCCGGATCACGTGACGAATAATCCAGCTTTCTTTACTTTGCTTGCCGCTCTTGTAGATGATGACAGGGCCGATGTTCTTATGGCTATATGCTCGTCCACTTATTTCGAGGTGAGATTTGAACGAATTATAAAACGACTTACTAACGAATTCTAAAAGGTTATCAACAATTCTTCAAAAAAGCTTTTTGTGACGACGGCAATCAAGTTTTTTCTATCGAAAGCTGACAACCGATCATTTCTCAGGTACGTTTCTTAAATATTTGATTCTCGACAATTTTTTGAAGAAAATGTCTCCGACGACATCTGGATCTCTTGACAAATGAGTATTTGGCGAATCGAACTGATGATTTTGCAGCAATGATGCGAAAAATCTTCATAATCGGGTTAAAAAGCGAAGTGCACAAAAATCGTGTTCATGAAATGCTCCTGCTTTTTCCGAAAAATGACCCGGTCAAGGTACTCTTTTGGAAGTTTTCAGAAGAAAACGAGTTAAGATGGATATTGAAAACTGGCTGGAGAAGTCGAAAAAGCAAAGTGTCTCGAAACTTGTTCTGCCAAATATGTCAACAGATGCTTGTTTGGACTCGGTGATGCTGAACTTGGATGGATTCAGGGATGTGAAAGAATTTCAAGCGCCATTTTCTAACTGTAAGTTTTCTCTCAATCCTAGCCGTAGCTGTATTTTCTCAAGTGACAAGTAACTCAACGAGTCACCTAATACTACTGCCAAATCTTCAAATTGTGAATCTCGCCCATACAAAAATTTGCGACGAAGGCCTGACCCAACTTTCTGAACTCTGTGATCTCCAAGAATTAGATCTCTCGGAAACAAAAGTGACCGACTTTGGCGTCAAGCATCTTTTATCAATGAGCTCGCTGACGAGATTGAGCTTGACGAGCACGAAAGTTAGGAACGGACAGAAAAAAAAAACAGAAAAATTAATTAAAATAGGGGATCAAATATTTGTCCAATTATAAGCTCTTCGATGAGAGATAAATTAAAGACAATGCCAAAGCTGAAATTTCTCCAAGATGATTATACTTATGGATAGAAGCTTCTTTCTTCATAGGTTCTTTTTTCTGTTTATCTTCAATAAAATATTCTGACAAAAACAGCTCGCAAGTCTGATTTGATCATATTTTTATTTGAATATTGAATATACAGGGAAGAGATATTTTCAGTCCGTTTATGATTTCGGATCAATTACGATTTCTCCTTGAAAGTTGTTCGTTGGTGTTCCATCCTTAAAATTCGCTTAAGAAAATGAACGATGCATTATTCATACCAGATGAGTTTCTCGTTTTAGGTCCAAATTTGGTATTTTTTGTGGTTCCAAGATGCTTTTATTTTCTTTGGGTGGAATTGGTGGGGGCTTGTCGGGATCGGCTTCGTCGATTTCTGGCGCGGGCATGAGACTTGGGATGAGAGCACTACCAGTTCGCTTTTCAAAAAGTAAATCGTCATTCTTTTGTGAGAGGGAATTAAGGGCGTCGTTGTAGTTTTGAATTTCTGAAGGTTTTTTGACCTCGGGATCGTGTGGGACGACTTGGTTCATTTCTCGGATCTCGTCATATCTAGATTGGGATGAAGGGGGTTCTAGAGAAGGAAACAAACGTAATCGGCGTAGCTGGAGTTGCATTAGTCGCTTCTGGTCGAGATCGTTGAGGCCTTGGGGGAGTTCTAGCGCCGTTGAATTGAGAAACGATTCCAGCACTCCAATAAGCTCCTCGATGATCCGAGCTCGGGGCTGATTCTTCCCGCATTGTCGGCAATCTGTGATCTGTTATTGTCGATGCCTAAAAGAAGATAAAGAAAGAATATATCAGGGAGGACTTACAGTGATAGTTTCTTGGTAGCCATTTTCAGGAAATGTGTTGGACATTTCGTTTTCTGTCTGAAAATGGTCCAGTTGATCGGGATATGGAAGGGCGTTGACGGTTTTTTCGGAAGTGCTAGATTTTTGAGATGAGTAAGAGAAAGGGGAGGGCTTTTGTACCTGGCAAAAGGCATGGAATTGTCAGGACTTTGGAAGCTCTGGTCGTTGATTTCTTGAGCTTCTGGATCCCACATTGACACTCCTAAAGATTTCTTGAAGAAAAAGAACAAAGAATAAAAAATCGGCTATCAGTCTAGGAGACATTTTGTCTCGTAGACAAATGTTAAATCTACCCAAGTATGAATATTTTTTAATAAAAAATTCTAGCACCAACAACTTTGGAAAATCCAAATTCATTTCAATTAACCTGAGTCGCGTATGAGTTCAAATCGCGCCTTTCCATTTCCATGACGGAAGTGGTGATACGAACCCTGTTTTTTATCAGGTTCAGTCTTCTCCTTCGCTTGTTTCTTGCTTGTCTTTGGCGGCAGTGCTGGGGGCTTCTCGGGAGTGGGAGATGATTCGGGAGATTTTTGCTTCTCTGAAGATTTTTCTTTTCCTTCAGCAGCTGGACGAGAACGAGCGCGGACTTTTTTCCCGGACTTTCGGGTTGATCTTCTGCCTCTTCTGTGATGCCTGTAAGACTCTTCAGAACTAGAACTGTCGGAATCAGGTCGATATCTTCTCGAAGCCCGATTGTCTTCATCAGCACCATCTCGTTCCATTTCCGCCTCATACTCCAAGATCTTCCTCGTTATCTGCTCCCTTTTATATTTCCGGTAAAGCCTTAAAAGTAAGTTTAAGCTTTCCAGAAAAGGGATAAGAATAGGATGCGCGCGGTCAGCACCTTTTCGCGACACATAACGGCGGTTTCACGCTTTTGCTTTTATGTGGCGATGAGTTAAATTCATCTTTTGCCAAAAAATTGGCTTTTTTTATTTCGAGGAAGTCGCATTTTTCGACTAAAACGTACCTGTCGCAGTAAACTTGGAGAAGAATGCCGGGAACGATTATGAAGACAAGGAAGATTCCGAATCCGATGAGGAAATATCCCCAATTCTCCACAAAGAAATATTCGAGATGAATAAAAAGTCGACGAAAGTAATAGTGGAGTGTCGCGGGAATCGGCGCCAGCCCAGGTGGAGGTGGAGGAACCGTCGGAAAGAGAGTCTCTTCCGGACCCGCATAGTATGTCTCTAGATTACACCACGTAAGGGAGAATCCCGAAAAGACGAAAAATATTGGCTTTCAAATTTTAAGACTTTTGGACGGAGGAAAAGGTGACCGTCAATATTGTTTGGGAGAAGAATTTGGCAAGCTGCCATGTGATACAAAAATCTAAGGGCTTTGCCCGCGGCCAATTCAAGATTTTTTATTCAGGGTTTTTAAGTCTGCGTGATGACGGACCCTTAATTTAGAGGTCGAAGTATGTCAACCTTTTATTTATTTCAAGACGATCTTATTTCAAGATATGGCTTACGTTCTAGCTCAGTTTCATTAATATAATCCTCTTCTTCAAAATCCACATCTTCTAAGACAGTCTCTAAGTCCATGATTTCTCTAAAATTCAATTTAGAAATATTCTCAAGACAAAAGTTACATAAGAGACATTTTCGTTTAGCGACTAAGGACGTGGCTGAGGTTGCGCTTGCAAGAACCTTCTCAGCGCGGTGGTGGTGGAGGAGCGTGCACCAATCAGTGAGTTGGAATACAGTGGCGGGAGGTTCCTTGCATTTTCAATTTCAGATTTTAGATTTTTATTCCGAAAGAACATTTTAGCGAAAATGAAGGAAATCATCATAATTCTGAATTTCGCGAGTTTTCTGTTCATGAATTCATTTTCAAAACCAGCAATCAAAAAACGTCATAAAATAATTAACACTCTTCTTCCTACGCTCTCTCACCCCAAAAACCGTAAAGAAAAAATTTAATTTCTTGTGTTATTTTTATTTAAAGAAAAAATGAATGGAAAAGAGGATCAAAAACTTCATTCTTATTGAGAATAATTATCGGGACACTCATTATTTCTGTAAGTAAAACCCGTTCAGATATCCGTTGAAAACAGAAGATGTTAATTTTTCATTTAGCTTATTGGCGCTTATACTTTTCTTTACAAAGAAGCAAACGAATTTATCTCAAATTCTTTTCCATTCAATTTTCAAAAGGCAATATCTTCTGAAATAAAAGAAGAAGAGGTCTCTTGGAAACTCACACCCGGTCATTTTATCCTTCATTGTGCAGCTGATGACTGCAAAAAGCACAACTCACTGGACAAAGCAAAAGAACAGTGTTTACAAGATGATTCCTGTTACGGCGTTGTGGGGGATGGGAAATCCTACGAACTTAGAATGGGCCCGGAGATCGTGAAAAGCCCGATTAACGAAACCGCATGGGTTTTGAAAATGCAGAGCTGTACCGGAGAAGAGCCCGGTATTTTTCTCAATCTAACGCTCCTTGAAGAAAATTATTCGATCCTGAAAGGAAGGGCGCGAAAAAGAGCAAATAATCAAAATTGCAATTATCCCGGATTTCCGAATGTGAATCGAATCATCAGATTCAATAAAAATCACAAGCCAGTGATAATTCATCAGCCAGAAAAATGCAATTTTGATTCGAAGTTATTGTCGCTTATTTTTGGAATAAAAACGATGCCAAGAGCGACTTTGGCTCGAGATACTCTGAGAAGAACATGGCTTCAGAAGGATATTTGGAATTGGCTTGGGGTCGAAATCAAGGTGGTTTTCATCATTGGAAATGACGAGGACCTCAAAGAAGAAGCTGAAAACAACAAGGACATGCTCGTCCTCGACTTTCCGGAAAACCACGACAATCTGCCCTACAAAGATATCGGCTTCTTGAACTTCGTTAAATCCTCCTGTTCTTCTGTTGAGTACGTCTTCAAGGGCGATGATGATGTCCTTCTTGTCCCTCAAAATCTCATAACCGAAATTGAGTCTCTGAAAAAATCCGAATTCGAAGCAACTGGATGCCTGAAAAATGCCAACACGAGGCCAATAAGGACGTACAAGAGCAAATATTTCGTTCCGACGCAAGTTTATCCCGCAAATGGCTACCCTCCTTATTTTTCCGGCTTTGCCTATCTTACGACAGGATCGTTTTCCGTTAAAATGGCCGAGGCGATACCCACTGTTCACGTGTTTCCCTTGGACGATGTTTATGTTGGCTCCCTGATTGTGGCTTCAAACCAGACGAGTAAACTGACAAGATCAGACAGCATCTGCCGCGGGGTCTGGGCAAGAAGAGCAATTAACAATGACGATTTATGTTCATTGATTAGTTTTACTGTTTCTCACAAAATCACGAATTATCAAAAGATGGAACAAACTTTCAATGATCTTATTTCCAATAAACTTGATTGTTGAAACTCGCCTTAATATTTTCCATTGTTGTTCAATGTTATTGCCTAACTCAAAGAGAATCAACAATAAAATTATTGTTAACGACTTATGACGCAATAATAATTAGACTTTTTTATTTTTTCTAAACAACAACAGTTTTCTCAATGGAAAAAGAGCATAAAACATGTTTAAAAAGAGAAAAAATCCTTGGCATAATCGTTTTTATAGTAAGAATTTTTTTATCCGCTATCTTTCAAATTTCAGTTTATCATCGCATATATTTTGATATATACAGAAGCGTCAGATGATATTTCAAAATCTGTCTTCGCCAATTTCGAGAGCAAAGAAAGCAACCAGAGTGAAATCAAGGAAGAGCCGCAGTGGAAGATCATTGAACGTCATTTTATTCAAGGCTGCACAAATGATCATTGCAAAAAACACAGCTCACTTGAAGAAGCGAAAGAAAAGTGCCTTCAGAATACTTATTGCTCAGGAGTCGTAGGAGTCAAAAACTGGTTTGAACTTCGCGCCGGACCGGGAATAGTAAAAAGCCCGATAAACGAAACATCTTGGCTCCTGAAAACAACTTCATGTAATGGAGATGAGAATGGTATATTTCTAAATCTGACGCTTCTGGAAGAAAATTATCCGCCATTGAAAGGGCTAAGTAAAAAGAGAGTAAATACGCAAAACTGTATCTACCCAGGTACCAAATCTCTTTGATGAAGGGCCTTGTGATGTTATTAAGGGTATCCAAATGTAAATAACATGATGCGATTCAATCCTCAAATGAAACTGTCCGTCATTCATCAACCTGATATATGCAGTTTTAGTTCATCTTCAGTTTCAACATCTTTGATTTTCGGAATAAAATCAATGCCAGGATCGACTTTGGCGAGAGAAACTTTGAGGAAAACATGGTTGCAGAGCGATATTTGGAAATGGCTCGGAATCAAAATCAAGGTGAAGCGAAAAAGAGAATATTTTGTTTTTCCTTGAACAAATTTATAAAAAAGTTGTTAAGGTTGTGTTTATCGTTGGCAATGATATTGATCTCTATGAGGAAGCTGAAATCAACAAGGACCTCCTCGTCCTCGACTTCAAGGAAAGTCTTTATACCCTCCCATTCAAAGACATTGGCTTCCTGAAATTCATTCAATCCTCCTGCTCATCAGTCGATTACGTCTTCAAGGGCGACGATGACATTCTTCTCTTACCGCAAAATCTAAAATCAGAACTGGAAGAGCTAATGAGCTCTGACTTTGAAGCAATTGGATGCCTGCGAAAACCAAACACGCCTCCGATCCGAAAATTAACAAGCAAGTATTTCATTCCAAAGCAAGTCTATCCTGGCACCGCTTATCCGGCTTATTTTTCTGGCCTTGCTTATCTGACAACTGGGAATTTTTCCTTGAAAATGGCCGATGCTATTTCTTCTGTACCAGTTCTCCCGTACGACGATGTCTACGTCGGGTCCCTTATTGCTGCATCTAACCAAACCGATAAGTTGACCACTTCGATAAGCATTTGCTGTGGCGTTTGGGCAAGTTCTGCTATCTACAAGAATGATCTGTGTAGCAAGGTCTAACAGTTGCTCACAAAATCACCAACAACAGAAAAATGGAAGAAACTTACAATCATCTTATTTCAAAAAAGATGAAAAGCGAAATCGATCAATTGAGGTAAATTTCAAAATTTAGGAAAAATTCCGTATCTTTCAATGATTTTTAGTTGGAATGGAAATAAGAATAAGATATCTTGGGATGAAGCTTGAAAAAAGAATATAGAAAAATTCATTATCTTTGAAAATTGTCTTTGAATAAATCGTAAAATAAAAAAAGGAAAACTCAAGAAAATTATTTGATCAGCTGCTCGAGTTGAGCCATATCAGCTGTTCCATGAAGCTCAAAAGCAGCGCCCCCTTCCGGCTACTGGATTAGCACTGGCCCTTAGCTTGTGGCTCGGGCTGACGAGGCGATAGGTTGTGAGTTTTTGAGGTGGAAATTTCACAAATTTGCGCCGCAAACGCGTTAACTTGAGAGAATTCGCCGCGTAATTTGGCGCCAACTTTGGAAGATACCTTCCCGCCTCAAGTGTCGATCTGCTTTACAACCGCGGTGACTATATAAAAGAAGGATTCTTCTGTTTCGACTTCGTTAAAAGGACGATTAATTGTTCGTTTCTTGGGATCATGGAAAGGGAACATGATGATAATTCAAAAGACAATGTTGAATTTGATAAGGTAGAAACTCATCGCAAAATCGAATAAATTTTAATACAAAAACGATCGAAATTTTCTTGATTTCCTCAGTTTTTCAATGTTTTTCAATCAAAAAATATCGATAATAATCAAAATTGTAGGAGATTGAGTATTCCATTGCGCCAGTAAGCTACAAAGTAGAAAGTATCACGAAAAAAGAGTGGTCAGACCAGGTAATTATCACCTCATCAATTCAACTTATCCCTTGCAATCATCAGGGCTCTTCCGATTCACCAGGTCAGGATCATCATCCAGGGCCCCACCACCATCAAGAAAATCATCATCAGCAGCGTCAGCAACAGTATGAAGAAGAATATGCTGAGCACGGAAAAGACACTAGATATGAAGAAGTTCCATCGACTTCTAGCGTTGATGGCGCCTATTCAACTCTGTACTCAACTTCAAGCTCTGATGTTGGATTGGTTGCCGTTGAAAGCGGAGTTTATCCAGTCATGGCGGAAGAAAGCAGTTTTGAATCGCATAATCAGCGCGGGAGTTCTAGTGTCTATCAGGTAGAAAAATGTCCCTACCCTTGTTGTACTCTGCTTTTTTCAGGAAGGATCAGTCGTAACACCCCTTGGAGATTCCTCCGAGCTTCATTCTCCCGTCCACTTCGATGTCGAGAACTACCCCCAAGATGTTATGCAACCGGCAATGATGACTCTCGAATCAACTTCTCGTCCGGAGCCAACTCGTGAGCGAAGCAACACCGGCAACCGAGACGAGAACGTTTCTAAAGCAGAAACCGAAGAACTCAATTCTACACCAACGGCTCATCCAGACATCCGTCTCCAGGAAGTCTTGAAGAACTCGATCGAACAGCCAATCAAAAATGGAATTTGTGTACAACTGAATGGGCAGCAGCTATGGAGGACATTCTATGATTTGGGTACTGAAATGATTATTACAAAGGTACTGCTTTTCTCATAAATGTCTTCTTCTTATAATTTAAAGGTTGGTCGACGAATGTTTCCAGCAATCCGAGTAAAAGTAAAGGGCCTTAAACCAAATAGAAAATACATCATGGCTTTGGACATCGAAGCAGTGGATGACAACAGATATCGCTACGTCTATCACTCCTCGAAGGTAAGAGTCTTTTGACCAAAAAGGCAGAATGGTAAATTTTTTATCTAAAGTCTGAATTCAAGTGGATGGTGGCCGGCACCGCTGACAATCCAGTCCCGCCGAGGGTTTATATTCATCCTGAGAGTCCGCAGACGGGTGATAGCTGGATGAGGTAAGATCGATTCTCCAGACAAAAAAATGAGTCGTTTATAGGCAGAATTCCCTTGTCAGTTTCGATAAGCTGAAATTGACTAACAACGAAAATGATACACATGGACATATGATTCTTCATTCTATGCATAAATATCAGCCACGAATCCACATCATCGAGGTTGGGTTCAAATAAAAGGAAAAACCGGTAAACGAGTTCAGATATTGGATGAAAACGTACAACCAAACCTGAATTTCCAACAGCGAATCGACACCGAAGCACCTGGAGTTACAACTTTTGTCTTTCCAGAAACACAGTTCATCACAGTAACCGCTTATCAAAACCAGCAAATCACGAGGCTGAAGATTGATCGAAACCCATTTGCGAAAGGATTCAGGAATTCGGGGCGGAATAACAAAGCGCAATATGATCAGAATGCTGCTCCTCTTCCAGGTTCTAGAATTTTCGAAATACAAAGTTTACTTTTCTTAAGGGACTTACGCACATCATGCAGCGAGTAGACTAGCCTACCAATCGTCATCAACTGGCGGCAAAGCAGCTCAAGACTACACCCAAAGTAAGCTTTCATACCAAACATTTCTCATATTCTCTTAGGTACAATGACGACTCCAGTAACATGGACTCAATCCGCTGTCCCCCATCAAGCAGTCTACCCCTCTGATCTTTCTTCTCATCGAAAATACACGCATCATCACCCCGCCCATCAATATCCTTCAATTCAGGTACCTCCAAACATACCTCCCCAATCTCCATTTATTTCTAGAGCCTCTCATCAAATATTCAACTGGCATATGCTGACCCTCGATACCCAGAAACTTATTCTGGCTATACTCTTCCAACTCCCGCAGTTGGCCTCCAGGTCCGAACTCCTTCCTCGAGCCCCTCTCATATTTATTTTAGGAAGACAAACAACTGGAAGTAACAGTCCTTCACCAAGGTGCTTTTCGATCAAGTGGCTCGAGTCCAGCCATTCATCATCCTCATTCACATCCTCGACAAAGTGCAAAAGTAAATTTTCAACAAACAAAAAATTATGATGAACCCTTTTTCTAGCGCCATCTAACTCAATTACCATCAGTTTCGGACCACTACTGCAAGGAACCAAGATACGAGGAGGAATACCCGAGTCAAGACTCGCCGACCATTCAGCCAACAGATCCTTCTTCGCATCTCCACACGCCCCAGACGCACTTGTATTTCAGCCAGTAGCGAAATCATTAATTGTGAATATTTATTTAAATCTATTCAATAAATCTAAATGCAATCGAGACAGCGTTCTGGAACAAATGTTCCAAGTGTCGAGTCAACAGATGATTCCAAAGCTGTTTATTTTGGATCAATTATATATTTCCAGATGAGCATATAAGCAAATCATCTCTCAATTCAACGCTAATCTAAAAGAATGAACTTCATTTTTCTCCTTTTCTTTCAGAAATCTTCAGCATTTCTAGGCGATCATAGAACAAGACAGTATGATCATGTTGAGCACAATGCCAAGCCAACTTTTGACGAAGTAAAATACCAAGAAAAAGAGCGGAAACGAAGGCTATCCAAAATCAAGAAACAGGTTGATGATGAAACGCATCAGAATCTTGTCAAATACGTTTTAGACTACATGTAACTTTTTGTTGAAATTTGCGCTTACAAATAAATTGTCACAATCTTCTTTTTTTTTATTTGATAAATTCCGAAGGTATTTTGAAAAATTCCATCAGACAAAGTTCTCCTCAAAACTAAATAAGACTGTAATCCGACAAATCTCCTTCTTCTTTGTCTACTTTCAAGAAAAGAATACAGTTATCTCCCTGTATAACTTTTCAGCATAAACATGAGGAAAATAGATTTTTAAAGAAAAAGAGATTATATTTTCAAAATGAAGGAGAAAATTGAGGAGGGTGAAAGCTGGATATTTAAGTTTTTGAATATGCCCCTTGTTTCTATTCCAGTCGCTACTGTGCTTGGTTTTGCTATTTTGGTGAGAGTTCTTATTTTGGAAAAATAATCATTTTTCAAGTTCGTGATTATGATCGTCACTCACCTTCGAATTCAACGAGAACACCGCTCTAGAACCGCGAAATCCGTCGTGAGAAAAATTCAAACTCGCGTTCAAATTTCCCGACAGGCATCGCGATTTTCTTCCACTAGGAAGCCACTTTATTCTACTGCCAGATTTTCTTATGTCTAAAAATCAACAACCGGTGCGAAATTAATAAACCGGGAAAAACAAAAAAGTATGTCAGATCTTGAGAAATTACATAAGCGCCGAGCAATATCGCTGGAACTTCATGCCCGCGGGCTAGATTCACGATCTTCAAGACAGAAAAATAGACAGTGATGGTCAGAGCTCTTAGAGATTCGTAAGAGAAACATGAAATTGAATATTTTTCTTCCTGCTGTTGCTTTTGCTGGCTGGAAGGGACCTGAAGGTAAAAATTTGAAAAGAAAGGGGGTCGATGATTCTTTTGATAGAGCCAGATGTTGATGATGAAGGATTGGGGACTTCGAAAATCGTTGAATCTTGGGCAGAGACAAAATGCGGCGCGTGCAAGGAAACCTTACGGCCGCTGAGAATTATGCTTCATATTCTTCAGGAACCAGAAAAGGTATAAATAGGTCTGCATAACGCAAGAAAATTCCGGATACCCTCCTTTCGTCAGGAAGCCGTCGGATTTTCCTGACGAATGGAGGATGTTCTAGAAACTCGTTTTTTTGATGATTTTCCCTTGATTTATCTTATTATTATTCTTTCTAAAAAAGGGTTAGGGTTGAGTAAATTCCCAACTATATGTTCAAACGACTTATTTTTATCTAAAATTACTCTAAAAAACGAATAAGCCACAAAATTCGTAATTTTGATATTCAATCTCTTGTAGGTTAACATGTTCTTGGAGGTTCTAGAAACTTTCATCCTCCATTCGCCAGGAAATTGGCGGATTTTCCTGACATATGGAGGATACAAGAATTTTCCTGACGAAAAGAGGGTCACCCGAAAATTCGACTTTTTATTCAATGCTTGTATAAAGCTCATTTTAACATATATTGGGCATAAAGTATAAATGACAGGACCGGTCCAAATTTTTCTGAATATTATATTTTTGGTACTTGAAGAACATATGTTCTTCAACGTATACGTTTATGCATATTTTATAAAGAAAATGAATTTCTCGAAAGATTTCACTACAGTAACTTGCTCACGAAATAGATCAAGAGCAAAATATAAATGCAGCTATCTTTATCTCTATTTATGGTTTTTGAGAACTATATCTAGAATCGATTTGAGTTAATTTTTGAATTCAGGACGGAAATAAATGGGACGAGAAAAAGCGCGGGCCCTGGAAAACATCAGAAACTCGACTGATCCGAATCATGGAAGAACTCTGCAAACACGGCGGAAAAGCCGACAAAGCATGCGCCGCTCTTCTCGAAGCCAACGAAGAAGCCATCGAAAAATGGTATTACGATGGAAATGATCCAGCAACTTGGATCGATGAAATTTGCGTCAAAGCCGCCGGCCACTGTTGTCCTCGAGCGGATCAGCAGGGGCCGAATTGCGAGGAATGCCCAAAAGGAAAGAATGGAAAAGTCTGCTCGGGAAATGGGAGATGCGATGGAGGAGGAGATCGAGAAATAATCGGGCAGTGCAAGTGCAATAGAATCGATGATCAAGCATTCTACGAAGGGGAGACTTGTTCTGAGTGCCCCAGCGACGATTCTTCTCTCCGAACGTTTTCATATTTCTTGTCAAATGAGGAAAAACTTGACAGTGAAGAACCAATCTGTCTCAGATGCGATAAGGTTTGTCTTAAAATTCTCCAGTAACAAGGTTCATTCATTTAAATTTTAGGCCTGTAAAGACGGTTGCTCCGCAAAAGGTCCAGAAAACTGCAACGAATGCAGAGAAGGCTATGCCTGGCAAATCGTTGCTTCTCCTGGAGGCATGAACATTTCTAGCGACGGAGTTCTTCAGGTATACTTTGTCTACATTTTTAATTAATTCAAATGTCCCAAAAGGGTGCGAAGAGAGCCTGCGTTTCTTTGAGCAAACCAAGAACTGTCCTTGAACAAAAAGCTGCTGCAACTGGAACGCAGAAAATCTTCGACCCGAATATCGACATCAAAGTGGCTCAAGAAATGATCAAGGCGGAATACAAAGCCAAAGAGGTTCGTTTCTTTTTAATCTACTGCGATTTTAGCGGTCTTTTAAGGAACGTCGTCGACAAGCAGAAGCAGAGAAACTCAATGTTAATTCCAAAGATGAGCTGTGAATAAAAAATGCGTAATTATCAACAGTTTTTCTCCAAAATAATTTCTTTCTTAACTAAAAAATTCATTGGCAGTTAAAAAATTTTAATAATTTGAAGTAAGAGAATGTAATGTGGCTAACAAGGAGTCATTTTAAAAAAAAATTATGAGAAGCTTCAGAGGGTCAGCTCCATCTTCAAATTTGAAAGACACGGAAGTCTTAATTCAGTGAAAAAAATTCATTGAATTATTTTGTGATATTTTTCCTGGAACTCAGCCGTCAACGGCACCTGAGTATCAAGATTTGTTGCTAAAATCTCATCAACACCGCAATTTTTGCCGGACAAATGTAGATAATTCCAAGTTCCTGTTTCGTAAAGCATTTTCGCATTTGTGTACGGATGTCCTGGATTCGTGCAAGCTCCGTTTCCATTTTCTTTTTATGAATAAAAAAATCACATAAGCTCAAGACAACAAAATTTTATTCTTTCCTATAATGTCGATATACTCACTTAATTTTAATTCGGGCGTAGTTACAATCTGCGTTTTAGGAGGTTCTCTATTTATAACAAGCTTGTTTGCTGAGCAATCAATCACTCCTTTTGCACAAGAGGAGAAAATTTTTTTCGCCCTTTTGATTTCGTCTTCCATTTTCTGAATTTTTCATTTCATTTCGCTTGGAAATATGAACAAAACCTTCTGTCCAAAAGCTTCTATTTTTCGATGTAAAGATGCATTAAAATAATTATACATAAGAATGTCGGCTTTATGAAAATCTTCGAATACTGCTTGCCTATTTGAATTTAATAATTCCTTTTTGTAGTGTCTTTCGTTTTTGTTTTCGAGATAGAGATGCTCGTATTCAGCGCAGAGTAAATGTCTGAGTAGAACAATGCCCTCCCAAAAATATTCCGTGATAAGAACCAGGTCAAATTGACTGTCCAATCTCGACAGACTCTCTTTTACATATGTGATGTCGTTTATTTTGTCGAAATCCATTCCAAGTTCAAACGACTGAGGGTTACTTTTTGATGGTTAAAAATATATCAACATTAATGAGACAAAATATTACAAAATAAATTTATCCGATTCCTTACTCGATACGCAAACGGAACCGAAGAATTGTATGCTTTTGGAAGAATATCGAGAAATTTTTCAATTGGCGGATATGGTCTCTTATTGTTATCTTTCACAAAGTCTGAGAGAAAGGTCTTGAATGGTGCGCCCCAGCATGGATATTCACAGCCATTTGAGTTTTGATAAAAATAATTGTACGTTGACCGGAAAGTTGCAAGCGGATCACGAATTGTTGTGAAAATTTTGACTCTTTCTCGGTTTGAATCGAATATCGACGGCAAATAGTCCATATTCCAACGAAAATGATACGAGATCCCTTTATTTGGAATTATTCTGCAGGAAATTAGATAAAGCCCCTACCTAGGACAGGATCATGACGTTTGTTTCCTTCCCAACAGCGTTCGTCGAATTGAGCAGGAAAACAACCTCCTTGTGGTCCCATTTGGGGTTTTTCGATCTCATTGAAAACCCTATTTATCTTCAACCATTTGTCGATGATGCCTTTGAATGTCGTTGATGCTGTTTTATGCTTTTTCAAAAATATAACGCCATTCTGACGATGACATTTACTTTTCCATAAACTAAGATCAGCTGTTAGCGGAATTTTACTGAAAAAATTTTTCTTCGTTTCTCCTGTAACTTCATTCTCGGCTTTTTTTCTTAGATAATTTTGCTTCTCAAATAGCGGTAAACTGTTTCCTGCCAAGAGATCGTGAATTTCATTGATTAATTGATTTCCTTTTTCTATCATCGCGTTCGTAAAATATTCAAATGATGGCTGCTTCTTTGGTCGATGAAATTTTTCGGTTTGCTTTAAATTCTTTAAAAATTGATTTTAAAACTATAAAAACATATAAATATACTTTTTCAAGACACTTAAGTCTTCGTTCGCGATCCGGGACGATATAATATTTTCGATCCTCGATAAAATCGAGAATTTTTGCCATTTCTTCTGTCGCGTTGATTTTTAAATTTTCGTAGAAAAAAATATGGACTGGAAGATCTTGCTCTTTCTTTTTAATAATTTGTAAAATGAGAGAACGCCACCGAGTCAACATGCTAGTTCCTTGTTTTTTCCAATCATTTGCCTTGAAGACGGATTCAGATACAGTCGAAGTATGGCTCTTTCCCTTTCTTCTTTTGAATTCAGCAACAGTTGCATCAAATGGATTGCGGATCAAGAATAAGTAACCCTTTGCAGAGGAAAGACTTTTGTCTTCAGTAGTATGAGCCTTTTGAAAAAGAGTAGATCCATAAGTCGGATTCGTCAACTCGCCAAGAAAGCCATTCTCGTAGAGTGATCTGTCGTTGTAAATGCTTCCAGTGAAGATTCCAGTTGATTTTTCAAGGAGCATTCGTGTCCAGCTAAAATTATGAACATAAAGAATTGATAGACAAAGTGCAGGCGAAGGGTGCAAGGATGCCTCAATCATAAAGGGTGAACCACCTGCGCGATCAACTGTATAAAATTATACATGTTTATTCCTGCAGGAAATAACACAAGATGTTAAATTTAGAATGAATTTTTTCAAAGCCCTAAATGGGCTTTTTGAAGGCCCATAAGTCTTATGTTATAAATACCTATAAATACCTTATAATAATAATGTTATGGTACTTACGTGTTACCGCTTCCAGGAAATGAAACAAGCGGGAAGATATCAAACTCGTTTTCGCTACCAATTCTTGTTGCAAGCTCACACGTGTCTTCATTGACAGCTCGCATTTCACAATCAAGAATCATTTTTTTTCTCGATTAACATTTGTATATGTGGCTGGACAATATCATTATCTTTCTGCCAATCGACATTGTCGCGAAGAAAGATTAAGACAAAGCACGTGATAAAGGTAACAAAAATAAATTTAATTATTGCGTTCGTCGACATTTTTTCCATGTTTTTTAAAGTTAACTTCTTTTTGAATATTTTTGAGTCCTTCGTTTCTCTCTCTCTCTTTTAAATTGTGGGAATAAACAGCCACGATCGTGAACTCATAATTTCATGTAAGGAGCAGCAATTTTATCTTCATATCTTTAACTTGAGTTAGTTTCTATTTATGCATTTTCTTGAAGAACGGTTAAATTCAAGAAAAAAAAAACAAAACTGATTTCGTTTTCCTAAGAAATTTGTCAGAATTTTTCTTGACATTGTGATTTATCGATGCATAAAGTTTGATTTTCGCACTGCCATAGCAACAATAGAGAGATGAGGATTGAAAAAAACTTTTATGATTCGGCTCCTTTGTGGCAAATGCAAATGTTTTTTTTGTTTACTCATATTCTGCCAAAATGCGACGCTTATCCTGCCCACCTTTTGCCTCTCTTTTGGAAAGCGCAAATAAAACTGTTTGCATAAAACTGCCATTAAGTTGAAATAAATTAGAAAAAAATATTTTTTGAACACTGTTTTGAGTAACGAATTGAGTAATGGTGACGACGACAAACCGGAATTTAACACGCCGACGACAATTGCTATATAAAGGCCATATAATATTGCACATGGACTTTAACGCCATCTATTGACCAATGCCCGAAGCCGATTCTTAACCCAAACCAACACACAGCCCAAAACCTTAAATCGAACATGAACCTACCATGGAGTTGAGCTCTAAGTGGAGATAGGAGAATCTGAGCGTCTTTGGCCCCGTAAGACGCTCGATCTGTGAGCGCGCCTAATTTTGGGAGAATCCGCGCCAACCCTTGTCGGCTCTCTCATTGGCTAGACCGGTTTAACTTTCGAGATTCTGTTCTTCCGAATCTCGAGATTCTTCTAAACCGACGAGCAAGCGTTAAAGAAACTTTCTAGACTTCCCCCGACAGTGATTTGCGCGGGACACGGGGAAAGGGGGCCAGGGGCTATCTCCCCAAAGAGTAAAACTTCATGGTAGTCTCAATCACAGACCATTGAAAAAAAACAGAAGTGAAAGAAGTAAAAAAATGGGTGTTTAAAAATTTTTGGGTCATATATGGCTTATTTGTCGTCGTAAGGTTAATCTTTATTCGTTTTCTTCTTACAAAAAAGATAACGTCATCGACAACCAGAAGCAGATAGAATGAATTTTAATTCTAGAGATGAGCTTTAAATAGTGATCAAAAAAAGGCACTACAATCTTGAATGAGTATTTTTGTACGAACAGAATAGTGAAAACAAATCGTTATAAGAAATTATTCTTCGAGGGTTTTCGTTCTCAAATATCTTTTTTTCTCGAATTTTGGTAATTCGTTATCTTCAAAAAGATCGTAAACTTCATTGATTAATTGATTTCCTTTTTCAATCATCGCGTTTGAAAAATACTCAAATGATGGCGGCGCCTTTGGACGATGAAATTTCTCAGTTTCTTTTAAACTCTGAAATAAAAGTGACAATGATAGATATGGGCTTATGAAAATGTACTTTTTCAAGGCACTGCAATCTTCTTTCTCGATCTGGAACGGCATAATATTTTTGGCTCTCGACGAAATCAAGAATTTTCGCCATTTCTCGGGTCGCATTGATTTTTAAGTCTTCGTAGAAAAAGATGTGCATTGGGACCTTATTTTCTTTCTTTTTGCTGATGATTTTTAACATAAGATTGTGCCACCAGCCCAAAAATTGTGTCCCCTGTTTAATCCAATCATCTTCTTTGAAAACCGACTCAGAAACACTTGAAGTGTGGCCTTTCCCCTTTCTTCTTTTGAATTCTGCGATGACTGCATCAAACGGATTGCGGATCAGAAATAAGTATCCTTTTGCGGAGGAAATATTTTTGTCGTCGATGTTGTGAGCTTTTTGAAAGAGAGTTGTCCCGTCTGTCGGGTCGGTATATTCGCCGAATAATCCGTCTTCGTAAAGTGACTTGTCGTTGTAAATACTTCCGGTATAGATGCCGGTAGATTTTTCAAGAAGCATTCGGGTCCAACTAAGAAGCTTTTTATTTGTCATTTGCGAGAAAACCTTACGTGTTTCCACTTCCAGCGAATGAAACAAGCGGGAAAACATCGAATTCGTCTTTCCTCCCAAGTCGTGTTCCGAGGTCACAATTGTCTTCATCTGGCATTTCGAAGTCGAGTATCATTTCTTCGCCAAATTTATCCGCGGCTAGTCGTTCAAGGACAACATTCGCGCTCCAAGTCGATGGATTCGAATAAAAGAAGAAATCGGATGTGAACGCCAGCTCTTGAGAAAGAAGAGAGAGTTGTGTATCAAAATAAGCATCAGTTAGTCGAGATTTGGCAAAGTCTGATATTTCTTGTTCTTCGATAATTTCGGCTTCGGGGTAATATTCGACAATATGGGAAGTGAGATTTTTCAAGAAATTATAGTCGGACGGGGGGCTATTTCGGGCTCAATCAGTTGATGATTTTTTATAAAAATAAATAAACATTTATTGAAGCCTTTTGCCTGAAAAGTAAAATTGTCTTTCCATTTATTTTCTTCATTCTTTTGACAACCCATTTTACGAAAATGGATGGATCCGCTCGTATATTCTTAATTTTTGCAACGAGACTCTTCTTGCTTTCCCCAGAATTCAGCTGAATGAAATCGTTTAGATCATATCGCCAATGAAGAGTCGCAAAATGGGTGATATTTTTTGAGCTAAGAAATTCTTTCGAAATTTCTTGAATCTTTTTCGATCTTCTAGTGTTTCTGATAATATCGAGGATCATGTCGATAAAGTCGAAATCGTACAGTTTGCTCGCTCGAAGACGGTTCTTTGCCAGCTCATTCTGGAGAAAGTATTAACAAGCCTTCTAACACGACGGAAACCTCACCCAATCGATTATGCCAAATGGTTGTTTGAGCATAACACAGTCAATGTTATCAAATTTCAAAAACTGTTCGGAAATTTCTCGTTGAAAATCTTCTTTTGGCCCGATAAGATCAACCTTCTCGGTGTCGTTATACGTCGAAAAATCCAAGCCGAAGTAGTTGTAAGTATGCTGGATATATCTGGTGTCTTTCCAGTTTTGATGAGTGTTGAAAATCAAATCAAAGCGGTTCTCTTTCATGATTGCTTAACTTTTTTTCGTCGAATTATTTCGTAAAAAATTAGCGCAATCCTTTCCCAAACAGCTTTCATGAACATGAGAAGCGACAGAGATTGACGAGTTTATCAACGGAATATCGAATATTTCTGATGGAGGTAAACGAAATTCGCCCTTTGAAGAAAAGTGCCGGAAAAACGGTGGGACCCCGATCTTAATAAAATTATAAAACTTGTGCTTTTTCGAGTTTTCGTTCACCTTTCGATCAAGAATCTTTGCAATGATGAGACTTTCCCTAAAGCCTTGGTACTGATTGTTTGGCCCGTAAATCAAAACAGGAATAAGGATTTTCGTATTTTTCATTTCTCTCGCAAATAATCCGCTCTCTTCATGCTCCAGCAAAAATTTAATGTGTGGTTGGACAATGTCAGCCTCTTTCCTCTGATTTAAATCGTCTCCAAGGAAGTAGAAAAAGGACCAAGTAATGAATAAAACGAAAAAAAGTTGGTAAAATATATGAATTTCCATTTTTACGGCGATCTTTTCTGAAAAGCACGGTTTAGTTACTGGTCAAGAGGTAAATTATTTTTGGATGTGCAATTAATAATTATCTTTAAAAATCGTTAAACTTCGCAGTTTATAATGTCAGGAATAATTCAAATGTACCGATTCCGGCTTGCTGTAAAATTGATGACTTGTTACGATGACTTATTTATAATGATAAATTGTTATTTAATACACGAATCAAATGGAATCTGTTGAAAAATGTCAATTTTCAAAAAGCAAAAGTTCTCTTCTCTTTCGATTTATATATTTCGTAAAAATCCAGGCCCTCGACTCGATCTCAAGTGTAACATTTGCTCATGAAATGGAAGAAAAGGTATAAAAAAGTCATCATGGGTAATTTCCTTGATCAACGGGTTTTTTAAGAGCTTTCATCTATTTTTGTAATCTCTAATGAAGATTGACTGCAAAGCGAGCAGGAAAAGTACGAAGGGACTTAGATGGATTCCGCCACATGATTTATGTGGACCAGTACGGAACACATCATAATTATTCTATCAATTATTATTCAAAAAATTCGAATCAAATTAAGTCAATCATAAAATGAATACCTTATTTTTGTTTGATAGAAATTTCAATACACCGACTCTCTAGTTTGATATTCAGAATATCAAATTCTCAAGCTGATATTTTATTTCGAATCTGAACGTTGCTGAAGCAAAAAAGTTATAAACAAGATGAAGGGCGCCATTTGAAAGTTCTTTACGATTTAACTAAAAACCGGAGCTGGTCACGCGATTCTTATCGCACTGAAAACGAGCGAAGTTTGAAATTTGAAAAGAGCTTTTCTGTGAGAAGGATTTTTGATACCAGAGGAGTACCAAAAAAGGGCTAGCTTGTCAAAACAAGTCAGCTCGTTGCATTTTGCTAAATTTCCGAAGTGACACTCACGTGACATCGCGCCAACTAGGGTTCCAATCGTGATTGACCGCGGTTAATCGAAAGAAATCAATTTCTTTTACGATTTTTCAATAATAATTTATGAAAATTTCCTAGCTTTTAGGTATTATAATAATTTTTTGTTTGAAAATTAAGACTCTCGGTTGCATGCTGCCGAGAAAACTGTTGTTTAAACTATCATCCTATCAACCTCAATTCGAGTCTGAGCCACTTGAAAACACAGCAGCATAAAAGGCATGGAATCTGATTTCTACAAAGATCAAGGTACGAGAGTAAGGTCAAGGAAAACAGCTTGCAAGAATCTTTATTCAAGCGATCCTACAGCTCTGAGCCTCAAGGAGTCATTGTTCAACCACAAGTAGCAGCTTCAGGAATAGTTTTAAATCAAGAAAAAATCTTTTGATTATCCAATCAGGAGCTTGATTGACAAGTCGTTATTCTGACCATAACTTGTAGACCTCTTAAAAAGGATTCCAGATGCCGATCACGCAACTCTTAGCGCACTGAAAACGAGCGAACAAATAGTTATTCTACAAAAAAAAATCACTTGGAATGATTTTTCTAGAGACGACGATTTATTCTCAATAACTTTATTCAAAGATGATGTTTATTTGTGGCCTTGTAAGACAAAAAATCCATAGCTATGAGGCGGCATATCGATCTCTTCTTGATTTTTTTCGTAAGCAAAATATTCTTCAAGCGTTGAAATCTGGTCATAATCTGAAAATTTATTTTGAAGAATGAATTTTATCAAAATATTAACCTTCTGGTAAGCGAGCCAATTTTCCGTTTATATAAACATCTTTTGAATCAAGAGCTGAGGATGAAACTATCAAGCTTTTTCGACTACAGAAGTGACTATAAATTTCGTCGGATAAAAACTCCTTCTGTTCTTGGTCAGAGAAGTTGATAAGGAGAATCGTGAGAGAATGTCGCTGCTGCGTTGCGAAACATTTGAAGAATTCATTGGCGCAGGAGATTTCCAGGACTTTTTCTTTCATCAACGATGCGAAAAGAAAACCAGCCCAGAAATCCGGATTGACTTTGACTTTCTCCTTTTTATCTGTAATTGGACGACGAACTATTGGTGAAGAGGTTCGGATCGAGATTCTTAGTTAATTAATACTTATCTTTATCGATCATATTTTTAAAATTAATTCTCCGTTTCAGCCCATTTTCAGGCAACAAAACACAAAAATAAATTTGTATTATTGTCTTTTTGTCCTTTTCCTGGAAGCATCTGCAACAGGCCATAATTTCCTCCAATCAGTGTTTGCCTACAAAAAGCCTTGTGCTTTTTCTCCGCAAAAAGCCCGAGCAAGTCGAGATACCAAAAAGAAGAAATGAATCTGTTTGTCACTTCGTTTCTCCCGCTATTATACGCTCCTCCAGTTTCGCCCATCCACAGTGGAACATTCTGGTGATTCTTCCAAAGAGATCGTTGTTGTTTTAGCTTGTCAAGTCGCGAGGAAAACTTGCCAAAAAACTTCGGGTCCATGATCTTCTCTGCCAGGTTCGGATCTGCCCCGGGACCAAGGGGATATTGATGCCAGGTGAAAGCGTCTAATTCAGTCGACAAACTCGTCAGATTTGAGAAAAACTCCACGAGCCATTTGAAATCGAGGGCCGTGTCGTACCCAAGGAGCTTAACTTCCTTCTTTTTGAGAGTCTCATCCATGATTTCACGCAATTTCGTAAAATCTTTTGCGGCCGATTTTGCAGAAATATTGACATTGTGACTGTACCGCCCATATATTTCATTTCCCAGTTCAAGGCCAAAAAGTCTTTCGGCCATTTTCGTCTCTTCAAATTCTTCAAGCAAGAGTTTTGCCTTTTTCGAGTCCCAAGGCTTTGAGAAATCGTCGTATCTTCCCTCAAGCGCGTTAAGGCCAAAAATTAGCTTGAGATTCGCCTTATCTAGAAATTCTCCAAGCTCTCTTCTTCGGAGTGGTGAGAAGCATTCTTGAGTAAAGCCAGTTCTAGAGCTCGCTTCAGGCTGAAAGGGATAGGGGTCGCAATGGCGGTTTGAAGAGTTGAAGTCGTAAATAATTGAATCCTGCAATGTTCCTCCTATTCTGAGCAGTCCATAATCGCTTGAAAAGGGTTAAAAATTTTAGAGAATGAGGGTTTCTTACTGGGTTGAAGCAAGGGTTCTCGCAGCTTGAATCAATCTCGGCTGCTGAAAGTCGAGCTGATTGAGCCCTGTTCCGATCCAGGATGCATTCCCGAAAGAAACCTTTGTATCTGGCCACCAGTCAAGAGTAAAACAAACAAATGGATGATCGACTCCAATAGTGTTCACTACATTCTCATTGTTGATCTCAATAACTGCGTTTACCGAGAAAAAAATAAAAAGTAAGACAGAAATCATCGCTTTTGAACTTGATTCATCGGCGTTCTAGCGCTTTGTTTTTTATTGCTGTTGTTGTCTCAAGGGCAAGTTGATTGTCTCTTTTGTTTTTAAAAAAATGTCTTGGATATAAAGTTAAGAAGCCGGGTTTAATCAGACTCTACGTTCATTTGCGTGGGAGATGTGACGGATTGATAATTGCATCAATTAATATTTTGAGAGTTTGAGATCTTTATTCGCCGCTTTTTAAATTAATTTATTAATTATTGATTATTGTTATAAATAAATTAACAAAATAAATTAATTAATAATTAAATGATAATCAATGAATAAATAATTAATAAATTAATTTATTAATAAATAAATAAATTAATTTAATCAATAAAAAAGTAATTAAATAGTAATTATTAAGTATTATGTTCATAGAATCTCTTGAATCTACTAAAGATGATGATCCTTAAATCGATTGTTGGTTTGATTGTGCCGGGCGGCTTGATAAATGCTAAACACGGGTCGAAGGGGAGAGAGAGAGGGTAATGTGTATTAATGGTTTTCTTAAGAAAATGCATTTGTCGAACAACGAAAAGCGGCGCATAATATTGATCCACTCCCTCTTTGCTGCAACTCTTTGTCTCAGTCGCGTTTTTTTTTCTCCGGCTTTTATAAAAACATATTTCGCAGCTCTCGTCGCGCTTATCTTTCGAGAAACAAGAAGCAGGAAAGAAAACAAGGAGGAATTCAACAATTATTTTCCATATAAAAAGGTAGATTTTGGACTTCAAAAAATTCTGTTAAGAAAGCGATATTTTAAATAGGCTCGTTAAAATTGTTTAAAAAAATAATTTTGTGATAGACAAGGTTAAATAACATGACGACACCCTTAATTAAGAAAAAAATTTCGACAAATTTTGCGTCGAGATTTTCAACCAATGAGAAATCTGGGGTCGGAACACCAGCCAATAAGCAGCTGAGGAGCCGCCCACGCAAAATTTGTCGAAATTTTTGTCGGTTCCTGACGCCACCCTTATTGAAATTGGTGCTTTTTAATACAGTTCAATAATGTGAAAGGTACTCTGTTTTTCTCCGTTGCTTAAAAATGACATCAGCGAAGCAATTTTCGTCCGGTGGCATTTTCGGTCCAGCCAAGTCCTCGCGAGAATGGCGTCGACATGACAGGGTCAATTAAGAATTAATCATGATTATTGACTGTTTTCCGCTTGTTTAGTAGACGTTGCATCACATTCCCTTCCACTGGCCAGGCCAAAGCTGATTTATTTAAATTTTCAGAAAAGATCGAAAAAAGAGAGAAAAAAGAACATGAAAAATATAAATGAGAAAGTGATGTAAAAAGAAAGCAAATCAAAGCGGCAAATGGAGGAGCAAGATCTCCGCATGCGACCGCTGCTCAAGAACAGTTATCAGAAGAAGAAAAGGCCCAGGTAAAGGATTATTTAAACATCAAGAATCTTATCTATGTAAACAACAGATAAATTAAGCCAGGCTTAGCTGAGCTTAGCTAAAGACAATTTTTAAAGTCTATGCTACGCTTCGCTTAGCAAAATTTTTGCGAAACAAAACGAGCAGAAATAAAGCTGAGCTCAGAATTGCTTTGGCTAAGTTCTGCTGAGCTTATATATTTCCCTTTATGCAAAGCTTAGCTAAGCAATAATTGCTAAATAATCTTAGCTAAGCAAAAGCCGACTTTCATTTTGGGAAAAAATTTGAGCTTGGCTTAGCCTAGCTTAGTCCTTATGAAACTCGCTAAGCCGTAATAAGTCATTCTTTTAGATTAAAAAGTCTAAGTCTTGATGAGGTTCAAAGTCAAGTTCTGCTTCTCAATTAACTTAATAGCCAATTAAATACAGAATATTTAGGAGTGTACCTTCTCGATTGAGGCAAAACGTAGCAGTCAATTACTGCGAAGAAAATGACCACAAATTTAAAGAAAGTAGTTCAAGGCGCGGGATGAATAATTTATAAAGTCAAAATTGAAGACTCAATCTGTTTTGTTTATTCCGTCTAAAGTCATACTGAAATCAAAACGGACCAATCCGACTTTATATCGAAGAAACCGCCAGATTTGTCGAAGTTGGAAATAACGTCGTTTATCGAAAGCGCAAATGGGAAACAACAACGACTTGACCCGAGCGATCAAAATTGTATTTATAAGAAATTAACAAGAAACGGTGTTATTTACTTAATTATCAATAAGACACTCTTATTATCTTTTGTATATTGAATAATAAGGGTGTCAAAATGTTGAATTCAAAAATCAAAAAGACATTGCATCTTTGATAACACAGAAAAAGATCTCTCGACCTAAGCCAAGTCCGGAATAGTGCCAATAGCAGTTGTAACTCCGGAAAACCGCCTCGACCGACGATGCTTTCCGGCTCATCTAGCAATTTTAAACTTGAGCACAACGAGGACTCTTTTTCACGCGAACTCTTCGAAATGATGCGTCAGTCCCTAAGGGTATTCTCCCGTTTTTAGCGAAGTATTCACTTTTTAGATGAGTGAATCCGTGCACCGAGAAGTTGTGAAGCTACGCCAAGAATTAAACACATTAGGATTTGGTCTATCAGAAGCTTTTTCGTTCTACTACCTTAAAGAGTTTAATAAGATCCGAGAAGATGATAGATAGAAAAAATCGCCACATTCGTTTTCGCGTTGGCAGCTGCGTCAACACATTAATCCCTTGGGAGATTCATGGCGAAACAGAATAATTAAGATTATCTCTCAATCACTCTTAAAGAGGCCTTTATCTACAACTGTTAAAGTAAAGTTTTTCGACCAAATAAACAGACACTGCCTTCAATGAATTCAAAACGATGACGAACAACCGCGTGGAGCAAATCTCCACCTCGCTCAAGGAAATCGCACGGACGAAAGTGGGGACGATGATTTGCTTCCGATGCCATGGCTATGTACTCGAGCACATTCAACTTCAATGTGGTCATATCTATTGCCTTCACTGATTTGGGATTCACAATCTTTTTTGTATTTTTTGAAAGTGCCCCTCCAAGACCGCGGCTTGTAAATCCCTCTGCTCAGTATCAATATCTCTTTCATTCCGGACGTGAAAATTCAAGAACGAACTGCCGAGGCGCTACGCGAAGTGGCAACAAAACGCAAGTGCCCAAATTGCGGCGACCGAAAAGTCGACGTCTCCATCATCAAAAAGAAATATAGAGTTTAACAATTTTGTGCAGAAACCTCCTATTCTTCCTCTCAGCTATTCTTCCGAAAATATTGACAATTGTCATTGCTCGAGTTGACGATTATCGAGACTTTAGCTTTTGAACTTTTTTGTATAGATTTGTATTTGATGAAATACAAAAGAACGACCATTCTATAGTGGATCTCAATGTGCAATACGCGCTGCGCACGGAGTTCATAGTAACTCCTGCGCAAACAAACTCCTCCGCCCGGACAGACTTCCCTGCGCACGGACAGACTTCTCTGCGCGCGGACGAAACTATCTACGCCCGTAACAAAGAACGCTTGCTCCCTACGTAAAGCCCTTTCTCCCTGTGCACAAACTTCTTTACGCACGTAAATATGCATTCTGCCTACGGAACTCTCTTTCTTCTCACGCAACTGTCATACTTCCGTACGGACAAAGCTCTGTCCGTACGCACAGAAATAGTATATAAGTCGCTCTGCTTCGCAACTCGATACTCACTTGAAAATCAGCTCACAATGTAAAATTGCTCACTTTTTACAAAACAACGCTCACTATTTTTATCCTGCTCGCGATATCAATAAACTACATTTTCATACTCAACTTATGTACATTGAGAAACACGTACATATTTTGGTGACTGAATAAAACGGAACGCCTCCCAACAGATACAGTCAGAGAAAGAGATCAGAGATGGAACAAACCAATGAACGTTCAAAATCCATTGGACAGGTGAAGATGAAAACCCCGAAATTTGATGCTCGACTTCCAATTGAAAACTTTGTTTCCAATTTGGAATTGTTTGGTGAATGCTCAAAGATTTGTGATGAAGACCTGATCAGTGTTGCTCTATCCCAATTCCTGATTGAAGAAAATGGACTGGCTATCCTTGAAGCCATTTCTGAGGAAGAAAAACGAGACTGGAATAGATTCAAGACTAAGCTCTCTCAGGTTCTTGGTAAGGACAATGAGTACTACAAATACCTGTATACGTCCTTTTCGCGAGGTCAAGAGACACAGCAAATGGCAGTTACAAAACTTCAAGCCTATTTCAAAAAAGGATACGGAAAATTGAGACTTGATGCTGGAGATGAGTCAATTATCTGTGATCGATTCATTGAATGCCAAGAACCAAGACTCTCTGAACTGCTCCGACGAGAGAAGTCCCTGCTCAACCTTCGAAATATTGCTCAACGTGCTACGGAACTAGAGAGAAGTTTCAACAAGAGAGAAAATATTTTCACCGCTCAATCCTCTGAAAGCGCTCAACAATCTGAAATGGCACGAATCTGCTCCGAACTTAAAGAAATGATCAATTTCTTTAATGAAGAAGACGAATGACCACCAAAATTCATCTTCGCGTGCGAATCGACTTATTTCGGACCGGCCTGGACAAACTGTGTTAAGATTATGCTCAACGGACAAATTTTTCCGCCTCCTCAAAAGTGACGAGAAAGAACATTTCGCTCAGATGTTTAAGATCTTCGTCAACTATCGATGATTTGACTCGCTCAAAGGTCATTTGGAATTATCTTCTTAATGATTGAAGTCAATATTAAGTATCACGGCGTCATATCAGTAAGATCCGCCCGCTCAAAAAAAAACTGATAAGAAAAATGAGAACTTCCGCAGCAACTATGCTCTAACCTGCTGCATCTTGAAAATGAAGAAGCTCAAAAGCATTGATCTGTTCCGACCGATGAAATATTCAGCTGATGCTCACAATCCCTGCTCTGAGGATTAACTTCCTATTGTCAGTTAAGCCAATTGATCGATGAAAGAGGAAGAACTTAAACTTGAAGAAGCCGTCTTCGCTGTAGACGACTTTGGTAACATGAGATGCTCTACTCATAAAATGCTCAAGAGTCGAATATTATGACGTATAAAAGCCCTGCTCAAAGGATTAATCCGTGCTCAAACAAATGCTCACAACTTTAGCGATATGATGCACACTTGAAGAAGAGTCAAGCTCCGTTCCATCGCCATGAAAGTTCAATGCAGGCCGCTGTGGATTTTCGCTCGCATAACATTGATAATGTTCAAGTTAATGGCGCCCTCGACTTGGACCTCTTGTCTTAACCTTGCGCCGGACTTCCCCAGATGTTGGCAATGTGTGCAGTTGCCAAATCACACAATATTCGAAATGGATCTACAATAGCATCATCCCAGCTCAATGGCACGATGCAAAACCTTTTTAAAAAAGGGGGAAGAGAAGAGTGAAACTGCTCGATCACTCAGGAATTTCAATTTTTATGCTCACGAAATTGAACAACTACGGAAAAAGTGAAACTGCTCGACCACTAGAGATTTTCAAATTTTCGCTCACAAAATTCAAAAATGATGGACAAAAAATGAAGTGAAACTGCTCGGTCACTATAAATTTGCGATTTCCATGCTCATGAAATGGAATAATTATGAAGATACCACGTGATAACTGCTCGCTCACAATGGAGAATACGGTATCTCAACACAGGAAAAATGAAAATAGAAGTGATAACTGCTCGCTCACTTGGAAGTTGTTTGTGGCACTGCTCACGAGATGATTGAAGAAGCAAAAGTGCAAGAGATACAGGAACCAAATACTAGAAGTAAGAAGATGACAAGCAGCAACGATCACACAAATGAGAAATCGTTTTACTTTGGAAGAAACCTGGATAAACAAGGCTCTTTTTTTAAAAAGGGGGAAGAATATATAGTGGATCTCAATGTGCAATACGCGCTGCGCACGGAGTTCATAGTAACTCCTGCGCAAACAAACTCCTCCGCCCGGACAGACTTCCCTGCGCACGGACAGACTTCTCTGCGCGCGGACGAAACTATCTACGCCCGTAACAAAGAACGCTTGCTCCCTACGTAAAGCCCTTTCTCCCTGTGCACAAACTTCTTTACGCACGTAAATATGCATTCTGCCTACGGAACTCTCTTTCTTCTCACGCAACTGTCATACTTCCGTACGGACAAAGCTCTGTCCGTACGCACAGAAATAGTATATAAGTCGCTCTGCTTCGCAACTCGATACTCACTTGAAAATCAGCTCACAATGTAAAATTGCTCACTTTTTACAAAACAACGCTCACTATTTTTATCCTGCTCGCGATATCAATAAACTACATTTTCATACTCAACTTATGTACATTGAGAAACACGTACAATTCAATAAATTACATTTGAATTAAGTTGACACATTTAAATGCATTAGAATTTATTTGACACAGATATAGTTTCTTGTTCAAAACTCATACTTTATTCAAGAAAAAGGAATTTAAATCATGTATTGCTCGAACCAGCTTTCGGGAAGAAAATTTCCAGCGTATCCAAGAACGCCCTGCCCGTAATCGACCCCTTCAACTCGATGCACTTGAAAAGTCGGCTCATTCAAGCTTTGCTTCCAGAGAAAATGCATTCGCTTTTCTCCTGTATGCCCGTGATCTTTCAGCGATTTTCCGGCGCCAGTTGTCCAGAGATACTAAAGAGTAGTATTTTCCAAACAAAAAGGGCTTACCTCGAGCTTATCATTGATTGAATCCTTTTCCGTAGCGTTTACTACTCGCAGAAAACTCATCATGATATGTGGACCATATGTTCGATGGGGATTATTTTTCATCGAAGTAGCTTCGTATCCGCCCGCAGATGAGCCTGCTCCGCAGCCGAAGACCTTTCCGTGCACATTCACTGGATCAGCCTTTTCCTCAATTAAATCATTTGACCTCCTTTGACTCTACCTGTTGGAACCCGTTTTCGACAAGTGACCACATTTTCTGATCCGGATCAGTATCAATCGACTTCCAGTATGCCAGTTCAGCCAAATACCATTGATTCAACTCATGTTGCCAGAAAGCCTTATTTGCCGCGGTATTTCGAAATCCCTTATTTGCGAGCCAGGCGAAAAGCGGAGTGAATGTACTGTAAGGACCCCACGGACCGGAAATGATATTAACGCCGTTTTGGGTGTATCGCTGGGGTCGCTTGTGAATAGCGATTCCAGCCGGATCAGAGGTTCCATCAACTGAGCTGTGGAACATCTCGTGGACAGCTGTGGCTGTATTGGAGACTTCAAGGTCTTCATCAAACATTGCGGAGTAGCCAAGAAGAGCGTATTCGCTGAAATAGACGTTCTTTTTGAACAAATATTAATGTTAACCTTAAAGGAGCGTTTCCAGCGCTCAGAGTATCGTCCCCATCTGCGATCATTGAGAGCCACCCGTTAATGTCAACTGTCTTTGTAAACGCAGGAACTTCCCAAATCTTCTGCGCCTCGGTTTTCACCTCTCCACCAAAGTAATTTCCTGCGAACATTATTCCATTGAGTCCGAGAGCCGTGTCAATGGTGGACCACTCGCCGGACTTTCCGAAATCCCTAGCAGTCCAGTGAGAGAAGAAGCCAGTGCAGGGATCGCGTGGCCACTTTTTGTAAGATTTGATGGTTTGGAGGGAGCGCTTGAAGCCTTCTTCGAAGGTTCGGAGACCGAGTTCGACTTCGATGGCGTTGATTTGCAAACCCCAGCCTAATTGGTCAATATAACACCATAAATTGCAGAACTAACCGGTTGAAGCTGAAGAGTACCAATTCGCGTACCAGGGAGCATTTGCATAATTTCCGCATCTATGTCCACTATCAGACCAGACATTATCGCAATAAAGCCCGGTCGCTGGATCCCTAAATGCATCCCACATTTTCACATGATTCTCGAAGATCTCTCTTTTTAACCCTTCAAAGGGGTACAAATGTCCATTGGACACAGCCACAAGAGCAGACAATGCTTTCATTTTTACAATTTTCTTTTGAAAATAATTCACAGGATGATAAATTTTCGAAATGATTAAAATCACCGGTCATGTTTTCAACTCAAATCCCTTCGTTCAACTCAAAAATATCACCATCAACATCAATTTTTCGCCAATAAAAATTTCTGCTCATGCAATAAAAATGTCGATAAAAATGCTTTCAAACCAATTTTTTATTGACCAAATTAATTTTTTATTCTCGACCGTGAGAACAATTGTCGATTGTTGATTGAAATAATCATTTCTCCTTTCACAGAAAACAAAAAAAAAGCTGTCTGTTTGTCTCAGCAGGAAGCCTTTCTTTCAAAACATCCTCGAATATAAGAAAAAAACGGAGAGAAAAAGTTGGTAAAGGAATAAGTTTCACCAGAATTTAATCGGAAAATGAAGGTTCAACTCAGTTTTGGAATCCCCAATCTACATCTGTTCATGTTAAATACAGATCTGTGTCAGTAAGAGTGTCTAAACGGATCACTTTGGCGAGCAGTAGCCTTTGTAAATAATCGATCAGTGGAAAAGGGTCTCTACTCTTGCGCGTTGAACCTTCAGATTCTAATTTATTCACATATTCCAATTTTAATGCTAATTTAAGCAGATAGTCTCTGTTAAGAAGGCCGCTAAACGAGTAGAAGAAAAAGAAGACATAGAAGTTTATTGATCCTGGAAGAGACGAATTTATATGAATGCGACGGAGAGCTTCAGAAACCGGGTTCAAAATATATAAACCAGAATTTCAAAAAAGAAAATTTTTTAAAAACTCGAGCAAAGACTTCTGTCAGTGGAGCTGGAAAGAGACTGGAGAAAGTTTGTCGAAGTTACATTTGTCTTTGGAGGTATTTATTACGGGCCATTTATTGGGTTAGCACTAGAACTTTTCAATATTCGATTTTCGAGACACCATAAAATTCCACTTTTTTATAAGAATTTGTAAATTAAAGCTCGAAATCCGACGAGCTTAAATCAGATAAATTGCAACTAAATTTTTTAGTCGCCCACGTTTTTTTTGGGGATATTTTACTTTAATAACTTTACTTTCTATTCAAATAATGTAGCCCTTTTATTCCTGATTCTGCGCTCATTCTACACAGGTTGCAATCAACACGATGTCAGAAGGTTCAGAAAAAAGTCGCAGATGATTACGCGCCCCTTCAAAGTCAGTTTGGTAAAGAGAAAAGCATCATTATAATTTATCAAATAATATAATGACGTTATTCTCACTTATCTATTGTCAATAAAAGATAATAAGTCGGGCTTCTATTAAGCGGTCGAGGGGAGGATCACGTCGAGTGAAAGGAGCCAACGATTCTCAAAGCCAAATTCTTCAACCAATTGAGTGTATTTGATTAATTGCCATCTTTTTCTGAATTCTGTATTTGTAGCTTTGAATAAATTTTGCTATCTTTAGCTTTCATTTCTTCATTTCTTGATTTTGCTGAAAATGATAATTTTCAGCTCAAGTCAGTCATATTCTCGTAACTGACGACTTGACCTAGTCTCGGAGCAAATTGGATTTCTCGCGAAACAAACACCGGTTTCCGCGGACAGGCAGCTTGCTCAAGCCCTTATAAGCTCGCGCAACTTGGGATTCCTCAACAATTCTTTTTGGATACACAAAAAGAAAAAAAACAAAAAAATAAAAAAATGAAACTTGCCTATTTTTTCAGCGCTCTTACCTTTGCCCAGGAAGTTTTCGAAGAAACAACCACCTCTGTTGAAGGTAAAAAATATCTCAAATATTTAGTTCCCAAATTTTAAAAACCCAAATTAAGGAATTGATGAGCGAGGACGAAAGAAAAACAACAAGAACAATAAAAACAACTATCCTTCCTACACTACCACCGCTGCTCCCTACGTGGACCCCTACGCCAACCAAGACCCTAACTACGCTGGAGACAACTATCAAGCGCCAGCAAACAACGACAACGCCGGCGGAAACTACGACAACTCCTACCAGGATCCAGTCACTCAAGTTCCAACATGGGTCAATCCAAACGAGCAGCCTCAAGTTGCTCCCTGGGTCAACCCCAACGAAGCTCCCCAGGTCGCCCCTTGGGTCAACTCTAACGAAGCTCCTCAAGTTCCACCATACGTTAACCAGAACGACTACCAAGTGCCATCTTGGGTTAATCCCAACGAAGCTGCCCAAGTCGCTCCTTGGGTCAACCCAAATGAAGCACCACAGGTTCCTCCCTACGTTAACCAGAACGACTACCAGGTTCCCTCCTGGGTAAACCCCAACGAAGCCCCACAAGTCGCTCCATGGGTCAACCCGAACGAGGCTCCTCAAGTTGCTCCTTGGGTCAACCCGAATGAGCAGCCACAAGTTCCACCATACGTCGCGCCCAACAACAACTACAACAGCAATTACAATAACAACAATAGCAACAACTATGGAAACAACTACAGAAGACGAAGATAAATACAGTACATTCTCTATCAATACAGTTGATCTGGGGTCGGCAACCGGACAGGACAACAGGACATCTGTGTCCTGTCATGTCCGGTTTTATGTCCTGTTACCGGACAGGACAGGACAGGACACCGGTTTTTGGTGTCCTGTTCCGTGTCCGGTCCACAATTCAGCCTCTAAATAACCTATTTTTTCCACTACAATGTGTATCGAAACAAAATTTGTTCTTCGTAACTTCACGAAAAATATATTATATTCGAATTTGTCAGTTTTCTGTACTTATTGATCTCTATCAATTTACTTTTAATACATATATCTAGTATTCTTCTTAAAAACCACGTATTTTGATTAAATTTTTTGTAAAAAAGAGTCACCGGACGCGACCGGACATAACCGGACAGGACAGGACATCGCCCTGTCAAATGTCCTGCCGGACAGGACAGGACAGGACACGGCTATTTGGTGTCCGGTTGCCGACCCCAGCAGTTGATTCATCAAATTTTTAGTGTATCTTCCTATTGTCTATTATTTACAGTCAGAGCTCTGTAGTACAGTTGGCGCAAAAGCAGTTTAAATTCTTGAGGTCGAACGGATAAATAGCTATTTACAGTAGTTGCTTCTTTTTCTTCTTACTGGCAGGTGAACTTCTTTCCATTCTTGAGACAGGCTAACCCGTCGGCACATGGAGGTCTTCTGTATTTCGCTCGTTCTGGTTTCGGACTGCATGGCTAAAAGAAAAAAGTGTGATTTCAGGCGGCCAGGCTTAGCGGAATCAACAAGGAGTATCAAAGAGGAGCTGGAAAAACTTTCGCGCAGATTCTTGTCTTTGATCTTTTCAATTTTGGTTTTCAAAGAGAAAAACCATAAATTTTCTTTTCTAGCGACAAATATAAAATTAAGAAAAAAATATTAATTGGAAAATAAAATAAAATGCAGAAAAAATACTCGATTTTAGAATTAATATCAAAAATTCTTAAGCAATTAATCAGTCTTTCTCTATTTTAGGTCGCTGAGGTGACGAAAGGAAAAAATGTTATAATGAAATAATTATTTATTTGAGCAACGGTGCTTAGCCCTTTGAAGATCAAAGGCGGCCGCGAGCGATTTTCCCCTTTGATCTGCGCGGCCCTTGAAGCGAAAAGCGCTATCGACTCAAAACCAACGAGCGTTCAAGTCTTATCTCGCTTTTTTATTCTAACGCAGCTTACAGTACACTGGCGGACGATCTGACTTATCGCTGTCTTCAAGACATTTTCAGCTCTTTTGAACAACTTTCAATCAAAAAACTCGTTTAAAAATATTCCCGAGATCTCAAGTTTTCCAGAAAATTTCCTCTTGAATCTTTTGATCATAGTCAGCAGTGAAACAAGTTCATACCTTATCTTTTGCCAGAGGCGTGTGGCAGAAACCATGGCTGTGTTTTGAGTGGCGCGCGCAGATTTCGCGATGCTTACAGCTTTTCTGGGTTAGACATCGGAGCCTCCGACGTCTTGACCGCGTTCGTCTTGATTTCGGCGAACTCTAGAATTTTTTCTTATGAAAATTTGATTGAAATAAAAGAGGATGAAACATTACCCTAACCTAGGCACTTTGACTTGGGGTGCCTTGAGAGGTCCTTTCAGCCACCCTGGTTTTTAACCCTAACCCTAGCTCTTACCTTTTTTCTTCGTTTGGAGCAAACGCCATTTCTACACTCATTCTTCGCATTGCCCCCCTCTCCTTGACAGCATTCAATATCTTCAGTACACTTTTGTTTCTTCTTCAAGCATTTGTGGCACTTTCCAAAGGGATGACCGTTCTCCAGTCTGAAACAGAATCGCCGACTCGGGCAATCATCGTGTATCGTACACTAAAAACCAAACATGAAGGACAAGAAATCATGAAAGAAAAGCGATAGACGATCAGAGATCAAAAAAGGTCCTTTGCTGCAAATTTACGAACTTATGGGAAGCATGAGTCGAGTGAACAAGGTCGATTCAAGCCGTTTGATCTGCCCCGCGGCGACGATTTTAGGGAAGAGCCGCCTTCCGACCGGAGGCCAAATAAAATTAGAATCCGCGAGAAAGAATAAACACTACTGTACTTAAATGGCAGTCATGAACCAATTTCTCCTTTTTCTGTTAAAGAAGATGACATCATGTGTCAATTTTAAGGTGTTCAAGAATGGGGTTTGATTTAGGAAATTAACGCCGCTTAGATCTTTAGCGCTGCTAAGACTAAACACTTCGCAAGACCCCTTTGATCTTTCCAGATCATTCCTTTCGACGCTTTTTTGTCTTTTTCTTACTGTAAAGACAACTGAAAACATACAGTGTTGTCTGTTTTATCTCAGCTTGACCGCCCAGATCTCTGTTGGCGGTTTTGCGGTGGCGGCGTGACAATATAAAAAGTAAAAGATCGAGCTGTTAATTTATCACTGGTGCTTTGATTTTCGAAAATGTTTTCCGATTCGTGTTTTAATTTGATAAGTCAGTTCCGGGAGAAAAGCAGTTAAATTCTTCAACGGAGAAAAAAATGTGACACCAATTTATGGCCCCTAGCCCTACGTCACTACACACGAAAATGGATTATCAAGGGTTAAGGGGGTCAATCCAATTTTGAGAGAAAAAAACCAAAGATACAGTTATTCTTGTGAGAAGCGAAAACAACGAAGACGCGAAAATTTACGGTCGCCTGTGGGTTGGCATGTTGATCAATGTGTCACGTGATCAAAGAAGCGATCAAATGCGAAGCGAAAGCCAACTGGCAGCTTTATCTTCCCCCCATGTTTGTTTTCATTTCTTCACAACTTTCATCAGAAGAATACATTTTTTCTACCCCCTACCTCTTGATTCTGATGGAGTCCCAGGGAGTCGAGCTTTTTGAGAATTTTTCGTCGGTGTTTCTTTCTGCTTTCTTTTTCTAGAGCGCGAGGAGTGACTGTAGCTTCAGGAATTCGCTCGATTAAGGATTGAGCGGACACTTCTGTGCCTAAATTTTCAATTTTTTTTTAGATTTATTTTTCTTAAAAGAATTTTACCTGCGATAGTAAAAAGAAAAAGAATAATCCACTTCATTCGATCTTCATAAAATTCTTTCTTCTTCGTCGCTTTTTGATTTTTTTTTCTCTTATTAGTTGAATAATTTCTTGATTTAAATTTTGATAGTAATAAGTAGGCTCAGGTAGATTTTTGCAAGCCGTGAGAATAGCGCGTAGCGTCTCTCCAGAGCGCCCTCGGGCGCGTTTTTTTCTAGCGCGGTCATGAAAGAAGATCAAAACTTTTGTCAGGAAAGTTCTTTTTTTTCCCGGATTTTAAATTGGGATAAAATTTGGTTCAGCATGCTCTTTTTTTTTTCTTCTTGAAAATCTTCTTGAAAATTTCAAAAAAAAAAATGATTTGGAAAATTTTCAAAAAAAAAATATCTGAAAAAGTTTAAAATAAACGTCAACTCGTTCCAGACCAGGGCTGGTAAATTCGCGTCCTAAAATCTGTCGAAAATTTTTAGTGCACTAAAATTAGTGCGCGAATTTATTTTGCCGAGACTTTAGTGACTTTCGCGTCACTTTCGCGTGTGTCTCGAAAAGTGTCGAAAATAAGGGCTGCTGATTGGCGCGCCAATGAGCGCGGGCTCTTTAATTCTGAAGAATACGTAAGTTTAAGAATTTCAAAGTTTGAAATTCAAACTTCGTTAATATTTGAATTTCAAAGAGTTTCAATAAAGTGGATTGGGTAATCGAGGGCGTGAATTTTAATATAGTCAAAAATGACTTTATCAATCCATTTGTTAATTTTCTTTATAAATATAAAGTAACAAATATAGCTTATATTATATAGGGAAAAATAGAATTCATTTTTTGTTTGCAACTCTTTCTGTGCTGGATTTGAATGATAAGCTTAGACTCTTAGCCTAAGATTAGCTTTCTAAGGGAGGTCTTCTCCCTAATTTTTTTATTGAAGCTTGTTCTTCCTGCATTTTCCCTTTCTTGTCAATCTTCTTCTTGTCGTCGTTCGACTAATCTTCGGTGTCCTCAAAAGCCATTTTGGTAATGCATTACCAAATTCGGCAAAAAAGTGTCGTTTTTTTCATTCAAAGAGCGAGTGTGCGCTCCGCGCCTGTAAAATAGAAAACTTGTGGGGTGTTTTATTCATTAACTTGGCGAAAAAATATATATAAATTGATAATCGACAACCGAAAATTGGTAATGGGTTACCAAAAATTTTGGTAATGAGTCCGACCGTTCCCCGAAAGTAGAACGTATCAGTCAAGGCTGCTCTAGCTTCAGAGTCTGTTGAGGACAGCGATGAGAAGTCGTCGGACGATGACAAGAAGAAGAAAGGCAAAAAATGAAGAAAAGCAGGAAGATCCAGCTGCGGATGGCCCTGCGATAAAAAATTAGGGAGAAGACCTCCCTAGCAAAGCTTATCTTAGCTCATCATTAAAATATTCGACAAAAAGAATTTTCAACAAAAGTTGACTTTTATTCCTTTCAACTTCTTTGTTACTAAATTAGGACACTGGAAATATATTTTTTTTTCGCAAAACTCAAAAGTACTTGTTTCAAAGAACTAATACGCTCAGGTGAAAGAGGATGATCGATAACCTTAGCTGACTTAATTTGGTGGGGGGCTGAAAACGATTTTTTAAAAATTAAATTGTGTCATATTTATGATGCATTGATTTTTAAATATCTAGCAGTTTCAGTTTGAAGAAATTCTTCCCTGGCAAAAATCGTCTTCCATGAAACATCCGGGAAGAGCCCATTGGATGATGAAAAAGAGCCTCTTTTTTCGCGTCTTTAGTGCTGATCAGCTCTCGAAAAGTCACTAATTTCCCCAAGAGGAAAAATTAGTGTCATTTTAGTGCACTAAAGGCGCGAAAGACGCGAAAATGTCTCTAAAAAAATTAGTGCACTAATTTTTTTTTTCTTCGAGAGAAAATAGTGCGCTCATTTACCAGCCCTGTTCCAGACTCCCATCGTCTTTTCTTTCAAGGATCAATTTCGCATGGATTTCCTTAATCTTTGCCGCGGCGGTTTTCACGTCATGAAAGTTTCAAATTCAACAATTACAGTGTTTCCGATAAGAAAAGACATCATTCTGACGACAAAAATTTTACGTGGATGAACCTGTCAGTCGGCTGTAATTAAATTTTTAGTCAGGAGTCTACTACGAGTGTCCTAAAGCATGTGACTTTGATAAGAAAACATCATGTGAGGCAAAAGTTTAAGCCAATTTAGCCAGACGGAGATCCTTATTTTTAAGGCCGTAGATTACATCTCCGCTTTTAGATTTTCACTTATCCAGACTTTCATCCGTATAGATTTTCAGTATAAGAATTTCGTTCGTATGAGAAAAAAAGTAAACTTAGAGGCACGCACGAATGCTGCTGAAAGAAACTGAGAACTTTGATTTTTGCCGCCTTCCTCTTTCGCACTTCCTTGATTTCAGCTCTCATCTCCCACACAGAAGAAAGACGGTTTATTTCTTCAATAACTAAATTTCATTAATCAGGTCTATCTTGAAAATGATACTTAAGGTAGCCTAAAGGTAGCTAAGGCTGCGTTTTTTTTTACTCAATCTGATCTTAGGATTTAAATTAATACAAATACCTCGATCACTGTCAGTAATGAAAATGTATATCTGAGCCCAAGACTGTCATAGTTATGGTGTTTTTACATAAAGTTCAGATAAATCTAGAGAATTATCAAAAAATATTGTCTGCAAATGATGGAGCTGACAATGCTCATTCAGTCATCCTTGACTTGGTGAATGTGTCGCCTTTTAATGTTCTTACTTAGTGGATTCAAATTAAAAAGATCGTTTTCCTTCATATGTTAAGCTTTCTGGCCCAAGAATGCACAAGGCAACAATTGCATCAAGTTAGACCCTTTTTCCCGCATTTCTCCCCCATTTAATAAGATACTTTTATCATCTAATGCGAGTTAGTCAATGTGCCAGTCATTTCATTTCTTGTGACGCAACGGTCGTCGGAACTCGCGCCCAGCAAATCTGATCTGAAATCATTGATAGCCCGCCTTCGGTTTCCATCACGCGACTTCATCCCCGAACTATAAAGTTCGCCCTTCTTCGCTGTTCCCACGCAAATTAAAAGTAAAAGCTTAAAGTAAAACAAAAAATATTTAAAAAATGAACTTTTCAATCATCCTTTTCGTTCTCCTTCAAATCGCCTCGGCAGCCCCTAGCGGCTCAAGAATCAGCTGGATGGAGCATCGAAATTCGCAAAGAGACATGGCTTTGGCCGAAAGAGTCTCGAGAAAATTCATGAGCAAGAGAAGAAATTCATTCAGAATGCGCGGAAATGCAATGAGAGGATTCTTCGTTGATTTCTAAAATAGCAAAATTGAAAAAGGATTTTTCGATGATTTGGTTTTCTGCAAAATCTTTGTAAACTCACTTCTCTGTAACTATTTAAATAAAAGTAAATATTTAAAAAATGGTTTTCTCTTCAATTTTGTCTTCGTTGATTTCAGTCTGCAGAAAGTTCATTTTTTCTAGAAGAAAAACAGCTTTAGGAAAAACATTGGCATTTGAAATCAGTTTAAAAGTGAGCGAACTAATAAAAATGTCGACAAATAACCAGAGGAAGGGATTTTATATGTCATTATTTTGTCGAAAATTGTTCATGAAAGAACTTTTTCGGCTTTTCGGCCCGAAAATTAAGTTGCGAAACCCGCAAAAAAAAAACAAAAATCGAAAGGATTTTTTTGAAAAATCCAATGAAGACGACATCGCACGATGAATATGACCATCACCGAGGATCTCTTGGACGATTACAAAGACACCATCCACCCTGCTCTTTTTACAGAAGAGGGGATGACCGTCGAGCTGAAGAAAGAAAAAGAACGAGAACTCAATAAGATTATCGAGTTTTGGTGGACTTTTGGAATCAATATTGCTGTACTTGTGTAAGTTTTATCGACGAAAAGAGGGAAATAATGCGTTTTCTTGAAGATTAATCGTCGTGATGATCGTTGTTTTCAACTATCGGGAATTCGAAGATGTTGGTGAGCAAATACCTTATGCTGAGCACGATACGATCTATCTCAAGGGATCGGTCATTTACCGTCATTTTGGCAAAAAAAACAAGTTTTAAAACACTTTTTGACCGAGAAAAAGTGCGAAATGGGCCTGAACAAAAGCTACATGACCGAGCTTATGAACAGCACCGCCGACATTCCAGCATCATCACAGGGCGAATACAGTCAGCACCTTCTCCTGGAAAGCTCGGTTATCGACCAACTCATCCGAAACTTGACCTGCGAGTATTTGCCTGATCACAAAGTCATGACTTGAAAAAATAAAGAGTCCTCTTCCTATTGCTAGGAAAGAGTTTTACTGAGAGCAATAAATTTATGATTGTTGCCATAGAAAAATGCACTGGAAAAATGATTGTAAATTTTAAAGTGAGCGTCAATATGAGTAAAGCAGATCGCAGTGAAACCAAAGCAAACATAAAAATACACGACAGGTTAGGAAAACGATGATAAGACGGATGTGATCTTTTGTTATATTGAATATTTTGCTACTGTTCCGAATATGGAAGGGAAAATTTTAAATTAAAGAAATGAAGGAATGTATAATATACGGTGAAAATAATCTGAAAGATGAAAATGGAGGGCTTCGACTGAATAGGTCAGAATTCGTATAAAAATGTCACGTGATCAAAATTAGGTAAAAATAAAACTTTATGCACTTTGACCCTTTCTTTCGGAAAATTTATTTTTTTCATTGTTTTATTAATTCTCCTCAAATTGACACAAGAAATCATGGATGAGAAATTCTCATCATACCCTTTTTACAGTCATCATTTCCTAATGATTTTATACGATTCTGACTCACGATCTTGACGTTCTTCAGGATTCATAATCTTCCTCACGGAAAATTGCAAGGGTAACATTCGCAAATGATGAGAACGCATGACGCAGTCATCAAAGCAGCCGCGTTTTTATTTAATTTCCACTCGGTCATATTGCCGTTGCCAGCAGTGAGGCATTTATATTCCTCAACAAATATCAATTTCGAATCAGCATTAAAAAGCTCGGCCCGGAAGGCAGCGCCATTCAAAAACATTTCGAATTTTTGAGAGCACGACGAGAAGCGCAAAAAGAAAGAATAAAAAATGAAGCTCGATCCTAATTCAATCATCAGCTGTAAGTAGAAAGGATTTTTAATGAATTAGCATTCACAACAAAAATTTGGGAATAAATAATGAATTTTTAGCAAACGACGTTGTCCCATCTAACAATGTCTTTCCCGAACATTGTGGCGACACAGTCGAAGTCAATCAAGCAACTGCATTGCATGGAATGCTGATTGCAGCGTACATCATGCTCATTGTTCCCGTAAGTACTAGAAATTGTGAAAAACTTCTGTTCTGACTCCAAGTTGTTGATTCGAGCTATCGACCACGGCTCTCAAAAATAACTAATTTCTTTTTAGTTCTTCCCTCTCGTCGGTGCATTTTTGCGAAGAAAAGAAAGCAACCACGTTTGGGGCTCAAACTTGCCTGGTATTTGCTCACTCGTTGCTGGTGCGCTCTACCTTGCCTGGTATTACACAGGTAAAGAAAGAAATAACCAACCAAAAATTTAACTTTAATTACTCAGAAATCAAACCGAACGAACTTGATGAGATTGAAAAATTCAACAAAATCTTCAAAGCTTTCAATGCTCTCTCGCTTACTGTCACCCTTTTCGGAGCCTTAGCACTGATTCATCTTTGCTTCGCTTTCCTTGGAAATATCCTCTGCTCGAAATTCGGCTCTGGTGACAGACTTGTCGGACTTTTCACCTTCATTTTCATGACAATTGGTGAGATGAAATTTTCAAATTTAATCTTATTATTTTTCTAAGTTTTGGCTGTTTTGATCGCCGCTCCCGCTGCTGCTACTGCTCTCGGCTGGAAGTATGCCTTTGGTGCTTGCGACCACTGGCTTACCGGACTCACCCTTCTTAACAAACCAGAAATCGACTGGTCGAATCTTGATTAAGACGCTCGACGAAAAGATACCAAAAGAATGACATGAGAAATCATCGACGAAATTATTCCCTTTTTTGCTGTTTCATATCTTTCCCTAAATATGAGTCTTTTTACAAACAATAAATCTATTGATGCTGATTCGATATTGTTTTTTTCATGAAGATGATCTTTTACTCTTTTTAGGTATTAGCAATTGCAGATTTTTCAAGGAAAAGGCAGAGATTTCTATGAAGATGAAAGTGCTGACTTGGATTGAGGCGGTTACGAACTCTTTGAAGGAGGATATGATACGGAGTTGACGTAATAAAATCCAGAAGTTCTTAGCGCAGATTAAAGTAATAGTCCGCCCATTTCTAAGTTTACTCTTCAATTACTAAAAGAGCCTATTGACATTAAAAATTTTTCGAGAAGAAAAAAGGAATGAGTTCAATTTTGCACAGCCAATCAGATACAGTCAGCGTCCAACTGTATCAGTTCGCTCGATTTTTGAAAAAGAGAAAGAGAGAAAAAACGTAGTAAAAATGAGCTCATCATCAGACTCGGAGCGTATCAAGTTGAACCCAATAAACTCGGAAGATCAAAAAGAGAAAGAAAAGAAAACAATGGCCTGGAGTAATTTTCTATTGTTGGTGACGTTTCCCCTCGAAGGGTTGATTTTCTTCGGGACAATTATGGGTACGTCTATCTTTCTTTAAATATCCTAAACAGACCTGTCCCCCTTAATTTTTCCTTTCAGGGTGGCCAAATATGGTCGAAGTCCTAAAACAACTCCATGTTTACGAAGATCTCTGCGATTTGAACTCAAACGAGACTGAAATAACCAACTCCATCGTCAACTGCAATCAACGAGATGTCATTTTCAGCACTGCCGGGACCATCGGCGGCTTTTCTATGAATGTAATGACTCTTGTCTTCGGCCTTATCGTCGACAAGAAAGGGCTTTTTCTGAGCAGGAGCTTGATAACTATCACGGTAACTGTTGGGCTCCTTTGCTTGATGTTCACGCCTGATGCAAACTGGCTCATGTTTCCGGGGATTTTCCTTCAGTCGGCGGGAGGATATGCTTTTGTCTTGACAAATGCAACGATGTCAACTCTTTTCCCGAAATTTGCAGCGATTGTTTTAGTTCTTGGACAGTGCTTGTTCCAGATTGCGAGCTCGTACTTCAGGAATGGCTGAGAAAATAAGCTGAGAGCAAGAAAGCCTTCGGAAACGAGGAGCTTTTTTGAGCCCAAGAAAAGAGTTTTGTCAATTATCTTCGATTCCGGAGTTCCATACAAATGGATCATCGGCGCAAATATTCTGTTGACGATTCCTGTTTGGATCAGAACCCTGTTTTTATTCCCCGAAAAACGATTTGAACTTGATATGAATGTTTTCAACGAAAGCTTTTTTGGTAAGTGATGATTTCATTTTATGCTCCTTTGATCATTTTTCCAAATAACAGTAAGAAAATTGTGGTAAAGTTTATTTTTGTTTCAGAAATATCGTCTCTCGAAGACATGATATTGAATTTTATTTGGGGAATACTTGTCGAGTAGACCTATATCGACAATTCGGGAGGGAAAGATTAAAGGAGACAAAGGTGAAAATTTTTGTTGACCTTTTGAACTAAGCTACCATCGAGTAGAAGTAGGCATTTCGTAAGTCGTTGTTTGATATTCTCCCGACATACAGATTGCTTGGAGTTTGGTTTCGCATCCGTCTGGAAACAAAGCTGCATGATGGTCATTATCCAAATTGTGTGAGCTGCCCATAATGCCTCTAATTTGATTGTATCTAAGAGCCGAACAAGTAGAATTCGGGTAATAGAACCAAGAATAGTGAGTAATATCCGGATCTACCAAATCGCTGGTAATACTCGATACTAACTAAATAAGACATACTTAAAATCTGAAATAAGTAAAAAAAAACTAACCAGTTCTTCGCCATAAGGATTTTTATGGTTTGGTTGGAAAGCCAATTCCATGTCCTGCTCATTGCAATATTCTATTGCCTCATCGTACGTCATTAAATCATCGGATTTATGATAAATGACTGGGTCGATCATCGGTGGCTCAGTTGTCTCATAATCCGTAGAGCCGTCCTTGCAATCTCCCTCCGAGAACTCGAGTGAAAGTTGATTTCCTCGCCGTGTTATTTTGTCGAGAACTTGGCCTTTATCAAGAGCCATTTGCGCGATTCTCTTGAAAATTTACCATGATAACATTTTTCAGAACCCCCTCCCCGTCAGCTGTCGGGGGTCCTTAAAAGATATCTTACTTCAATTTCTCCTGCTGGAACGTTGTTCAGCGGAATACAACTAGCAAAGGCGAAAAAATTGAAAAGCTTCATGTTTTTTCCTTAACGATTCAGTTTGATTTATTTCAAAAATTTTTTTCTTAAAGTACAAGGATTGGCAGGCGAGAGCATTTTTTTACAACATCTAAAAAAACTGCCCGCACGTGGGTCAATGCGCGCGGGCACTAGAAATAATCCCCGAGCGCAGAGGTAAACCGCATGGGACAGAAGTTCTAACCATTCATTATCCGCAACTGGGTTATTTTTACCCGTCGCGTTCTGCATGATAAGAAACTAGATTCGCAATAATTACTAGGAAAACGATTCCGAAAAACACCGATTGAGCCGGAAAAAAATGATGGAAAGAAAATGGAAGACAAAAGCGACAACACAGCGAAAGAAAAAGAATCGAGTTTGAAATATTTCAAAGACGTCAATTACCTGATCATGGTGGTTTGGATCGTCTTTGCCAATCTCAACGTTCTCTTCTGCACTTTCACTTGGAATGCGTACACAAGACTCGTAGCTGGAGATGATTATCAAACTCATGTGAATAGTTTTGGCAACTTTGCTTGGACGGCTTCGATTTTCGCGATCACGGTTGGTTTGTGCTCTGATGGACTGACAAAAGTGTTCAACAAGAAAACGGCTGCTTTTGGAAAGATTCTTGGAGTCTTCATTTTTGTCATATTGAATTTGATTGTTGGCGTTATTTTCGGAATCCTACAGGTAAAAATTTTACTCAAATTTTAATCTGAAATTTGTTTTTTCAAGTTGTCATTCGATGAAGATTTGTTGCTACCAACTGTTTTTATTTACAACATTTACAGAGCCTGGGCGTACTCACTCGTCGCCGTTTTTGTCAAATTCATGTTTCCGATGAAATTTTTCGGCAGCCTTCTAGGCGCGCAAAGATGCGCTCTTGGAATCACAAGGTAACAACTTTTGAAAAAATAGTTCATGATTTTTAGTTTGGCGATGCTTGGTCTGCCGGAAATCCCGAAAGAGTATGGAGAAGATGGATTCAGAGGGATCTTTTACTTCTTTATTGCGACGCAGGTGGCAATGATTGCGTTTCCAATTATTTTGGGACGAAAACTTATCAGAATGAAAAATGAACAATAGAATTGTGCCTTTTTTAAAAAAGAAATCACTGCTTGATGAAAATAAAATCTGTCAGACAAAAACAATTTATTGTTTCTGATTTCTTGAGAAGAGCATGATCAATTACTTAAGCTCAGTTACAAATTAGGCCATTGGACTACAAGAAGTCTTTCTCAAGATTTTGTTCATCAGCTTTTTGGCTTTAGCGAGCTTCTGTGGGATTCTTTTACCAAGCCGCGTAGGAGATAGCTTATCGATGCGGTCGAGGCAGACGAAATCGTCATAAAAGCCCAAAAGGCTGTCGTAAAAGGTTTGAGCGGCGAAGCAGGGGTCAGCGATGTCGATGGTTGGTTCAACGAAATCTGGGCCATTTCTTTTTTAAAAAATATCAAAAGAACAACAAATATCACTGAAGATTAAATCATTCAACTTTGAAAAACACTAATCATTTTGTATCTAGATACATAATTCCTTTATTTGAGATAAATAATAAGAATTTCAGTGAATCACTAATCAAATGCCCTAAGAAAACTACGATCGAATTTCGATTGTTGATTATTTTTTCTAGACAATTGGTGAGCAGGATGGGGTCTTTCTCAAGATTCGGTTGAAGAGATTCTTCGCGTGCGCCAGTTGAGCGGGGACTTTGGCGGCGATCTTTGGTGGAACTCGATCCAAGCAGACGAAGTCATCATAGAAGCCGAGGAGGGAGTTGTAGAAGGTTTCGGCGGCGAGGCAAGGATCAGTGATGGCGATGGTAGGATCGATGTAGTCTGGTGCAACTCCTTGTTTGAAAGCTTATCGATTAAAGTTCGAGATTTATAAAAAAGATTTCTATCAAAAAGCCTTTCCTGGGCCAGCACCGGCCGGGTTCACGCAGGGACTATCAACGTAGTCATTAAACCAGCCGAATCGCTGCTTTATCTTGTAGAAATTCTTCAGGCCATCGTTGGGATGATCGGAAACAGCGTCGTCAAGAACGAATTCGAGCTCGTCGTATTTCTCTTCCAGTTGAACGATTGTGGTTGTTGAAGTTGTTGTTGTGGTCGTTGTCGTTGAAGTTGTTGTCGTTGTTGTCGTCGTCGTTGTTGTCGTGTTGGATGCTCCTCCTGGGCCAGGTGCATTTGGGTCGCCGTTTTGGAAGCCACAAGAGCCTTATCGACAGAGTGGCAATTTTTTTTCTTGGAAAAATGAGAATGAAATCGCGCTCCGGTTCCTATTAAGATATTGCAAATGCCGGTGGTATCGTAGTCATCACAGCAGTCGCCATACGAGCAGCAAACGGCATCGCAATAGCACCCATTGGAGCAAGATCCCCCGTTGCTTTCGAATTGACTTCCACAACACTTAGGATTATCGACTGCCGCGCAGGAACCAGAAGATCGTTCTAGAGCCGTAATATTGCCCCGTTGTCTCTCTGCAAGAGTTGCCGTAAAAAGATAAAAAAGCTTCATTTTAGCAAAATTGATTTCCACGACTGACCAACGAGTGTTGTAAATTAAGGCCAAAATCGTTTTAACGATTATCTTTATTGCCTCTTCTGAGATTTAATGTTTGGTATGCTACTTCTGGACGAACGGGTTCATCGATCGGGATTTTCAATTGATATCATTTAAGCAAATTAAAAATTTTTCTGACCCCCATAATGGGGGCCCCATTGGTTCGAATTTCAAATTTTAACATGAGCAAAAAAAAATATTTTTTTTTGTCATTTTTTCAGAAAACTTTTTTCGGTTTACATTGTATCTTCTAGGGCTGCCAGTTCAACCAAAGATACGGGGAGGTGTCTGTTACCGATAAAAAAATTTCGACAAATTTTACGTTAAAATTTTCAACCAATCAGAATCTTTGATTCCGGCAAACCGGCCAATCAGCAGCCGAGTAACCGTCCACGCGAAATTTTTGTCGGTTCTAGACACCATCTGACGATTCTACCGAAAATAGATCTAGCGGCTAGCCTAAGATAAAATCAGATTTTAAATTGCTTTGACGCGCTTTTTTTAAGGTTACTGTATTTATTTCTCTCACTTACTACTTTGAAGACCCAGATCATTATATATATTTGGAATCAGTAGATAATATCTAGAAACTTGACCATAACCGATTCTCAAAAATCACTTCCGTTTACGATTCTAGAGCCGAACATGTAAAAATCATTAACGAACGGTACCCAAAGAACCCCTAGACAATGGCATATCAAATTGAGTCTTGTGTCATTTTACTAAAATGATTTTAGAAAAGCCCGTGATAAAATAAAGGCTAGATAAGCTTTTCATAGGTGATTCTAGAGGCAGAAATTGATAAAATTTGAAAATCGGAAGTTGCGTCATCACAAAAAAACAGCACTCACTCGCTTTAGCATCGAAAGAGAGCATATCTAGCCTTTATTTTATCACTGGCAACTCTAAAATGACACAAGACTCAATTTGATATGCCATTGTCTAAGGGTTCCTTGGGTACCGTTTGTTCATGATTTTCACATTTCCGGCTCTAGAATCGTAAACAGAAGTGATTTTTGAGAATCGGTTATGGTCACGTTTCTAGATATTTTCTACTGATTCCAAATATATATAATGATCTGGGTCTTCAAAGTAGTAAGTTGGAGAAATAAATACAGTAACCTTAAAAAAAGCGCGTCTTTGCGGTGAACCACGAACAATAATACTTTGGCGTCTACTATAATTTTCTGCCGCTCATGGCGTTAAAAATTTATTATGTTAGCGCTCACCGACGATGATTTAATATGCTGACAACCCGTCAAAAATATATCGCAATAACCTTCTCAGGATAGAACCAACTCCAAAAAGAGCTGTTTTGGAAAGAATATTGATAAGAAAATTGATAAACAATTCACTTTTTTAAAAATTTTTAATTTGACCGGAATTTTTCGTTAAAAAAACGATACAAAAACCAACGTCAACTCAAACAGAAAAAATAAAATCAAAATCCAAAGCGACCATTGATTTCGGCTTATTTCTAGAACACCAAACAACCGGACCTGGGAAAATGATTGACGGTTCCGACTCTTGTGACTCACAACATCCCAAGAGCCGCCAATTTATGAGAGTCAGATGTTCAATTGGCGCCGCGGTTAGTGGATGATAAAATAAGGTAGCTCTTATGTTTATTGCTGTTGCCGGTTACCATTGACGATAAGTCTATTTCAAAGGTTCTCACGAATAACGACATAATCATAACGTGTCTAAAAACGTCTTATGATTCAAAAGTTATGAATAAAAATCTGCTGAAATAAAAAATAAATTGAAGTTTTTTGTCCTCTTTCATCTCTTTCACTACTTTTCTTGATTCGAGTTTAACACCTCGTAAGAAGGACTCTGAAAAGATTGTTGGTTCTAGCAGCTTGTGCCTTGTTGACTGAGGGAACCGATCTGACAGCTTGCTCAATAAAGTTCGGGTTTTATCAAAAGTGATATTTACCGCGAGCAGCTCAGATTTATGGAAGTTGAAAGATGAGGGAGAGAAATATTTCCGTCAAGCTGAGAATTCGGCCACAGAAGGAGATAACCAACGAAGTTATCAAAGTGGTCAAAAACAAAAAGGCTGAAATCGAAGAGGATCGCATAAAATTCAAAAATCATGAATTTTTCCCCGACGAAATGTATGTTGAAGAATTACAGTTAATTATGAAATTTTTGGACATTTTTTGTCCCAAGATTTTCGCAAAAATGTCCAAAAATTTGATACACGCTGCCAAAAAAAATGTCCCATCCAAAACGCTTAAAAAATTTTTTTTTGAGAAAAATCTCCATCATCCTCTGTTTCATCCTTCTTCTTTAGACAAAAAATGTTCTAGGGGTACGAGATCAACCTTCAATCTTATCTTTCTCAAAGAAAAAGTATGATTTTTCATAAGAAAAAACGTCATATTTGGCAAAAAACAGAAAATTTAAAATCTAAGCGCAGAAAATGTCCAAAAATTTGATACAGTCACTTTTGAAAAGTGTCCCAAGAAAACCGCTTAAAATTGCAAAAATGCCCAAAAATTTGATGTCCAAAAATTCCATAAAAAACTGTATCGTTATCAGCACTTTTAAAAAAATGCAAAAAAAGAAAGCCCAAAATCATAAAAACTTTTAGTTTTCGATCAGATGGAGACTACATCAAGCTCGAGAACGGATACCTCGCCCCACTATTCGTCCCAAACCCGACTTTTTGCGACCAAGGAATAATTTTCTATGAGGTTGCTCAGCCAATGATTGATGCTCTCTGGCAACACGAAAGGTAGAAAGACCAGTGTTTCTGTGAAAGACACTCTTCTTAGTTCGACCCTTATTCTGACAGGCCCGTCAGAATCAGGGAAAAGATATACGCTTCTTGGAACAGAGGATAATCCTGGAATACTCAAAGTTCTGTTTGGCCAGATTTTCGATGTCGTCAATCAAAAGCGTCTCCAAGGGCAAAAAACGAAAGTCAACTTTTCAGCAGTGCAAATTTATGATGAGCAGATTCAAAACTTAGCGAGGCATCCAGCTTCATGGCCTTCCAAGGGTCTTCCATCACATACCTACAGGTTGAATTGAGATTTTCTTTTTCGACTTTCACGATAAATTTAGACGGATTGAATTCTTTGATAGCATTGATGAAAATGTATTCAACGAAAGTGAAGCCTCTCGTTTGCTGAATAGAGCGGTGGAAAATCAAAAAGAATTCATGGAAGAAAATTTCGTGACGAAAGAAGAAGTCCATACTCTTTTCAGAGTGAAGCTAACACAAATAATCGGCATGCAAGCAAAAGAAGCAACGATGACTTTTGTGGTGATGACTGCTTCGGAACTCAAGCATTACAATGGAAAGGTTATTTCTAGCAACAGGTAGAACGAGCAGTTTTCATTGAAAGAAAAATTTATTTCTAGAAGAAAAACGACAAAAGACACTCATCAAGACCTTTTATCCTGGCTCCAATTTCTGAAATCTCCAACTCAAAAAAGACCAAAGCAAAGTTTTTGCGCCCTGACGAAAATCATGAAGGAATCATTCTTTCGAAGCTCGGAAATCTGCGTCCTTGGCACGATCTTCCCGCCTTCGGAGAATTCTGCAACTTTTACATTTCTGTCAGATCTTGGTTCTCTCATGAAAAATAAAGAATTCTAAGGCTCAATCTTTCAAATTATTCTTTCTTTTTCTTTGCTCAATTATTCAGAATTTCATCGATCGACTCTACTCTTTTTCAACCAAACGGTTTCTAGCCTTGAATCTTCGAAGAAAAAATGCGCTTAATTTTATTGATTTGTTCAGTTAGAGGAAAGATATGGAATTTTATGGTCGACGAAATGGGAAAAACCTCAGAGGATGCGCAAGAGGAAGAATTGAAGTATTCAAAGGCGGAGCCGTGTTTATTTGAGTTTCAATATTTTTGAAGAGTTTTAAAGATACCTCGAATTAGAAAATGATAAAACTCTCAAGAGATGTTGAAGGGGGTCATAATTTCCCGAAAACCAAAGGAGAGCCACCAGATATCCAGCTCAAAGAAAACCTGCGCGAATGCATGGACTTGGGAATCGATTGCGTTCGAAAGCTGAACTTACAGCACTTCCACTGCGATCGCCTACCCCCGCGCCCCGAGTTCATTCTAGAGGAGCACGTCGAAAATAGCAATTTTGACAAGGTCTATTCTACTGGAACAACTGGAATGTCTTACACGATGGAGGGCAACAATCCCTGGATTATTGGCGGCCAGAACTTTACCATCACAAACACGACTATGAAAATGCAGTGGAACTACGCTGGAAATGTTTTGAAGGGATACAAATGGGAAAAGAGCTGGATAAAGATGGCGTATCTAAATATTCCAAGAACAGGGGCTGTTTCGGAGTTTTTTAATGGGAAAGTTTGGACTTGTGGAGGAGCGACGAATGGGAATGAAATCAGGAAAAGATTTGTTTTTCGACTCAAAATAAATTTTTTTCGATCATTTGAAAATCTGGAAAAGTGATGAAAACGTCGAACTCGGCATCCACAAACTCAAAGAATTTCAAAATGGAACCCATCGGCTAATCAACAATACCCTTCCTTACGATTTCAAAGTGCTGAGTACTTCAATGGCCTTTCTCGACTCATTGCCAGAAGAATACTCTGGTCTTGACGCAAATATTATTGCGAAGAAGTTGTGGGCGAGAAGAAGTCCTCACGCCGGACCGGGCGAGGAAGGCGACGGGGTAAAACATGGCTTAGATTTTTTCCTGATAGATTTTTAGTGGAGTGCGGGGCTGGAATTTGCAATGACCGCTACTGGCCCTTATGGCGGGTGGAAAGGGAATCCGAAGCATAGAATCTTTTTCGATAATTTTGACATCCGCGAAACCGCGACATGCGAGATCTACATCGACAGAGATGTCGACAAAAAAGGCTGGCACTACCAGTTCATCCCACCAGGACCGTCTCAAGAGCAAATTAATAACGCGCCTAAAGACAGATGGGAGTTTCACAGCGAACAGATGAATGTTGCCCGGAGATCTGCATCCTCTGGCGTCGTGAAAATCCTGGAAGAAGATGTCGAAAATGGAGTTTCTTTTCTTCAAGAGTATTTTTACGTCATTGGTGGGGAGCAATCGTGCCCGGGTTGTATTTGGCCCGGAAAATCGAAGAGTTTGTTGAGCTCGGTTGAAATCATGAGTCTCAAAAATGAAGAATACAAATGGGAGTTCGGGCCCTCGCTCCCAGGAATGTTTCATTCATTGCTTTTTTGAGAGTAAAAAATGACTGTTTGAAATTATAAAAAAGAACCGATTTGCTGCGCCAGCTCGATTGTCATTGTTGACATCATTTATCTCTCTGGAGGGCTAGTTTTGAGCGAAGAAAAAGAGCTGGTGAAATCCGACAAAGTCTTGCGACTAAAACATGGAACATCGGAATGGACTCACTTTCGAACAATGAAGGTACCAAGGGCGTTTCATGGAAGCTTCATGTTTCAGAAACTGCTCAAGACGAAATCGAGCGAAGTCGGTGAAGGTAGGTTTTGGATGTACTTGATCGATTTTTAACCTTGTTTGAAGATGATATAATTCTTGTTGGAGGGACAAATGTAGTTTCAATCAAGACTGGCGAGCTTGATGCTTTTGGAGAAGAAGAAACTATTGACGTCCGTGCCGAGCATATCCCGATAACTGGAGATAAAGGAGCCGGTCTTTATTTATTCAATATTCATTTTTATCCGAAAATAATCAAAAACGCCCATCTATTGAACTTTTATTGACATCGATAGGCACCATGTGTCGATATTTAGTTAAGCTCGTGTCAAATCTTGACCACTATAAAAGCGCTCGAAGTAAAAAACTTCAATCGAACTTTCGACAGAGGAGTAATTTTCACAACGATACAAATGCATCCAGACGCTGAGCCGCATGATTCGCCAAATACTGGTTTTGAGAATGAAATTTCCATGATTGTCGCATTCATCGCATTCTTGCTACTTGAATAAAATTTCAAAAGCAATAAAATCTTTACTTCGAAAGCACATATAAAATTTATTGAACACGAAACAAGAATTATTCCAGTTAATTTTTAAAATGATAAAAGGGCACAAAAAACTGGCTAAGATGCATTTGATTCTAGCGTCGCTTTCGCATTGCGAATTTGATGATCTGGGCTTCCAGATTTTTTATCTCATTGACTTGATTGCTTCCGTAAAGATGGTAGAGTCGATTGTTTGCGAGGCGATTTTGTCCGAGAAGATCGGCAGCAGCGAAGTCGAAGAGAAGGAAGAGAGTTGAGATGTTCATTTTACAATGATCTTTCATAGATAGGTAGATGTTTATATGCGAACTCTTACGGGTGATTATATATACAAAATCCTCCATTATCGGAGGTTTCCATCTTCCGCTCCAGCTTTGATTGAAGCGGAAACCGCACTCGACGCACAGAACATATTTCGTCAATGTTACATAAAAAAATCAATCATCGAGAAGATCTGGTGCGAAACAGGAGTAAAAATGATAATTCATATAAAAGATTGAGAATTTTATGCAGACAATGGCTAGTGTTTACGTTTACTTTTGTCTGATTCTTGATTTTCTTCGAAATTTTTATTTTTCGGTGCGCAATATAGACCTCTATTTTTTGACAAATAATATAACTCATTTTAAATAAGAGAATAACAAGATCGTGTGTTTTTGATTTATTTTTTTCATTAAATCCTTCATAGTTGTTGTTGCCAGTAAAAAAAGTTGATTGTCGAACGGAGAGATTTTTACAAAAATAAAGAGCTGAGATTTTACTCGAGGTCAGCGATGATTTCTTTGAAAGCCTTCTTGAGCTGCTTGTCAAAGCTCTTGGTGAAGACCTTCTTGTAGTTGCTTTGTCGAGAAGCGAGAGTGTTAGCGATGAAGTCGTCATCGAGATCGGCAAGCTCGTTGGGTCGGACAATGACGGGGTAGGTAGCGAATTTGGAGGCGGTCTCGGTGGCGATCTGAATAGAAAAAATGCTATTTGATAATTTTTCTAATTTTTCTTACCTCGTCTCGGTCAGCAACTCGGCCAGATGGAGTCTGGAGCTTCTTAAGATCCCACTCTTCATCGGAGACGATGACAAGGATTTGGTTTCTGCTGGTCTTTTGGTATTCCAAGTTAAGATCCTGGAGAACAAGGAAGAGCTGGCCGTTTCCGTCAAGACCTTCGGAGTAGGACTGAAAATGATCGTTAAAATTGCTTTGATTTTGGTTTTATTTGAGCTGTTAAAAACCGTCAATTTTATTATTAAAAATTTTAAAAATCGATAAAAATTTGTAAAAATTCTTTCAGGGCCTATTTTATTGGCTGCGCCGCGGAATTTGCACAGCACTATTTTTTATGTTCAAACCCAGCGGATATACGAAGAAAACGGTCGTAAAAAATTAACTTACTTGTCGGGTAGCGCGGTCGAGAGAAGTCTTGGCAACTTCTTCTTTGTAGTGGAGAAGTCCGGAAGTACCTGCAGCGCCGCCGCTGCCTGGCTTGTAGGCACCCTCGAGCTGCTTGATTCCGGAGAATTGGAGGAGTCGGAAGGTTGCTCGGTCACCAAGCTTCTGCTGGAGGCCGGGGATGAGGTCGGAGTCGATGATCTCCTGGGTGGCTTCAAACGCATCTCCGGCATCGATCTCACCGTTGATGGAGACCTTGTTGTTGTAGGAGTCGGAACCGTCGATGAGGACGAGGACGTCGTACTCAGGCTTGGGTTGTGGAGCAGGTCCGCAGAGGCACTCACCGCCGATTCTAATATCGTCGAGCTTGGCCTTGGTTACAACTGCCACTCGGGCGTGGATGTTGATCCTAGAAAAGTTTATTCGAAGAAGCGGCAACCTGATTCCAAGAAATAAGTTAATTTAAAGTCTTTATCTTAAAGTTTAACCGTCAACCTATTTCTTAATCTAACCCGAACCCTAACCCTAATCTCTGATACTTACTCGCCATGCATGGCAACCTCCGGGGAGGTAACGCAAATCTCTCGTCGTGGCATGATGAAGAGGTTGTTTAGAGTTTGATTGAAACCGAACTGAGCTCTGCTTCGAGAGCGCGTGATTATAAAAGGGTCCTGAAAATTATACGAGCCGGCGTTGGCTCTGCCTTCGTTTGGCGCTGCGGATCGTAAAACCTATTTTCAAGTCGAAGTCAAAGAACCACACCATCAGGGCACCTTTTATCGTTTTAAAAAAATGCTGATCGGGTATGTTGCTTCGTCTTCAATCTCACTCAAATTGACAGGAAAGGAATTTCAACTAGACTTACTACGGTTATTAACCCACAATCAATCATCAAAATCCCTGAAAAATCCAGGGAAGAATAAAAGTTTCAGAAAAAAAGCTTTATTAGCCGAAAAAGCGACGCTTAGACAAAAGAGGGTTAAAATCATCTTGGACTTTCGATTCGGAAGCTCCTTCGTGGTTGAAGAACGGGTGCTTTTCAGCTCGTTTCATATGACGCCAGTTAGCAGGATCGAGGCAGCTCAGGTCGAAAGCAAAAGCGCCTACGAGATGAATTTAGGTTGACAAATCTGATCCTTAATTTTACCTTGAAGAAAAATAAAGAAAACGTTCATTGTTGGTCTTAATTGTGCATACTTCTGGGATCCTTCCTTTTTATACGCATTTTTCTATCAAAAATTAACCACCTTCCAAATGGTTAATAATGATTATCGTCAAATTTATTGGTGGCTGCCCAAGTCATCGATAATGCAATAAGTAAGGGAAGGTTCCTTTAAAAGAATTGGGAAGCAATTGTTTTTGAAAGAATCCATTCAAAAGATTTCTAATTACGGAAGATACAACTACAAGAATAAAAATATAATGGTCCCAAAAATCGAGGCCGCATAGTAACCGTAGTATTTCGTGATGATAAACTACGGTCTTATTTGACATGAAAAGTCAAGCCGAAGCAACGATTTATGTTTTTTCATTTAACTTGTAAAAACTAGATCGTGGCCTGTTTCATGGCAAAGTTCATGATATAGGCCAGATGGTATCACGAAAACAAGCCGCATTTTTCTTTTAACAAGCTCTTAAAATAATGTTTACGTTTATTAGAACTTGTTAAAACTTATGACCGGCTTGCTTCGTAAACAAGATGACACATAAATTTAACAAGCTCTTTGAAACGAAAATATTTTTTATAGAACTTGTTAAAACCAATGTGCCGGTCTTTTCGTAAACCGCAATTTTATCTGCTCTTCGTCATGAACTTTGAAGCGATGGACAGCACTTCATTGCTTTTATTGCTGACCTGGCCTTTCAAACGAATTCCTGTGGTAGGTACTCAAATGATCCTTTCTATTTTTCAGCCATTATTTTTGAAGAATATTCGGGATTTTATTTTATTTCTGTAATATTGATGAAAAAATGTTTGAAGGAGTCAGTAAGGAGAGGAAGAAGATCCCGCCGAGCTCGAGCCAGAAGACCCACATCGTTGTCTAGGGCTTCGTTTGCAATTTTGCGCCGCCCAACGAACTCGTTCCGGCTCATTTTTGCCAGTCGAATCCACTCTTCAAAAGTCGGCGCAAGTTTTCGCATATTGCGCGCGGTCAGCATTCGTCCCTCGAATCGGCAAATCGTTGTTTGCGAAATTTTTCTGCCGCAAAGAGCGGTGATGCTGTCGGAAAGTTCTGTCTGGGTAAAGCCAAGGCGGACTCGAAGCTCGCGAAGTTGACGGATAAGGGTGTCAATGGCGTCTTCTTGTGGGGCCATGTAGTTTTCTTGAAAGAGGGGGAGAGATGAGCAAAGATCGAATTCGCCAAGTTCTGGGAGCGGAACGTTCTGGAAGAAGAAATATGGAGTCACGTCAAGAGCGTTTTCGAAGATGGAGGAAAAGTTGTTTTCAAAGGTCATCTTGCTTTTCGGGTTTTTGTTGATTGTTTTGTTGATTTTTGCTGATTTTTGTTTGATTATGAAAACCGGAAATACCGAAGCATATTTATACCAGATTTCACGCCCTCTAGAAAATTGTTTCTTCCAGGAATTCTGACCAGAAGACTTCCGGCACTGGCTCGTGCACATGCTCGCGGGCAGGTTGCGACTGAACATGGCAGGTGGAGGAAGTCGTCTGATCGGACAAAGCGGCACCTGGTAGACTCCTTTTGATACCGATCAGGTGTAGATTTCAATTTCAAAGAGGAGTTACTGGAATTTTGATTTTTTTGTATTTTGGACTTTGGATGCTGATTTTTTTTGCTGAGATTTTTTAAAGCGGAATATGAGCAATCTAGGTTACTTCTTTTAGACATGAGCGAATAAAATATAAATAAAGAAAGACGACAGATTGTCTTGACATTGGTTTGTTTATTTTGTTTCAGTTGGTCGGATGGAATTCAGCCAGTGAATAAAAGAATGAAATATAACTAGGGAAAGGGGATTCTTTAAGAATCCATTGTTTAGTGGAGGAAGACGTTGGCGGCGTTGAGCTCGAATCGGGCGATTTCCAAAAGAGAGCAGGAGTTGAAGTCACCGTCAAGCTAGAACAATAATGAGAGCTATAAGAATGAGTGGTATTTTACCTGGGCATCAGCGTAGGCAGCCTGGAGGGCACCCCACTGGGCATCAGAGACGGACCATCCCCAGCTGGATCCAGTGGAGAGGACCTGGTCCTTCCATGCGCTGAGCTCAGCGCCGGAGAGGATGTTGTCAGCGTTGCTGTCGTAAGCATCGATGACGACTCGGGCGTTGGTGGCGGCGAAGGCACCGATGGCGAGCTTGAACTCTTCGAAGTCGAGGGAGCCGGAACCGTCGAAGTCGACAACATCCCAGTATTTGGCACCGAACTGGTAGAGGTAGTTCTGGCTACCCTCGCTCATCTCGACGTAGTTGGCGATTCGGGCGGCGCAGGTGGTGAGCTCGGTGCTATCGACGGCTCCATCGATACCTCCGCAGAAGCTGAAGAGGGGCTGGTAGGTGGCGTCACCGACGGAGTTGACGGCGGCGGCGAATTCGGTTGGGTTGGCAACGGCAAAGTTGTAGACGTTGACGGCCTCGGACCACCATTGATTGGTGATCCAGACGGCGGGGGAGGCGGTGGCGGCGGCAACGAGTCCAAGAAGCTTCATTTTTACTGGCTTAAATTAAGTTTAAGACTTTTTTCTTGAATTCAAGTGATTCTCTCTTCGCTATTCTTACCTTTTTAGAGATTTGTTAAGAATAATCTGAGGCTCCGATGGCTGTACACTTGCTTATATGCGCCCGGTGAGTCCCAAGGTCAACTTTGCCGCGATCAACAAGCCGGTGTTGATGGATGGCATCAACAAATAAACGATCAGGCGAAACCGCCGCATCTTGCAACAGTATCTACGCAATAGAACTGAACTCAGAGCAAAGGTCGTAGAGTACAACTGACGATTTATTTCAGAATTTTTTACTGGGCATTTTTGATGATTTTTTTCGCCTTTTCAACAGCATTGCCAAATTTTCTCTTCAGAATAACTTCCTTATTCCGCTCGATTCCCATTAAATAGTCATGGTCAGAATGACTTCCGTAGGCGAATTCGGAAGCATCTAGAGTTGGATAATCGGTTTCTTCGCCATCTTCTCCCGAGTGTTTGAACCAATACATGAAGCCCATTGAGTTCACAACAGGATCGCCGCCGAGTCGAATACGCAGGTGTTTCTTGACTCTGAAAACGAACATAAGGAAGCTTAAAAATAGATGTTTTCTCAAACCTCTGCTTGAATAAATCTTGAAGAGCCCTATTACCGATTTTCGGCGAAGCAACAGTGACGACGAGAAAACTCGTCGCTTCGTATTTTGGTGCCAACGATGCACCAATTAAACAAGCCACCGCACCACCAAGTGAGTGACCACAGATCAAAATCTCATCGACCTGTTTTTCTTTCAAAGTCGCGTCAAGAAAACTTTCGATTTTCGGTTTCAGCGCTTCGAAGCACTCGTAAAATCCATTGTGAGCAAAAGCTTCCGTTTCTTCGAATTTAACTTGACAAAGACGCAAATTTTGGAACATTTCTTGAAGTTCTTTCGTTCCTGTGATCGTCACAATCGCAAATCGTTTGCCGTCGACATTGTCAACTGGCTTTTCTTTCGCGTAAATGAGGACCGCGTCAGATGCGGTTTCCTCGTCACGGATGCTTTTGGATTCGAAAGTTTCGAATCTTTTCATAAAAGATTCAAAGTTGCTCTTTTTCGGAAATATTTGTAAAAAAAAATTTTTTTCTACTCATTGTCCGACTCCTTTCCTTCGTTACAGGTGTTTGCTTGATCTTGTTTTTCGGAATCCGGTCCCAGTCAATTGGTGAATGATTGTCCTTTACAGACTCGGCGATGATTTCCATAAACTCAAATTAAGGTAAAAAGAAGAAAATTCATTTTCTTCTTACATCATGATACTAGGCAAGAAGAGCGAGTCGAGTTGAAAACTGAATTTTAAGTATCTAATCAATTGAAAAATTTTGGAAATTTTCATCAATCCATTCTCTCGCATCTTTGTTGAAAAAGTACGCGACTTTATCCTTTAAAAACTCCGCGCATTGCATTATCAAAAAAATAAAGTATCTCTCCAGTTACTCTTTATTTCTTTCCTTTTGAATATTTCCAGTATTTATAACCCAGCACAGGAAAATAAACTTTTATTGTAAAAACCTATCGCAGAATACAATTTATTTATTTTTAAGGACCCCCCCTCGGTTGAAATCATGAAGCAGAAGCTTTTGCCCGGGACTGATTTGAACTTTATTTTGTTGACAAGTCTGCTGTGAGAGCGGCACTCTAGCACTCGAAAATCCGCAAACAAACAATTGCTGAAGATAGTTGTGTAATTTGCATCTAATTATTCATCAACTGTTTTATTTATTTAGCAAATTTTGATTTCGAAATCTACAGACACTGAAGTGGAGCTTCGAAAGCTACAGAAGTTGTGAAATAGTCGCCGGTTGGGTTCTTTTCAAACTCGATTCTGTGGACAGTTTCAACATCTCGGACAAAAAGGCCATCCCACAGGAACTTTTCAATATCGCCTTCTCGACTAAAATGGCTTAGAAATGAGGCCATTTTTTTATAAGCTTACTTTTCGCTGAATCCAGAAATTGAGTAAATAAAGTTGTTTTTCATCAAAATCGCGGTGTTCGAGTGGACCGGTTTGTTCAAAGCCCCCTTTTCTGTCTTAAAAAATCATGAGTTTTTCTATCAGATCTAACAGACTCACCCAATTTCCGTCAAAAAGCCAGATCGAAGAAAGTGTTCCCGCATCAGTAAGACCTCCGACAACCATGAAGCCTTGAGGAACTTGAACAGTAGCAGCACGCTCGATGAATACTTCAGAAGGGAAAGTTCCGAATTCTTCCCATGATCCAGTCAGCGATCGCTTTTCCATGTAGTTATCACTTTTTCATGTTTTCATTTAGTCATCAATTTCACCCTTGAAAACTTTGATAACGAAAAACATTCCTTGTTTGAGGATTTGAATAGTTCCATCCGCCAAAAGCGTACAATTCATTCTCAAAATGCCCCAAAGATCCAAAATAGTGGCCATAGTTTGATCTTCCTTCGATTACTTCCACATTTTCTCCGTCAAAAGTCTCGCATCGCGCCCACTGAGTGGTAGAAGTCGAGAAACACAAATAACCTGAATGATTTTTTGAAACACCATAATTGACAAAGATCTTATTTCTTTTTATAGTAATTGTTCGTCTCTTCGCCGAACTCATTTTCTACCACATAACAGAAAGACAACATGTCAAGAAAGTCAACAATGTCGGCTTAATTACTTACTTTTTTCATTCAAAATAGTCATATCTCCATAATGCTGGGAAAACCCAATTTCTAGCTTCTGGCTCTGCATTTCAACGGAACAATCCTTCAAGATCGCGATCTGGGTTAAATTCGTCAATCCTCCGAGAATAAACTGCTGTCCCTTGAGAAGAGCAGTCCCAGAATCGTAGACGAATCGGTCGGGAATTGCCCAGTTTGGCTTGGACACAGTATTATCGTTTTCGACGAAGAGGGCGACGCGTTCGAGGACAAAATAACTATCGCCAAGAACGGTCAAGCCGGTTTCTGCTGGACAGCCACCGTAGCCGTTGTCGCAGGGGCAGCCGTTTGGACAAGTGGCGCCACAGGGACAGTTTCTGATTTCGGAAGAGAATATTTCTTGGCACTGACTCACGCATTGGTTGTTTCCACTGCAGGACAGGAGGCAATTTCTAAAAAAGTATCTTATGATCAAGACGTCCTGATCCATAAATTTGCCAAATTATCAAATTGATAATTATTATATACCGATCAGATCTGGAAAATTAGGCGGTGAGGATGACGTGGCCTTCGATTTAACCAATGAGAGCCAGCCCTCGCTCTCTCGGTCTGAGAGGGCTTCAGACCCAGATTTGCGGCCGCCTAAGCTACCAAATCTGATCGGTATATATATTTATATTGATATTATATACCGCGATTATCATTCCTGAATGACGGACTCTCATCCGTCATTCAGTCGTTTGGACATTTTACAATGCAAAATTTGTCCGAACGAGCGAAAATTGCGTGGGCGGCCCTGATTGTCCCGTCACTCAGAAATGATAATCATGGTATATATTTCTTTGTGGTCATGATGAGATCTATTTTTCGTACTTAAACTTGCTCACAAAATATGATAGCAATTTTTATTTACTGACCAATGAATTTTTATTGTTATGGTTCTTTTCCAAAAATCATGTCCTTACGCGTAAACTCGCTCAGCATCTTCATAGCAACTCGTGAAGTCTTCATTTTCTTCCGGAATGAAACAGGCGCCACATGTATTGCTTTCACAGCCAATGCAGCCAGCGAAGCATTCAGTGTGGCAAGGACAGCTGTTTCCGCAGTCAAACATGTCCCTCGCGCAGTTTTCTTCGCAGAAAGAGTTTTCGTTGCAATTGCGCTTGCAGAAATCATAGTCGGATGAGCACTGGCGGACACATGCTACTTCTCGATCTCCATCCGGGCAATTCTCGTTAAAACTGTATCCACCGAAAATCTCATTTGCGAAAATCGAACAAATCGTTAACCCTAGTAATTTCATCATTTCTGTCTGCAATTTTTCGCTTCAAACTTCTGTTCTTATCCGGAGCTTTTGCCCTTTGACATTTCCCGAGCGCTTAAATTTTATGAATTTGGACTCAAGCCTGCAGATGAACTCGTAATATTTTGCAAGGCTTTCGTAACTGTACTTTGTGCTTTGTTCGTTGTGGTTTATTTGTTTTCAGTTTAAATATAGGTTTTATTTTGCTACTCGTTTTGAACACGTCAGAATGGCTGAAATCAGGTTGAAATCAAGGAAGAGAATAATTTTAGAATTTTACCTATGAAGGCAGATCGAAAGGCTGGATTGCACGCGGCGTAGCACACTGGGTTGAGAGTACTTTCATCGGTTAGGAAAAACGAGACAGAAGAATATGATGATGAAAAAACCGAGTCCTGTTGAGATAGCATAGCCAGTAGGAGAGCTCCCAAGCTATCTCTGGAACTTGCATTTGAAGCGAGGCGTAAACTTTATTGGTTTCTTGAGATATTTTTAGAGAATGAATCTGAAAAATTGCGTTTCAAATACTGAATAATTATAACTTACATGATTTAAAACGTACACATCGCTGTAAAACTCGTTGAATATTACAAATAGTTTTCTTGGACCAATAATTTAAAAAATTGCAGGTCCACTAGCGGTTTAATTTAATATGGTGTTTAAAATTTTATTTAATCAATCAATTTTCTTTATCTAAGAAACTGCTCCTACAAGGATATTATAAGGCGCCCAAAGGCTTATAAAGACTTGAGGCTGACAAAAAATAGTATTGTGTAAATTCAACCTATAATATCAGACTTTCGCTCCAAAATTTGTCATAAAATTAACATTTTGTCAGCCCGTGCCGAAAATAATGGCAGCTAAAAGCCTTGTTGCTCTTGACTCTTTCTTCAAACTTTTCAGTTGTCGTCCATACTGCGGTTTTTGAGGTTGCGGAGTCGCCGCTGAAGATACCGTTGATTAGAATTAGTCGAATTTTTTAACCTGTTGACGAGGCATCTTTTTTGCTGGCGAGGCGCGACCAGAACGACTTTTTCTCCTTTTCCTCTTTTTCGCCGCTGTCGTCGACGTTCGAAATTTGGCTCGGCTCGTCTGACAGATCCATCGTTCCCTTTGAGTCCTGCTCATCCTTAATCCAGAATGAATAAGCGAGTCTGGAACGGATTAAAGAGACTTACGGATATTTTGATGCTTGAAGTCTTTACCGGGCTTGTTGCGTCTTTGGCCAGCTTATTTACTGTGCTGCTGATTACGGCGTTTTGCAGATTGCTGTAAAGAACAAAAATAAATAATAAGCAAAAAGGGGGAAAACTACATTTTCTACAAAGAAGAATTAAGTCATGTCATAGTGGTTAATTTACCAGAGGCTCTTTTCGTGAATGTCTACCTGACCAGAGTTGCAAATTTGGCTTTATTTTCGCTGAGCTGAGCTGAGTGAGAAATTCTCTGAGCTGAGCTGGCCTATTTCGGAGCTCACTGAGCTGAGCTGAGCTGGCCTATTTCGGAGCTCACTGAGCTGAGCTGAGCTGGCCATTTTCAGAGGTCATTGAGCTGAGCTGAGCTGAGCAGACCTTTTTTAAGGTAGTTGAGCTGAGCTGAGCTCAGCAGACCCTAATAATTAGGGCCTAATTAGAGCTGAGCTGAGCTGAGCTGAGTGAGCTGAGTTGAGCAATTTTTTACTGTTTTTTAGAAGTGAAATTTTGTTAAAATCATTGAGCTGACCTGATTGAATGATACTTCTCTGAGCTGAGCTGAGCAGAACAGATCATGTTCGAGAATAATTGAGCTGAGCTGAGCAGATAAATTCATTTTCGAAAATCAGTGAGCGGAGCTGAGCTGAGCGACTGCTCAGCTCACTCAGCCAGCTCAGCTCACTCAGCTCAGCAAATTTGCAACTCTATACCAGATGGGGATATTTTCGGTCTCAGATTGACGATGATTATGTAATCTCGTCAATTTCTGACCGGAAATAGCAATGCCTAGCAGACAAAGTAATCGAGTGCCCCTGTAAATCTGCATCTTTCCAGATGAAATCCCTTTGGGTCATCTGGGTTGAGACTACTGAATCAGCAGTACTGATCTAGTCTTACAGTATTTCAGTTCGATTTGAGTTGTTTGAAGGATCATGCGATCCTTTTCTTCTTATTGAAAAACGCGATTTAAACGTTTTTGCTGAGGAGCGATTCGAAATGCCGAAAATTATTTGCGACACTTTGGAATTTCTTCTAGATATTTTGTCAATAAGCAAAATATTTTAATAAAGACACCATAAAAGATTTTTTAAAACATTAAATTGAATATTTATCGTTGATAAACTCAATTGATTATTCATTAAAAGTGTTAAGACCCAGTGGCGGGTTGTTCAAAATGACTATTTTTCTTGTGTAAGTCGTAAAAAGAGCTTTTGATTTTTTATCGATAATTACTTTTTTCTCGCCGCGATCGTCATGTACACCTTTGCGTAAAGAAACATCATCGCAATCGCAGGCACATAAAAAGCCCCTGAACGATTACATAACCATCATTGATTGATTTTGAGCAACTTGGCATTTCAAAAAAGTGCGTTCCAAACCTGCCGAAGTCGCTAGACCGATGGCAGCAGACTCAAAAATGGCCTTCACGTAGCATTTATTAGCAGCTGGCTGCTGCTTTGGATCGACCATTTGCCACAGGACCCATGGACCCCAAAGAATGGCAGAAATGATCCAGGTCAAGGCCATGGCGATTTTGACATGCACCAGTTTTCGATGGTTGCGGTACTTCACCGGGAAATTTACCGACAAATATCTGAAAAAGAACAAGCTTCGAAACCTCTTATCTAAGAATTGGTGAGTACCTATCTATACAAATAATGAGCAGATTGAGAACGGATGCATTTGAGGCGACGTAGTCCACTCCCAGCCAGACATTGCAGGCGAAGTTACCCATGTACCAGCCGCCCTAAACAAAAAAACTCGGTACGAAAATAAGGGTGTCGCCATTTTAATTGAATAATGATGAAAACTCTCTTACCTGTACAAGGTAAACAGTATAAACATTCATAGAATACATTCCGATAATCTTTGCTGAAGGTTTATAATCGAACGCAATTGAAATTGTTTTTAAAATATCCTTATGAGCTGAGCGAGGCTAAACCCGAGACAAATCGGCGATGGCTAAGTTGAGGATGAGGTAGTTGTTGATTGTGCGCAGACTGCGGTAGAAGCAAAACGAAGAAATTACTTGACCAGGGCTCTATATTATATTATATTATATTATATTATATTATATTATATTATATTATATTATATTATATTATATTATATTATATTATATTATATTATATTATATTATATTATATTATATTATATTATATTATATTATATTATATTGAGCCCGATCCTAAGACATTTCCGCAAGAAGTTATCAGACTTGCGGTCAATGCCAAAATAACAATTGTTATTGTTGATGGAGTCGAGTAGCGACTGGGAGGCATTCCTGCCACGGCGGTGCTGAAATTAAAAAATTGATAAAGATTCTCGAACTCAGAAAACTAACGTAAACGCGCTGCTGTCATTTCCGTAAGTTGTCGGGGCAAGTGTTGTACTGATGTTCCAAGACGTCGTTCCATCTGTATTCATCTGAAAATAACTGTAAACGTCTGTGGTGCAAGAAGGTAAAGGTTTAGTCGTTATAAAGAGTCAAGTTTACGAGTCAATTTGTGATGGTTTCTGGTTGAACGGACGAAAAGGTTCTTCGCGGTTAATTTGAGATTCTTGTCAAGTTAACGCCATTTTCAAGTCCTATTAAATGCACATATCTAGGTCACAGATTTGACCCATCTCGAAAGTGAGGAGTCAGGTTAAAGTCATATTTTCAAGCAGTGCTGATTCAAAGTTACGCTTTTGGCTCTAGAACGTTGTTATAAATATAACACAACCCGATCAATATTCAGGAGCAAAATAAAAATATTTATATAACCGTAGAAATATTTTCTTATGGTTTCATGACTGTCTTTTTCTTTGAAATCTAGCGAATCTCAGACTTTTCTTGGGATTCATTAAGGGGCAACTTAGGCCTCACATTCTGAACTGAGTAATAACCTGACTCAGGAATAGTTTTTCCTGAGCACTTAGTCAGATCGCCGAACCCTGATTAAAAAGATAAGCGAATGAAAACGATAGAAAATCAACGCGAAAACAACCTTGACTAAGATGGTTGGACTTTTGGACGATCAGCGTGAAGTGTTTGAATAAGTTATGTCTCGAGCTTGAGCATTTTAAATATTCAATTTGGTGCTTGTCTCCGCGTTCAGGCGCGTTCTGTTGCGCCACTATGCTCACTCGTTTAGAAACGATTTTAGCCGGGTACCTTGTTACGGTTAAAATTCACTGAATAACATGTCGACTTCAATTTCGAACAATTCGAACAAAAGAACATGGGTAAAAGGGGATGTTTTTGAACTCAGATTGTCAGTCGACTGGATCAATCTTTGGAACTGTCTCCAAACTGTCAATTGGATTCTGATTTGAGGTAAGAAAGAACTTTTGTTGCAAAGAATGAACTCTCTTTTATCAAAAATAGCATTTTTAACAATTTTTAATTCTAATTATATTATATTTTTACTATTTGTAACATGATTATGATTTTCAAGTAAGGAAATCTTGTTTTATACCACATTAATTGACAGAATAGAGATAACAAGTCAACGAACTAGTGTTATAAAAATCCAGTTATTCATTTAAAAATGAATACTTATGATTTCCAGAAAGGTTAGATCGAATCTGACAGAAAGCTTCCAATTGATAATTATCATTTGCATTCATATTTTAGGTAGTTACGAAGCGACAAATCAAAAGTCTTTATTCGGCTGCTCGAAGATCGACGGCCAGAACCCCTGAATTTTTTTTAGAAAAGGAACTCTTTAATAGTGACCGAGTCATGAGTTGAGTCTAGCCAGTAGACCATACGGTAGTATTGCAGACTGAAGATCAAGAGCAAGTTTACCCAGTCTGTGAGTATATTATTTTTACGTAACGACATGGTGCTTAAATGACAATCTATCGATATCTATTTCCTCTCCAAATTAGTAAAAGATGCTTCATTTCATTAAAATATAATTTCTGATCCAGATTATTTACTCTTCCAAATAACGCGGATTTTAATTTTTATAATTATTTCTTCCTTTACCTTCGCAAAATTTCTCTTTCTCAAATCTGCTGCACAAAAAGTCCGATTTCCAAAGTGAAAAAAAGCGTTGTTTCCCGAAGTGTAAAATTATATCAAGTGGCGGATTATACCGAGAGGTTGCATTTAACAGGCTAAATTGACTGTTGAATATTCAGTGCTCATATGCGGACATATTTTACGGCCGTGAAGGATATTGCTTCAGGAGTCCAAAGTGTATATAACAAGCAACAGGATTAGCTTTGATGAATTGGGCCATAAACGCTAATTGGGCGGATTCATTTTTAATGCCGTGACCAACATTCTTACTGTAATTCTATGAATAATTTATAGAAAAAAATAGAATCGATCATTGCTTGATAGTATCAAAAGCTCTCGCTGAGCTGTGAGTTTTCGATTTTTGTTCGCAATTGCCCTAATTTGAATATTATTGATATGACCGATATCTTCATTAAGTCGATTAAATGACGACTATTTTGTAAAAAATTTTCTTGCCAAAAATTCTTTGACTATCAAAATCAATCCATAAAGTACTGATAGAAAGTATTAATTTGAAAAAGATAATTTCGCTCATGAAAACTCATGATTGACGGATTTCTTGACCCAAAGCTGTGTAGAATCTACGCAGAAGATGACAACCTGTGCAGAAAACCTGAGTCAGGGTCCTTAATATCTTCATGAAAGCGGCTTCACCAATATTCTCAGGTTCCTCAGAATCAGGTTTCCTACTTAGGGTACTCTAAATAGGTCCCCAAATATAATTTTTTCAAGTATCTCGCTCGATAACCTTATTTTAGGAAAATCTCTAAAAGCAAAAGTTTTATTAAAAAATCGTTTTTACCTTGTTTGTCATAAGAATGAGGAGAGATTCTTTCAATTTTCTTTCCTTTTAAAATTCATGATTTATGAAATTTTGTCTCAACTAGGAGTATTGCATCAAGGTCAATTTTTAAATCGGTTGAGTAGTTTTATGGGTTTCGGCGAATTCTGTTAAAAAATGTCTGTTTTACTTACAATTCAGAAAAGCGCGTGTAATTTCAATCTCTTCTCTTTCATTCGATTCTATTTTCCGCCATTTAAATTCTTGCAATTTTCGCTTCTTCCTATTCTGAGTTTGCCGATTTGAAATTAAATCTCTGACAGACAAGAACACGGGCTAATTGAGCAAAAATGATTTGAAGCTCTGGAATTGGATTCGACAGGGATCGAAAGTTAGAATCTGAACATGCCAACCCTCTGACACGGAAAATGAAGCTCGCGGGCGCCGCGGAATGCGCTAGCGAACGCGCCGCGGGGCAAGTTCAAGGCGCTGCCGCTTGAAATGCTGATAAAGATGATATTTTACCTTTAGTTTAAACCTTAAGTATAAAGATTTTCAGCAAAATCTTTTGATTAATTTTTCCAGTTTTCCAGAGATGAAAAAAGCGCCTAACACTGGAAAGAATGAGCTTTTTCTTTGAATAAAGCTCGATTTACGTCACAAATGAGCCTGCATTCAAATTTAATCTATGTCTGTTTCATGTTGAATGTTGAATTTTTCTAATACAGCGTTTTTTTCTTTCTAAAAAGAATCTTCCTCCGCTGCGGCTGATTCTTCTTCTGGCTCAGGTTCCAGCTGGGGTTCTTGCGCTGGTTCCTTTTCGGGCTCGGGTTCGGGTTGTTCCTTAGGCTCAGGTTCTGGCTCAGCTTCGGGTTCTTTTTCTAGATCTTGTTCTTGCTTTTCTTCATTTTTGAATTCGGCTGGTGCAGGAGTTGCCTCTCTCACGGGAGTTTTCACTTCTTGCTTTTCTTCGGCTAAATTTTATAATGAATTTTAATAAAATTATTTTATAATAAAAAACTTGAGAAAAATAATTATTTTCAAATCAAATTTAATTTCAAACCTTGATTTTCGGGCGCATCATCAACCGCTTTCGACCGTTTACAACACTTGCTTCCCATCTTTCTTTTTCAAAAAATCTCGAATGAAATGGTTGAAAGAATTTTTGGCACCTCGGATTCTGTTGACCTTTTTCATTTTTTCGATAAGGAAAGTTTACGTCCCGCGCCGGTGCTATCTGCTATTTGCCAACTGCGATTTAAAAGACTACCATTTATTTTTTGCTGAGAAAGTTCATTTGCAGTACTTTTTTCTTAAGGATCTACTGTCAAAAAAGGGCGGTTTTTCTATCCACGAAAACGGGCTTTAAAATTCATTTGGAAAATCAGGTTGTTCGTGGCCACAGTCCAGCGGAATAGAGGGTTGTTTCTGCCGGTATTCTGCGGCGACAAGTACAGTTAGAAATACAGGGAATCCCTTCAATCATGCAAGATGCTTGGTGAAGCCCAGCTCAGTGGCCAACGTGCGACGCTCTAAAATTCAAGAGACTTTCCAAGCTTTCACTCACTTTCAAAATACATTAGTAGCTTCCTCCCTCAAACGATCAATTATACATTGAGGGCTTAGGGTACCTCCAAGAAATACAGTCAGCGAGTTAGAAGGAACTAAGTAGATTCTCCTTCCAATACGTTTTTAGGAGGAAATTTTTTAAGGACCCCCCCCCTTTCCTCCGAAAAATTGAAATTTTGTCCTCAAGTCATATTTGCTTCAAAAACTTGAAAAGACGAAGATTTGACCAAGAAAAATCAATATTTTTGCCGAAATAAGGGCAAATTCGTCAATTTTCGGCGAAAAATCCGCTTTTAAAATGGGATTTTGAGGGTGAAGGACTCCTTCAGAAGGAGTCGAGATAGACCCCCAAAAAATGAAGCCTCTAAATCGTTTTTTGAACCGAAGAATCCATTTCCGGGGTCAAAATTTTAAATTTCCGAAATCTGATTTTTCAAAAAAGCTGACGGGGGGGTTCCTTAAAAGGGGATGACCTTCCTAACAAAAAAAAAAGAAGGATTTTTTGGCGAAAAATGCTTCTGAATTTTTCTAAAGCCCAAAACCAGCACAAAAAAAACCAAAATGCCCTCTAAATCGAAGCCAAAGCGTCAATTTTTGATAGAGCTTTTGAACGTTTGTGGAGATTAATGCGAATAATTATTCCTTTCATAGGGAGCTCGGGGAATTGACACGTGATTTTCCAAGAAAGAGGCTTTTCTTTTTATTGATGAATTTTTCAGGGATGAAGAAATTTTTTCGTCTTGAAATACAGGTAATACTGGATTGGAAGAGTGGCTTGTCTATTTTTAGACAGGAATTAAAGGTGTTTATACAAAAATGACGACTGTAAATGTGCGTAAGAATAGATACATAAGGTACTAAAGCCTTAAAAATAGTAAGTTTCATCGAGGATATCTACAAGGACGCGTGAATATTAATTTAATATAAGTTACATATCCGTTAGTTTGAGTGAGTCGAAACGCGAAGAAGAGGATGAAAAATTAATCGTCGATGCGCTCGTATCCCGTCTGCTGCCGCGGCTGCCGGACGAAGAGAAAATAATGCGCCACGACGGCTAGGCTCGCCACAGCGCAGATTGCTGAGACGCCGATTGTGAGTACTTCGCGGAAGAACTTGCCGCAGTCCTCGCAGTTGCAGGAGCATGGATCTTCGTTTTGAACTGAAAACTTGCTTAATATTTTCTTCCCCTGTGAAAATACATGGGTGAAAAAAGGGAGAGGAGGATTGCTTATTTTTTATTGGCTGCCACAAAATAAGCTGGCTTTTGATTGGTTGACAGGACCCTTTCTCCCCATTCCTCTGCCATAACTACACCTTTTATCAGACTTACTGATAACAACAGCGATTCCATTAGCTATCTTATCCGTTAAACTCATGGCTCCATAAACAAACGCCGAAGTAGAGCAATTATCACCAATTAGAAACGCTGTGAGGGATAAGGAAGATATCAGCACTGCCGCACATCCAGCTCCATTCATCTAGAAAAGGGTAGAAAACTAATGTTTTGTCTGCTTACGATTGCGACGCCGATGATTTCATATCTTCTGCTTGGGTCGACTGCTCCAATTGGCGTTGCTAAATCACGTGCCCAGATGAATCCGGATATGCAAAGAACTGTGCCGATGATGTAAATCACATTGTTGTTGATGTACTTGTTCAAGATCGGAACGCTCATGCTCATAACAAAGCCGGAAATGAACACTATCAATGGGACGATTGCTATCATCGTTTTTCTAGAATTTGTTTCATTCGAGAATTGATGAGGGTACTCACTGAACACCGAGAGAATCGGTAAGGTAAAATGGCATGTAGACTTGGGACATGTTCACAATAAGACGGCTTGACATGTAGATGAGTCCTGTCAGATAAAAGTTCGGCAGCTTGAACCATTCCGTCCATTTTTTGATGGTCTGAAAGGAAAATGTCGATTTATCGGCAGATGGGAGGTTCATTTCTGGAGAAATTTGTGCTACTTTATGTGTATAATTCCTATAGGAAGTGACGGCACATTTAAAATATTCTTTTTGACTTCAATAGAATCAAGACCTAAAACTGCCTATTTCTACAAAATTTCTTGTTATTATGGTCTTTTCTGTCATACTTTTCAACCGTAGAAAACGTCAAAATAACTTATATTACTAATATAAGTTATTATATAATATTAGTCTAAAAAGTTTATTTTAATGCCATTCCAGTCCAAGTGATGGCTACCTAAATTTTTCAAACTCCAGAAAATAGTAGCAGCCACAAGTGATGTCAATCGCGAAGAAAATTGATCGGTTCATTTCAATATTTATTTTTAAAATATTCAAAAGTATTCGAAAAATTAAGGCTTAAATGCATACGTTCGATTTTGCTCATAATTGATATCATTCAAAAAAGGACATAGAATTCTGTGGAGCAAAATTTATTTCTCAATATGTTACTTTTTGTGAGTTTATCTGGAAATTAAATTAAAATCGTTCAATTTTATATCATAGATATCAAGATCACTAACGTACCTCCTCATTGCTTTCAGTCAGCAAAGGTGTTCCTTCATTCTCTATGTGACCTCTGTTCTCCTCGTTGTCATCATCCTCATCATAGTTCACATTGGCGATTGTTCCCAATGGCCCGAGTTCCGTTTCTTCTGGCACAAAAAGATGGAAGAGAAAGGAGAAAAAGGACCCAGTGCAAATAACAATAATCGCAAGTTTGTTGAAAATAAATCGGTCATTCCAGCCGAGATCGTCAGAATCTGAGCTCTGCAGGAAAGCAAAAGCGATTCCATAGACTGCGATCGAGCTAACAAAATTTGAAAACGCCTTTCTCCCTCGTTTACCTGAGAACAGTTCCGCCATATCTGAAAGAATTGAGTTGGGTTCTTTCCCTCGCAACTGGCGTCAAATTTGGAATGACTGAAAGATGAGAAACTTGCGTCGAAGCCCAGCCGATTTGAAAAATGACGATAAAGGGCGTATAATAAACCAGTGCGACCCAATCTGGAGTGACATCTGGGATGTATTTTGGCACTAGAATTGAGAGTAATCAATCAATTTTGCAGAAAACCGCATTTACATAACTAGAAATCGACAATATTGACGATTCGCGCGTCTAAAAAGCCTCATTACCTGGTGTAAAGATAAATATAAAACTGAGAATGACACAAATTGTTCCAAACAAATGCCAGCTTTTTCTTCTGCCATAAATCTTCCCCAGCAATCCAACTCTATCACTCTCGATTCCGACAAAAGGCGTTGCGAAGCCGTCCGTTAATTGTCCTATCAGAAGCAAATATCCAGCAGTATCAGCGTCGAGCATCAAAATCTGATGAAAATAGACCAATAAGTAGCTGAACCACATGGCCGCGCAGAGGTCATTGAGCACGTGACCCACCGAGTAGCCAGCTGTTTGAGGATTGAATCATTGAAAAGCGAGTTTGTTGCATGAAAACAAAAGATGTGTGGAACTCGTGTTCTTTGTTCAAGAATTTATTTGAATAACGAAGAAACTGAAGCTTCCAGTTGAACTTCCGTGAATATCAGATAAAATAGTATTGTTTCTTGAAAGAAAGATGGGTCTTTCTTCCAGCTTTTTATCGAATTTTTAATACAAGAAATCTTCGAATTCGAATCCGTTAAAATGGGGACTTTCAAGAAGAATCTGTCCGCGAAAAAGTAGTCCTCTATTTTCATTAAGGATCTTTAACGCTTTGACACCCTTATTCCTTAATCTAATCATTCTCATTCACCATTTTTTTCTAAAGACTCAACCCTTTCCTTTGACCCGAGGCGAAATTGTGCTCATTTTCTATCTTCTGTTTCTCTCCTTTCTTTCTTCTTGTCAACCCTTTTGAGCTTCTTCTGTTCTTCTGGATTATTCTCTTTACAAAAATAAGCTTGCTTCAGCAAACAACTTCCAGCTCAGCATTATCTCTTATTGTTCAAAGGCCAGGAAAGAAATTGTGAGAAAAATATACAAAGTAGGGCGAGTCAATTTTACGCGCTCTCGTTCAAGAATTCAGCGTGGGTTCGTATTGAACCACAGTAGTTCATTCCGCATAAAAAAGGAACACTGATCGCAATCGTCGAAAATTTCAAGCTCTTATGAGAAGATGACGCAAGATGTTGACTTTTACGGTTCGATGACTTTACTGATTATTTCAAATGTCAGATTTAAGAAGTCAGATTAAAAAGAAATAACTAAGATTCAGTTCTTATTTCTCGCATTCCAACTGCATCGGAATGCTGATCAAAGCAAATATTGATATTTATTCTCAGACTTTCGTAAATGAGTTATCCTAAGCTGTCCCTTGAAAATCTCTCAGTATGACTTTACTGCAAATTTTCTATATTTTTTGTCGAGATCGGTTTTTGCTAGAGATTCTCAGCGATTTTGCCCTGAAGGGTGGACTTTGGGTCACTTAAAATGCTTCAGAATTATTCCTGAAATAACTAAAGGTACCGCAATGATACCATATTATCCCTCTAATCTTATGTCACCTTAAAAAGATACTAGAACCGAATGTATCCGTGAAAGATTTTTTAACGAAAAAACTGGAAAAAGCTGGTATGGTTTGAAGCTGAAAGAAGATCAATTCTCGGCAGCCAAAGAAGCATGCGCGATATTGGGGCAAAAACATAAAAACGGAAGAATTTTTACACCGAAATCGATTTGGGAACTCAATCAGTTATCAAAAATTGAAATCGTTGGCTTCAATTTTTCATCGTCCTCTTTCTGGACTGGTTACAGAATAAAAAATGTTGCTTCGGCTCGATTTCCTCCAATTTTGACAACGAAACCATAACCAGCTCTTCACAAAAGAAAACTGGCGGGCGAAAGCTTAGTTGATGATGATGTTGATTATGGAGTTGCCATATCGAAAAGAAGACACTACTCGAAAATGTTCAGCCAGCAATCGCGAAGAGAGCAGAGTTGGGCCTTGTTCAAAGACGAAATGCAACTCTAATTCGTGTAAAGAATGGCAGACTTTACTTTACTGGAGCAAGATTGAAGAGTTCAAGCGTCAATATTCTGTGCGAAATCGAGAGCTATCCGGCGATTTTCGCAAATGAAGAGTTCTTCTTTCATGACAAAGCTTCCTGAAGATCAGATGAAGGACTGACGAGACAGAGTAGATTCCGCAAAGATCAACTTGATTGTGGTCGGAGCCCATTAGCAGCAAGTCAATACATCAATTCTGAGATTCGGATTGCGGCACAAGCTATGGAAGAGCCTTACGTCTGTAGAAAAGATGAAGGGTGTAAGTTTCGAAATGCAAATCGATTTTCTCCGCCTTATCGTAATATAATATTTTGTAGCTATGCTAAGCCATCCATATCCCGGAACTTGCGATATTTGCCGTCAATGGCCCATTGACAATGGGTAAAAGTATTTTATTAATCATTATCTATTATTTCAGCGAGCATAAAATATGTTTCAAACAACGGACTCGAGCACAAATGTGGGGCAACAGTTATTTCATCTTGCTGGGTCTTGACTGCAGCTCATTGTTTTCAAGGGAATTTGTGGATGTGGAGGGATGGAAAGCATGTTTTGAATAAACAAGAAATACTGCAGCATTACCGGGTTCATGTGGGGACAGAAGCTTTGCTGCATAATACTTGGCATGTTGATAAAATTATGGATAACTTTCAAAACTTGAGAATCAAGGATGTTTTATTTATCCAGTAGTTCCTTAAATTAAACCCCGATAACGATTTTGAAGGAATTTACTCCTGATGAAATGAAATACAACGATATTGCTCTCCTTCGCCTGTGGCCGCAGAAAAGTCCGTCGAACATTCCTGATAATGATTTGAGCAAATGTATTCAATTTCAAGGTCCTGTTCAGTTTTATGGCCGTAAAAATCAGGATGAAATGACTGCAAACGAATATAAACAACCTGTTTGCGTGTCCAAAAATCCGACATTTGATGAAAACGATTATTGAAAAGGATTCAAGAAGACGATATTTTCGTTCAAAAGTTTATTCAATTTGTCTCTATTTGTTATTTTAGTATTGTAAAAACTCTTGAATCTCTTGTTTGCCTTATTGCTGGCTGGGGACATACAGAACAAGGAAGGATATTGGCAAGACAGCTTCATTTTGGAGATGTTAATTTGAAGGACTTCAATGAATGCAAGAAGAGCTACCAGATTGAGTACAGATTTTCTCTAAATGAAAGTCATATCTGCGCTTCTGGTGATAGAGTGGATGCATGCGAGGGAGATTCTGGCGGACCCTTGATTTGCTTCAAGAGAAGTGCCGATTATCCGGGGACTGCTGGACTCTATGCTTTTCAAAGAGCGTATTTAGTAGGAATCACGAGTTTTGGCACATCATCCTGCAACGGAAGAGTGAGTTGAATACAAAATAATTCAATTCACCAGGAAAAGATGTGTATAATGAAAGATTTGACTGCTCAACAAATCATTACCTCAGAGTAGATTGCTAATAGTCTCTTTATTATCAGTAATTGTCCTTTTCTATTTCTTTTCTCACTTAAGGCTAGGATGGTCGATTTGGCCAAAGCAGAGCTCATAAACTCTGGACTTATGAATGCTAGAATACCAATTAATGGCTAAAAATAAAGATCTATCCTAGATCTTCTGAATAATAGAAGGTTTTTTTGTTCTGCGAAATTTCGGAGTTTTTAAGCCTTGAATATTGGCTATTTTCGCGATTTTGGCCGAGATGCCAACTTTGAAGCCTCTGGAAGTGATTTTTTTTCTTGGCAGAACAAAAAAAAAACCTTCTGTAATTCAGATCTAGGATAGATCTTTATTTTTAGCCATTACTTGGTATTCTAGCATTCATAAGTCCAGAGTTTATGAGCTCTGCTTTGGGCCAAATCCACCACCCTAGCCTTAATTTAAAAAACAATGTCTCTCTCCTGTTAACGATGCTGAAATTTGCAAAATATCTTCAAACAATGGCTCGACTTGCCGTGGCATCATGTAATAGGCTCGGTAATCTGTGTAGAAACCTGATTTAGGCCCTGAAGATTGATTCAGATTTGGTATAGTAGCTCTTTCGGATCCCTAAGTCAGTTTTCCACACAGGTTTTTGATCCCGAGACGCCAAGACGAGGTAGCCGACAGACATGGGTTTCTTGTTTGATTTATTCGGAAAAGAGGAACGACTGAATTGTCTCTGGTTTTTGAAACGAAATTATAACGAAAGGTATTTTCAAAAGCCAGATCGATAGAAACATAATATGAAAATGAAGTTTTTATGATTGAAAGCAGTGAAATATGATTTACTACTGTTTTGACATTTTAACAGTACTTGACGGAAGGAGTTTTTACAGTGATTTTCGATCGCGAAAGAGGAATATTTTGGATGAAGGTGGAACTAGTATTGGGTGTGGTTGGGATAGCGGTTGCGCGTCGAATACGAACTTTGAGCCATATTTACGGCGAAGGAACGCTGGAAAGAAGGATGCGACTGGAGGATGCGATCGCAGCTGTCTGCTTGGAGCAAGCGGTCGAAGGATGCAGCGTTGGGGTCGTTGTTCACGGCGGGGCTGAATAAAATTGTCAAAATTAATTACATTTGTCCTTCCTGTCGTAAAAAGACCGAGAATGGGACCAACTGGATCCGGCAGTCAGGGTCATCCTTCGAGCCCTAGCTTTGTTACATCCAATGTCTCTGGAATGAAGGGTTACCTGCTTAAAAACTCAAAAGGTTCACCCCTCTCCGGTTAACCCGTTAACTGGGCAGTCAATATTAGGCGTTAACGGCCGCGAGGCCCTGAGACGGCCTCGCACATTTTGGCGTTTTCCGAGAAACAGGGCTGAGGAAATTCATTTCTAAGAAGACGAGATGATTCACAAGCGTCTGCTCTTTCTTCTAAATGTTGTTTTTAAGTGTTTCTGATTCGTTCAGTGGTTGAAAACGGAGGTCAAAGTTACGTCACTTTTGGCGTTGAAATTCAGAAAAGGGAAAACGGGAGCGAATTGTATTACGCTTTCCCTTTTTTTCGAGGATTGAAGTTTTTCTTTCGCCTCCCATTGTCCGAATTTCAGGCCGATTTTTTTCCGGAATCAAACACACAGATAGAGAATCGATTGAAATTTTCAAAAATATAAAAATTTTTCATAAAAAATTGAGTCTACGCCTTTTTATCGCGCTCTAAAGGCGAAAAGGCCGTGAGAGGGCCTCGCGCCTGTTAACGGGTTAAAGCCGTGGGTAGGGGTGAAGGGTGAGGGAAACTCGAAGGATAACCCCTTACTACAACTGTGTCAGTTGAAAACCTTAGTCAAGGATCCTCGCTCAGCGTCATGAAAGATCTTTCATACAAAGCAACAACTTACAAATTTGCTTGATAATGGAAATCTGCGTTGTCCTTGTAAAGTCGGCTTGTTTCGACTTCACGCGCTTTCTTGAATGCGAAGATAGAAGTTAAAAAGCCGATCGAGCAAAGAATGATGATCAGCAGCAGCAGAACGACTTCCAGAAGACGGCCGAGTGTTACCGCTTCTTCGACAAAGAAAAGGGCATCTTCTTCGAACACTTAAAATCCTGTTAGACAAGATTGTAACGAAATGGACGTTGAAGAGAGAATATCGAAGGATATTCTTTGGCGAATATGAAGGCGCAAAATATAGATGCTTACCAATATTTTGCAATTTTGGATGCGCGAGCAGATATGATTGTTTGTTCGTATTCGTGTACAGCGTTAAAATGTTCAGGAAAGTATTTTCTTTCTGTCTTTCCGTTTCGGTAAAAGTCGCGTTTACAAGGACTGGTTGAAAGCTCCTCGTCTTCTCCGCACGAACGAATTCTAGCTCTTCGTCGTCTGAGAAGAAGTTTGATCCGTCAGCAGAAGACTCAAAGTCACCAGAGCCTAAAGCTTCTTCTGGGAGTTCTTGAGCGCGGAGGGATTTGTCGTAGGGAAATTCAAGAGGTCCGATTTGAAGATAGAGCAGAAACAAGAACACATTCCATCCGATAAAGAGGGGCTAGAAAGAAAGATTGCTTATGAGCTGAATTGACGGGTTGGAGAACGAGAATTTGTTAAAGAAAGCCTGAGTCAAGGTCCTGAAGGACCTTGTCGAGGTTTAATGAATAAGCAGCTTTCTCTTAATAAAAAAGGAAAGACTGGGACCCGGATCAAGCGAAGCCGCGACCCGCCTTTTCATTAACTCTCTTTCTGAATTGAGTCAGAAAACCCTGAAGGTCTTTCTCAGAGTGCCGAACCCAGCCTCAGAAGAAGCCAAAAGAGCAGTGATTATTACCTGAAGAAAAATGTAAACGGCGATGAGGGCAGAGTTGTGGCGATGAAGCGCGGAAAGTGTTAAAACGGCAAGGAGGATACAGGCTACAGTGATCACGAATGGAGTGAATTGGTCAGAGACGAATTGAAGAAGCTACAAGAGAAACATCAATTACGAATTCGTTTGAGACGGCTTACGGAAGAGAATGTCAAAACGCATATCTGCGCTAGAATGACGATCGTGGCGTAAATGCTACACGCGTCGCGGCTTTTCTTTTCCATTCCTCAAAGTTTTCTTCTTCCCACTTTTTCAGTCGCCATTTCAGTCTAAACCAGCAAACTGGCATTTTGAAAATGTTTCAAGAAAAACTAAAGGCCCTTCAGTCGTATTATTCTTTTTATTTCTAAGAGCACCAAGCAAGTAAAGTTGGCGAGTGAACTGAGTGACGCGAAAGAAAGAGATTATTTTTTGCCGGATTTCTTGATGCCTCCAGAAGTGAGTGGCCCCTTGCCGCCTGCTTTCTTCGCCATATCGGCCATTTTCTTCTTTTCTTCACGCATTTTCTGCTGGTGCGCGATGTCATCTTCGTCCAACTCCTTTGGGCCCTGAAAAGGTGTGTAAAAACGGCGAAATAGGTAGGGTGAAATTGAACGAACCAAACTTTTCTTACAATGGTCGGAAAATATCTCGTCAACCTGTGTCCAAAGCCTGGGTGTCGTCCTGACTGAGGTTGCATGAAAAGCCGCGTAGCGGCTTTTTCGAAAACGAAGCCGCAAAGGAGCGTCGCCACAATAAGTAGCAGACAAAGATGATAAATTCGGGGTATTTTTCAATCTCTTTGAGGCCCTTACATAGGTTATAGTCTATAACTTATAGACACGGGGTTCCGAGCCCATGGTCGGAAAGTAACATTTGGTTCTTACCTTCTTCTTAGCTTTGAGGGGCTTTGCTTTGCCTCCTTGTCGACCACTCATTTTCTTAGGAAACCTCTGAAGCCAATAGTGTTAATTCGAATTAAGGATAGTATAGTAGAATAAATTTAGTAGAAAAGGTAATAAAATTGCTAAACAGTTAATTTGAAATTGTACTTTAATCTGTTAAAATGTTTTCTTATGAATCTGCGGAAGATAGAGTACATACAGTACATACAATAAATAATCAAGTGTTCAATTCTCTAATTTGTTATTTCGGAAATTTCTTCTTTTTTTCCTCTCTTTAGGATTTGAAATTAATTTCACGCGGGGGAAATGAATGGACGCGCGCCGATTGGCTGCTGTGAATCGAACCAATTTTGGAATTTCAATCAAGAAACCGAAGAACAGCTCAATGAGTAGCACTAACTGGTTGTTTTACTCAAAGTCACCACCCCAAATCTCCGAATTGATCGATTCAGATCATTTTACAGATGATAATACAGATGTGGGTTGGAACGAGTTAGAGTATGAGTTAGAGCAATTTACTCAGGATTCCTTGCTCATGAGAGTCATTTGATGAGGAGAGTCACTAGGTCAGACGCTCCTGACTAAATGGCTCCTGCCCAGCTCCAACTCGTCTTAACCCACTTCTGTAGTATCGTATGTAAAAGAAGCTTAGTTGATTAGCTCAGAGATTGGCGCGGGCAGGGTTTGAAATGTCTGATCATGAGCAAGTCGTGCTCAGTCCTGCTCATGCTCAGCCAAAATTTTGATTTTTCAAACCCTGGGTACCGTTAATCTTTTTTAACTTTAAAAAATGGAATGTAATGACTAAAAATAGGCTCAGGATGATTAGGCCAGCGAGCATGTTTTAAAAGCTGAACACCACCAGGTCGCTACAAACCAAAAAATGATTCGACTTGCAAAAAGTGAAAGCCAGAAAAAATTGATCAAAAGGGCTGCCAAAAAACTTTCCCGAAAAGCCGCTAGAAAACGGGCTGAGCCAAAATTTTACGAAGTCAGAAAAGCGTTGAGCCCAAAAGAGCGTTGTTTTTGCACGAAGCTGCCGAAATGGCTTGTTTATTTGCAAAAATTCAAGACTTTTTCGAAGCATAATTTCAAAGGAGCAGTTGATATTAAATGCAGGGAAGAATTACTGTACTACAAACTGGTTGAAGAATCATTACTGTATGAAAAAGACGAAATTATTTTGTGCGAACATGATTATTTTTGAAATAAAGAAGAAAAGCATCATTATTGACGTTCAAGTTCTTCGATCTGTCTGACTGATGATGGTATTCGTTTCTGAATTCGCAGGTGCGGGAATGATGATTGAACGGTACCTAACGTGCTCGAATAATAGTTAGCGCGACTCGAGCAAATACCACAGCTGCAGGGTTTTCAAATTCCGGGGCCATGCATCTTTGCCAGAAAACATCGCTATTTTTTCTTGCGCTTACTCGAATTGCTTCAGATTGAGTCAGAGCCGACAAACGATACGAAGCCCCTAGAATAGCAGTAAAGATGAGGAAATGCTGACAGGTCGGAATTCCTTCCGTCTCAACCTGTCAAAGGAGGAGTCTCCTTTGCGGTAATTGTGGACCGCGTCTGCTCAAATCTATTTTCGGTTTCTCCCCACCCAGAAACTATCGTTCACGGAAAATGCGTTTTTAATCTAAAAAAGCAGCAACCACTTATCCAAGAGCTCGAGATAAGGTTTTTCATCGGAAGGTGGCAATTTACTTACCCGCGTGGCCGATTCAAGTGTCCCTTCCCCACCCTACCAAGAACTACAGCTCAACTCATTTCACTCCTGCATTTTCACGTCATTTTCAAATGAAAAGAAAAAGCTTGCAAATGGCAGAAAAGAAAATTGAGTGCCAAGATCAAAATTGTCAGACCTGTCCAAGGCTTAATCAGATTATGTTTACGTTTTAACCGGATTTCGACCACGTTTTCTGGCAATTTGAAATCGTTTACGTTTCAAAATTATTGTCGAAAAATTTACCTCAGGAAAAATAAAACCTCAAAATCGCGCCCTAAAAACACGCAGGTTCCATGTCCAGGTCAATTCGCACGAATTTCTTTGCAGAAAAAAGCGGATACACGACGTTTTCAGCATACCGACGTTTTCAGCAACCGACGTTTTCAGCATAACGATGTTTTCAGCGCCGCTGAATTCGTCGGTTTGCTGAAAACGTCGGTTTGCTGAAAACGTCGTTTTTCACCTGAAAACGCGTGGGCGTTTAGAGAGGCAATCATTTTATCAAACTACATCTGAAAACGATATTTCCGTAAATCGTAAAATAACATAAAATCGATGTAATATTAATGAATCATTTACAAAAGATTATATTTAACAAAATTATTATTTTTATCTTTTTCAATATTGATTTATCATTATTTTCATTGTTTTAAAACAGATTCACGAAACTAGATAATACGTTTATACTGTAAACTTTCTGGTGATTTATAGTGACTAATGATTATTATGATAATAATGTATTAAGAAGTAATTTAGCTAATTCTTACATTTTTCTAAATAATGCATAATAATGTTTTCTAAATAATGCATTCTTAATGACTCATTTAGAAATGCTTTTAAACTATTAACTAGCCAATTAAATTGCGAGAACCTCGCCTTTAGATCCATTTGGTTTGAAAATTTCGTTCCGGCAAACGCCCACGCGTTTTCAGGTGAAAAACGATGTTTTCAGCAAACCGACGTTTTCAGCAAACCGACGAATTCAGCGGCGCTGAAAACGTCGTTATGCTGAAAACGTCGGTTGCTGAAAACGTCGGTATGCTGAAAACGTCGTGTATCCGAAAAAGCGGGCAAATCGTGAGCGCGTTGAGATAAAACCGTATTTTTAGAGGCGGGCCGAGGGTTTTAACTGAATCGCCAACCGGATCAGCTTTCAGATACAAATAGGTGCATCCCTAGTTTCACAAGTAGACAACGTGTCTGGCAAAATTGCGAAATTTTCCGGAAACTCAAGTGCTTTTTGGTCAAAAAGCTAAACTGAAATTTATTTGGGCGAAAATGCGATTTTTATTTATAAAAAAACACTAGACATTTTCCTTGATTTCATCACGAAGAAAAATGAAATCTACACTTTTAACCATAACACTTAGAGCAAAACCCAAATTCAAACTTAAGCTCGAACCCTAACCCTTCTTTTTTTATCAAATTTTCGCTGATAAGGACAGATTTGCCGTCATCTCGACTCAAAAATGAAGAGTTTTCAAAATCCAGTCTCTCGCGCGCCCTCCGCGCTTTTCATGAAACCTCCGTCTTCGAGGGATTCGCGCTCGACCGTTGTCTTTCAATTATTCTTTTTTCTGAAAAATGAAAATCTTCAATTTTTTCTCGATTTCTTCGATTTTTGCAAATGAAGTGAGGACGTTTCAAAATGACATTTGCGAGGAGCCCGTTTGGATGAAATTGAATGGCAAAGAAGAGAGGTTGATTCAAAGCCAGTTTCCCGGACAGAGAAATGTTCAACTCGAGATGCAGGAGCAGAGATGCAAGTTTTGTGGAGACGATTTGGTCGAAATGTTCAAGAGACGTTGTTGCGGAGCTTCAGGTAATTAAGAACCCCCCCCTCCCCCGTCAACGATTTTCCTCAAAAAATCGAAAATCTCAAAACAGCCATATTTTGGCTTCTGAGTATGTCTGGAAGTTAAATTTATCATAAAAACTTGTTAGAAGCTCTTCTGGACCAATTAAAATCTAAAATATAGGCAAAATTGGGACTTTTTTGTCATTTTTCGTCAAAAAGTCCAATTTTCAAACGCGATTTTGAGGGTCTTAGAGTCGAGATAGACGCCCAAAAAATGAAGCCTCAAAATCGTTTTTTGACCTGTAGAATCCATTTCAAAATTTTGAAATTCCGAAAATAGATTTTTCGAAAATTGTTGACGGGAGGGGGGGGGGGTTCCTTAAAGCGATTAAAAAAATTAGTTCGAAAAATACCGCTAGAATATCTTATCTTATTTCAGATGCAGAAAAGCTGATAGAATTTTAGATTTCATAGAAAATAAAAAGGCTTATGGTTTTTTTGAAAATAAAATGAAATGAAATGATGAGTACCAATCATCTACCGTGGCAAAAATTTGATCTACGAGATAAAAATCTTCGTTATCTTTATCCTCTACCTAGTTCTCATGTAGATAAACTGAGTAGCGAAGATCATGATAATATTCGATGTCAAATCTTCCGTTTCTGTACGAAGTACCTTTTTTTTAATTTGAATTTCGAGGCCACGCGGGTCGACAGATGAATTCCCATTTGAATTTTCTTTTCAAACAAGGTCAAATAATATTCACTTTTCTTTTTTAGAAGAGCTCGTTGATCGGCTAAGACGCGATGTGCACATTGACGAATCGGACATTTTCAATCCCAGGTACATTTCTCTTCCACTTTTCTTGAATAACAAATTTGTTAGATTCATTCACACGCCTCCAGTTGAAAAGAGAAATCTCCAAGCTTCGAGTTGGAAGGGCCATGATTCGATTCACATCGAGCGACTTTCAGATGGATTCAAAATGGCGAAATGGGATGCCAATCAGTTTTTAAAGACTTGGAAACATACGGCGATCCCGAGAGCTGGCACAGGACTGGGTTTTTATAAGCCGACAGCGGACTTGAAGATAGTACCGCGAAGAGGATAAATTCAAGTTCATTTTCGCAGCTGATTTTTCGATCCCCTGGATTGAGAATGAGAAAAAGGCGAAAAACAAGATTTTTTTCGTAACCATTTTTTTCTGAAAAATAAGATAGTGACACTCTTATTTAATAAATTACTTTTTAAAATTTCGAAAAATTAATAAAAGAAAACAAAAATATTTTTCAAATTTCGACTCGAATTTTCCCTCTTTCAGCGAAAAACCCGAAAAAGTCCGATCGTCCCTGTACAATGAGTGTTGTGGAGACTCCTCCTGTTCTTCTCAAAAAATCCTCGATTCTTCCATCAACCAAGAATGCTGCGGCGTCGGCTGCAGATACGAAGAGGTTCTAGAAACCTGCGGCGCTGTTAAATGGGTGCCAATGAAATAATGCCCTTTAAATTTTCTGTACATAAATTAAAATAAAAAGTTTCAAAGTTCAAAAACTTTTTTCTTTCTAAATTCCGCTGAGGGAGAAAAATGCAAATTTTCATCCAAGAAATCAGACACATGTCTCGTGGTCGAAATGAAAGAAAGACGCTCTGCGAAATTTTGCGGTCGGTTCGTGTAATTGGCGATTTTAATGAAGAAGCGAGACTCTTTTTTTTTATTCCCTAATGATATCATATTTGGATGATTTTGAAAAAGGACTCAAGGAATTTATGAATAAGTGGGAATGAATTTTGAGCAATTATGCAGACATATATTACATATGATATGTATCACTAATACAATATTAGGCAGACAGGTATTCAAGTTTATAAGCTGCAGTAGTCAGGAGAAGTTATAAATGCAATAGGATAACAGACATTTACCCCTTGGTCAGCAATAGCATCAGTCGATATAAGTTTCTCTTCCGCATCTTTTAAGGTTCTTTTATATTTTTGACCTTGAACTTTGATGTCCAGAATTAAAATTCTACAAGTAAATATTTAAAACTTTATCGAGCGTCCTCGAAAACTGACAAAAATTATAAAGTAAAAACCTCGTCCTAAATTAATTCGTTGAATTAGGCTATGACTGTAACTGGCACTATAACTCGTTACTCCTGGAAAAACGAAGATCGTCCCATCAAGCAATATAACTGATGAAGAGTAAATTGGCTAAAATTAATAAAATATGATAAGAAAATTTTTTCAAAGTTCGAGAGAAATTTTCGACTAACGCGAAAGAGAATTCCAAATAAAAGCCAGGTATTGTTAATCAATCGCCAAATTTGTTTCAAGGTCTCATATCTCCAATTGTCATATCCTCCAATTGTCAAAAGACTTCCAGAAGACAGGCCGACTAAAGCAGACTTCTGAATGCACCTATATTTTGCTCAAAATAAACTTTTTCAGGATGAAGAAAACCTTGGATGCGGCGTGAGATAAATCCAACTAGAATTAATTAATGTCTCTACTGAGCATTTTCTATTTTTTTGCCCAGCAACAGCTGTTGGTCGACCATTATAAAGACCCAGACCACCGTTGAAATGATCCATCTTTGTTTCTGGTATTTTTGAACTCAAGATTCCATTGAATTGCTCGCAATTTGTGCCCTTTTCCGGCCAGCCGAAGCAAATTATTGCTAAAATGCTATTCAATCTAGATTAAAGGACTTCAACCTTTGTCTCCTTCTTGAACGGTTACCGCCGCATGTCCATATTGAAAATAATTAATCAATCTAACTTTTAATTCCTTGAATATACATCCGTCTAACCGCGCAATCTACAAGAGAATGATATTTTTTCTTCCTTCATTTTGCCTACTCTTTTTCCATAAGACTCGCCACCAAAAACGTGCACCTTGCCACTTATGATTGCGAGTCTTGACTCATAAGTATACCGTGAAATATGAGCAGATTCGCTTTCTGGAGGGTTGACAGATATTTCTGTCTTTCTCGACGCATCAGTTTGTAACAGGTAGGGTTTGTACTTCTCCGTCAAGCCGAATGATGTCATGTGAGGTAGAATAACAGTAATTTGTCGAGGGTCCACATAAGAATAAATAAAGTTTTTGATCATGACTTTTCGCATTTTTTTAAAAACTCTTATTCTTTTGTCTTGAACATAATCAAGACCAATCAGTTCAATTCTACCGACATCTTCTTGAAGAATTTCCTCGCACCAATCTTTGCACCAATCTTTTTCTCGACACCATCTTTGACCGCAATTTCGTTTTATCTTGTCGACATCCTCCGTAGTTTTTGGCTTCTTCTTCAAAACTTTAAGCACGGTGGTTGCTAATGTCCGATTTGTGGTAATAATAAGCTCAATATCTGCAGTTGCCGTTGAATTTGAATCGAGAATGAATCGTTGTTGAAGAAAATCAGAGTCAATCCAAAGCGAATTATTTCGAAAAAATCCAAGATTCAAGAATGTCTTTCCGTCATAAAATTTCATAAAAAACGTTTCGATAACTTGCGTTTTGGCTTTTTCCTGAAAATTTAAGCCCTTTTTTTCATCGAATTTGGCTCACCTCAATTCTTGTCTGAAAGCTGATTTTTTCTGTTCCATTTAATTTCAATTCAAGAGAGCAAATATGTTTTAATTCTTCCAGCGAAGAAAAGAACTTATCAGGAATAATTGTCTTTTTATAAGATGCGCGGTAAATCGAAATTGCTGACTTTGGAAAGAGTTTTATATGGAAAACAGCGTTTTTCGCAAAAGCCGGGAAAATGTCATCATGGAAGGCAAAAGAAGGGTTGCTCGTAACAAGAATTTTCTTTTCAGGTTTTTGTTGAACAAAATCAATTTCGATCATGTCTTTTTGTAGAGGATAAAAAATTTTGAACTTTTAATTTGCATTTTTATCAAGTTTTTATCCGGTCCAAAATCGAATTCGATCTCAAATGTTGCATCAAAGACATAATTTTGAATGAAAATCCGATCATTCGTGATTACACCATGACAAAAATATTCGCATTCATCGTTGTTGTTCCCAATTTGATCAGTGTAAGACAGATCATTTGGGGAAAATAAAGCGGAAAAGCAAACCGCCATTTCTTCGTATTTGACAAGTGATCCGATCCACTCGCTGCCAACTGTCAAAAAGTTTCCATCTGCCTCCAACAACAAGGAATATTGAGTATTAGAGAGATCCACGCTTCTTGTCACGAGAATAAGAACCAGCCGCTTAATGTCAATCTTTTCAGAACTTTTTTTTTTGGCAAAGAAAACTGGTTTTAATGACAAATGAGTCCCTCTCAATGGTATGACGTGAACGGGCTCAAGATCCCTGTATATTGCCGGCAACGCTATCTCATCTTTTTTCCACCCTTTTTCATGAAAGGAGTCGTTATTTGTTCTTATTTTCGTGGAAATTTATAAAGAAATTTGAAAGACGACTCCCCTTTCCAAAAATTTCGCTTCTTCTTATTGTATTCAGTGCGATAGTTGTCGAAAGCTTAATCCAGTATTCTCCAAGCCTAACACTCATCAGATAGAAAGTTCCTTTGAAGCTGATAGAGGACATTTTCGCGTTGAAATGATTGCTTGCTATGAAACCCTGAGCCACTTCGAAGCGATTGTTATTATAATCAGGAGCAAAGAAGTAGCATTTATCTGATCTTCCAGTTGGAGAGCTTTGACTGGTCGAAAACAGAACTCATAATAATTTGAAAAGATTGCTTTGACCATTTACAAATAACAACGACTGAGAAGATTTTCTTGTCATTCTCTTTTTGACGGATCTCGATTTGATGAGTTCCTATTGATGATCCGAAATGAAAAACGAAGAAACCGCTGAAAAATAAAAGAAATATTAACAAACATTGAAGTATGCTCACATTCCACGGAGTCGATTGACAATAAAGACCGAGTCATTAGCCTCATCGATGATCATCAAATTGCCTTTTACATCGACCAGGAAATGCTTGTTATTCAGAAAAGTTGCACCACTTGACTTTTTAGAATTTTTGCCAAGTGAGATATTTTATATTTTTTTAGAAAACATTATTTTTTTTTTGAAAAACTCCTTCATAAAAGCCAAAAAAATAAGGAGCTTCAATGTGAGCTTTCTTTCTTTTCCCAGTCAAATCATAAAGAACAATTGGAAGTTTTCTTGTTTTCGGTGGATTATTTGACCACCGACCAGTTATTCTTTCGAGCAGTAAGGGATTGTTTGTTTTGTTGTCGAAATTTGACTCGGTTGTCGTTTCGTGCGGTAGAGTCGTCTCGGTTGAGGTTAACTCAGTTGACATCACCTCAGTTGTTGGTGAGAAAGTTGTTGACGTAGTCGGATTATTTTTTGACTTCTGAAGATCAAAAACAGGAACCATCTTTTGAATCGAGCCCATTTTCTCACATTCATAGAATTGGCAGGGACACCCGTTTTTGCAGTACTTTTGAGTGGGGCAAACTTCTCCGGCAGAATCAAATGATCTAGTAAGCTCGAAGCAGATTGACTCGCAAGGAGAAATTGGGTAAGTCCTCATTGTCTCCAAAACGAGGGTCTTTGAACAAAGATGGCGGCAAATTTTCTGATCGTAAAACTTTTTCTTTTTACAGCGGCGCAAATTGAGTTCGTTTTCTTCTTCGGTGAAGTCAAATTGTGTTTTCCCTTCTCGCTTGAGTTCCGTTAGCGGCTCAGGAAGAATGAACTCCTGCGTTTCGTAGCATTGTTTCATCAGATGTCCACAATAATCCATCGTTTCGATTTGAACGCATTTTTTATAATTTCGATGACAAGTCGAAGTCAAAAAAGTCGTCACACCTCGAGATTTCTGTAATGAGTACCAATTCGCTAGAAATCTCAGTAAAAGAATAATCTTCTCAGAAAACTTACTGATAAGCATAATTGTGATCCAAAAGAGAGAACCCATTCCAACATACCAGCTTTTTTGCTGCGTCGTTGCAAATCCATGCCGAGTTACTCTCATCAGCGGTCTCGATCTTTCCTTGTAGGTAACATTCTTCAAATCCTGCTTTCTTGTGTTGATGCTTCGAGTTGACAAAATGTCTTTTGCAAACAAATAAACCTTGCCGTCTTTTTGTTTGAGAATTCCAAGACAGTGACAATCCATACACTTAATTAAAATAAAAAAAAAATTTTCCTGATTCTGAAAACCTCGACTTTTGTGTGATGCAAATTAAAGAAAATCTCTTTGATACCACCAGTCATAATCGACTTTTCTCTGAAATTCTTGAAAAAGTAAGTTGAAAAGAAAATTAAAGTGAAAATGAATTCTAGATAAAAGTAAAAAGTAAAAGTCATCATTCAAAATGAACCAAAACGGAGGCAAAAGTGTCAAAAAGTCAGACCAAGGAATGACGAGTTTTCCCATGAAAAACTGGTTTTATCATCAAAAGTTCAGTCAGTTTCGCTCTTGAAGAAATTGGACTTCTAGCATTGACTGGTGCAGTTCCTGCGTAATGCTCTTGTTTATATGATTACCATGGCGAAAAACCACAAAGCGGTGTCTCGTAATATGGGCCCCCAACGGCACAGGCTTTCTTGTACCTAGTCATGTTCAAAGTATTATCGCAACCAAAATGTTATCCGGTACATGAAACATTGGCTTGTTGGAACAAAAACATGGAATCATGAACAAGATAACGATAAAATAATTAACTGAAGACTTCAACAAGAGATGACCTAGATTTCCTATCATTCTGGGCATTTATTTCTGATTAAAATAACAGACAGAGAAAACTACTGAGAAAACGATTTTGTAAACAGAAGAAAGAAGTTCACAGTGTTGAAGACCCTACCAAATTAATTGCTGAACAGAATTTTTCTGGCCTTATTCTTAGTTCGCAGCGCATCCGAGTTGCTTGAATTTATTGTTCAAAAGCATCTTGCGCTGTCGATGAAGGAGTCTTCTCATTTTGATTGGAGCCCATTCGTTTCTTTGCTGGGGAGTGAGACCATCCATGCAGACGAAAGCTCTTTGGTAGCTCAGGAGAGACGAGATAAGGTCATTGATCGACTGGCAGATGTCGTTCTCGTCGAAAACCGAAGGGACGAAGTCGGCAGGATTCCCAGAACCGGCATATTTGTCGCATGGGGTGGTAGATCGCAACGCAAAGTTTTGCACTTTGGCTATGAGTCTGTCAATAACTTTACCCTTTCGGACTGGGGGGATATTCTTGTTCTCATAGGCGGCCAAAACACCGTTGTAGAGATTGATGCCGGTTTGTTGGACCGAGGCCCAAGCAGCGGTTGCTTCATCAGAAACCTGTTGGCCAGAAGCAGCTGCAGCGAGGACAATTGGAAGAACCTGAATAAAGTTTTAAAAGAGTGATTTAAACAGATCTCTCTTGATTTTTGAAGAAAACCCCAATTTATGAGGCTTTTTCGCGAAAAATCCAAAGCAGAGAAAAATAATCGTACCTTCATTTTGTTTTCGAGTAAGAAATACTTTCTCTCGCAAATGATGAATTGGACGAGGAAAAACTGAATTTAAACAATGAAAATAATCAACCGCTTGGTGTGCTCAAGAGCGCCGTCCGTATTAACGAAATACTAACTCCGCACTACGTGATGAAAGCGCAACTTCAGCCATTCTATACGTCTTTTCTATGCAGCCATATATAGAATCGGTCAGCTCAGCTGCGCTATGGGGAATTTTTATGTGAATCCCGCTACGCTGAGCTAAATTTACAAGTCAGCTCCGCTATCTGAGATAGCCTATCTCTGCTATAGAAAAATTTAAAAAATTTTTAACTCTTATTTTTATTTAATTTCGAAGACAATTTTTTTAAATCTTGTTGATACCAAGACAATTTTTATGCAATAATGCGATAAAAGTTCTATCATAGAACGATATTTAGGTAAAAATTTTTATTGATGCTCAAAAAAAGAACACTTGGTTATGCGCGAAGAATCCGCAGAAGTTGTTAAGATCCCCCCACTGAGCATTTTCATTGCAACCATTCTTGGTCAGGTCGAGTTAAACGGTCATACGTGGTCAATCTTCGGGGTAGGGATCCCGAAGAATAGACGATTTTAAATACGCTTAATCTTCGGGGTAAAATCCCGAAGAGCTACCGATAAAAAATGCGGTCAATCTTCGGGGTCTCGAAAATCCGGAGACGAAGAATAACCGATCAACATTGTGGTGAATCTTCGGGGTCAAAAAAAACTTTGAAGATGAATACTTATAAAAGATCAGCATATTTAATTTTTCTATAGTTTTTCCTGCTATGAATCATAGCATATGATAAACTATCAAACAAATAGAAATCCGATGTTATAAATTTCAATAAATTTATGAATGAATAATAATGAACAATAATTTAATGAATAATATCTAATAAAAGTGGCCGATATTTCTGACCAAAATTGAGGGATTTTCGAATAAAAAAAGTTCGTCCTAAAGATTGAAAGCCAATTAACGAGTGGTCGTCATTTGCCCAAGTCGTCATCTGCCCAAGTCGTCATCTGCCCAGGTCGTCATCTGCCCAACTTGGGCAAATGACGATCTCGGGTGAAAGACGATCTGTAATTGAATATTTATTTGAAAAAAGCTTTTCTGTAATTCACAGGAACGGACTCATCACTGTCCAAGTCCGGAAGTCCGGTCCATATATTTTAATAGCAAAGACTTACTCAATTACTAATTGACAATTAGGCCTCGATTTTCTAAAAAATATCCTGAAATTCAGAGTATTCTACTCTTCCATACTTATAACTAGCTTCCGGAGGAGATTCATAACTTTTCTCTTCTTTTCAAAAGTTATTACTCAAGTTCAAATGTGAACCGAGACTCGGCTGCCGATTCACTCGGCCCGAGTACCCTCGGTTCCACTGGGACTGTTCCACTTCGACATTTTAATTCAATCAATTCAAACAAAATTTCATTCAAAGTTCAGACTAAACACAAAACCGACTTTAGCACCTTTTTCCGGCGCCAAGCGTCAGCAAGGCGTATAGGTACGCGCAGTTTATTTAGAATAGGCTATTGTTGGCGAAAACTCATTACACCTTGCTTAGCGAAACGATGCTAATGTCCCAGATGAAATTGTTTTCTCAACAAAAACTGTCGAATTTGAACTGATAAGAGGTCAACTTCCTGCGAGTAGTCTTCTTGCAAGTAGTCAGTTTAACTTTTATCTTGCTGCATTTTTCTTAAATTTTGAATTCAATTGCATCGTCATTCACCCAGGTCGTCATTTGCCCAAGTTGGGCAGATGACGATCTTGGGCAGATGACGACTTGGGCAGATGACGACTTGGGCAAATGACGACCACTCCAATTAACAACTCTATTATTGAAAGTTTTAAACAGTTAACTATTTTAAAAGAAGAAAATCATCAAATCTGATTGTCCCTTACCTCGGGGCTCCGCCCCTCGGTCCTAAGATGCCGGGGTCTAGTCTAGGGTTACTTAGGGTTACCTTCGGTAACCCTAACTAACCCTAGCCTATCCCCCTCGGGTAATTTGTTCCGTCATTTTTGAAGGTGCCACCTAACCCTAACCTTTATTTTAGCAAATACTATGATTTTAATTTTTTATCGGAAAAAGTCTTTGGTATACTTCCGAGCCATTTCGTACTTCAATGCGCTTCAAGAATGAAGGGCGCCTTGAAGATTTTTGAAGCGCAGGGCAGTATACAGTATACTGTTTACTTTTTTACCAACTCTGGTGCTGATAGCAACATTCATAAGGCGGGCGGATGATAGGAATTTCGATAACGCAGCAGCGAAATTTAGCACTCGGCGATCACGAAAACACTCATTTGACCCCGAAGAATCACCGCATTGTGCATCGGTTATTCTTCGTCTCGGGACTTTCAAGACCCCGAAGACTGACCGCATTTTATATTGGTAGCTCTTCGGGATTTTACCCCGAAGATTGAGCGTATTTAAAATCGTCTATTCTTCGGGATCCCTACCCCGAAGATTGACCGCATATGTCGAGTTAAACATTTTGCACGTACCTTGGTATTTCGAAAATGGGGCTCCGAGCCGGACGGGGTTCCAAGTACCGAGCCGGGTGTATTCTTGACTTATATTGCTACCAAAATATACCGTGCGCGATACGTGGAACATTGACTGTTTTGATGAAAAGAACATGGAAAAATGAACAAAGCAATTGCCAGCAATAAAAACTACCGGTATCGGAAATTCTTTTCAAAGATATCATCCTGCTCTTATTCAAGTTCCTTTTTATAATATTAGTTAATTTTTACGAAATTATTGAAGTTTTTGACCTTTTTAAGGACTACGGCGGAAGAAGAAAATGTCCACAAAAGGAAATCAACTGTATAGATGTTATCCTGGCTGCATTTAATTGCAAAAGAGGACGTTTTCAAACTTCTAGTCAAAAAGGACAATATAAATTTGCCCTTATTTTTGCTTTCACCGTAGACGATGTATCAATAAAAGCCGATTGGTCAAGGTTGGAGGATAAACGACCCAACTAAAAGGATAATAAGCCTAAAAATTCTCTTCTGGCATTTGAAATGCTGCATTTCCTTTTTCGTTTTTTCCTTTTTCCCAATTTTACGAGCAGCTTTATAAAACCTCTTGATAAAGAAAATGAAGGCGGTTACTCTACGCAGTATTTAAAAAAGCTAGAGATTTTCATCGACAGAGAAACTCTCCGTAAATATTCTCTCAACATGTCTCAAGATTTAACCCTCAATGTGCTTTTGCAAAACTCTTGTCGCGTAGAAATCAAAATGGCTGACGACGCGAAGGTTCATCAACTCAAAGAATTGGTTATTCAAAAACTTAATGAAGGTGAATTCGCGGGACTCGGTGTGCCGAAAACCGACAACATGCGATTAATTCGTCAAGGAATCGAGCTGAAGCCGAATCAAGCGGCGATTTCGCAGTTTGTGATGGCAAGTGGCGATGTTCTCCACTCGCAGTTGCCCAACCCACTATCTCTTCTCCTTCAAAGACGCATGATCATTAATCAAGCGGACGAGGAGCCGAGCAGAGAAGCGACGAAAATGAGGAACATGTCGATTTATCAGCGCAATTTCGAAGAATGCGTCAAGGCGTCGAAAAGAGGCATCAATCCGAGCGAAAGACCTCGTTACAACGATCCATCGCGCGAGCCTCCACGTGATCCGATCCTCCGAGATTTAGGTGATATGGTGGACGATCTTGGAAACGCGCTAATTCAATGGAGCAGCCAGCTTCAAATCGCTGCGGATGTGCTTTTGGCTGATCGGAAATATAAAGACGACGGCAGGCTAGAAAGAGAGAGATGGCTAATTGATAATAACATGCAAGCAGCGAGATATCTTTCCCCAATTGTAAAGGTAATATTTACTTTTGTACTATTTGTGTCTAAATCCCATTTTTAGCAACTGTCAGCTTTCATTTTTCCGATAAATCGTGGAGAAGACCCTCGAATATTCAAAGTAAAATGAGTTTATGTGAAACCATAAGGGTAGAGACCCATTTAAAATGAGCCAATATGCATGCGCTATCTGATAGAAATTCATTCTTTTAATACAATGTGTTTAATACATGTGTTTTTTTTCTGTCTGATCTCCATTGAAAAATAAAATTTCATAAGAAATATTTAAAATTTCTCGAATTTTTGAAGAAACAAATGAATTTATTTGGCAAAAGCAGGAAATATTACATGATATATAAAAACAGTTATAATTATAATTTTTACAAAGGCACCAGATCCAAATGATTTCATAAATCATATCTGGAAAACAACGAAGAGACATTTCAAAATCAAGCATTTCTTTCAAAGCCAAGAGCAAAATTTTCCATCTGTTTCATGCATTTTTCAACAACGACTTGTTCCGCCCGAGCGATGTTGGTCGCCATCTCCTTGTGGTACAAAAACTGTTCGTCCCAGTTCGCCCCTTCGATTTCTTCGAGGAGATTTCCCAGGTGCTCTCTTCTTCTGTAGATTAAAAAGAGTGCGCCACGGTAGAGACGGGCGGTTTTGGCATTTTCATCGTCGTCTTCTGGATTGTCATGATCCTAAAATACTTTGAGGAAAAATCTTTTGTTTGACTCATACAAAAACTGTTTCAAGAACAAATGACTCGATTCCACAGTTGAAATCAATGTGACCTCCTTCATCCCCAGTTTGTTTCAGAGCATTTGACGCTATTTCCTCGCACTCTTCTCGTGCTTTTCCAAGTCGAGCTACGCATGCATCGACGATTTCATCTTTGTACAGGTAGATATTCTGAATTTTATGCTAGACCAAGGTACGTAGCTGATCAGCACACCTCTTCGACTTTTGACACATCTGAAAAAGTGAAGCCATAGGTTTGAGCCATTCTGACATTTTCATCAACCCTTAAATCGTTATAAATCTTCTTCTTCAGGTTGAGAAACACTTACACTGAAATTTAGGCTTGTTAAGTTTCAGTCCTGAAAATCCACTGTTCAAAGACCCTTTGAACAATTTCAACTTGAAATTTCGCTGGAAAATTCAATCAAATCAGCAGTTATTCTACCCATAAGAAATGAAAAGCTCTTGGCCGGCGGCAATGCTTTCATCAGTGGTCATCTTCATAGCCCCGCCCTCTCCGACTTCCCAGTCGCAGTTTGGCTTGACTTCGTGATTCCAAAGGTCAAAAATGGGACCGAGAGCGCCACAATCGCCCTCGCCAAGGCCGGATATGAACCAGTCAGGATGGTTTTCCGGGGCATCGTTGTAGTAATATCGGGTGGTGACGATAGAATATGCCCTAGAATCCTTTTGGCTATCAAAAATTGATGAGGACACCTACCTGTGAAATTCTTCTTCTTCAACATTGTATTTTTCAAGAATCTTCTGCAACTTTTTGTAGGAATCCACATAATCGGCCGTCGCCAAATAAAGGAAATCGAACGCAGCTGGAGTCAAAAAATCATGAAGCTCCATCGGCCAGTAGTCCAACGGCGTCGTGTATTCTTTTTGCATCGTCGCCAAATATGGCCAGAGTTCGGACTCGTCTCCTTTTCGCAGCTCGAAAAGAATGAAGAGACTGAGTGTATCTGCGCAATCGAGGGGTTCATTGACATCGTCTACGTCTGTAATGACGGATTCGAGCGCCTCGATAGCCATGGTTATCATGATTGTCTGCTCTGGAGGGGCGAAAAAGAGCGTCTCCCCCTTTTCGAGATCTTCTTTGGCAAAAACACCAAGGCCGTAATTTCCCCGTCTGATTTCTACCTTTTAAAAATTAATGATTTTTTTACATTTTGCAAAAAAAATTACCTTTTCCGAGAGCTCCCATTTTTTCCAATTCAACAAATCTTGGATCTTTTCTTCGTCAGTTTTCTCTTCAATTGACTTTTTGATACTCTTGATTTCGATATTATCCGTACAAGTTTCGGGATTGATACATGTCTTTGAGATATTTTTGTGTTTGAGTAAAGGTTGTGTCTCTTCTGGCTGTGGAATTCTCGAGTCGAGGGAAAAACAAGGCTCATCGGCTTTGATTATTGGAGCAAGAATTGGTTCGCTCATGTTGCAAATTGTCTTTCTTGAAAGATTCTTTTATGAAGCGATTTGGTTGAGGCACCTTTAAAGGTTGCTTGAACCGGTCGCGACTGGCTCAAGGATCCCTCTGCGCTGCTCCCTTCTGACAAAGTAGGTTCAGAACTCATGTAAGATTGCCTGGCAGCGGACACCGCGGGGCAACTCTGAGCGACATCCATTGAAAAAGTGCTGCTGCGACAGCGAGGTTGCTGAGAATTTGCCTCCAAGGCACATGTCTACCTTGTTGAAATTGACAACAGAAGGTCAGCCAGATTTTAGAAGCACTGAATGAGATGACGATTTTTCTTGGTAAAAATTTAGCCTTGGTTTTATTTGTTTAATAAATATTTTGCTTAATTATTTATTTTTGATAAGGCTCATAATTCTTGTTTTTAAAAATGATAATTCATATAATAATTGATGTTTCTCTCCGAATAGATATTGTCTTTGATGAGTTCAATGGAATTATCTCCGCTAATTTTCAACATTTTGCCTTTATTTATTGTAAATAGTAATTAACCTTCGCCTGATGTGTTTAATAAATAAGTTGGAGGCAAGATCAAACCAGAAACCTGGGTCGATTACGTCAACCGCGGCACAATACTGAAGACACTCCCCAAAAAGCTATTAGCTTTTTAGAGTTAAACTCGACCTTCCGAGAACATAAAGGGCTCCTGGATGAACTTTGTCTGGACATAAAAAGTGACGCACGCGATCGAAGGAAAAGCAGGCGAAAGATCGGAGCGGGTCAGTTCGAGATTTGAAAGAATCTGGAATCATGAAGCTTTTTTCTCTTTTTGGAAGTTTTGTTGCCGCCTCGGAGAAGGTTGATTACTCCGGAAGCAAAGTTCTAAGGTAATTAAAATTTTTTTTATTTTTTGCTCATTCTCTTATTTTTTAGAGTCACCGTCGAGGATGAAGCCCAGCTCAAGTTCATCCGAGCCGTGAGCGGCGATTTTGACATCTGGAAGGACGCTCATGTCAAGGGCGATGTCATGGACATCCTCGTCCCTGGAGAATACCTTTCTCGAACGTCCAACACCCTTCGCGCTCGAGGAGTCGAGTTCAACATCATGGTGGATGATGTCCAGGCTCTTATCGATGAAACTACTCCTTCGAACACTGAGTACACTACCTACGCCGACTTCGACTACAATACCTATCACACTTTTGACGCTCATCAGCAGTGGCAAGCTGATTTTGCTGCGGAAAACAGCGATATCGTCAATGTCGTCGAGTACGGAACATCTCTCGAGGGCCGACCTTTGAACACGATGGTCATTGGAAAAGGCAGTCGAAAGATGATTCTTCACGGAGGAACTCACGCTCGAGAATGGATCAACCCGATCGAAATGATCAATTTCTCCAAGCAACTTGGTAAGTCTCGATTTTCTTTCTTGAAATCAATAAATATTTTTCAGTCGAGGAGTACCGAGCTGGTGGTGAGTCGGCCAATTACCTCAACGATCTTGAATGGCACATCACTATCAACACCAACCCCGATGGCTACGTCTACTCTTGGACAAACGACCGAATGTGGCGAAAGACCCGAAACCCAGACACGGGCGGAGTTTGCGTTGGTGTTGACCCCAACCGAAACTGGGATGCCTGCTGGGGATGCCCAGGCGCATCGGCTAACACTTGCAGTCAGACTTTCTATGGAAGAAGTGTCTTTAGCGAAGTCGAGACAAAGGTAACCTCTGTTTATACGATCCAATATTCATGTTTATTTCAAGGCCGCTGCTGATTACATCACCAACATGTCTGGCAACGTCGTCGGATACGCCGATGTCCATGCCTACAGTCAGTACTGGATGACACCATTCGGCTACAAACGAACCCACCCAGCTGATTACGACGACCAAATGACAGTTTCCAACGCTGCTCGGGATGCAATTTACGGAGTTCACAGAAAGTTGTTCGCCACTGGAAGCATCTATGACGTCATCTACCAGGTTTTTTATCTGACAATTATATGAGAACAACGTTATATCATTGAAAAATTCGCCCTATAACAATTCATAGGCTTCCGGAAACACAGCCGATTGGGTCTACGAGACCGCCGGTGTCAAGTGCTCCTTCGCTCTCGAACTCCGCGACAAGGGTCAGTATGGATTCCTTCTCCCTGCCGATCAAATCCAGCCCGTCAAAGAAGAAATGTGGGCCGGTTTCACCGCATGGGCAGATCTCGCCATTCAGGGTCTCTGCGACAGCTAGATAAATTAACTGTGCAATTCAAAAGAAGACTAGCTCTATTCAAATGAATGGTTCAATAAATGCTCTTTTCAAATTTGAAATTTATTCACAGTTATTGACTTTGGCCCGGAAATGGCGTTTTACTCTTTTGAGTGCTTGATCTTTGGGATGCGATATTTGAACATTTCATAATCCGATCTGAAAATAATTCATTAGAAAAAAAATTGTTTATTCAATTTACCTGTAAATATCGATAAATTCTTCTATCACTTCCAAATCTATTCCCTCAAAAGCTGTGGCAAAGAGATTTCGATGATTTCTCATCAGCTGCTCGTTCAATTTCGAGTCGTGCTCAACTTCGATCAGGAAATTGCATGTTTCTTTATTATCTTTCAATGGTTTCGCATTGCTCGTGTCAAAAAGACGGCGCTTTATATTGAACCTTTCCTACGTTAAGTTGGTGGCAGAGCTCGCGCATATCTTGATCGAAAGTTTCCAATTTGATGATGAATGTGTATGTCATTTGGCAGACAGAACAAATTGCACCTTGGCGAAGTAGCCGCTGGTCGGTTCGGTAGCCACTTGAGATGACGTATTGCATGTACTGATTTGATAAAACTGATTGAGGAAATATTGATAGGAAAATTACCTTTTTGAATTCTCCACGGCGATGATCATCCCATTGAGTCAAAGATTTCCCATGTTTTGCCTGACAAAGAATGCATAAATTGCTAGGACAAAAGAAAAATTTTTTAATTAATTTTTTGAGAACCACAATTATGTTTTTTAGGTTATTTGTAAGAAATTTAATGATTTCTAGAAGATGATACTCATAAAGTTCTATCAAAACAGTGAAAAGATATGCTTTGCGCTCTTTCTTGTATTCATCCGCAAACGCCGACAAAACCTTACTAATCGGGTCCTGAACAATCAGCACTCTCACTTTCGATCCAGCAGCTTTTGTCTCCAATTCTCTCTCATCCGCAATCAAGTCTGTCTTCAACTCATTCTTGTCCAATTTCGCCTGGAGTTCTTCAACATTATGATGAATAATGCCAAGAAGTCCGTTTGACTCGCCATATGGAGTTTTGCAAAGAAATACGCCATTGCCGTAGAGGCTGTGGCGAAGAGTTTGAGCTTTGTTAGGCGGAGTTAGGAGCTGAGTGCACATTTCGTCGATTCGCAGTAAAAGATCGCCTTGTTGTGAGCCTTTCAACGGGGTCGGAAAATGCGTTATTTTTCTAGAACTTCCCATTGTTCCTGGCTAAATTGACCCTTATCATGTAAATTATGCAAAACAAGCTCGTGTTTGTTCAATTCCTGGTTGTTATCCTTCATTTTATGCACTTGCTTCTTCAACAAATGAATTTGTTTCGCTGACGATTCTTCTTTATTCAAAAGCTCTTGAAGCTGGTGCGTTGAAAATCGTGCATCCGAGGCTTTTATTCTCTCAGAAAGTTTCAGCATACTTTTTTGAAGCTCTCCCACCGACCCTGTCAGCATGAAAATACTAACTGTGACATAAAGTAAAAAAGCGAGAACTGCTAAGTGGCGATACATTTGAAATTGAAGCGGGCCCAGAAAAAAATATTGCCAGAATAATGTTTTTATTAATCTTGATGGACCGGTTGATGCACTGGTGGTGATGCCCGCGGGAGCAGATAATTGAAATTCTTTTTGAGATTTTTTCTTCTTCATCATTTTTAAAGGCCCAAATATCTTAGTTTCGAATGATTGAATATTTTGATAATAGACAAAAATTTTCTTCACTTTATTTGACAAATGCGGATTTTTTATAGTTTGCGTTCAGTCTTACGTGAAAGGGGTTATTGTCTCCGGTGAATAGAAAAATAAATACAGGGATCTACGTAGCGCGTCGAAAAAACTCACTCTAGTCAAATTTCAAAGAGTTAAAAAAAGAACGAAAAAATGGGAAATGTTCTTTGGACCCTAGGTATGTAAGTAAAAGAGGGATTGCGAGGGAAAATTGTTTAGTGAACTTGGTGATTTTGATCTTTATTGGCTGGCCAGTGGCGATGTTCTGCGCTGGAATCTACATTTTTGTCGCTCCCTTCGCTGCTTGTCTTGGATCAGGTTAGATATTTATTTTGAAAAAAGAGTGACGGGTATCTAAGGATGCGACAAAATTGCGGATCTTATGGATAAGGGTATCCAGTGGCCTCGCGGACTCGGAAAAGCAATTGCAAACGGGAGCGACAGCATGGGGCTCTAATTGACTTTTATTTTCTTTGGAAATAAATCTCAAACGTCACTTCGATGCCTCTGATTAATTTTTTTTTATTTTCGAGTACATAAATTTCAAAGAAGAGGACAATTAGATTGAACAAAAATCTTCTGTAACGCTTAAAATTACCGGATAGTCGATCTGATGGGTTTGATTTCCGATTATATCAGCAAAAATTATTTCGTCTCCAGAAAAATCGAGCCGCTGAATCGGATATTCTTTTTCTCTTATTCCAGTCTCGTCGTCATATGAAACAACTGTGTAGCCGCCAAAGATATATACAGACGAGTCGACCAAAATCGATGATGCTCCAATCACACTCTTTTGAAATCGTTAGAGCAATATTGCTATTTAAAATAGCCTATTTCTTTTAAAACCTGTTTTAAATCTCCAATGAGTGACCAGGACTCATCGACAGCAGAAAGCATCCATACTGCCGACAAATAATTTTCAGGATATGGCCCAAATCCGTTGTGTCCGCCAATAGTTATCATAGATCCCGTACTTAGACCGATCGATGTATGTGCGCCAAAGTTTCTTAATTGCGTTACTTGATTTTGGACAAAAAACTACCTGGGATGATTTGGTACGTCGTTTGATGACCAGCCATCATCGTTCAAAATTTCAATTTTTCTGTAGGAGTTTAAGTCGGAACCAAGAGAAGCAGTCGGTTTTCCTTTGAAATAAGCAAGTGATCCGTACGTATGAGGATATGTTGTTGAGTGCGTTCGTCTAGCAGATTCACCATCAAAAATTTGACACCTGCGCATTGTCACGGAGTCAGTACCAAAGCAAATTAAAGCTAAGTAGATATATAATTTGATAACATGATGCAAAATTGCAGCTTTTACCTCCAGAATCATCATTGAGACTCAATGCGGATCCTGTTTCGTCGACATCGAAGCTCAACGTTGATGAGAGTTGTCGGAATTGACAATCCTCAAGAATCCACATCTATTATTATTTGTTTTTATTGAAATAAATAATTTAAATTACGTCTTCTTCAAAAATATGAAGAAACCCTTTTATCATTGCAAAAAGAGAGCCCCGGAGCCAAACGTCCGATGGCGGGAGGGGAACGTTGAATCGTTTATGTCCGTCGCCAGAAATTATGTATGGCATTTCAGGCACGCTGCTATCAAAGCCCATTATGAATGTCCTGCTCTAGAAAAAAATATCTGCAATGTTTCTTTGGAGAGAAATATACCGGTTCGCATAAAGGATGGGGACAATCTAGACATCCATTAAAGCAATTTACGCCGCATGGACAATTTGCTTCACAGTCTTAACAAACCGCTCACTACTAAGAAGGGTATCAAATCAATTTATACCGCCTAATTCGCGTCCACAAAGACTCTGACAAGAGCTTTCATTGCAAGTTTCAAGGCAATCCATATATTTGGCAAAGCAGTCCGCTGAGCAAATACGCTGTAGATCCGGACGTCTGAAAATTTTAGTTTGTTTAGGAGTCTCAGAGAAAAAATAAATCTAATCAACAATTATTAATGGTTAATCTAATTATTATTATCTGATAGAAAATCAACATACGTGCATTCTTCCTCTCTTTTCAAATGTTTTTCAGACGCTTGGATAGTCGTTGCATTAATGCGACCAGCATTAAAAATGAAAAATACAAATACGATGGATATCATTTTGAATTAATAGAAGACAAGATTTTTCAACGAAATTCTTGCCACAGCTGAGAGTTTTCACAAAAAATGTAAATTTACGTCCCGAACATTTTCCTACCTCTAGGAAAAAATAAATACGGGGTCTAGGAGAACCAGCAACATAAAGTTTAATTAAGCAAAAATTGTCAATATAAGATTTATTCATTTGTTTTCTGTTGAACTTAGAGATTTTGCTCGATACTGACATCGAGTTGTTCAAAAGTTGAGGAATGATGGCTTGGAGTTTTTTGGCGACGATGATTTTCGATGAAATTGGTGATTTTCGCTTTCCACCGTGGCTTAAAAACTTTTTGAAGAAACGGACTTCTCGATTGGGCACTTCGTGTTTTGTCTAGATTCGAAATTGTCTTACCAGAGGATTTTTAAAAGTCGGCCAATCAATCTTTCTCCGTCTGACACACGCGCATCCCTTGACCTTCTAAAAATAATCTTCACCGAATTGTGATTACATTTGTCAACATGTCAAAAATCGCTGATCAAAGAACAAAACTTAAGGTCAACGCGCTCTATAAAGTTCCTACCGCGGATCGCGAATCAGACGATGCCTCATCAATCAGCTCTTCTTCGTTTAGTGAATCGATTTCGATTTTATGCGCAATCAGGAGTTCTTCCTCCGATGACTCCGGGTTTATGAGCTTGACATTTGAATCGACAGACGAGGAATCTGATGGCTTGGTGATTTGGGAGGAATTTGTGGGTTGGACAGGGCCAGGGCCAAGGACTGTTGAGGCTTCGGAGATTTGAGAGGGCTCTTCTGGGATGGGAATAAATTCCTTTTTTGGGTTTGTTTTTATATTTTTATTTGAAAAATTAACACTAAAAAAATTATCTACTAAAAACCATAAACTTATTCTGAATTTATAAATTTGGAATTTTTTATCTCACTGATATAATATCAGTCTTTATTGAATCAATTATATAATTTCTTTTTTTAGAAATATTCGCGTCGACAATCGTCTGAGTGCAGAAAACCATTGGTAGCGATTTTACATTACGAGTAAATTTTTATAAAAAAGAAACCCTGACAATCGACTTTTTCTCGCTCTCTTGACCTTCAAAATCGTGTCCTCGCTCTTTTCAGGAATTGGCGGAGGCAGTTCTTTTTCGAATTTCTCTTGATCTTGCTGAATCAGCAGATTGTCTAGCGACTCAAATTTCGGCTCTTGAATTTCTTCCATGTCTTCGTCTTGAATACTTTCGATTTCTGAGATGGTTCCAGAGTCAGAATCGTCGATAGTTTTTGTGGGTTCAGTTTCGTAGTCGAAGATTTTTCGGATCGACTTTCTTTCTAAAAAAAATATCAGAGGTGTTCCCCTTAATTTCATTTTTTACCCTTTCGTTTTAAAGTTCCGCTTCTTCCAATTTCATGAATAATTTGGCTCATCAAACTATCCTCATCGCTTTCCTCGATTTCTTCCTCTAGAAAATTTTCCCTCTCCATTCGAAAACGAAAAAATCCTCTGACGAGCCTTAGAGCCCTCTTTTTTGTACTAATACCTGGCGCGCGCCTTGTTTTCCCCACAGATCAGAAGAAACAATAAAACTGCTCGTAATAGAGCACTTAGTACTAATCAAAGGTTTTACACCTGCTCGCGCGGCGATTGTTCCGCTTCTCAAGGAAAGAAATGCGAAAGATGCTCTGAAGAAAACGAATGCTGCCGTTTATTGCACTGATAACTTATGAGTGAACTTGAGAAACTCAGATTTTAAAGTCTTTTCGGACAGCGTAGCCGGGCCCCTTGCATTCGGGGACGGTGATTGGGAAAAACTTTGAAAAGGTTAAAATTTCATTTTTCCTCCTCTGATTGGTCGAAATTCTCGATTATTTTTTCTGATTGGTTCAAAGTAGGAAATTCTCTATTTCTTCGTCGCAACCAATCAAAAGTAAGTAGACGCTTTCGACCAATAAAAAGCGTGAATTTCTTTTCAACCCTTTTCCTGATCATCATCAAAATTGCTGTCAAGAGAGACGGCAATCTCATAATCTCCCGGCGCCAAAAGTCTGAAATACTCTCCATTCTTCGTAACAGTAATTCCATGCGAATTTCCCTTGATGACGACCACCGCTCCAGTCGCCGGTGCACCAGTTTGCGCGTCAACGACGAGTCCGTAAACGCCGCAGTGTACCTTTTAATTTTGTATTCAAAGTAGGAAGTTCGCGACGCGCCTTTAAAAATTAATCTACCTTTGACATAAAAGCGAGGAGCGCGTTTTTGTTTTCTCCCCAGTAGGTCGGCAGCGTGTCTTCTTTTGGAAACTTGTCGCAGCCAAGTTCAAGGGTGATTTCGAAGCAGTTCGAGGCGAGGTAGTTGAAGTCCTGCATGCCGCCCGGGACGGAGTACCAGTCTGCTCCGTTGGTAATTCCGTTCTAAAAGTCTTTGAAACATGGAAATCAAGGAAGAAGCCTACCGCAAATTTCTCCCCCGGATCGCAGGCTTGTCCCTTTTTGCTCATTCTCGTATGCGCCATTGAATAAGAACTGGCCAAGTAACGGAAAGTCGAATCATCAGGCGATTCTAGACAGAAAATTAAACTCCTTCGTTCCCCTCTCTTCTCTGATTACTTTGATAGTGACCCATTTCTTGACCATTGCACGAAGCGTCATAAGGATAATTGGCGACCAAATCCCCTCCGTGCAGATTTGCGGAGAGCACGAACTTGTGTCGCAAGATCCAGTTCATGACAGCTTCGGTTTCGGGCTGACGTTCTTCGGTTTCTCCAGCGCGTTTGGTAAGAGCACTTTCGAGAATCGAGAAAATCCAATAAAAACCATACTCTTGATTTTTCTATCGCAAATTTAGTTATTACTGTCAGTAATAGTTTGAAGTGTTAACGTAATAAAAATTTTTTGTACTATGCATCAAACACGGTTTAAAACATTTTATTAACTAATAAAAAACGTTTATCACATGTATCTGTGTTACCATGAAATCGAAAATTGATAACTTGGACAATATTCAAGATGAATTGTTGATCTCGATTCATTCCTGTAAACATCTTTGGAGAAGCTCTCCGGATATTCTTGAAAGATAGATCTTGCCAACATCGCTGATCGTTGTTCCCGTCGGAAGTCCATGACTCGACTGAATTAAAACAGTAATTGCCTCTTATAACAACTGAATCTGTACCTGAGATGATCAGTTCGCTGGCCATTTGGAATCTGACAGGCTGTCGCATCAAGATCTGGAAAATTCCTGTTCAAATCCTGACCATTGGCGTTTGCGCGACCATATGTGTACGGCTTTGGCTCTCTACAATATGCTTAGCATAAGTTATTACATTCATTCTAACCTAGGATAGTTAAGCGCTGCTTCGTATCCATCGGGGTTCATTGACGGGAGCAAATGAATTCGAGTTGTATTCATCAGTAATTGAATTTCTTGGTTGCCAGCCTTGTATTCTTGACACATGTAGTGAGCCAGCCAGAGGAGGAGCTCTTTTCCAACTACTTCGTTTCCATGCATATTCGCCACATATTTAAAATCTGGCTTCAAAAGCTAAAAAGGCAGATTAACGCCAACTGCTCTCTTCTATGTCTTCAAAAGCTCTTACCTGATCTTGACCGGGAGTAGATCCAAGCTCCAAAACAAGCAGGTCCCGCCCTTGAACCGACTTTCCGATTGAATAAAGTCGCGATTGCTCTTGAATACTGATTACTCAAAATATCAATAGAAGGGAAGAACCTGGGCATAAGTTGTTCACGAGGCGAAGATACTCCTTCATCTCCCGGTAGGAATGATGGCGCATGTCCAAATAGGACTGACCCATCGCCAGCTGGACGAAAAGGCTCAAACATATTCCGATGATTCCACGGCCCATTTTGAGCGGTTTCCGATTTCTGAAGGAAAGTTTTTTCTCGAATTTTCTTTTGGAAATTAAAAAAATAAAGTTTCAAAAATTATTATTAAATTTTTATTAAATATATATTAAATTATATAAAATTATTATCTTCACAACAAAAAGGGCTTCAAATTCTTTCTCATAAGCTAAAATACAGTATTTCTCTCTGATATTCTCACGCTCTTGTAATGAAAAAGGGACGAGAACGGGTATATAACTAGGGAAAACGAGGTTGATCAAGTAAAATGGAGGAAAATCGATTCTTCTCCTATTTGAGGCAGCTCAGTGCCATTACCAATTCATGCAGCTACGTATGCGTCCGCCTCCGATTTCACAACTTTACATATACTAATGCATCGGAGATATTATCTGCAGTACGCTTTCAATTTTTATTGAGCATTGTATTCAGACACTAGGACTCTTTATTAATGTCTGTATCAAACGAAAAAAAATTCAGCAGTTTTGTTTTTTCATGAAAAAGTTCTTCGCTTTTCTTGCAGATCCGGTGATTTTTCGAAAGAGTTTGCCTCGTCTGTCACATGCAAAGTTCGCAGCAAAACTGTTGATTGCGTCGCTAAGTTGCCCAATCGCATCGCAAAAGTTGTCAGACTCAAATTCAGTTGCGATTTGCTGCTTTGATGAAAAGCCATTGTTTTTGTAGCAAGGATCTTCGAAGGTTGATGATTCGAATTTGGTCAGGACTTGCGTCATTTTGGTTGTAAATCGTTTCTTTTTTAAGAAAATAAATAAAAAATAACAAATGAAAAATTAATTCATTACCTTGAATTTGTTTTCTGGAAGATTGCCGATGATTCTCTAAAAGAACTTTTATTTTCTCTTGAAGAAAAGTCAACTAGACCTGTATTTCTTTTTGAAAAATGTCGAAATAATACTTTGGGTCAAGAGGCACGACTCGCAAACTAAAGCCTTGGTTCTTTTTGTTCGGAGGCCAACTGCTGTAAAGATATTTGTTTGAGTTAAAACTCAAATAAGCATATCCGCCATTGACAACAAATGGGCTCTTAGGAGGGATACTCTTATATTTTTTATTACATTGATAAAATTATAAAACCTTCAATTATAATTCATGAATTATAAATATCCCTAGTCGGAAAACCTTTGTTGGTTGTAGTAACATGCCAATGATGTCTTTTTTCAGGAGATTCGGAGAGTATTTCTTCCTCATTAGTTCTCGCATCGCCTTAGAAAATAGCAATTATAGTTATTTAAAGATTTATATTTTGAAAACCTTCAAGTGTCGAAACAGAGTTTGATCCGCAATAGAAATCTTTAGTTTCTGGGTTTAGGTCATTTATGTAAAAATAGTCAAATTTACATCGATAATTTGACTTTTCAATTTCAAAATAATCCATGATGATTTCGAAAGGATAACCTAGGTCGATTATCCAGTCGCAAAGTGCCGATTTCGGATAGTTATCGGGGAAGTTTGGAGATGTTATTGTCTGCGGCGATGTGATGTTTCCTCCACAGTCGACAAACCAGCCTTCTGACCCTGTTGTTCGCGTTCCGTAAGCTGACGTTGACCATGTTGTATATATTGGCCATGTTCTGGGTGGAACGGTAGTTGATGTTTCAAACTCAGTTGTCAAATGATTCCCGAGAATGCCAGGTATTAGATAATGATACTGAACGCATAAAATAAACGAATGAAAACAGGAGATTCTCGATATGCCTACTCCAATTTCAATAAAAATGAAAATTCTTCATACCCTCCCCCTAAGTTCACGCGTATTTATCGGTATTTGCCGAAAATCACGCTTCTTAACTTTCCCCGAGCCCCCGAAGTTCACGCTTCCTCATTTTCCCCGTGCTCCTAAAATAAGTTGTCCTTACTTTCCTGCGTGCCCCGAAGTTTTCGCTTGCAACGCTGATTGGCGTTTCTGGCAGTGCCGACGAATTTTCGCCATTCAGCGCTGTAAGCGGGAACTTGGGGGAACGCTGGAAAGTTAGGAGAAGTAACTTTGGGAGCGCGGGGAAAACGTGGAACCGTCAACTTCGGGGGCTCTGGGAAAGTAAGGAAGCGTGATTTTGGGGGTAAATAGGAATTGCGCGAGAACTTTGGGGTGGGGTATGCTATCAAATTTTCTTTTTCAAAATTTACCTTCATGCTCGCTGTCTTTTTCTCTTTTGAGGGTCCTCAAATCGCTTTAAACATCTGCACCCAAGTGCATTTGAAACTTGAAACGATTAAGAAGGTCGCCTAAAGAAACTTTAATCATAGTTCTAAGTTGATCCCCTATTTCATTACGACACGGTATTGTCGATACCTAAGATCGAAAAGTTCAACATAGAACATTATTCCTAAGCTTGATGCAAGATTTATGCATTTTGCATTTCTGACGGTTGCTTAAAAGACAAAAGGAACCGCTGACATTGGCATTTACATTCGGAATCTGGATGAGATCGAATAGCAGTCATAATCATAAGTCGTTAAACCAAAACTTTACGACACTTTGTATCGTATTCCGGCGCCTATCGCTTTGTTTTTGGTCTTCTCATCAAGAGTAGTCTCATCATTTTCGGACAAAGATAGAGAAACTCCAGAAAAGAAGGGCCAAGATGGGGATGGAAGAGATGCAAGCAACCAATAAGTTCAGAAGACATCTGACCAGAGTGACGGCGTTTCTTCTTGGCGCTCTTGTCCGTGAGTAAAATTCAAAGAAAATATTATTATACAAAAGCGAGCATTGTTTATAAACAAAATACTATCTTCTAAAATAATAGTATTTAATTTCTAAATTCAATTATAAATATCTTAATTATAAATATGAACTTCGGTTTTTCGCGATTTAACTCAGCTAGTGCCATAAAATCGTAAAAAAAAGGGAACTTTGATAGTGGCTGGGATATGCGGATGACGTTTGACAAAAGAAAATTACTGGCTGGCTAAGCTTTCGTCTATTTATGACGGCGAATAGAAGAATATTTCTGAAAAAGAATCCATTGAAAAGCTTTTTATGTTCAAGATCTCTAATTTTTGATATGTGTTGTTTACTGCCAGTAAACTTTACTGGTATGATACCAGTGGTATCCTAGGTCTCGAAATCCGGGTGCTTTCGCTGTGGCGGGAGAGTGATGGCGCCCTCGCTGCCTCCGCGCGCTGGAGGAAATCGAAAATTCGCCGCGAATAATCGGAGGCGGATCCGAAAAATTCGCCGCGGCGGGATTTGTGCCTAGCGCGAAGGGGGTTGTGCGGGGAGTCGCGCGGGGCGATGCGAGTCGTGTGCTCGGGCAGCGAGTAGTGCGCTAAGAAGGCAAGCCGCGCGCTTAGGCTTCTAAGATTTAACTAAGCTTATGGAAAACTTTATGGAAGGTTTAAGAATTGGTAGGCTTAAGAATTCCTCTAAAATGGAGCGATTTTTCACCCAAGTTTTCCAGGCCACCTGCTAATTTTTCTTCTCAAAAAGTCTTAGCGAAAATGAACCTACTACTTCCGGGAAATCACCCGGTGTTATTTGCATCTGATCCCGAGTACTGGGTCATAGTAAGCACCCACCGAGATTTTGGCGCGCCCTAATGCTTTTTGGGCTCCCTGCGCGTTGCGTAAAGCACTAGTGCGCTGTCAGTTTCACTCTCTTATCTGACGATTTCGCACGAGAGGAAGAACCAGGAAAATTTATCTTTTGGAGGCAGCAAGAAAAGTTTCTGATAAACAGATGTAGACGTGCTCTACATGATTTACCTCTTCGAAAAGTTAATTTTGAGTTTTCATTATTGAAGTTTTTTGCCAAATCATTTTCAATATTCGGAATCAGCAGGTTAAATAACGTATTCGTATAAAAAACATAAGAACACTACGTTATATTTCGACCCCCTGGGAATGAGAAAGAGGGGCTCTCGCGTTCCTAAAAGACCCTTGCCCCAGGAAAGCGCGCGAATCGCGCCCTATTTGCATGTTTGGGCGCCCGCTCGCTGAAACCTGAAAGTGAGAAAATCTGCCTCGAGCGCGTTTGTGCGGCAATTTTTCTCCTCCGCTCCCGCCGCGGCAGTGCGCGCGCCACCACTTTCCCGCCACAGCGAAAGCACCCGGATTTCGAGACCTAGGTGGTATCAATATTTCTACTGAAAAGTATTATTCTAGCATCTAAACTTGAAATCATCTTACGAAAATAATTAAGTCGGAATCGTCTGCCTTGGCTACGATGCCCATGTTCTCAGTGCTCTTCCATCAACCGTTTCTGCTGTCAATAAGTGAGTATCAAGAAGGATCGTTCTTTTTAGAAATACCCTCAAATGGGCCCCAAACATGATGTTTTCGGGAACACTTAAGTATTTAAAAGAGCAAACGTGCGGTTCTGATGCGGCAACAAGCTTTTTGGAACATATATTTCAGAAAATTTAATTTGAAATATTCTTCTAGGTGCTCTTGGGATACATTCATAGTCTACGTCAAAGTCTTCGTCGCCATGGATGCCATTGCCGTCGCTTTCATTCTCCTCTCCTTCCTCGGCGGCTGCCTCCTTAGCCGAAACACTACTGGTCAATTCGCTCAAGCCAAACGAATGAAATTTATCAAAGTTCTCATCGGTACTCTTCCTTGATTTCAACTGCACGAATTAAAAATGTTTAGTTTTGACCGCTTTTGCTCTTGCCGCTGATATCGTCGCCGAAATCATCCGAATCTTGTTCTTCGCAAATCTCCTTGGCTGGGAATATGAAAATACCTGGGATTGTGCCGTCCCAATGTGTAAGCTTTTAGAAATCTTCAACTCTTCCTTTTGAGATAAATAATTGTAGTTGACATCACGAACACGATCCAAAGTGGTGCTGGAAGAGCCCTTGTTGCCAGAATTCAGACCGATCTTTGGTGGTTCTACCCCTTTACAACTTTCGTCTGTGGATTTGGTAAGTTAAAATTCCACAATCTCTTCTTAATCCTCTATTCAGCCGCCTTTGTTCTCCGAGCACTCGCCTTCGCCAGAGCTTTCCACATGCTCAAGGCGAACAAGGTTGCTTAAACTGGGAAGCGATAACTTCGAACATTTTTTTTATAAAGTTGTTTTCTTGTTACTGTAAAAACTTTGGCTATGCATGAACTTACCATTCTAACACGATAAATAAATTATATAAACTGTATTTCTCGACTCTTCTGTTTATATTCTCGCAAAACTCCTCGTTATTTTCTCTGCAGAAATCAATTTCTGAAGGAGAATCTGAAATATAGCAAGCGAATAAATACAGTAATGACCCATTACTAATGGGCAATTAAAATTAATCCTTTCTTTTATCACTTGATCGCCTAAAGAACCATCTTAATCCTCTTTATCTCCACTTTAGAGCCCCTTTATTCATCTGTTCGCACTTTAGCAATACAGTAAAAGCGTCACTGTAGTTTATATCAGAACCCTTTAGGCTCGAAAGAGAGGCTAATCCGCCAAGACGAGCTGTGCCTATCTCCGAGCGAGAAATAAAAGCGGATAATGATATTAATGTATTCGCCAGAGCAACTTTTCTGGGCGATATAAGGCTGAACTGAAACTCAAAATATACAAATTCAACTGTTGAAACAGTCAAATAAAAACACAATCATTTTAAATATGAAGCTTTTTGCTTTCTCACTTGCTGTTATTGGCGCCAACGCTAGCTTCAATCCCTTTGGACAAGGTAATCTTGATTGATTCGGAAAAAAAATTTTAGATGAAAAAATATTTGACCTTTTGAGTGACCATTTAAAATCCTTTCAAATTTATCTTTTCCGTAACAAAGCTTCATTTTCACCCCAATTTCAAGCTCATTCTCATCAAGTCAGAAGTGTTAGTGATTCTGAACCGGATTTTGACGATTTTATGCTTTCAATGAATGCAATGATCAATGATTTATCAAAGGGTAAAAATTTCTTTCTTCAAAGCAATACTTTAATTGCTCTGATTTGCCTACAATCAAAAAAAGTTTGGAATCCAGACTGAAATAGGAATGATTATTTGCTCTTTTTTCTTTTTGCTGCCCATTTTTTAATAGAAAGTAACTTAGGTGGCCGAGTCCCAAGCTGGTTGGAGGACAACGGCACTGGAGTCTACAAACGATCGTCCGGCCGACCTGCGGGAACTGGATTTGACGAGGATGCTATTAAAGCTGCGTTCTTCCGAAATCTTTAAAAATCGTTGTTTATTCATGTTTCAATAAAGAGTCTTAGAAGCAGCTCATTTTTGTTTCTTCTTCTGTTTTGTTGTGAATAGTACTTTGGTGAATTCAAACCAGTCGTAGAAACAGTTGGATTGTTTGTAGTTGATGTTGAATTCTGCTAGTGTTATGCGGTAGGCAGGGATGAAATGTTGGAGAATCGAGCCATCAACTAATGAATCATGATTTTCTCCATCAGATTCTCGCAGATTACCTGTAGGAAAAAGATGATGCAATGTATGATCTCCAAAAGCGCTTACAGCTATCGAATGAGAAGTATTATCCGAGGATGTCAACCACCTATCCACAATCGTGTCTACTTGCAACAGGCCCCAATCCGTGTCTTTTCGGCCTTGATGACCTTCGTAGAAATTCGAGGAGTGGTGGTGGATGCCAGGAAGTGATAGGAAGGCGAAAGTAAAACTGAGTTTTTTGAATAATTTTTTGCGTTTTCGTACCTTAGAGTACCGTGAAAGACGAAAAAGAACCAAAGATAGCTCTCCTTATTGACCAGATAAAAACCGTAGAGCTCGAGAAACGGAATCAAATCAACGAGCTCAAACTCATCTTCAGTAAACAATAAATTACTGATCCATCGTTTCAAAAAATCGATGAAAGTAACGGCTGTCAATAAGATCGGCTTTTGGCGGATTTTAAGGATTCAATTTCTTTTATATTTTTAAGACCTTAAAACCGTTCCAAGATGAATAGCGAGAAGATGTTGTAAAATAGACTCGTCGGTTTCGGCATCAGGTAGGCAAATGGCTCAAATTGGGTCACTTCTAGGTCAAGGCATGTGTTTGGGAAGGTATGATGAGACATGGCGTGCGATTGTCGCCACCGTGTCGAAGACATCAGCGAGATGTCAAAAAAGCGCATGTGGAGGTTGTCTGATTGATGGAAGAAGTTGTGAGCGACGTTGACGGTCTTTTTTGGGGCTTTTTTGGAGAGAAAGAAAGAGAATATTTTCTCTTGTGATTTTCTCTGAGGGAAATCCTATCTTTAACCATATCGCTTATCCGTAAAAAGAAGCCCTTCACAATGCGCCAAAAACACCCGCCACAACTATCCACCAAACTTGCCCCGTCTCCAAGCCAAGCGCGAGAAACAAAACCATGCAACTAAACCACGCATAAAGTGTCAAGTGAGTGGAGCTGACAGCCGATGCCCTTTTCGATTCTCTTCGATAAATTGGGAGAACCCGCGCACGCAGGCGGTTGTAAAAGCCATCCGCGGAGAATGTCTGAAGATAATTTCAAATGAAAAATTCACATAATTTTGGAAAAAAACTATCAGCTAGTTCAGTTCAAATTATCTCTGATGAAACGTACATATTTTGAGTTTCTCGCAATCGTGGCATTCTTTACAAAGTATTTTTCTTTTCGGAGTTCTCAATTTTTCATTTTCAAAAACCGGAAAAATCTCGAAAATAATTTAAGAACTCGATTAAAATCAGATTTGCTTTTTCTATCTCAATATGATGGCTTTCAAAGAGCTCGGTGATATCTGTCCCTTGATTCTTCTCAATCCATATTTTTCCTCCAGGATGCTTATCGACAAACTCCGTCAGATCTTGAAAAATCTCCTTCCATTCAGAAAAATTTTCTTTTACCATAAAACTTGTCGTGAACTCGCCAAAGTTTCGCTGGAACTTTGTCGATTTCTCTCCGATTTTCAAACCACTCATTCAAAATGTCGATTCTTTGCAAATCCCGAACCGGGTATTTTTCAAATTTTGATGTCTCTTTCATCATGAAAAATTTAACTGGGAAATTTCATTTACAGATTTTGTTTGGCAGAGATACGCCTCTATTTGCATAATGCGTAGTTCTATTTATCAAAGTAGAGATTTTTTATTGCTGCATAGTTTTGAAACGGAAAGATACAAGTACATGTCAATTGTTGGAAAAATTTCAGGATAATAGATTTCACATTAGGCGACGAGCATTTCGTAGTGCCCTCGATCTTTGATAGACTTTTCTCGATTCTCGTGGTAAGTTCCCATTTCCGCGATGGACATATTCGGCATGCAAGTCGTGAAAAAACAAATTTGGCAGTACGAGTGCTTGGGAACTGCATCGGTGATTTCATAAACTGCGCGAACTCGGCACTAGAATCGGCGTGAATAATGAGCAATGGAGATTGACTCACCATGTAAACGTAATAAACGACGACGAAAAAGAAGAAAGGGATGAAATACAAGTAAATCTTGTATTGAATGAAGAATTCAAGAGCTTCTGATGCATATCGGTTGTAGTAATGGAATGGTAGCTCGTAAAAGGTCGCATTATTTGTCAAAGAGTCGTGAACGATCAAGTCTTCGAATTCGAAGGGTTCGAAGAATACGTCAAAGTGGACCAGAACTAGAAAAGGGTGAGTCGTCGAAATGTCAATTTCGGTTTATTATCGAGAAAACAAGCACCACTCCACTTTTACTGATCGTTAAAACTTACGAATAAATGTCACAATCAGCCCAATAGAGAACATAAACATCATCATCCAGAGCAAAATCGCAATGCACGGAAATTTCATTCCAATCTTTTTCGAAACGCTAAAAAGCGCACACGGCTGGCACCAAAAGGCGAAGCAACACCAATTGCAGCATGTGGTTGAGCAGCATTTCTGACTCTCTGAACTGTCCATAACTTGCTGTCTCTTTTTTGATTGATAAATTTTACAACGGCTGTAAAGAAAGAATGCGCGAATTCCGCGCGCAAAAGTTAGTGGAATTTCACGCACCACTGAATTGCCGCCGGCTATGTTAGACAGTGAAACCTGGTGGTGATAAGGGCAGACTAAAATAATGAAATCATTATTGGTAACGATGACGAAGCTTGGTATATTTCTAGTGAGTTTGGGTGACAGTGATTAGCACCACTAAAAATTCGTAAATCTCTGCGCAAGCTTCATAATCTGAGCCGACTTACACGGTCATCCTTCGGTAATCGTCGGCTTTTCTTTTATCGTTACCAAGCTGATTCCTTGCCTTCGTCACATGAACTTTCCGAATATTATATTTTACGCACGTATTACGTTCTACGTAAAAAGCGCCACTTACGTACTACAGATTGAATCAGTCAGTCAGTCATTTTCTGGGTATATAAAGCTGCCTGTTGATTGTTGGTCATTAGTGTCAATAACAAAAAAGCGAAGAAAATAATAATAAAGCATCTCAAGAAGAGCATTCTTTTTCAATTCATTAAATAAACTCTCAAAAACAATATAATTTTTAAAAATGAACATTTTCACTTCATTAAATCTCTTGATTTCAATTTCCGCCATCGCTCTACCAGCCTCTTCTCATCTGCGTAACAGCAGAAAATGTCAATGGTATCATCAACGAGTCTCGTTTTCTCCTCGGGATCTCACTATCGTTCTTCAATTAAAAGGAAAACATATTCCTCTTCAACATGAATTCGTAAGTAAAAAAAGCGAACGAGAAAATATTCGAAAAAAATCTTCAATTTCCTATTAAGTGCGATCTTATTCATTCGGACTTTTCATGTTTACGAAAAGAGTTTCGTCATGAAGTTGTTAGAGCATGTTCCTTTCTTCGAAAAAATGGATGTGTTGGAGATAATACGCGTCGACTTCGTAGCAACGGTCGGAGTTTCAAGTGCGTATGCGACAAAGGCTACAGAGGAGACAAATGCGAAAAAATTAATGACTAGTTCATCTCCAAAATATAATTTCTAAATAACTGCTTCATAGTTTTTACTGAAAATTCGCCTGCTCGATAAAATCTCCCTCTTTTACATCTTCTACATTTTTTCAAGAAAAGACTGTTTTTTTGTCATTTTTCCGTAAATAAAGTCAATTTCCACAGGTCTCAACATTGCACCATCCAAGAATCTCCAAACATGCACTTGGCCCAAGCAATTCACCGTTGACTGTTTCTAATGATTTTTCACTTCGGCGAGGATTTTTTGCCCTCCTTTTATATTCCTTACTTATAAACTTTGTAGGTGATAAAACTTACTTTGGTTCCCCCTCTCACAAATTGACAGGCAATACCGTACGCAATTTCGCAGAAAAGACGGCATTCATTGAACTCAACTCGGCAAATTCCAATGCATTCTGTCTGCAATTCTTGATCCCTTAACAATAAAAGTGACTGTCCTCTTCTTAAATTTTCTTACGGGCATTCTGCTTCTTGCCTCTTGTATCCGTTCGAAAATTGAAGGAATAGATAAATTATATTTAATGTCATTTTTTGAGTGAAAACGACTCAAAAGTCATCAAAGCAAATCTGATAGTCCAAATCAATTTAATAAATATGAAAATCATAAATTTTTCGTACACAAAATAAAAAATTCGACCTTCTGATATTTATTTGATTCGTTATTTATTTGGGGTACGCGTTTCGGCGACAATTGAGCCTTCATCAGCCCCTAGTACAGATATAAATTTCACAGCTCAGAAAAATGAAAGAATACTCTCACTTAGAGTTGGACAATTTCGAATGAGATTGAAAGTTGAAAACAAAAGATGAAAACTCGCTTTCGCGGCAGATGTAATGGAGCGCCAGAGAAAGCGAGTTTCAAATTTCTGCTTCAAACACAAACTCGTTTCTGTTATCTCGAATCAACCGTACTACAAAGACCGTACTCTATGTGAAGCGTTTTCAATCAAATTAAAAGATCGAAGCTTAATTAAGCAGATCAAGTTCGCTGAAGTTAAATTTCTGTAATGGAGCATTTGAAACTCGCTTTCTCTGGCGCTCCATTACATCTGCCGCGAAAGCGAGTTTTCATCTTTTGTTTTCAACTTTCAATCTCATTCGAAATTGTCCAACTCTAGGTGAGAGTATTCTTTCATTTTTCTGAGCTGTGAAATTAATATCTGTACTAGGGGCTGATGAAGGCACAATAGTCGCCGAAACGCGTACCCCAAAAAAATTTCGAATCAAATAATTATGAGAGGTCAACACTGACAATCTTCTGATATTTGTCTTGCTTATCACTGAGAAAAATCCAACAAATAAAAAATGATGAAAAGTAATTCGATAAGCCCATAAATGCCTTGATGAAATCGTAATTATATCCGCTCGTCGATATTTTATAACCCGGCTTTGACAATAAAAAGACATTTGTTTTCCAAACGAAATTAATAAAAAAATATGGGTTCTGCTGCGAAATAAAACGACTCGCTATTATAGTTTTCATTTATAATTTGAAGTTATCAAATTTAATATTATGTTCGTGTTCAAATGTGACCCGGAAACTCTGTTTATAACCCTAATTTGTCAACCACAAAATAATTATCACTATCATTTGTCCACAATGATCATAATGACCAAATATGTCAAAATAAATTTGTCATAAAACTTTTCATTCGTCTGGCTACCATCGTTAACAAATCGCTAAATTAAATAAATAAAAATAAAGATGTCGCGGTCGAGTTCGATTGCATGCCCTTTTCCCTAGTAAAGAAGAACATGATTATGATAAGAGAGTTCCAGATTTGTAAAAACAATAATTTTTTCAGAATGAGGATTTTGGCATCGCTTGCCGCTCCGTTGGTTAGCGGCTCCCATTTTCGGGGAGGATCTTACCAGTACCGATATGATGCGGCGACAAATTCAATGACCGTTATAAGGTCGATGATTTGGAAAAGATATTCCGATAGCTACTCCGGCGGTTGCAGCGACCATCATGTTCAAAATGAAATCCCCAGCAAGTGAGAGTTCCCCTTTTTGAATATTTTTAATTGATATTCTCAAGCTCGGCGATAGACGAGAACATCTATTCACTTTCATCCGGGATTAAACTTCTTGGCCCGGGAAATTCTGGGACTTCGGGAAATTATATCGTGAATGAGATCGAAGACTCTTCTTTCATACCATCAGGAGAGCATTACTGCGCCGGGTCTATAGAAGAGCAATTGGCCGGAAGCGTAAATGAGCCATTTTATCAGGTACAAATGGTTATTTTTACTAAAGTTTTATTTGATCCAAGGATGCAAGTAGCTGCTGCACCGTAACACTATACGACGATAATGGATCAAGTTGGAGCGGTAGTTTTCGGCTTCAAGCGACGGTATTCTTCCTTAATTTTATCATCCATCATCTATTTACCTCAGGTCTACGATATCACGAACAACTCCCCAGCTTTCAGGGCTCCAAGTCAGTTTACCGTAATGACAGGCTGTGAGAACCAAGTGATTGAACTCAATCCAGTCGATTCCGACGGAGATACAGTCAGATGTAGATGGGCAACGTCTGCAGAAGCTGCTGACTGGCCTCCACCAGCTGATAAATCCTTCAATTCTTTCGAGTAAGAAATATGTGACATTCTTTCTTCTAAAGAGTAATAAGATTGGACGAGGAAAAATGTACAATCACTTATCGGCCAGAATTTGACAACTACGAGCAAGGAATTCGGCCTATTGCTATTCAATTCGAAGATTTCGACGCGAATAACCAAATAAGGTTTTGTCTTATTTAACTCTTGGCCTAAAATATTTTTGAGATCATCTATGCCGGCACAGTTCATGATCAAAGTCTTTACTCCCACTCTCCCATCTGGTCGAAACCGCAGAACCGTGGACCTAACTCAGTACCCTCATTGCGAAGGATCTCCAACTTTCGACTCTCGATCTCCAGCAAACGGCGATCAGCTCAAAGTTCACCCAACAAACGGAATCAATGTCAAGTTCTACGCCTCGTACATGCTCGGCACTTCTGGACCCTTCTACGATCTCGATCGATTCTCCGTCACGGGTCCTTCTGGCATGACCTGCAGTTCAGTTGACAAAGCTGAAGGATCGACAGAGTGTGACTGGACTCCAACTGCGTCTCAGATTCTGATCGGACTGCATGATGTCTGCGCGATGGCTTTCGATCCTATTCAGCGACCAAGCCCTCGGGTATGCATCAAACTCGACACAAATGCTGGCCCTGGAGATAGAAATTACTGGCTTGAAAGTCTCGCACCAGGATTCGCTGGCGCCTTTTTGAACAATTATGGATGCCAGGTAAAAATCGAGATCCCTCTTCTCATTTCAAAGTTCATTCTAGGGGCGAGGTCTTTTTGAGCCTTTTTCTATCAACAAAGGAAAGCCCGTTGATGAAGTCGATATCTACCTAAACCAATGGAAAAAGTGCGCTCGCTGCTCTATCGATGTCTACAACAATACCGTCCCCGTTGATGAAGCTTGGATCTACCCTGTTCCCGAGAATAACGTCTGTGCCGACGATAATCTTTTCGAAAAGGCAATTTGCGAGTGTGACAAAGCTCTTGCTACAGCGCTCAGCGGACTTACGCCAGATCCGACTTACAGTAACTACGATTCTGTTATTCATTGCGGCGAAACTTTTACAGGAATTCGTTAGATAATTTTCGAATATTTCAATTCTCAAAATGATCTAGGAGGGAGGCATCCAGACCCAAAATGTTGCCAAAATGAACATGGCTACTTCCAGATGTATTCGATTCCGTCAGAGCATTGCTGTGAAAACAACAAACTTAAGCCGACCGGCACCTGCTCTTCTGATAATGGGTTCAGCTATCTCAACACGATCAAAACGTATCATCCAGAGCTCTAAAAAACTATTTCAAAGCTTGTATACAGTATACTCCTGTCTCTTCTAAACTCTTCTATGTAATCATTAAAATAGAGAAACATCCTGTTTTTATTGATTTCTATCAGTCAGCTTCCTCTTTGATGTAATCTCAGCCCTTTTCTTCTCAAGCCTTGTCCATAGATACTGAAGTACAGTAGCTCTTGCTGAGTCAGGAAGCCAAAACTTCCCGCCTAAATTTTTTGACAAAAAGTTTTTTCTCTGATCATACCTGGCGAACTATAAAGCTCCTCTAGAATCGCTCCCATATTAGTAAAGCCAGACATGTTTCCTGTTATAGAAGCGACAAGAGATATTAGATACAAAAGAAATCTAATTTTCATGATCTCTTATTCTGCATTTGTGAGCTTTTTTCTTCCCAACGATACAAGTCATAAAGACACAGATGCTCGTTATCAAATGTTAACCTTATAATCCTCAGAATCTGAATCTGTCAAAAAGGTGTGAAACCTTCCAGACAAGAAAACATCGAGCTCATTGTTTTTACGATGCTCGAAACGGAAATTGCAAGACCAGAGCAGCTTAGCACTCGTTGCCCATCCCTCAGCGCTTGAATCCTGAAGCATGTCGAAATATTTGAAAAAAAAATGCCGCGGCCAAAAGAGCTCGATTTTGCGAACGCACCTGCTACTTCCAAACCTGGATATCAGGTACCGCCTTATTTTTCGCCTCAAAATTGACGGTAGAATCAAAAGCCATGGTACATTCCAGCTTCGAATGCCGGATTCGGCGGGGATTTTTTCAAAAACTGCTCGACTTGCGACGTTTCTTTGAGGTAGCATATATTTTAAGCGGCTTCTGAATGATTTCAGACCGGGGTTAATAAATGTCCGAGACAACAAAAAAGACGATCGCTACAAAAAGCCCCAGCGCGAAGCTGTCATCGCAAAAATGCTAGACTCGATTGAAAAAGACACTGCTTTTCGCATCGATTACGTGGAAAAAGGCACTGAATTACAGGTCATGTCAACTGTACGTCAATTCGTTTATGTATCGCGCTGCATGTGATAAATTCTCCTTTTAGCGGCCTCAACCAGAAATAAGGGATGAAGCCGATTTGTCTGGTCCATTTGAGCTAGTCGTGCCGATTTCAGAAAGCGGCAATTTCGCGAAGTTTACCTGCAGAGGGGATAATACCAAGCTGACGTGTGGGGCTATTGAAGCTCCTTACAAAGTAAAATAAATCTTGAAATCTTAGCTCAATTCTGTTTTCAGGAAAACGGTCGGTGGGCAATGACAAAACGATGGGTTCAATCAATCGATCTTCCAAAAAACACTGTTGCCTCCACTATTTCTGTCACTGTAGAAAAGCAGAATAAGCGCTTCATCATCTCTGGTCAGACCCAGTTCGAGTCGCCTGCATTAAGTTCGCTTGATATTTCCATAAATTTGAAATAAACGATAATACTCATTCATTTTTTTTTTACTTTATAACAGAGCTTTATGATAAGGTTTTTTTTAACTCTCACTTTTTCGGGCAGTCAAGAATTTGTCCATCATCAAGTGTCGTAGCTGAGCCTCTCTTAGCCCTTGATAATCATAGTCTTCGATATTCTGGGCTCGATAATCTTAATTTAACGTAAGTAAAAACCTAATTAATGATAAGGTTTCAAATCGGACTCACCCATATTTGGAAAAGCAGCAGCAAATGCGAAGTAAAAGACAAATAGCTTCATTACTCAATTTTCAAAAATAAGGTTTCAGTAATGAGAGCTTGCTTAAATACTGTTCGCTTTGAATAAATGATTATGAATAAAGCCTATCAGAAGAGTATTACCGAGCACTGAATTTTAATTTGATGACAGATTGCATACTGATAGACTACACGGTTTTTTCTCATTACTGAAAAAGAGGAATAAATTGCCCTCTCGTCGTCTTTTGGCGGATAAAATGTTGAGCATTAATTATTCTCGTTAAAAACTCGCTTGAACGTGAAAGAGAAATCGTGAAACTCACGTCGAAGAATCAGAAATTTCCTTTTGGAAAGTTTGGAAAAGTTCTTTTTATGATTGAACAATATATTTTTCAACGAGGAGATGAGAGCGGAGAAAATTGCGATCGAGTTCGTTCGATCGCCGTTAGAATATAAGAAATGATATCAGGATTGTTAATGTTTTCAAGCTTTGCTTCGATTCTTGATTCGATCAGTTTCTGTTCTTTCTCATCTGGAGATCGTCTCGAATCTAAAAATCATGATTTAGACGTTCTTGAAGGACTTTTTACCGAAAATTTCTTGATACTCTTGAACCATTTGCCAAATCTTGGTCACTGCCTCGGCTCTAGTATCATTATGAAAATGAAAGTTTCTGTAGCTACATTACTTTTCGATGATATTCTTCTGTTCTGAAGACGCAAGACTTCTCAAGTCCGGGTTATTCTTCAGCTTTTCAACGGCATTCTGACTTTTGTACAGCCTTTTCGTGGTAACAGGAGTCAGTTTCAAGTCAACAACGATGTTTGATAGCCTTCTGTAGTCTTCTAGTCTTTCTTCTGCTTTTTCGAGGCTTTCTTTCTTAAAAATATCTTTGCTTTCCCTGTTTTTATAAGAGTACCTTACCCATTTCGGATGATGAGAAACCGCCGGATTTTCAATGCATTTTGAATGAAGATTAAGAACGGCTTGGGATAGTTTTTGATAAGACGAAGAATCGCCAATATTTCCTGAATAAAATTCGAGCTAATTATTAAAATATAAAAATAACTTACGAATAAGGGCAGCTTCAGCTTCCAAAACGGCATTTGCCTTTAAAAGAACTTGTTGACTCTGCTCTCCTCTGAACTCAGTTTCTTCAGGTTTAACGAAGAATTCGGCGTAGTGGGCTATTCGTTTAAGTCTTTGATAATTTTCAGCATCAATTTCTCCGTTTATTCCTTTCTGAAGGTCGATTAGTTGAAGAACTCGCATTCCAGCGTCGGAGAGATTTCTTGATAAAAATTGATGAAAAAGCCTTTTCTCAAATTTTTTATAAATATAAACTGCGATTGTCAATTTTTCAATTTTTTCCTGATCTCCGAAGTAGCCACCTCGTTGCCGACGTAATATTGCAGCTCTTTAATCACCTCCCTGACTTCAGCTTCAGTTCCTTTCTCGAAGACTACTTTGGCCAAGTTCTCCAGTTGATGGAGTTTCTCGTTGATGTCCGCATCGTATGTTTTCATGCTGCAAGCTTCGAAGTCATTTTCGACAGGGACACTTTCGACATCGTAAATTTCATCATCGTCGATGTCTTGAATCGTTGTTGTTTTTGAAGAAGCTGGTGAGATGGCGCGTTTTCTGAAGTAATTTAAGCCTAACCCTGAAACTTGCTTCACCTTTTTCGAAGAACCAAGATGATAATGATAAGTATCAAAATTAAGATAAGAATAAAAAGAGGGAGCCAAAATTTGAGAACACCTTTTTTCTTCTTCGTAAAGTTTTCGAGTCCATGAGAGAATTGCACGGTTTCCTCGCCAATCAGAAATTCGATTAGGTAAGATGTTTCTTCGTTAGAATTCTTGTTCGCGTTGCAGATTGCTAAACTCATCAATCCAGTTGTTGAGAAAATTTTCATTTGCACTTCTTCGTTTCCATTTTTGGAATAAACAAGTTCGTCGTGAAGATTTTCTGAAGGAAAAAGAACCGTTTCAGAGTACCAGAATCGCAAGTCTTGAAAGTCGCTAACTGTTATTACGACCTCTTCCTCTTCAAGAATGAAAAAATAGTGACAAGATAAGCCAGAGAAAAACTTTCGTTGTTGATGACTTTTCGTGACGAAATGAAATTTTAGTGAAAACTCAGAAATACTCTCTGGGATCGGCCTTTGTTCGATTGACGGGATGATTGGGAGAATTTCAATTCCTGATTCACTGCTGATTGAGGTGAAATTCGAGATGGTGTAGTTTTTTTCGAAGCCATCGGAAGCCAAAATGAGGTATTGTTTCTCGCACCCGGGAAAGTATTCTGCAGAAATAACATCAATATTTTCTTTTATAACTGATCCTCCGCCGATTTGATTTTGTCCGAGAAAATCGTCCTCGAACTTTCTAAATTGGTGAATCGGCGAGTCCTCGTTGACTTCAGAAATCAAAATCGGCACATCGGCGAACTGAAAAACTTTCTGGTCCAGTACTCCGAGGTTCAGCGCAATTTCAGCGACGGCGAATGCCGACTGCTTTTGTTGCTCGAATTCGAGGACGGAAATAGACTCCGATCCATCAATTATTGAAATCAAGCAAATTTGAGGCGTTTCTTGTTCAAATGGGCAAATCGGTAAGGGGCTTTTGCTGATGATTTCTGTTGCATTCTTCGTTCTCCAAATTTTCTTCCTGCAGTTTTCTTGTCCGCCGATTGAATTAATGAAATCATTAATTTCTTCGTCATCGTACAGCTCGATTAATTCTTGAGCTCTTTCAAGAGGCGAATGAGAGTTTCCCCCGAAGATGTTCTTCGCGCAACCGAGATTGCCAAAATTACTTTCCACCAAAGCCGTCTTTTTCAAAAGCTCCAAATATTCGAATGGATACCTCGAACTCAATTTCTGAGCCACAGCACAGACGGTTTCAACCCCAAAGGATCCATACTCGCGAGTGATATCTCTTGCTGGAATTATCTCGCCAAAAGTGGGGAGAAAGAAAAACAAGAAAATGCGCATTCAGAATCCTGTTATTGTCGGTTTTGAAGCGCTCGAGCAAATCTTGCCGGTTAAAAATTCATCCATTGCATAATAACGTTTGAATTTTCAAATCGTATTTTTTTTTCAAAGATGCGTTGAAAAATATTTGATCATGAACAAAACTAGAAATTTCTTAGTTGAAAACTTACCTGTTGATCCAGCGCCGATTGAAACCAAAGTATCCGTTATCCACTTTCTCGCCTTCTCACTTGCGACTTCAGCATAAACTCCTGGCGAAATTATGCTCGTCCCGGGAAAGTACTCGCCGCATCCGACTCCCCAAGACACGATTCCAGCAAGTTTGGGAACTCCTTGTCGCAAGACTACAGCTGGTCCTCCGGAATCTCCTTGGCAGCTGTCAATTCCCAGCTCAGCGTGGCTCGCGCAAAACTGATCATCAGAAACAGTCAGGGGAACATAATCAGGGTCGTAGTCCGGCGAGTCTGGCTCGGTTATGTCAGCTTGCGCCAAGTGAAATCGATTCTTGCATTCTTCTTCAGTCAGAACCTTGACTTTTGTTTCGAGCAAATCAGGAGAGAGCATTCCAGACTCAACATCTTTTGTTCCCCAACCGGCGATGTGAAGATTTTCTCCAGGAATGAGGGGTGAATCAAGAAGCTCAATTGCTTTGATTCCCAGTTCACTGCACTTCGAATCGAGATCTTCTGAAAGTTTGACCACGCAGAGGTCGTTTTTCAATCCACGAGTCGTGTCGTAATCCGGATGAATGACATATTTATCGACAGGGACCTTCAATCCTTTTCCATATCGCAAATGGCCGAAGAAAAAGTTTTCCCAAGGATTGTTTGGCTTTCCGTAATTTACGCAACAATGAGCTGCAGTCAACGCGGCTTTTCCACCAAGATAGAGCCCGCCACAGCCATCCGAGTGCCCGATAAAAGGCCAGTTGTCAATCGTTTCCACGGGCCAGCCGCCGACGATTTTAAACTCGAAATCCTTCTTGCTCATTCTGGACTCTTTCTTAGCATTCGCTCGCCCGATGACAACAGAGCTGAGCTCATCCTTGTCAATCCCCATTTCAAGCAAGTTTTGAAGAAAAAAGTCATTCTGGCTCTCGACAAAAAGTTCTTTGAAATGACCTTTGTTGCAAGTCAATTTTCTGCTGTTCAAAATTTCAGCCGCTACAGAGCCGAAAATGATCGACTTTGCTATTTTCATGTTTTCTCTATATTTGAGCAACTCTCAGACTAGACTCACATTTCTGAGATGCTGAAGAAGCTCTAAAAGATCTTATCCAGCGGCAGCCATGTTTTCTTTCCAAGGAACAATTTCTCCAATTGATAATTCAAACATCGCGCTTTTGAGAAAAGTGCAGCTGCTCCTTGATTTTTCAAAAAAAAAAAACGGCGGGTACGAACATAAAAAGAGCTCAAAGAGGGAAAGGATGAAGATCTTTGGATTTTTCTGTGTTCAGGCGATTGCTGCTGAAGAAACCTGTAATGAGGGACTTTCTTCCAACTATTGTCGAACTCGAGGAAAAACTCTTGACAATGATAAGGTATTCCAATCTCATCATTTCTAGGCCTCGGACGTAAAAATCCATCACCATCATCGGAGCTTCGTATGGGATTGAGAATAGGCTCATTCGAAAGCTCTTGAAGAGGGCTTTATTATGGGCAAATGAAAAAATTGGGCCCTGTCTCCCAGTTTTGAGTAATCAGCCTTTAAAGATAAAGTCGAAAAACGTTTTTACGAAATAACTTGAAACAGGGAGACAGGGTCCAATTTTTTTATTTGCCGCCAAGAAAGTTCTCTTTAAGAGCTTTCGAATGAGCCTACTCTCGTCCTCATACGAAGCTCCGATGGTGAAAATCGATATTTTTACGTCCGAGGCCTAATCATTTCCAAAATAATGTGTTTCTAGCTCTACAACGATGCTGTGAAACGATACCAAGAGCAGGAAGCAGAGTTCAACACCCTCGGCCAATGCTACAATGATATCAAAAACTGGGGCGCAACCCGTGAGCTGTCCCTTTTAAAATATAGGAAAACTTATTTCTAGAGGGCGATCGCGAATGGGATTTCAAGGGATGCAAGGCTTCCGGCAAGTGCAGCCAAAAAAATCCTGATGGCAGTGATCCAACTGATCAACAGAGTGAGGAGATTTAAAAAAATGAAACCTAACAGAAATTAAGTCCGAGATTGCTGCTTGAATAACGATTGGGACTACTTGTACTACTCAGTACAGAACGTGACTATTTTTGGCCAAGAAACACTCAATCAAGCTGACGAACTCTACAACAGTAACAAAAAAGTAACAACTCATCTTTTATCATCTTTAAGAAATGCTGAACTTCAAGAACTGTATCGGAGATCACTGCGGAATCGACATCAAGCGATTTTTCTGATCATTTTCCGTGCTATCGTGAATAAATCATCTTTAGTCAATCAAAAATTAAGGACTCAATGAAAACATGTTCTTAATTTTATTCATAATTTTCAGAAGTCGTCTTGCGAGAGAAAATTTGATATAATAAAGTTGCTCAAATTGAGAAGACGAAACCAAATTTTCATCAATAATTGAGCATGAGGATTGACCGCATCTTTTAAAATGGAGGTTCCAACGATCGAAGTTGTTGTATTTGGTTCACCTTGTTCAGAACATAAAGTACCAGATGATTCGAGCTCAGAAATCTAGAGGAATATTAAAAAGAACATTGATCAAAAATACCAAGATATTGCCATAGTAAAATCCGTTAACACAAGTGTTACTTCCAAGATAAATTGATGATTCTTCATTAGAAATTGACCAATGTCCATTTGCCGCCATTTTCAAAGTGTAATTACCTTTCTGTCAGGCTTCAGCACCCTTGTTGAAACGCATGTTGTTGGAAGAGACCCATTCGCCGACCCACTTACCGTTGGTGGAGTCACCAACCCATTTACCAACCCATTTTCGGAAAGTAGGTATTTCCAAATCCCAAAAATTTGGAACAAAATTATTTTGACTTGGCCTTTCAAAGAGGATTAAAAAAAATCAAATCTCAGTGATTATTCATAAATTATGAATCATAATTTATGATATCAAAATTAACATGGGAGAACCTTATTTTGTTCTTTTTGGAAATCCTCACAATAAGTAAAATAAGCGTTGCCTAAACATTTGCTTTTTCTCGAACCCATTTTCCAGGATCCGTCTGGTCTTGGCCAGATGTAATTTTCACTTCCAATTTTTTTGAAGACAGGGATATTCGGAGCATACTAGCACCAGTCAATTTGATCAATTCGAACAAAAATTCCTGAGTCGAAACCATAGTACGCATCGCCATGGGCAAGTGTTAATCTCAGCGACTTTGGATGAGTGTCATTAATTACTTTTGAATAAGCGCCAGTCCATTCTTGTAACAGCCATTTTCAGAAACATAGAAGGTTTCTGGTTCGCAATATTCATCGCAGAAAGCTAGTTCTTCATCGGATCCGTCGGCACAGTCTTTTATTCCGTCACAAAGTCGGCTTTCGAGATACTCAGCACCACTGTTACAAGATCGGACCTTTATAAATTCCTCTCCTGGTTGACCACAAAAGCCTTCGTACATTTTTGCAAGCTGAAAAACGTCTGTTGATGAGAGTCGTTCAACTTCTGGCCATTGGACAGGGTCTCCATCCAGATTCGTGATAGTTGGTAATTCATCTACCGCAGCTTCAATCGTTTGGAATGAAAAAGCGTCGTAGTGCATGATAGACTGTATATGATATACAGTATATCATAAGGACTTGACATATCGAACCAGGCAAAGGCATTTATCTTCTCGAAAGCGTATCGTTTCTCAGGTCTAATACGATCGAAATAGACAATTACATGATCGTCTCGATCGGGTCTTTCATGTTCATGATCAAATCCAAGCGCATGCAGCACTTCATGGTTGACTACGTCGCTTCTTAGGCAACCTGATGCAAGGTTGATTCTTTGGCCATTAGGGAACGATGGATCATCGCCGTGATAACCGATGTATGACTTGCAGCCATCATTTTCATCATCTTGAAAATCGATCCAATGAGAGTGAGCTTGAGCTTCACTGTCGTCAACAAATCGAATGCACCCACCAACATCAGCTGTTATCAAATCGAGAGACTCAGCAATGATTCGTTGGGCATCAGCAATGGAAGTATGAGCTCCGTTTCTGAATCGGTACGGGATAAGGAGGTAAGGTCGATCTTCAACACCATAAGTATTTCCAGGCCAGCGTTGATTAGTACGCGCTCCTCTTGGTCGAATGAGCGAAGATGTTTCACCAAGAGCTTCAGGATGAATGGTTGCCTGCCAAATATTATAAATAAAAAAATTGAAAATAATTTATATGCTCTTAAAAGATATAAGAAGATATTTTATAACATTTTCTTGGACATATCTATTCCAGCTATCAGAGCTTGCTCCTTAGTCCGAATTAGATCATCGTGCATGTAGTCCAGAGGCGGAGGAGTTACAGTTGACTCATTTATGGAGGATACCGTTGGCATGATCTCTCAAAATTCTTTTTCGATAGAAACTCAGAATAAAAAGAGCGGTCAGAATTTTTACTATTTACATTCATTGAACGTCAATAAAAAAGGTGCTTTTTTCAGGAATATATTTATAAAACAGCAGATGGGCCGTTTAGCTCATTAGTAAAAGTCAAGAACCATTCAAAGTCAAATTTGTTTCAAAGAAAAACAAGCTGATTCTCCGCTTTTTCAGCAACAAAGCTTTAATGAAAGGCTGATTCTCTTGCGTAAAAATCTTTTTTTAATCTAATTTTTAACGCACAAGGTGGTAAATAATTTAATTATTGAATTAAAACTTGTTCTGAAGAAATGATTCATTGCAGGTGAGACACCACCCCCACTTCTCTTTTCGTCCAGTGAGAGCGTGAGGAGTGCGAATAATTAGTCGTTTTTGTTAATTTTTTATTCATTGGAATCAAGGAGGAAAATAAGGCGAATTCCGAACAGATACAGTTTCAAAATAGAGAAAATAGAGAGACGATACAATGAACGGGAGCAGTGGGGATGAAACAGCGTTGTTGAATCAGTTGAACAATCTTTGTTTGAGGAATCAGAAGATGCAGTACAATAGGTACAGTTATTTGTGGTTGTAAACCCTTAATTTTTACAAAATAGGCATTTTCGGTTCATAGAAATATCGCGCTTATAAAAATAGAAATATCACACAAGCAAAAAAAGATAAAATCATCCGAAAAGGCGACCCAAAATAAGAAAGACCAAAAAGCCAACAAGCCACTCAGCAAATTTAATCAGCAATTATCAGAATGGTCTGCCGGCCCAGAGGCGAATTATTCTAAAAGACAGAATTTTTTTTGTACCGCTTAGTCTGGCCGACCTGAGTAAACTTGGAGTCAGCCCAACAGCTCTTTTGTAAAAGTTACGAATTCGCGGACACTAAGAAAAAGAGCATACAGTGAATAGGAGAGCACATATAGAGAGCAAGAGAAGATGGAGATTCCTTCTAGTCAGTATAGCAAGTGAGTTAAAATCAAAAATATTTTTTATGAAAAGAATAAATGGGGCAGAAACAGGAAGAAACTCGTAAGTATTTGTTTCATAACAATTATTGAGCTTGACCATTTGTCATAAAAAGACACTCCATAGAAATATTAAGAGGAGGGGGCTCTTATTTTTGAGGTTTTTTAAAATAAAGATTCAAATTCCACTCTATTATTTTCCCCGAATTTCTTTCTTTTGATAGCGCTGCCCTAGAACAATTGGTTTTGGCGACTTTCCAGAGTCATCATGTCATTTTATGTCCATTTGAATTTTGAATGAACTTTTGAACTTTTCTCAATTTGAACTTTTGTCAGAGAGCGCCCTCTCCGCTAAAAAGACCATCCTTTTTTCAAACAAAAAGATATTTCTCCTTCAACCAGATTATCTGTGAGACCTCGGGATCAGTCACTATTGTCTCTCAGGATAATTTTTTCGCTCTTTTGTCTCTCTTTTTTTCTGACCTTTCTGGACGCGTTTTTTCAATCAATTTCTTTTTTGTTCGATTTCTGACGGCCAAGGTCGCCAATAAACAATTTTATTTCGACCGGGTTCATCGTTGTCCACGGCGGGCTTAATTGAATGAAAATTAAGTTGCCACACTGACGCGCTAAAAGCCATCTTTTCGGATCCCTTCAATTATTCAAATCATTCAAAATAACCAAGAGAAAGAAAAAAAGAAGCGCCGAAGTCAGAGGACCGCGGCCAACTTGGCCGGTAAACGCAAAGAAAAGTTGTAAAAAACGCGCCCATCTGGAAAAGAGAGATAGAGCAAAATAAAGCCAAGACAAAAGCGTTTTTTTGGGAATCAAGAAAGAGAATTTTCCGGCGAAAAAAAGGCAAAATGGAGGCAAAAACCGTTATTCGCCATGAAAAGCAATATCAAAGGTACTTATAAATTGAACTCATGGAGAAAGAGAATTTTATGGGCAAAAACTTCTGGGAGATTTCCATTTTAACGAGCATAGTTTTCCTTCGGAGGGGCCGAATTACAACAGATTTTGAAACCAAAGGCTTGTTATTAAGCGAATCATCCTCAGTCCTTCGAGAAAGTTCTTGTCGGGTTGAACTGTTGATATAATATTCGCGATTTAAAAATTCATGCCGTCAGACAAATGTCGATAACCGGCCTTTTCTCGAGTAGCTGGCCCATCTAAATGTTGCAGTATTTAATTAGCTTCATCGATCTTTAGTTCCATTTCAATTCGAATTAATTGCAAATAACGGATCCATTCAGTTTTTCGAAGTTCAATTATTCTTGGTCTTACGATTCTTGGTCTCGACTTTCTAGTAATCATTGAACTCGATTCTTGCAAGAAATTTTCTAGATCTTGCATTGATCACTCGATCCAAGTCTAAATATCTCTTAGAATAGAAAAAGAGAGCAAAAATGTCGGCCCCTAGCAGTCCGTCGAAAAGATCGTCACTGCCTATGATTGGCGGTGAAGTCAGTAATCGTCAAACTAAAAACAGGTTTTGATGAAAATTCATGTTATTTTTTGTGTAACAAACCCCATTTTTTCGTTCCCAGACAAGACATTGCGTGAATATACGCATTTCGAATCAAAAAGGGGATGAAATTCACGTCATTTCGCGGCCGATAACCAACCAATGTTCCCTCATAAAGCGATCCACCGCTCAAATCCGCATTGATTTATTTTATTTTTCTTCTCTGCCCTTTTTTCATTCTTTTCAAGAGAAGAGAAAATTTCCTTAAAATGAACGGTGACCAACGAGGACAAAGAAAAAGGTTCTCTAGTAGACTTTTCTAGTGATTGATTTACTGTCCTGCAACAGTAGATAAATGGGTAACGCTTGTCTTGCGCAATACGAGTTGTTAAGCCCTTTTTAGGCGCTCAGGAAGTTTTTCTCATGTGACACGTGAAATTTTCTCATTTCCAAAAGAGATTGTTTCCAGTGATTCCTTTTCGTTTTTTTTTACAAAAATGCCGAGAAGAGCAGCTAACAGAAGTTTAAGCGAAATATCTGAAGACTCCGATAAAAGTTCGAAATCAATAGAAATTATTTCATTTTAAATTTTATTGATGTTTTCAATTTTGAACTTTATTTTCTGATGAAACGTACAGAGATCTTAGAGACTCTGTTCTTGAGCGGCTGATTCTTGAAAAACGCCGTGATATTGCCGCGGGCGTGAGTTCTACCAGCGATAATCGATTGAATTACAAAAAGTAAATCCCCGATTTTCCCTTTTTCAAGAAAAAATCCAGATTTTCCTTAAAATTTAAGGGATTGCAGTTGCAATTTGCGTCTTAATCTCATCTTCTTAGGGTTTTTGTCAACCGATCGGTTAATATGGAGAAGATCAAGATCTTCGGCTTCGACATGGATTACACCCTCGGTATGTCAGCCTTCAATGAATAAGCTCCTTTCATCCCCTTTTTAGCTGTCTACAAATCCCCTCAGTACGAAAAGCTCGGATACGATCTCATCATCGACCACTTGATCAAACAGGGCTATCCTGCAAAACTAGCCAACTACTCTTACGATTCTTCATTCGTCGTCCGAGGACTCCTTTTTGATCGAAAAATGGGAACTCTTTTGAAAATTGACGGTTTTGGAAACATTCTTGTCGCCTGGCACGGTTTCTCCCCACTGTCTTACGACAAACTTCGGGACTGCTATCCCAACAAGTTCATCAACAAGGTACTTGTTGAAATGGATGCCTTTTAAAATCGACCAATAAGAAGCTTGATAGAAATTTTCGTTATGATAGCTTTCCTTTGTAGGATGACAGCGGTCGATTCTTCGTCTACAATACGCTCTTCAACCTTCCAGAAATCTACGTCATGGCGGTTATGATCGACATGTACCAGAAACTCGAAGACTACGACCAAACCGAGAAAGGATTCAAACATCGACAGGAGCAAATTGAAATCACATACAATCTTATTTTCAACGATGTCCGAGAGGTAGATCTCATCTTGTCCAATTTTCCCTGTAGAAGTTATTTTAGGCGGTCGATTATGTGCATATTTATGGAGATTTGAAGCCGAAGACTGTTGCGAACTTGGCGAAATATGTCGTTAGGGATGCAAAGCTGCCACTTTTGCTCAACAGAATGCGGGAAAATAATGACAAGAAGGTTTTCCTCGCCACGAACTCTGATTACGAATAGTAGGTTTCTCCATTATCTATGATTTCTAGCTCTTTTCTAGCACCAACAAAGTGATGACTTATTTGTTCGACTTTCCACACGGCCCAGAGGTATCAAATTAGTGCAGAAAAGATAGATCTTGAGTGTGATAAATCAAAGTCTGCGAAAAAATGACTAAAGAGCTGGCAAAACCGCGAGACTGACTTATCACACGCAAGATACCTAAGTAACTAGAAGAGTGAATTGAGTGAAAGTTATTGACATGTAACATGTTGACTTACCAGCAGAAACAGTTTGAAAAGTTTACAACTCATCCCGTGTGTTCAGGATTCTTCAAAGGTAAGAACTTTTTTTTATTACTAACAAGCTTTATTCCCAAATAAATTCTTTATATATTCATGTTCAACTCTTTTTCTAGCCCGGAACTCCCCATCGCGACTGGAAATCGTACTTTGATCTGATCATTGTTGACTCTCGAAAGCCAAAGTTCTTTGCCGATGGAACCCCACTTCGACAAATCGATCTTAAAACTGGAAAAGTCAAAATTGGCCGAAGCACTGGTCCAGTTGAAGAAGGAAATGTCTACTCTGGTGGTTCTTCTGACGCTGTGACGAAGCTTTTCGACGCAAAAGGTTTGCAGCCTAAAACATTTTTTGGCTAAAAAAATCTTCAGGAAAGGACATTATGTACATCGGAGACCACATTTTCGGCGATATCCTCAAGTCAAAGAAGGAAAACGGATGGCGAACATTTTTGGTGGTTCCCGAATTGTCCCAGGAATTGCACATTTGGTCGGATAAACGAGACTTGTATGAGAAAATCAGAGCGCTTGACGATGTCATCAGCGAGGCTTACCAAAACCTCGATTCCAGGTGATGACATTTTGAAATCAGGTTTTGAATTGCGTTTCTTGTAGCTCGAAGGATGCAGTAGATCTTCGAAAAGTCAAGAAAAACTTCCGAGAGACCGTCCACGAAATGGACATGAACTTTGGCATGTTTGGCTCAATGTTCCGCTCCGGCTCGCGACAGACGATGTTTGCGACGCAGACCATGCGATTTGGCGATCTGTACGCTTCATCCTTCATCAACTTGTTCTACTATCCCTTGAACTACCTCTTCCGGGCGCCGCATATTTTGATGCCGCACGAGACTTGTGTGGAATCTGTCGAGACAGCGTTCTTGGTCGACCAAGAAGAGGAATCTTCGCTCTCCACTAGAGGTGTCATCAAGCCCTCTGCAGAAGATCGACGAAAACAGGTTAGCAAGCCGCGGAAGATGGCCAAAAAAACCGCTCGTCTTATTTGATCGAACTTTTCTTCACAAAATCTTTCAGGATCGACTTGAAGAGCTCGAATCAGACGCCGAGTCAGAGTACGAACCCGACCCCTCCGAACTGGTCTACCCCAACGTCCCCACCGCCATCACCCACAATCACGACAACGACGAAGACTCCGACAGTGACGACGCTCAGACTGAGACCGTCACCGAGTAAGAAGCTTATCTATCTTCACTTCTGTATCTTTTTTCACTCTAGAAAATCACCTTCACTTGTTTTCACCACACTAGTAGACTGTCAACTGCTGAGGATAATTACACACAGACAGAACTCTCGCTCTTTGTGCGCTTAGAAAATATTTTAAACTTTCACAACTTACCTTTTTTCAGAAAAGAATATTTAAATTAATAAAGGCAAAATTGAGGATCGTCAAAATTTCATTTTTTTATTTATTATTTGTACACAAGAAAGAACGGAAAATATGATTTTATCCGTTCGCAGTTATTTTGTTTGAGAAACTCGTTTCGAATTTCTACGTCTTTGGATCAAAAACAGAAAACAGGAAAATATTTTTTGACTTTAAGAACCTACACCGTGTAGATTCCTCTTGTTGGAGCGGGGACCTCTGAAGATGACGAATCGGCTGCTTCGGCAAATATTTGGAAGTCAGAGCGATAAGGGCCCCAGAAATCACCATGAAGAGCTTATATCGAGTTTTCAAAAGGTTAAAGGGGCTGTTGAAGTACCTGGGTCAGAAGCTGGATCAGGAAGTGGATGCCATGGTTCCCGAACATTGTCCATTTCTTTGTGAAGTCGATGCAGAAGCTTGTGGGTAAGGTTTGGCATTGTCCCACTAAATCATTCAAGCTACAAAACGACTGAGTGAACTATAAGGAACCTGAGATCATTTGCTTCTTGAGGGTCTTCTTTGATATTATACAGCCAGACGGTCTGGTAGTCAGATGCTTTCCGACGGAGAACTGAGTGTGATCCTACGACGACTTTATAATCTCCATCGATTATTACGCCTAAACCGTTAATCAAAAAGCTGCAAAGAAGAGTAACTGACCTTGAACTCGAGTATCCCAAGTACTATTCTGAAATCTTGTATCTTCTTCCCAAAGCCGAAGAAGTGGATTGATCTGCATGATGATCTCGGATCGTTTCTGTTCTTCTGCGATTTTGTCGCCTTGCAGGCGAGACCACAAGTCGTGGCCATCCAAGACTTTCGGTGGAAGAGTGTGACATTTTGCTGCGGAAAGCATGGTTGGAAGAACGTCCGACACGTGAGACAAATCGTTGAGCTAAAAAAGACTAAGTTTTCTAAGAAAAAAATTCGTCATACCTTTTTGCCGCGCATTTTGTTCGGGATGGCAGGACCAGAGAAAAAGCCATATCCCGTTATGCCTCCTTGCCAAAAGTCATTCTTGCCACCTTTCAAGACGAAAGCCGAGTCATCTTCTCGACCATTATCGTTCGAAAAATAGATCAAGGTGTTATTCCACAGGCCTGAATCTTTGAGCCCGTCGACGATTTCGCCCACAGCTGCGTCAAGAGCAGTGACCATTCCAGCGAAGACTCGTTGGCCGTTTGACATTTGGACATTGTCGTTGTAGAGGCTGACGTATTGCTGGGGAGCTTCGGTTTGTTCAAAAAATGAACAAATAAAAACCATAATTTCGCGATTGGATTGAAGAATTAGGCCTTTCAACAGACCAGATTGAAATTGAGCTAGAATTCGAATCCATGTAAGTAAGTGCACGGTGGTCCGTTTTAATTAAACTTATTTTTAATAAATTTTGATGAACACTTTTGAACATTTCCTTGAAGAGGTCGATGAACCGACTGGAAGGCAACGTACATGTAGAGTGGCTCTGTTTTGTTGTGAGCGAAGAATTTTTCTCGAGCTTTTCTCTGATATCAAATCTGTCCCCGTATACATTTACGTTCGTTGATTTGAAGATCAGTTCCTTTATCAGCGTACAAGAAGGGTTGATACTTCATCGATGTATCTCTTACTGGACCTTGCTCGGTTCTCAAGTCATATCCGCAGAGATTTCCATAGTTTCTCAGCTTCAGGCATTTTCTTCTACTATAGTAATCCTGTCCCCCTAAAGATTTCTGGTTAAAAATGATTATGAAAAGGTCTCTTACCGAGAAGTTGTCCAAAAAACTCATCAAATCCGCGCTTCCAAGGAAGATAATTGTCTTTGAAAAATCCAAGCTGCCATTTTCCGACCATGTATGTTTTGTAGCCGCACTCCTTCATGTACTGAGGCATAATGTACTAAGAAAACGAAGCTTTAGTGTTTGTCCTTTGGAATGAATAAGTACGGGGACGACGGTACAAGATCCGGTACTCGTCTCCGATAATAACCTCATCAAGTGGCAGGCCAGCTGGTCTGTATCCAACGAGGTTTTCGTGTTGCAAACCTAACCTGAACCAAATTTTTAGGTTATATTATAAAGGATTTTAAGGCGGTTGAAGTTATTTCCCGCGGATTTACTTTTTCTTCAGCCTTTTTTCGATAGTCTCATACCTGTATGGATATCGACCAGTCATCAGACTTCCTCTCGTTGGCGAGCAAACTGGTTGAACATAGTAGTTATTCAGTAGGACTCCATCTCTAGCTAGCATGTCCAAATTTGGGGTGTAAATGTCCGCCCCGTGCATGGAAACATCGTGTTTTCCAAGATCATCTGCTACAATTACGACTATATTTGGCGGTTGCTCCGCTTCGGCTATACTGGCTGATAAGCCTAACATATACAATAATTTTAAATTTCTCATTTTTTTCCAATATTTTTTTTTTCTTTTTTTTGTGTTTCTCTTATTTATTTTGTTACGTTTACTTCTTTTTCAATTCAAAAAATATTTTTTAAAACGGTGAACGGTTTGATTTTACGGAAAGTTTGCGGATAAAACAAGGGCTCCACCTTTCTTTCTCTATTTTTCCTGACGTCGGCGAGAAACCGCGGGGTTGGTGGTGGTGGTGGCGCTTCCACTTCATGAATCATGTAGGTAGCATGAGCACTAATACTAGAAATTACGGGCACCCTGGGGGCGATATTACGAATATGAGATGGAGGGGGTTATGATTGCGTAAAGAACTTAGAAACACTTTGTTTTCGTGATTCACACTACCACGTAGTTTGACGTCAGAAGCACAGGATATTTTATACAGTAAGTTTTTGAATAAAATTTCTTAGCATAATGATTATTGAAGTCAAAATTTTTAGTGAAAATATGAGCAAAAAAAATCGTAAAAAATTTTTTCTCGTTAAAATGAGGTCAATTATTCTTTAAAAGACGTAAAGTCAAAACAAACTGGGCTGAGTAGCTCCGGCGCGGTTAGACGTGAACTTTTGACGAACCACAGGATTTTCCGAGTCAGGCGAATTCTGCGGCTCAGACGAATACTGAAGACGGCCGCAATAATGGGCCAACGGAATTGCCTCTCAAACGTGAAAGATATGTTAAAATGCTCGCACAAGAACGCGCCTTCGGAATTCTGACCAAGAAACTTTTCGGTTAAAAGGATTAATAGAGACTTCTAGCTTGAATTCAGATTGCCCTAGTTTAACTTTTTCCTTGTTTTTTTTGCTTTCTTAATAATTTATTTGGTTGTATTTAAAATGAAAATAAATAAAGGTATTTTCCGTTAGTTGAACTCGATCAGGAGATTTTTGGGTTCGACGAATGTTCAGAATTGTTGGTTTTGAAAGATTGTCAGAATTGAGCTTGCAGTAGAGTTTGGAGTCGCATGGCAATTTTTATCGTCCAATGAAGTCGAGATCGGAGAAAATGAGGGAGAAGCTTCGGGAGACGGATCGAAAGTGTGTTCTGGGTAAAGGTGGGAATTGTCGTACACGCAAGGAGTCTGAAAGATAATGGTCAACGGCCTGATCTTGTGTAATTATCAGAAAATATATGTTGAAATCGGAACAAAGGAGATTTTCGTTTGTTTTCCTTATGTTTCCGAACAGTCTGTTTCCGAAAGTACGGACGCGATAAATCCGGACTATTCTCTTATTTTTTGATTTCGTGCGCATTTCTAGCATTTCATTGTTACGGTAAAAATTCTGTTTCATTATTGACAAAAATTTACTATTTATTATCCTCAATTCAAGTTTATCAGAATAAAACAAAAGCAAATAGAAAAATGGTTCGTCACAAACGGTATCAAGTTAATGAAATAATCCAAGAACTTGGATGAAACATCTTTTTGGCCACGTAGACTTGACTCAACGGCATTATCTAGACTTTCTAGGCTCCTTCATTAATGAAGGCCACGTAGCGTTAAATGCATTTGAGGCAACATCTTTAAATATTGGGAGAGATAAATGCCGAAAAATTATGACTTCTTAAAATAGGCTATTTGGATAAACCTGACTAAATTTCCAGAAACAATCGATTTTTTTTTCAATATATGTGTAATAATTTACTTCGATAAAATATACCCTTGCTTTCTATAACGACGTCTACACCCTAAAAATGACTCACCAGTGATGTTGAGCTTGATTCTGAAGAAGTCGAAGTAGTTGATCCATCAGATTGTCTTCTGTTGAACCTCAGCATTTCAAAAAACTTCGAATCAACGAAATCTGGGTCAATTCTGTCGAATGGAACGCGCCTTGGTTTATTGATGAATCCAGTCTGTCCTGGTTGTCTTCTCTTCTCTATTTTTCCTCTTGGTCGTTTCAAGTGCGTTGCAAATTCGATTGGTTTTCTTGATTCTTGGGTTCTTTTGGACTTTGTTTGCTGGTAGATATGAGAAGAAGGAGGAGCATCCGAGTTTTGAACCGGTTGGTATTGTATCGGCGGTTCGGGCGGAAACCAACGGGAAGAAGTTTTTTGTCCATTCGGCGAGTTCTCAAGTGGCATGCTATTCAGAGTATATGTTGCGTTAAGAAGTTGGGAAAGAAGCGGGCATTGCTGGGGAGAACCGAAATACAGCGTCATAAAAAATTCTCTTAGCCACTAAATAAAATTTATTTTCATTGATTCTGATCACTCAATTTTCTAAAATTTTCTTTCTCAATTTCATATACCAGAGAAACTATTTTAAAGCCACCTCTACTCTCTTACCTTATTAATCTTCTTTTTATCCTCCTTTTTTCAATCTCTTATTTTTGCGAAAAAAAATAAGTAAAATTGTGTGCGTCCGCGCAAATCGCTCGCTTTTCTCTTTATAAGACACGGCTAGTCAGTTTCTTCTATTTGGGTGTCTATTTTTTTCTAGGGCAAGGGGAAGTTTTTAAGTAGGTCAGTAGACACGTGTAACACCGGGGGGCTAAAGTGGGTCAAAGATGGCTGTTTCTCGTTTTTTATTACTCGCACGATCGTCCTTTTTATTTGATGATGATCAGAAGACAAAGAATCTACCGGGCGAATTTCTCCGAGAATAAACTATATCTTCCGATAATACATTGTCAGCATTTCGTAACCAGGCAATTAATGGCGCCAGAGGGATCTCAACGTAAAATAAGCTTTTAAATAACTTACAATTTACCGTAAATATCATAAACTCATTTAATAAATTATTATTTGGCATCCAGTTTTGCGAAAAGAACTGAAAATAGACTCCAAAGCAAAAAAAAATGGAAAATAGACTCCAAAGCAAAAGAAAAGCTTCGATAAGTCTAAAATATTGGATTGCAAAATATAGACACTCCGTTCTGAGTCCAAATTCGGACTCTTGACATAGAGGATGTGAAAGGAAAATCTTTTTGTCAGTGAGTAATAGCAGGAAATTACACTTGGCTCGTCTGAAAACGAAAATTTATTATTAATAGAATTACATATTAGCATTAAATTTTCTTTTTAAAAAAGCTTCATAATAGCCTATTATTAAAAGGCTTATCATGATATTCTAAGTTAGAATCTTAGGATTTTTTTCACAAGAAAATGCTCGAGAAGGATACCACTTTCTTGTTCACTTATTTATGAAAATTGAGGTCAAATATAGTCAAACAGGTTCTAATTTTATACCCCAACTGAACTTTATTTTGTCGCTATGAAATCATCAAATTTTACATTAAAAAAAGTTCACTCAATACTCGATGCACTCATATTCAAAACTCAGTATCACTAATCGCACCCAAAATAGAGAAGAATAAAAAGTTTTTTCCGACCCTCAGATTGATTCCTACCCCTGCGGCCAACCGCACGCATTCACCGGATGATCATATAATAAAATAATCTCCGACATTTTAGAAATTCATCGCCCGGGCAAGCGAGAAACGATAGGCGCTTTCAGAGACAAGAGGTTTTGAATTTTTCGTTAAGAAAAAAAAACAAAAATGAAGCTTCTTGCGGGGCTTCTCGCCGCTAAAAGTGCTTTTGCAGAGGAATGTTCGGCTATGTGTGGTGGAGGTTTTTATCAGGTATGTCTAAGAAAGAGATTGGCAGGGGGATTCCTCACTATTCTTCAGGAAGGCGAACTGAAAATCCTCTGCAACGGAGAGCCATGTTCAATCTACGAAACTCAAACAATCGTTGCCAACAACCACTTTGACGACCTCATTTCCTGGACAGCCAATGGCGGCATTACTCTCGCCACAGTTTCTCCTGGCTATTTCTCGGATAATGCGATGCATATTTCGGGCAGAAATGCGAATTGGAAGAACCCGCAGCAAACTATCGACAAGTCCTTGTTGACGAACAGAAATTACTCCGGCAAGTTTTTCATCAAACTAGACTCAGATGTAGACACAACTGTGCAAATGATGGCCAAAATCACCGTCAACGGGAGTCCTAGTTACTTTCAGCTCGGAAGTGTGAGCGTCTCGACCGCTGGAATCTGGTATCCAGTTCCCTTCACGCTTCTCGTCCCCCAAACAACTCTTGATACCGCTGAAAGTATTGTGCTGTACCCGCAAGTTTCTGATGCAATGGTTTCATACACGATTGATGAGATGTTTATCGTTGAATCTGATGATCTTGTTTCATACACGTCTTTGGTTACTGATGGTGACTTTTCGACTGGACTTGGTATTTGGACGAGTCAAGAATTGGTTTTCTAGTTATCCTTAATTTTCACGAGAATTCAAAAAGGAATTCAAATAAATTGTCAATTTCAATTAACTCCTAAATTATAAACATTAGACTTTTGACGAAAAGTCAAATTATTGTTTTTGTTTTTTAGAGCATTTTCAAACCATCAATCAGGAACACTTAAATATGTTCAAGACGATTCTGGAAACTCCTACGCTCGTGTAAGCGATCGATCAGCTGATTACTTTGGTTTGGAGCACGAAATCGCTGTCAACGAGCAAACAAAAAACAACGACATTGAGGTCTCCTACAAAATGCGCACTGATGGGCAATACCACAGTGCGGGTAAACTTGTTGTCACCCATAGCACTGGCAAATCATACATCGGATGTGTCGCATCATGCCACCTTGCTAATGACGATTGGCTGACTGTTGGCGGCAGATGTAACATCGCAACAGACAACGAGGATAATATCGATTTGAGTACAGTGACTTCAATCAAATTTGCCATCAGTGGAACTGGCTCCGATTCTGGCTTTGTCCTGCCGAACCTGTTTATCGACGATGTTACAGTTAGGCTCTACGAAAGAGATCTTTCCTGGGTCCCTGCCGCTGATCAACGAATTGATTTCTTTCGAAAAGTTGGAGTCGATTTCGATGTTCAAACTCCTGGAGCAGCAAAAATTGAAGTGAAAATGACCAAGAATCATTTTCCTTTCGGAGCAACTTTCCATCAGCAAATGCCCGACGAAATGTCTGACTACAAAAGTTGGTTTGATATCTTCAATTTTGGCGTAGCGAGAAATGCATACAAGTGGAAGCAGCAAGAGAAAAGTCCCGGAGTTTATGATTGGTCGAAATCGGACGCTATCAATGACATTTTCTTTGAACAGCAAGTTCCTCTTCGAGGACATACACTTTTCTGGTCTGTGGATAAAAATGTTCAGCAATGGCTTCATGATGTTGCGGAATCAGGAAACATGACTGCTCTTCACGATTATACAATGAAACGAGTCGACGATATTGTGTTCCGATACCTCGGCAATATCACCGACTGGGACTTGTTCAATGAAGTTCACCATGGAGACTTTTTCCGAAGACACCTCGGCATTGAAATCTGGACCGAGGTTCTCGATCGTTTGGATGCCATCGCTCCCAATACCGGCCAGGTTATGAATGATTATGAGCTGACAAGAGCTGACCATGGATCTTGTTTCTTGGACTTGATAAATCCGATAGTGGGAAGACTTGATGCTGTTGGCCTTCAAAGTCATTTTAAGAAGATTCCGAATAAACAAGTCTGGAATCGTTTGAATGTAATGGCCGGAAAGAACCTTGAGAACCGCCTTCTTGTCACCGAGCTCGATGTTGACAATGCTGATGTAGAAGTTCGCGCTACCGACATTGGTGACGTCATCAAAGTGATGTACTCACATCCAAACGTCGACGGCATCATCCTCTGGGGCTGGTTGCAAGAGATAGTCCGTCCGTGGCAGGAGGAAGCAGAAAACAAACGAAAGGTGCTCTTTGAAGACAATCTTGGCCATCTTGACTGGGCAAGCCCGATCATTCCCAAACCAGAAGTTTGTGACGAATACAACGTTCTCTGCAACTACCCATTGAATGCTAACGCCGCAGGTCTCCGCTACCTAGAACTGGTCAAGCAAGAGTTCAATACGACCTCAGGACATGCAAACGTTGATGATTTAGATTTGGCAAGATTAGACGAAGAAGTCAAGCTCTTCCCGGGAGAATATGAAATCAAGGTTCTTGATGGGGACGGAAATATCATTGAAGAGCATGATATTGATATTCCATTGCCAAAAGGTATGTGACTAAATCGTTTTACATGTCTTTTAAGGGAAACCATAAAGCCTTTATAATATAAGCCAATTTATATTTTTGTGAGATTAAATCGCTGATCCTCATAAAAAAGTCTCACGAAAAAATTTCTCCAAACGGTTGTTTATTTAACGTATTTCAAAGATGCATGTTCATCTCTCCAGGTCTTCGAATTCGAAGATTCATCGGCTCTAGAATCCAACTCGCTCTTTGAATACGCTGGCTCATTCTCCACTAAGCTCGACTCAGATGGATTCGTCAAGAATGGCCTCTCTTTTACCTATCGAACCGCAGCCTGGAACACTGTCAAGTTCAATTTGGCGGACATTCCTGATGAAACAGAGACAGTTGCATCTTTTTGGGCAAGAATTAATGGGGCTGAAGAGACTTCAGCTGTTCTTACTAAGGAATCTGATTCTGGGTGGAATCCCTTGGCGACATTTGATGTCACTTCTGATAAGACACGTTACAAAATCAATCAAAAAAATGTAATCAATTCTTTGAGAACAGTGTTTTGCAACGAAATAAGCTCTCGACCTGGGTGCAGATTAGTGCAACCTTTACGAAACAAGCTGGCGACAATTTTGTTTACCTCGAAACACCGGGTTCTACTGTGGATTTCTCCATCGATCACGTTTACGTTGGTTCCGCGAATGATTTCAATGCTTGCAAAAAGCTGCAGGTTAAGATTGGAGAAGGTAAGCAAAAGTGATATTATCAAAGTTTATCAAAACAGAACAAATATCTTGTGTTTATTTTTCAAATCAATAAACTTTATTTTCCTCTTTCCTTGGCTTATTTTCTGTTGCATGTCCCGGCAATAACTGCATCGGCCATTACAGTCAGTCCTGCCCACATTTCTTCAGCAACTGGTTTGATTTGATTCGCAGGGAGCAGGAACCCGAATTGACCTTAAAATGAATGAGTCGAATATTTGAACAGAAACTTGCCTTGATCTCGAAGTTCAAGAGCAAATGAGCAAGAAATATTGGCCTCATCATAGGCCCAGTCGGCGGAAGAACCGGATGCTTGGTAGATGACATCGTTGATAGTTCCGTATCTCAATTCAAAATGAGAAAATGTAGAAGAAGATGTCTTACTTGAACTGTTTTCGATGAACAAGGGCAATGGCAATAGCAGCGTCCATCGAAATCGTGTTCAATTTCAGGTTGCTTTGCGAGTGTTGAATTTTGTATCCGTAAGGATACATCCAATACTGCCCGTAAGCATGGACATCGACGTATGCTCGAACATTTGAAAGAGATTTCAAATGATCCGAGGCAGCTTTCGTCTCTGGCTCGGAGAATGCGCTTGGTCCGTAGTACGCTTCATTGCAGGGATTGTTACTTGCACCGGGACATTGCCAGCAAGCATCCCAGTTTCGGTTAGGATCGACTCCGATGCAGGTACTCGGGGTGTTATTCGTACTTCGCGTCTTTCGCCACATTCTGCTGCTCTCGAAGGTGTACTCGTATCCATCAGGATTCATATTGATGACGATGTGCCACGTGATGTCATTGAGATACTTGGCCTTGAGTCCACCGGCCCGGTATTCATCGACGAGTTGTTTTGCAAAGTTGACCATGGTGATAGGGCTAATCCACTCACGTGCGTGCGTCCCTCCGTGCATGACGATATGATGCGATCCCTTGCCGATTTTCATTGAGTTTAGTGGCCGACCCTAGGGAAAAGAGAAAACTAAGCAATCAATACGATCATCTTACCTCAAATGAGCTTCCCAGGTCTTCGATCTCCACGATATCCGCATTTATCTGCGAAAATTGCCGCTGCCACTCCTGGTAGTCATCGAAGCGATGGTATTGCTCGTAGTCGAAATCGTTGAAATTGTTGAATGGCTGAGCTACACCTCTCAAACTCTCTTTCACCAAGTCTTCCACATTTTCAATAAAGATTTCTGAGGAGATCTTCCTTGATTTCAATAGAACTTCAAATCGATCAAGCTCGTTTCTAGGAACTCGAATATCAGCAAAATCCTCGAAATTTCGCGGCTCTTTCCAAACATCGAAGCCGTCTGAGAAGGATTCAAAAAAGTTTAACTTTTCTTGCGAGTCTATTTTCACGCGAAAAACCTTATCTCCATGATAGTGCTCTCTCGCAAAAGCAGAGGTGAATAAAATGCTACAAAGTTTCATCTTGTCCAATGTTGATCATTTTCTTTTTCACGAAAAGCGAGCAGATGACCTTCTCCCATCGAGTCCAAATTTCGCAATAATTCTTTTGTCTTTGGAAGTCCGCCGAATCGTACTTTCCTACAATTTATTTGCCGTCACCTAAAATATGAGACTTATAAACCCTTCAAATTAACGCCATCGCAATCAAAAATGCCCTTTTTTCAACACACAAAAGGAAAACTAAATAATAAAACTGTCTTGAGAGCACTTTAATTATTGTCTATGACCTCGTGATTCGCCGGGGTCTGTCCGTCTCCCTCTGAATAACTTACTCATTCAAAATTCAAACAAAAAGCTATTTACCGATCGATCGGCGAAGGGCAAAAAAGAAATGAAAAATCATTAAAAACAGCAAAAATAAAAAAAAATCCGAAAAAAAATTGTAATGATCGACGAAAAAGATGAAGAAATCGAACGCCTTCGACAAGAAAACAGCGAACTAAAGCGAGAAATATTCATTCTTCGAAAGCAAGCGCAGGCGAACAAGGTTCATGAGCGACGAAAACTCAGACTTTGCTCGATCATGCTTGGAAAAGACAAGAACTTCGATTGATTGGAAATTTTTGTTACTTTGATTTACGGATAATTTTGAAAATAAAGACATTTTATAGCATTTTTCGTTTATTCATTTATTCTTGGTTTATCTATTTCTAGTGACCATGGTGGTTTTCGCGCTTGTATTCCTTGTACCCATTCAGCTGATTTTGGTCAGCCACGTGATTTCGGTAGGATGTTATGTAATCGTCCATGATTCCTCGTTTGCCCATGTCGAGCTTGTACTGAAGGGGTTAAAATGCCTATTCGAATTATTAAGAAAGGCTTACCAGGTCGCTCAAAGTGGAAAACGCATCGGCAAGGGCAAAAAATTCAAGAAGTTTGAGAAAGTTCATCGTTTTCAATTCAAGTTATCCTTATTTTTGTGAAGATTTTTGGCAACTGCTCCTTTTTATACGGTTATTTGGATACATTTTGAATTAGATTAAGTGTCTCTGACAGTATTATGTCGAGCTGCCAACACATCTTGTAGATCGAGTTTTGATCATGTTCTGAAATCATCATCAAGGTGATCATTTTTTGCCAGTCCTGTCGAAGTAGGGTCACTTTAGGGTCAAGCAACTTTCATGCCAATTCGTACATATATTTTATCATGAGCAGATATATTTCGTCGTCTATTTCTTATCTATTCCGTACAATGTCTTCTGATCGCTGATGTGATTCCGGTAGGCGTTGATGTAGTCGTCGATGACTCGTCGTTCCGCCATGTCGAACTTGTTGTACATTAAAGTTTTTAATTTATCGAAGCGATAACCGCTCTTTTGATATTTTTTTATCTCATCTTTTTTGTTCTTACCAAATTGCTCAAGGAAGAGTATGCGTTGACTCCGAAAAAGCCGAGTATTTGAAAAGCTAAATAAACAAACTTCATCTTATTTCTTCTTGAGATTCGATTATCTATTCTGTCTTTTATACTGTCTTTTGGGTGCAATTCGATTAAGATTAATTGCTCTTGAGAGTTTTCGCTTCCAAAGAGAATCGGTTTCAAAAGGAATATCAAATCATTTGAATTGAAAATCACATGATTAGATATTGATACCGCCAAGTTTAGATGAGGCTGAACTTTATTTCAGTGCGAAAAGGGAGAAACATAAAGAGTCACGCATTGTTCAATTTTGTTGTTTCCAAACCAATGATCTTGAATTCCAACCTAAAACGAGCTAACACATTTTCAAGAAGTAAAAAAGGGACCTCGAATTGTCGATAATCAGTGACGAAGAACTCGCTGTTCAGATTCGAAGTCCTCCAAGCAATATCGCCAAAATCCGGACTCGAGGGATCTTCATTTGTCGAGCAAAGAGTAAGCAAGACATCCCAGTCTGCGCAGTAATGATCGTTTATCGAGCTTTTTACATTTCATTTAATGGAATGACTTTTGATGAAACCTGAATTCACGGTCGAGCCCCTGTCGATAATTCTGCCAGATCATCTTCGCACCCATTTTCTGGACGACAGGGACGTCGAGGCGAATGTTTTTGGAAGAAAGTCCATATTGACTTTTGATGTGTTCTTGGTAAACTTCCGCTGATGCCCCCGCGAATTGATCGATTTTCCGACAGCCATTGTATTTCTGATCGTCGCAGCCTTCCGCGTGTGAGGAGAACCAATGGACGTGTTTCTTGTCGACTTTTGGAAGAGGGGATGAGAAAATGAAGTTTTAGAAATCAGACACTTACTTTTGAGCATGTTGCTGACTCGTTGATCAACTTGACTGGCGAACGCGAGGCGGCCTTGTCGACTTGATTCTACCAAGGAGTTTCGACATGCCCTCCATTTCATATTAAAAATCTTTCTTTTCATTCCTTACCGTGTGCTAGACCCAGCGTTCGGATTGGTTCGACAACCAGTGTACCATTTATCGAAGCAAGTGTTGTAGTTGACGTCGTTGACGTCATCGATTCCATTGTAATCGCCACAGCCCTCGGAGTTTGAGTCAAAGACTGCGATGACCCAGCCCTCAAAGCTGTGTAGATTTGACATTGAGTAAGTCAAAAGTTCAGATATTTCAGCATTAGAAATTGACTCTCGAGGAGCGTCAAGAAGAGGGCGGGCGTAGTTCTCAAAGCTTACAAGGGATAACACTTTATCTTATCAATACACCATAAATGAGATGTTAAAATGAATCTTTTCACTATTTACAAAAATCTATCAAAGGAAGAGTGAAGAAAAATTATTTTCGATCTGATATTTTCAAAAAAGGTAAGTTGAAGTGAAAACCCTATTTTTGTGCCAGTCTTCCTTGATATCAATTTGTCGCCTTGTTGGATTTGGAATTTCTTCCTGCTTATCTTGACTCATTTTAATTCATTTTCTTGATGCTAACTTACAGTCGGGGACAGTTATGTAATCCTTGATATGCTCCCTGCACCACTTGTAATCTGTTCTCTTTGGACATTCTCTATTGCATGAAATCTGGGCATCAATAAGGCCAAAAAAGAATGAAGCTAGAATTTTCATTTTTTAAGAAATGAGTCGAGAGAGGATAACGTCAGAATTCTGAATCAGAAGCAGCAGATTTTAGAATTCCCACGAATTTTGAGATAATTTATCTTTATTGGGCCTAAACATGATTTTTCCGCAGAAAAGGTTGCTCACAGCTCATCGTGGTAAAGTTGGCCATTGTCGCTAATGTGTGAGGTCAGAACAGTTTCATAGTTGTCGAGAAACTCTTCGAGGGTGATCACACCATCGTGATCCTTATCAGCGTGATAGATCAGATGGTCAGCTGTTGCTTCGAAAGAGTTGCTGTCTTCGGGGTCGAAAAGTTCAATCAGCTCTTTGAAATCCAAGGTTCCATCTTTGTCCTCGTCGTAGGCGGTGAAATGTTCTTGGTTTGACCTTTTGTCCTAAAAGAAAAATGTCAAATTTTTGATGAAAAAGGCTTTTTTACGATTATTCGCCAATTTCAACTCATAAAAAGCCCGTTTACCTCTTCGGAAAGACTCGCAAGCTCCAATCCTTGGTACTCGATAAACTCCGCAAAATCGATCTTCTCATTTCTATTCTTGTCGAGCGTCAAGAACATCTCCTTGTGCCAAAAAATCTTGCCCTTCTTGTCGAATCGTGGAAATTGAAAGGTCTCGAACTCGCTCATATCCAAATCGCCCGACTCATCAAAATCGCAGAATTTGAACTTTTCCTTCATGAGCGCGTAGTCGTCGTTGAGATGGTCTTGCAGCTGACCGAGACGGTCGAGGAACTCTTGCTCGGAGATTTTGTCATCGTCGTCGCTATTGTAGAACGGCCACCAGCGGTCGATTTCTTTACCGATGTAGCGCTGCTCGAGAATTTCGGTCCATCGGGCCAGCTCGACTCGGGATAGGTTTTCGTTTCCGTCGGTATCTTCAGCATAAAATTATTATATTGGAACGTGAGCCTAGCAACTGGTGTCATAATCTGCCTAATGAATATTAATCAAATATTTTATTAGAAAAATAGATCAAATTTGTAGAATAAATATTTCAGTTATGGTTTCTTCCTCTCAAAAACCGAGAATTTTATTTCCTACTTACCAATTTTCAGGAACAATCTCTTCAGCGCCTCCTTCTGCTCCCTCGGCACCAAATCATTCAAAATCGTCCTCTCTCTATCCGTCATCGCCCCATCCGAATGCAAATTTGACCCTCCGACAGAATGTCCCAAGGCTCCAGCAAAACTTCCGATCGCAAAAATTTTCACCATATTTTCAATTTTGAGAGTTTGGTTTCTTTATTTATCTCTTTGTTGTTGTGCTTTATTGGGTACTTTGGCCGGGTATAAAAGGATTGAAAGCCACGTCAGTGAATGACCACGGACCGGCGCCCAGCTGATGAAAAAAGGCGCTTTAAACAAACAACAACTGACTTAATTGGCCTTGCCAAATTTTTTTTTTGTGAAACAGATTTTTACAAAAAATAGCTTTATATTTATAACTTTATATAAATTATAAGACAGTAAAAGAACCTAGATTTACAACCGTCTAGTAGCTATCATCAGGGAGTCCCTATTTTTATCAATTGCGACCGCATAGTTTCTTCTCGTGACCAGCAAGCCACCTTTCTTCTCAAATTCTTTCGTCACTTTGCCCTTTTTGTGAACTGCCAACTCCTGCCAGTTGTTTTCGCACCCAATATAGAAGCAAAAACTCGCGTGGAAACCTTCTGTTCACGCACTAGAAAGAGAGTAACAGACTCAGAGCAACTCAAAAATGATTATCAAAGGAATTCCATATTTCTACATTTGCAACAAAGGCGATCAAGTTCCGGCGGCGCTGATACCAGATAAAATGGGAAAATATTACAAAGAGAATTTTTTGGCCTCTCAGCCAGAATTTTACATGCATATGGGTGCGTTGATAAATTTTTTTCTCTATTAACAACTTTTTTCTAGTGCTGATGGAAGACCTCGGCGGAGACCGCTTCGTCTGGCCTGAAGAACCGAAACAAATCTGGGTGAATATGGAAAACATAAAAAGACGACTTGAACCCCCGGAATTTGTCGTTACTGACTCTGGAATCCCCCTTTTCGCCGAGTTCCCCTCGATATCAGACTCCGACGGAGAGTCATGACTCCTCCTTGTTCATTCCAGAGATATTTACTGTACATACGGATATGATGATAAATAAAGTTTATTTAGACTCGTGAGCTTGTAGCTCGTTTGATTCGTCAGCAATTTTTATCCCAGAGCCTTTATAAAATTGCTCAGCTTCTTCGATTGTCTGCGCTAATGGAGCGTTATTAGTTTCGGGCAGGAATATCATCAATGTTGCAGAAATGATCCCCATTGCGCCAAAAAGAGTGTAAGGGAACCAGCCAAGCCCGGGCTGAAATTGGAATTTTTACAAAAAAACAAAATTGTACTTCTTACTTTATATTGAAGATCAAGAACGAACGGCATGACAATTCCAGCTGCTCGACCAATCATCGATGAAAATCCAACCCCTTTCAGATGCTATAAATCTATTACCGTCTCTTTTTGACAGTTCTTCTAGCACATTCCTACAGTTCGAATCTCAGTGGGATAAATTTCCGCAGCGTAAATAAAAATATTGTTGAAAACACCCGAGATGCAGAATTTCCCAAGAAATGCCATCCATCGCGCAGTTTCTAGTGCAGCTTTCTCGGCCGTCAATTCATTCAACATCATAACCACAAGAACTGCAATGGAGCCAATGTACATCAGAATAACAGTAACTGGCCGCCGTCCAAATTTATCGATGAGCGGGATGCAGATGAAATACGCAAGAGTTTCTACAGCACCGTTCAATGCATTGTTGACATAGGTACTCCCTCTGAAAAGTGTTTTTACACAAGAAGAGATGCTTCTTATTACGCAAGGGATGAAACGTTGAAAGATAGCGCGTAATAAACAGTTACTGTAACAGCAAATGCAAGTCCAAGATTAAGAGTTACTAGAAATCATTATTTTTTTCATCCAGGGAATTTTTTCCTACCTTTTCGAGTAGCAGAAGTCCTGAACAAATCAAGCGGAGACCGTTCAGCCTTCTTTGGCTCTTGAATTTCCTCCAGTTCCTTCACCAAATCCGCTTGAGAAAGAGTTTCAGATGCAGTCTTTTGCCCGATCTTCCCAATAACTCTGCTCGCGTGTTCATACTTCTTCTTTGCGACCAGAAATCGAGGCGACTCAGGAAGGAATATCGTCAATATCAACTGCAAAGAACCCATGATGCCAATAGCGAGGGCATGTCCCTGCCAATGAGGAATGAAATACCCGATCAACGAGCTGCCCATGTATCCAGCACCAAAATAGACATTGATAAAAGAACCGGGAAGCGATCGCTTCGAGGGACCAGTGACTTCAATTCCATACGTCAAAGCGGCTATGTACATGATCGTTCCAGTAATCGTCGCCGAAATCCGAAAGAAGATGAAGGATAATTCATTCTTTATCAGCGCCAATAAAACGTAAGAAATGCTGAAAGCAATCGTAAATACCCAAATAGCATTTTTCCTTCCGAATCGATCCGAATAAATTCCAGCGAAAAAAGACCCGATTAACTGACCAATAATCGAGGCTGAAATCATGAATGTGTCGAAAAGGCTTCTTGAGCAAATTGGCTTGAAATAGGTCGCCGTTGTTTCCCAGTTGTCGGGTCCTTTAGAAAAGATGAGATTCTCATGTCCTTTCGGGACACCAAGAGCTTCTTTGTTGAAGGAGAAATCGCTGCAGGATGCGTTCTTTTGAACAGTTTGGAGAATATTGTTTTCCAAACAGTTTGAAATCAAGGAAGAATTTTCAAAACCAACACACTCGGCTGGTATAAAAAAATCGCATTCTGTCGAACATTCGCTAAAGCTCCCAGCGCAGTTTTCTTTTAGAATACTTTCTCTCTCTTCGAATAATATTTCGGGGTAAAGAATATCGAGTTGAGTTTCGCAGTGAAACTGAGGCCGCCACTGTCCAAAGACGGGGAAAAGGGCGGACAGCCCGATGACGGTACTCAACCACCCAGCAGCGAGGAATGTCAAGAAGTATTGATACCAGCTATGTATGTTGTCTTAGAAAACTGGGGAAAGAGATCTTTCAAACCTGAAATGAGGAAGGTTCTCCCAAATATCATCGAACTTCTTCATTTTCTCTCCCTATTTTTTCGCTCTTTGACAAGTCTTGTCAAGCTGAAGATAAAAGAATAGAACCTCAGGGCCAGTTTTCAACTTTCAAGGGCCGGAACAGAGATTTTTATGTAACCGATGTTTTTGTATAGAAAGGAGGAAGCGCCGTAAGTTGTTAACCAAATACCCTACCGCCGCGGTTTTTCAAGATTTGAGCGAACGTGAACTCAATACATCGAAGTTCTATAGAACTTTTTTTATTGAATGATCGTTTATGTACAGTTATAAATCGAACTACCTTTATCGGCATTTTTAATTGTTCTTTTCTTAGTTTACAGAGTTGGGCAAAGTTTGATAGAGAAATATTTTTTGGCTTTATATAAAATTATTTCTTCTTGATTTTCGATTACTGAGATGATTCACCAGTGATTTTCAGATGATCTTGCTCGATGTCTTGGATCTCCTCGGGCGTGAAAAATGTCTCCTTCTGAATGTCTTCTGGCGCTTCTGCTGGGCACTGGCCCGCGGGCATGACGACGCCTTCATCAGAACAGCATTGGCGGATTTGATGGTAGGCGGTCATCAGGTTTTGGGCACTAGAACTCTGATTATTGACCGGCAAAAGAGGAAATCTTTACCGATTGTAGCAGCAGGTAACATCTTCAACTTGGAGAAGCGTGGCACTCTCGCAGTCTCGTGGGTCAGTGGTAAGTTCGGAATCTGCTGAGGGAATTTCGAGAGACCTCAAAGTGCTCACGAAATTCCTATCGCATTCGCAAATGGCCCGTTCGACCGAACCGTATTCGTTGGCTGAATAAATTATTTTAATTTGTATTTTAAACAGAAACAATTAAATTGGGATAAATACGCATCATCAACCGGGTGCTACTCATTTCAAGGACAGATCGAAAGAAGTAAATTTTCAAAATTGACGATGTTTTGAAAAAATCAGAACAGTTATGGTTTTTTGGTAGACAACCATAATATCATGGAAAAATATTCCCGTTTTATAATAATTATCCGTTTCGTTACATCATAAAATATTTCCGAAATGAAAAAAGGGTCAGCCAGAGTGGCGCGCCCAGCGCAAAATTACCGCGCGCTCCGGGAGGTGGCGCTCGTACGAGGTCGCGCGGGAAGCGAAATGAGTTCTCATGATAAGTTCAAATTCAATATGTTATAATAATAAAATGAATTTGTTAGAATTGAAAATTTTAAAATGCCCTTACAGCAAATTTCTGTTTCCAATTCGAAATTGTAGAACACTTTTTCGTCATTTTCAAATTCGTGGTTTGAGCATCTTCTGCACAATTTCCAGCCATTGATTGCGTCGTTTACTGGGTCTGATGCGGGTCTAGCGTTTGTTTGAAGAGTTCGGAAGATGTCGAGTGTGTGGACTCCATTACAAGCGTAGTAGTGGAGTTTCATGTGCGATTCGGGAAGGTAGTGGTAAAGCATCGTGTAAATATCTGAGACGTCGTTGGAGCTGAAAAAGGAGCGTTACGAAAATTCAAGTAATGAAAATTTAACGTGATAAAATGCTAAGCCACGCGATAATCTTTCATCGATCATATTTGTATAGTAATATCTCCTCGAGTAATCGATTACTCGCAAATTTCAGAAAGTGTCCTCTAAAATTTTTCCAGAGAAAGAAATTCTAGAGCGAATTCTGGTGCCAGAAGAGCAAGGAGGATTTTGAAAATTTGCTTAATTTTATCCGCACCGGAGTAAAAATGACTTCCGAAAAGGATTTTTGGTCAGAGGTTGCAAAAACTGAGACTTACTAGTCCATTTCTCCATAATCAAACTGAGCAGTCAGATATTTCGCCGAAGTCGTACTCTCATCGCTAACAGCCGTCACTCTAACATCCTCGACAGGAATGTAGTCGTTGATTTCTGTGCTGATTCCGAACGGCAAAATGTTCCAGTTCTTCAATTCTGTTGGACAGTCTTCGACGGAATAAGTGAAGAATCGTGGCTGGCCTAAAAGGAAGACGGAATTAGTAAATGTTTAATGCGGATTTGATCATCAATTGGACGGTGTATATTTTCGCATAAAATAAAAGATTCTAGCGCCGTAAAACTTTTGATAGCGACAAAAGTTTGTCCTTCAAACATGTTAACAAGCCCGGAGCAGGTACCAGCTCCTGTTTTATGTTTGAACTGCAAATAATTTATTAAATTTAGAAGCACTTCAAGTACTCAACCATGATCGAATTATCAATCGCATTATCAAAATTTGTTCACATGAGCTTATAAACACGTTAATTTGTAGAGAAAAATAGGTAAAATGAGGAATTTGTCTTGAAAACACAATTTTTGAGCGACAAAATTTGGGTTAGGGCTTTCTCAAAGCTCATTGACCTGTAAGCCGAATAAGAGCTTTTGATTGGCTCAAATCTTGAATAATAATTAACGATTTTTAGTGATGATTTCTTTGTAAAATTATCCCCAACCCAAATTTACTGAAAAAATTTATACCAAAAACATAGCCCTAGCCTTAACCCTAACCTATTGAGTGTAAAAATTTTAAAAAGAATCTTTTAAAATTTAAGTTGCCATGTGAACCTTTTCCAAGCTTATTAAATTTTCAACCCGCTAAAACGTAGTACAAAAACCCTAAGATAAGGGATTATTCTCTTATCAAAACATTTCCCATTGAACCATCTTTCCCAGGCCGCGAAATTTCGATCCTTCTACATCCACTCCGCACTTGGGCGAAATTTGTATTAAGCGGATAAAGAAGAGTCTAAAAAACTAACGTGGAGGCGATAAGAGCGCTGTTTGGCGAAGGTGTCAAAATTTTGTCAATGTTTAATTTGGCGCCTTTTTTATCGGAAAAAGAGCAGGCCTGTTAGAAATTAAAACTCGGGAATTCGGATGACATGGAATTTGAGAGGGAGGGAAACTGAAAAGATAACATCGAGTTAACATAAAGTGATAAGAAATTATATCAATCGTGATAACTCATGTCAAAGGGGTGGAAAATTTAATGCAATTCGATTTCGAAGTAGTTCAAGTTTTTTCGAAGAAATTGCGTATTGATGCCCTTATTAAAGTTTGCGAAAAAAGCTGAATCTTGTTCAAATCTACAAAGTTAATCCGAATAAGGGTGTCACCATGTTTCTTTCGGATTAAGTCTTTTATTGAGATTTCCCTGGAATTGAAGAAGTGACACCCTTATTTGTATATTTTATGATTTTGATAAAATTTTCGCATTATTTTTGTTAGCTTTTTTAAGGGTATCAATACGCTATTTTGTCGAAAAAAGCTTCAAATTCTGAAAAATTCATCATCTAGCTATCATTACCTGGCTGGTTTGTGAGAACCCAAGCGGATCCACCAAAAATGTCATCGACATACTGTAGCCTCACTGAAGTACTTTGGCCTCTACTTTTAGTCCAAACCTGTTTCCCCGCGATTTCATGATCTTCATCAAGCTCGTAAACGCCGTTAAAATGGCCCTGTGGCTTTTCATTGCCCAAATGGTTGATGGCAGAGTACAGGTTGGTTCCGGCGACTTGGATTTTTTGAAGATTGCAGTTTGTGGCGGCCTCTAGAATAAAAGAAATAAGGATTTGAAAGTGCGGAAAAATCAAGAAAGACGCGCCGTCGCTCAAATTTGATCAAAATCAAGCGAAAATTTCAAAGTGGATCGGCGAAAAAACGTCGTTAAAATCGTAATTGAATTTTTCACTTGATCTGGATTTTGTAAAAGTGGATTTTTGAAATGTGCTTTGAAACCGCCTCCTCGTGTCGGGCGCGATCTTAAAGCACGTCAAGGGCAAAGAGGAGACTGCTGCCAGATTTTTGCGTGATAGTTTTGAGGTAATAAGGTCGGGTCGTGAAATGGGATGCACAGACGTTTTAGAAGGATGGATAGTTTCTGATGGAAATGGCCGAGAAAAAGATTTAGTGTCCTTTTTCTCATTTTTAAGAAAAATACTTTATCTGATGAAAACGTAGCTTCTGCGTCAGAAATAAGCAGCACGGAGCCGTAAAGAATACATTTTTCTTGCCCAAAAGCTGTTTTCTAATCCAGTCTTTTCTCAACCTTTTTTAGGCAAGCAAAAATAAAGTGGAAAAAAAGGTTTGTCTTTTAATGAGGTTAATGACTGTTCAAAACGACGCCAGAGAAAAAGACTGATTTGCAAGTTTCGAAGATAAATTGCTTGCAAAAGAAAAAAATCTGGCTTTTTTGAAGCTAGAATTTCTTTGAATGGATAAGACCTTTTGTCTTTTTCGCTCGAAATTTTCCTTAAAATTTGGGATTGCCAAGTTGTCTAATAGAAAAGAAGGTGGTTGGAAAGAAGCTCCGCCGTCATTTGAAATTGGCAGTTCGGATCGAGATTAGGCTGACTGTGTACCAAATAGCTCGTAAAATTGATTTGCGACGATGATTTGAGGGATTAGAGCGGCGGAACACGTTTTGGACTGTCTTGTAGAAGGCGCGCCGTTTTTGCGACGGAATAACAAGGTCAATCTCGCTGACTTTCAAAAACTCTTGTTTTCAGAAAAAATTTCATTTTTAGAAGCAGAAAAAAAACCAAAAAAGCTACAAAACATTTGCATGAAAAAGCTTTTTGAAACGGATAATGTTAGACCAATCAGATTTGAGAATAATTCAGGTCGGCCAATCAAAATCCAGAAAAAATTCGAAAAAAAACTTATTTCTTTTTTCTATCGAGACGGTCCAAATTATGAAGAAGATTTTCCTTTTTTCTCTAGTTTTTTCAATCTTTAACGAACCTGCAATAGACAGTAAAACAGCAGAAGTCTTCATATTTACTCTCTTATCAAATGATCGAAAAAAAAACAGGAAATACAAAAGTAATATAAAAAAGTAAGAATCTTCGTTAGCGCGCGGGAGCCTCAACGTTGGTGGAGCTTTGCGGGTCAAGAAAATTCTAGCGCCACTCCGCCACCACTTTTGCGCGGCACTTGCGCTCGAGAAGGCTTTTTTCACTGCGTATTTTTGCCTCTTACGAATTGGAGTTAAGACGCGCTTTTTTTAAGATGGGTCAAGTTATTTCACCGACTTCTTGATTTTAAACCCTGGAACACCATACATATTTGGAATCAGCAGGAAATTTTATGAACTTTGACCGTTTTAGTTTCTGAAATTTCCACTTCCGGTCGGATTCTAGAGCCGGAAGTTGACGAAATTTTTGAGTTTGGGCAACTTATTACTTATCAAATTGATGCTTAGAAGATTTTGAGTCATCTCATCTACAAATCATTTAAAAAGACCATCCCAACTGCGGTTTAACCGACCGGCAAAACAAGGAAAAATGACATAAATTTGTGATTTTTCTTTCAGTTTTTAGCGGTTGATTTGACCGCGGTCGGCATTGATTCTTCTCTCAGATGATAGGAAATTTTCTGAGAATCAATTTGATAGGTCACAAGCTGCCCAAACTCAAAAATTTCGCCAACTTCTGGCTCTAGAATCGGACCGAAAGTGGAAATTTCGGAAACTAAAACGGTCAAAGTTCATAAAATTTCCTGCTGATTCCAAATATGTATGGTGTTCCAAGGTTTAAAATCAAGAAGTCGGTGAAATAACTTGGCCCACCTTAAAAAAAGCGCGTCTAAGTATTATCTTTTCATGGATTAGTTGTAATAAACCAAACTGGTATGTGCATTGAGTTTCGTTCCGATGCTAATTCATCACCTTCAAATTCACACACAATAGTAAAATACTTATTTTCCTAAAAAAGAAAGAATATTATGGTTTATTTTATATCTTTGACAATTTTCGTCCGAATAGAGGCTCTAGAAATCCGAAAGATATGGAAATGTGATCCTTCCACCGGATCGAATTTGACAAGAAACATGAGCTCAAATCAATCGACTATCTTTTTCAACCTTCTGCTCTTTCGATAACCTTATCTATCAGTTCTTTATTGCGCTCTTATTCTGAAGCCAATTTCCCTAATCAACGAATAATTACAAACAAGAGATTTAATTGCGCGGTACTCAATCGAAAATAAATTCTCCGAGATGTTCCTTAGTTGATGCTGGAAACAATTGATAAAGAAAACATGAAAATTAATTTAGTTATAATTGTTTTCAAAGCGCACGGGCGTTGTTAGCACTAATTTTCTTTAGATAGAAAAAGAAGAGAGTACTCAAAAACTCGTCTAATAGAAATCAGTTGGAAGCCGCAAAGCACTCATAAATTTAAATAAACAGCCCCGATCAAGAAGCGGAGGAAGGTGGGTAAGTTGGTACTAAGTGGTTGGCCACTTGACAGCTCCGGATGATTATCCCTCATATGCAAGCAGGACTTCATTTTTTTGATGAAGACCTGCGCTGACAAGATATCCATGTAAGCCTCAAAGAGATCATCTTTATGTCGTTGTCTGTTATTTTTTTCTTCGTGATCAAAAGACAAAAAATTATATTGAGTGTGTCAGGAAACGGTTATTTTTGGAGTGAATTTAGTCAGTTCTTTGAAGCAGGATCGATGTCGTCGTTGATGGTCTCCCCGTAGATTTCATCCGCCTCATATATAATGACCGGCACATGGGATGCATCGAATGAAGCGGAACAACACATAAGTTTGACAAGGAAACCACCTTTTTTAAGAAAACCTATTGAAATTTTTTGAAAAAAATAATAAAACTATTGTTACCGTTTACAATCACGTCAATGTTTTTCATCATTATCTTGTGACTGAAATATTGAAATCTCTTTCAGACTTCTAGCGACACTATGAAAGTCATTCCAATAAAAAAACGCGGTTTGAATAGCGCAAAGATGTGCGAAATCATAATCGTTTATTAAAATGACGGTTTTTTTTTACAAAAAGCCATTATTTCTAATGAATCACAAGATGGCTCGAATCATTTCTTCAAGTTCTTTTTGAGTTCTATCTGTAGGCTAAATTTATCTGCAATTCCCGAATAAGCATCGAACACGTCACTAAACAACCAAAAGAATGCTAGCTCTGGAAGTGCGCATTACAGAACAAACATAATTTTCCCTCGTCTGCAGCTTGAAGCACTTTGCAAGCAGAAGCAAATCAAGGAAAAATGCGCGTTCAAAATTTTTTCAAGCGCTTGACTCTTAGAACTCTGGGAAAAGAAAGAGTGAGAAAGGAGCCTTTCAATTTTGAGAAACAGGTATCTTTCAGGAACTGGCTTTTTACTTCCTTTGGGGAAAATGTTTATTTTTATCAATTAATTCAGCATAAAAAGCCAAATACAAGAGCACAAGTTAAATCATCGCGAGACCCGGATCTGGGCTTGGGACGTCTCATCGGAATCTTGTGAGAATTTTCTGCGACCTTCAATTTTCATAACTTCATTTTCTTACTTCTACAAAATAAAACATTTCCATAATTAAATTAAAACAAACTATTCTTACCTTCAATCAGCATTTTCGTTTAACAAAGGACGGTATTGATTTTTTTATTGAGTAACCGTGACCTCGAGTCCGTTTTAAACTTGATTATTCATCAGTAAGCCACTGTATGTTCTGATCCACCCGAAAACAGACAGCTCCAAACAATACCAAGGTACAATGCGAAATGACTTGGAAGACCCACCTTCTTATGTTACGTTTGGGAATTCTAACGACGATTCCCTTCCTTCTTATGGTCAGGCAGTGAGAGAGAAAATTGAGTCTATGGTCTTGATACAGTCTCAAAGAGAAGAACGGGATTTTCTACTGCGGCATAAACCACCAGGAATAAGAGATTAAGATAAAATAAAGTATCGTTTTTATTAATTCCTCATGTCTTTATCTTCTTCAAGAAAAAGTCTACAAGGTCCTTGCCCTTATTCTTTGTCCTGTACTTGGAATTGTCGCAGCGATTTTATATGCAAGAGCAAAGTCAGCTTACAGAAAAAGAGATTCTCGTTACGCTGAGCGAGAAGATTGTTTTGTTTCAGTAGCTAGATGTTCAATCTGCTGTGGAGTTATTTTGTTCGTCATTCCTGGAATGCTCTGCTTTGCCGGTCTTCTAGTAATTTTTGTTTTATAAAATAGGCGAAGTTATTTTTTCCCTAGGTGACTGGATTTTTCTTTCCGGCAATCTTTTTTTGGTAAATTGATGGGAAACACTTCTTTACAATTTTCATCAAGGAAAATCTCTCAATTTGAGATTTTTTAAAACTTCTGCAATAAATGACACCCCGAATAAAAATTTCTAGTTAAAATTTTGTTAAAAATGGTCACAATTAAAAACTTTGAAGATCACGTGAGTGGTAATGCTTTCAAAGACAATATTTCTTTTGCTTGGATTACCCGTCGAAATCTTCCTGACTAGAGCGTCAGCAAAGCCTTTTTCTATTTATTTTAGAACGGGTTGATCCGGCGTGTTTTTTCGTCATTCAGAACTAGGAAAAAATCGCGGGGCACGTAAGATAATGAAAGAAAGCAGAAAAAAATTCAAGCGGGGAGTCGTTTAAGGCGCGTTTGTCAAACTTCTTCGATAACAGCTTTCTAATTCTAGAGTCAGGCGCAGCGGGGGACAGTTATTTTCCTGGTAACACGAGTTCAATTTATATTTTGTAAGCGTCTAAATACTGCTGTAATGCTCTCTATACTAGACGGTTCTCTTTATCAGCTAGTCGTAGCCTCTAGTGTATCTTCAATAAAACACGAAACGGGAGTTTCCGATAAAAGCGTGTATTGCGCACTTTAACTGTGCTTGGACTGAAGCAGTGTTCGTAAAAGTGGCAGGGAAGAGCGCGGGGCGAGATCCCTATCAGATCTCTAACCGACTTTCAGCACTAAGACCTCACAGCTCCCCAGATTCTAGAGACGATCGAGAATCTTCGGTTGAAGAGTTGAAGTCGGTGAGATGAGTCATCGTAGAAGTGCAGAAGGGAAAGGTGAAGGGAAAGGCAGCCAATCAGCTCAGCGCGGCGTCGGAATTGCACCAGCGTAGAGACGAAAAGTCGAGAAATGTCGGACGGAGATCGAACCATTTCCGGACAGCGGGGGCCAGAGCGTCAGAGCGCAAGAAGAAGTAGACTCACACCAGACGAGTTTTCTTTTGCAGAAAACTTCCCTTGTTCTACGAGTACTCTTGCGAGTGTGGTCAACTCGAATCAAGGAAGTTTTTTTCCTGATTCCACCACCAAAGACGCTCGGATTTCCGATGAAGGAAGAAAGATCAGCTGACGAAGAAGGTGAATACAAATGATGTCCATGTAGAGAGTCTGCCGCACATCCACGAGGAGCAGAAGTCGTCTTATCAGGTAAAACTTGAACATCATTTTCCACCAAGTCAGTCGAGCGAGGCGTAGTTGAAGTTGACGTAGAACGGGCGGGAGCGGTTGAATTTCCAGCAGTCGAGGGAAGAAGTGAAGCTGCATTTTGACGCTTCGGATCAGGCAACGAGTCGGGACTCGCCCTTTTCCTCTTTTTTTCTAGTAGACATGCCAGAGGTTGACAATTGCTTTTCAGCAGCCGGCCTCCCAACCTTTGGTATTTTTGCTAGAGGTTCAGGATACGAACCAGAAGCGCCGACCAGTAGATTTTGAGGCGAATCGGGATCATCGCCACAAATGAGCTCTTGTACAAGAGCCAGGTCGGATGGAGATTTGAGTTGATCATTGCGCGGTGGGACCAGACGCAGATGAGATCGGTGAGCCCAGTCACGAAAGTCGGCTCCGTCGACGATTTTGACGACAGTTTCTGAGGCGATTTCATAAGGGCCTATCCAGTTACAGTTGGAATCTTTGGCTGCCTTAGTGACGGGTTGATAGAGATGGACCATATCGCCATATTTGAGAAGGCGATCACGATGTAGACGCCTATGTTGGCGTTCCAGAGCTAGATCAGCGGAGCGATTGGCGATTTTCGCTAGCTTCGAGAGCATTTGAATCCGCTTGCCATAAGTTTTAGGCGAATCGTAGCGTACATCAGGGTCGTGTAGAGTATCAGGCAATGTGAAGAAAACCACCACTTTGACAATCGTGCGAGCAGCAACATTTGCTCGCTCCCCAGTGGAAACTCGAGCGACGGAAAATCGCGTGGATGTGTCGAGTTTAGTGCAGCACAAGCGCTTGCCAGCACAGCTGGGGAATTCGCCATTTGTCGGGATTCGGACGGGTCTGTAGAACAGGCCAAGCTCGTCAGTAGAACTTCCAGAGACGTCTTTATACTGGACACAAAGATGGGCGAGTTCATGAAGTTCGCTTCTATTGTGGTAATAAGATGGAAGAACGAGCTCTTTCTGGCTTTGCAAGAAGCTCAGAAGGTCCGAGGTAGAGGTGTTGGGGCCTGGAGCAGGAGGTTTAAGCTGAATTTTGGCAGCTTGAGAGGGTTGAGATCGACGAGCGTCAGAAATATGAAAATCTGCGCTACTGGGGTTGCCAGAGTCGATCAGAAGCGCATTCCAGGGATCACGGGCGTACGACTTGATCTTGAGAGCCTGTGTGTAGATTTCTGCTCCAGGGCTATCTCGTCGTTGAAAAATGTCTTTGGTACCAGTTCCACCAAATGGGACATTTGCGGCGTGATCGTTGACAGTACTGCTGATTAGTGGCGGCGCGTTGTGGCCATCTGTCACTAGAATGCGGGTTCCAGCGGATTTTGAATCGCTGAAATCGATGATAGCGCGGGGCTCGCCTCGGGCCTTAGTCTCGGAGTTGACGCCAGTGACAGTGAACTTGGAGCTCTGCAGGTGCTTCAAAAGTTCGTCAGGGATGTGCCATTTCGGCAGCCATTTTGGCAGGATAACATCGTCGGCGCCAGTGTCAAACATGCCGTTTTTGACGGTGAAGGTGTGTTCGGCGAGAGTGACTGTGAAGTCAGGTCTGGAAGGTTCCGAGAAGGTGAGTTGCGCGGAGGAAGTGGGTGGAGAGTTAGAGGTGCGTCGATCTAACTCTCGATCCGAAGAAACCTGATCGTTGTCAACGGGAGAAGCGGAATCGGTGCCAGTAGCGGAGTCATAGACGTCAGCTGAGTCGTCAGAACTTTGGGTCTCGTTTTGATCAGTGCGAGAGGGTCCAGGTGAATGTTCGAACTCCAATAAAGCCTTAATTCGGGCATTTATAAGCTTTTGGCGAGTTTTGATCGCTTCAGAAGCGGCTTTGAGTAGCGCAGGGTTGACGGCGAGAGCCATCAGGTGATCCACGATCTCGAACGTGAACTCAGTCAGCGTGTAGATGCAGCTGCATGAGTTGATTCGATCTTCGGAGAGGTTGAGCGCGTAACAGGCGCTGGAAGAAGACATTTTGGCGGGCCAAACTGTCGTTGGAGATTGGGATCGGCGAAGTTCACGGGGTTTCGTTTGCGGAATTGATCAAAATCGGCGGCGCGGCATAACGGAATTGGCGGTAAGAGGTTCACAACAAGATATTGTACCTTTACAAGGCGCTCAAGTAACTGGAAATTTCCTTGAGCGGCGCACGTGGCGAATTTTTCACGTGATGTGTGTGTTCCAGTTTTTGATCATACTTGAGCAACTTCTTCTGGTGATAAAATTCCCATCGGCTGGTTTTCCTTGACTTTTTCCGCAAATCCTGCCATTGCTTCTTCTGGAAGACCATGCGCTTTTTGCCAAATTTCTGTCAGAACAGCAGCTGGATTGACGGTATTGACCCGGACTTCGTCGGCTGCAAGATTCCCGGCAAGAGTGACACTCATGTGATCCAGAGCCGCTTTTGTCATAGCATAGATCAAGTGGTCTTAAAAATCTCTTAAAAATTTGATCTCGACGGGGAGTATACTATTTGTTTGATAGGAGCTGCAAACAGAAGAGACATTGACGATGGCGCCTTTCGCCTTTTTCAGAAAAGGTAGAGCTTCTTGTATCAGAAACATTGGAGCTTTGACATTCACAGCGAATAGCTTGTCTGTTTCGATTTCAGTCACTTGCTCGATGTTGCCTTGAGCGAGGAGGGCAGCATTGTTGACAAGGACGTCGATTCCGCCGAAGATTTCGACAGTTTCTTTTATGACCCGCGGAATATCTAGAATCGGTGGTTAAGAAAACAGTCAAAATACTTTTTTTAAAATAGTTACCAGAAAGATTGGACAGCTCCATTTCCACCATGTGGACTCCTCCTGTCCCTATTTCTTTGATTTCATCGTAAACTCCTTGCAGTTTCTGTTTATTTCTTCCATGAACGACGACATTGTACCCTTTTCTTGCGAAAAGTCTAGCTGCTGCTGCACCAATGCCGCAAGAACTTCCAGTTACGATCGCTGTTTTTGGCATCTCTTATGAATTCATGTTTTTGGTTTAAAAACGGATCAGTTTTTGTCCAAATATTAGCTTGAACTCGAAGCAATGGAGGGCAACCGTGTTTACTTGAGAAATATTGAACCCGGTAACTGTTGACCTGAGCGAAAATACCTTATACAGTTGTTACAGTAAGAAGGAGCAAGAAAAGAAGTAAACATTTTGGAAGGCTGGTTATTTGGAAGAAACATTCTCAATATGCGTAAATTGTTATGCCACGTGACAGGGCAAAATGTCAGCCTGGCTGACAATGCTGAGGGTCGGCTGAATTTTTTAACGTGTAGCGTCAAAACCACGTGTATATCAATTCAGGTGTTCTGTTTCGTTTCTGGTTTTTGCACGATAATTTGCGGCAATAAATCGGCATTTTTCAAAGATTTTTTACCTAATCAAAATCAATCGAAAATTGCATCTACAATTCGATCCTTCACCTTACTTCTCCGGTAACCAAATTCTGTGTGCGAAAATCTCTCAAGCCCATAATGGTAATGGCATCTTCGGGTGAACAGGGCGGCACACCGCGCGAAAGAGATTGCGGTGCAAAATTAGACCATGCGCGGAAACGTGGTGCCGTTTACTCTCAACGGGGTCATCAATACATTCTTATCGGTTTCCCCCGACTTTTTAGACCACTTCGCTGCGATAACCTTTTGAATCAACAGTTTCTAGAGCAACACAAGCCGCTGCTGCTAAATCACTCCGTGTGCGCCACTTTGTTCGGGGCTAATCCCGCATCAAAATTCACCAGTTGCGGTAACTTGTTCATCCCCATCGGAGGATCATCCCTTAGCTCGGAATTTTAGGCCTCAGACAGAGCGGAAAGATTAGCGAAGATTAGCACTGAATCAAGAGACCTTTTCGAAATCTAAAAGCCACAGACTTTGGTCAACGCATCTTTAGATTGCCTTTGTTTCTCAAAAATATACAGTTAATTCTCGATAAAAATGACACTGCACCTTTTGTTCAAGAAAAGTAGTTTCCTGCTAGCCCTGTTCGTTAATTACAACCTTGGATCAAACTTTGGCCTGAGTAAACGTCCAAACATCCCAATTACTGATCTGGCATCTGGCTCTTGAATTTCATAAGCAGCTTCGAGTGCCTGGAATAATATTTTATCATGTCTCTTTCGTACCCGACAAGAGAAAAAATCATGTTCTTGCGTCACCCGCTTTATTTTTGCAAAAAAATGACTCCATCAAAAAACTCAATGATCAACTTGAAAATGGATAAGAACTGTCTTCCTGCATTTCTTCTGACTGTCATTTATTCGTTCAGTGAAAGAATGCCAGGTTACAAACAGCAAGGTTGAAATTGCGAGTGCCACAGAAAACACATTACTCGATTACTTCGATATTAATGAACTCACTAATGGGTGACACCTTTCCGTATAAAAAAGAAGGAAGAGCGGCCTTCGCTATTCAACAGTTTCTTTTTTGTAGAAGAAAAAGATGAAACTTTCAATAATTTTTGCCTCTTTCGCTTCTTTTACCAACGCTAGTGGTCCACGCCGTCCAGGACGCTTTTCTCAGAATAAGGTACTGCTCCTTCTCAAATTCTTCTAACCAGCTTCTTTTTCAGTTCGGCTTATCAGGATATCAATCATTTGACCGAAACAACAAATTCGGCGGATTTTGACGAGATAACCATGTGATTTTATGTCTTGCTGTTCAATAAACCGAAAAATCTAAAAATGAGATTCTTCCTTGATTTCAAGGCCATTGTGATAAGAGTTTAATCATTCGAACCCGTCATTGCTGACTATTGGAAAGTTTTGTTCGTTTCGATGATGTGGTTTAACCGCGTCATAAACTTCAGTAGTCTTCTTTGGTCAGAATTAAATTTGAATAAATATCAAAGCAGGAGGAAGACAATTTTGGAGTTCATAAAAGTTGTGGCATACACCCTAGATTCTATTAGAGAGCATCGAAATCGATCATCTCAGGGAAACCATTTTTGCTAGTAGCTGCCTTTGGCGGTCTTATTGAGAGTGCCTTAGTTGACAACTTTGATTTTTCAGCGACCCGAAAACTCTCAAAAGAGGACTGCGTGTAAGCTGAAACTGTTATTTTATGTAATTTTTTACGAGAAAAAATAGTGACGCGGATATTTATGAAATTTGCCTTTCCGATTGCCGATTGAAAAATAGGGAGTGCCTTGCTAGCTGTGGCGACTCATCGCTCTGTCAAAGTCAATGCCGAGTCGATTATGGAGGTAGATTTCCGAAATAAAAAGATGATAGTAATGTTAAGATTGCAACTCATCCTGTCCTTGTGGCCTTGATTGCCCAATCGGCTGCGAAGGCTGCTCTCATCCTCTTTGTCCCCAGGTTATTTTTCTACAAAAAAATCTCAAAAACTTGCGATTCAAGCCAACAACGACGACAACGAGAACTACTTCAACCACGAATAACTTTCAAACAGATGACAGAATCGGCTTTCTTACTTATGACAGAAACGTAAGTCTCCTTATTTGTTGTTTTCGTTAATTGTTGTTGACTCAAGATGACTGTCAAATGCGCCACGAAAAAATCAATAGACAAGATGATCGTGAAACACGATTGTATTGACGGCCCTGATGCGAGACCATGCGACCTCGACCAGGTTCAAACTCATTTTGTCTTTTTGGAATGGACTGGAAGGCAAAACGAGGTTCATATCAACACCCATTACGATCTCGAAGGTCCTCCGTTTCGCGCAATGTACTATAAAGACGTATCATCAACTGCAGATCCGCTGCATTTTGGTTTCATAAACCAAGTTCCCTTTCCAGAATACAACGAGAACTACGAAGAATTTGGCGATACTTGGATACTTGATCAAGTGAACTGCCAAGAAGAAATCTGCCCGTATCGGATCCGAGCTGGGGAGCAGCCACACAAAGGTTTTGACTTTTTTGATTCATCTTCCTTCACTCTTTCAGGGTGGAAACGAGATGAAGATCACGTGAAACAAGGAACATGGCTCGCATTTGAAGAAATTGACGAAAACGACGACAACTTCTTATGGTTCGTTTTCACAAAGAAAGATGAAAATAGCAGCCTTTGAGCAATTTCTGTTGTTAAAACTAAACTCGACCCAATTGTTTTAATAAATTTATTTCATAATCATGAAAAGCAAAATTAGAACAAAGCTAGATCTTGAGTTGATTTGAGAAGAATCCGAACTAGTCGTGGTCGTTGTAGTCGTCGTCGTCGTTGTTGTTGTTGTTGTTCGCGTCGGTTGCAAACAAACAACATTAAACCAATCGTTTTCTACAGTTGTTGTTTCAGTCATTATCATTGTTGTTGTCGTTTTTGTCGTCGTTGTTTGATTTCCATAGGTCTTGAAATTCGTTGTCGGCATTTTTGTAAAGAACTCTGTGTGCAAAAGATTTGTTTGAACATCTGGATGAAAGGAATAAGGAGCAGTCGATGGTAAAACTGTCGATTCAGGGCCTTTTTCGAGCTTTGCAAAGTTTCGCTATTGACAAAAAAACTTTAATAAAAAACTTTTCTTGGTCGTATTTTTCAGTATAATAGCCTTCGCACCATCTTATTCGAAAGCCAGTTCCTTCCGTCGGAAGCTGAAATGCTTTATACGGTGCGATAGAATAATCCGCTCTTTCATTGCCTTCTTTACGGTCAAAAGTTTCAAAATGGACCGTCACATTTTTTTCCACCTTGAAAACAAGGACTTTTCCTCTACGAGCGAGGATAGCCGATTGATCTCCTTTCAGAATGAGCTCTTCATTTGCGGTGCAGATATTTAAAACCGTAGCATTGTCGAAAACAAGAGTCAAATTGGCAGTGTAGCATCCAACAATTTCATGATAATCGAAGTGGAGTTGGTCAAGCACAAGAATCGACCCAGTTTCATCAGCTTTGATTGTCCAATTGCAGTCAAGATTCAGGTTATACGGAATATCTTGATCCCAGCCGCTTTCTAGTGGTCATTTTTTACTCTTATCCCCAGGACTGGACAATTCGAAATCCACACAAATCTCAACACCCATATTTCGGGAATTTTGCCATCCTGATAAGTCATTAAGGGGGTGGTGGTCGAGACTAAGACTTTTTTTCCAATTTTTTCAAAAAATTTTTTTTTCTCTGGCTGAAAATAAGTTTAAAAGGGTCCAATTTATGTGGGCGGCTATGTTTGAAAAAAATATTTTCTCGAAAAAATGGTGAAAAATTCCTTCAAAGTAGACCGATCTCTTGACCTAAAAAACTCGATCCCCTTATTATTTTTTCGAAATAAAACTTACCGAGAGGAAAGTTTAGTCCCTTAAGCGTGTGGGCGGCTTAGTTTTAGAAAGTTCACCTTGTTAGAAAAGAAAATAGTAATTGAATGAAAACATGTTGTTTTCTGAAAAATCGTCATTTTCAGTCATTTTTCAATGAAATTTTCGCAAACATCACAATAATCGTAATTTTTTTAGTTTTTTATTATTAAAATATGATCAAGAAACATAACTTGGCAATGAAAAATCAATTTTGAATCGGGTTTAGTGAGAAAAACGCGTTTCAAAACTCCCGAAAATGGTGATTTCATAGCATAAAATCGAAAATAAAGCTGGTCCAATCAAGAGAAGCTAGAGACCAAAAATGCTCCTTTTTTATCGGGGAATCTAAAATTAATATCAAAATTTTTAAAAGTCGAAAAAAATTTTCTCGACCACCACCCCCTTAAGGCCGTTTTGGGGTGTTGAGATTTGTGTTGATTTCAAATTGTCCAGCCCTGCTTATCCATTCTGCTGACCATTCCTGTGGCTAAATAAAGCTCTGTTTTCAAGCTGTATCTCTGCACATTCTCTGTTAACATTCACATAGGATTTTTCAACAGTTACTTGATCTTCGTAATAATATTCGAAATACATCGTAAATTCACTTATATCCTCGATTTCAAATGTCATTCTCTTTGGCACGATAATTGATAAGAAGAATTCGCCATTATGCTCAATATACTCTATGTCTCTCCAAGTAAAAATTGGGGGAGTAAACTTTGGTCCAAACCAATGATGAACTTCGTAAGTCAATCTCTGAGGGTTTCCACCAGGATTAATGAAGATGAATTTCGGATATTTATCCGTCCAAGAGATCCTTATAGCCATTCTCATCTCCATATCCTCATGTTCATGGTTGTTATTGAACTGGTAGCTGCATTGAAGATCTTTTTCGTATCTCAACCTTGTCATGTATTTATCGATGTCGCTACTGGCCCAAGCTGGGTAGTCTTCCGCGTCCAGATTATTTGAAATTTTCACTTTCTTATTCTCTTTCACTGGGCATTCTTGGATGACTCGGTAGATATAAGGTGAACCCATATCTAATCTCCCATAAATTCCAAGAAATATAAGAATAAACAAAAGCATACTCAAAAAACTTCGTTTCTTCAACAAAAACAGCAATTGCTTGAGTGGGAGCACTGCAACCTTTCGATAAGACAAGAAAATCTCGCTGAGTTTTTACGAGCATCCTTTTCTTCCCGCTTTCTTGTCATCTAGACGTTCTACGCTTTTGGTAACAGGAAAAATGATGCCTTGCAAAATCTATGTCAGTATGTCAAAATGTATGTTTTCGGAATTTCTAGACATTCTAGTGGTCCTGGAACTCAATGTTGTTGAAAACGCAAAAGTTGCATTTTTCTCTAGAATTTTTATTTTTACTTCAATTTTGAGCATTTCTTCCTCATTCTCAGAGATCAACAAGCAACATGCAGGTATTTTCTTCCTTTTTTAGCATTTTTTTCTATAAATAATTGAAGCCGGGACAACAACCAATCGTCATGAACATCCAGCAAAACGCTGGCCCCCAGTACGCACCGCCACCACCACAGCAGCCAAACTATGGGTACCCGACCCAGGCTCAAGCTGCCCCTGCGCCTGCTCCCGTGGTTATTCAGAAGAACAAACAGGTCTTTAGTAAACAGAGAGATTTCTTGTCGATATGTCGGTTTAGGGAGGTACTTTCTGTTGCATCTGCTGCGTTCTCGTCGTTCTTGTTATCATTGTCATCGGTGCGATCGCTGGCACTCGCGGCTCTTCCGCACTCCAGCATAAGAACATTTGCGAAATGGGCCCGACTTATGACCTGACTTTACCAATCGTTCTTGAGTAAGATAAAATATCATAATTTGAGATAAAAATCGTGACTTTAGAGAACCTGAAACCAACTTGGACAATTACGAAAGCAATAAAGATTGCCAAGGTAAATCCAAAAAATATATGAGCATCATATTTAACATGTTCAAGTTGACATTCAAGTTCAAGACAAACAGATTTCGATCGAGTTCGAGGAATTTGAAGTTGAAGGATCTTATGGCTCTTGCCCTTTCGATTATCTTCAAATTGGAAATGAAACATTTTGTGGTACTGTTCATGCTGGCACTGATAGTATCTTGGTCGGCGATTCCGTAAGTTTTAAATCATATTTAGTACTTATATGTTATGATAACATTTATTTAAAGGAACTTACTCGCTACACTGAATACGACACTCATCAAAAAAATCTTACTTTCCGGTGGGTTACTGATGGTGTCGCCAACTACCGCGGATTCCAAGCGATTCTTAGACACCAGACTCCAAGTAAGTCCGAATTATAAGAATAAAAACTCATTCATTTGCTTTTAGAGCCGCAAAATCCAAGCTTCTTTTCGAGCTTCCGATCACTTCTCGCCGAACGCGTCGGTTCCAGACAGCCAGAACAATAAAAAACCTCCCTGCCTTTTTTCTGCATTATTTATTTTTATATCAAACAATAAAATATAATCATTCTTCTGGACATTCACAGGTGTCTTCCTCGATCGGGTAGCGCTCGTTGTTACAGTGAGCCTCGGAGCAGGTGTCTTTGCAGGAAGCGTAGTCGATGCCGTCTTGGTACTGCATGTGAGCGCAGGTAGCGGTGGAGACAGTAAAGGCGGAGCAACCGCGATGAACCTCTGTTATGATTTCATTTTCTTCAATGTGAATAACGTCGGCTTATTTTCGGTCAAAAAGAGACCTCTACTCACAGACTTTTCTCAATTATCCTCAAAATACCGAGAAAAATGTCTCTTCTTGACCGATTTCCTGTAAAACAGCCCTCAGATTGCCAGCTACCACACTCTTGAATAAAGTCTTCATTATCCAAAAGCTCGTTTGAAGCAAGACAATTCTTGAAATCTGGCCCCTCTTCGCTATTATGCGAGCACGAGTAGCAATCGATGACAGGAGAAGGATTGGAGAAGTAAGCCAAGATATTGAGATGAGAGTTTGAGTTGGAGCCTTCCATGGTTTCAATGCATTTTTTGAACTAAATTGATCAAATAAAAAATTTCACAGAACCCTCTCACGTGGAAATTGGAGGAGCTTCCCGCGTTGTTACTGCATTCTGTATGTGGGCCCGCTTCTTGATCGCCCCTGGTGCAGGTTCGTCTCACCACAGTGTTTTGCTGGCCGTTGATGAGCCAATCAATTTCGAATTCTACCGCACAAAAATTTGCATCCGGTCCGCATTCAACGATGAATTCTTCTGCTGGATTCATAAAACAACCTTAAAGTACCATGCATAATTGGAAAATATTAGGGGAAGCGTACCTTCATCAGAGTTTCCGATGGTCTCATTCAGATGGTTCCGAGTTTCGGAGCAAGAATAGCAAGAAACTCGCTCTGGCTGAGTCACTGGCTCAGCACTGTTGCAGTTATCTTCAGAACATGTTTGCTTACAGCCTGAAAACTTTCATGTAATTATCAATTCTTATGTCTTACTGTTAAATTCTCGTGACACACCATCTTCGTCCTTGGCTTTGAATCCATTACAGACAGGCTTTAAATCTTCAATGCCTCCTTCTGTCGCTAGGTTAAACGTAGAACAACCTCTGTAGGTGTCTCTTCTTTTGTAACCATCCACAACTTCTCGAATTGTATGAGATTGAAAGCAGCCTGCTTGAGCGTAAAGTGGGCATTCTCGAATCGTCTCGTCTCCAGGAGCTTTATCACATGTATTTTCCTCTCCGTGAATATCTGAAAAATGCTCGCAGACGTGACAAGAAACAACAGGTTCTTGAAGCGCATTATTCCAGAGGCCAACTCCCGATATCGCTTTTTCAAGCTCTTCTGTATCTTTATTTAGTGGCTGATCTCCCTGTTTTGCGATTGGGAAGGATTGAATGCAATCATTGTACAGAAAAGCGCCGTTGACATCAGAGCTAGATTCGCAAGTGATTGGGTATTCCGTAGCTTTTGAGCCATTATCTGCACTTGGTGGATCTTCATCAGAGCATCCTCTTGTTATTTGCATCTGTTGTGTGCCGCTAGGAAGCCATTCGACATGCATTTTTTGAAAACAGGATTTACTAGAAGACGGGCATTGTCGAATATTATCGAAGAAGCCGTCTACGTCAAAGTCGTAACAACCTCCTGTTGCAGCGCCGTTGTTGTAGTAACCAGTGCAGACAAAGCAGTAGAGAGGAGGTTCTTCCTCTGGAAGCCCAATCACCTGGTTATTGCAATTGTCACCAAAGGCGCAAGTTTGTTTGCAAACTTGATGTTCTATCTTTCCAGCTGTATCTTCTACCGTTGCATCGGAGTAAGTGACACAAGATTGAGAATTCTGAGTGAACGCGGAGCAGCCGTGAGTAACCGTAGATCTTCCTTCAGGATGTACATCTACAACTTTTCTTGATCTAGCGGCGAAACAAGACGCTCTTGCGTATTCTGGGCAGGGTGTCTTATTCAGTTGACCTTCAATACCGCTTGCACAGTCATTTTGATCATCATCAGCTACTGATTCCGAAGTGCAAACGTGGCAACTGCTCACATTATTTTCCGACAACTCTCCAGCGATTTCACTGTTGTCCTTATTACAAGGATCTTCTCCAGCCTCAGCAGTGCAGGTCTTGATACAATGTCGTCGTCGAAAACCAGCTGTCTTGCGCCCATCGCAAACGATTGTATCCGGATCTTGCTCAAGGTCAAATGAACTGCCGCAGCCTCGGCGAATCGTAGTCGTCTGTTTGCCAGACGGGAGCCAGTCAACTTCCATTTCCACCACGCATATGTCCTGATTAGGTCCGCAGGGTTCGATGAACCGGTCTGCCGCGTTATTGATGCAGTCCTCGTCGCCCCAGTTCACGATGTTACCCTTGTAGAAACAGTTTGTCAGTTGCTAAGGGAGTACGTTTACCTCGTGGTCCAAGGTCACTGAGCATGTGTAACAGGAAGGAGTAAATTCAACGAGGCCGGAATTGCATCTGTCCTCAGTGCAAGTACTTCTACACGTCTCATAAAGACCGTTGTTACCATTTACGATCCTGTTCGAAAATGAATGTTGTATAATCAATTTTTCTAGAATCTTACATAGCAAACTCGTCGCATCTTGAGGCTTCATCTGGGAACGCGAAAGGAGAACATCCTTTAGAAAAATGTTGCAGTTCGTTGTCTGCTCCGGGACTAAGATTGAGCGGGAAAAAGTTAGCATTGAAGCAAGCAAAGTTGGCATAAGGCGGGCACTCGGGTACATCATCCGATACTCCGGGGTTATTTTGACAGGAATCCTCATCATCGCCATCTCTAGTATCGCAAGTATTACAGATAAGTTTCACTGGTTTTCCTTCGCCGTCTTTGTTCGTCTCCATCAAGAAAATCGGATCCTGGCCCTCTGGGTAGTCGTTACAGTTGTCTCCGTCCATACACTGATGATAGCATGTTCGTCGAATTCTACCATCTTCTTCTATCAATTCGCAGCCTTGCATTTCTGGTCCATTGGGAAAGCTTTAGAAAAATATATAAAAAATCGACCTTTCATAGCGAATCGCGAAATTTGGCTAGAGAAAAAAAAGGAAAACTTACAGATTGGCATTGTAAGAGTTGCAACTTCTTCTGAGAGAAAATGTCATGGCCCCCGTTTTATCCCATGTCGAGACAAATCTTGATTGGCACGCAATTTTCTGGTTGAGACCGGGTCCGACAACGCATGTCTGCAGGATGTCAGGATCTCCTTCCAAATTGAGACATCTATCGTCTCCAGCGATTGGATTCCCTTTATGATCCCACTCGATATCGCACACTGGACATAAAATCTGTCCAACTGCAGATCCTAAAAAGCGTTTTGGTTGAAATCTCTCTTGTAGGAAAAATCTTGCCTAAGATAAAACTCGGTAGAAGCTTCATTATCGAATGAAGTTGCCCGCATTTCCGGCTGGTTGGGACGTCTGCCCGAACTTTACGAACGGGCCATAATTTCACTTATCGAAAGTTGAGTTTAAAATGTCAACGTTGCGAAAATATCAAAACCACGCCATCTATTTCGAAAGTTTGAAAAGTAAAACGCCGCATGAAATTTTCTGAAAGCAAAAAAGTGCTCTAAAATAGCGCGTTTATAAGACTAAAAGTGCTGAAACTAACTTCATTTTGGATTTAATTAGTGCTCAAAAAGCCAAATACACCCAAGAGGCTGTTCAATCAAGTACCGTATGCGCTGATGCTTTTAAAAAATGCAAGTGCAGATGTCAAAAATTGATGCAGGAGGATAAATGAGCAAATTAAATATGCCGCTTATTTGTACCCAGTACATTAGTTACTTGAAATTTCTCGTTGAAAAATTCTTTTGAATTTTACTTCCAAATATATTTTTTATTTGATTAAAAATTCGATCATGAAAAACTAAAAGAAAAAATTGAAAAAGGGCAAAAATGAAAATTTGCAACTAAAGAAACTATATTTGATTTTCAATCATCAATCACGAATTCTGAGCCGAACATTTTGTTTTGGAAGAGTATCGGGCTCTCAGAAAATAATCATGCAGTAAATAATTTAATCGACTCCGCAAGCGGCGCACGCTCAACCCTCTCTACAATAAATTATATTGCTACGTCGAAACATTTTTATACAGAAAAAAGGTTGAAAACGTCAATTTTTCATTTTTCTGATGAAAACAGATTGATAATTATCAACCTGACTCAAAGTCATATTGAGAATAAATGAAGAGACAAGTCTAATAAAAATCGAGTCAGAAGGAACAAAGTCAGACAAGAGCGAAGATGAGACTCCTGGAGTTGATGGCGGAGGATTTTGAAGAGAGAAATTGGCGATTTTATTTGTGCATGGTTTTGGCAGTGACCGGACCAGTCATGAGCTGGATTTGCTGCTGGAGTTTAGGAACGCTCAAAATCTACACCGAATTTTGTCCCTAACCCTTACCTAAAATAAGGCTTCTTTAGTCGGGAAAACAACAACTTTAGAGCTCGAAAAAAGTGTGTTTCGACAGGTACAAACAGGGCCGTTCGCAGAAAACTCTTCCTGAAAAAGTATGAATAGATGCTCATCAAAAAAATAATGCCTGAATGTTATCTTTTCCTGCCTGTACTTAAATGCACTTGAATAATTTCTAGAGCCATTAATTTATTGAAGAGAAGCCTTAAGAGCTCCGTAAAGTTTGTTTACAGATTCATTCGAGTCTGACGTCAGATATACAGTTTTCTTCGCGCTGATGATTTTCAGCACTTTCCTCTTGTCTTGAAAGTCTTCTATGATTTGAACAGAATTGAGCTGTTTATTGGTGATTTCTTCTTTTTTTGATTTCAGGTCGATTTTTAAATTTCCTTGGTGAAATTCGACCTGGGCTTCGTGCCATTTTCCACGGCCGAAGAGCGCCGTTTGAAATTTAAGCATGTCTTGAGAGAAAGAAATGGAAAGGGTTGAAGATGTTCTTCGATTTGCTACAGAAGGGTCCGCATCGTCAGGGTAGAGGGTAACGTAGTTTGAGAGGTCCTGGAAGTCTGCTTTGTTTAATCCTGTGTGTAGATGAAGAACAGTCTGAATGAAGGAAAATTCTCTTGGGAAAGGGATTTGGGTAGATTTACTTGATTAGATTGCTCGTCGAAAAAGCGCAGTCTCAACTTTAAAGCGGCCAATTCCTCGTGTAAATATCGCTCAGAAGGGAAAAGATTGTGATCCCCAATGACGATGCTTCCATCAAGACGGGCCAAGATCTTGAAATGATAGACTTCACCATGTTTTAAGGAGATACATGGAGAATTGTCTGATGATTTTCTCAGAAGAAATGTTCCATCTTAAAATTTAGTTCACAAGAAAGCCAGATATCAGTGTAAAAGGAGAAGAGAAAAAAACGATTTACCAACAAATTGGTTATTTTGCCGAAGGGGTTAAAAGTTGAACTGACCTAAACTGTTGCATAAAATACTATGCGCAACTTCTCTCGAGCAGTTTTTCCAGAAAAAGGTCAGTTTCTCATAATCTTCCGTGAGCATCGTTAAGTAAATGATATTCAAGAAATCGAAACAAAAGAAAGGAAAAGTTCCTGACTCTGAGTTTCTCTTTTGGCGTGTAGTATAACTCAGCGTCATAATCGTAAAAAATCAAGAAGAAACGTAACCGTCAGCTAATATTTGCAGGTTATGCTTGCGAAGCCCGCGCTGAATTAGCGGGCTTTATTGGTGAACTTTAGGACTTACCATATTTGATCAAAAGCTAGAAACGAGTCCTTGATTTAATAAATTTCCCGTCTAAAATTATAAAATAGACAATCTCAAAACGGAAATGGCCCAAATTTCAATCATAAAACCTCGCCGCACATAGCATTTATTTTGCATTATTTTTTGATTTTGCATAATTGAAAAATGGCAGAAGGTAGAGACGGAAAATCGCGCCGCAGAAAGTCAAAGGCGGGGCATTCTAAGTCCCGCCGCCGCAGAACTGTGGCCAAGGCTGTGGATCTTGAGGACAAGTTCGATGTCAAGAAACTCTTCCAGGAGAAGTCTGCCTTGAGTGAAATAACTTCCACTGAGCTTCAGAATGCTAAGAAGGCTCTTTATCAGGTAGAAAACCGCTCAAATCCTTATTGATACCCTTAATTCAAGGCGGCCAAAACAGCTGTTCGCGCTCGCCGAGTCGATCCAGCCAAATCCACCGAAGCGGCCAAAAAACTCAATGCGAAGGCGAAAGAAATCAAAAATGCTGCTGATGGAATCTACAAGAACTCTAAAGCCAATAAGAAGGCAGCACTCAAGTTGAACAAGACGTTAAAAAAACACGCCTCAGGAACGCGGATTATCTTTGTTCTAAGAATCTAAAGTTGTTTTGACAAGATAAATGTATTAAAATTTAGAGCATCAGATGCGGCTCGCGACGTGTTTGCACTACATACAGACAATCCACCTCATCAGATATTGATGGATCGGTCCTTTCTGGCGAAGCAGATGTCCCCGTTGATCCCGTTGAAGCATCTCAAGAGGCCGCAGAGGTGACCTTTTCCGACATCATTTTCTCTTCTCCAGTCCTGATTTTAGCTTTCAAAAACTGCTGCCGCAATTGCCGAGCAAACTGCAAAAGTCACCGCTGATCCAAACGAGGAATCCGTCACTGACGGCCCTGAACTCGCCAAGGAAGCATTCAAGACTGCTAAAGCCAAGGCTCAAACCTCCATCAAGCGAGCAAAGGCTGGAGCGAACAACTATCTCAATCTCTTGGAAAAGAGCATCAATGATTTGAAAAACAACGGCGAGAAGTCACTCAAGCAGCTTGCTAAAGCGACCAAGGACAAGAACGATGGAAGCTGCTTAACTTCTGTCAAGGAAGGATTCAACGAGCTGGCGGATAAAGTTGAGGATGCGCTTGAAGATGCTGAGGAGGAAGCGAGGTGCAATCTTAAAAACTAAGGAACAGAATTCTTATCTCATGTTTCAGAAAGCTCCTCGGTGAAGCCAAGGAATCCCTCGAAGAAGCCACTAACGCCGGCCTCGATGTCATTTCCGACATAACCGGAGCTGCAGCTGAAGCAACTGGCGCCGACACCACTGATGGCGGCGCTCTTTCTTCCTGCAAAGAAAAGATCAACGCTTGCAAAGAACAAGTGGAAGACAAACTCGAAGATGTTCAGGAAGCAATTGAATCCGTCGCCGAACACGCCGCTAACGCTGTCGATGAGCTTGGTGATCTTTTCGAAGAATCCGCGGACAAGGTCGCCGAGGCGGGAGAGCAAGCCCTCGCTGCAGTTGAGAATCAAATCCAAGCGGATGGAGGAGCCTGGTCTTCTCTCCAAGCGAGCTGCGCAAAATGCACCGCTGAGACTCGAGAAGCCATTGATGAGCTCGCTCAGGATGCTCAGGAGTTGGTCAAGGATATTGAATCTGAGGTCAAAGATGCGCTCAATCTCGATGATGATAATGAGGAGCCTGAAGCTGAAGCTGATCCTGCTGCTACTGCATAATCGATACTCTCTCAATATATTTTTGATAAAAGAAATATTAAAAAATTACTTATAACAATTCTTCAAGGGTTTTATTAACATCGATTATAATTAAGTTTCAACAATAAAGTAAATTTTTAAAGTAAAGAATGATTCTTATTAGGAAATGTACCTAATTTCGAATTTTTAAAAGCGAAGGATCGAAGAAAGAAATAAAACAAGGTTTTTTGAAAGTATTTTTATATTTTACTCTGGGCAGAGGCTGATAAAAAAAGTACAAAATAAAAATGTCAATGTGTAAAATTTTCATTGTAAATGAAGTGAACGATTATTTTAAGTGATTGTGACTCTGACAGTTATTGATACAGTCTGTTTTTATTCGTCCATTTGATCATCAAGCTGCCAATTTGCCTTACTAAATCGTTGATCATCTTCTTGGTCGGATAGTATCTCCGGTTTTACTTCACCCTTACACTCCAACACATCGTCATCATCTTCCTTCACTTCTATTTTCACAGATTCTTGCTCTGAAGATTCCGACTCTGAGAAAGTACTCATATTTGGCAGCTCGTGTTTTCCACTCTCCATCCTAGCCACTCGTCTCCGGACTCTTTTAAATAGGTTTCGAACCATTTTTCAGAAGTAAAACTCTTCAACTAAGAAAAAAACCCGTTCCTGAACCACGACCAGACAACTTGTTCTTGAAGCCCAGTTTTGCTGCAGATACTAAGAACTGTATTTTTTGTAGGAAGGTTTTTCTCAGCGAATGATTCTTCCAAAAGATTCTTCATTTCATCAGTCATTGTTTCTCCCACTTTCTGAAATAAAAATGAGTCGTTATCTAAATCAAAAAAAATTCTTACAATTTTTGACGAGCTAGCTTTCCTGTCCTCAGGCGTCACCAATAGTTTGGGAGAAACAGCGACTGAGGTAGAAGAAGCGGGTCTTTCTTTTGAATCAGCTTCAATTTTCACGGCTTGCGCAGAAGTATCATTTTTGGATGTTTGAAGTGGGTTAATCTTCACGTCAGAATTCGAGTTTTCGATCACCAGGCGGCTTCGCCATTCGCCAGTTCTTCTCGAAGTCGAGCCATTTGATTGAACGATTGGTACCAAGTGAGTTACAGTACCTAGGACTTTTCTAGAGGGCATATGACATGAATCATTACTCACCAGATTTGGTTGGGTTTGGTGGTGAAACAATCGATTGATTCAAGTCACTGACCTTACCATCTCGAATTTTGAAGGAAGGTTTCAAGGGCACGTTTTTAGAGAGTGTTTCAGAAAGAATCGGGACGAGTTCAGGGACTTTCTTTGCGTCTTTCTTCGGTGGAAACGCTTCGACGCCAGACCTTCGAATTTCCCAGCCGAAAAACCTGTCCCGAGGTCGACGAGCAGATGGAACATGAATTTCGAATTTCATGAAGGTGTCTTCGCCGTCATAAAGCTTCAGCGCTTTCTGGAACTCTTTCTGCAGATTTTCAATAATTTTCTTTCGTTGTCTGTATCGCGCTTTTCTTTGAGCATTCTTCGTCCTTTTGTCTTCGCTTGTAGAGGCCATGATCTCTTTATTCCATCAGAAAAGCGTGTTTCCTTCCAAAGATTATTTATCTGTCAGAAAATGAAAATCTGAACATGTCGAAGAAAACATTGCCCAATGGAACGATCGATCTAGAAAAGAGCGCGCTTTTAGTTTGACGAATCAGAAACCCGGAATCGGTCAAAGATCCACGGAGGTCTTCATGCTCAAGATTTTAACGAATTTTGAACCTTCCGTCAAAAATGTGTTTCATTTATTTTACTTTTATTCTAAATAAGAGCAACCAGTTTTACTGATAATTTTTAAAGATCTGGACCCAATTATCTATTTTCACATAAACAATCCCTAAAGGCCGTAAAGTCCCAAAACCTCCAAATTTTTAATCGTCATTTTTTACAACCGGCAGCGTTGTGACTCAAGGTCATCAAATAAGGAGGTCTTTGTCCAAATTGCCGCTCATTTCAATTTTCAAATTTTCACCACTCGAGAAAATCAAAAAAAAAATGTCCGTCGAAGGCAAAGCTGAAATCGGCGAAAAAGCACCAACTTGGACTTGCAAAGCCGTCGTTGATGAAGAATTTGTTGATATTTCTTCAAGGTGCGTTTCATTTTTGGCGTTCTTTTGTAAGCGGATTTTTAGCGATTACAAGGACAAATGGTTGATTCTGTTCTTCTACCCGCTGGATTTCACCTTTGTCTGTCCAACCGAGATCATCGCCTTTTCCGAAGCGGCGAAATCCTTCCGCGAAATCAACTGCGAAGTGGTTGCTGCATCATGTGACTCGCAGTTCACCCATCTTGCCTGGATGAATCAACCGAAGAAGGAAGGGGGTCTTGGCGAAGGTAAAAGAATACTTTTTCCTTCTTTTTTGACTCATTTTGTAGTTGATATTCCCATCATTGCTGATACCAATCACGCTCTTTCAAAAGCATTTGGAGTTTTGAAGAAAGACGAAGGCATTCCATACAGAGGATTGTTCATCATCGACAACAACGTAAATCCTTATTCCGTGCTCGGCAACCTGTGTAGAACCCTGAGTCAGGATCCCTGACCCGGCTTTTATAAAAGCTCTTTCGGAACCCTTACTCAGGTTTCTATACGGGTTGCCGAGGCTTGAACTTGCTCGATGTTCGTAAAATGAACCGATTTTAGGACGTTATCAGGCAAATTACGATCAATGATCTCCCGGTTGGAAGAAGCGTTGATGAAGTCAAACGACTCGTCAAGGGTTTGGTGTATTTAAGAAACAAGAAATCGAAAATTTAAGCCTTCCAATTTGTGGATAAGTTTGGGGAAGTCTGCCCAGAAAACTGGCAGCCAGACGCGAAAACAATCGTCCCGACTGTTGAAGGCTCCAAGAAATACTTCGAAGAAGTCAACAACTGAAACTTCCAGTCTGAAAGTCATGAGTTTTTTCTTTCAAATCTTTTCTACCGAATAAAAACACCTTCCAATCAACTGTTGGTTGCATAACAATAAAACTGAAAAGCAATAAATCAAAACGACCTCGATTGACAGGTGATCGGATGAGACAAGATCGTTAATTTAGTTGGGTAAAACATATAGAACAAAAACCATAAAATGGTTCTAGCGAACAACTTGAGTATGAAATTCGTGTTTAATAGAAAAAGTAAACGGAAATAAAGAGAAGAGCAAAATTTGAATATTCAGAATAATGGGTACGGTTCAAAATCATTATGCTGGTTCGGCAAACCTTCAAAAAGGCATACAGGGTCAATTGAGAGACAGCTAGAATTCCGTATCCATGATCCTTGGCGCTCTTGTTCCGCATCTTTCCATCATGGCTTTCAATCATCTGGCTTTGACATAAATAACCCTAAAGGCCGTATAGTCCCAAAACCTCCAAATTTATAATTGCCATTTTTACAACCGATAACGTTGTGACTCAAGGTCATCAAATAAGGAGGTCTTTGTCCAAATTGCCGCTCATTTCAATTTTTCATTTAATTTCGAATTTTTACTACTCAAGAAAATCAAGATAGAAAATGTTTGTCAAAGGCAAAGCTGAAATCGGCGAAAAGGCGCCAACTTGGACTTGCGAAGCCGTTGTTGATGAAGAACCTGTTGATATTTCTTCGAGGTGAGTTTTATTTTTGTCGTTCTATTATTGACGGATTTTTAAGCGATTACAAGGACAAATGGTTGATTTTGTTTTTCTACCCGCGTGATTTCTCCTTAGTCTGCTCACCAGAGATCATCGCTTTTTCGAAAGCAGCGAAATCCTTCCGGGAAATCAACTGCGAAGTCGTAGCTGCATCATGTAACTCGCAATTCGATCATCTTGTCTGGATGAAGAAACCGAAGAAGGAAGGGGCTCTTGGCAAAGGTAACAAATAAATTTTTCCGGAATTTTTTTACTCTTTTTCAAGTTGATATTCCCATCATCGCTGATGGCAATCAAGATCTTTCAACAGCATTTGGAGTTTTGAAAAAAGGCGAAGATATTCCATACAGAAGCTTGTTCATCATCGATAACAACGTAAATTCTACCATATTCATTGCTCGGCAACCTGTGTAGAAACCTGAGTTAAGGTACCTGACGCGGCTTCCATAGAGTTTTCAAAACCCTGACTCAGGTTTCTATACAGCTTGCCGAAATGTTATTCCGAATAACTTATTCGTTAAATGAACCGATTTTAGGACGTAATCAGACATATAACCATCAACGATCTCCCGGGTGGACGAAGCATTGATGAAGTCAAACGACTAGTCAAGGGTTTGGAGTTTTTTAGAAGCATGAAATCAAAAATTTAAGCCTTCCAAAACGATCGTCCCATCTGTTGAAGTCTCAAAGAAGTACTTCGAAGAAGTCAACAACTGAAGAAAAGCTCTGTCTTTAAAATCTTTTCTAGCGAATAAAACCCCTTTCAATCAACTGATGGTTGCATAACAATAAAATTGAAAAGCAATAAATCAAAACGACCTCGATTGACAGCTGATCGGACAAGACAAGATCGTTAATTTGGTTGGGTAAAACATATGTAACAAGAACCATAAAATGGTTCTAGCGAACAACTTGAGTATGAGATTCGTGTGTTATAGAAAAAATAAACGGAAGTAAAGAGAAGAACAAAGTTTGAATATTCAGAATGATGGGTACGGTTCAAAATTTCTTCATTCTTTTTTGAATAACTTTTTGATCTTCCTGATTTATTAGCTCTTTCTGAATACTCATGTTTAATCGAATAAAGAGGGATGATCAAGATTTCACTCAGAAAATCTTATCGAGCTTACAGTCAATTAGATTTTCTGATTGACTGATTCTAGCGTAATAATGGCAGACAGGAATATCTCCAATTAACAGAAACTTCTAACGAGCTTTGTTCCAAAATAAAGTTTCAGCTAAAATTTTTGAGTAAAAATATCACAAAATGAAAATTTTATAAATTCATAAGTTTTGGAAATTGCATTTTCTTTCTCGGGAAAAATACCGGTAGAAATTTATATGAATTGGAGATATTCCAATATGCCTCTATATTACGCCAGAATCTGCCAATTGGAAAAGTGCATCAAAATGACGCAAAAAGAGGAATTTCCTTCTTTCGAAGGATCTGGACGCGCGCGCTGATTCGCGGAGCCTCTCGTTCACTGAGTCACAGTGTTCCAATTTATCGAAAAATGAGAATACAGACACTTTTGTGGATTTAACATTTTTACGAGTCGAGAGAAACTGTATATAAAAAACGAAACTTCTTGAACCAAGAAAAAAGAGAAAGAAGCTTTTTGGTATCCAGAAATTCCGAAAGAAATGGAGAAAATTCTGCATGTTCTGTGTGCTTGCTTTGGCATGGCTGCTTGGCTTGGTAAGTCTCTCCTCGCTAGAAATGATTTTTGTGGCTCATTACGAAAAGTAACGTAGAATAAATACTTTCAAATTATCACAGGCAGGAAACTGCGCTATTATCATTTAAAATATCGACTTTGTTCTTTAATTTTTAGCTGTTATCATTTAATAACTCTTCGACTTTTACTTAGACAACGATAACAGTCCAGTATCTATCCACTTTATGAATAAAAACCGCATAAATTTCGATTTTCGGGGAGTACAGTCATCTGTTAGGCCCTTATTCAAAGTTAAATCTTTCTATTTTTACTCAATACCTTTTAGCTGTCAATGGCTGCTGGATCGAGCTACCTCTTCTCGTCTCGGTCATGCCTGAAAGCTGGAATCTGGCCTCGCACATGTCGATTATCATCCAGTGCGCGAATATTGGCCCGCTTGTAATCACGCTTTTGGACATGTACTGCCCCAGCCGGTTAAAACTAAAGCCTCTTGTACGCCTTTACCGTCTTTTCTCCCTTTCACAAGCATTTTAGATTTATATTTTGCTGCTCATCGGCCTTTGCGCTCAATTCCTGATGTTTTTCTTCTGGAACGATACAGTTGAAATTAACGGAAGCAGCTATTCCGTCCCCTTTTTGTTCTTTTCTTTGCCGCTTCACTCGTTGACTGTACTTCCTCAGGTAATTCCTTACATTGTTGGTAGAAATCTATCCGTTTTTAAGTTTCTTTCATCCCCTTTATGATGAACCTGCAAGCTCGTTTTCTTCAATCCTATTTTCTCGGCGAAGGCCTCTCCGGCTTTCTCCCCGCAACAATCGGTATCATCCAGGGCGTCGGCAAAACTACCTGCAATGGGACAACTCCAGAATATCACGAACCGAACTTCGGCATCGGCACTTTTTGGATCATTATGAGCTCCTTGATGCTCGTTTCAACGATTTCTTTCGCGTCAATGAATGTCAACTTTCAGAAGTACTTCGTGAAATATGAAGACTCTACTATTTCTGATTCAGTTGCTTCTTCAGGTAAGAATTAAGGCTCTTTCGTATGCTAAACATCAAAAAATTTTCATTCAGAACTGACTGGCAATCGCGAAGAAGGCCCTCTGGACGAGCTCGATTCATTCGACGAAAAAACCGACGAGATCCCCGTCGTCGCGCCAAACTCCTCTTCTACCGATTTGAAGAGCTACTACCTTCTGTATTTCATGCTTTTCATCTCGTGCTTCTTTTCGAACGGATTCCTCACCGCTATCGCAACTTATGTCTCTATGCCTTACGGAAGCCAAGCGTATCACACCTCAGTAATTCTACAGACTTTGGCAAATCCGATTGCTTGTATTATCGCACTGTTTCGACCGCTATCGAGTGAAAGGGGCATCATTTTGTCTGTTGGTATTTCTCTGGTAAGCATTACAGACAAGAGCTAGCCTCTGCAACATATATACAAATCTTAGCTCGGGCCCTTTACTTCTTTCTTCAGGTCCTCGCTGGATATCAACTCTTCCTCGCCCTTGGTTCACCCTGTCCTGTTTTTGGTAAGGCTTCGAAATCCTTATATTTCTTTGTAAAAAGCCGATTTTAGTGGATACGACACTCGGTTCAACGCTGATGATCCTCAGTAACACCCTTTACATGTTCTTCGTTACCTTGGCAAAAGTTTCGTTCGCTGATGTACTGAGAAACAAAGCGACTTCGAGGCATTTACTGTGGTACGGCTCCATAACGCAGGTACGGTTCTACAGAGATATCACCGACTAAAGCCTCTCTCTCTTTTAGATTGGGTCTTTCTGCGGCGCAGTAGTCTGCTACCCTCTCGTCAACAATTTGCAAATTTTCCAGCCTCGTTATGATTGCCAACCCTGCCCGGCATAAAATTCTGCAGAATTAAAGATGGGTTGTGTTTATTTTCTATTGTTCGTTCTGTGGCAGGTTTTCTGCCTGTATATCTAGAATTTTAGTCGAAATTTTGCAAAAAAATCGACAATTGTCAAGAAAAACTTTGATAACTTTAAATATTTCTGCTTTCCACCTCTTCTGCCTTCAATAATTTATTCTGCAAATAAAACTTTGCAAAAGTTTACCTTTCCTTCTGGCAATCTGTTACACAGATTGTAGAAACCTGTTTCAGCGTCATGAATTAGCGGCTTTGTGACGCCTCTTAGTTTATTTTCAAGCAAATGTTCACTATCAAAGATTGAAAGATGAAGCATTTTTCAGATAGAAATAATTTTCAGTGTTATAAATAAAATATTCAGTGTTGAGGATTGAATGTTATTTTGAAGAAATAATTTCAACATTTTTCAGGGCCTTAACCTCAGGCAGAGCAATTCCGACGTACAGTTCTGTGAAGTGCCTTTAATTTTTGCCAGCTTTCTAGCTTTAATCGGATAGCAAAATATCAGTCGTGGCTTTTCAGAGCTTTTAATCAAAATAATGACTTGTTGCTTCCTTGTTCCTAAGAGTAAATGCGAAACGAGAACCAAAAATGAGGAAGCGTAATGAATAATTACGCATCTAATGAAATTTCCCTTCGTGTCAATTCCGTACCAAAGAATAAAGACGACAAGATGTTCAATTTGATGCATCACAAAATTAAGACGTCTCTAAAAGTCCAAAACAAATTTGGGAATTTAATTCTGAAAATCTTACCGTAGAAGGATTTTCATCATCAAAATCATAATACGTGAATTTTGAAAAAGAATAGCCAAGATTCTTTTCGCCTGCGAAGAAACCAAACAGAAAAAGTATAGTACCGTGAAGAAGGAAGACTTTGATCAGGGTTTTAAAAGTCTTAAATTTTGGAGTCTGAGTCTGAGCACGACTGAGCACATCAAGCTCAAAGTTCGCTCAGGCTCTGACTTTTCAAATCCTGACTATGATAAATAGAGTTCCACCAGGATGTTTTTCCAAGTTATCGAATGCCTTAGTTTGAATAATATCATAAAATTTGAAATGAATGTTTTCAATTGATGAGATGAAAGCTATTGCCATACAAAGTCGTATCAGCATTTGAAGGAAATACTGAAAGAAAAATGATTTTCTTACTGTCTGGGGTTATCCTAAGCCCTTAGCCTAACTGAGGTAGCTATGAGACTCGGGAGCCCCTGACCACCCTCTCTTCAGAAATCTTGACGAAATACTTACCAGAAAATATATTTGCAGAAGAGTCCCTGTAGAAAGCTGATTTGGGTGATCGTTTTTCTTTTTCTCTGTCACGACCCAGAGATATGTGATAAACGAAGTTCCGATACTAATAAGCGACGCAATAAAATAACCGCCACTTTTAGGGCAAACAGTCTGGTTACTTTTCAAAAGGTAAAGACTAAACCATCCCCTACATTTGGAGAGAATAGTCAATTGAAGAAGAAGCTGAAATTTTTCGTTCATGATAACATGCTTGATTTCATTCCCAACCTGAGGGGCGGCTTCCAAAGTTCCTTCAAGAAATCGTATTTTGAACAGGTCTCTTTCCAAAAGCGGGTCTGGACTCAACCGATCTTTCCAACTCCTATAGAATAACATAACCGGTCCAAGAAGTAATATATGCATTATAAGAATCAAAGGCGATCTTTCTTGACGAGAAGTTAATTGCGACGTCTTGAAGATTATAAAGAACGCGATTGTCCAACCAGCAAGTAGAGTTATAATCAGAGTCAATATTCCCTGATCAAGGATAATCATAATTTTCAATTTCTACCATTATAGTAGTACTACAGTAGAATATCATAGAATTACTTCTGATTTTCTCCTTGCCCCAGTAATAGTTCTCAGCAATTATGAAGGATACTCCGAGATACAAATCAGAACTTAATTTTTTTAATAAAAAAGGTAAAGACTGACATACCCGACGTCAAAAGAAAAAAGGACCATTTTCAACAACGGCGATATGTTCCTCGCATGTTCTCTTATCCTTGATAAAAAACTCATCACTCATTACTTGAATTTTGTCTATTCATATTTATTCGAATGAGAAATGATGCTCATTTTTACGTTCATTTAATACCTATTAGTGTCCCCACCGCCGTAAATATTTTTATTGTTGAGTTTCTCCGCGAGATTCTCCTTGACTTATTCTCAGGTGCGATTTTTAATTAACTAATTAAAAAGTTATCTTGACCAGAAAAATTGCCAATTCGTCGAAAGCTCAAAAAGTGGGTTTGATCGATTTCGGCGGATGAAACAGGACTTTGGGTAATTTTGAGCTTTTTGCTGATTACTTTTTGAGGATTGATTTTCAGTGATTTATGCGACGCTTCTTGATATCTTCCTATCTTAATTGCGGTAGTTTTTTGAGAACAAAGAGGACTCATCTTTGGAAATTGTATTTTCATCTTCAACTCGACTCCTTCATATTCTGACCGTGTTAAAGAGCTTCCGGACAAACTACTAGGTAGTGCAAACAATGATCAGCATAGATTCTGTATTCAAAGCTTCGAAAAGTTCAAATATAAATTTCCCTAATTGAAAAGCTCTCACAAAAATAGATTAGAAATTTATAAAAACATTTCAATCAGGGCTGGCAAATTAGGGTCCTAACAGCCGCACTACCGAAAAATTGTTAGGGTTCTAACTCAAAATTAGTGCGAATTAGTGCGGCATCCCCGTCCTACCCGTCCTATTTTTTTTTCCTTGATATTTTTTCGTCTATTAGGACTGAATCGCCGCCCTAACCGTACTAATTAGGAGGCTCTTTTTCATCATCCAATCGGCGCGCGCTTCCCACCAGGCGCGGAGGACAAATTGGTGGAAGATTGCAAAAAGAATGGAGCTGAATGGACGAGAAAAACGAATGACCCGCCATGATTGGCGGACCAATAAGCGCGCGCCTATTTTAGGACGATTTTAGTGCGGCTTTTTCCAACTCGTACTACTCGCACTAAAAAGTTATAAAATGAGAGTTAGGGTTCTAACAATAGGGTTCTAACTCAAATTAGTGCGGCTGGCGGGACCCTAATTTGCCAGCCCTGATTTCAATATTCATTTTCATTTATTCTCAGCAGAAAAATAGATAATCTGATATCGCAATTAGCTAATTAAGAACTGCAATATGGTCAGGTAGAGGCCCCTCTACTAGAGGGTTCTTTAACGACCGACCAAGAAAACCAAGAAATGATGAAAGGGACATTTAGTAACTGACGAATAAGAACGCAGGAATGTTCGCTTTTTGAATATTTAGAATTTTGGAAGTTGAAAATCGGTGTTTAATTGACTTGTAAAATTCCGTTTTTACGAAAAAAAAATAATTTTCATAAAATAATTTCTAGATTCATAATTTCAGTACGAAAATGTATCGTATCTTATCACAATCAGTAGAACAAAAAGCCTTCTTTTCTTCTCGCCTTCTTTTTTTTTCTCAATCGATTGCAAAAAGAGAGGCAGAGAGGGCCGCAAAGAGAGACGCAAGGGGCGCTTCTTGACTCTTTTTTTCTGCACTTGAGCTGCTTCGAGTTTGATTTTCCATTTTCTGAAAGAAAGAGAAAATTTACTGAAGAATAAGGACACTATTTTCGCGATTTTGCGTCGAGATAGTTGATTGAAATCATGGAAGAAAACATTCAAGGCGACATTGTCCAAAAAGACCCGATCGAGTCGGAAAAATGCTTGACGGCGTCAGACTACAACTGTAAATTAAATTACCTATAGGTTTTATTTATTTCAGTGAATTAATAATTAAAAAACATTTAAACGAAAAGACTTTTTTTAAATAAAATGGTCCGTTTAGTTTGTCGAGCCAGATTCTTATTGAAATAATCCCCCTTTTCTTATTAAAAAATATATTTATTTCTTGTCTTAAATTATTGAACTATATATTTTTAGCTCAGCGGCGGCTTCTGGACTCAGACGTGATCATCACGTCAAAAAGCTCAAAAGAATCCAAATCGCCCGCGGCGCGTGAAACATGGGGCAAAAGCATCGATTTCATTCTCTCGGTGGCAGGTGGCTTCATCGGACTTGGAAACGTTTGGCGCTTTCCATATCTTTGCTACAGAAACGGCGGTGGTGCTTTTCTCATTCCCTACTTTATCTTTTTGATCATCGCCGGAATTCCTATTTTCTTTCTTGAAGTTGGAATCGGCCAGTTTACTTCCGAAGGCGGAATCACTGCTTGGGAGCGTCTTGCGCCGATCACTTCTGGAATCGGCCACGGCTCAATCGCCCTCACGATCATTTTGAACATGTACTACGTCATCGTGCTCGCCTGGGCAATCTACTACATGTACTACTCCTTTCAAAGCGAACTGCCGTGGACACAATGCGGCGACTGGGCGACCAACTGCTGCCGCGTCGAGGACAAAAATCTGACGGGCGCGTGTGTTCGAGATCCGGCGAAATTTCCGACGGAAAATAATGTCACTTGGAATTTGAATTGGACGTCGCCGACTCAAGAATTTTGGGAAAACAAAGTGCTAAAAGTGTCCAACTCGGTGGAAGAGCAAGGCGATTTAAACTGGGGAATGGTGCTTTGCCTGGCAATTTCCTGGTTCATTTGCTATCTCTGCGTTTGCAAGGGAGTCAAACAGACGGGCAAGGTGGTCTACTTCACTGGCACATTTCCCATTCTGGCGAGGGTTGAAAATCGATAGCGGCTGTCTTTGTCGGCGCATTCGCCCGATTAACACGTTCCTAAGCTCGTTCATTTGACGTCCCCAATAATTTATTCAACTAATTAATCCAATTATTTTTAACCCGGTTAAAAAGATGCTGATTGTGCTGCTTTTCCGGGGCATCACGCTCGAAGGAGCTTGGGACGGAGTGTACTACTACTTGAATCCTGACATGGAGCGACTCAAAGATCCAAAAGTGTGGGTAGATGCTGGAACTCAGATTTTCTTTTCATACGCTTTGTGCAAGGGCCAACTCACCTCTCTGGGTAAGGAAAAAAGGGAACTCGATATTTTGGAATTTCGCCAATTCGTGTTCTGTTTTCATCGATAATGCTGATCGCTTATTCAGGCTCCTACAACAAATTTAACAAAGACATTTACAAGGACGTCTGGATTCTTTCAGCTTTTAACTCAGGTAAGAAAAAAAACTCTTTAATAGTTAGTCTTTCATCAAATAGGTACTTCCTTCGTCTCCGGCTTTGCGATTTTTGCCATCCTCGGCTTCATGGCTCAAGAACGAGGTCTCCCGATTGCGGAAGTTGCCGAATCCGGACCTGGCCTCGCCTTCATCGCCTACCCTAGAGCTGTGGCTCTCATGCCTTGGCCACAATTCTGGGCAGTTTGCTTCTTCTTCATGGTTTTGTTGCTTGGCTTGGACTCACAATTTGTCGGAATGGAGGCCATCATCACTGCCATTACTGACATGTAAGCCTTTTTCGTAAACAAAAATGATTAAATGACGCCTTTTTTGTCCAGTTTAGGAAGAGTAAGGACTTCTTTCACATAAATCTAGTTACCCGTCTTACCGAAAAGGCCGAAAGCGACAAATCCTGCTAGTTGGAATCGTCCTGTTCAGCTTTTGCGTCGGTCTGACAATGTGCTTCCAGGTTTGAGGAAAATCGACTGTATTTTAGTTTATTTTTCATGTAGAACGGAATCTACGTCTTCACCCTATTTGATTACTACGGCGCCTCTGGAATCTGTCTTTTGTGGCTCTGCTTTTCGCAGTGTATCGCCATCGGATGGATTTACGGAGGAGAGAAGTTTTGGCAAATGACCACCAAGATGATCGGCTACCGCCCCTTTCCGCTTTTCAAATGGTGCTGGATGTTCTTTAGTCCCACCCTTATCATCGGTCTCCTGTACATGCTTCTGGCCAATTTCAAGCCACTTACAGTAAGATCTCTTCTGAGCGCAGTTTTACAAGGCAATATTTTCAGTATCGCAACACGCGCCAGGATTACTCTTATCCTTTCTGGTTCGAGTCGATTGGGTAGGCCAATTAGACGATTTTAATCAGAAAATTAACCTTTCTTTCAGATTTTGCCTAGCCGCATGTTCTGCGCTGCCTGTTCTGGTCTATGCGCTAATGAGGTTTTTCCTCGTTGTTTTCAGAGGAACTGGAACTTTCAAAGAGGTAGGCGAATTGAAAAGGAAAAAGTTTAAAGAAGCTCTAGAATCTTTCGCTTCTGACGAAATCCAACTTGAAAGATGACCATCCTTGCAAATCGATCGAAAACGCGGCTCCAGAAGAAATTCCATTTTTCAATTATTGGCTTGGCGACTGGCTCGGAAACAAACTCAAATCGCGGTAAAAAGGGTCTTCATGTAAGGAAAAATGAATCCTGTTTAGATACGATTTACAAAGAGTTCCAGTCTCAGACGAGCCAGAAGTGATAAGATACGGAAAGAACAACAGTGAATGCTAGAATTTTAAAATTATTTTTTATTGTCCTGCCAAGTGTAAACTAAAGTTGTAAATACTATTTCAACTCTTATTTTTGTAAATCTGCTATTCTCTGGTCATCAATTCTTGGATATTGTCCTATTCGAATTCGATGACTTTTTCCGTTTTCCATTTTTTGGCCGTCTATAATTTATCGAAAATAAAAATTTTAAAAAGATTTGTGCAACGCTTTAATTTTTCTTCACGAGAAGTTCATTTATTTCATTCAATTGCATCTAAAATCTCATCAACTGTCACAATACTATTTATATTATTACTGACATTGAAAGCCTTACAGAGGCTTCAGCTCACACCCAATCGGAGAGCCCCAGGGGAGCTCAGCAGAAACAGAACAGAGCAGTTTTTTTATTCAAAATGCTAGAGAAAGAACAAATTCAACAATGGCTTGATGATTTGATACCAAAGCTCAAAAGAAAAACGACAAGAAGTCAAAGATGCAGGCTGATTAGGTCGGTCGAGCGACAAGTTTTCAAGAAAAATGACTTTATTGATTGTACGTGGGTTTGCTTTCAATTCAAAAGAAACCAGCGTGGCGTTCTCACTGGCTTTGTGTTCGACCAAGAATGTCAAGGAAAAAAGAAACCTCTTACTTCTTGGCCGGCGACCGCTTTTCAAAATCACCTTATAGAACGAAACAAGTTTCTGCTCGGAAAATTAATCTTCAAAGACCAAGTTCGCGAAGAAACAGCATCTTGGATTTCTCATGGTTCCAACTTCCTTGACGAGTCTGGTGGAGAAGCTCTCGTTTGCAAAGAAAACACTGCCTTCAACGCGCTTTATCGAATTCAATGTTTTGATCCGGCTCTTTTTACAGACAAATTCCGAGATAAAATGCTTTTCCGAATCAATCTTGCTTCTGATTTCAAAAAAGCATCAAATGCGAAAAACAGACAGGAAAATTCAATCCCGGTTCATAAAAATGTATTGAAAAATATTGCCAACATCGAGATCTTCCATCAATCCGATGAGCAATTGGTCGACTGTCTCGGCTGGATTACAATCATGGAAGAAGGAAATCAGAACTTGCGATATCTTCTTCGAAGAAATAAGCTGACCATTGAAGAAAGAAGAGGGCTGGCAATTCAATTGCGCGATGGATTGAGTTATCTCTTCGAAATTGGACTTGAGCACAATGATCAGAAGCTCGAAAATATTGTCCTTTTCGGACCAGAGAAGACTCCAAAGTGGATTGATTTTGGTGTCATGCATGACCATACTGGCAGAGAGAGTTACCGGCAAATGGGTTACGTAAGAAGGGGAAGCAAGTTTCGGAATTATCAATCTCTAGCAAGTGGAACTCCTACGTACGAATCAAGTTCTTGGCGGGCCGCTGAAAAGTAAAAAGTACACTGTGACAATCGGTAAACGATTGTTCTTCTTTCTCTTTTGTGACTGGAAAACTGCATGGACTCTTTTATTCAAGCCGATGGATAGAGATGAGAGAACCAGGGTAACCTCTCTTCTAGAGCATTTCAACGCCTCATTCTTAACCACAAGTCGACAGTACTATACTTGGGATGTCACAGACGATGATTTTAATTCCGTCGTTGAAATCATCTCCCTTCCCCACTCATCGAATAAGTTCGTTTTGGACAGCAAGGTGACAAAATCAGTGCAAGTTTCCGAGCTGTGCCAGAGGCTCAAAAGAAACCTTCATCTCGACTTTAGAAATATCACTAAAAATGTTGTTGATCAGAAAGACTCAGATTTATGCGTTCCAGTTTCGCTTACCACTCTTATTCGATCAGCAATCAGAGAACGCTGTGGCTTATCAAATGTTCGGATCGTCGAAAAAGTCATGGATGCTTTTAGTGTCGAGCGAATTCTGTATTTTTTGACGATTAGAATTTATCCTCGAAGTTTGGCTGGAATAAACTTGAATCCAAATCGTCCTGAAATGGAGTGGCAAGCATTTAATAGTTTCGAAGATATCTTGGAGCGTATGATGAAGCCAACGTTTGCATACGAGCCTGGGTGGAACTGGATCCGAAGAGTTGTTATCCGAGACTTTTTGAATGCTCCGGATAAAATGAAAAATTTCTTGAAGAATGATGATTGAAATTTATTTTTGGGACGCGTTTCGGTCTCAGTGGACCTTCGTCAGCCCTAAGTACAGATTTTAAATGAAAGTTCAAAAACAGGAAAATCAGTCTCTCACCTAGAGTGGACAATTTCGAATGAAGGCAGAGATTGAAAACATAAAAACATACTTCGCTTTCGCGGGCAGATGTAATGGAGCGCCAGAAGAAAGCGAATTACAAATGCTCCATTACAGAAATTTAACTTCAGCGAATTTGATCTGCTTATTCAAGCAAGGATCATTTAACTTGATCGAAAACGCTTCACAAAGGACACGGTCTTTGTAGTACGGTTGGTTGGAGATAACAGAAATAAAGTTCTTTTCGAAACAGAATTTGGTTTTGATTAACGCTCTCGATGTAGTAGGCTTGTATTTTGGAGTGTCTGGCTCACTAAGATATTTATCATATTCCTCTCTGAATTTTGGACACTTCAAAGAGTGGAAAAACATAGGACTACGATAACGTGGCTCAAAATGTTCACGAATTCTAGTTCCAAGCTGTCTTTTTGTCTCCCCCTGGTAATCCGTTTTCCCACATGGACATTGGAAATGGTACACCACTCCACTTTTCTGCTCAATTGGTACCGGGCGCTTCCAGGTTGGGTGCAAACATTGTTCTATTCTCACTGTTTTCCAACAAAGTCTCAGAAAGAACTTCGGGGTAACTTTTTTAAGAATAGCACGCATTTTGCCGCCAATACTGTCGCACCGGGGACCAGTAAAGCTTGCGCAAAAATTGTGAACTATTTCCCCTTCCACTTTGTAATTCGCTTTCTTCTGGCGCTCCATTACATCTGCCCGCGAAAGCGAAGTATGTTTTTATGTTTTCAATCTCTGCCTTCATTCGAAATTGTCCACTCTAGGTGAGAGACTGATTTTCCTGTTTTTGAACTTTCATTTAAAATCTGTACTTAGGGCTGACGAAGGTCCACTGAGACCGAAACGCGTCCCAAAAATAAATTTCAATCATCATTCATGAGAGGTCAACACCGACAATCTTTCTTGAAGAAGTTCAAATTTCGCTACGAAAAAATACTTCTAGGCAGAAACTTCGTATTCCAGCGCCCGTTGTCTGTGACTGGAGCCATTTTTTCTCGGGGTGAAGTTTACCGTCATCAAATGGTGATGGACAGAGTGGAAAACGGCGAATACATTCTTCAAAATACACAGGAAGACAAGAAAAATCCTCGTTTGCTGCGGATCTCTCAGAGTCGAAAATATTTTCGGGTTGTAAATGGTTACTTAGAGTTTGTCAAGAATCCCTGTGAAAGAACTGATCAAACCTGGGAGGAAGATACTTGGTACCTCGGATTAGAAGCATATTCTGTTGAAATTAATTTTTAGTTACAGACTGTGACTAGAAATTAAGTTAAATAAATCATTTGAGCACTTCCTTTAACCAAGGCTGTTTCTTATTTTTTTTAATTTCGATTATGCAAAAGCAAGAAATGCAATAGCGAAGACCAATCGGCTGCCAATAAAATTATGGTTGCATATGATCTGAAAGAAGCATATATCCTTATTGATCCTTTCTTCTTATTAGTTCAAATAAAATCTAAACGGAAATTGGTTCATGAATTTTAGTGGATTCACATTATTGCCTAGTAAATGTTTATTTATTTGTGTCAAAATATATTTGACGCATCAATATTTGCGACCAAATACGGTGCTTTTTTACCTCCTTGAAATTTCAGTTCCTCCAAAATGCGAGTTTTCTTACCTTTTTTCTTGTCTCTCTGCTCCGCAAGAATTTTGATCGCGGTAGAAATGTGTCTCTGCCGATACAAATGGGCGAAGTCGGAAATTTTCATCAGAGAGCTCTATGCAAAATTTCAAGAAAGAGGAGTGAAACCTGACGTGATTCAATTCGCGGAAGAGGTGATTTTGCCGGCGGAAGTTTTGGAAAATGGCGACTTGTTGCTTGAACCGCCGATGAGTTTTGCTGGTCTGGCGTCGGATATTCGACCAGTAAGATTGCGCCCTATGATCTTTCTGTAAAGATAAATTCTAGTTTTTGGAAGAAACGGCTGACTACGATGCTACAATATTGCTCCACGATGCTGTAACATCCGTTTCTGTCGATGATTACATCCGAGCAGTTGACTTGATCGGCGAGGAAGCTACAATTTACCCAGTTGCGATCGGAGAACTCAGTCGGCCACGGACATCGTACTCCCCAAATGTTGAGAAATTGAGCATCCTTGCTGATACTCAACTCTCCGAGGCAAAAGTCTTCGGTAAGCGAGATTAATAATAATGCTTGCGACTTATATTATTTTAAGATTTGAATAGATACGGCGAGGCAGACAAACTGATCGAGATTATTCTGCAATAAACAAAGGAAAACACTATTTTCACCTTGAAAATCAAAAGAGAGAATATATTTTTTTCAATCAGAAAAAGAGTTTTTTATATTCGGAATTTTACTTTGGACAGTTTTTGCCGTTGTTGCCTTCGTTGGTGTTGTTGCAGTTTTTGTCATTGTTACCATTGTTACCGTTGTTGCCATTGTTAGGTCCGTCGACGCAGTTCACATTTTCGGGCCAATCGCAGACAAGGAGTTCAGTGTTGAATTGGAGGCCACTTGGGCAGTTCATGGTCCATTCAATGCCATTGGCGCAGGAGAGGTACTTGTCACACTTGGTAGGGTGGGGATGGAGGCCATCAGCGCAACCTTCAGCAGGTTCTTCCTCTGGCTTTTCGGTTGTGGTGGTGGTTGGTTCTTGAGTGGTCGTAGTTGGCTCACCGCAGTTGACATTATTCGGCCAGTCGCAAACCAAAAGTTCAGGGTTGAAGTGGAGTCCAGCAGGGCAATCCATGATCCACTCGTTGCCATTGGCACATGAGAGGAATTTGTTGCACTCGGTGGGATGGGGATGAAGACCATCGGCACATCCAGCTGGTTCTTCAGTCGTAGTCGTTGTTGGCTCTGGAGTCGTTGTTGTCGTGGTGGTAGTGGTTGTAGTAGTTGTTGTTGTAGTAGTAGTTGTGGTGGTGGTTGTGGTGGTTGGTTTTTGAGTGGTAGTGGTTGGCTCAGGGGTGGTTGTTGTCGTGGTAGTTGTTGTTGGTTCTTCAGTTGAAGTCTGAAGAAGGCATTCCGCATTGCAGCTGAAATCAAACCAGCCGCATTCAGCAAGACACTTTTCAAGATCAAATTCTGGAAGCTCAATCTCCGGGAAGGTCAGTTCTCGAGTCGTAGTTGTGGTAGTGGTTGTGGTGGTCGTTGTTGTTGGGATCCACTCGAGACATTCGGCAACGCATTTGAGGTCGTCGCAAGTTTTAAGACACTCGTACTTGGGGAATTGGACGTGGCACTTGACGGTGTTTGGGAAGGCGCACATGCTCTAGAAATGCGTTATAAGAGTCAAAGGGGTAAGTTTATTACTGTTTCAGGGTTGAAAAGGAGGCTTCCGGGGCAAGTCAAGTCGGGAAGGCGCTTTCCGTTAATGCAGGTGTAGAACTGGTTGCAGTTCTCTTCGTGGGGGTAGATTCCATCTTCACATGGCTAAAAAGACCATAAGTTTTATTTCAACCAAAGATGTTGGGCAAAAAATGGCCTTTCTTAGCTGGTTAAACACATAAATCTCTAGAGTAGAAGTTATTTAATTCGAAGAATATTTTACCTTCCAATTTCGATACAAGCACTTTCCACAATCAACCAAGTTCTCCCGGAAATCTCCGTCGAGGCAAATGTCCTTGCAAGGAAAGATCAGTCCATTAGGCAACTCAACACCTGGAAACTCAATGATTCCAACAATGTCCTCAATGTTCAAATCTCTTGGCGCTCTTCCCGCCTGGGAAAGGCCGATAAAACCGAGTGCCAGTTTCATTTGTCGTGGTTTTTTGATATTTTGAAATTTTGAAGACCTGCGGTTGAATTTTATACAGTCTTTTTGCGTCAGAAGAGCAAACGTTTTAAAATGTTAGCACTATTTGACCTGCTGAGATTTTGTGATCGCAACGAGAATGTGAGCTTCCGTATTTTTTTTTGACGCAAAAGAAGATCGCGTGATTTTTTTTCCAGAACAGTACAAATGAACAGACATTTGCAAAATTATGAATGTGAAAAATATTTTTTTCCATTTGAATGTTTTTCGTTACATGGATGTTTCAGTGATCGTAAAAACTAACAAAAAGTTGATTGAAATTTTCTTAATTTTCAATTAAAGAATCTTTCAGAATTCAGCTACCTGATGCTTTTCGATTATTATGATCCACTTCCGGCGAGCCAATTCTCGTCGGAAACTTCACCGCTTCTTCGAATTCTAGCGCTTTTCTTCTGAAAAGGTCATCCTTCAACTTGCGAAAGAGCGTCCACTTCTTGAGTCTATTTTTCTGGTCGAGGTGCTTTTGGAACTCGCGGATCAAATAGACGGCGTACAGTAAAAGGGGAAGAATAAGCGAGAAGAAAATCATGTCTGTTGCGTTTCGCGTGCCATGAAGATGGTCTAAAATTTTATTGAGTAAATTTAATGTCGGTGGAGACAAGGAGGTGTAAAAAATAAAATCATAAGATCATGAGAGATTCCACTCATGAATCACCATAATAAAAAGATATGTTAAAAATTCGGTGGAGTAGAATAAATTAAAAAGAAGAATCTTACCGACTTTTACAATTTTGTATGTTTCGTTAACGAAGTAAATTTTATCAAGTATTTTTTCTAAAAATATTTTTATAACTTGAGGTCGTGCTATGACCCTTTTAGACAAACTTTTTAGTCTGAAAAAGAATGAGGCCATCTTACCACTTTGTCTCTGTATAGCTTTATCATCATTTTCCATTCAAAAAACCCTTCTATTTTCTGATCCCGAGAAGAAAAAGTGATCCCAGGCTGCTGAACTTACTACTCTTTATTTGAGTGGCCTCCTCCTTCGCGTTGCCCTCCTCCTCCCTTGTCAAAAGTAAAACGCTTTTCATGTTTCGGAATTTGTCATTTCGCTCAATTATTCAATTCGCAAGTTTATCCCCTTTCTCTTTTTATCTTTTTTCGCTTCAATTTCACTTGTCAGGAAAAAGGGGAAGATATGTGGGGCAAGAAATGAGGGAAGAATATCTGGAGCAAAGTCTGTAATTAGCACCTTGATTAGCCAGCGTGATAAAGAATCGATCTTAAATTGAAAAGATGATTTATATCAAAGACGATTTTTTTCTTTCAGAAAATGGGTTTTTATTAGTCGAAATAATGACTTTCTGACACAAGAAGCTTCAAATCATTTTGGTCTTCTGATTCTGATGCTGCTTCAAAGAACAGGTGGTTTTCAGTCCGTTTCATTTTCGTCCAGTTGAAAGGATTCAGGGCTCTTAAGACGATTTTGAAGTAGGATTGATGAGCCAAAATGCCTAAAATAAAAATTTGTTGAGATAAAATTCCAAAGATATAAATTTTATCTTAAAATATGGTACCTTGAAGGAATAAAAGTGCAAAAGAAATATTCATTGTCGGTTTTCAGTACGTTCGTTCTGGATCTTTTCGTTTTTATACATTCATATCTATCAAAAATATATGATTTACCAAATGGTTAATGATGATGAGCGTCAAATTTATTGGTGGGTCACCAAATCATCCATTATCTTCCAGGAAAATCGCAGAAAATAGCCTATTTTTTAATAACTAAAAAGAAAACTTTTTACTAAAATTTTTTCGAGAGCTTTATTTCTTTATCTCCAATAGACAGGTTTAATTAAGAACGTTGCAAAAAGGTTTATCGTTTTCTGCGGGAAAAGGCTCGTCTAATGCAACTTGTCCTTCTCCGGATGATTAGATGTTTTTACCTGCCGTTATCGGGAAGACTCGGGAAGCGTCACTTTTTTATCAGTAAGTAGGGTTTAATCCGCTTTAAAAGATTGCAATTGTGGAATCGTTCGTAAGAGTGTCTTTTTGACTTTATTTGAACTCGAATGCTTCATGGGTTAGCTGCTTGCGGAAAGAAAATAAAAACAATCAGACAATCTTATTAATTTAATGGCTATAACTTTTACCTAGGTTCTACGCGGAAAATTGCGTGATGCCTATATTTATAGGCTCTAAATAAGGTGACCCTCAGAGAAATATCTAACCTTAAGGGTGTCAACAACGATCTTGAACAACCCAATTTAAGGTACGTCTACCGGGGTCAAAAGATGGCTGAAAATCGTTGTTGACACCCTTAATTGAATTAAATTTATTTCTCAACGTATTTTGAACCTTGAGTGATTTTTACGCTAAATTTTTGAAATCGGCGTAACATCCAGAGCTTTGAGAAGAAAATGAAAAAAAAACAACCGTTGAGGTACTATAAAAACGGTTACAAAATAAAATTTCTTTAGGATAACTTCGTTCGTTTATCACCTCACTCGTTGGATAAACCATAACAGAAATGATTTCTAAAACCAACATTGCGAAAAAACCTGAAAGGCGATCTACTCGATCCCATCTAGTATTAAATTAGATAACGCTATAATTCGCGATTAGGTGCTCCCGCGGCGCCCCCACGCAGCGCTTATCAGTTCCTATAAAAGCCCAGCGCCATTCTCTTCAAAATCATCTTTTTTACTTTTTTATAACTTGTTTCATATACTTGTAAGAAAGAAATATGAAACTCACACAAGCTGTACTCATCGCTTCCTCCCATGCTGCCTGGAAGGATCGATGGCAAACAATCTTAGAGAAAAGACAAAACGGACTCTCGCCGAGAAATGGAGGATCCGACACTGATGCACTTTGCGTTCAAGACGTTGTTGATGAGACGGACAAGTTCCCGATTGAAAATGGCTCATGGGAGTGCGACGATGCTCCAGACGGAAAAGGAAAGGTAAAGTGTGTTGGAGTCTGCGATTCCGGCGAAAAGCAGTGGAAAAAAGCCGAAATCAGCGCCAAATGCAAGCCAAACGGGGCGCAAATCAAGAAGAAAATCCAAGGTAACCTGAAATGCGGAGAAGTCGTCGATGAATGTGCCGAACTTGTGGATGCAGCAGAGATCACCATGGGCTCTCTTGAATTCGTCAGCAGTCATCCTAAAAAGGGCAACACTTACAACCTTGTCTGCGAAGATGGTGTGACACTCGGCCAAGTCCAGTGCAAAAAAGGAAAGCTCTCTTCCAAGAAACTCCCCGACTGGGAGACCGCTTGTGATCGATATGTCTGTGATGCTGCTGATGCTGTGGAAGAATTCCCCATTGGACCTGGAAGCTGGAACTGTGGCCAACTCAAAAAGGGCAAATTCAAGTGCAAGGCCAAGTGTGACTGGGAAGATTCGGACCCAGTCAGGTTCCAGATTGAATGCAGTGAGAAAAACAAGGGATGGAGAATCAGCAAGAATCCCAAGTTTGCGGAAGACGTTTGCGAGGAAGAAGTTTTCACGACAACAACAACCACAACTACCACTACCACTACCACAACAACAACTACAACCACAACTACGACAACGACCACGGAAGCGCCAACAGATCCTCCAACAGAGCCTCCATCAACTACAGTGGTTTTCCATTTTAAGAGCGCCCAATTTAAGAGCGCTTTTGTCAAGATTTTGCGAATTTTGTCATCCGCTGAGATTCCAAGAGCGTTTTTGGATATTTTTCATGAAAATGAGAAAAATTAAGATTTTGGTGAATCATTTGCCGAAGAGTTGAATATGTCCATATATATAGAAAATGAACTCTTAGGCATGTCTTCTAAATCATGTTGGTTCGATAGCGCTCTATAACTTGGTTTTTCCTGCATTCTTTAAAACTCTCCTCAATAGTCTTCGATAAATGATTCGGGTCTTTTGAACGAGAATCAACTCCTGATAAGAAAATGTTAATCAGGTTCTTGCAAAATGAATATCAGTTATGTTGAGAGCGTTAAAACTGGGTATGGTCGTCCTTGAGCATTTGCAAATATAGACTTCATACCGGTATAATTTTGCAAGGTTATTAAAATAAATTTCTAGAACACATCTAAAAGCTCTTACAAAAAGGCCCAAAAAATTCGAAACCATAGATCTTATTCGAAATCCAATATTTCTTCCTTCAAGGTCCATTCTGGCGCAAAGATTTGAAATTTCTGACGGAAAAATAACTGTCATCCGGCCTTGATAGAAAAATTTCCAATTTAAGAGCGTTTTGAGCGACCATTGTCATCTAAAAAACGCTCTTAAAATGGAAAACCACTGTACCACTTCCACAACGGAGACAACAGAATTCACGACCGAAGAACCAGAAACAACCCCTACTGTACCTCCAGTGACAACCACTCCCTTCGTTCCATCTACCGAGGCTCCAACCGATCCCCCAACCGATCCCCCAACTGAACCACCAACTGAGCCACCAACTGAGCCACCAACTGAGCCACTAACGGAGCCACCAACAACTTCCGCCTCCGAGTTTAAAACCCTCACCGACCATATCACTGCCGACCTTGACACCTGCACCAATGCATCTAACTTCCCCACCGGTGGCAAGAAAAAGAGGGCAAAAATGTCCAAGATCGTCGATGGAGTTACAGCTGGCGACAACGAGTGGCCCTGGATCACTCGACTTTTCTTGCGAGAAACGATTGGTAGCGGCGGTGGATTCCGATGCGGTGGTAGCATCATTCACACGAACTGGGTTTTGAGTGCTGCTCATTGCTGCGAGGACATGGCGGAGATCTTCGCCACTTTTGGCGATACCCGCGACGACACCTCTGACTCAGACGAGTACACTCTTCAGTCAACCACGTTTTTCAACCATCCAGAATATGGAAACAGCTCCGACGGGACCGGATCCAACTCCGATTGGTGCCTGATCAAGTTCGACCAGGACATCATCGCTGCAGACCCAGAGGGAAAAACAAAGATTGCATGTCTTCCAGACGCGGAGCCAGATCACGGCGAGGCCTGCTGGGTCGCTGGATGGGGAACCACTTCTTCCGGTAAGAGATGAAATTAATATTTGTTTTTAACTTTTCGCTAAGGTGGATCGACATCAAGCACCCTCCAATCTGTCGGAGTTAACTACATGAGCCAGGATTACTGCAAAGCCAAGAGTAACATTAGCTTCTTGGTCGCCGATGACATCTGCGCCGGAATCCCCGACCTCAACGATGACGGCAGTACCGATGGCGGCAAGGACTCCTGCCAGGGTGATTCTGGTGGACCTCTCATCTGTCCAATCAACGGTCGAGCCACTCTTAGCGGTGTCGTCTCCAGAGGAACAGGATGTGCCTGGCAAGGATTCCCTGGTATTTACTCTTCTGTTTTCGTAGCCAAATCGTGGATTCAAGAAACAATTGCGAATAACTAAACAAACTCTGTGCAGTATTTTTTATACACAATACTTACCACGTTTACTAACAATACTCTTTTATACGACTTCAATAAAAAATATCGATTCGTGTTAAAAATATCCACTCATGACATTGTTCAAAAGCGGTCATTGCTCCTTAATTCTATAAGACCCGAGCAAATAGCAGACAACGCATAAAATCCATTACAAACTCGCCTTTAGCTGCTCAAACAAGCCCCGGAAGACTAAAATGCTCAAAACCAGAAAAACGAGTAGAAAATGAAGCTTTTGCCTTTTTTCGCCGGTTGTATTTTTGCCGCTGATGTTTGCAAGGACGCTGCAGTTTCGACATGTAAATTTGTGATTGACGAGATTTGCGGGTCGAATGGAAAGACGTATTTGAATGAATGCGTTTTTCAGAAAGCAGCGTGCTTTGGAGAAGAAGATCTCTCAGGTTTTTGTCAATTCTAGAGCCATGTTTAAACTTTTCTAGTTGCGTATAAAGGCGCTTGTTGCCCAAGCTCCTGCCCAAGCGAAATCAAGGGAGAGTCACCCTACAGATCAACCTGCGGAGTCCTTTATCCAAACGACTGCGAGTTTTACCGCCAAAAATGTCTCCTTCGACGAGCTTTCGACAAAATCATCGATTCTGGAAATGCCCCTGAGGGTGACCTGCAAACAAGCTTGGATAACTTTGAAAATGTTCGACGATTTTTCGGAACTGGCGACTGCGAGCTCCCTGAAACTTGGGAGGAACTTCTCGAAGATTTTGAAGATGTTTTTCTTGAATATAATGATTGAGAAGATTTCCGCTGGAAATTTTTTGCTATGAATAAATTTTATTCTCATCTGATATGGCTTACTCTTTCAAAAATGCTGAATTGACACTAACAAGTACTCAAATACATCTCATTAAAAAGCGAAGCTTTTCGCCTTTTTTATTGCCGCACAAGTCATAATTTTCAAAAGAGAATAGCAACAACCTTGAGAAGTGATAAAATATATGAAATTTATAAATTTGTGTTATTAATAGCGTGATGTATTCTTACTATAAATTACCTTAAAAGAATGGCTTTCGAGTTAAAAAATATAAAGAAATCGTTAACTGATCCGGAAAGACGCACATCTTTAATTTTTTTGACTTTATTCTGTAAGTACCAATCTTTATCTCTAATAAAAGGCTGATATTAAAAGCCTCTCTGAAGGGGGTGGTGGTCGAGAAAATTTTTTTGGACTTTTTAAAATTTTGATATTATTCTTAGATTCCTTGATAAAAAAGGAGCATTTTTGGTCTCTAGCTTTTTTTGATTGGACCAACTTTATTTAAGAAAATTTTCGATTTTATACTTTGAAATCGCCATTTTCGGGTGTTTTTCTCACTAAAACCGATTCAAAATTGTTTTTTCATTGCGAATTTATGTTTCTTGATCATATATCTTTTCGGGTTGACTTCGTTAATAGATCATATGATTTTGTATCGAACGTTTTCGTTTATTGGATAAACTTCATCAGGATACTAAACTTAAGATGAACGAAAAAGAAACAGAGGAAAAAGAATACTTTTATGTTGAGAGAGCAGTGTGAAATTGCTAACTGAGGAAAACAGAAAAACAAGATCAAAAAATGGCTGTTTTTAGTCGAGCGCCAAGGTGGCCCAAAACATCTATTTCTTGATCATATTTCATTTATAAAAATCTAAAAAAATTACGATTATTGTGATGTTTACGAGAATTTCATTGAAAAATGATTGAAATGACGATTTTTTCAGAAAACAACATATTTTCATTCAAATACTATTTTCTTTTCTAACTGGGTGAACTTTGTAAAACTAAGCCGCCCACACGCACAAGGGTTTAAACTTTCCTCTCGGTAAGTTTTATTCCGAAAAAAATATTAAGGGGATCGAGTTTTTTAGGTCAAGAGATTGGTCTACTTTGAAGGAATTTTTCACCATTTTTTCGAAAAAATATTTTTTTCAAACATAGCCGCCCACATAAATTGGACCCTTTTTAACTTATTTTCAATCAGAGAAAAAAAATTTTTTTTGAAAAAATTGAAGTTTTTTAGGTTGAAAAAAGTCTTAGTCTCGACCACCACCCCCTTAATAATAAGAGACTCTCGAATTGAAGAAACCTGAAATTTTTTTCTATCGTCATAAGAAGCTTTTAACATGCATTTTTTCAGGTGGAGGATTGGTTTTCATTGGACTACACATTTACAGGTGATGGCTCGGCAACCTGCGTCAGGGCTTCTTTTGGACTCTGACTTGAGGTTATGACTTGAGGTTGCCGAGTCGAGTTAAAGATCGCTTGACGGCCTTGGCTTTAAATGCGAACACACAAAAATGAACGAAACCATCACGAACCAAATCCTCGAAGACAAAGTCTACTGCGAGGAAACTATGATGGTTGGTAATTTACCATATTGTGGTTGTTATAGTTTGGTTCTGAGTCTCAGATACCGGATCTCCTAAAAAGCGCAATCTCATGGGAGAATTAGTAAAAGTCAATGTCAAATACTCCTTTTTAATCAAACGTAGCCCGATCTCCGCGAATTCATAGACTCTAAGCGAGACAATCACACCTGGTGCGGCTTTCTTCACGACAATGTTGGTCACCAGAAGACAAGAGCAAAGTCGCCGATTTATGCTTGCTTTCCAGCCGTCCCAGCTGACATGCAAATCCAAGTGACTTGCCCGATGAACTCAACAGTTAGGACCGGACAGGATCGCCGTTTAGGATGGACAGTCAGCCGATGGTGTAATAGCAATGGAACTTGGGATATAAGCAGCTCCCTGCTCCGGACTCTTTATTTTATTTCTGATACTTTCGAGAGTAACTATTAAATTTCTCTGTTCAGGAGAGAGAAGGAGACTGCGGATGCCACTACAACGAGAATTGGCAGAAAAGTCTATTCAAATTGATGCTTCCTTTAATCATTTTCACTTTCTTTACTCTCTGCGCTTACATTCTTAGAAATCGAATTTCGGATTCAATCTGCTCTTTTCGGCGGAACAGTCAATTCAGCCCCGATCCCTTGATTCTGGACTCACCAGGACGAGAAAATTGAATAAATTAATGATATTTTTTCTCTAGTTTTTTGTTAGAAATTTATTGCGATGAGTAAATTTTTCCGCAGAAAATTGCAAAAACCAACAAAACAAATTTTTTGCTCGCTGCAGACTTAGCAGTATCGGTCGGCGATGGAGGCCTTGATCTTCTTGGCAGATGGATGACTTATCTGGAGACGTTGCCTCGTCCTTCGCAGACAAACTTCCGTGCGAGCGAGTTAATTGCTCGGTTAACCTGTTGATTGAGTCGGCAACCGAAATCAAGGAAGAGTCACCCTACAGATCAACTTGCGGAGTCCTTTATCAAAACGACTGCGAGTTCTACCGCCAAAAATGCCTCCTTCGACGAACTTTCGGCAAAATCATCGATTCTGGAAACGCTCCGGAAGGTGATCTGCAAACAAGCTTGGTTATTAAACTTCGAAAATGTTCGACGATTTTTCGGAACTGGCGACTGCGAGCTCCCTGAAACTTGGGAGGAACTTCTCGAAGATTTTGAAGATGTTTTTCTTGAATATGATGATTGAGAAAATTTCTGCTGGAAATTTTTCGCTATGAATAAATTTTATTCTCATCGGATAAGGCTTATTCTTTCAAAAATGCTGAATCGACACTAACGAGAACTCATTGAGTACTACTCAATTACATCTCATTAAAAAGCGGAGCTTTGCCTTTTTTATTGCCACACAAGTCAGAATTATCAAAAGAGAGTAGCAACAACCTTGATAAATGAAAAAATATGTGAAATTTATAAATTTGTGTTATTAATAGCGTGATGTATTCTTACTAGAAATAATCTTAAAAGAATGGCTTTCGAGTTGAAAAATATAAAGAAATCGTTTACTGATCCGGAAAGACGCACATCTTTACTCTTTTTGACTTTATTCTGTAAGTAGCAAACTTTATCTCAAATAACAGGCCTTTCTAATTTATAAAAAAATCTAGAATTGAATGAGCTTGGAATTTTTTCTCGTAATTTAAAATATTAAAACAACATCTCTTTAGGCGGGGGATTGGCATTCATTGGACTACACATTTACAGGTCATGGCTCGGCAACCTGCGTCAGGGCATCTTTCGGAGTCTGTCTCAGGTTTTGCACCTTCTAGATAATTTGCCGAGTCGAGCTAAAGGTCGGTTGAGGGCCTTGGCTTAAAATGCGAATACACAAAAATGAACCAAAACATTTCGGACAAAATCCTTGAAGATAAAGTCTACTGCGAAGAAACTTTTATGGTAATTAAAAACCATGAGGTTGTAGTCTAAGATGCCTCGCACCCATGGTCGAATTGTTCACAATAGTCTTAATCAACGTAGGCCGGTCTTCGCGAATTCGCTGAATACAGCCGAAATAACAACCAGACCTGGTGCGACTAGGTTGCCGAGTCGAGTTAAAGGTCACTTGACGGCCTTGGCTTTAAATGCGAATACACAAAAATGAACCAAACCATCACGAACCAAATTCACGAAGACAAAGTCTACTGCGAGGAAACTATGATGGTTTGTTATTCACTACAATGAGGTTTTTATAGTTTTTTTTTGAGTATTGGATACCGGATCTCCTTAACAGCGCAACCTCGTGGTAGTATCAAAAATAAATGTCAAATACTCCTTTTTCATCAAACGTAGGCCGATCTCCGCGAATTCGTAGACTCTAAGCGAGACAACCACACCTGGTGCGGCTTTCTTCACGACAATGTTGGTCACCAGAAGACAAGAGCAAAGTCGCCGATTTATGCTTGCTTTCCAGCCGTCCCTGCTGACATGCAAATCGAAGTGGCATGCCCGATGAACTCAACAATTAGGACCGGACATGATGGCCGTTTAGGATGGACAGTCAGCCGAACTTGTAATAGCAATGGAACTTGGGATGTAAGCAGCTCCCTGCTCCGGACTCTTTATTTTTTCGAGAGTAATTATTAAATTTCTCTGTTCAGGAGATAGAAGGAGACTGCGGATGCCACTACAACGAGAATTGGCAGAAAAGTCTATTCAAATTGATGCTTCCTTTTTCACTTTCTTTACTCTCTGCGCTTACATTCTTAGAAATCGAATTTCGGATTCAATCTGCTCTTTTCGGCGGAACAGTCAATTCAGCCCCGATCCCTTGATTCTGGACTCACCAGGACGAGAAAATTGAATAAATTAATGATATTTTTTTGTCTAGTTTTTTGTTAGGAATTTATTGCGATTAATAAATTTTTCCGCAGAAAATTGCAAAAACCAACTTGCTGCAGACTTAGCAGTATCGGTCGGCGATGGAAGCCTTGATCTTCTTGGCAGATCGGATGACTCGTCTGGAGACATTGCCTCGTCCCTCGCAGACGAACTTCCGTGCGAGCGAGTTAATTGCTCGATTGACTTGTTGATTGAGTCGGCAATAGTCGTCTTCAGAGAATACGCTGACATCCTCTTCTTCAGCGACATATCCCTCTGGGTTGCAGATGGATTCATCAGTGAAAGAGGGAGATCCACTGAGGATCAAGCCAAAGACATGGCCGATTAATCGGTTTCCATATCTCTTGTTCCTGGAGGGATTGCTCTCCTGAGTCTCAACCCAGTCAAGAAGTCGCATAGCATGGCTCTGAACGATATCAAATCGGTCTGGTTTGTATTCCTCAGCCTTGGCAACGGCTGCGAAAAGAGCAAGTCCGAACTTCATTTTCTCTCAAGTTATTTCTTTCTTACGTTTCTGAAGCCACGGTTGAGTTTTGATAATAACTCAACCGGTGGGTGGCGCAAGAAACTTGTGTTTAGCAAACCAAGGCAAGAGTTTAGAAATAACTCGGTCTTGTCAAGCGATTTTTTAGAAAAGACGAAGTGACACGTCTGCGGAAATACCGAGCGTTATCCCCATGATTGATTCTATAAGAAATTGATTTTATTCTAAAAGAAATCACGGATAGAAGTAGCAATATTCTTCATAATCAAAGGAATACCCACTTGGTAAAGATTCAAAAACTATCGGTCGAATGCAAGGTCCATCATGTCTGTTTATCACTTCCGAAGAGATTACTTTTTCACCATCCCAAGTTGCTCTTTCAACATAAGTTATGTTACATAACTAAAGTGCGTTCCTATCAAATTTTTAAATAAAGCTTGCTTACTTTGGCGCATAGCCGCCAAAAACAAGGAAGAATTCGCCGAAATGAATTGATGTCCCGCGATTATTCGGCTAAAGAAATCAAAAAAGAAAGGTTCATCTAACCTTACATGTATCAGAGCTCCAACATGGCTCCACTGTCCCTCCCGTAATAGATAGACATTCTTGGTGTTTCCCATTTGAGGACCATCGTATAAATATCCACCGATTGTGAGGACTCCGTTGTGAACTGAGATACACGTATGCGCAGCGATTTCGCGAAGATGAGAAACTGATTCTTGCCAACCACTTAATGGTTTTTCCAATTGCGAATATATTGTTCTGAATTTTATAAGAGCACCTTGATGCTAGTGTCTCTACTTGATTTGATCGTGTCGCTCCAATTATCATTGCTTTGTCTTCATACAGTGCCATACAGCCAAATTCATGTTTGACGCGTGTCGAACTGATAGCTTGAGTTGATTCTCCATCAAAACTTTCGCAAGAATTTGTCGTTCCGTGACATAAAATAACCACTTCGTTATTGAGTGTAATTAAAGATCCGGAACTCGCTTTGAATGAATTGAGAAGCTGTATTTTAGTATCTTCGATTTGACAGCCAGATAATTTAGCGATCTATTACATTTATGAATGAAGGGATCCTAGCTTCTGCTGAATCTCCCACTTCTAGCGTAGTTTGCCTGCTCTCTATATCTGGACGAGTGAAGAAAACGAGTAAAGTATCTTGACGTCTGTATTTCGAGCTGGAGTAAAATAGAGGTTAATTCACGAACTGCGTGAATTACCGAATGAAGAGAAATACACGGCGGCGACCGAGCAAAGCTCGATCTAGATAAGCAAGTGACCTTAGGGGACGAGGGAGTCTAACGAATCTAAGATCCCAATACCCCCCATGAGACTGAAACGTCCTCTAAGGCCAAAGTGTGTGATTTTTGCAGGAGTATAAGCGTAAGATGAGTAACATGGCAGGTTCGAAACGTCGAGGCAGTCTGATTCGCGTTAAAAAACCCTTTTTTGGGAAAAAGCTTGAATCAGATGCGAAGTTTTCGTGATGTCCGAGCGGTGATGACATGAAGGAGTAGCTGCACATGTAGAAGAACTCAAAATACGTCGGCGACGGTAAACTGTGATAATTTCCGTACCTTTTCAGGCCCCGGTCGATGAATAGGGGACCTGAGTGGGGCAGTACTTGCGCTTAGTCGTATGACTGACCCGAGTTTGTGCCGATGTTTAGAGGTTCGACGGGCCTCGTTTCACGGTGTGCTCGTTTTGTATGTTTCGGGAGATGAGCTGCTCCAACTTCGGTTAAAGTCGCATTCGGATCGGCGCCGGCTGAGTATTGACGATCTGGTGAAGACTTTGGACGGGTTCTTTTCTTGCTGTTTTCAGTTGCTGAGCCCTCAACTACTGTTGAATTATGTTTATCGACTGACATATGGCTATTGTCGGGCGCAGCAACCTCCGAAATCACTGTAGCATCAGCTGACATGTCCTCGGCAGTTTCATAAAGAGTACCACCAGAGTACCAGCGATCTGACGGCTCGGCTGGAGCTACCGACGAGTCCAAAATAGATGTAGCGGTTGTATCTCCCAGATTTTCCATGTCCAATCGGCGTCTACTTTCCAAAATAGGTGATAGAGATGATCTTGGCGGTTTTTCCATAGCAACCATCGGAGTCGACGCGACCTGAGAAGATTTCCTCCCCCCATGCGACTTCGACCCGGACTTTTCCATCGGTTTGGAAGTAGGAACAGGCGATTTTTGTGGGACTTTCGACTTAACGATTTCGGTTAAATGTGGGAATACGTACTCGGCCTCGTAGTAATCAATCCAGCGTAAGTCGTGATTTCGTTCTGCGGCGTGAACCACGTGTTCTCGATGGATGAAATCACGTTGTCCTTTTTTATCTTCGACCATGACGACCCAGTCGTTGCTCGAAACGGCTTTCAGGGGACCTACCCAGCGTTCCTTCTTGCTTTTAGCGTCGGTCAGGTTTTCTCGCTTAATGTACACGACAGCGCCAGCGGGGATTGGTCTCGGCTTAGGCTCGTTTTTCAGCCTGTGCTCCATGGCTCGGTCAGCAGCTTCCATCGCAGTTTTCACAATGGCTTCCGCCGATTTCGCTAAAGCTCCCACATTGAGACCAAACACCTGAGGTGTTTCCGCTGTCATTTCTGCGCCAGTAGAGTGGGTGAAAGTACTTTTTCGGCCAAACCAAACTTCTCGCGGTGAAATTTTCGTGCTTTTGTTTTTCACACTATTGAGCGCGCGCATCACGTGGGGAACGCAGTCGGCCCAAGTTTTTCGACCGGAAGATGAGTTGACCATGCAGAATAGACTGTTTTTGATAGTCCGATTCGCTCTTTCTGCGAAAGCGTTTGATTGAGGGTGAAATGCGGTACTTATTGTATGTTTTATCTGGTTAAGCTTACACATTTCGTCAATCACGCTTGCGCAGAAGTGGGTACCTCTGTCACTGTGTAGATGTTTCGGCAAGAAATCCATGGGAAGGAAGACCTTGTAGATGAGCGCTTTTGCAGCGCAGATAGCAGTGTCGGACCGCGTCGGAATGCACCAAGTGTAGCGAGAGAAAGTGTCCGCCACCACCAAATAATACTTGAATCCGCCAGCGGGAGGCATACAAGCGAAATCGATCTGAATCGATTCGCCAGCTGTTTTTCCACGACGAAGGGTTCCAAGTGGCGGTTTGGTACGAGTTCCAGCAGATCCTTTTCTGCGTAGGCAAGGGACGCAGCTGTGGACGTAGTTAGAAACATCGTCTTGAAATGAAGGCCACCAAACGTCCTCTAATCGCTCTAAAGTCCGCGGCTCGCCCAGATGACCGGACAAGTCGTGAGCTAGAAAGAGAAAGTGACTTTTACCGCTTCCGGTACCACCGCCCGCGCGCCAGATTTGAATTGACACATCAAGCACCCGGTAGTGTTATCCAGGAACAGAGCTTTTTCCATCTTGAGTAGAGACGATTGTCGGTGGTCGGAGTCCTTCACCAGCGATTTTATGTCCAGTGGCTCCTTACCAGATTCCAGAAAAGTGATGATTGCACTCAGAGCAGAGTCCTCCCTTTGATAGTCCAGAATGTTATTATAATTCGCTGACACCAACGGAATCTCCATTGGCGCCGCGATAGCCTTGACGTTTACCTTATGTATCTTCACCTCTGATAAAGTGATTTTCTCCGGAAACTGATTTTCGTTCCAGAAAGGGACGAAGACACGTACTGGTGAATTCTTGTCGATTTCGTACTCGCGACCAACGGGAAACTCAGAGTCGTATCCAAGTGATTTGTCGTCCTCGCCAGGTCTGCGGCTCATAAAGTCGGCGAATTGATTTTCTGATCCCTTGATGTAGACAATGTGAAAATCGAATTCTTCCAATCGGCTTTGCCATCGGCTTATTTTAGAATTCTTGAACTTCTTTTTGTGTAGGAAGATCAAAGATCGGTGGTCTGTGTGAATCTGAAAGAATCTACCTTTCAGGAGCTTTTCCAGTCGCTCGCAGCACCAGACAATGCTAAACATTTCCTTTTCTGAAGTGTTCCATTTTCTTTCAGCTTTGTTGAAGGTGTGGGAAATCGCGCTTACTAGGTGCACTCTCCCGCCATACTCTTGTAGCAGGACGCCACCCGCTGCGTACAGGCTCGCGTCTGTGTAGAGATGAAAAGACTCGTCAAAGTTAGGAAAACTTATGACTGGAGTCTCGGAGAGTCGTCGTTGAATTTCCTTGAGCGCCAAATCCGCTTCTTTGGTCCACTTGAAACAATTTGTTTCGTTCGCCGAATTTCGAACATCGTTTATGGGCTTCATTCTGCTCGAGAAGCAACCGGATGAAATAGCTTCGCCCATTTTCGTTTCTAGAAAACCTCGGATCCAATTCAATGACCCGATTAATGAAGCTAACTCCTTTTGGGAGCGTGGGGGTTTCATCTGACGAAGAGCGGAGACTTGCGCAGGGTCCGGTTTGATTCCATCTTCGTTGATGATTCGGCCCAAAAAGTGAGCTTCGGATTGTAGGAAAGAGCACTTTTCGCCCTTGAGTTTAGCGTTAAACTTGCGGAGCGCGATGAATAGGTTTCGGAGAGTGTTGTAATAGCAGCTGAAAGTCTTCCCAAAACACACTATGTCATCGATATAAGAAAGCATCTTTTTCCTGGTGGGGCTTGAGTCGAGAATTGTGTTTACGACGCGCGAGAATATATTCCCCGAGCATCGATAACCGAATGGTAGTCTGCAGAAGGCGTAAGATTTCCCACCCCACTGGAAGGAAGTCTTGTACCTGTCGCTTTTCTTTACAGGGCACTGCCAATATCCACTTCGTAGATCAACTGTGGCGAAAAACTTATTGCCCGGTCCAATGTTCGCAATCGTATCCTCCATGCTTGGGAGATGGTAAGGGTCGGATTTGTCGGAGAGGCATTTGTTCAGGCTGTTTTTGTAGTTGATGCAGAAGCGCATTTCCCCAGATTTCTTAGGAATAGGCAATACCGGGCTGTTAAACCCTTTCTGGTCTTTGATCTCTTCTATTATTTTCGTTTCGAGCAGTTCGGAGATGTGATCGCTGACCTGACCATGAAAAGCTTGCGGAATCGGGTGTTGACTGATGTTTCGACTCGTACCATCAGTCGGGATTTCGATCTCGAACGGGAATTCACCCATTTTTTGACCGTCGCAGCCGAATCTGTCGTCGAATTCCAAACACAGCTCGGCGACCACCTTCTTTTGCCCCGGGTCGGCGTTTGCTGGTAGGGTAATTCCGAGTTTTTGCTTCGCTAGCTGAATGGGGCACCTGGCTGCGTTCTTGTTAGGTGCGTCCAGCTTTGGGACTTTTGGTGGCGGTTGAGTGCGGGATCGATCGCTATCCTTGACCGCTGATCTAGTAGTCAAGTATTTCTTGATTTTGGTCCGCTTCACTCCGTCCAGCTTCACCACTTGAGTCTCAGTTTGTGTGAAGGCTTCGTTGTAGCAAAATGAGAGAGTACGATTCTTATTGTCGACTGTGAAGCTGTCCGTCATCGCATTCTCTAGTATATCGCGGCCCAGTAGACTTGGGTATTTACTGCCTGGCATAATGGTGAGATTCAGGGAGAATGCAGGGCCACCATTGAATGATAAGCGGCAGGGAAGGATACCCATCGGCTGCTCGGCGGGAATATTTGGGCTGAAACCGGTGACCTTGAAGGGACAGGGCTTCAGCATCTGGAGAAATTCGTCGGGAACGTAAGCAGCGGACAGACAGGAGGACTCGGCTCCGCTGTCGACTTCCATCGATACGTCAAAACTTTTAGAGCCCGTAATGATGGTAGCCGAAGCGAAATAAGCCTTTCCTGGTCGCTTCTTCTTCACTGTGTAAAAGTGAACGTCGAATGGTTGGAAATCTTCAACGTTCTTAGTCGTATTTATCTTCTTGGATTCTGGTTGTTTATCGTCTTTCCCATCCTTAGAATCGTTGCTGGCGCGCTTAGCATTCTTCTTCTTTTTGTTCTTATTTCTGTTGAAGTGCTGGGAGACGGTCGCGCTGTCAACTCGATTCTGTCTTGTGGATTGGGCGAGACGGCAGAGTTCGTTGATATCGTAAACTTTTGATAGGCTTGGAAGGATTGCGTTGAAAACGTCTGGTTCTTCTTTCCTAAGATTCAAGTACAGCATCATCGTCGAGAATATGTCAAATATTTCATCGACCCCGGCGTCGGCTGACTTCTCTTGTCGGTAAGAGTTCAAAGTCGCTTGCTTCGCCTCGTTCATCTTTTGCAAGACGTTGGCGGTGTAGTGTGCAAACGGCTTCGAATGGTCGTATTCGACGTCGAAAACTTCGCTTAGCTTCAGTAAGTAGTGACTCTTCGCGGCGAATGATTTCTCTAGCAGCGCCTTGGCCGATTTCCAGTCTTGACAATTCAGAAATTCGGTTCCAAGTGAGCGTTCGATGTTCAAGTCGAAGTGGCTGTACACTGCTGCGATGAAAGGCTGTTCACGTGAAGGTCTGTCGCGGACGTAGGCGCGGTGATAAATGTCGGCTCTGCCCAAGAAGGTGTTGAAAGATGTGTTGCATGCGGCGTCCAGCTTCGGCAAGTCTTGGACGTGACGAGACCAGGTAGTGGCCACCCATGCTTCTTCTCTCATTGTCGCATTCGTAGAGTCTTTTCCTTGATCGAGCTCGCAGGTAAGAAGCGTTGTACTGAGCTGTTCTAATTTTACTCTGCTTTCTGTGATCAAGGGCTCTAGGCTTGGCTTTAGTGATTCGTCATTTCGCACTTGTTCTTCGAGGTAGTTTACTCGATCGTTTATGCTTCTTATTTCGGTGACGGTTTCTAGCAGTGATTTGTTCGCCGCCATAGCTCGAAATATATCGGCAGTAAGGGTTTATGGGCCTTGGATTACCTTTCAGGCCCTCAGAAAATACTGCGACTAAAAGTCGCAATATGATGAGCTGAGGTGCCTTTTTGCGCAAACGCCCGACGATTTCTCTGTCCAGCGATTGTCGAAATTTCAAGGTCTGGTCCAAGGGTCGATTCTTCGTAAACTTCTCTCGATTTTTGGTGAAAAGTGGCGAAAGAATTATGTTTTTCTCAGTATTTTAGGTTTTCCCCGGCGTGCGTGCGTGGTTGCGTGGGCGCGACTTTCGGCGCGTGGGTCGTGGTGGCGCTCGTGTGGTGGCGCTCGCTCGGGGTGGTGTTGGTGTGGTGCGGCGCGGAAAATTCTCTGAGTGGAGTTTCTCCGGCGGCGCGGTGGCGGTTGGTGATTCGGTTCCCCTCGACTCCGCTGACGGCCAATCAGCGTCCAAGTTGCGAAACTTCGGTTGTCGATGGCGGAAAATTTACCTTTTCTCCAACGGGACTACTCTGATACCACTGAAGGGATCCTAGCTTCTGCTGAATCTCCCACTTCTAGCGTAGTTTGCCTGCTCTCTATATCTGGACGAGTGAAGAAAACGAGTAAAGTATCTTGACGTCTGTATTTCGAGCTGGAGTAAAATAGAGGTTAATTCACGAACTGCGTGAATTACCGAATGAAGAGAAATACACGGCGGCGACCGAGCAAAGCTCGATCTAGATAAGCAAGTGACCTTAGGGGACGAGGGAGTCTAACGAATCTAAGATCCCAATATGAACTTAAATTGTAGATAAAAACCTTTTTGGTCGATTGAGTTATTGAGCCAAAGAAATAAATTTCTCCTTTGAGCAAGGAGCTGCCAGATCCCTCCAGATACGGGTTTGTCCCATCAAGCGGGAAGTCAAATTGACGATCCTCCTAAAAACTGATATAAAACGAATAACGGTTTTTCATTTACTTTGAATTCTCCATCGGCAGAAATAATGTAGTTGAAACTTGCGTAGCCAAGATTCTCAATATTATAAGGCTGACTTTGGCAAATTACTGTAACGTGGGGCTGACAACTGTATCTGCTTCGGCAAGAGCAGTCTGCGGGACATTTTGTCATGCACAGACAAATGCTGTTTGAGCATCCATCGCAACCATTCGGATAATAGCGAAAACAAGGACAGGAGGAATAGCACTCTTCAAAATCGTTATCAAATATAAAATTTCCTTTAACCAGTGAATTGGGAAGAACACTCAATCTCACATGAAGCCGTACTACAATTACTAAGGCAAGTTGTATATTCTTGCGCACATTGATTGTAGCAGATTTCCCCGATTTCGGCATCGCTTTGAAAAAAAAAAGAAAAAAATTTTTTAGATCAAATCGTTCAAACTTACGGACAATCAGAGTCAAATCCAGTCTGCTGACCAAAAGCGAAAGATATTAATAAAATTTTTTGATGTAACATGGGTAGGCCCCTCGCTTAAAACCAAAAGTCCACCTACGAGAGCTCTGATTTAGACGTTTGTAGGCTCTTTTGAAAGAGCATTAAAATCTCTACAAGAAAATCTATATTAAAATTTTGCAAAATGATATTTAGGGTATATTTGCGTAGGTTGAAATTTCGACCAAAAATCAGTTTTTACGCTCTTAAAATTACAAATATAATTCTGCAAGAATACGACTAGCATATTCTTGATCAGCTTTTCATTCTCTTTCTATAGACCCCTCAATCGTCCGCATCAGAGATCTCGTAGGTGGTTTTTGAAAAAATGGAGCGTTTTTTAAGCGAGGGGCCTAAACATGGGTCTCTTGGGGAAAGAAAAGTCGCTTAAAATAGCATAAGAATACAAAGCAAATGCTAAAATGGTCGGCGAGTTCGACAAACTTTGAAGCCAGAGATTTTAATGAATAATGAATATTTTATTTGAACAGAAAACCTCGAGGAACAGGCAAAATCGGGAATCAGTCCCACTTTTCCGGAGCAATATGGCCAAGTAAGTAGACATTGTCATAATAATCTCCAACTTCGGACGTAAATTTTTCGCAGCTAGCATCAGCATTTTCAAGAGCTCGTAGAGTATTTTTGATAAACTTAATTTGGTAAATAAATGTCAATTCTTAAGGGTGTACCTCTCGTTTGCTCATCTTATTTCTTATTTGTCCCGCAAGGGCAAATTGATCAACGCTCAATAAAACCAGAGCATAGGCGATGATCGACACTCCATCAAAAGTCACGTGGGAGTCCTGAGCGTTTTGAGTCGAAAACTCTCGGGAGAAGATGGCGAGAACAGTATCCATTCGTTGCCGGTCGCCAAGAACTGGGACATGGAACATGGCGAAGAATTTTCGAAGACTTGTCGGCAAAAATTGATCCTGAAGTTAAATTTTTAAATTCCGTATGAAAAAACACAGCTGACCTTGAAATTCATCATTCCGGTCAAATGCTCCAAAACATCAGTGTTCTTCCTCAAAGTCAAAAAACTCCTGACTTGATTCCAATGAAGCCTTGTTGTACCATTTATAAACTGTGCGATTCCTCGCGAATCAGTTCTTTTCAGCAGCTCTTTTTCGTCAAGAAACTTGAGTCCCCATTCAGGCTCTACGTTGAATTGAACACATGACTCGTCGAGAAGGAGATACAAGGATTTCCAGCTTTTGGGCTTGTTTTTGTAAAGAGAATCGGGGATTTTCCAAGTTCTTTTGCACAGATTCTCCCAAACGGATCCATCTGAGCCGAGTTCAGACCAAACACAACTCGCGAGGGACAAGTCTGAAGAGGTTTTTTGGATAAAAAGAGCCATAAAAGATATTCAATAAATATATTTTTAGTCTCGAAATCCGAAAAAACATCATCTTTTGAACCCTCAGTTTCTGTCTCAATAAGTTATTTTCTACCTGTCGCATCAAGATATTTTAGAACTTTTAGCGATACTTCAGCTGGAAAGTTGCTCAAGTCACACGTTTTTGATTCTGACATTCTGAGATGTCGCAGAATGTCGGCGAAGCCATTCGCGATATAGATCTGAACATATTCACTGAGGTTATTTGATTGACAAGAAATATTATGCGCTCTTCATTTAACTTGTTTGTTATGAAATGAAATTCTAAATTTATAATGTCATATTAATATGATTGATTTATGTTATGCTTGAATTCATCTTTTTGAGAATAATGCTAAATGATTGATAATAACAAAGAATTAACGAATCTTGATCATAATTTAATTCATAATTAAAGCCCTAAATACCTCTGATATCTTATTCGAAATCAGCTGATAAGCGCAGTATCCAACTTGAACCAGGAAATCCCGTTCTCTGAGCAGCTCGCTCATGCTGGCAGAATATGACCCCTATCTTATTCAATTAGCTGAGGTGTCACGATCAGGTCTTCTGTTTTATCTTTTATGGCTGGCTCTCGGGAAAACAAAAGACTTGGAGGAATTCATGGAGAATTAGAAGTGATCGCGGATTGGACAAAAATGACCAATGAGCGAAAAGGTATGCCAAGTGCTTCTAGTAGTGAGACGTCTGAAAAGGTACCGACTGTTTTACAGTACAGTCGATGGTCTTCGGACAACAGCCTCTACTGTAGTACCTTACTGATTATTGTCGAAATAAGGGGGTCAATTTAAACAAGAAAAATGACTCTAGAATGCCTCAATTTTCATGGATAAAGTACAAGTACTCATCAGAGTCCTTTATTCAAAGAATAATTTTATACAAATTTATTATATTTACACAAATATATTCACAGGAGTTAAGGATTAATGCAGAGGTAATATATTGATATTGAACTTTGAGGTTTTATATAAAAAAATAATTCGGCAGTTTAAAATATTATCTTTACAAATAAAATTGAGCAGATTCTCTTCGCTTGAAAAGATTCATCAAACTTGTTCGAACCGGCTTCACTCGCATGGAGTAGAGTAGTGGGTTGAGTGATGAGTTAATTTGCAGAAGAGTGGTACCAATCATCGATATAATCGGAGAAGCTGAAAGAATTTTATTAAATTGATCTGGTTTTATGATTTCTGATTATTTTGAGCATAGTTACTGATGGAATATGCTGATGGAATGGATTTTATCCATCTCTTTCAGCATAATTGCGATCTCAAAACGCCTCAATCTTTTATTCTTATTCATAAAATTTTATATAACGAAGGAAAATAAGATTAATTTTCGAATAACTTAAGCGCTTTCTCAGTTCAAAATGACTGCTCATTTTTCTTACCAGCAAAAGTCGTCAAAAACGGAGCAAGGAAGAATCCAACTTGAGTCAAGAAAATCGTCGCAACAAGAAGAATCATCACTTCTCCAGCTTTTTCGGAAACGGTAAGGGCATCTCGTTTTGTTTGAAATTTGTGGATCATGTGGAGGGACTTGTTCGAGACGGCTAGGATCTTGTTCTTCATAACTTGGAAGTTGGATGAGGTCTTTTGGGAGTCGCCGGAAATTGATTCTTCGCAGCCAGAACCGGTTGATCCTGAAATTAATTTTGAAGAATTTGAAGATTGAGAAAACCCTAACCCTAACCCTAACAGTAAAATTAATTCCTACTGAGCTTTGTCGTAATACTAAGAGTTTTATCTTACCTTGAGAACAATATCCAGAAGAAAGAGTTTCCTGGCTCCCGCTTTCCAAATCGCATGAAGGATGCAAGATCATGTCCGCTTTTGAGCTGTGGATCACTTGATAGTTGAGTCGGGAAACGTCTGGCATTGAAAAACTCCGCTTTGGGGCCGCATTGATATTGGGGAAAATGATTGTCGATCGGCGGGCTCGGATCTTTTTCTGAGCCGCGATGGCGACTCTGGACATGCGGAAATAGAAGGTGGAGATGATGAGGATGCAGAGGATAAAGATGGCCAGGCAGAGAATCGAGTACCACCTTAAATTTTTTTGTAAAGAACTTAGAGATTTTCAATATGTTTCCGGAAAAATTCCGTCAAAGTCAACCTCAAAAAATATGTTTTTTCAAGCTCCTGGTTTCAAGGATTGACACCCTTGAAAAATCTTTAACAACCTTAACAACTTTAAAAGGCTTTAATTTGGAATTAATTTGCGAAGAGCGTCGCGCTGCTTCCGGCTCAGCGCCGGATAAGCTTGTCGGAAGTGGCTGGAATTAAGAGGATGAGGAGCGAGAAAAAACATTTTTAAAGATTGAAATTGATGAATTTTAGTGAAGAGAAATTTTCTCTTACCTTGGTGTTGCGGTGCCGAACGAGCAGGTTTCCACCGCTTCATCTTCTCCTTTTGCCAATTTTACGAGAAGAGGTAGTACAGACAAAATACAGGAGCATCCCCAAGTCGAGCCAATGAACATCTTGTTTGCGAGTCGACTTCTGCTGCTGCTGTTAGAAACAGTCAGAAACCGCTCGATTGAAATGAACACCAAGCCGAAGAGAGAAGCAAAGTGCGGAACTAAAAGGATTCGTTACATTTTGCTTCGCGTTTTCAGATCGATCAGTTCAGGTACATGCGCCCAAGATTCAAGGGGAGAGCATATGGGAGCCACTTGAAGGCTTTTTGAAATTGAAACAAGGGGATTTAGCTGACTGGAACGAATTTTTTTCGGTTCAATTTTGTCTTCTTGATTCTTACCTTGGATGGAAGCTAAAGCTCCGGAGCAAGCAATAACAGTCGAAAAGAAACCAATTCTAGCAGCAACTGTTAGGGGAATGCTAATCAAGCCGACACAAAGATCAGCTGCGGCCAAGGAAAGGATTAGCTCGTGCGACGACTTCCGGCGTAATCGGCCAGGGCCCAACATCCTGAACAAAATAAATGAAAACAGCGCCAAGGTCAGGGTCAGGGTCTTGACCGGGATTGGGATTAAGGGGCTTGGGGAGGGAAGGATTAGGAGTTATATAAAATAATATTACGCCTAAACATTTGTTTACCCAATTTTTACTGCTTGAAAAGTAAAATTTTATTTCTAAAATAAAAAATCATATTATCCTTGATACCCTTAAATAAGAGGAAGAGCTTGAACTTTTACGATGAAGGTCAAAAGTTCAAACTCACTCAGACTTCTCAATCGCCCCTAAACCCGCATGGGAATTCCTATTTTCGCCCTGCTGAACATATCGGTCCCTACATCGGGGTTACAACACAAGCAAGCGCGCTTTGTTTATACAAGAGTTGTACCCTTGACTTGCAATATCCCCTGCCTAAATAGGCCAACGAAAGGAATTGCGAAATTTTGGTCTTCGCGAAAATTGAAGGTTAGTTTACGCAATTGATTCTTATCGGAAGAATGACCTCAAATTGCCATTTTATTCAAACGGGCTCCTCTAAGTAATTTTTCTCAACTCCTTTCGACCATTTTAGCCAATAAATAATTTGTAGTTAAAAATAAAATATAAACAAAAATTTTTCTAAGACTTTCTATTTAAAATTTTTGAAAAGTTATATTTTTTTTAACCAAGCGGCTTCAAGATCAAATAAGAAATTATTTCATTAATCATTTCCTTAAAAATGACAATCATAAAATGGTTACCTGGTCAGTGCGAGGGCCACTAGAATATTGCCAACGACGATTATCAGCGACAGAAAACTCTCGATTCCGACGAAAATTGCAAGTGAAAAATCAAAATTATCCATTTTCCGATTTCAATATGTGTCTTTTTGACTCGGGAAAAGTATTGAATTACTCTACTGATTCTGCTCTTTGGAATTCTAGTTGGTCGAAAATTTGAACCTGGCGCCCAAGAAGCGTGCGCTCGCGCGACCCCCCAGATTGTTGGTCGCGCGCGCGAAGTTTGAAAAAAATCGATGATGGAAGAAAATGATAAGGGCTTAATGGGCGGATTATCGCTGCAAAATGCGAGCACTTGATTTTTGATTTTGTTGGTTTCGAATTCTGTTGGGTTATTGATCGAAAAAGGAGGATTAGCGATTATCCAATTTTGGATTTTCAAGTCCAAGAGTATCGAATCGCTGAAAAAATTGGGGAGAATTGAATTTGGTGAAGGCTTTTTTATTTAAAGAGCTAAATGAAAGGTTCACTTAAAATTGTAAAACAGTATTCAAATAAGACGTATAAAACTATGAGAGAATAATTTTATTTGAGAAAATTTTCCTCTTTTGAGTCTAATCTTTTCGGGCATTCTGAACGCAATCCCAATTAAATATCTCGCACAAGACTCCAGAATGTGCGCATTTATTTTGTGAATTTTATTGCTAAATAACTTAATTTAAATGGCGATCAAGTAGTAAAATTTCCAATCAATGGACGCATCAAGCTGCAAGGTGGTACTTTGAAGTTTTGAGACTCGCGCTTTTTATTAAAAAAAAAACAAGAATATTGTCTCGTGTTCACTGTCTACTTTTCATTCTCAGGATAGACCTTGTCTACCGTTTTTAAGGGGATAGATATCAAGAATCGGATTTTTTTGTAAGTGTTTTCTCAACTTTTTAATAAAGTGACTCCCTTATTTTTCTGCTAAAAATTTATTTCAGGCAATTATCTCTTTCCGATTGTCGTCTAAATGACCATTTTTTGAAAGTTAGCGATCTTTGACGATAAATTTTGTTAAAAATTTTTTGAAATTCAAGATTTCAGCGTCCATAGGAAATAACCAAAGGTTGAAAGTTTTGTTTCCAAAGTAAAATAAGGCTGTTATTATTTTAACTTTGGGAGAAAAATCCGACAGAAAATGGCGATTTTTGATATCTACCTCCTTAAAGACTGTCGAACTACAGAAGCAAAGAATTTCAGGGCTCGCTTTTTGGACTTTCGAAATCTGTACCCATCAAAAAAGCCCTCGATAGTTATCAATTTCCGAAACTGATGAAAAGAAGAGCAGAAAATTGAAGAGATTTTGAAGATGTGCCAAGGGCGCGAAAATTATAAATTTTCTGCCGTCGTAATGAAATTTGACATGACCTTGATTGAAAACTGCTTTTTTGGGTGGGTCGAGGTCGATTATTGCGCAATAATTTGGGTTAATTGAGAGCGAAAAGATTTGATTCCTCAAAAATTTGAAATTTTTCATGAAAAATAGGCCTTTTTTCAGACAAAATTCATGTTGATTCGATTTCAACTCCCTCTTCTTTATCCCGGAAATCCCAAAACTAATGGCCCCACTGATCCCCATTTTCCTAAAAATTCCTTATCAGCAGGCTCAAGTGCCCGATGCCTTCTAAAATTCCTGATCAAAGGGTTCCTTTTCGAAAAGAATGGTGCAAAACGACAATACCCGTTGTCTGAAAAAGTGATCAAAAGGAGGCGCGGTGTTTGGTAAACTAGAAGGGATAAGCTGATCACGTGGGAAGTCGAGGAGCCCTGGACTTGACGGATGGAGTCAGTAGATAGGATCAAAGAAGGGAGAGGAAGGGGACAAATTGGGGATGCTGAAAATCACCTTGATGGTGGAAGAGATAATCCTTTGGATATTCTCACGACATTCGATTGAGCTCTAGAAATTTCAAAACCATAAGTCTTTAAAATTCTCAAGCTTTTTTATATTTTATAAAATTAAGTTTCTCGAAGCGAAAATACAAATCCATCCAAGACTTATTCCGCAACTCATTGAATAATTTAACAATTATTTACTTGAAAAAAATTTTTCCCAGGAAGAGCAGGAGATCATTTCTCCTCTTGAATCTGGGTCAAAATGCAAGAGATGATAAAAATCATCGAGTTGTTTACTGCAACAATAAAACTCTCAAGCCTCATTCTCAGACTCCCTGATTTACTCACTTCCGAATTTCCGCGAAAAAACTTGAGTTTCGGATGCTTTTTATAGAGTTATAAAATTTGATTAATCTGACAGGGAAGAGTGTTTTCAAAACTTGCCCTTCTCGCTTCCTAAAACCAATGTCCTCGTGTTTGGGGAAAAGAAGATTAACGAAGAGGGGAATCCGAGGATCGTGTATTCGAGGAGTTCTAGAGCTCGTGAAAAACCTTGTGGGACGATCCATGTCAGTAACTTCCGGGAAATAAAGAGGCTTACAGATAAGCTCCTTCGTTTTGACTGTATTATTTAAGGAGATACACATCAGAAGAGCCTCTTTTGAAAAAGGTTATTCTGAATAATTTTATAAGGTTTTAGCCTTTATTTTTCAAAACTATTTTTTCGTTCTTCAGAAAACGGAAATTTGGCTAACAGATGTTTTTCCATCTTCAAAACTGAAAATAAAATTTCATTGAAAAAGAAGTTAGCGGCGCCACTTGAAAATGTCAACGGTCGCATCTTGCTTTTAAATAATTACTCGGAAATGGCGAAATCACAGCGGTGATACTCTTCATCGATCGGCCATCTTTCCTTTTTTTCAAATTTTGCGCACCTGAAAGTTGCAACTTGCACTTTTCAAGTGTGCGTTTGTGCTACTGGTTTTCCGTTTTATATCTTCAAAAAGTTACTGCAGGTGTCTGATAAATAAAAATATAAAAAAAAATTGAACTTAAAATTCCAAAAGTCGACAATGAAAAACCGAAAAAAAAATTGATCAAAGACCGGCATGAACTCTTATTAGTCCGCTTTTTCTGTCTGAAGAGCGATCTTTCTTCGTATATTCGATGATCCCTTGTTTTTAGTGTTTTTCATCGAGTGTCAAACAAGACGATTCTAACCCGTTTTCTTTAACCCGCTCGAGCGTTTCGTGACACCGCATCATCAAAGCAGTGCTTTTTTGCCTCGACTGAGATGACAGTTCTATCGCTGACGTTGCTTACTGATTCGGTAGACTTTAATTTATTCAAACATATGATAACGATTACGAGCATATGATAAAAAAAAGAAGAATAAGCGTTTATATTTCATCGATAAAAAGGATCAACTAGTTAGTATAAAAGGTAAGTCACTTTTGTTAAAATTGGTTTGAAGTTTTACAGTAAAATATTTACTGTTTATATAATAAACAAATCATGGGCCTTATACAAGGGACTTCGCCCCCATCCCTCCGTTTGGGGAGGTGTCAGGAAGCGACAAAAAATTTCGACAAATTTTGCGTGGAAATTTTCAACCAATCAAAAGCCTGGATTCGCTTTACCGGTCAATCAGCAGCCGATTTGCCGCCCACGCAAAATTTGTCGAAAATTTTTTGGCGTTTTCAGACGCTTCCTTGAGCGAATATTATATTTATAGTTTCGTTGTCAAGTTTATATTGTCTTCGAAATCTGTCTGGAGCTGAAACACACTCAATGAATGTTCAAGTTAATGCTCAATACGAGCATAAGATCAATACAATAAATTCCTAGCAGATCAAATTCCCTTACGATTATGTTTACGACTAAAGTAATGCGCCTAATCGAGGATCAATTTGAAGCGCCATCTATATCGCTGTCTATTTTTTGGATATATAAACGCCCATCTTTCTCTCAAAGCATCATCAAAAACATTCAATCTAACAAAAATCAACAAGAATGTCTTACTTCACCGATCACTCAATCAACGCTATCTTGGGTGGTGACGGCCGACTCTGCTCTAGAACTGACTACGACTCCGACGACTCCAACTCGCGACATGAAAAGTACTCCGAGTACTATCAATTTCACGATGACAAGGAGTACGAGCACGGAAAAGCGATCGAAGGGATGAACATGTTCATGAATCGGTTTATTCAGGAAAATATGGACATTGTTCAAGGTCTCCGGGCACAAAGCTTCAAGAAATAAAACCGACAAAATCTTCCTTCGCTTGTTTGATTCTTTCTTTCCTGCGTTTTACTGCCTCTTATTTGAATAAATTTGTGTTTCAGTGTTTTCCATTTTTGCTATTTTTTGCCTAGACTCGTATGTTTGCGGATAAATAATCTTATATTCAACTTGATGAATTAAAGAGATATTTTTTTAAACGATCATTTATTGCTTTTTCTTAATATAATTCAAATAAAATCATTAAATTGATTATTACCAATAAGAGACATAAATTATGTCACATAATCCCAGTCTAACAAGCTCTAGACTTGGCCTCAGGCATATTTTTATCTGTATGTTAATATCAAGAACATATTCCTTCTGCTGAAAACAATATAGGAAACATTGAAAGGTCAAGTAAAAACCTTTCTTACAGAGGTCGAATCCGGTTGGAACTTGGTTAATGACGAAAATGATGACCCCCCTAATTCATTGAATAAAATGGCCTGAGGGCGTTTTGTGTGTGTGTTCTGCAAGTGTGATAGCGTATTTGGCGGTGGTGGTGCTGGTGTGTGGGCGTCCCGTCACTCAGAAGGCTGCTGCTGAAGTGAGCTTGACCAGCATTCACTTTACCGCACCCAAATGCGCTTCCCCGGATACATCGCTTTTATAGGTTCGTTAATTTTGGTTCGAAAATTCATTGGAGAGAAAATTTCATGAAAATTATAGAGATTTTACGAAGAAAAATGAAAATTTTAAGCCATCTTTTCGCCGCTTCTGGCAAAATATCAAGACAGAAAACCTTTAAAATTTCATTTTTCAATTTTTTTTTTGAATATTTATGCCGTGATAAAAATCAAGAAAAAGGGGGAAAGGTTTCATATCTCTTTTAAGGTGCTGCCCGCGCTGAAGACAGTTGTCCCCCACCACCATCAGTCTCTTATGCTTCCTTTGATTATGTAACTGGAAGCAGCACTGCATCCTACTCCTGCCAGGCCGGTTTTTGCTTTGAAAACGAGCGAACTCGAACAATCGACAGTAATTGCCAGGTGTGTTTTAGGATAAAATACTTAAGAATGAATCATCATTTTATGTCAAAATTAATTTTTTAAAAATTCATTTTCAGGGAGGCGAATGGTCATCAGTTCCCTCTTGCAAGCCTTGTAATGCATGTGTCCTCCCCCAGGTCGATGCTAATCAGAATATCAACTGGAACGTTGATGACTGGACAGCCTCGATCTCTTGTGTTGAGGATGGCGCTGTCCTCGAGCCAGGCACCGACATTACAGAGATGAAAATCAGCTGTATTGAAGGTGGCAAGTGGGCCCGAGACGTGCCAGTTTGCTCCCGACCAAGCAAAGTCACCTGTGGCGATGATCACATTGAAGTCGTCGTCGACAAGAGCCTTTTCCGCGCAAAAGGATGGGACGCAAGCACATCCAACGTCTTCCTTGCCGGACCTGGATCAAATTTAATGAGCATCAACGACGTCGACAACTCTTGCTTCGCAACTGAAGACGCTGATGGAAACTACCGAGTTCGAATCGAAGCTCCCTTCATGGGCCAGTGCGGTACCCAAGCTGCGATCGAAGACCAGGATTACATCTTTTCGAACAAGATCAAGTGGCGAGTAGAGAACGATTTCACCGTCAAGGATGCTGAGGTCCTCGATTTCACCTGCAACTACCGAGGCGTTTTCATGGCTGGCCTTCCTCAACTCGTCAAGCTCGCTATTAATACCAAAACCTACTCTGATCCAAGGTAAACAAAGCCAATCTTCGCCCACATAATCCTCTTTATAGCACTGAGGAGGATTTTACCGTCTCCATGTCCGTCTACGATCGCGCCAACTACACCGGATTGGTCGACAACATCCCCCTCCTCCATCGAGGAAAACGATATTTCGTCGATCTCCACCTCCACAACCGAGAAATCGGAACTCCCTTCCTCAAGTACTGTTATGGATCGAAGAACTATGTGTCTGAAAGCGAGCTCAGAGAAAAGTACAAGACAGAAACTTCCAGGAAAGCGTTGAAAAATCGATTTCGTAATTTTGATCTTTTTCGGAGACGTGTTAGCCCTAAATTACTGTTTTGGCTGGTCTGAAGTTAACACGTCAAAACAACCGCCAAAGGTGTTCTGTGGCCAGAAAGTTGGTTAAATGAAACTACGTTAGCATTTAGCGAAAATGTGAAAAGCAAAAATACTAAGTTTTCCAACGCAAAAAAGCTCTGGTCTTCGAAGCATGGTTGTCAATGGCTGCCCCGCTTCTGGAACTCTTGTTCGTCTTGAAGAGTCCCCAACGACTTATCAATCCCGATACTCCTTTATGTTCCCAAAGATCGGAATCCAAGGTCGAGTTGATCTTCAGGTTCGTTTTTGAGGCTAATTTCGCGGATTGCTCTAACTGGTTGTCTTTTAGTTCGTCTACCTCCACTGCGAAATCGAAATTAAACCACTTGGTTTCGCGCCAAAATGCGACGACACTCTGTTCGAACAAGTGCTTCGACGAAATTTCGCCTCCATCAATGGAGCTGGAAATGGCGGCCCTGGACCTTTCTCCCAAAAATTCGGTTAGAAAAATATTTGATAGAAAAAAACATCAACAAATTATCTTTCAAGGCCCCCGATTCAGCCAAGGCTCCAGCAGCGGCTCAGACTTGATCACCGGTCGATCCTTCGGCAACGAGGCCAAATCGAAGCAGGACGCCATCTGGGACATCAACTGTCAGATTCCACTTTTCAAGGCTGCCCCTCAATGCAAAGCACGAGAAGCCGCTAGGCAACGATCAAGAAGAAGCGCTGAAACTATTGCAGCTGCAGATATGGCCGTCGGATTTGGTATGTGAAGCGAAAATGAAATGCATTTTTCTTTACCGCAGGAATTTTTCATTCAATTTTCTTTTCTCTCTTCTGTTTCTTGACTCATTTCATGACTCATCAAAGACAATCTTAACCCTAATTTAGGGACCCTAACTTCCATTGAAATCAAGGAAGATTTTTGAATAAGTCTAATAATCATTCTAGGCCCAATCGTTTTCCCCGAAGACGAAGAAACCGAGGTCGATGAAGAAGTCGTTGTCGAAGAGGTCCTCAAGTCGTCTAAACTCTTTGTTGAAGAAAGCCTCCGAGTCGAAGACATCATCGCTGAGCAAGCCGCTGAATTGGACAGCTCCGTCAAAGATCAAATCGAACAAATTGGTACGATAATTTTCAAGAGAGAAAAAATTAATAAGCCCATTTCTAGAGCTTCTCCGTGAGCAGCGACAGACCCGAAAATGCCTCATCATCGGAGGAATGGCTTTCGGATGCGTTCTTCTTTTCTTCTTATCGCTGATGATCACCAGCCGAGTCAGCTGCTTTTCCAAGTCGAAGGTAAGAAAGGCTGATCTTTTGGATCCGATCTTTTGTTTGACATTTGAGCGTTACCCTCGTCCCTAGAAATCTAAATCCGGCTCCGACATTTTGGCAACCCAAATCCAGAAGGAACTGAACCGACCGTCCAAGATCTAAATCAATTTTTTCCATCCCAATCATCAACATGCCAAATCACGTGTTACCGCTTCTCGTCTTCCACACAGCGTCATAGCAGTATAAAGTGACTTGTATACTGCTACATTTTCCTTCTACTGTATCCCTCGAAAATAATCATATTCTTATTCCTTTCACAATAAATAAAAAAAGGGCTAAGAAATCTTTTATTCGTCAATTTGATATTATCAAACTGACTCAGGTCAGATCTCTTTCTCCTCTTGAAATCCTACCCCTCCGACTTTTCCTAATGATCGAAATCGCTTTCCTCGCGAGCTTCGAAATCCTTTTCACTTCCTTTTTGTGCGATTTTTATTCTATTTTCATGGAGGAGCTTTTGAAGAAAAATGAGGGTAAGGAACAAGATGATCTAAATGATAAGTCATTGTTGATTTCAACTATAGATTATGCCATTCCAGGAGAGAAGAGACGACTTGGAACTTTCAGGCAAGAAGGGAAGCTCAATACATCGAGAGTAGTTTCTTCATTCGGTAAGAATAGAGCAGAAGAGCTGGGTCGAATGTTTTAAGTGTACATTGGTTTTTCATCTGCTTTTGCTGTCTCACCGCCACTTGGGTCTTGTACCTGACCGAGGTCATGTTCGGCTCAAACCATGAGAAAATCAAGCTCCAGCTTGCTTCTGATAAAATCGGTGAATACTAAGCTTATGGCTCTTGTTAAAATTTTCAATTAGAAAAAATTGATTGTGGCATTGGCGAAGAAATTTCATGCGCAGACCTTTTCATTATTGCTCCAGACAACGCGATTGTTGGGGACATCGTGTTCTTCACAGCGGAGGCGATGGAAGCCATAGAAGAAAAAATATGTGACCCGGTGGAAGACTTCAAAAGAATGTTTCTCTCGGCTTTTAAATTCAGCAGATTTTGCTTAGAGAGAAACAAAAAATAGCGTGTTTCTTCCGCGACCCTAGAATACCAATCAGAAATGAGTCGATAGACGAATTTAGCAACCAGACTGACATTGCCTACGGAATGGCGCATGTTATCTTGGATGAAGGATCGCTTGTTCATGGTTCCGTTTGGCTGATTCCAAGAGACAGCGAAGATATTCTTATCTTCCCCGGGATCAACGGGAACTTGGTGGAGCTCGATAGAACGATGGAAGAATACAGTTTTTATGCAGTTATGGATGGTAGGAAAATAAATGTAAATTTTTATGAAGAATTTTAGGTTTTATTTTCATAACCCAACCAAAAGACTATCACATGGAAATACTGATTGATGATATTCCTGCGAATCGAATGATGCTACCACGAAGGTCTGAAATACGAAAAGCACAAATGCAGGCAACTTATGTTGATGTTGCTATGATTGACGCTCAAAACTCGCTCATAAAAATTGATGTCAAAGAAGGACAAAAAATTAAGATTAAAAAAGTCCGCACGACAGAGGCTCACAGATTTGGGGACCATAAATATCCTTTTAGTTTTTTGAAATTGTATTTAAAAATTTGCAATTTCTCGAGTATGTTTTTTGATTGTCAAGCAGCTGAAGAATCTAGAGTAGATGAATTACCATAAGAATTTTTCGACTAAAATTTTTATTAAGATAATTCCGGTATCGTTATCAAAATATTATTGGTCCCGAGAAAGCCTGAAAATGAATTTTTATACTGACGAATGGAAAACAAGCGGAAGTCTTATCCAGAAGATGTGCGACTTTTGCTCTGCTCAGCGTAGAATCGAACAAGCCCAAAATGGCTCAACCTGCGAGTAAGAATCCTTACATAAAATCAATATTAACACACATCTCTTCAGACAAAGAGAATGGTTTCGACAACAGCTAGAACCTCTGTGGTTCCCAATTCAAAACGGAAAGAGATGCTCCTTCGAAATACCGGGGCTCGGCAAAAAGGACAGCTTTTCCGTTGTTAGTAATCATGGAAATAATAAAAATACACCGAACATCATGATTTCTCCTGGCCTGGTGCTCGCACGAGATACTTATTTCCAACAGGTACTCGAGGTCCTCTGAGTCGACATGAAAGAATCTCTAGTGCCATCTATCCATGGAATTGAAAATCTCATCTGCCGCGGCCGACAGGTTTAATTTGCAGTTATCATTGCTTCAAGAAGCCAATCCGGCTAAACGAGATTTGATCAGGACATCCATTGAACGAATCGGTACGCAGAAAAACCTATCTTTTTATCTGAAAAATCGCTTAGAGAACAATCTAATGATAACTGGAGACTTCATCCCGTTTCAAGGAAGAAACTACATCCAAATATCGATTTCGGCAATTGGAAGCATGACGTTTGTGGCTAAAGGTGTAGAATCATTTATTTTCTTCCTTAATAATGGTTTATAATTTATAAATGAGTTCGTTTTATTGCAGGCTAAACGCTATGCATTTATCTTTAAGCATTTATCTACTGATGTCAATTAACGATTATAATTTATAAATCACTTTTGAGACATATTGTCTCATCTTCAGGTAAAAGCTGGTGTCAAATTGTGACGTACCTGAGAAAGGCAAAAGTCAGACTGACTTCTCCGCCTGTCAACTTATGAATTTTGTTTTCGTCTTTTATTTTTCGAACAGTTCTCACTAAATAAGATTAATAGATCTTTAATCTTTCTTTAGAAATGACGATTTCCAAGTGCAAAATGATGAAAAGCCAACCTAGAGTTCCTTGACAATCTGACACCAATAGATTTTTGTTTCTGATATGCTTTGAATCATAGGCAAAATAAATCGTTCAAACTTGCTACCACTCGCTACAATTTAAAAAAAGACATCCGGGTATTCTGGAATAATAACAAGTTCTTGCGCCGCGGAGATAACTGACCATCAAAATCATGGGAACGAGCCGTCTTGGGAAGACGGGTTGATCCTTGATGTCAGCGCTTTTTTGTTTGTGACCTTCTTAAAACGCCATTTACCGATTTTAACCCAGGGCTCATTCGCGAAAATAAGAAAGATGAGAATTAAACCAATAAAAGCTCAATGCGCTTTTTGCAAGAAAAAAGGATTATTGAGAAGAACGGAAAAAGGGAAAATTTGCTTGATTCCTGGTGAGTTGAATTGATTTAAACTGAGATCAAGGAGGAGAATTTCTTTTAGACGAGGCGACAAAAAAACAAAGATTTGATGTTTTCACGAAATCGATGTTTGAGAGTCACGGTTTTGGGACGACGAAGCAAATGATCAATTTCGTGATCTATGGGAGCATTTTTTGGATCATGACAATGGTTCTAGCGAATTTCGTGAATTACGAAAGGACGAAATTTCGCCCTGGAGTCGGCTCTTACTGCATCAGAGAGTTCAAAACATGCATTCAAAACTTCGAATACAATTCATGCTTAAATCCACTTTATAACTGCGCCAGTCTTTCGCACGACGATTACGGTAGTTTTCATTTTCCGGAGAAAATGGCCGAACTCAACTTCCCAGCGTCGGATGAAAAAGAAATTTTTACAGATGAAGAAAACGAGCTCAATCGAAATCTTTGCTTCCAAACAGCTGGTTTATCCAGAAATCTTTGCGAAAATCTTTGCTTTGAGTCGCAGTTTAGTTTTATCGAGGACGAAAAATTTATTGAAGCGATGAACAAGCCACCTGAAGAGTATCATTGGCAAGTTGACGAAAAATCTGCTACTTATAATCATTCAAAAAACTTCGAGTGCATGGAAATTTGCAAGTATGCTGCTGGAATTCAAGAGAGAGATGATTGCCCACAGGAAAAAAGGTGCCCAAACGGCTGTCCTTGCAAAGGCTACAAATGTACCAAAAATCACCCGAGAGACGACATTGTCTACATCGAAAAATATCACAAGGGCAATCGAATTGATTTCCCCGCTGACAAAGGGTTTTACAAAATGATGCCATCAAATATTCGATTTGAGAAAATTGAAAGTCCAGCTTTTATCTTAGGGTTGGAAAAATGCTCAAAGCGTGAACAGACTAAAGTTTAAAATTAAAGATAATTAAGATAAGAGATTCTAGTGAAGACGTCAAAGAATAGTGACGTGAGGGAGACAATAACTTAGCTTTTTCGAACGAAAAATGGTTAAGATATTCCTCTGCGTATTTTTACACGCCCATATAATGATTATATTATAAATTATTAAGAAAATAAAGATAAAAACACAAGGCATTACGCAGTCGAAGATAAAAAGTTTTTTCAGGTGACAGTGTCACCGTGACACTGTAACTTTCCGATTTTGAACTGAAATTGAAGGGAACGTGGCCTTATAGTGGATTTTTTTAGGATGACAGATTTTGAGAATTTGTCGAAAAAGTGGCCTTAAGGCTAGGGTGGTCAATTTTGACCAAGTCTTAGATTCTTTTTTGACCCGCATTTTTGGATTCCTCAGGAAATTTGGAGCAAAAAACTCCTTATGCACTTTTTCGCTATCTCAACTCTATCTCCGGGAAATTGCGATTAAAAGTGCAGAAAATTAGTGTATTTTGAAAGTGAACCCAATATTATGAAATTTCAATCCTTTACAATAGTGGCATATGATACATTTTTGGAAAGCTCACATTCAGCACATTCATTTAGGGTAGGGCTGAGGGCGTCTAGGCTATGCCCGAAGGGCAATTTATAGGAATGAATAGTCAAATATAGGTACCTTGGTTTATTGAAAAAAATTCTTAAGAAAAAGTTATCAAATAAAAAAAAAGCTTCTGTAAATTTTAAGATTAGGGTCTAAGAAACCTAAAAAGAGTAAGAGTTGATAGGACCATTATGCAAACTTTGGAGCTTTGGAGCCCTGAAGATGGGCTATTTTCGCGATTTTAGCCGAGATGCCAACTTTGAAGCCGCCGGAAGTGGCTTTTTCCTTGGGATTACGGAAAAAGCTTCTGTTATTCAGAAGATCTAAGATAGATCTCTATTAAATGCTATTATGGGGTACTCTGGCATTCACAAGTCCAGAGTTTATGAGCCTTGCTTTGGGCCAAATCGACCACCCTAGCCTTAAAAGGGTCGGCCTTAAAAGTGTTTCACACTGTACTAAGAATCTGGGGTTGAGTTAATCGTTAGGTTAGGGATCAAAGTTTGATCATCAAACTCAGCATTTACTCAGCGCAGTGTCACTGCTTTGAGCATTAACCGACCCCAGATCTAAGCGACCATGAAGATGCCGTATCGACATTTTGCTCAGTTTGGTTCCAAGGGAATCATTATATTCTCCGAGCATTGGAATCTACGTCACGATCAACTTTTGGTAGTTCAGATATTCAAGTTCTCAAAATTCTCGACTCAGGAAAACTTATTCTTTTGCAAACTTTTGAAATGCACATATCAGTCTTGTTTCCGCACAAACACAAAATATGTGGCACTGGAATTTACAAGCTTGATTTTGATGGCGAAACGAGACAATATATATTAAAAGAAAAAATCTTCTTTTGTCCAATTCTGCATTTTCACGCGCAGGACGGGGCGCACTGACTATGTCAGGAATGTCAGGAATATCAGGATTTTTCAATTTAGGGGTATATGATGTGGGAAATTTTTCCACCAAAAAAATTTTTTTTCGAGCAGTGAGAGTTGGGCCCCGCCAACCCAATGAGTTTTCTACAAGAAAATTCATTCGTAAGGGCCTTTAGGCCCTTATGCATGCCCAATATCGTCAAATTTTTTTCCCGATTTTGGCCAAATCCTGACATTCCTGACATTACTGACATACTCAGTATCCTCCCGCAGGACTGTTATTTTCTTGAATTCGAAGGGGAAAGCAATGTATATTTACGAAAACTGTCATCAGCAAGGCCAAGACCAACTTTTCTCGAACCCAGTTCTGGTCATGGTGTATCGACGATGAATTTAAATGGCTTTTTTGTAAGCTCTTTTCCTGGGCTCGGCACCCTGAGTCAGGGTTTGAGAGATCGAAAATGATAAGCTGCGTAGCGGCTTTTTTAAAAACCCTTTGCGGCTTCGCCAGCAGTTAAAAATAAGATCGAATGATAATCTTGCGGCTTTTATTTTCGATTTTTCGTACCCTTATTCAGGTTGCCGATCTCAGCCCTTTTCTTTTTTAAAAAATAAAACATATTCTTTCAGACGATAATAAGCTACGATTTTGTCACACAAAAAATCCAGATCGACAAGTTTATGGGACTCGAAAATTCCCAAGTCGATTCATGGAGCCACGAATCTGTTTCTCGTTCACCGAACTATCGCTCGGAAAGGGACGAGTTCGGAAATATTGTCGAAGGGAGATTTTTTCTAGCAGCTTTGCCGGATAATGAAGGAGTCCTGTTGCTAACATCAAACTTTGAGTGGGGCTCGCCGGTCGACCGAATAACAGTGAATCGGATTTATAAGAATAACTGGTTATATGTTGGCGTTTTTAATATTCCGAGACATAGAATACGGCATATGAGTATAAGGAAATGATTACTATTTGACGATTTTTGAAGATTTTATCAATTTTATTGGCAAAATAAATTTGATCATCTTGAAAAAGCGCTCTTGATACAGCATTTATTCTCCAAGGAAAAATCTATGTGGACCGCAAAATCGACACTTGTGTGCGATCATCTGCTTATGGATGCGGTAAATGGCTGGCTACTGGCTCAGAAATATTCCTCCTTGATTATGAAAGAAAAACACATATAAAGCAAGAGTTACAGCTTGATTTGCCGAAAAACTATAACTACGAGCTGATACTGTAAATAAGCTCGTGTAACTGTAAATAAATACGCTTGTTTTATTGCTCAATAGCACGAGAAATATTTATTGAGAATTTTCGTTTTCAGTATCAGTAAGAAAAATTGCAGTGAAAAGAGTGCCTATCAAGCTATACGAATAAATAGAGTAGCGGATGATATAGTAAAGAGGAACGAGAAAGAGGCGATTGTTGTGTTGCAGTCCTAAAAATCATCTTAGTCGGTCTCAAATACAGTCTGTTTGAAAGACAAAGGGGAGAGATATGAATTACGGTCTGAAAAAATGAAGGAAAAAGAACGAAAAAAGCTTGAAGGAAATGAGAAGGGCCAGCTTTTAACAGATAGAAATTCGACTCTTCTCATTTCCAAATCGAAAAGGAGTCATTTACAGGGAATCATGAGAAATACTGAGTCTTGATTTCGGAAATATCAAGAGTCATCGTCAAGAAGTTCGGAAGTTCAGGTAAAGTTTTCGGCATCGTTGAGATTTTTCAATGCAAAGCGAAGTTGAAGCTTGTTGACTTGAGTCGTAACTTATTGAAAGGGGTAGAAGGCGGCCATTCTTTGTTTGGTAAATCTGCGGATTTCGGCTTTTTGGCGACGCTGGAGATTTCGGCGGATGTGACTGGGGAACTCGTCAAATGAAACGCGAGAATCGACGAGGTTTTCGAGGTCTTCGATTTCGGGCTCCATTACTGAATGAAGAATGGTGAATTGATATTCTTACACGAATTTTTATTTGTGACAAACATTCATTTTTTGAATGACAGTTCAACTAAGATTCATATATAAGGATGTCTTACCGGAAAATGCATTAGAGAAGGCGACGAAGAGCATCAGAAGGTTCATTTTTATCTTTTCTAGGCTATCAGCTGCTTTCTTGAATATGGTTTATCGAGGTTTAAAAGAGTTCTTGATTTCGGTATCAAAAAACTTTTAGTGAAAAAATTTAAGTACAAAGATTTTCGTTTTATGGCAAAACAAAGCGCGGAAAGAGCCTTATCAAGTCCCGTCTTCGCGGTATTGCGCCAACTAGCGGGGCGCGTCGCGCGTTAGGAGCACAATCATCATCGCTTCTAAGCTAGTTTTGACTCGATCATTCTCGCGCGTCTTTCATGTGACGGTAATTATCTGATGACAGACTGCTTTGAAAGCTTCTTTTAACCTTTGTCCTATACTAATAGTCATTTGAGGTCAGGAACAAAAAATGTTTGAAAAATTCAAAGAAAAAATTCGAGTAATTTTCTTGCTGAAACAAAAATTTCTGATTTCTTTCGTTGAAAAATAAATTAACGAAAAACAGATCATCATGACTGCAGTACAGATGGTGTGCGACTGATTGCGTGCCCAATCGCCCCTCGGGCTGATAAGACCCTTCAGCGACGTGTTAGGCAAAATTTCAGGCACACTCACACACATTAAATCTCGCAAGTTTCACCTTTTTTTATCCAAAAAAGAAAAGAGAAAAAGATGTCGGATATATTTGGAGATGCAATTATGCAGTTTATTCCAGAAATGCGGGCTCCTATGCGCTCCGATCTGGTTCATTCAGGTTCTTAGTGAATTTTTATTATAAAAATACATTCTCAAAGATATAAAACAATATCACATGTTTTCTTCTTTGTGACTAAAAACAATAAGAAGTGACGCTGAAAGTCTAACCGCAACTTGACAGTAAAGCTCTTATTGTCTTAATAATATGAAGAATCTTTGGCTCTTACTGTTATAAAAACATCAAAATACACTATCATACCTCTCAGTAGACTTTTGACTATCAGACAAAAACAATTATCGATACAGTATCCAAGATACTATCAAAGGCTCAACTATATGACAAAAGTATGGATATCTGGAGCTGTGCCTATCTTTTTATATAGTTAGATACTTATAATTGGCAACAAAGGCTCTATTCTGACGCTGATATTCATCGTTAATTTCGTAAATCTATGTTTGTATGAACCTTTATTCAGATGATAAAGTTTTATGTATGCAAATTACCCTTTTCTTCAGTCATCATCAAACAGCTCATTAAAGAGACTCTAAAACATGAGGATAATAATTATGAAAATATTTGGCTTATTGCCAAAAATACTTAGAGTCCTAGTCACGTTTTCAAAACACATGTGCTAAAGTAAATTTTCATTTCAGATGAGTCAATTCTTGGCTTCGAAACGGCGAATTCCGCTGGAGGCTTATTCATCGATCTCTTGACTTTTCATTCCGTCGGGTTGGCACATCTCGAGGCCTATTGCGAAAAATTTGGTGGCGCTAGAATTTTCTTGAGAAAGAAGATACCTGCTGATTTTGAAGGAGAATATGAGTCGAGGGAGCAATGGAGCATTGTTGTTATGCCTCAGAAGATCGAGGTGGATCTTGAAGAAATCGACAGAAACATCGAGTGCATACCAAGTCTGATGAGCATGACAATCGATGCCGTCATCTCCGCCACTCCCGCACTCACCCGACTTGAGAACCGTTTCCTCTCCGCCCGCGAGTCGAAAAAGCAAGAACTAAACTTGGCACAGTACGAGTCGCCCCTGCCAGTAAAAGTTCAGCCAGGAAATATAAAAGAAAAAGATTGGTATTGCCAAGTTTGCGGGCTAAAAAATGAGAATCTCTGGCTCAATGTGATCGATGGAACGATTCTTTGCGGAAGAAAATATCGAGAAGGGACGATTTTTTACGAAAACGACGAGTTCAAGCCTTCCGAAGGGCATGGTCATGCATGGGAAAACTTCAAGCAAACGAATCATCCTTTGGTCGTCAAGATTTCAAGCATTTCTCCGTTCGGGTAAGATTTTTGATCGACAAAATAGACATCTTTTGACCCCGCTTTTCGTGGAAAAATGACGCGTGAGGAAAATTTAGACACAGTAAGACAAGCCCGTAATTGCTGTTAATTTAAGCTATTCCTAAGTATCTGAATACCGTGATTTTCAGACTTGTGATCTACAATTATGCGCAAGACGAATTCGTTGATGACCCACAGATGGCTTCGATTCTCGCAAAAATCGGCGTCAAAACACTCGATTGTGCCAGCCACGAGCTACCAATCTGGGAAAACGCTGAATCTCCACGTGAAAATGTCCGAGTCACGGAAAATCAATTCCTAAAGCCGCTAGAACAAGATCACGAAAGAATTGGAATCAGCAACACAAAGACCAGCAACTCGGCTATTATCGCTGCCGTGCAACTTTTGGCAAGATGTCCAGCGCTGAGAATTTACAGTAGCATCAGTAAACAAGTTTATTTACAGTCAGAAGCGCCTGTGGAAGATTTTAACTTGCAGTTTTCGAAGATTGTATTAAGCTTGATGGATGATGATCCGCAAAACTGGGTCGAGTTCTAGATTAATATTTAAAAAAGGGACCATATTGCTTAATATTTCTGTTTATTTATATAATTTTTCTTTTTAAAAAGGGAGAGGAAAATAGGACAATCGTAGCCTTCATGTATGCCTGCTGACTATTTCGGAATTTTAGCCTATTTTTTAGTAGAGCTCTATAAAGATTTCGCACACATCAAAATCAATCAACTTAAAAATGCTTATTCACCGCCTCCACTCAACCCTACCGGACATCGATCATATGCTAGACCCAACCCTTCTCGTCTCATCGCTTCTAAAATTAATTTCTACCGAACTAACCCCTTCGCCGGCGGAAAAATTCACCGGGCAACTTGACACGTTTACGAAATGTATAATTTCCGAGGCCGAGGCGCTGACAACGACAAGTTCTAATGTTCTGGAGATTGAAGCTGAAGAGTCGATTTCGAAATCGATTCAAGAATGGGCAAATTTTACAGGAAAAAGGCTAAAAATTTTAGTTTTCAAAGCATTCTCAAAAGTCTCAAAGGGTCAAACTTCGCACTCTTCGCGTCGACGGGTTAAATTTTTAACCTTATCAAGAACACAATTTTTTCTCGCCACATCTTCGCGAGCGATCCCCCGCTCAAATTCGCCGCCGATTCCGCTCATTTCCCTCAAAACTCCTCATATCCTGTCCTCGATACTTCAAAAACTCAGAATGGGTTGTTCAAGAAATCAGTCAAAAACTCCTCGTCGAAGATGTCCTCGATCTTGGCTGGTTAAAATCTGACGGCGAGATCTTTCATCCGACAATGGAACTTGGCGAGGATGGAGGAACAGGGCCTGTTTGCGAGGAAATACAGATGCTGTGCGAAATGGGCTTTGGACAGAAACTAGCGAGAAAAGCGCTAGATCGAAATGGCTGGGACGTGGAGGGCGCTGCCGAGTGGCTCCTGATGAATCCCGAAGAGGTAAGCCGCGGTTGACAGCGATTCTCAAAAACCGCAGTGAGGTGATATGACTCGCAGTCGTTATGAGTCATAACTTATGACTCAGCATTCAATTTTGATGATAATGAATCTTTTCTGAGAATAGACGAGTTAGCTGTTTTTTGAGGCACCATAAATTTAATTTGAGTTATCAAAATTGGTATTAAAGTAAGTCAAATTCGGTTGTTAAAAACAAAATACGAATCTCATCGAATTTAAGAGAACGACGACTATCTCTCAATTATTTAAAATGATCATTAGGAAGTCTCCGATAAAGATGCCCAACCTTTGGAAAATCCTGCAACGCAGCCATTTTCTATCGAAAATTACGAAGGAGAACTTGTCTCTGAAGAAAATCCCGTCTTTCAAAAGATCACCCTCAGCCGCGAAGCAAGACAATTCACAGAGGAAGAATTCGAAAGACGACAAAGAGAATATGCCGAGTTTGTCTTTGATCCAGAAAGTGTGGCGCTTCTCGAATCTTTCGGCATTCCGACTGGTCTTGCTAAAAAAGCTCTAAGGTAAGAAATAAAAAAAGGTTTCTCGTTGGCGTGAAATTGTTGCAGAATGTTTCTAAATCAATTCGATTTTTGATATATTCAAAATTATAAATCGAACATAAATCAAGTATACTTATGGTTTCTTCAGAATTTGCCGAGGCGACATCGAGCGCTCCGCCGACTGGGCATTCAACAACTGGGACTCTCCCATCTACGAAGATGACACCGAACAAGTCGTTACAGAAGAAACAGTAACCCGCCAAGCCGAAAAAGTCAAGTCCGAGCTGACCGCGCTCCAACGTGAAGGACAAGAGCTAATGAGGCAAATGGCAAAAGAGAAACGAAACCCAACGACAGATTTCGTCACCGAAATGGTGGAGCGATTGGAGGGTCGGAAATCGACCTCGACGACGATTCCTCGTCCGATGAAAATCGCGAAGAAATTGGAGACTCCGAGAGATGTGAGATGATAGACCTAGAGTGTTTTCTACAACAGTTGCTTTCAGAATATCGCTTCGTCAGCGAGTCCGACGACTCAAGCCATGATGGAGCTCATGGATGACCTTGAAATCGAGCCAGTTTCTGAGGAAAATCTTGAAATAGTTGCGCCGCCTGAGATCAAGGAAGAAAATCGTCAAAACGGCCAAGATCTGACGCTTGATTTGGACTTGACAGACCAATCAACGATAAATGATATTCTAGTGAATGAAAATGGTTGTATGGAGGATACTACAGGCATGGCTTAAAATAAGACCATCCTTTTAAAATCTGCGATTTAAAATTGTGAATCCAAAACATCGTTTTTTTTTTTAAATTCGAATTTTAGCATTAAGATTTGTCTAAAAAGTATAAAAATGCCCATTTTTACAAAAGTAACTCTAATAAGCCAACATATCAGACTGTAACACGACCGATTACGACACAGGTAAACGATAAGTTCACATCCCAAAAATACCCACCCACGAGCTCACCCCAGCGCGGAGAAATCAAAACACTTAATAATAACCATTTTCATCTAAGATTACATCGTGACCGATAATTTGACCGATTATCACGAACAAGACTCGCGCGGAGAATCATCTCTTCTCGAAGAGCTTCAAGAGATTCCCGATGATAGACTCAGCCTGATCGATGAACTTATCAACGAATCCGTGTCGCAGATTGACAGGCAGATTGAAGAAAATGTGGTAAATTTTTCTCAAATCATTCTTTTCTTAAAATTCCAGACCGCCTCGAGCCTCGAAAACCTCAAAATGGCCGAACAACTTCGCCGTCTTCCAGAAGAAATCACCCCATTTGTCGACCCCCTTTCGATAATTTCCGAAGAAAATTCGCATCTCCCAACCGACTTTTGCACGAGTCCAGAAAACTCACTCAAGAGTGAATGCGAAGACTCCCAGCCCGTAAGTTTCTTTGGACTTATTCAAGATGCTTTCTTTAGATAGTTCAATTAAGAACTCATTTCGTAAGCAGCTTTATAAAAGAATGACGTAGGTTAATCTTTTGCTGATATAAATATCAAAATCGATATATTTTAAGTCTTTATCAAAACTTCAATCCTCCTTTGTACCCTTAATTCAGACGGTGACGTTTCCTTCTGTTATAAATGGCAATCAAAATCAGTCGGTATCGGAGCAACTTAAAAGCAATGATCCGACGCATGATACGCTTGATACGACAGTGACGAAATCAAGCTGTACGCCGAGCATGGATACGGTTCTTACCAACGGTACGAACCCGGAGAAGAAGAAAAAGAAGAAAATCGTGAAGAAAATTATCAAGAAAAAGGTCAAGAAGACAAGTGTTCAAAATGAAGGGGTGGCTAATCCGAATGAAAACGGGAATAATTCGGTTGAAGAAGCAAAGTATTCTCTAGGTAAGACAGAAAAAGAAATTCTTTCTAAAAAACTACATGAGCCCCATCACAAATGAGAAGCAAGAGATCCTAATAATTCAATAAATACAAGATATAAAAAATTATTTAGATAAGAAAACATTATAACTTATGGTTCTTCAAAATCTCAATTCTTAATTCTAGTTTCCTTCATCTCCCGAACCGATGGAACGCCCATGCTTCCCCACTTCACCTACTTCGAAAAATCCGGCGACAACGAGTGGCTAATCTTCGACGATGCCAATGTCGGAATCGCCTCCGACGAACAAGTCGCCAGCGCAAAATCAACTGCTGTTCTGTTTCTCTACGACCGACTCAATCAACTTTGAAGCCCTTGAACATTCCATTTGTTATACCAAAAAATTGTTTATTAGAAAATTCAATTGTACAGGTTGAAAATAAATACAGTTCGTGAGAAAACTCCGGTTAGGGTTTTTCATCGTCAGTTTTTAAAAATTCTTTTTAGTTAAAAATGTTGAAATATCCACTTTCGTACATCATTTTCTGCATTTGTTGGAAAAGGTCGAATGCTTGTACATAAACGCCATCTACAGTTTGATTTTAAATTGGAGAAAAATGATGATTTTTTACCGTTTGAAGTTTTTGATCTCGATTCTGGCGCTGGAAAGTCAGGATATTGTGCACCTCTTATCTCAAAGCTGGAAAGACTTCCTTTTGAGATCTCTTCTTTATGTCGGTAGTGGTAGCAAAATTGGCTAAATGGCGCGTTCCAGAAGCAGTAGCCGTTGTGACACTCGCACGTGTTCGTCTCGAAAACATTCGGACACGTGACGCTGCACGCGCGGGTCGAGTCGAAGATGTTACATGTGAGATGGGCCAGTGGTGGAATATCTCGACCGCATCGGGCAAACTCATCTGAAGAAAAAATCGAATTTGGCAAGAACCATAACTCAGAAATCAAAGTTATCGATAGGAAATTGAAAAAATGCGGTCTATCATTGATATAATTTAGCTATATATTATACACGTTGTAGGATTTCGGCTGATATTTACACCCCTGGTAGCATCATACCTATGAAAATCTCGTCATGATTTGTTGAAATTTGTGGAATATCATCATCATCATCTTCTTCTGGTTCCTCCTCGTATCTTTGGATTTCGTCGAGTTCTTGGTCGAAAAGAAGCCTTGGTGTTGTCAATTCTGCTGTGGTTGAACTCGTAGTAGTTGTCGACGTTGTTGATGCTGTTGTCGATGTTGTTGTGGTTGTCGTTGATGTTGTCGTTGATGTTGTGGTTGATGTGGTGGTTGAAGTCGTTGTCGTTGAAGTTGATGTGGTTGATGTTGATGTTGAAATAGGCGTTGTTGTTGTTGTAGGAGCAACTGTTGTCGTCGGTCTTGGCTGAAGCTTATCACTTATCACTGTGTTTACAAAACAAAAGCCTAATAAACATAAGTTCAATCAAATCAAATCACGATTACGATTGCAAACACGTTCCTGCGCCATTTGCAACCCGTGAAGAGTCTAAAACCCATCGAATTCATGTGGCACTGGCAAGATCGCCTGACTTTTTGGGCCGGATTGAAATGGGCTTTTTCGGGGTGGGTGAGTTCGAGAACACATTGAGAGAATTCTGTTCGTTTTGCTGGGCACTTCCATTCGCCGCAGATTTCATCTTTTTTAAGTTTTTAAGATTTTTTAAATGAATATCAAGGCACTTGTCCGTAAATACTACACTTGACACTCTTAGCTCGATTCTATCGCTAAATTGAGTGAGTTAAAAAAACCTAAACTGTTATTTTTTTAGAAATTTTATGGTTTTGAAAAACTCTTCCTTCACAGAAAAATCGATCATCGCTAGAACATTCTTTCGAATTAATGTGCACTTTGAATTTTTCTTCTGAGTTCTTTCCTTCTTTGCTGTTAAAACTGACGCTCTGGGAAAGAATCTTCTTCATTCTCGGATTGTAGCTTCCGAAGCCTCCTGATCCCAGAGGTTTTAAAGTTGCAATCGGCGATGATTCTGATAGAACTGAAAAGAGAAATTCTAGAGCCGTCGGATGGGGGAAATCTTACGTGGAAGAAGAGCGAAACTTTTCATTCTTTTCTTTTCTCTCTTGAAAAAATTCAAAAAATGTTTTCTCGAATATGAAGAGGAAAAAACGCAAAGACGGACTTTTATATCGTTCATTTTGGTGAGCGATAAAGGGATCAACCCAGGCGCTATTGAGCGCGCAAGATGTCGATGAAACGTGCGTAGCGCTATTATCACTAGCAGACTCGGCGGGAGACGATAACAGAAATGGTTTTTCCGGCTTTTTTCTTACAGAAGGATTTGAAGACATTTTAAATGCCTCCTAGACGGACGTTGATATGGGTGGTAATAAAGGGGCTATTGGAAAGGACTACTCTTTGTGCAGTTATATTTCAAAAGTATGATCCCTCCATCAAGATTTATTTATTCAAAATTTTGTCTTTTTGGGTTCTTTAGACAACATGGAGAAACTTTAATGTTATAAATTCTCACGTTCATTTTCACGATTCTTGATGGAGGCTTCATTATTGCCTCTCACAAGTTTACATTGTCTATGCTTCAGCTGGACGGAATAGTGCATGGCCAGGTCATGATCACCCGTAATTGGATAATACTTTGGATAAGATGGATTTACTCATGAACTTAGAAAGCAGATCATTTTTGCTCAAACAGCGGTGAACCTTGGCGCTCGCTTACGTATTTCTACAACGCTGTCTCGTTGATTATCAAATAAGACCATGAAAATTAGAACACGCTTTACCATATTATTCGGCGAAATTTTGACCGACAAAAATTAAATCAGGTGAACCTAAGTAAACGACCTTTCTAAAAGGCCTATTTTTCCAAATCCTCATGATTTCGAATTTAAAATCCCTTTCGATAAAAAGCTAATCCACTTGGTTCTCCAAAGCACAGCTCTTTACTGTTGATAAACGGCGTTATCACGACTCGGCAGGGGTCGAGGCTCCGCCGAAAAAAAACGAGGAGCACGACGTGTGACAAACTCAAATCCGAATCCAATTCGAGAGGTGAGCGATAAAGATTGACCGCAAATAGAGATAAGCAGCTCCATCACTTGCGATTTGTCTGATGGGGCCTTTTTAAGAAGGGTCTGGAGGACTTATTAGACACAGCGTAAAAGTGGAGGCCGGATGGGAGGAGCAAGATAAAAATTGGTTCGGGCTAGGAACTCTCTACTTAATTCATAGGGGCACTTTAATTCGACTGTATAAAGTAGGTATTCATTAAGGGGTACACATCCATCATCCGATTTTCTAGGAGCTCTCCTTATAAACTGTAGAATCGTAATCTGTGGTAATTCGTCGGGGTCGCCCCGATAAATGAAAGATGAAATAACAGTCATTCGTCGGGGTCAATCCCGACAGATTGAAGATAAAAAACAGACCTATTCGTCGAGGTCGAACAATTGAATACGACGAATTACCACGTACTACCTCTAAAATCTAAAATTAAAAAGCTCGACTGCATGAAAAAAGCGCGTTCAACATCAATTTCCCTGCTAACCGAAAATTAGTGACGCTCAAAAAACAGTAAAAACTTGACCCTCGATGACATTAGACCACATTTTTTCCTTGAAGAAGAGTTACTCTGGAATTCTTTCACAAAAAGAACATATAATTATTAAATTTTTGTCCTAAGGACCCCTTCCCCCGTCAGTTTTTTTAAATTAAATCTCGGAATTTTTAAATTTTTACACCTGAAATGGATTCTACGGGTCAAAAAAACGACTTTCAGGCTGTATTTTTTAGGGTCAATCTCGACTCCTTCACTCCCAAAATCATATTTGAAAATTAGAACTTTCGCTGAAAATTGACGAATTTGCCCTACTTTTGGCAAAAATATTGATTTTTCTCTGTCAAAAATTCCTCATATCAAGTTATTAAGTTTAACCTCCGGACGCATTACATACCAACAATTTGGTGTTTTTTAAAATTTCCATTTTTCGAAGGAAAAAGCTGACGGGGGTCCTTAGAAATGAAATTTTCAAATTATCAAATGTTTGATTTGAAGTTTGAGATTTCAAATAAAAAACTCGACCATTATCTCGTTGTTCTTTGAGTTGAACAAATCTGAGATACGAGTTAGCAGCAGAATGACGTTACGATAGATAAATAAAGGATACGCGCTCCGTTTCCAGGTAAATTAACTAAATACAAGAAGACTTTCTACTTCTTACACCGCTTTGTTCAATCAAAGCCAAATCTTTAAAAGACAGAGAGGCGGATTATGATTATGCCACTTTTCGGAAACCGATTATGAGAGAGAGAAAGAATAAAAAATAAAGAAAAGGCGTTATAAAGGCGTTAGAAGATCCCGATTAGCGAAAGAAGAATTATGCTCGAATCTAATTCGCTGCATATTCGATTTTCTGTCGGCTCACTTTCCATTTCGGGACGGAATTTAAAAACTCATTTCATCAAAAAATTTTACGAAAAAACTGATCCGGAAATTTATTAAGAAAAAGAGAGGTTTAACCAATTTATGGAGGTGATTTTATGGGTTAGGGTTTTGATTGGTCAGTAGGCCAAATACAGCAATCTTATTGGTCATCCAAAAATTCTCTTCCATAAATTGGTTTTGTCCGAAAAAAAAACATTTTGAATTCGAAAAATTATCGATTTTTTCATAAAATATTTAGTCTATAAATATTTTTGTCAAAAAAAAATCGTGACATGGAACGCAAATAAACTTTCCGAAGAATTTTATCATAATAATTATTCAAGAAGAAATATATTCTTATACAGAAGGCTTTACTGAAGAATAATCTAGAAAGAAAATTAAAAGATAAAAGCGTGTTTTTGCGGCTTTTAAATTTTTATAATTCAAAAGTAAATTTGACAATTCCAAAAAAAGATTCGTGAGCTCGCGAAAAATGTCAAAGTCGCAGATTTGTTGGCGGAAATTGAGCTCAAAAGCGCTGTTCCTGCTCAGCTTCTGGAGCTTTTAAATCCAGGTAAAAGCCATCTGCAAATTTTCCGTTTTGAAAAAAGATTACATTTGAACACCAGACAAGTTCCGGGCAAGATTATGGCAAGCTTTATCAAAGCCGATAACAGAAAATCTGTCCATGGAAGCAAATAACCATGTTTTTGCGAAATCAATGGTTTCATCAAAAAACTGTTTTTATAAAATAAAACGGGCTTCCTTTCTTTCTTGAGCCTGGCCCAAAGAAGATAAGCTTGGTTCCACAAAAGCGTGACTTTTGAAATCAAAAGTGTCCGGCCTTGTTTGCACTGGCCATCAAAAGCTGTTTATACCACTTGATAATTCTCGTAAAATACACAAGCCAAATCAGCAACTGAATTTCAGGCATGGAAAAAATTTCTGTCAGCGGAGAGTTGGAGTTTGGAAGGGAGCTCAAAAATGGGGCTCTATTGACGGCTAGTGTTCATCCTGGATGGGCTCAGGAAAGGTTGAGGATATAACATCTTGATTAAAGAGGGTAGACGGATAATTATTAAGTATATTATATACGCTATCATGTGATCATTATTTCAACGTCACACATTCATACAAAAAGGGAAGTTTTGTTTCAGTTTATTTTCGTTGGTACTTTGCCATAAGCATTTTGAAAATTTTCTACAATATCATTTTTTGGTTGAAATCTCTCCTCGAAGGCATCTTTTATTCATGAAGCGCGCCATCTTCCAGAAAATTACTTTTCTACGGCCATTTGTTATCAAGGTCAATATCTAGGGCAGCTATAGGGTTCGCAATGAAAAAACCAGCCGTGAACAGGAAAATTTGTGTATAAGTAGATACTTTGTTCAGAAGTAAATAAGCTTTTAACTGATTCAACCAATTTGAAAGATAGTCGATCAAGGGGTTCTAGCGCGGTGGTCGGAAGTTTTGTCAATATCGCAGTCTATGGGTCCGGAAGGTAAGCTGTCTCATTATTTGGCCAAATTCGCATCTTCTGTAGCGACTGAAATTTGCACTTTTCTGGTTGTAAAGTACGGTTCGTTGGATGACCTTCGCAAATTGATCGAGCGCGGCGCGGCTGTTTCCGGACGGACGCTGTTTGAAAGGAGCACGCTCCATTTTGCCGCCTATCATGGAAGAACCGAGTTTATTCACCTGCTCCTTGGGGCTGGGGTTGGCGCGGGACACAAGGATTACCAAGGGCTGACTGCGAAAGAATATGCGACGAAGAACGGATTTTACGAGACAGCTAGATGGTGCTGGCTTGGGCAGTTTAACTATGGCCGACATGGGGGAGTAATGATGCCCAAGGAGGATAAGAAGAGCTCTGCGGGGAGCAACAGGTCGGAGAAGAGGCCGAAAATGAAGGAGAAAGTCGAATCGGCGCCTGTGAAATCGTCGCAACTTCCAAGAGTAAGCGGATTAAGAAAAACCATAAAAGTCTTTTAGAATTTACTTTTTTTGTTTTTTTGGTAACAGATTACATTGAATTCGTAATATTTCTTACTTCCTTCTCTACAAATGTATTTATTTGATTATTATCAATGCCATCTTACTAAAAGATTCATCAATTAATTAAAGCAAAAATCACGAAAAATGGTCGTAAACTGGCTGCGAGAAAGTTCCGAAGCCATTCCAAATGTCGAAAAAACCGAATCCGTTGCAAAATCCGATTTTGTTCGTGGCAAAAACTACGAGCGACCCTCCTCCACCTCCCGCCCAAGAAGTTCCTCGAAGAAACAAAAAGCTCCAAAACGAGTCCAACTACTCGCTCCAGCTGGCGCAGGCGAAGGATCGACAGAATATCGCAAAACGCGATTTAGTCGAGAGCGCCCGCCAGAGCTGGACGAGGCAGTCAGAAGATCTCAGAATAATCATCTCACTGTCGATCCCCCTCCATCACGTGTTCGTTTCCCTGAAGAAAATGATGAGCCCGAAAAAACGAAAAAGAACTTTCGCAAGACGAAATTCTCCCTCAATCGTCCAGACGGCCTGGACGAACTTGTCAAATCCGTGGATAGAACTCCTGAACCCAAAGTATCCAAAGGCGTTTGCTTCGCCAGTGAAGACGAAAGCGAAGATGAAAGACCAGAAAAATCGAGGTTCAGAAAGACAAAATTCTCGAGAAATCGACCGGAAGGACTTGATCAGCTGATAGAAAAGACCAAGAAAGTTGAAGAACCGCAAGTGAGGGAAGAAAAAGGCGTTTCTTTCATGAGCGAGGAGCAAGAAGAAGATCAAGAAAAAATCAAGTTTCGAAAAACAAAATTTTCCCTTTCTCGACCAGAAGGAATCGACGAAATCGTCCAAAACACAAAATCAGAAGACCCTTTCTTTCTCACTCAGAATGACGATCTGTCTGAGTCCGATTCTGAAAACAAGAAACAGCGGTCCATTTCATTCGCGGACGACGAAGAAGACAATAACCGGTACCATAGAAAATATCGAAAATCAGTTTTTGTTTCTTCTTCATCTTTCAAAGAAAGTGATGAAGAGAAATCTACTTCGCATGAATTACAGACAAGGGAAGAAAGAATCAATTTCAACCTCTTAAAAGTGCATGATAATGAGGATGATGATGTTACCTTCAGGTTTATAATCAATGTTGATTCAGCAAAATACTTTTTATTCAAAATTTTAAAGATTTTTTAGCTCGTCAAGGCCGAAAATAACAATCGCGGAAAAACCACCAAGGCCAGGTTCAGCATTTTTTTCCGCCGCTCTCGCTCTTGTATCTATTCACCCACTTCACTTTTTCTTTTTACTAACAATACCGCCCACTTCAATCACCACTTTCTCCAAGAACAGTATTCGTTTTCCCGAGAGCTGGGTACACCAGTCTGAATAAATTGAGCTTTTCTATTGATGACTGTTGATGGCTGTCAAATATAAATTTGCTCGTCAGAAAAGGCGAAATACATTCAGACAAAAGACTGAGTGTCACAATGATAATTTACACAGAGATATATTTGGGTTCCCCTCTGATGGGAGAGGAATTCTAGCGCAGATTTTCAAAGAGATTGTGGGAGAAAATGAAGAGCAGGAAAAAGAGTACGCTGGATATCTTGGACAGAATTTTCTCCAGCAGGGAGGTACATTCATTTTTGTCAGTTTTCAGCAGAAAAACCTTAAGAAAAGTCAATTTAAATTTACAGAGAGCCTTGGCAATAAGCGTATCCGATTTGCTGAACTTTTCAAGCCCCCAAATCTCCATCCAGACAACACCAGCCGATTCAGTCGATCAATTTATCAAACTCGAAACCGATAAAATAAAATCGAATGAAATCAAGGAAGAAAACTCGGAACCAGAAGTCACTTTTACAGAAGAACGATTCCAGCAAAAGGATTGGGTCTACCGACTTTCTTTTCTACAGTATGTTTTTTTCACGAACGAATCAAGATTCACAATTTGCATGCAAGCTGATTAAAATAAAAAAATTATTCATAAAAAAGGATATACATTTAAGATCCCGAAATAAGGAATTCACGCTTCCAGTTTCCGAAACTCGCGAAAAAACGCCCGAACCGAAGACGGAACTTACCGACCCAGAAGTATCATTTCGAGTTTCAATAACTCCTGCCGCCGGAGAATCAAAATTGCTAGACCAGCGACCTTCTATCCCTCCAACAACTCTTCAAGGAAACAACCGACAACAGAGACCGACAAGTTCTAGTACTTCAAATGTTCCCCGGCCAAGGCCAAAATTGGTTCAGAGGGCAAAAACTTCGCATGGTAAGTCCTCATTGAAAAACCATAAAAATCCTTTATATTTTCACAATTAAGAATTAAAGCCATTCGACTATTTTCTGAATTATTCTTGACACGCCATCTCTTACAGCTATAGTTGGGAATTCCAACTTGGAATCGGGCAAAATTCGCTGTTGAACATTTGATAATTCTTAGATCTCCTGGAACAAGAACGTCAAAAAAAAGAAGCCGAAGAAAAACGCCGTGCCGAAGCCGAAGCAGCTTACCAACAATGGGTCAAGGCAAAGAAAAACGTCAAGCTGCGTCGCTTGACTCCCTCTCCTCCGCCGGAAAGAGATCTCAAATGGTATTTCTGTTTTCTATTTGATCAGTGCTTGTTGAAATCACAGATTTATCGGCATTCACAGAATTCATTGTGTGTAGAATTTTTGTTCAAATATGAGCTCAACGCATTGAAATGATGAGTTTGAAGGATATTCAAATTGTTGGTAAGAGTCTTTTCAGGTATGAAAACAAGAAGAGAATGTTTGAGCCTGGGTCTTACTCTGAAAGGTATTCACTCTTATTTGTCAAAATTTTGAATAAAAAATTAAGACCGCGACCGAAAACTCAACCGAATTCGACTCAAAATTCGCGACCCACACCGATCTACAGTGAAGTTCATAAGCCAAGAAAATATGACGGAAATGGCATCGCGTTCGAAGAATGGCTAGCCAGAAAGCAAAATGAACAAAGGTCCTCAAATCCAAATCACCAGGAGTCGCAAGAAGAAACGAAAAAGAAAAATGATGAGATGAGGCAAATGATGGCAGAGGAAAAATTCAAAGGTGCAGTAGTTATTTCTAATAGACGGTTATCTCGATTCTGAATGGGCTGAACTTTATCTAGAATGGCTGAACAAAAAGCTTGAGCAACGGCAAAAAGCAACAGCACAAGAAAACAAGGACAGATACGAAGCTCATAAGCGAAATACGACAAGCGAGAATCAACTGTCTTTCGACGCCTGGCTCGAGAAAAAGAACGACCAGCAGAAGCAGCTTCAACGCGTCCTTCGCCAAATCAAGTACACCCTTTTAGATCTCTCTTTTTAATGTTGATAAAGGAGGGAGGAGCAAAAACGAGCAGAAGAGGAACGAGAACGAAGACAACAAGGACTGTCTTTTGAAGACTGGATGTAAGAAAGAAAAATATTTTGGCACGTTTTTTTAACAATTTTTTAGCGCTGTAAAATCTGGAAAAAGGTTGAGATACAAATTCACTCACAAAGCAAAAATAGCTAAACTAACTCACTCTAACTAATTTTCTAGCAAGTCCGTGATATTTCCTTAGGATTTATCAAATGGAAAACAAAGAATTGACACCCTTAATTTTACCCCTCTTTTTCAGGATTCGAAAAGAACAAGCCGAATTGTACGGGGACAAAGTTGCTCGAGACCTCGCTCAGCAAGATGCAGGACCGGATTATAAAACAAAAAGATCGCTCTTAAATATTAATAAAAAAGAGGATCTTTGAATTATCCTATGTAAAGCCGCGAAACTCGCAGAGATCGAAGAAAAGAAGCGGATGCGGTCTCAGCAGGAGATTGAGGAAAACCAAGCCGAAGAAACGGAGTTGGAAGATTCGAAAATTGAAAAATCAGAAGAAAGAGAAATGGTCGAAAGTCCAAAAGAAGAAGTTCTCGAATCTACTTCAAATTCACCGGAAATTCCATCGAAAGAAAAATCACCCGAGGCTTCTGAAACCCTCATTTCGTCTCCAAACTCGCCGAAAATCCCTGATTCAAAACCCGAACCCTCTTTCGAACCTGAACCAGCGTCCGAACCAGCGAATGACCCAGAACCAGAAGCAGTGGTTATAATTCACGAAGTCTCAATGGGCAAAACTACTGAAATCCTCGAAAACGGCCAGCAAAGAGTCTCAACTTCGCAGCAAGAAGATAAATTCATCGAAACACTTGTCGAAAACCAGATCGAAGATGCCCAGCCCTTCGACCCTCAAGATCCATTTGTGGACGACTACGACTCTGATCATACATCTCTTGCGTCGGACATTTCTTATCCGGAACTGCTGGATCTCATAACAAACTTAGACTCCGACTAAAAATCTTCTTTGAAGAAAAAATATTTTTGTAGAAGAAAAAACTTTTTATTTTTGCACTGCACTTTCTTTCTGTAATGAAAATACAAGCACATTTTTGATAAAATCATCTTCTTCATCCCGAAAATTATTATCGTCCATTGAGCAAAATATTTTTTAACTTGAGCAAGTAAGCCGTTTTAAGCAGACTGCTTTAGTTCTGTTTCTCATGTTTCAATCACCAAATTGCCGGTTTTTTAACGAAAAAAATAAAAAAAGACGCAGAGAAAGAAAAATCAGAAGTTCATAATTTAATGTTACTATCCGAAATTGCCCAGAGGCAGAGTTCTTTCTAAATATTCGGAAGATTCTATCCCGCACGCTTCTAATTTTTAAATCCTGACAGGAAAAATGCGGCTTCTGGTGTTTTTGCCTTTTGCCAAGGGAAAAACTGGATTGGAAGTTTTAGAAAAACGAGCCGATATTTTGAGAGAAACGTGCACTAGAGATTTTCATCGAACCCCCAGGCCGAGGAGCTTTACTGGAAATCATAATGCTATCGTCAGATTTGAAGGTAAATCATGAGAGAAGCAGGTTTTTCAAAAATTTTCGATAGCTTAAGGAGGGGTCGACGAGAATCGGGATTTCCGTGACCAAAAATGCGAGAAAACCTGATTAGATAGGCTAAATCTGATTTTCCTGGTGGATAGAAAAGGGTTGATAAAATAAGGCGGCGAAAACTAAAAAAATTTTGACCAGAAAAAGTCGGTCAAAAATGCCGTCAAAGTTGGGCCATTTTCGCGAAAATGCACCAAAAATGGTCAATTTTTTTACAATTTTGTTCATTTCACCCCCTAAATCTAATTTTCATCAAATAATTTTAGGCTCAACAGATTCGAGAGGATCTTTAGATTCCAAAAATATAAGATTCATATCCAGGCTATGCGTATAAGCGAAATAACGATCACCCCTGAAAAAATTCTCGTCGACCCCCCCCCTTAATTTGCAGCTCTCTTTCAGGATTTTGAAAGTTCATGGTCTGAAAGTCACGTGTCTGATTCGTCTGACACATAAAAGATGCGCCATTTAAATGCCAAAACAAAAATTTTAGAGAGCGGCTTGCGAATATGCGTTCCATGGAAATGCGCGTCGCAATATGTAAAACACATCCACGACGTGGTGATTTCCGACTCCGAAGACAATCGGAGATTCGTCGGAGATACTCAAGAGAAGAAGAATTCAACGGTTTTGATTGCAAGGCATCCCTTTGTCAGACTTATTTCTTCGTGGAATGACAAGCTGCTGAGGGAAAATGTGCTTCAGAGCGGGCCAATGATGCGGCATTTCAACATCGGTATAATAAAATAGCACAAATAATACTGATTGATTAGGTATTGCATTGTTGCATGAGCCAATTAAATTTTAGAAGTGTACATTGCTATCTAGGTGACCTAGATTTTAGGTCCATAACTTTTGGCACTCGGACCATAAGCCTCTTGGTAATTATGCGGGAAATCTAACAAATTCTTTCAGACCGTTTCGTAACGTCCGACCACGAGACTCACCTAATCTCGTTTGAGGATTTCTTGAACTACATGGTTTACGCGATTGAACACGATGAGCCGATAAATCGCCACTTTCAGCCGCAGCATAACATGTGCGATCCTTGCTCTTCGGATTTTAATACGGTACTCAAGGTGGAGCATCTAAAGGATGAAATGGTGGTGCTCTTTCGAAGTCATGATTTACATGTAAAAGGAAAGTTTCAAAGATCATTCTCGGTTTCTTATCTCCCAATTTCTGTGATTGAAAAAGCCTTTGAGACACAAGAAAAGAACTAGAAGAGACATTCCACGAACAAACTGGCGGATTCGGCGCTGCAGAAAAAGACAAACTCATTGAAAAAGTTCGATCAACACTTCGACCAATTCCAAAAGAAACACTTTGGAAAATTTATGACTACTACAAAAACGATTTTGACATTCTTAACTATTCATTTGACATGGACATGCTTACAATTGGAGGCTTTTAAATTATACTTTTTGCATTCTGCTGCCTACTATGACTTGAAATTGCACCTGTATCTATTAAAATAATTATTCAATAATCTATTTAGAGTTCTAAATTCAATTCTTGATTATTCTTGTTAGGTGTTTTTTACGGTTATTCCAAAAAAAAAATGCTGAAATCAATCAATTTTTTTCTGAAAACAAAAATAGTCTCGCATCTCTGCCGCTCATCTCCGGTCTCATTTATAAGCAAGGAAGAGTGAGGAAAATCATTAGCTTGAAATAAAGCAGCTTTAGTATTTCAGCTTTTAATTTTTCGACAAAAATAGAGATAAAAGATGAAACTTTTCGCTATCTGCGCTGGTGTTGCTCTTGGTAAGATAACTGAGCTCAAGTATCACTTCCAGGGGAGGGGTTCTAGAATCCTCTAGAGCTTTGAATTCTGATAAAAGGATTCATTCTGGAATCCTCTTTAGAATATCCCCTCCAATTCTCCTTTCGGCCTTTTGCATAAAAAAGATACAGTAGAGCACTGTATGTTTCTTTTCTGCCCCTCTCTCTAACTCGCCATTCTAGCCGTCGACTGCAACGATGGCAACAACGGTGGTTGCTCCCACAGTTGCAAATCTGGTGTCTGCGAGTGCCCAACCTGCTGGGTCCTCACCGACGACGACATGACCTGCCAGCCCGAAGCCGGCAGAGCCTCCATCTCCTGCAGCTCTGCTGGTATGTCAATCTCTGTCGAACCATGCGTCGTCGATCCCGCTAGCTCCATCACCCTCGTTGACAACACATGCGCCGCTGTCACCGACGACGATGGCAACTACAAACTCGCCACTGCTCTCGACGAGTGCGGCACCGAATACGTCGTCAACGCTGATCAGGACAACGTTGTCTTCTCCAACAAGCTCATCGCTGGCGCCGGTCTCCGAGACGGCATCATAGTCTCCCGACCACTCGCCATGGCCTTTGAGTGCGAGTTCTCTACCTACTACGAAGACGTCCAGCTCAACTACACCGCTGACGCCGGCCTCGTCGATGTCTCATTCGACTTCGGTGATGAGCAGCCCGATGCCGCTTTCTTCTCCTATGGCCTCGAGTTCTACACTGATGACAGCTACGATACCGTCTTTGATGTCGAGAACGACGTTGTCGTCGTCGGTAACACAATCTACGCCGCTATCGAGAACCTCGTCCCTGTTGATGGTCTCGTTTTCACCATCGAGGTATAAAATATACTCTTGTTTATCCTTTTATATCTTTCTAAGTCCTGCACCATCACCGACGATTCCATCGGAGCTGAATTCGCTCTCATCGACGGTCAGTGCCCCAACTCCATCGTCAGCGGCGCAGTCGACAACTTGTCCGATGCCGAGCAAGTTCGATTCAGCTTCATGTCCTTTCTCTTCCCAGGCTCCGGCGAAGAGTCCGTCTTGAACTTCTCTTGCGAGGTAACTTACTCACTCTTTTCCCCTCTCAACTTTTTCCTAGGTCGTCGTCTGCGACAGCTCCGCCGCCGATACCGTTTGTTCCACCGACCCCGGCTGCACCGCCCGAAAGCGACGATCCGCTAGTGCCGAGGAAGCTTATACTTTCACAGCATCGAAAAAGGTTACTTTCAGAAAGTAAATCAACTTTACTGTCCTTTTCTTTTCAACTGTCCTTCATCTCCAATGACGATCATTCCCCGATCTGAGCGAGGAAAAAAGAAGCAAGAAAAAACCGAACATGCTCAGATTGACATTCATACAATCATCTCGCAACAAACAAATAAATAGATCTAAACAAAAATATCGGTCAACTGTGAGGCAAATTCTTTAGCAATAAATCGGCTATATAAAATTTAAAATAATCTTATTCTCCTCTTATCTTTCACGAGATTGGTTCTTCCAACGATTCTGAAAACAAAACAGAGCGTTGTTTCCATATTTCATCACTTACGGCAGAGTTCTTCCTTATCGCGCTTTCTAGTTTCCCAATCCTTTTCCGCGCATCATGGTGGCGCATCTCCGAGGGGTTAATAAGAGGTTGAAGCATTCAGAAACTTAGGAATTCGAAACAAAGCACCATTAGTTTTTTAATTTTTGCTTCAGAAGAGAGAGAAAAAAATATGAAAATTTTTGCATTTTTGGCGAGTGTTTCTTTCGGTAAGAGAAATAAAATCTGGATTCTTCGTAATGAAATTCTAGCGGTTGATTGCAAAGATGGCAATAATGGAGGATGCTCTCACAGTTGCAAAGCTGGGACTTGCATTTGCCCTACTTGCTGGGTTCTCACAGCCGATAACATGACTTGTTTGCCCGAAGCTGGCAAAGCTACTGTCTCCTGTAGCTCGACAGACATGGCGATCACGGTTGATCCCTGCGTCGTCGACCTGGCAAGTTCAATAACGCTCATTGACAGTTCCTGTGCCGCTACCAGCGATAGCGATGGTAACTACCACCTCTCAGCTGGACTCGACGAGTGCGGCGCTGAATATACAGTTAACAGCGATGATGATACAATTGTCTTCTCCAACAAGCTGCTGGCCGGTCCGGGTATTCGAGACAGACGAATCGTTTCTCGACCGATCACCATGTCCTTTGAGTGCACGTTCTCCACTTTCTACGAAGACGTCAATTTTAATCAATCCGTCGATGCGGGTCTTGTCTCCGCCTCATTCGACTTTGGTGATGCGCAGCCCGATACAGCCTTTTTCTCATATGGACTCCAGTTCTACACCGATGATAGTTACGATACTCTCCTTGATGTCGAGAACGCTGTCATCGCTGTTGGAAACACTATCTACGTCGCTGTAGAGAACATGGTCCCCGTTAGCGGACTCGTCTTCACGGTCGAGGTGATTATTAACTCATCTTTGAAAATTTAACCTTTTTTGAAAAGTCCTGTACCGTGAGCGATCCCTCGATCGGTGCCGAATTCAAGTTGATTGAAGACCAATGTCCAAATATCATTGCGTCTATGGAAAATTTCGCCGACGCTGAACAAGTTCGATTCAGTTTCACTTCCTTCCTTTTTCCCAATTCTGATGACGACACTGAGCTGAACTTCTCTTGCGATGTTTGAAAATCAAAAACTTTTTCTTTGATTAACTTTTTTTTTTAGGTTGTTATCTGCGATGGTGGGGATTCTGACTCAATTTGCTCGACAGACCCTAACTGCAGTTCACGAAAACGACGATCAAATGATGATCAAATTGGATATTCCGTCAGAACGGCGAAAACATTAACTTTCAGAAAGTAATTTGAATAAAATAATTTCGTTTTTTATTGTCCATTTTTTTCTCTACATAACGGACTCCTATCTTCGAAATCGAGCAAAGTTACAAAATATTCTCGGATAATCAAAGTATGAATTCAAACTACCGTTTTATCAATATTGATACCGTTTTGAGCATTCCTTTGCCGTTTCTTTCCGGTCTACGCGTAAAGATATACGAAGAGTTATTTTTCAGTCTATTTTTATTCCAAACACCTTTTTTGGGTAACTTCCGGCTCATCAACTTAAATATGTTGCCTACTGAAGTATCTGAATTGACAAGTGCAGTATTAGTTCCCCTTCAAATATTGTCTATTGTCAGATATCGATGATATTGGAGAAGACATGGTTGATGTTGGTGAAGCCAGGATTGGCTTAGAAAAAGCCAGGATTGACATTGGAGAAGCCAAATAATGTTTTATTATCAATCAATATAAACTGGTTTACATCGCCGTTTGCCAAAGATCCCCGTTTCCCAAAGTTGGGCAAACGGCGATTTGGGTTTCAAAAGTTTCGCTTCAGAAGCAGACGTCGCGCTCCGGACGACCGGTAGCGTCTTTTTTGTTGTTTTTTTCTTCTCAAGGCCGAGTTCGCAGACGGACTCTTGAAGAATTGTTCTGAGCAGGCGGTGGTGGAAAAGGTTTGGAGTTGTTATGCTACTTATTACTAATAAGTTATTAGCGATCGAAGATTCTGGACTCATCTTTTTCGTTGAAAAATGGTGAGAGCTAATGGAAAAACCCCACTGAAGGTTGAGATTGTGATTAATACCCGAAGCACTTATGATATAAAATTGACCGTTTCCGCTTAAGTTCATTCACTTTTTAGACAGTGAAACGCCAAGAAAATGACGAAGATTGTCGATTTGATGAGGGGAATCATTGCGATTTTCGACGAGCATGCCGGCGAGGACAAAATGCTTTCGAAAGAAGAGCTCATGAGGATGATGGGTGAAGGTAAGCGATTAAAAAAATGCTTTACATAACGGTTTTATTTAAGAACAGCACGAGATGTTCGCTTCTGAAGAAGTTGCAACTAAACTCATGAGTGAGTTGGACGAGAATCTCGATGGACAAATATCTTTTGATGAATTCATCAAGTCCATGGCTTTCATCTGCGCCCTCGTCAAGTACGGCCAGGAAGACGCAAGCGACTTCATCGGCAGATGGCTCAGGAAACGGTTCAACAGAGATGATTGGAGACGTACATGGGAGATCATGACCTCCTGAAAAAGAATCGTCTATTAAATGACAGCGATAATGATTTTCCCCTGATCACTTTTTCTCCTGTCGAGTATAAAATATATTCGGATTTTATTAAATTGCATTTCGATCATTGTCAAAATTAAAGAAAAAACTCCGTCCTCCGTTTTTTCTTTCCTTCTCAATCACCCTCATTATTTGGTCCATCATCGGCTTCTTACTTCGAATTCCAGCTGAATTAACAATTATCAAAATTGTAACTTTGAATACGCAAAAAGAAGGGTATCAGACAAACTTTCGAAATACAATATTTGATCATGAGCATCCTACCTAGCTATTGATCCCTTTCTAGCGCCGCTAATGACATTCTCCTTTGACCCTTGACTTTGCCGCCAGCAGCCTGCTTGATTGCGACTCAGCTGTCTTTAATTCCAAGCTGTCTGATCCTCCATCCGGCTTGCTCGATATTTTGATTAAAGATCTCGACAAAATCACGACTTGAAATTTTTAATTTTCCAGAGAGTCGAGAAAGGTGGAAAATGGTGGATTTCCGATAATGTTATCCGTTGTCAAAATTTGATCTAGCTCCTGATTGTCGTCGATTTCGAGCATTTTGAGGATTTCCTGTTGATCGCAATCAGAATTTCAGATGGAAAGCTTGTTCTTTCGTGTAATATTCAGATTTCTTAAGTTCATTCATGTTTTGTTGACCTGCCAAATTCAAGAGCATGGTTTGAATAATGAAATGAGCTCCAGATTTGAGAGCTCACAAAACATTGTGGTCAAGGATAGCTTCCTCGTTTACAATAAAAATATTGATAAAGAAGATTTACACTAAGTTGATTTTTTTGTGCGTTATGCCTAAGCATACGACGTTCTTTAGGAATCTAACATAATTAACCTTATTATTGAAAAATCTGCTTCATTAGCAGACTTGCTGGTCTATAATTCTCAATATGTTCATTTAAAGCCAGAAGTTTCGAATTATTTGACATGATACAGTAGAACTGAAGTTGGGACAAAGCGTGATACAGTAAATTAACAGTTTTACAGTTTTTACAGTTTATTTTCAAAATCAAAATAGAATATTTCTTTATAGCTTGAAGAAAATACTCTTGCATTGATCTTTGATTAGGTCGCCATGTCCATGATTATCCCTTCTGAACTCCCCCTTTCATCCCGCCATCTGCTCATCTCCTCCCCGCCGCGCGCACCACCTGGTTCAAATCCCCCGCGCTCACTCCCTACCGCCACCCTTTACTATATAACTGCGCGGTTCCTCCCACTTTCATTCAAAACGAACACAACAAACAGAAAACTCACAAAGAAAATGTTCTCTCTTCTCTCAATCCTCCTCGCTTTCTCCAGCGCCCGAACAATCAAAAACGCCCAAACCGTCCAGCTCTACTCCAAGTCTGGCAAATTCTTGAACCTCAACCGCCGCGGTCATGTGACCCCAACGTCCAACAACAAAGAACTCTCCTCAATCTTCGAATTGAAATACAACTCGAATGGAGTCGTCATCCGACAGCCCCTCACTGGTTATTACGTAACCATGTCTCGATCTGGAAAGCTCCGAGCAACAAACCATCAAGAAAATGCCGTCGCTTTTCACCAAGAATCCCTCGGCGACAAGTTCTTCACCTTCAATCTCGCCGATAACTCCGACTGCAAACTCACCGCCAGCAACAGAAGCTTCCGAGTCCGATGCTCCAAGAAACTTCCACGAAACAAGCTCGCTTTCTTGAGCAAAACTGCCCGCCTCCCAACAAAGCTTATGGAAACCGGCGTTCATTTTTAAAATTAACTGTACTCTTCCTTGATTTCTTTCCTTGTTCAAAAAGTTCAAAATAAAATAATACGAATTCAACTCGATCTAAGTGTTTTTATTGTTTTCCAAAATTACAGTTTGAAGTTGAGAAAGTCATCAAATTTTGCTGATTCATCGTTTTGTAGCCCCGTTTGTTTTTCTTTAGCGAGTTGTAGTGCCATAAGATAATCCTGGATTCCCATGGCCGGAATGTCCCGAGAGGTCAAAAACTGAAGTTTAAATAGTGAAAAATAAAAGAACTAAATTTTAAACTACCATTTCAGGAGTCATTCCAGAGCAAAAATTGCAAAATAAAAGGTTGAAAAGAAAAAAGAGCATTTTTTCGGCGAACAAACTTTTTTGGCAATATTTTATCTGCGATCTTTTATAAGCGCGGCGCATCAAATATTTAATGATTCGAGCATCTCTTGTCCATCGAGGACCTGATGTCATGAAGTTACTCTTGCCAATTCAAGGAACTGCTGTTACCTTTTTAATGCAGTGGATATTCATGTGCTATCTGATTGACCCAATTCAAATAGAATTTCAATTCTTCGGTTCATTTTGACTTATTTTTTCCAAAAACAAACATTTTTCCTCAGAAGCTTGCATTTAGAAAATCATGATTTCTTCCGACAAGACCAAATTGGTAGGGACTGGGCGGCACAAGGCGGCAAGACACCCATAAAAGTTAATCATATGGGTTCAATGAGGGAGCCTTCAAGACGTCCCCAGAAACCACTTATGAATCATACAGTGAAACGGTTTTAAAAAAATATTATTTATCACTGTATTATGGTGCGTATTTGTACAGATAAAAAGATTCAATAAAATAAATAATTATTCATCCCGAGGAACAAGCAGGAATTTTCGTTCTTTCGGCTGAAGAAAATGATGCATCGGCGCATAGTGAGGATCCCTTGTCCAAAAGTTATTCCATCCTTCTTCAGTTTCCACTACCGGCATTGGGTGATCAGGGTGGAGTTCGAATTTGAAATGCCTAAAATAAGTTAATATTTGCGCAGCGACATCTTGAGCGTACTTGACGAAATGCTTCATAAAGTGAAACAGTTCGATATCGGCCAAAATCTGTCCAGGGCAAGATCGCTTCCCAGTGTTGAATGGAGTTTGATATTGAGATTTTTGAAATTCTCCGGGTTCATTTAGATGCCTTTCCGGGATGAATTTCCAGGGGTCCTAAATTTTAAATCGATGATTTTGATCGAAAAAAAAATTCTCACCTTGAAATATTTTTCGTTCATGTTTGTCCCTGTTATACTGTAGCAAATAAGCTCATCCTTATGAAACGTCTCCCCTTAATTTTTTGATAAAAAAAATATTCAAAACAGTCATTTTTACCCATAATTTCTGTTGTTTCCGTAATGCTGTGAAGCAAGCTTCTGTAAATCATGGGGCAGTATCGATAAACTTCGTAAATGACAGCCATTAAATATGGGCAGTCTTTGAACTCATCCGCTCGGAAATCCTGAGATTCGAGAATTCCGTAAAGCTTCGCTTGCTTTTCGGGAAATCGAGCGAGAGTCATCATGATTCCTGATGCGACGGAAGCAGTTGTATCAGCTCCAGCTAAGGAAAATTTAACCTTTCTCAGTTTAAAAATCGTCTTACTCATGCAAAGCTGTTGGATAAGATTGATAACATCCCATTCTTCCATTTTTCCTTGAGCATGATCAGTTTGAAGGATTGCAAGAAGAGTGTCACTTTCATCTCCAAGTACCCAGTTTTTGTTGTGCATTTCTTGCAAGTCAAGAATATCATCGTATAGTCCCTGAATCGCACTGTCAGCAAGAGAATAAAAAATCTCTATTAGGTCTGTCAGCTTCTTTACTAAATAAAACTATTTATAAAAATAAAATAAAACTGTATTCTGGTGCTTATTTCACTAACCTGTTGAAAAGAAACCCAATCAGGCCAGAATCTTAAGGGTATCCACGCACGTAGCCAAGTCGGCAAGTTAATGAAGAACAGTTTGTACTTGTCCAATTTGACAGCGCTTTCCAAGGCATTGTTCGCGTACTTGCAGATTCTGTCCCTATAATCCGTATGCTTCGACAAATCAATGTCGAGAGCGAAATCAAGGACGACTGTCAAGGCCGCTGGCATCGTATATTCAAATGTGTCGATCGGCTTGGTTCCGTTTTCTCCAGCTCGTTTGAGCGTCTCAACCACCCATGGAATCTGAGCGTCCACTTTTGCCACCCATTTTGGCTCGAATTGCTTTTTGATGCAAGTTCCATCAATCGGCGGCGACAGAGTTTGGAGATTTTGGTTCCTTTTGGGTCTGATCGGGTATGATCTCGCATGAGGCCGAGGGTTTCGTTTGTCATTGTTTCCCAGTTTCGACCTTTTGTTTTTCGCCTAAAATAGGGAACTCATTTTGTTGTTGATAAAAGGTTTCTTTTATAGTCATTATTTTATGGAGCTATCAAAATATGGTAAATCTCAAGGAAGTTTCTCAAATCTTATTTACTTTAAAAAAAACCATATTTTCAGAATAAATCTTAATTTAAGGTGTTTTGCTCAGACTCCGGAAATCTCTGTTCTATATAAAGTTATGTTTTATGATGTTAAATGACCTTTCGAAATTCGGCCCTAATTGCCTCGAACCTGTATTCCGCTAAAAGTTGCCACCAGCCGGTCAACTCAAAATGGCCCCCAACAGCTTCACTTTTTGAAAAAATTTCTTTCGACTTCACCGGATCGTTGATAATATGCAAGTTCATCTTCAAGAGTCCTCCCAGCGTTTCCAAAAGAGGGTACGAATGCATCGGTAGCTCTCTTTTATGACTCTCCAAAAAGCTCTGGACAACATAGTACGGTCCATCTTTTGCTAAATCGGTTCCTGGACGAATGTGCGGCACATTCGGATGCTTATCTCGTCCCAGCCACCAGCGGAGGAAACCAAGGGAAACTGCTAGAGCTGATACTTCGGTCAACATTTTTTCTCTTTGAAAAATCGAGCTCAATTCTGGCCCGCGCCAGCTAAAAGCAAATAGAAAAAATCCGATCAATTTTTATGAAATAAAAAGAATTTTGTTTAATGTCCCTAAGGCGAATCTCCTTTTTATGATGTTTCATTGATCAAGGACGATTTGACCTTGAGAAGAAAGGCCTTTGAATCTACTGAGAAGAAAGTTACGAATTCGTCAAGAATGATCGTTCTCATCAAGGCGAAAATTTCACCTCGCGCGCTTTTTTGTTTGAATTTTCGAAAATTTACAATTGTAGAATTTCAAAGACATACTATTTGCTCTTTTTTTTGGCCACGGAGGTGATCAGTTTCGCCGCTCTAGAATCCGTAAAACCTTGAAAGGAAAGCCTAATGGTCTCCCAGCTGATGCTCATTTCAAAATTCGAGTCTTCAAAATTGAACGTGAGTGGAACTTAAGTTCGAGCGACAAAAAAAACGAGACCTTGATTTTCGAAAAAAAAGTCCTCGAATCTTCAAGATAAGTTCTTAATTGGCACCTTTTAAATTTGACCATCATCGATTTGGGTAAATCGGTGATTTGAGCTGTAAGACCACTTTTGCGATTTTCGATGACTCAGAACTTGTTCAAAAATGAGAATTAACATGCAGATATTTGTGTGATATCTGAACTTTTCAAACCTAATTTCTTCTAATTCAAAAAAGCTGACTCAGGCAACAAGTTTTTACAAGACCATCTTGAAATAGAAATTAGATAATTTTAATTTGGCTCTTAAGGAAACCTCCGTCAGCTATTTTCGGAAAATCAAATTTCGGAATTTTCATAAAACGATTTTGAAGCTTCATTTTTTGGGGGTCTATCTCGACTCCTTCACCCCCAAAATCGTAGTTTAAAATTGGACTTTTCGCCGAAAATTGACGAATTTGGCCTGATTTTGGCAAAAATATTGATTTTTCTTGGTCAAAATTCTTTTTATCAAGTCGATCTTGGAGCTGGAAATAGTAATTATCGTCTCAAAATTTAGGGTTCATAGGGAAAGAGGAGTTATATCCGGGGTCATCAGTTGGAATTTCCTTTTTCCAACTACTAGCATCCGGCCGAATCAATCAGTGTTCTCATCAGAAGCAGATTATTTGGATTCCAAGGACTAACAAAATCCAAAATGACCCAAGATGAATGAAACGGTCAGATAGAAAACCACAGATATGAATAAGACGCAAATCGAACTTCAAACAAAGCTTTACCAAGAGAAACAATTGAAAATATATGTTTCATGTTATCTGCTCTAAGCGGATAGGGGTTTGGGTTCTATTGAAATTATGATTTTTCTGAAAAAGGCCAATTTCTTTTCTGACTCAAATTGGGAAAGAGGGAGGGAGAAATTTTAAATGATGATGGGGGGCAATGAGTAGGACTTGCGTCTTGACTTGTGCAAGTGTTCAAGTCAAGCGGGAGCGAAGCCGAGTGCCAGATTCGTAAATGTAAACATGCGAAGAGAATGTGAGGGATCACCAGATTCGCAGTTTTGGAAAATTGGCACCTTTCATAAATTTCACGTACTTTTGGATGAAGAAATCAGTTTCAAGCTAAGCGCCCAATCTCGTAATTTTGGATCAATTTGATCCCTTTTTCTTACGCTCATTTTATAACAACAGCTTGATGAATTAACCCTTGTATCCGCTAAAATGTGGATCTTTTGGTAATATTAACCCGGAAAAAATTAATCTTACAATGTTATTAATTTTACTAATAAATAACTTAATTTGCTTGAATAAAAAATATCTAATAAGCTTATTTCAATACGAGAAGTTTGTTTATTATTTTGATTAAAAAAAATAATTAATTGATTTAAAAATAAATTTTTCATTGGAAAAATTTCGTCGATCAGTTTCGTCTTCTGATAGGTGGGCAAGCCAAAAACAGGCTTCTTATTGGCTCGAAATTTTTATCAAATTTAAAGTCAAGGAATCGAAGATACGTCTCCATTCTACTTCGATCTAGGTGGTTTATTTGATTAGCAGAATGGTCCTTTTAAAAACATGAGCATACACGAAAGTATTACTCGATGAACTTGTTTTACACGTGGACTGAGCGGAGTGATCAAACCAGATTGAAGGGAAGCTGTCAGATTTTTTTTCTTTCCTCATCACTCACCGTTTAAAATTGCGATCGAGGGTTCATTGTCGAGAAAACGCGGTAAAAGGAGAGCAAACGTGCGTACGCAAAAATTTTTCGGCTCGAATTTCTGCTGCGCTCGTGTTTCTGTCTGTTCGCTTTCAAAAAATTTATAAGAGAAAAATCCTAGAGTTTATGGCCAACACGTTGGTCTATGGCCGATTTTGTCTACTCTGATAAACGACCCTCTTTCAACATTCTTTTTAACAGTTGAAAAATGATAAGAAAGTGATACTTCTCTGAAGTTCAGAGTAGTTGATTTTCTTGAAAGTCATTTTATTATAAAAAAAATAGGTAGAAGTTCCTTTTATTCATTCAAAAACAAAGAATTGACTGTTTTTTACTAAGTACACCTGAAAATCTTCCACAAATTAAAGATTCATTTTATAAAAAAAAATCATTTTTTTTTTTCATCTTTTTTGACGTGAAGAACGAGGAACTTCACAATAAATACAGTCAGATAAAGATCTTTGAACCAGTAACTGTGACGATCAGATCCCCCAGTTCATGCTCTGGAAACCGTCATTTTTTCAAAAACAAAGGAATGCTTACTTATTAATTCATTAGGGCAGAACCAAGAAAAAGAAGTGATTTTTTGGAACTGGGTTTTCATTGGCCGTTAGGTCAACTACAGCAATAACTTATTGGTCTTGAAATGATGCACGTCATTTTCTTGTTTTATCTCGTTCATGACGAAGACGTTAGGGAATTCATAATACAGAAATTATCTGATGGCAACATTAATCTGTTACTCAACTCCTTGGAGTGTTGCTCTGCGGGTAGCAGTACATACTAATTCGAGCATAAAACTGTCACCTTAAAAGCAGCTTTGCCCGGCCACAAGGTCAGAAGACCTTCCACTTGCAGATGCCTAATTCCCGCACTTCATTTTGTAAAATCGGTTCCATCATCGGGAAAAAAGATGACGCAAAAAAGATGATTTCATTATTAATCTGGCCAAGGTCGAAAAATCACTCAAGTTCGAGAAATTTTTTCAAGAGCGTGAAATTTGAAGATGCAGATCGGCGATTTTCACGCTACTGATTTTGAAGACCTCTATCGCACTGTATATAAGTCCCTCTTTTCCTTTTCAGTTGCTATTCCTTTAAAAATGATGCATTTTCAATGCGACTGCCTCGTTCTTTTTGATTTTGACCATTATTTATAAAAATTTATTTTGATGTTATAAAATGAAGCCCAACTGAACTCGTTATTTCTGTAAGGGTAAGATTCTAAGGTTTTTACTTGAAAATTCTCATCGACTGAATCATTTGCGGAAAATCACTTTATTTTTATTAAAAAATTCATTCTGTGCCCTTTTGTACTTTTGGTACTTCAATTCTTCCAAATATAATCAAGAAAGACTAAAAAACGAAGTATAAGTATTACTATTTCTTTTTGGTTGTATTTTGTTTCGATTGCGCAATCGTTCGTTCCGGATTTATTCATCACTCAAATTCCAGTATAATCTTGCTGCATAAAAAAGACATCGAAACCCGGATCACAAAGAAATGATAAAGAAAACAACGTGACTGGAAGTTTCAATCTTAATATTCTTACCGCGAGTCTTTGCCCAAACCCTAACCCTAGTGAACATCTTTCGAAGACTTTGAAAATGAATTTTACAGAAAAAAAACTTTGGTGAACCTTTGAGAACTTTGCGAAGCTCATCTGATAAGAAGATGCTCTACGTAAAAAGGCAGCATCTGAGTACGGCGCAAACAATTCACACAAGCGCAGATAATCATAATCTTGCGTGCTCCTCGGCTGGTAACTCGATAGAGCGCGGAATGTCACCTCATCTGCCGGAATGTGTGAAACCTTGTGATAAACACCGTCCACCCAAGCCGACCAAGCTCGTCATTCGTGGCCACTGTTCATGATTATCTAACCCCCCTTGAATTTTATCCCCCCGAAGAAGCAAATATGGTATGTTCCATGAAAACGAAACTTTTCCGAGCAAATCCGTTAAGAAAAAGTGGCTGATCTTGAACGTCATCATTGTCGTAGAAACTGCTGTCTTGATGTCGTCTCAAAATTATTGGTTCGAAATCAATGATTTTAAATCGTCTTGTTTTTTTTTAAATCTTAGTGGTGAAATTTCCAACTTTGTCGCACAATCCCGCCAATTTTTCCGGTCTTACAAAGCTTCTTTGAACTTGGGAGGGTTTTAAGCTCCAAGATAATTTCTAGCGCTATTTGAAATTATAATTTTTGGAGAGCTGAAAACCTCCTGATCGAAAAATACTGCAAATTTGAGAGAGGATGATCAAAACTTTGATTTTTTAGGAATATCAAAAATGTGACGAAATTGAAATTATTCACCAGTTCTAAGGATTGTAAACAATCTTCAAAATTGCTTGATAAGAAGCCGAATGGCCTTATCACTCGCCGGCAACACGCTGTGAAAAGTGACCCGTGTTCTAAAGTTGACAATTATTTGTCTGAATTTTCGATTTTGTATTATATTTCGTCGCTTATTTAAAGAAATTGAGGCAAATATTTAGTACTTAAAAACAGCCAGATGCCGTTGGCTGATAAGGCATTTTTACTTCTTATCGACAAATTTGAGAACAAAATAAAAGGATTATTTTCAAAAAAACAATTACTTCGCACGTTTTCATTTTCGATGAAAAAATGTAAAGAACCTGTTTTTTTATTAAATTTAATTTAACGTAGACAAATTAAATTATGTCAAAAAAGTAAAAAAAAATGTGAAAAATTTGAGCTCTGGAGCGATTTATAAATTCGAATTTACAAGATAACATCAGCAGCGGTTTCTTCTCCCAACCAACTGTTCAGCTTTTGAGATTATCTCGAGTCCACAGGCTGGGAGAAAAGGTGTTATGATTATTCACCATATTCTACAAGAATCATTACGCAGTTCCAAAAAATTAGTTTGATGGTTTTCAAGTTGAATTGAATGCATGCTGTCGTAGCTGAATTGAACGCAATAAGGGTTTCCCTCCATTAAAAATTGAACTTATTTTTTAAAATTTCATTTATTTTGGCGCTGAAAATATTCTTTCGTTTAAAAATTATTGAATGGTTGACCCTTCTAGTGACCAATTTGGATCCTTTTCAAGTATAAATCCTCTTCACAAGGAGTGGATATAATTTTATTATCCTCTTTTTTTTATTTTCGATTAGAAGTTATAAGTTTTTCCGCTGATTTGCAAGTTTTCAGTGAACATAAGAAAGACTTTCAAATAAAATTAAATATAAGACCTCTCGTTATTATGTACTTCATAGAACACTCGGACTGTGGAAGGGATAGAAAGATAGAGGTTGCTCTGAATTCCAGCGAGAAGAAAATTAGACCCATGCATTTTTTCAATTAGACTCCCGAAAACTCACGATCGACAGCAAAAATGTCCATTCGGCATTTGTTCTCCCGACAACTCGACAATTCGACAATTTTCGCTGGTTTCTAGTGCGCTCGGGCGCCGCGCGCCCATTGATAAGCGCATCGCCGCCGCTTCTCGGCATCAAACATCGTCTTCGGACTCTCCAACTCGCAGCAAAAGCAAGTTTTTTTTAAAGAGCAGAATTTTCGATATGAAAATCGCCGCCGCCATCGTCGCCTTCGTTTCTGCCAATCCCAGCGGTAAGTTTAAAAATCAAAAAAACCAAAGAAAAAATTTAAAATCTCGAAAACAAAAAAACTAAAATCTTCCTCAATAGATAAGCTGACGGCAGAAAACAACCCCTACATGCCTTCCCAAGAGTCTCGACGATACAAGCAATTCTCCACCATGTTCAACGCCCTATACACTCCTCAGCAGCTCACCCGAGCTTACGGATACGGTTGCTACTGCTTGAACCTTGGTGATCGACCTCTTTCTGGAACCATGACAGGTAAAAGCCTTTGGTTAATCCCAGCCTAATCTAAGGCCTTCCCCCAAATGAAGCCCCTTTCTTTTTCTTTCATACTTGTACTCAACCTTTGTTCAGGAGTGTACCCAATGGACGACAAGGATAAACACTGCTTCGACTTTGTCCGATGCAATCGATGCGTCACCTTCGACTTTGGACCAGAGTGCACCCCAGAACAAGTTGCTTACGAGGTAAGCCCGCTTCATTTTTCTTCCCTCCTCCTAATTCTATCTCTAGTTCACTCAAAACGGCACCGCCATCACCTGCACCAACGCTGAAAACACCTGCGAGCGAGCCATTTGCGAATGCGACAAGGACTCTGTTCTCGGCTTCAAGGACGTTATCGACATCTACGACTCAAGCCTTCACGCTTTCAACGGATTCGATTCCTTCTCGGTAGAGTTTTGATATCAAAATCAAGTTGCATATCGAAATTTCTAGGAATGCACTTACAGAATTCCACCACCTGGCCAGCCAAAACCTGAATTGGATTGCTGCGGAGAGTAAGTTCAAGAGGATTTTAACCAATAAGATAGCCCAATTTTTGAAAGAACCAATAACAAGCTCAATAAATGAAACTAAGTTTTAACCAATAAAAAAAGCTTCAATTTTGAAATATGCTAATCAAAATGCTTTGATTTTCAATCAAAAGCTAGCCCTTCCTTGGACCAGAAAATACTCACTCATCCATTCTAGATACCCAAAACGACGACCATACAACAAGAACAAAGACGCAGTCGGCAAGTTCCAATGCTGCGACGGAGAAGTCACCGACGACAACGAGTGTGAAAACTCATCCTTCAATTAACCATGTTCCAAATTAATATTAATTTAACGAAAAAGGAAAAAGTCTTGTTTTCAAATATTGAAAACTCGATTCTCTTTCCTTTGATTCAACTCATTAGCTGCAGATTCAAAACTACAGCATTACGAAAAGTGCTTTCTTACTGTTCAAGTCTTACTGTAACTGAAAATATTGCGCAACTTGGTCAAGATATCTTCGCGAAAAACAGAGCTCTGAAGATATTTTGGCGCGAGTTGCCTAACTGTACATACAAACATAAAGCTTTAAATAAACTAACATCATTGCCCAAAAACAAATTTCAGAATCTTTTTTTTTTGCTCCGAAGAGACTTTATTTTATTTTTTTTATGCAGCAACAGTTAAACACAGTAGAACTACAGAACAATCAGATTTAAAGACCTTCTCTTGGCCAATTAAGCTTGGTGACAATATCTCCTTTTCGGTGCTCATTTGTTTCGAATTTTCGGAAAACCTCCAGGTTGTTCTTTGGATCAGCCGATCGCCAACCAATTTGGCCTGGGAAATAAGAAAGTGTGCTTTTACGGGTGCTTACCTGTAGTAGTTTGAGGAACAGGTGGAGAAGGATCAGGCTTGGCGACTGGGAGGGATTCTTTCCAATCTTCAATCTTTCCTGAAATTGCTTCTTTGTCCGCGTGACATTCTTGAAGTTTTGTCTCCATCTAAATCGAGTCTCAAATTCTGAATCTAAATCAAGGTTCTTACCTCGTGAATTTCCTTGAGAATGTAGCCATGTCTGTTTTTCCAGTTTTTCTGAGCGTGGATTTCTTTATTCACGTGATCCTGAATAAAATCTTTTTAGAAAGTTGCATCGAAAATATGTTCATACCTTGTAGATATCGTCCATCCATGTGAGCGCTTCCTGAAAGACATTCATTTTTTCGGCGTGCTGCTTCTTCCTTGACGAATTTTCAAAACTGAGGAGCAATTTGATTTTTAAGTCAAAACAAGATCGAATTCTAGAGAAAGTATAAATTCTTGACTGTATTTTTGACACGGTATTGTCGATTATACTTCATATAACAGGCCAAACATTGTGTTTCGCGGCAGAAAAGTTGCCAACTTTCGGGAATAGAGACATATTTTTTTCATTTTCTTTTGAGAAATTAGTCGTCAGCCCACGGTTTCTTACGATAAAACTTCAGATGAAATATATTTCTTGCCATAAATGGACAGTTAATTGAGAATTTGCGTATGAATGAGCCCAAGGTGCTGGATATATCATCACTTTTTACGATCGGATGAGGTACTCTTAGCAAGATCAGATCGTAAACCTAGCGCGAGCATCATTTAAAGAGCGCGATCTCTTTCGTATCATCATTGTTAACGTATAAACAGCTGCGAAAAAACTGCTTAACAGAGAGAAAATGGGACTAGATAGATCAGATTCTGCGTATTACATTCGACCGAGAACAGAAGCTTACAAGATCAGAACAAGAAGAACGGAAGGAGAGCCAGTTTTTCAACCTGAGAATGTTATCGAGGAAGATTTAGGAACCGTGGCGCAGAGAATTAAGAGACTTCAAAGTTTGGAAGATGATAGTTTTTCGGGACACGATATTTCGGGGACATGGAGGAGAAGGAAGAGAACGCAATCCACAGGAAAGGCTTTCTAGAGAATTTTAATGAACTCTTTTATGAAAGAAAAAGAGCTTCTGAAAACCTCTGTAAAGAAAATCTCGACAAACTCGACAACCTTGAAACCGAAATCCACCAAAATGCATCCGTCTCGACAGTGGAACTTTCCGAATCTCAAAATGATCATCCATCATCTCGCAATGGAAGCTCAAGCTCCAGCTCAAATACCAGCTCAAAGAAAGAAAATCGTTACATTGTCGAAGACGCCGAGTCTGCAACTTCCTCGAGCTCTTCTTCTTCCGACAGCGAGGACGAGAGAAAGATTGATGTTTCTTTTGAAAAGAAAGGAAAGTCGGTCGAGTCGAGTTTTCACAAGTTTTATACTGACTCTGAGGAAGAAAGTGCAAAAGTCGACAAATCAAGCTCAGAAAACGAGGATCAGCTCGAAGTCACATTCGAAAAAGAGCCGAAAAGAGTAGAAGCCTGCATTTGGGACGAGGAAACCGCCTCGGATGAGCAATCAGATGTCGAGATTTCGTTCCAACAAGCGCCCAAAAAGGTCGAATCAAGTTTCTGGGATGAAGAAACCGCCTCGGATGAAAAATCAGAAGCAGCGGATGAAAATGTTTTCCACAACGAAAAGTCCGAATTCAGAGCGCAAAAGCCCTCGGAGCCTGATTCTATCGCTGCTCCTCTGACATCTGCCAGTACGTTCTGCGACACAACTCTAGAAGATGACACTACAACAGGCTTTTCGCTGAAAACAACGACTGTATTCACTTCCGAATGCGAGAACAAAGAAGGTCTTGCAACTCGCGACATTATCCACACTGCGACGAATGAGGATGACAAAGACGACCTCGTTCTCAAATACGAGAGCTCAGCCCCTGGAACGATCACTTTTCCGAAGAAACAGACCTTCGGGGGTGTTGAAGAGTGCTTCATCGAATTTGAAGATCCACAAGAACTCAAGGTACGAAAAGAGCAGCAGAAACAGCTAAAGATTACAACAACAAGTCGCAAAGTCGAAACGGAAGTCGAATCTGAACCAGAATTTACCTTTGAAGAGACGAAACAGGTTCACTCGAGAGTCAAACTCAAGGGCTCAGATTATGAAAATGACAAATCACCGAAGCTAAATCAATCTCTAACGGCGAACATGACTCTTCAAGGCTACACAACAGGTTTCACCGATGGCGAATCAACACACGATGAACTTGGCGACACGATCCAGCGACACTCCATCTTCATCTACAAAGGTAGAAGTCTCCAATTGTGGCAGGGTGAAAAAAAAATTTTTTTTTCTGAATGGCTCATCTGAAAGAGCTTCTCAAACTGTATAAAAAACGTTTTTACAGTCTGCCCAAATCTTTGAAATTTTCGAGATTTGGACTTGTCAGAGGTGGAAATTCCGAAATTTTAACTGCTCGTAGAGCAAAATTTTTCCATAACAAATTTTTTTTTCTATTTCTTTTCGGAAACTCTATAGTCGAATCTATGTGCTCGCGAAAATTGAAGCAGATCGGGCAACATTTGGGCTGCAAAAATTTTTTTTTGAGGATTAGTTTTGCATTAATTTTGCAAATATAAAGCATATACTTTTATTTAATTACAAACTACAAAAAATTAATCAAATAATGCTCTTAAGTCACTTGAGGTCATTTGAGGTCATCTGAGGTCATTTGAGGTCAACTTTTTTTTGCCGGTAAATTACATATTTTTATTTATTTGAAACATGAAAACGATTATTTTATCAATTTTAAAAACAAAAAATAATTTTTATACCGTGCATATGTGTAAGATGCAAATGTAAAAGCACTTTAAACTAAAAAGAATGAGGCATGTTGTGTTTGTTCCTTCTCGTTTTGTTCTTCTTTGAAAAATCTTCTCAGTCAGAAAATCCAGGCATTCTGCGATGAAAATTTCCTTAATATTTTTAAAATTTAAAAAATAAAGATACAAGCAATTACTTTTTTTTCTCGACGGCATAAGAGAGAGTTTAGAGCAGTCAAAGAAGATTGTTTGACGATCTGAAACTTTAACACTGAGGATTTCGACCATATTTTTCATGTTTATAAATACCTTTCTTTCGTTTAGGAAGACTCCGTGGTTCTGGATAACTGTCATTCGCTGTTAAAATTTGTTTTTCGACGCTCTATTAAAAATAATTTAAAAGGCAAAGATTTCAGATAGTAAGATATTTGAAGTTACTGTAAAATATTCTTTATTTAAGGACTTGTTTGCTAAATATCCATTTTTCGAAAAGAATGATGCCGGGGGCAGGGTCCTTAAATCTAAGCTTCTATGAGTATCCTCAATTTTACCTGAATAATTGAGACGATTAATTGACGAGCATAATTGTCTTTCAGATGAACTTTATCTGGCGAAAAAAAATGCTGTTTGAGGCTTCTGAAGAATCGGTACTCAAAAACATTCAATTTTTTAGTTCTATTTCCAATTAAATGAAAACCTCTTCCTGTTTTACTCGATAATAGTTAGCTAAGCTAGGTACTTTTGCACTTAATATCTTCTTGAGCCATTTTTGTGTTGATTCTTCAATTGTTCTAAGCGGCTTAGCAAGTGGAAAAGGTTGAACAAAGAGGATTTTTCTTGCATTCGTAAACAGCGATGTAAGGGTTCTATGTAAAACCTTTGAAAAGTTCTTTTATTTTTATTTTATTAATTATCTTTATAATCGGACATAGATAAAAAAAATGTTCTTGCGACGATTTAGATAGAGAGAGAACTATCCTGAATTGCTTTATCTAGGTCAACATCTTGGAATGCCAGTGTTGATGCCTTCAGAATATTGTTGTGTCCAGCATAGACTAGAACTGTTCCGGAGACGCGCGAATGACAATTTGTATGGCAATTTTCGCATAAAAATCTCTCCGGTAGATTTTCACCATAGTTCCAGGCATTCCGGCTCTTGATTTGAAGAATTGGTCTTCTTTCCTCATCGCAGATTTGTCCTACTTTCATCAGGACTGCTAATTCAGTTAAACAGGCACCAGAATATGACGTAATAATCCAGTTTTTTCTTTAATTTGTGTTTTCCGAAATATTTTATCTAAAGTGGTGTTTGAATAATTTCTTACTTTAGCTAATGAAACACATATATAAGGGGACTCCGCGGAAAACCAAAAGCAGGTCGCACCCTCATATTTTGAAAATTTTTACGCGTCTACTTAAAGATCTCAAGATGCTCATTCAGAATCGCGATTAAAAATTGTATCGGGGGCATCGGGATATAGAAATGATGGCCGCCGAAAAGAGGCCCACAAACCATAAAATCGAATTTTTCTCGAATTCCCAATACCCCCGATACGATGTTTATTCGCGATTCTGAACAGGCATATCAAGAGCTTTAAGAAAATGTGTTCAAAATTATCTCTCCATAAGGACGCCCCCATTAAAGTATTTTTTCCGCGTAGACCTAACTGTTCTATCATCTTTTTATATTCAAACAGTCCTGTGAATCTCCGAGAAGGAAATTTGTTTTTTCGTATCCGAAGAAACATGGTCGGCGCCAGCACTCTCGTTCATGCCCTTTGAACCATAAAGACTCCATAACTAATGTATGATATTAAGGATAGAACATGGATATTATGGATAGAACATCGGCTGAGCGCGGCTGCCCGTTTAGCGCCCCGCCATGACCGTTTTTTCAGAGACCCGTCAAATCTGAACGGTAAATGATTTTATCTTTATTATTTTAGCTTTATGATCATCAAAGCCTATTCTTTTATACAAACAATTTGAAAATATCAAAATGGGATAACTTGGTCAAAGTCTCGGAATGAGAGCGACTCTTTCAAAGCCCTCTATTAAAATCTAAAGATTTATTTTGAAACTCAGACTAGAAATAAAAGGAAAGTAGAAGTGAAATAGAAGACTAAAAGTGAAGAAGTCGGAGCTCTACAAAATCGAAGAATATAATTCATCGTTCAGATTAGCCGGGTCTCTGAAAAATAGATAACGACGGCGCGCTAAACAAGCAGCCGATCTTATATTTTACGCTTAAGATGGAGAAAACAATTTTTCAATTAACTAGTTTTCCATTTTTCTAACATAGATATTGCGCTCATTTTTCTGACCTGTGTCGAGGCATCACCCATGTTCCGTTATGAGAACATACAGACAGTTTGAATCGACGATAAATATTAAATATCTTCTGTGTTTCAGGATTTGATTGAAGAATGGCTGTTTTATTTTATAGTCACACGGGCAATAAAAAAAATTATAAGCATTCTGAATTCAATGATTTGATTTCTTCTTTCTTTTGCCTTTCTTTTACTCACAGAAAAGAGAATTTCAAAAACGAGAATTAACAATTAGGAATATTTGTATTTAACAACGAGGAAAAAAAATGTAATCGTGATATTTCCAGATCAGGAAAAACGGACTCTTTTCGATTCAGCATTGACTTCACTTGAATGCTGTGCGACTCTTTTTGATGGAGTTGTTTTATTGCACACCCAATGACTTAAATTTATGAACTGTATTTATTCATATTGCCATACTTAATTTTTTTGAGTTGATTTTCCTTGATCTCAAGAATATTCGACGATGTTATTTCTGGTGTTCCAGCTTTGAATTCTTGCTCAATTCTATAATAATTTTTATAAATAATTTTAAGCAACAAATAATTTTAAAGATTTTTTTTAACCTGTTGAGCACATAGACCGCGCAATCACGATTCGTTTGCGGAACATTTTCGCGTTTTTTCTTCCAAGGGCCCTGATCATTCAGAATTTTTCCAATAGTATCAAGAAGTTTTTTTTTCGAACTATCAATGGCGTTTTGATAATTTCCAATAGCCCCATTTGTATCATAGACAGTAACTGAGCGAGATTTGACATTAACGATCAAGAGTGCCGCGTGGTTTTCATCTTTTGATGACAGCAATAATGGTGCACAAATTTTTTTCGTTTCTTAAGGCTTGGGTCATTATAAGTGCCTTGAGTCATGTTTCCGACGGAAGATGTAGGATATGAGCAAAAATCTGTTTCTCGAATTTCAAATTCGGACAAGATAACGATTTTGACCCCGGACTTTGGAAATTTCCGCTTTCAGAGAAGATTTTGATATTTCGCTTAAGAAAAACAGAAAATTAGGTTTTAAAGCTCTAGAGTCACACCTTTGGCGGGCCACAGGGTAGAGGATACTGACTGTTTTATTTGTATTTTCTAATCTTAAGAGCGCAATCTTAATCAGGGTTCTCTAAAGCATATAGCCCTGTTTTAGTTAATGACGTTCGGTCGTTAAAACCCTTAACTGAGCTTGAATATCTGTTGCAGAGTAGACGTAATCGCTGATTGTTTGTTTGTTTGATAATTCTCGAAGATTGACGGGTCTTCTTTGAGGCTTATTTTTATTATCAATAATTATTGTTCCGTCTTTCTGTCCGATTTTTCTGGAAAATGTGTTTCCAGAATTTCGAACACAGAGACTAATTTTTCCACTGGAACAGAGATCGCAGCTGCAGACTATGTCTTTTGCATAAAGAGCTCCTCTTGCTGCGTCGAAGTTTATCATACGAATCGATTTAATTGACGGTATGTTGAGATTTACGGAAGATTTCGTGGTCTCTTCATTTTTATTCTTGAGAATGGCATATTCTCGCCCAGCAAAATTTTGTTTTGCGCGTTTTTCTTTTTCTTCTGTCCGCAGCTTCTGCTCATTTTCCTTCAAGAATCCGAGGCATTCATCAAGAGTACCACAGCGATTTACAAGTTTCGCATTTTTTATCGTGGTAGCGCAGTGACTATGGGCGCCATCGACGAGGCCTCAGAATTCTAGAATTAGTTTCGCGGAAAAAATACCTTTTCCATGGCGGCTGGTTTTGAAAATATAAGTTCTCCGCAGGCCATCGTTATTTGAAATGGCATGGTGAAAATGTTCCCTCGATTTGAATTCAGAGCTCGCATTATGTAAAACAGGGTTCGGGAAATTCAAAGATCTTATAAATCCGCAAGATCGAAATAGACCATTACCTACCGACGAGCCATAATGGAATTATCGTCAACATTAAAATGCAAATTTTAACCCTTTCGAACCCTTTCAGAAATCCTGTTAATGACTGTGAAATTTATGTTTCGATTTTTAAAATTTTCAACAATCATTTTTTCCGCCTCAATCGGCGCTCCGGCAAATTTCTTCTCCATAAGAAAATGAAAGTATTGCATTTTTTGTATTTCGTTTTCATTCCATCGAGCGACCGCCGTTAAAACGTTACAATTCAATCCAAGGCGCCCGG